TTTGCAAATGGAGCATTCACAAACGCCAACAAACATCATGATCATCACAGAGTCATAAGAATAAGAACAATACAATTACAATACAATACTTAGAGATATAAAAGTCATGATGATGATGATGTTGATGATGATGATGTGAATATTGATCATCAACACAAGTAGTATAGGGTAACAAGGCCATTTGTTTACCGCGTGAGGGCAAAGTTGATTGGTCGTCAATTTCTTCTTTCATAAAGATTGTATGTGTTTTCTTTCTTGATGATGGGTTTTTTATTTTAAATCTATAACAAGTCTGTATATATTGGTACTTTAAATATAGAATCAATTGATTAGAGACGAGTTGGTCCATTTTTAAAAACTGTAAAGATATGTATCTTGTAAAATTACTGTCATAAATACTGTTTACTAATTATTATTTATTATCTTTTAGAATGGATGGTTTTGATAGACCGAATGCGAAATTGTCCATGACCACTAGCCTTGATGGGTTTTAAAAGAGCCAATTACAATAATACTAGTATGTACCAAATAAATAACCATGATATCGATATATGAGATTAAGCTACCATTACTCTTGAGCGTTCACAATTGTTTTGAGATTGACCACTTCTGAATTATTTGATTATTGATCCATTCCAAATATACTAACCATCTTGTCTAGCGTTGCTGGATGTGGCATGCATTGAACACTGCCGACACCAGTGCATATAATGTTGAAGATTCAAGGCACCTACACCTCTTGCGTTGGCGCTTGTCTTTTTATTTGATTAATCGTGATCCGATCCATGTAGCACGTAGTTTTATATGGTTGCATGTTTACTATATGAGATAGGCTTTGAAGAATAGCATTTTTTTTATTTGAATAATCTTTGAAACGACGATCCAATATCACCAATAGATACAACTTTTTGTGCTCTTTCTGTTTATATCATTTGTTTTTCCAAACAATGCTTTCTAGACCTCATCTTAGCCCATGGCTAATGGCGACTTTACGGAAAGTACTTTTTAGAAGGGTGAACCTCTCGCAAATTTTTTTGTCAACCATTTGATAGATAATTAAAAGATCTATCGATTGGTAAAAGAATAATTAAAAATAAAGAAGACCATAGAGAGAAATAAGTTTTACAAATAAATAGATTCTGAGGCGGTACTCCCAACCAAAAATTTTCAAAACCCCCATAGAAAATAAATATTCATTTTGTTTTTTTTGTATTTTTTTTTGGGGGGGGTGGCTTACAAGATTCTTCCAAACTACTCGAGCCAAGGATAATCATTATGTCTCTTTTAAGGTTATCAAATCTATTACTGCTACATATCATATCACAGATAGATGATAATATAGATACAATATGTTTATTGTTAACTTGTAAACAGTTGTATCGTAATGGTAGTGTTAGAAGATCGACGACGTTTAAAGGCATAGAAGCGATCACTGACAAGGGTCAGATATCAAAACAGTTTCAAGCGACAGCTACTCGTTTCAAACTCAACACATTTAAAGATATCTTGGAGAATAGTATATCTGATCAATATGTTATATTGGAGGAATTCAACGACTATCCTCAATGGATACAACAACGTATCACTAAATACAGAGCTGACACGAGTAACATTACAACTTTTTTGATGACCTATTACGTTCCATCGTCACTACAGATACTCTACAACGACGTTCCATCAATCGAGACACTATTCATCAACAACACACATATAGTTGTCGATCTTGGTTCCATTTCACTCTTGCCTCGTCTCGAACGTCTTTCGGTTCATAGCGTAAAAGAGGTGAAGCTTGGTCAACACACAACACTCAAGTCGATGAAACTAAAAGTTGATACACGATGCACTCTCTATGACTTGGGACTCACCAGATTCGTATCGCTGACCGATCTAAGTTTCAAGAATCAGTTTGTGTCTAGTATGGGACCAGGTCTATTGCCAATCAGTTTGACGTCACTCACTCTCAAATTGAACAAGACACCTCCACGAGATACATTCCATTCATTAAAGTCGCTCGTCAAACTCAAGATCACCTTGGAAAATGTACCAAAGGGAGAGGTAGAGGAGGAACAACAGGCAATCATCGATCTCGAACATCTACCCAACCTCGAGACATTCAAGCTCACTGACAACAAATCGTACAAAAAAGGCAAAAAGTACAGCATCGAGATGATTGTCCCTCCTTCCATCAAGATTCTTACAATCTGGTCCGATTGGGCACAAGTCCCATCACAATGTGTCATGCCATTGTTGGAGACGGTATGTGTTCACGGAAGCTTATTGATTGATGGAAGGGTCAGTCTAGCGTTGTGCCAATCTCTCAAGAAACTGATTATTGATGAATGCAGAGTTATCCTTCCGGCCAATATCATCCCATCCACCGTTAAAAAGGTTAGAATATTTAATTATGTAAATGGTGTTGATATATTTGAAAAGGTTGTATTCCCGCCGTCACTGACTCACCTATCCATCTCTGGAGACTGTGAGCATGTCAAACCCCCAGAGTCACTTGTCAAACTAAAGATAGATGTCTATAAAGCTTCAGTCTCACTTCCTCGCGGTTTGGAAAAGCTTACCTATTGGAGTCTTGACCCTTCATGTCATTTGATGACGTTTCCATCCAACTATCCACCCAACCTTGAAACAATCGACCTCCTTGATATCGAATCGAACGAGCTTGTTATTGACAATATACCACCACCTGTCACCAACCTATCAATACCCTTGAAAAGAAGTGGTAAGCTATGGTCTGATTATTCAATCACCTCCAAGTTAACCAAAGCCATCGTCTCGCAACAACAACAATGGCTACCACTCAATACCACACATCTAACATGCAAACTATGGGTTGTCTCCCCAAAATTTGTTTTTAGATTAGATGAAGTGATCAACCATACCAATGTTAGAGATTTATCTATCATTATTGACGATTTTTCTCACGTACCTTTCCCCACCTATCAATTTTCAATTCAAAGATTGGACAAGGACAATAATAATGTATTGGTATTGGAGAAACTGACAATGACAGGTGGAATCATCACTCAACGAAGAATATCAAAAAATCAACAACAACAACAACAACAAGATCAGCAGACACAATATCACCCCATCTATTTACATTTTGATCTTGGTGTTGTAACTACAACAACAAGTTATATTGAATTTGGATTGGATGGAAATTTATGTGTAAAGTCTGCAACTGGAACTATTATTGGTTGTATGGATACTCAACACTATTCAATTAAATGAATGCGATTGGTTGATGAGGGTCTCATCTTCCAAAATGCAAAGGGTGAAGTTGTATCTAGTTGGTTGATCCAACCATTGGAAGCACATGAAAAGTCACAATTTGTGATCAATCCTGGAAAATATCTTGAAGGAAAGAACCCAACACTCAACTATCTTTTGGAATATGATTTGGATGGTTCGACAGCTGGTGAAAGAGATAGAATGTATTTAACCAATGGTGTAAAATATTTCACTATTAATAATGCTGGTGACTTGTTACTTACAAGTGATTTGTCAAACTCGGCACTACTCAATTCATTCCCGTTCATTGCTGCACCTGACACTTTTATTTCACAAGGAAATCCAACACTTGGACTTCACAAGATAATGGTGATCTTTGTGTTTACCATGGTATGACTGGATCACAAACCTTGGCATGGTGTCTTGGCACCGTTGGACTTGTTGTCATGCCAGAACTGTTATCCAATCCATCACTTCGTGGTATTGCCTTGTTGTCTGATATAAATACGACTATCAAATGGACCCAGTGTATCCCGACTTCTCGAGATACCAATTCCAAATGCCCCTTGGTTCCTACATCAAGACTGGTCAGTCACTCTATCCCAACCGATTCATTACCAATGGTCGTGACTATCTCTTGCTCTCAACCGATGGAAACTTGAAGCTCTACGCATCAGTCCAACCATTCAGTCCTGGAGCCACAGCTTCATGGACCACCAACTTTGACACCTCCACTCTGACTGGTCCATTTGCACTCCACGTACGAGCAAGTGGACTATTTTTATATGATGGTGGTTCCAAAACATACTATGGAACCGTCATGAGATCATTTGACCCTTCAACAGAATACTTGGCCATGCAATTCTCTGAACCAACGCAAGTAGGATTCTTAATGGTCAATAGCATTGGTATTACAGGTGGTCAGTTCCTCTCAACCATCAATCGTGTCACCAGTCAGCCACTATTGACCAAAACCACTCCAGCTGGACAGCCACTCATCTTCCACTCTGGTCTTGTTCAACCACCACTTGACATTTCATTGAGACTAGAATTCTCATTTGGTTTCTTGCGCCTTGTATTTACAACAGTTGACCAAAGAGGATCATTTGACAAATTTGTCATGTCCGAGGCATACCAATCAGCACCACTCAACACCAATCCACAAGATGTATCATTCACCCAAAGGTTTGAAAACTCTCAACTCTGTTTTGAATCTTGTATTCTCGGTAGTAATTGTTATACTTGGTGTCCATTCTCCTCTGCCTATCAATACCAGCGATACACCATGTTACAAGGTTTCCCATCTCTTTTACTTTTAGATTCTAATTATCAAATTGCTTATTCTCTTAATCCAACTACAATTTTGATCACTCCTCAATTTTAAATAAATTTATTAAAAATATTTATTCAAAATACTACTATTAATTAAGTTATTTATTTATTTATAGAAAGATAAAACAACATATTTATCAAAAACAACCATAAACCAAACTTCTGCTGATATACTGATGTTTGGTGGCACAAAAAAGAAAAAAAAAATTTTGAATCTTAAAAAAGGTTGAAGTTGGGCTAAAATATCATAACAGTGGATGTAAAATGGTAGGAAAAAAAAATTTGTACATACAAGAAAAGTTCCACCAACTTTCTATTCATAATAATTTATTTATCAGAGATAATAACAATGAATACTATACAACAACAACAACAACAAAAAAAACAAAAACAAAAACAAAAACAAAAACAAAAACAAATACAACAACTAATAAAGAAAAAAAAGCAAAAAAAGAAACAACTTCAGCAGCAACAACAACAACAACAACAACAACAACAACAAAAACAAAAACAACAACAACAAAAACAACAAGAACCTAAAAGACATTTAATCAATCTACCACATTTAATAATCATAAAGATAATAGAGCAATTGGGATATGATGATGTTAGAACATATTATCCTGATAATAGTGGTATTATATGTCTATTGATGACATGTAAAACACTCTTTTTTACAATTAGACACAACTATCGGAACAGAATACAATTTGGTGGGAATGAAAGAACGTATCGCGAAACCATGATGCAAGAGGTTAATTTTTCTAATCTTTGTATCAAATCATTCCGGAATTTGTTTCAAAACCGATGGAATGATCGAGAACAAAGAAAAGATGGTGGCCATAATAATAAAAAGATAACAGTAAATCTCAAGGAGAGTGACTATGGTATTGAACCGACCGTTCCAAAAAAATCACTTGGTCGCTATGATGATCTCCTTTTCAAACCAAGAGAAACAAGTATTAGATTTCGATTGGATGAATATGTAACCAAACTTATGATCACTGGACTGTACGATAACTTACTACGAGATTATCATAAGAAAATTGGTTTTGACAACTTGGAAGAATTGGTTTTGCATCACATTACAGTTGATTCGATAGTAGATTTAAGTTGGTTACCAAAACATATACAGACATTGAAAATATGTGCTGTTTGCAAAAAAGAAAACACTTTACCTCCAATCTTTAAGTTTCCAGAGGCTATTACCAAGCTAGTTCTCTCATCTGATATTCGATTGGATTCAAACAGCCCAAGCCTTGTCTTTCCATCTTTGCTCACATCTCTCGATTTGGATTTAAGTAAGAATGATAACTTGCCAGTTAACCTCGAAAATCTGTCATCACTCACCAGCTTGTCTATGGACCGAAATCCTTTCCACTAGATAGATGCAAACATGCTTGTACATATATCACCATAACAAATATTTTATTCGATTGAAACTACCAGGTGTCAACAACATGACAAACGGGTGGCTTCCTAATAGTTTGGAGTATTTGGATATAGGTTCTATTAAAAGTACCGAGCCGATTCACCTTCCTCCTAGAATCAATACCCTCTCATTGGAAAGGGTAGATGTACTTCCAATTGGTTTCCTTCCATCATCGCTCAAGGTATTGAGAATCGAACAATCTACCGATTCTAGAATCGAGCCTGGAGCTTTTCCTGATGGACTAGAAACTCTTCGACTTCGTCATTACCGTGGTCCTCTCAATAGATTGGCTTTACCAAACTCAATCAAAACATTGGACATTTATCGTTGTAATATACATGATTTGGAAGATCTTGTTCTCCCAAACAAACTTGTGGAATTCACTTGTTCAGACTGGGAACACAGGAAAGCACCCAAACATTACCCACCATCTATCAAGACCATTCAATACTACGACTTAAAACAACCAATCTATTTTATTCCATCATCTTTGACATCATTTAGATGTTTGGCAGTACCAATTCATCCTGACGATCCGATTTATGGTCCAAAAATCAATTGGGAATTAATTAATAATAATAATAATAATAATAATAATAATAATAATAATAATAATAATAATAATAATAATAATAATAATAATAATAATAATAGTGCTCTACTCCTACCAAACAATTTAAAACATATTGATTTCCAAGTAAAATCAAAAGATATCACTATATAATATGGAAGGTGTTGGATTTAGTTTTAGAATTGATCAATTAATTAACCAAACAAACTTGGAATCATTTGCAATATCTATTCACCATTTCACTCAACAATTTTCAATCAGAAGATTATATAGTAATAATAGATATGTATTATTATTAACAGAAATTAATCTTTTTGGTGGTATCATCAAACAGAAATCCATAAATGGTCGTTTGAAGAAGAATAACTATCAACCGCTCTACATCAACTATAAAACAAGCACTTTCGATTATGATGATGAAGATATAAAAGTAATAGTATCCCTTAGCGCCCAAAATCCAAATCTTCAATCAGATGAATATTATGGTGACTATGACGAATGGAACATGTAAACAAAAACTACAATAATAAAAAAAAACTTTGTATATTATTTCCAAGATATTACAAGACTCAAACCCTTAAGGTTTCACGACATGTCTCTATTAAAGTTATCAAATTTATTACTATTACATATTATATCACAGATAGATAATGGAGATACAATATGTTTGTTAACTTGTAAACGGTTGTACGGTAATAGTAGTAGTGTTAGAAGATTGATTACATTCAAAGGTATTAGAGTTATCACTGACAAGGGTCAGATATCTCTTCCTTATCCGGTATCACAACAATTTCAAGCAACGGCTACTCGTTTCAAACTCAACACATTTAAAGATATATTGAAGAATAGTATATCTGATCAACATGTCGTACATCCAGATACAGAATATTTCGACGACTATCCTCAATGGATACAACAACGTATCTCATCCTCTACCGACAGAACTAGCTCTGACAAGAGTAGCATTACAACTGTTTTAGTAAACAATGACCAACCATCATCAACACTAAAATCACTCTACAACGACATACCATCAGTCGAGACTCTATTCATCGACGGTACTAAACAACAACTAGTTTTTAGTTACGCTTCAATCGATCTTGGTTCTATTGCACTGTTGCCTCGTCTCGAATATCTTTCAGTTTATTGTGCAAATCAGGTGAAACTTGGTCAACATACAACACTCAGGTCACTGAAACTAGACGTAGGCACCTCATGCACTCTCTCTGACTTGGGACTTAAAAGATTTGTATCACTGACCGATCTAAGCTTCAAGAATCATTTTGTGTCTAGTATGGGCCCAGATCAATTGCCAATCAGTTTGACGTCACTCACTATCAGATTGAACAAGACACCTCCACGAGATACATTCCATTCATTAAAGCCGCTTGTCAAACTCAAGATCACCTTGCAAAATGTACCAGGAGAGGTAGAGGCGCAAGAACAAGGATTCTTCGATCTCGAACATCTACGCAACCTCGAGACATTCAAGATTACCGACAACAACTACCACCCAACTGGTTTCAAGTACAGCATGGAGATTAGTATCCCTCCTTCCATCAAGACTCTTACAATCCGGTCCAATTGGGTGCGCATCCCATCACAGTGTGTCATGCCATTGTTGGAGACACTGCGTGTTGATGGAAGCATATTTATTGATGGAAGAGTCAGTCTAATAACATGCCAATCTCTCAAGAAAACTGGGTATTGATGAATGCAGAGTTATCCTTCCGGCCAATATCATCCCATCCACCGTCGAAAGGGTTAGAATAGAAAATTGTGCAAGAGACACAAATTTACTTGAACAAGTTGTATTCCCACCGTCACTGACTCACCTATCCATCTCTGGATACTCTAATAATATCAAACCACCTCAATCACTCGTTAAGCTAATGCTTGACTATGGATATAAAGCTTCAATCGTATTGCCTCGAGGTTTGAAAAAACTGTCTTATTGTAGTATTTACTACAAATGTCATTCGATGACATTCCCATCCGACTATCCACCCAATCTTGAAACAATCGATCTACTCCGACTCAAAGTGGATCACCTTGTTCTTGACAATATACCACCTTGCATCACCAAGCTATTGATGCCATTGACAAAAAGTGGTAAGCTGTGGCGCGGTGGTCCTCGATTCTACTCAATCACCTCTAGGTTGACCAAAGCCATATCGCAACAACCACAATGGCTGCCACTCAATACCACACATCTAACATGTAAACTATGGGGAGAATATGCAGTATTTGTGTTTAGATTAGATGAAGTGATCAACCATACCAATGTTAGAGATTTATCAATCATTATTGACAATTTTTCTAGTGGACCTCTCACAACCTATCATTTTGCAATTCAAAGATTGGACGCAGACAATAGAAATGTATTGGTATTGGAGAAACAGTCACTTACAGGTGGAATCATCACTCAACGACAAATAACAACAAACAATCAACAACAACAACAAGATGATCAGCAGACACAATCGCAGTATCATCCCATCTATTTACATTTTGAAACCCGCTCTGACTCTCCTTATGAATTGAAATGGAGTTTTGCCAAAGACAAATATAAATATGAATATATCAATTATGATAGCGATGATGACGATTCTTCTTGAAACAAAAAAAAATGGAAAAAACCATTCAATAAATAGTGGCCAGGCTTTAATTAACTTTGGGTTGGATTATCAAGATGATATCATTCTCTACCGTATTTCCACCAACTTGATTGTCTTATTATTAAACAAAAAGTATTTTAATTTTTGTTGAATTTTTGGCAAGAGAGAGATTTTTCGCCAAAGTTTATTCATCGAAAAAAAAATCATGAGTTGTGATTGTTTTAAAGAAAGAATAATGAATTGAACAACTTTAACAAAGTATCAGTTATGGCTACCTTTTTAAAACTTATTATTATTGATAGATAGAGAGAGAAAAGAGAGATGTTTTTTAAAACGAACCAACAAAAACAATATTTAAAAAGATTAACTAAACCATTTTACAATGATAGTAATGATGATGACCAATTCTATGACCCATCGAAATTAATATTACAACAACAATCTTCTTCTTCATCTTCTTCATCCTCTTCTTCACCTTCATTACCAGATATATTATGGAGAAAGATAATTGGATTAACAGATGATGTAGAATGTATAAAATATAGATTTAAAGAAGAGAATGATTTGATACCTTATATCATTTCGATTACTTACTCTACCGTTCAAGATCGAGAGTTGCAAAGACGTAAAGGAGTGTATGATACATCGGTTGTGAATCGTATCATGGCTGTCAATCAAAAGTATTCGAGTGTGTGCAGACGTTGGAGGGATGGTGTCACACCGTATATCGACTATGGTATTGTAGAGTTGTCGCAAAAGGCTGATCTAAGGTGCCTACACAAACTGGTTAGCAAAAAGAGATTGCGTATTGTTAGATCTCTGTTTCTCAACTTTAACTTTATGCAGTTGTCTGGTGATGACTCTAGAAAGGCTCTCGAACGTCTGAGTCAAATCTCCAAGGCACTGGTCATTGGCAATGAAAAGAGTCATAGTCTGTCAACTCTGGTCGTGCTAAAGACCACTACTGACGACTCTCGTCTGTGTGCCAGCAAGCTGATCGAGCTGACTCAAGTGTCCAACTTTATCGTACTTCCACTCCATGCCAACGAGAATGCATCGTTGTCTAGCGTACATGACGAGCAACCCGTGTATCACGCCAAATCACTCACCTCATTGCAGCTGTCGTATGTCGCTAACCGGTCGCTTGCGGGATACATTGATTGTGGCTGGTCACACTACACCGAGCATGGTGTCGGTCTCTTGTTGACCAACTTTTGTCTCAACCGTATGCAAATGGATGTTGACCAGTTTCAAAAACTCTGTAAACTCTTGGAACACTCTAAAACCATCACCAATATTGAAATATCGTCTAGTGTCTTGTCTGACAAGATCGTACATCTGACAGATGCACTTGCCAACCACACAACCGTCACTCGACTCTGTATCAGTGACAATGCTATCCGGTCGGCACAGCCTATATGCCAACTGCTGCGCGCCAACAAGATCATTCAACACTTGGACATTTCAAACAATGAATTGGTCACGCCCGGTTTTGGTGCAGAGTATGTACTCGAGACACTAATCGAAGAACTAAACCCAACCCCAAACCCTCTCTTGTCACTCAATTTGAGTCAGTGTGGAAAGATCAACACTGTACTCTTGGGAGAATACCTTTTAAAAGCACCAATGCTACAACATCTCGGTATACACCGTATAAAACAAGATAGTGAATCTACAGACGAACATTTTTTCGAGTCACTCGCTAGAAACAAGACCCTATTTTCAATTGACCTCTCTTATTTAAAGATTGGGTCTTCAGGTCAAGCATTTTTCAACTTTTTCTCCAACAATACAACACTTAAACGATGTGATCTCTCTTGGTCACTACAAGATGCTCGTGGTATTATCCAACACACATTGCTCAACAACAACACCCTCACCCACCTCAACCTCAGTCTCAACCAATTGGATGCATCCGATGGTCTGGCACTAGGTAATGTCCTCGAAAAAAATACTAGTCTTGTCCATCTCAACCTATCGGCCAATGTCATTGGATGGTCAGGTTGTGTCCACATTTTCAAAGCACTACGTCACAACTCTACCCTTACCCATCTCAATCTTCGTCGTAATCTTATTAAGGCTCCGGCTCTAAACAACAACGCAGACAAGGGTGTATTCTTTCATGCTCTTAATAATCTCCAGAATCATAGTCAATGTCGTCTCAAGTATTTGGATATTTCTGGTAATCATCTTGGACAGACGGCTAGTGAAATGGTCCTTGCCCTTCCATTCAACAACACCCTATACCATATCGATCTATCCAACAATCACATTGATACAAGTACTGGTCTCATGCTTTACGAAGTGCTAGAAATGAACAAAACCCTTGGTGTCGTCAACTTTCATGGTAATTTATTGGGTGGCTACGTAAGAGAATTACTCTTTGACCGTTATATCGAAAAATTCCCTCGATTCTTTTCCATTAATCTCAGTTTGGATCGTCAAAGTTTTGGTGAACCTTTGGCTTGGCAACATTCTTCAAGTCTTGTTACTTGGCCTTATTTAAAATTGTGGAAAATTTATTTAAAATTAAAATTGGGTCATAATATTTATCATTAAATTAAATAAATAAATTAAAAAAAAAGAAAAAATTCACAATTGGGGTAAACCTGACTTTTAGGATTACGATTTGATATTCTTTGAAATCCAATGCTACTAGTTTGGAAATGGAATAAAAAACAATAGGTTTTTTTTTTGTTTTAGAGGTTTTCCCTTTGAGGATTCAATGGAAATCAATAAAAATAGGTTATAAATTTAGCTATGGATGCAGAGAACAAGAAAAGCAAAAAAACGAGACTTGGCAGGGCTGGCCTGCAAAAAAACAAAAGATTTTGAATGATGCAGGGGTTGAACCTGCGACCTATTGGTTCGTAGCCAATCGCTCTTCCAACTGAGCTAAACATCCATTGACTCTTGTGTTTTTGGATATGTTTTTTTCAGTTGGAAGATATCGAGCAAATATTTTCTGAGTTGCAAGTGCCAAACGCACAACCGCAATAGACACCCTCTGTTAGAACTCAACTAATGAATAGTGAACGTACTCCAACAGACACCCGATTCACCCAGCCCCAATTTTCCATTACTTGTTTGATTAGACGATGACGAAGATCGTAACTAATCTTGATCCGATTAGAAATGAAGTCAATCGTCACCAAACGATCTCGAATATCTTAAACTAATTCAAAACTGCAAGTCGATACTATTTAAATGTCAACCTGGTCATGCATACTTGAAAACAATGTGCAATTCTCGTCTAAAGGAACAAGATTGGCGTCTCGATTATGGTACCATCCATGTAAACACTAGGTTAGCTCAACAATAATAATAAAGACAAATAATAAAAGTATATAGGAGAATAAAATAATGAATGATGCACATACGATCGTATAAGATCAAAGTAAATGTAGGATCTAGATGGTATCATTTTATATACAGCATACAATCTACTCCCATGTCCAAATGGAGTATTGTATAGCACCAGTCATTCTATTCTAGTCTAATCTAATCTATTCCATTATATTCTAATAAACTACGGTTGTTGACAGGTACTGACTTGGCAAGCACTGAATATAAAAGAGTATCGATCTACTCTGTAATAATTAATCGTAATTATATACACATTAATTATTATCTATCTATAATCCCCTAAACCTATCTACTGTCTAAAAGTATTATTATTTATCTATCATATATCTATATTATCTCTACCACTACATATATAAACATTCTACAGTAAACTGGTTTTAGACAATGCAATTCTTGGTTGTAGACGAACGAGTAATACTTACTAATCTTCAACAATCAACATGATAGTACTACCCAGTCATCTAGAGACACTCTTTGCTCATTACCTCTTCATCTTCACCAAAAGATCATAAAAATAATATATACTTGATTGTTAACAAGTAAACCAAAAACTATCAATACCCATTAAATGATTCAATAAAATCTTTTTTTTTTTTAAATTAAAAAAACATTATATTTATTATTATACAAAACCAACAAACTATTATTATTAAAATTAAACTATTTAGAAGATCTATTTAATTTTTCTCTCTCTTCTTTTTCTTTTCTCTTTTGAATGAGTTGGATGATTTCAGGAGTGTAGATAAAAGGTTTGGAATGTTTCTTGACACCTTCAAGCTCCACCCACTCCAATCTATCTCTTTCCTTTTCTTCATACACTGACAAGTCAGCATTCAACACATAATCGTCAAAGGTTAGTATTTCATCATGATTGTCATCGGCTCCCAATCTACTGCATTCGAGAAAGTATTGGAATTTGACAGCTGAAAAGTTTCCAACATGGCCTTGATGTTGGAGCTTGACCTTTTTGAGTCTTTCCAATTCGTTGATTTGTTGGTGGTTGAGTGTTGGGTCTTGACGAAGCACTTGTAATTGTTGGTTGATGGCGGCCAACTGTTGTGCATTTAATAGGTCTTTGTAGGCATTGACGGTTGCACAAGAGTTGAAACAGGCGCAAATCAGAACGACGTTGTCCAACGTGTATCCAAGCAGCGGATTGAGCCTCTCGACGGAGAGTAAGAGAGGATCGCCTTTTTTGGTAGACATCAATATACCGGAATAGTACCAACGAACCCTTAAAAATCCAAGAGAGATATCATACTGTAATACTACTTTACGAGACTCCAATCCATTGCGATGATCGTTGGAGCTTTTTGAGTTGAAAGTCTTTTTCTTAGCAACGATAGAAGATTTTGATTTAGAAATAATGATGTGAATACCTTTAGTTGGGCAGCGTCGAGTTTTGGTCCATAGTTTGCAAGGTATTTATCCATTTTGCGTAGCAACTCTTTGGTCCACTTTGCTGATGTATTCAGTTCTCTAGCAACACCTTCGACATTGTCGGGTCTGTAGACAATGCCATCATTGATTCTGTTGACACTAAACTGAATGTTTGATCCCGTAACTATTGCCATTCTAGCGCTCGATATTGCGCAGAAACCTTCCTGGTAGTCAGCGAGAACTAGAATCAACTTGTTCAAAAACACCGTCTTTCTTTGATTGATCCCTGTGTGAAATGTTTAGATCGATAGTGTAAAAAAACTCTGCCTCCATTCTTCTATTATTATCAAAATAAATAAATAAAAATTAAATTAAATTATTTAATAAAATAAAATTAATTAATCCAACTCTATTGTTTCTATATAATTTAAATATTTACTTGCAACTAAAACAGGTTTCAGGTTGATCACAATTACAAAATGGTACGGTTGGAATACCATATTTCTTTTCCAACATTTCTGTTTGGGAGATATACAAAGTTGGATCAATCGTTGGTATTTGTGATTGTGGTTGTTGGGTAAGAATGAATCTGGGCTTTTTTGAAAACTTTTGATCGATTGGACCAGACTGGCTTACATACATATATTCTGGTCTACTTGGAAGATGATTGGATGTATGTAGTGGTCTATTTGAATTTGAAGTCAAAAAAGGGGAAGAAGATAATTCATCGTCCACGATCATTGCGTTGAATGGTAATCCAATTGCTTCTCTAATTATTTCATTTCTCAAATGAAAATTGTTATACATTATATAAATATATAGATAAATAAATTTGATATAGTTTATATTATATTAAATTGTTACATTGTATTGTTGTTGTAGTATTGTTGTTGTAGTTGTTTTTTTTTTTTTTTTTTTTGAGATCAAACACCAATCAATCAATCAATCACATTTCAGCCAATCAATTAGTTTTTGATGTCAACATTTCTATTCAATCTTTTCTCTTTATCTATTATTATTATTACTACTAATTTTAAATACTTTGGTATTATTATTTAAAAAGAGAAAAAAAAAAGTAAAAAAGCATTAATTAAAAAAAAAAAAGACACTTGCTCTTTTTAAGATATCACATCCACATACAACAACCATACGACAGAAGAGGATTACAAAGTCGGAGGGCTCTTTGACCAAGAAGATGACAATTGGTCACTACAAGTTTGGATGTGGCACTGAAAAGAAAACTGCACTTCCTATTCTCATCAACTCTTCCTACCAAGACACCTTTGCGAGAACTTACTAGTTGATAGAGATCCGACCAATACCCAACTACATAGATACAAATCTGCCACATTCAAATTGAATTCTGAAACGTGTCACGTCCAATTAACAATGGAAATTGCTTCCTATCTATTGGTACCACTTAATAATAATAATAATTAATGGGACAATAAAATCGAAGAGGGAAAGTGATAATTAAATAATATAGTTTTATTACTAGTTATTTTTTAATTATCTTTTTTCAAAGATGACTTTGAATGGGATTGGTTGAAGTGTAATACCAACTGCACTATGATCAAGATGAATTGGTAGTCCATCAACAGATCTAATTTTAAATCCATATAATAGATTAGCACATAAAAGATATGATGCAATATCTGATAGATTGGAACCTGGACAACTTCTAACCCCAACACCAAATGGTAAGAAATGAGATGAATGGTTATCGTTTAGAAATCTTTCTGGCAAAAATATTTCTGGATCCTTGTAATAGCATTCATCGTGATGAACAGCCCAAACATTTTGTTGCATGATTGCTCCTTTTCTAATTAAATAGTCACCAACCATTGTATCTTGTTTACATTGTCTTGGGAGTGATAATGGTGCAGGTGGTAGAATTCTAAGAGTTTCCTTTATCACTGCATTTAAATAGGGTGTATTTTGTCTATCTGAAATCGTTATTTTAACATCACCATCATTCTTTTTTAATTGATACAATTCATTATAAACCTTTTCTTGAACATTTGGATTATTGACAGCCATCAAAGTAAACATTGTAAGAAATACTCCACTTGTATCAACACCACCAAGATAAAAATCAATGATTGTATTTACAATTGAAATCTCTGATCCTCCTTCTAAAATCATTTTATCCAATAAATTTCTAGGACTATAAAAAAAATAAAATTAATTATTAAATAAATAAATCTTTTTTCTTTTTTACATACTTTTTAGAATCCAAAGTTGATAATTGATAATCATAAAATTGTTTAATATAATTGAATAAAACCTTTCTTTCCTTTTCAATTTTTGAATATTTAAATTGGACTAGATTTGATAATAAATCAATACAATAGTAAATTGAAACTGGATTGTGAATAGTTAAAAATTGATCAAATAAATGTTCCATTCTTTTATATTCTTCTCCCATTTGATTTTGGTCCAAAGATAAAATTAAATTTGTATTAACATCCATTGCATATTCTCTAAATATTTGTTTTGGATTAATCTTTTGAAAAAAAAAAGAAAAAAAATGGTTAGAAAAAAAGTTTCTATAAATAATCTTTTTTTCTTACAAGACAATTTGAATGATTAATAAATTTGTTGATAGCTTCATTACAAATATTTGTAATGGCAGGATAATAGGATTTTAATTTTAGATTTGAAAATTGACCACCCAACAATTCTTTGTTTCTATACCAATTCTCTGAATGTGATCCTAAAACACCAGTTCCATGACCAGTCAAAGACCCAAACACCTTTATACTAGGTCTATCAATGAAATTGTCAATATTCTTTACCCATATTTCTTTAATATATTCCGGATCACTAACATTGACAACATAATTATCACCTACCCACATTGCAAATACCTTTCCATACTAAATCAAAGTAAGGATTAATATAAATCAATTTTTTTTATCCTCTTTCAATACAAACCTTTTTTGACAATTTAACATAAGAAGTTAAGTCTCTAGGATCAAGGCTTAAAAGTGATCCAATAAATGGTAGGTTAAACTTTGGCATTGGAGGATCAAAAGTAGAATACAGTTTATTCTTTTTTATCTATGTTTGAATAATATATTGGTTTGGTTTGGTTAGAGGATTGATAAAGATTAAAATTTAAAGATCTGTACTTACAAAAGAAAGGATACAGTAAACTAGAAAACTAATTAAAATTATATTGACTAGAAAATTCATTCTTGAAAGATAACTATTCTAATTAATTAATAAATAAATAAATTGATTTCAGAATATGATCTATACTGTATGACAGGGTCTTTACAATATTGTAATTATTTTTTGTTGGTTGAACGTTTTAAATCTAAACTGTTCGTCCGAACAGATCAAAAATGTGGTTCACCATTGGTTTGTCAAAACTGGTTCCCACTAAAAACAAAAAAGGGGGGGTGTTATTAATTAGATCTACACAAACGATAGAAAACCAGACCACTCTAAGGGTCTAACTGTTTTAAATTAAATTATTTTTTATTATTATTTCTTTTTCTTTTTCTATCTATCACGATTGAATAAAACTTTACGTTCTTCTTCGGTGAATGGTTTCTTTGGATCTGCAGCTTGACTTTCTTGATAATATTGAACGTAAGCTTTAACAGCGTCGAGGTTGGCAAGACGAGAATGATATTCAAAGAGTTTGGGGAATTGTTCTTGAGTAAGTTCTGGAATCAATGTAATCATCTTTGACCATGGGTAGATAGCAAGATCGGCAATTGAAAGTTCATGACCTGCGATGAATGGGTGTTTAGAAAGTTGACGTTCAAAGAGATGAAAGAGACGAGACACTTCGGTAAAATGACGTTTGATTGAATACTCTATCTTTTCAGTAGCAAATACATTGTAGTGATAGTACTGTCCGAGATTTGGTCCCAATCCAGACATTTGAAGGAATACCCAATTGAGTACTTCATAATGAGCTTGTGGATGGGTATCGACATTTGGTAATAATTTACCCTTTCCATAAGTCTTGGCAAGATACAAAAGAATGTTACCTGATTCCCATAGTGTCAAAGGTTCACCAGTTTCACCAGTTGTATTTGGATCAACTAATGCTGGAACTAGATTAAAGTTTAAAAAAAACAAAAAACAAACTTGTTAGGGGAATGAAAGAACAATTTCTTTTAATATTTTTGTTTAATTACTTTTACTTGTTTGGATTGATTTTAACAAAGGCATCTTCAAATTGTTCACCCTTTTTAATATTAATATTAATAGTTTCAAATGGTAACTCTAATAGTTTTAATAATATGAAAACCTTTGCTCCGTTTGGAGTATTAAGAGTATAAAATTTAATTGGTTTTAAAGTTGTAGTAGTTGACATTGTTGTAAATAATTAGAGTATTAGATGATTTAAATAATTGAATTGATGATTTATTAAATCGCATCAATTGAATGTATAAATAGACATCTTGGAAAATAAAATTAAATTAAAACAATTGCTTAAAAAGAAGAATGTCATTCTTCTTACAAAAAAAAAAACAAAAATCGGGATTGTTTAACCCCGCGGATCAGGAGCCAGAAGAGGAATACTGTTCGCATGCTCTGGTTGATGAAAACTCAAAGAAATTTGGTTCACCGAAACATGATGAACAATCCTTTCATAATATTATAATATCTATCATTTAAATTATGTGTTCATTTTTTAATAAAATGATTTCTTCTTCTTTTTACTTTTTATTATTATTTAATTTAATTAATTATTTTATTATTTATTTATTGTTGTATCATAACAGGATTTGAATTTGAACCAGGAGGAGCTGATGTATTCATATTATTATTATTTGTATTACCTGTTTGTTGTTGTTGTTGTAATTGTTGTAATTGTTGTTGTTGTTGTTGTTGTAATTGTTGTTGTCTTTGTTGAAGTAATTGTAATTGTTGTTGTTGTTGTAAATAGAGAGGATAGAAATGTTCACGAATCAATTTCCATTTACCACCACAAAGAGGACATGCCAAAGCCCAACGATCAGACCAAAAGAGAGCCGTCTTTCTAACCAATGTCATTCGATGGCATCGCGTACATTTTTTAATTGGTTTTTCGACCTTTGGTGCAATGGGAATTCGTGTTATGCAGTCGTGAGCCAATCCAACAATTTCTGTACACTTTGATGCATATTTAAATCCATTGTCAATGATTGGTATTGTTGCTGATGATGACGAAACTGCTAAATGGTTGTTGGTAGCTGTACTACTTAATGAACTAGTAACATTGGGAGATGATACAACAGACAGTGATGATGTTGCGGATACGGCAGCAGCAGCAGTTGGAGTCATGGGAGTAGTTGGTTTGATTGGATTTTGGTCCAAGAAACCGTCAAGAGGAGGGTCGAGATCCAACAGCGAAAATGAAATGTTGAGATGTGTTTCATTTACCTCTCTCAACAATTGTTGTGGTACTCTTTGTGAAATGATTCCATTTAGACCTTTGATAAACTCTTCAATTTTACAACTATCAATCGATGTTAGGTAAGGTAGTTGAGAAGTATTTGAACATACTGGAATGGGATTACCATTTGCATCAGTACCACTAGAATTACTAGTCTCTGATGAACCTTGTCCTCCACCGCCACCACCATGATTCGAGGCGATCCAAGATAAATTATTTTTAAGGAAATAATTGACCATTGCCAATTGACGTTCTTGACTAGGATCATTGAGTAACAGTGCCATCAAATCAGTTACAAATGCACCATAAATCTCTGATACTGCCTTTACATCTGTTTCTTTATATTTCACTTTACTACTATCATTTGGATTCTTTTCTTTATATGCTCTTGAATAATTTAATAATTCACTCAATGATAATAATATATTTCCATCAAATAATAAACTTACCTAAAAATAAATAAAAAAAAGTATATAAGTAAGTTATTTTTGGTTTCTTTTTCCTTTTCTTTTTTCTTTTTTTCTTTTTCTTACAAGAGGATGATAAGTTTTAGCTTTTTTAAATTCAATAAATTGAAGAGCATAAAAATTATCAAGTGATTGAAATTCTGTATCGGTAGGGATGGCTGAAGTCCATTCTGATCTTGTGAATAAAATGTGCAGATAGACAACATTTTTGAGGAAAAAGTAGGTAAATTCAATCACCCAATCGATGAGGAACGACATGTTTTCCTTGTCTTCTGACGGAGCCGCTTGTTCACATACTGGTTGTAATGAACTACGAATAGTATCCAACATGTAGTGAATATACATTTTAGATTGACTATCAACAAACGCAATCTCCATTCCAACTACCATTCTATAAATCGTTGATTTAATTGTTTCCAATGTTGATCTATTACATAATGGTTGATTTGTCAAAACTATTTTTCTATTACTATTATTACTATTACTATTAGGTGAAGTTGAACTTGTTGATGCTTCATTATTATTACTATTATTATTGTTTGATTTCTTTTGATCATTACAATCAATTGAAAGTTTTGCAATGACATGTCTAAATGTATCAAAATGTGATGGAGATGAAACTGAATAGATACGAAGGATGACCAATATATCCCACCAATCGGCGGTACGAAGAATAGACAATTGGAAAAGATGATTTAACCATTGCGACAAGACTGGTTTGGCCAATTGTGTGCATGGTACTGCTTGGATGTGTAGATGGTTGTCATTGGTCACAGTGGCAACCAAACATCCATTTGGCGATGGTATACACGACACTGGTGTAATGAATGGCAGTGGTGTTGCCGATGGTGGCGATGCCGTTGCAACAACAGTCGACATTGGTAATTTACTTTTACACAATGGTTGAAAGGTGGTACTTGAAATGGCTTCAATCTCTCCACCATAATAACATAACCATATAATCGATGTCAAATTTGAATAATGTATTGTTGATACATTATTTTGAAATGAAAAAATATTACCAATATGACTAGTACTGGTATCTTTTTGATTTTTTTTAGTTTCTGTCTTTTTTGATGATTTACCAAATAATAATTTTTTTGTACATGTCCATTCAGTCCATTGAGTTGAACTGTCTTTTCCAAACATATCAATGATTTGTTTGTGTTGTGATGACTGACCTTCCCGTCTCTCCCAACGATACAATATCGAACTATCCATTCCCTTGCTCAACACATTGATTGCATTGGGTGAATTGTCAAAAATAATCCTTTCAATTTGTTGATTCTTTTTACTTTCAATTAATATTTCCTCTTCAAATATAATATCATTTAAATATATTATTGATGATTGAAATAATTGTCCAACTAAAAAAAAAAATTAAAACAATTAAATAATTAAATAATTAAATAAATAAATAAGTATAAAGTATTTCTTTCTCTTTTCTATTCTATTCTTTTGTTTCTATTTACATTTTGTATAAATATCATAATTTAATTGATGAATTGAAATATTATTTCCACCCATTGATTTTGAATGAATTGCAATTAAAATGTTTTCATCTTTGAATGAAATAATATCGGCGCAATCAATAGTTGAATAAGGTGACATTTCAAAATCCCTCATTAATATTTCTTTCCATTTTTGTTCAATTAAATTGTATGTTATTAATATAATCTAAATATAAATAAATAAATATTAGTATCCTATAATTAATTATTTATTTATATTTATATATTTACCTTTCCTTCTTTTGTTATAATTAATAATGATTGAATAATGATTTCATTTGAAGGATTAATTGAATTTTGTTTAATTGGTGGAATTGATGATTGACTATTATTATTATTATTTGATGTTGATGATGATTCGGTTTCATTATTATTATTAGTATTATTATTATTATTATTATATTCATTATTATTATTTGGAAAAGGTATTGGGTAATAAGAAGATTTGATTGAAATGAATCTACAAAGTAATAGAGAGGGATAATTCAATGTTTCTATACATTCCCATTCATCGATTGTATCTTTTTTACGCCATAGACACACTTGACTACTTAGATCTGATGATAGTAGCAATGGTCCTTGTTGTGTACTCCATTCCAAATATTTGATTTGTTCATGATTGGTTTTAATTGTTATATATTCATGTGGATAATCTGCTCTAACTATATAAATGTCTGTTGTAGTTGTACTATTATTTGATTGTTGTTGTTGTGTTGATTGATCTGTTGTTGTTGTTGTTGTTGTTGTTGGATTAATAATACTATTTCTTTTATCTGTATATTTTGATGTACTATTGCTATTGCTATTGCTACTACGACCACTATGTTGATTAGTTGTAAATGCAATAAGATTATCATTTGACCATGCAATCAATTGAACGGCACCTCCAAGTCTATCATTGTACAATGATGGAATATCACGTGCACCATCAAATGTATTAGAACTTGCAATTCGGTCGTTACTCATGTCCCTCTTGATAGACAATAACGATAAAGGATCATCATCATTCAAATCACTATCTGTCTCTATTATATCTTTATATAATCTTTTCTTTGTTGTTTGTTTATTATTATTATTATTCTTTACATTATTATTATTGGTTGATGTTGTTGTTGATGATTTAGTCAATGTTGATGGTGATACAACAGTTGAAGTAGATGGTGTTTTTAAATTATAAAGTATAGATGATGTAGATGTAGATGAAGATGAAGATGGTAAAGATGAAGATGTTGATTTATCTTTATGTTGGTTAACAAGTATTGACCAAACTGATTCCATCATTAATATTCTCTATCTATCTATCTATCTATCTATCTATCTATCTATCTATCTATCTATCTATCTATCTATATTTATATTGGTCTCGTCGTCGTTGTATCTATGTAAATACTAATTCATCTATTATCTCTATCTCTCTTCTCTTTTACTCTTTTACTCTTCAATTAAAATAATAGTCAAAGTGTGTTTAAAATAGATAGATAATAATAAATGAGTCTAAGAAAATGAAGAGGAGTAGCTGCAAGTTCATGAAAAAGAATCCTTTTTTGGGTTTTAGCAGCTGTATAATGTGTTAATGGCAAAACCTATAATTATTTGTTTTTTTCCATGAGGGGGTTGCAAAAAGAGTAGAACCCTTCCTATTAATCATTATTTTATATGAACGAACTACATGAATCAAGGTGTCGTGCTGCACACATATGCAAGGATGGTTCTTGTGTCGTAGCTTAAAAACTCACTTATCGACTGGCTGCTGGCCAGTCTGCTGTCCGACTGACTGATCACAAAGGAAGAGAGGAGAGGACACGCCAAACACTGTCTTGCTTTTGCTATTGATGATCATTATTTTTCTTATTCAACCACAACAATTATCACTTCTGGGCCATGTTCTCTCTTTTTTTACTAATCGTAACCGACTTATTTTTTTCATTAGGTTTGTGACCACTCCCCTGATAGAGTAGATATTAATATCAGGTGTGACTCTATAGAATGTAATTGTTTCTTTTCAACATCGATGTGGCTATTCTTATGTGTGCAGAGTATCATTATTATCATTGGTCAGTATGCATGTGTACCATTTTTTATTGACAACTCGATCAACTGACACTTTTTTTTCTGTACTTGTTCGTTTTTTCGTATTTCTATTCCCATGACCGACTGACCAGTTTAATGATTCATAGACGACGATTCATACACTGAAAACGGCAATCAATATCATAAATGGCTTCAAACTAGCTTTCCCAATTGTCAGTTACACGTGTAGTTCACCGAGACTACGCGAGTGTCGCATGGAGCCTAGAGCTGGGGCCCGATGGATCAACGGGGTGTATTACTACTCTTTTGATATACCGGGATCCGCACATCTTGCTCAACCCAATCTTATATTTTAATTTAAATGAAACAAACAAACAAACCACATATATATATATATATATATCTAAGGATGATATCAATATCTTGAGCTAATTTGAACTGTGATGTCTATACCTCACACCTTCAACTTGTCCATACTTACCAGTTTAATGTTTCATTGACGACGATTCATACACTGAAATCCTCAATCGATATCATAAATGGCTTCAAACAATAAATCAGAATTAATTTAGAATAATATATACAAAAAAAAAAAAAAAAAGAAATTATTTAGTTATTTTTGTCTCACAGACAATACAAATACAATACAATATAGTATTATAACACTTTCAAATCAATCAAATGCAAGTCAAAGAGTATGAAGAGATTGTTAACGCTGTCGTCGTTGTTTCTTAGCACATGCAATGATGATCAACAAGATTCAAATGAACAAGAAGAAGAATGTACAAAGGAGATAGATCAATTTATTCATAATGGTAAGCTATATCAATCTCTATCTATCTATCTTTTGATGTCATTATATATATATTAACTATTATTATTACTTTTTAAATTAGAGCAACAAAGTAAAGATGATCACTATCATCCATTATACAATTATAATAAGGGACAAGTTGAATATTCATTACCATGGCCGATCATTGGTAGAATATTGGATTTGGTTTGGTCGTGGTCGTCTATTTGTACATGTTACTATAGTGACCAATCAATTAAAGCACTGAGGGCTCAAAGACTTGACCCTACTCGATTTGTCTATCACAAGAGTACACCAAGGAATCAATCATTGTGGGATGTCTACAAAGAGTCAAGAATGAAGTGTCCAATGCATTCGTATCACTATCAGTTGTTGAATGATCGGATTGTTGTGCCATCAACAACAACAACAACAACAACAACAACAACAACAACAACAACAACAACAACAACAACAACAACAACAACAAATATATTCATCGATGCTTTATATTTGTTGAATGGTCACCGTGACCGATCATTAATGATCGAGGAGGATATTGTCAACATTACTTTAAATGATAAAAAGAGGAGATGGAGGTATCAACTTTTAGGTATATCTAAAAGAGTACATCGATTCCTATCATCAAAGTATTTGACTTGTTTAGTTATTAAACCAACAACAACAACAACAAAAGCAGCAGAGTCAGATTATTGGAAACACCTAAACAATCCATATTGTCCAATTAAAGATATAAGGGTAGTCACCTTGGTAGATACATTAAAGGATGATATTCCAACAACAACAACAACAACAAAAGCTACTACTTGTAATAGTATATTCAACTCTGTAGATAAACTAAAACTAGACAACTTTTTAGTCAAACAACACCATGTCAAAGAGTTGCCTCAAATATTCGGACATGTCAAATCGATCAACGTCAAGATAACAACAATGGCCGTACCAAAGAGAGATTACTCTCAACAATTCCTAATAGGTTTTAATAATCTCACATCGATTAATTTAAGACTATTTCGTTCAAACTTGGATGTATTTCTAGAGACACTATCAAAAAAGACAACTTCAACTTCAACAACTTCAACTACAACTACAACATTATTAGTAACCAAACTTTTACTTCCAAGTAGATGTATATTTATAGAGGTTAATGAGAAATTAGCCAATACTCTTTTAAACAGTAATATTGTACCGCCACAACAAATGCCAAACCTTGAAATATTTCATTTAGAGGATTCATCACTTGGTAATACTATCAATAATATTCCAAAGATTTTTAAATTGGTAGTTCACTGTTCATACTCTGAAATGAAATCATTTACCGATTACATTCCAACAACAAAAGATTTCAGAGTCATTAAATTCAAACCTAACCCATTTAAGCTACCTAGAACCATCTCATATTAAAGAAGGGTTTAGTGAATTAAATGTTTACAAGGTAGTGATTGACCATAACTTTGAAATCACCGATCTAATGATCAATAGTTTTGCAGCGTGTAGATATCAATACCATGGATCAACATTTAAACAATCACCAACTAGACAATTTACATTTACAAAATCAAAAATTATATTACCAGAAATTATAATAGAACAACCAAAAGAAGAAATAAATGGATCATAAATAATTTAAAAATAATAATATTAATTAGATATTTACAAAAAATTGATTGGATTGATTTTTTTTCGTGATCATCGTTTAACAAAGAGATAGCAATAGTCATTCATTCATTTATATCCTTTATCTACACTTGGGGTTTGTGTGGTCGTTTCGTTCTTTTGAAGACACAAAAAAAATACCTTTGGAAAAAAGTTACACCAACTTGGGATACAAAGAATGTTTGTTTTTTTTATAAGTAATATAATTTAAATATTGAAGTTTGAATACTATCACTTTTTTATTTTATTTAATATTAACAGCTACACAAACTATTCCTTTTTTTTAGAAAGTAATGATGGTGACTGCACATACACAGAAGATGAGTTGAAAAGTAAACTTAAAAAGGATTTAATTGTGATTTGTGGATCATTGGATATAAAATCATCAATGAGTAATACAAAAGATACAATCATTCAACGAATAATGGATACACAAAATAGACGATTGGAATTGAAAAGTAAAATGGTTGATAATAATCCTTTATTCGATTATAATAAGGGACAACTAGAATATTCATTACCATGGCCAATCATTGGTAGAATATTGGATCTGGCTTGGACAGAATCAACTATTTGTACGTGTTACTATATTGATCAATTTGTCAATACTTTAAAAGTTGAAGAACTAGATGAACCTGAATAGTATGAATACGATTAGGATGATCCAAAGTATCTATCATTGGTGAATATGTACAAAGAATCGAGAATGAAATGTCCAGTGCACTCAGACGGAGATATACAATTTTAAGCGTATCTAAAAGAGTACATCAATTCCTATCGTCAAAGAATTGTACAAACCTTGTATTCAACCCCGATACAAAGGCTTGGGAACACTTGACCAACCAATACTGTCCAATCAAAGCACCCAAGTCTGTCACCTTGTTGAATACACTATATAGTCTACCTCCAGGTACAGCAACGTGTACTTTCAGTTCGGTCGAGAAGCTCAAGCTTGACAACTACTATAGTCTCAATGCACACAATGTCAAAGAATTTCCTAAATTCTTTAAGAATATCAAATCGTTGACAACAACCAATTATGGAGGTTTCATATTGGATTTCAAGTATCTCACATCGCTCAACTCAATTCAAAAAAAGTTTGAATTTACCATAACTTTGAAATCACCGATCTAATAATCAATAGTTTTGCAGCGTGTGTAAAGAAAGAATTAAAAAGAAGACTTAAAAATGATTTAATTGTGATTTGTCAATCATTGGATATAGAATCATCAAATAGAACAAAAGATTCAATGATCAACCAAATAATCAATGTACAAAATAGACTTAAAATGGTTGATGATAACCCTTTATTCGATTACAACAAGGGTTAACTAGAATATTCATTGCCATGGTCAATCATTGGTAGAATATTGGATCTAGTTTGGACATCTATTTGTTATTGTATTGGTGATGGAGAGACCAAAGAATCAAAAACAATGAAATCATCATCGTCATGTCCAATACACTCGTATCAATATTGTAACTCGTCGCACACTGTTGACATGGAATATGAAACAAAGAGTTGACGTTATCAACTATTAGGGATATCTAAAAGAGTACATCAATTCCTATCGTCAAAGTACTTGACTCGTTTATCCATCAAGCTCAATGAAGAGTGTTGGGAACACCTCAACCATCAATATTGTCCAATCAAAGCACCAAAGGTCGTCACCTTGTATCGTACAAAGTATTCTATCACCGATGCTCCAGACACTTGTATTTTCAATTCGGTGGAGAAGCTCAAACTCGACCGCTTCCCTCTCAACCAAACAATGCCACGACATTGCCCAAAGTATTCAAGCATATCAAATCGTTGACTGCCGAGATGCCAGCGTATGAGGTATCCCATGAAAACGAGGCCAATATATACACAGAGCAATTCATAACAAGCTTCAGGAATCTCACATCGATCGACCTACGATTCTATAATTTGGGTTTACTATCAAAGACAACGACACCAATAACAAAACTTTTACTTCCAAGAGGGTACAATGAAACGAGTGTCAGCGGGACACTGGCCAACAGTATTTTAAACAGCAATATTATACCAACACACCAAATGCCAAACTTGCAAACATTTCATGTAGAGTATACATCATCATCATCCATTTCATTTGATGAAGATACTTTGGTTACTAGATTAGTGGTCCACGATTCATTTTCTAAAATGAAATCATTAATCAACAATATTCCACCAACAGTCGACTTTATTCAATTCAAACCTACTTTTGGTGAATTGCTCCGTCTCACATCAAAATTGAATGTGGCCAAGTTAACAATTGACGATACTGGTGACATCCCAGAGAAAGTAATCAATGCTTTTGCCTGTGAAGCATATCGATATGAAACAATTCACATTTACAGAAGTGCTAAACACAGTACCAACAGAATAATAATAATAATAAAGTATCTCTTTTATTTATTACCATTTTCAATATTTACAATTCAATTAATATTTAATCTTGATTCAAAGTAAATGAAAATAATTAATTAAATACACAAAGTATTCTTTTCTTTTGAAGCTAAAAAAAAAGATCATGACATTCATCGATTAATACGATCACTTCAAAAATGCAACAAGGAGATGATATTATTACTAAAAGGAAAAGAGATAATCAAGAAACACAACAAGACGATGGAGAAGAATGCGATTTAAAAGAAATAAAGAGAAAGAAGGAACAACCAGATAATGAGGAGCAACAACAACAACAACCTCTTGGGAATGGTAAATAATCATCATTGGAGAATAATCATAATTAATTGATTTCGTTTATTTATATATTAACACCTTACCTTAATATTTCTTTAATAGAAAGTGACCTATATACAGAAGATGAATTGGAGAGTATACCAGAAAAGGATTTGATTGTGATTTGTGAATCATTGGTTATACGACCGACAGATAGAAATGAGATAGATACAAAAGATTCAATGATCAAACAAATAATCAATGTACAAAATGGACAATTGGCAATCAAGCGTAAAATGGTAGATGATAACCCTTTATACAATTATAATAAGGGACAAGTTGAATATTCATTACCATGGCCAATCATTGGTAGAATATTGGATCTAGTTTGGACTGGAACATCTATTTGTTATTGTATGGGTGATGAAGAAAAGAACAAAGAATCAACAACAATGAAATCATCATGTCCATCTCACTCGTTTGAATATTATACTGCGTCGTCTAATACTTATGGGCATAAATCAATGAGACGGTGTTTTCCACTTTTGGGGGTATCTAAAAGAGTACATCAATTCCTGTCAAAGTACATGACTCGTTTATCATTCAAGCTCAATGAAGAGTGTTGGGAACACCTCAACAATCAATATTGCCCAATCAAAGCACCAAAGGTCGTCACCTTGTACGATACAAAGTATGCTATCGCTCAAGCTCCAGACACTTGTATTTTCAATTCGGTAGAGGGGCTCAAACTCCGTTTTTTTCCTCTCAAATCACACCAGATCAAGAAATTGCACTTATTCTTTAAGGATATCAAATCGTTGACTGCCGAGACACCAATGAACGAAAGATTCCATGAATATATGTCCAATGTGTTCACGAAACAATTCATAACAGGTTTTAGGAACCTCACATCGATCAATTTGCGAATATATCATTCTTGTTACACTGACCTAGGCAAATTCTTCAGTATACTATCAAAGACAGCAACGTCAATAACAAAACTTTTACTTCCAATGGGATATACACAAGCAAATGTCAAAGGGGCATTAGCCAACAGCATTATCAACAGCAACATTGTACCACCAAACCAATTGCCAAACTTGCAAACATTCCATGTAGAGCCACATACATTTTCACCCATTTCTTTTGATGAAAACTCTTTGGTTACGAGATTAGTGATCCACAGTTCATTTTCTAAAATGAAATCATTTATCAACAAGATTCCACCAACAGTCGACTGTATTCAATACAAGCCTACTTATTGTGAATTGATCGGGCCCTCCGACATTAAAGGATTAAATCAATGGAATGTAGACAATTTAATAATTGACGATAAAAATAGCAAAATTACAGAGATAATAATCAACGCATTTGCCTCTGAAACATATCAATATAGTATAACAAAATTAAAAAGATATTTCAGACGATACACATTCACCAAAGTTCGCAGAGACTCTGCGCAACCAACAGAATAGTAATAAAAAGATTCTAATTTATTAACATTTTCAATACTTTTTCAAATTGGTCATAACTATTTACATTAAATAATTCCCTATTTAAAAAAAAAGATTAATTTATATAAATATGATATATAATTGTATAGTTTTTATCGTACCTTAATAAATTTAATTTGGTTGTTTGTAACTTTGATTGATAATAATCGGCCAATAAATCCTTAAAGTTTGGTAAATATTTACTAGATACCATGAACAATTCGAAAATAACCTTTGCATATTGTTCTTGTGAATTTTGGAAATCTTGAGTTGATCCAATTAAAGTATCCAATAATTTAATCATCAAATCAAATAATAAATTCTTGTCAAAAAGAATAGATTTTACAGTGTCTGATGATTTCTCTACAATGTGAAGATAGGTTGACAATGATTCTAATGCATTCTTATGAATGGTTGGACTTGAATTCATTAAACAACTTTCTAATAATTTAATATATGAAATTATAATTTCATTTGATATTGCTAAAATAAATAGTAATAATTAATTAATTTGATTTCTTTTTTCTTTTTTTTTTTGTCTTTCTTATTCTTACAATTAATTGAATTTGTTAAAATGATTGAAAAAAGAGTCCAAATTCTATTAATTAAACCTTGACCTTTGGATAGAGTAGATTGAATGATTGCATCGGCCAACGATGGGAGTAGGAATGTTTTGGTTAAATATTGTGAAATGTGTATAGGAAGCAATGGTCCAGTCTTTTCAAATACAACCGTCATGAATTGTAGAATACGTGGAAGTAGTTGAGAGACTGATGATGGTGTAGTCAACGATTGGTCTTGAACCATGACTGAAAAGAGTGGGATCAAACACTTTTCAACAAAGGTTTGACTTGCACTATTATCCGATTGCAAATTAAAGTTACAATTACTCTCTACCAAATTGATGATTGCCTTTTTCACTGCCAACTGGTGACTTTGATAGGATATATTATCACTCTTTTGAATAATCGACCATTTATACAATTCTAGTAAATGTGGTAGAATAGTATACAATTGTTGCAAGTATATAGGTCCTGTTGATTTTGCCAATGCATTATTAAATGATAATATATTAACTATATGATTTGACCATTCTCCAATCCCTTCTAAATTTAAATTTTCAAATGATTTTGATACCAACTAAAATATAAATAAAATAATAAATAAAAGAATAAATAAATAGGATCATCTATTTTTTGTAAATATTATATTTTTTTACCAATTGATTTAAAGGATCAATAATTGATGACCAAGTTGATGTTGGTAATTGATTTGGATATGATTTTAATAAAACTCCAATACTTTCAAATAAAATATTTTTCTAAAACAAATAAAATTTAATTAATAATTAATTCTTTTCTTTTGTCTTTCTTTTTCTACTTACTTGATAAATTGATAATTTTAAATTATTTGAATAAATGGTTTGATTTATAATTTCATAAAATTCATTATGTTCTGTATACAAGTTTTGACCTTTTCTCTTACAAATGACCAACAATGTTTGAATAGACATTTCCAATAGATTTGATCCAGTACCGTTTGCTGGTGATTGATTGATCCAACTGATCAATAGATTGAGGAATGGTAATACTTGTGTGTTTGGTGATTGCAAATAGTTTGTTGCATTTCTAATCATAAACAATATGGCCAAATACACCAATTCCTTGTATTCAGCTTCAACTTTATATTGGTAGAGATTGTCCATCAATTGTCTAGTCTTTTCAAATTCTACAAAATTTAAACATTTTGATAAACACCAACTAATTGAACTAAATTTATTTGAACTAAATGCTTTTTCCTAAAGTAAAAAAATATAAAAAGAATTAATAAAATAAATCTATAACCTAAATATTATTTAATTTCATACACTATTTGTTATAAATTTTTTAGTTAGATTATTATAAACCAATGTTGGATAAGATTGAGATAATTCAAGGATTGTAGTTGAAATTAAATTAGAGAGGGGGATCCATTCTTCTGATTCTGAATCATCAACATCTTCCTTGTACAAAATACCTCTACAAATAGAATCTCTATTTTCAATTAAATCCAAATCTTTTAATTTTAAAATCTTGTAAATCACTCTACAAATTGGTTGTACCAAATCTTGATAAAATGGATCTGAATTTATAAAACATGGATTCTCTTCTCTTGAAAACTAAATAATAGAAACAAAAATAAATAAATAATTGATCATTTAAAAATATTTTTCTTTTGTTTACATACGTTGAACTTCCAAAATTCCAAAGTAGGAGTAAAAATAAGTGGATCATTAGACCAAGATAATAATGTGATATAGGTATGAGCAAGTAAGAGTGATTGTGAAATGGCGGGTATTTGTTTTTGTTGTTGTTGTTGGTTGAGGATAGGTGTAAATGATTTGACCAATTGAATTAATAGTGAAGAGATGTTGGAGAGCAATACACCATGTTTGACGTAAAATGTATTGACCTCTTTAAATGTTTTGGGAAGAGGAATCTCTGACAGTGTCTTGACGATATTGGTGAATATCTCTGGTACACTAATCGAGAATGTTGGGTTGGTGGGTAGGGCACTCGAAAATACATTGACAAACTCGATCAATGCGAGGACACTTGCCATACGACACTGTCCAAACACAGTGGGCTGAGTCAGTAGTGGGAATGACTGTACGAGTAGAGAAGGGTCGACCAACTCAAACATCGATGTCAAAGTACCGATAATATCATTTGACAAAGTCGGTGAAGACGCACCTACAATTTCAAACACATCTCTGCATTGTAAAAAGATAGTATTGAATACTGTCAGTGCACTTGCAGTCGTCTCTTTTGTCATTGCATTATTGTCCTTGTAATAGGATGCCATGTCCTTGTAGATTTGTAGTAATGTTTCAATCGTACTATTCTTTTGAAAGATGGATGGCGTGCGAGACATTTCTTGTGGTTGTTGTTGCTTGAATGTACGTAGGAGTTGTGCTTGTTGGGTGGTGATTGCAATGAGACTGTCGACGAATCTGGCCCAATTGGGACACTCGTTGACGATGATCTGAGCAATCAACGAGTTTGCCTTTTTGCGAATCAATGTAGACCCCGTCACCACACCGCCACCTGGCTGTACAAAGAGAGGAATGGTCGATGCATTGGTCTGCAGGTCCAACCCAACCATCGACAGTAACAACATGAGTACAGGGTGTCTCTCATCGGCGGTCAACGACAACCATTGTCGTTTGATGACACGTTCCAATATCGATAGTGCAAAGTAATGTGTCTTTTCATTTCTCGATCTCATCAATATATCTTTGATTCTCGTCCATGCCAATTGATGATTCATAAATCTATTCAATACATCACTAACCTTTGAATCCTAATAACAATCAATCAAACAAACAATCAAACAAACAAATGAACAAAATAAATAAATGTATTATTAATAAATGTTCAAACAACATCTTTCTCTTTCTCTCTATTTATTACATTTTGATTGTCTATTAACTTGTCTAACAAATCGATATCAAGTTCTTGATCAAACGATAAAATAGATTCCATATATAAATATAAATATGTGTTTATAGTATTATCTCTTTTTTAAAAAGACCTATTAATATAAAAAATTTAAATTTATCACCATTCATCATAAAGTGAAGTTCACCTCTTTCCAATAAAAATAAATAAATAAAATATATATTTTTTAACAAACTCAGACTTCTTCTTCTTCTCTTCATGATCAATTTTCTGTTCTATTTTCAAAACTTTTCTTTATTTATTTGATTTATTTCTTTAATTTTTTTTATTTATTTATTTTATTTCTAGAATTTTTTTCAATTCAACTTATGAATAATCAGAAGATCAGATTCTGATTCTTCTTTTAATATGCAAGAACTGTCCTTTCAATTGACAATGAAAGTTGGTTGGTTGTACAATGGTTGGTGGATGGGGGGGGTGTGACTTGATAAACTAGTTACTAAATTCAACTTTTTTGATCAGGTATAAAATGGTTTGTTGTCATTACTCTGATGAATTGTCAATTATATCATCTCTCTAACAATCCATCTATCATTCAGATAATCATATATATCATTCATCACATCACAACGATGTTTGTAAATAACAAATAAGAAGAAGAAGAAGAGAGTAAGGATAATGGGTATCAACCACGAAACACTCTTACTGTTGGCAACCACTACTGTTGGTGAACAATGACCATCCATTGCGAAAATCAACAACCCCCACTTGTACTCTCCATCCACTTCTTTCAACACGATTCTCTTCTGATCACTCACACACACCAACCATATGATTTTTCATAAAAAGTGATGGGTGTGATTGATCGTCATCACATCACATCAACAATATCTATGTTGTGAGTGTTGATGATCATCACCAATATCAATCATTTAGCTATTCCCTCTGATTCTATGGATGCTATTGTTAATACCGTCCCAATAACAAACATACTAGTAATGGTGGGATGGTAAAGAAGAAAGAAGAAGAAGAAGAAGATGGATACATTTTTTTTAACAAAAGGTTTAGGTTAACATTATTGGTACTAGTGTTGTGGCTTAGCTTAGCATGATAGTTTGGTGACTGACTAATATTCCAACTCTAGAGAGTTTGGGTGGGTGTGATGACCGACCTGACTGGATACTAATGATGCTATGGATTTGCAAGTTGTTGTGTGACACAATGACAAAGGATAAAGAGACAGAGAAGCAAGCAAGTAATTAAAGTTATCAAGCGTTATATATTTGTCGACATTGACAATACTACATCTGCTGCTAGCAGCAGTAGTATGTATGACTCTTTTTGTTCTTCTTTACACCCAATACAAGTGGTTTGGTTGAGCTATCAGATAGTAGCTACTCATTTGATGGATACCCGTAATATAATGGTGGTATGATCATTGTAGTGTCTGTCAGATCAAATTGATTGACTATCATAGTCATATGAAATATTTTATTTTATATGTTTGTATGTATTACATTGGTCATTCTATTCATTCTATTCATTTATTCATTAACTCTTTGATTGACAATTTTATATAGTTTTACCAAGAAAGTTATAGATATCTACAAAAAAACATAAATAATGAATATTAGAATTAAAACATTATTTATTGTTGCCTGTTTGGCACTCTCAGTTGTTTCATCAACAGTATGTAGTATTTATATATCCATCCATTTGGAATTCCATCCAGGTATTAATATAATTTGATAAATCCATTTTTTTTTTATTTTTTTTTTTATTTATTAGTCTCTGCAAAATGAGGATATTGAAAACTTTAGAAATCAAGTTAGATTACTTCGTGCCCTTAATGAATATGACGGACTCCTCACATCGCTCCTTGGAACTGGTCTCCTCGGAAAGAATGGTGAATTTGCCAACAACAACAATAACAACCTTTTCAATGCCGAAAATGCTGCAGATGAAGGTCTCTTGACCTCACTCCTCGGAACTGGTCTCCTCGGAAAGAACGGTGAATTTGGAAACAACGCCAACAGCAACTTGAATGAATACAGACGTCAATTGGCCTTCCTCCAGGCTGTCAGCCAAGAAAACCTCATTGGATCAGTCGTTGGAACTGGTCTCCTTGCTGGTCTCCTTGGAAAGAACGCCGATGAAGAAGCATTCAATGAAGGTCTCTTGACCTCACTCCTCGGAACTGGTCTCCTCGGAAAGAACGGTGAATTTGCCAATAACAACAATAACAACAACATTGAAGAGTATCAACGTCAATTGGCTGTTCTCCGTGCTCTCAACTCTGAAAACGGTCTCTTGTCATCACTTCTCGGAACTGGTCTCCTCGGAAAGCTCGACAACAACAACAACAACAATGAAGAAAATGATCTAGTTGATGGTCTCTTGACTTCACTCCTCGGAACTGGGCTCCTCGGAAAGAATGGTGAATTTGGTAACAATGCCAACAGCAACTTGAATGAGTACAGACGTCAATTGGCCTTCCTCCAAGCTGTCAGCCAAGAAAACCTCATTGGATCAGTCGTTGGAACTGGTCTCCTTGCTGGTCTCCTTGGAAAGAACGCTGACGAAGAAGCATTCAACGAAGGTCTATTGACCTCACTCCTCGGAACTGGTCTCCTCGGAAAGAATGGTGAATTTGCCAATAACAACAATAACAACAACATTGAAGAGTATCAACGTCAATTGGCTGTTCTCCGTGCTCTCAGCTCTGACAATGGTCTCTTGTCATCACTTCTCGGAACTGGTCTCCTCGGAAAGCTCGACAACAACAACAACAACAATGAAGAAAATGATCTAGTTGATGGTCTCTTGACTTTCACTCCTCGGAACTGGTCTCCTCGGGAAAGAACGGCGAAATTTGGAAACAACGCCAACAGCAACTTGAATGAGTACAGACGTCAATTGGCCTTCCTCCAAGCTGTCAGCCAAGAAAACCTCATTGGATCAGTCGTTGGAACTGGTCTCCTTGCTGGTCTCCTTGGAAAGAACGCCGATGAAGAAGCATTCAATGAAGGTCTCTTGACCTCACTCCTCGGAACTGGTCTCCTCGGAAAGAACGGTGAATTTGGAAACAACGCCAACAGCAACTTGAATGAATACAGACGTCAATTGGCCTTCCTCCAGGCTGTCAGCCAAGAAAACCTCATTGGATCAGTCGTTGGAACTGGTCTCCTTGCTGGTCTCCTTGGAAAGAACGCCGATGAAGAAGCATTCAATGACGGTCTCTTGACCTCACTCCTCGGAACTGGTCTCCTCGGAAAGAACGGTGAATTTGCCAACAACAACAATAACAACAACAACATCGAAGAGTATCAACGACAATTGGCTGTTCTCCGTGCTCTCAGTGCTGATAATGGTCTCTTGTCATCACTCCTCGGAACTGGTCTCCTTGGAAAGCTCGACAACAACAACAACAACAATGAAGAAAATGATCTAGTTGATGGTCTCTTGACATCACTCTTTGGAACTGGTCTCATTGGAAAGAATGGTGAATACTACAACAACAATAATAATAACAACAACAACAACGCCAATATCAATGAGTATCAACGCCAATTGGATATTCTCCGTGCTCTCAGTGCTGACAATGGTCTCTTGTCGTCACTCCTCGGAACTGGTCTCCTTGGAAAGCTCGGTAACAACAATGAAAACAACAACTTCAACGAAAACTTCAACAATGAATTCGAAATCAACCAATCCCCAGCCCTCGTCCACTAAATGTAGTAACCTTGTCGTACCCCTCCCTAACCTTTTTACAAAAACATAACAATCATCACTCACCACTAGGTTCAGGTTTTGTACCCTTCCTTCCTTCCTTCCTTTATCAAAGAAAATCAAAAATAAAATACCCATTCATTTACAATTAAATAACAATTATTATTTTATCCTTTTTCGTATATATTATTTTGATATAGTTTTTTATTTCTAATCATTTATCATTATTATTATTATTATTATTAATTGTGAAAGCTAATATATAATATACCATTAATATTTTTATATATGTAATTTAATATTATTTAATATATCAATTTTTGATTAATTATTATTTTTTAGATGGGATGAGGTGATGCTTATTATTTTGGTTGGTTGATTTTGGTTGGTTTGAATTTATGATTGGTTAGTATTTATATTATTATTATTATTGTGATGATTATTATTAATATTATAAGTATTTTCTTGTTGTTGTTGATTTGTTGTCGACGTGTTGCTGTTGTTGTTGTTGTTTATACTACTGTTGCTTGAATTTAAATAAGAAGATAAATTAGAGTTTGAGGAGGAATTGGGGATGGTTGATGTGGATGAATTTGAATTGTTGAGGTTGTGTGCTTGATATTTCATATTTAACCTCATCGAGGCGACGTTTGGAGGAAGGGCATTTAATATATTGATTTTGAGTGATTCGATGCTTTCTGGGGTCGAGGCATCTCTATTCCATATCGCTATTCTTTCAATGTTGCCACGCTTGATCAAAACAATACCACAAATGTCACGCTCCGTGTCGATCGTCTCTCCAACAATACCCAATACCAAATTCTCCCAAATCAAATCAATGTCAAAGAAGATGCCTTTGGCCGGATTGTTTTGAAAGGTCAACACCCACTTGCCACCATTGACATTGATTGGGTCCTCCCAAGTTGGACTAATCCCTGCCTTAAATAAATGATATGTAGAATCCAATGCCATTTTAGATGGTAGTTTTAATTTGTGATAATATCTAAATTGATCATAAATATTTAAATAAATTAGTATAATGTTTTTTTTTTTGATTGTTGTTGATAAGTGTACATACGCCCAGAAATCTTCGACCTTTTAATATCATCAATTGATATGATTGAATAATAAATAATAATGTAATGTTGTGTATTGATTGATGTATGTTAGTACGATAAAGAGATCTTCTTCAAAATCAATGTCTTGTCTTTTCTACATACAGTTGAAAATGAACCAACGTTATCAAGTGAAGATAGATAATCATCATGTGATGTAGTTTGGTTGACGGTAGTTTGTGTTATTTTTCTTGTTGGATCGATGACCCAGATGGTCCAGGAGCAATCCAAGTTATGGTACTCTGTAGGAGCAGCGGCTGCAGCTGTCGTTGTAGTGGATGTCGAGCTGCTTGCTGACGATGGTGAATTGTCACTACCCGTGCTAGTGTTATCGCCAATGCTATATGGTATATTCATCATGATGTTTCCTTTGTTCAGTGGTTCTGTGTTGTGCTGTGCTGCGAGGTGTTGTTCGTATTCGGTTGTGTTCTTGTTATATTCTGTTTGTGTTGTTTATATAAATAATTTGAGAGAGAGGATGATGACTCGACTGACTTTAGATATATGATATGATGATGATGTTTATGATATGATGAATTCACAATTGAATAAAAGTGAAGTGAGAGATGAGATAGATAGAGATTAATATATATATATATATAAGAATGAAATCTAATTCTAATTCTATTCTATTCTATATATATATATAATTGTGTCTATAAAAGAAAAAAATACTGTTACTAAAAACGATACAACTTCAAGTCGCATGAAAAAAAATAAAAACAAATATGTATCGAACTTCATCACAAAACAAACCCACAGTAATTAATTAATCTATTTAATTTTGTATTTGTATTTGTATTTGTATTTATATGTATAGTAGTATCCTTGAAAGAGATGAAAGAACAACAACTACAACAATCTGATCAACTGATGGTCAAAGTCAAGATAGCACTCAATAACAAGGTTGTGCGAGACACTATATTTCGTTATGTTGGAGTGGTCAATAAGACCATACACTCAAGTAGTCGTATACTAGCAAGAGGAAGAGATATGATAGAGGATGCTAAACGACCGGATACTAAACTAATGATGATCGGACAGTTTGCAATGCCTCTTGACACGTTTGTCAGATACTATCTACCGGTTGCCGAGACTGTGACGCAAAGAGTTAGATGCCAAGCAATCGAAATGTACTGTGCACATCGATCTGCTCAATTAGACACACTACTCTTTCTTATCGCGTGGGCAAACTATCCAATACGCGAGCGTAATATAGTCGACTATGCATGTAGTGGTGGCCACGTGGCTATTGTCCAATACCTATTAAAAAACAATGCAATGGCTTCTAAACTGGCACTGGACAATGCATGTAGTGGTGGAAGTCTAGAGATTGTACAATTGTTACATACCATGAATAAAGGGCTATCCTCAGGGAGTCCACTGAATTTGGCAGCAACCAAAGGCCATTTAGAAATCTGCAAGTGGCTTACAATCAACAGAAAAGATGGGTGTACGACATCAGCTATGGATAATGCCGCATCTATGGGTTATCTCAGTGTCGTTGAGTTCCTCCACACGCATCGTAAAGAGGGGTGTACCACATTGGCCATGACAGAGGCTGCTTCCAACGGCCACTATCAAGTGGTTAAGTTTTTGCACACTCATAGATCGGAAGGATGTAGTAGCCATGCAATGGACGGTGCAGCAAAAAATGGCCACCTAAAAATCGTAAAGTTTCTGCACAAGCACCGTAGAGAGGGGTGTTCATCAAATGCAATACAATACGCAGCGTCAAGAAGTGACATTGACATGGTCATATTCCTAAAACATAACCGTACCGAAGGATATTATTCCAATGCTATCATGGATGCTTGTAAATTTGGAAGTCTTGATATTGTCCAACTCCTCTATCCAAAATTCGAATCAAATGTTTTAGTTAGAGAAATGGTTTGTAGTAAACATAAATAATATTTATTTATTTATTTATTTTATTAATATTAATAATCATTTTTTAAATGTATTTACCCTAGGCAATAACAACATGTATAGAGTATGATCGATTTAATATTTTTAAATGGTTGTATGCAACTAGCTCTATTGACATGAGTTTAAAATTCACTCAAGATTCACTTGAAAAGGGAGCAAAAATGGGTAGATTGGATATTATACAATGGTATAATGACAATACACAAGGTCTAGAAGGTAGTTTGGACTGGAAAAATATGATAAAGTTGTCAGCTGAAAATGGAAGATGTGATATTATAGAATGGCTACACAAAAACAAAAAGGAATTGGTTTGGACAACATATGCGATGGACAAGGCTGCTGCTATTGGATCCATTGAAACAGTGGTCTTTTTACATAATAATCGATCAGAGGGATGCACAACCAATGCTATGGATCTGGCCGCCAAGAATCAAAAATTGGAAATGTGTATTTGGTTGAGAGAAAATCGAAGTGAAGGTTGCACAGTCGAAGCTATTCGAACTGCTTTTTGTTATAATCGTAAACCATTTATGGATTTTTTCAAAAAGTATTATAGTGATACCCATAGTTCTTATTTTGATCCCTCGTTCATTAAAAAATAATAAATAAAGAGTGGAGAAAATTGATGATCGATTATTGGAACATATTATTTATTAAGTTTAAATTAAAATGACAATGATGGATAACGAGAGGAGAATGGTGAAAAGAGAGAATGATATAGAGGAAGAATTACTAGTTTTGGAATCGGAATCAGATTGTGAATTGTCACCACCTGGAACTACTGTTGTATCGGGTTTGATACTCAATTGACCATTTTCAATGGAACAGGACATTCCACCAGCACGACAGACAATAGATGAAGCTTGACAAACAATTTCATGTGGAGCTGAACATCTGGTAGATGAGGAGCTCAAGAGACCTAGACATTGGAATCCGCCTGGTGTATTACATTCACTGATACCTTGAGAGGTACAATTGATTGGAGTGCCACCTGGATACTGGACCTTGAGTTTACCTGAACGACTCAATGTACATGTGACATCAGACTCGTCTGATGACGAAGTTGATGACGAAGAGGAGGGAGAGGATGAGGAATTATCAAATGGTTGGAAATAAACAATAGTATTGTTATAGATAACATTGTTGATAGCACCGATGACATTGTGGTATCCACCATTAACTGGGTAGTTGTTGCCAAGTGAACACAACAAAATAGTCGATGTAAAGTAGGTGACTCCACACTTAACCGAACGACCACTATTGATCATTGTAATATTGACACTCGAAGAGGAGTTACCAAAATATCCTCTGACTTCAAGTCCCAATGGATAAAAAGTAGGAAGGAAAGAACTAAAGGTAAAGGTTGGGGTTGCAGATGCTAAAAAAAATACATTAAATATTAATATGAAGTAAAGTTTGTATCAATAATAATAATAGATTACATACGAATATAAACAGTAGAGTATAAACCGTAATAGGGACTTTCTAGGTAGACTTGATAGGTAGTGTTGGTTGTTGGACGTTGGCCATTTGCTAAGTGGCAAGTAACATAGGACGGGCCGGCAGATGTGATGAAACACTCAATCCATCTGTTTGGGATGTAGAGTACAACTCTCATACCATCAGTACTATGATTGTTGGAAAGATCATTACCAGTGATTCTGAATGAGTTGAGAGTGCTGTTGTAGGAGACGTTGGAGATTGAATAATTGACAGTACCAAAGTAGAGGGTACCATTAAGTCGAGCAATGTCTCCAACTTGGATAGTGACAACCTTGGTGCCAACTGGACGTGGGATGATGTTGGCAACACTACATGTGATAGTGGAACTGTCGGAACTGACAAGTGGGCATGCAGTATATTGATCAATCCACACAGACACAGATTCGAACCCGAAATAGCCTCTAGCACTTATTATATTCGATTCATTATTAAAAGAAAGACTTGCCAAAGTGTAAGGGTGAGATGCTAAATAATAATAATAATAATAAATAAAGAAGGGGAGGGGTTAGTGAATGACAATGATTTGAATGAATTTTAAGAATAGGTATGTATGTACATACTAATATTGACAGTTGAGTAAATAGTGGCAAAACTATTTCGATAGTAGACGATATACGAACCGGCTGGTACACGCTGGTTCAATTGGCAATCGAGTAATGAATGACTGACATATTCAACAGAGCAGAGAACCCATTCAGATCTGTCGCGTGAGATATAGACGGATGTTTCACTGATACTACCAGTGTCGTTGAGAACACCATTGATTCTAATTTTGTTTGGAGCGTAGTTGTAGGTAACATTGGAGATTGAATAAACCTTGTTAAAGTATAGTGTGTCATTCACAAGAACATAGTTACCAATTGTGACGGTGACCAACTTGTTGCCCGCAGTATTTCCAGGTGTACTACCAAAATTACATATGAAATTGGTGCCGTTGAAGCTGACAAGTTGACATGGGGTGTATTGATCAATCGTCACAGAGACTATTGATTGATTGGTCCCGAAATATCCCTCTGCAACTAGTACATTGTTGTCTTGTATCACACTTGCCACAGTGTAATTTGATGCTAAATGAATGAATGAATGAATGAACGAAAAAAAGCATTGTGAGTGGTGATGAAACTAAAGAGCGAGTTAATAATACATACATTGAGCATCAACACCAAGGTGCAACAAGTAGACTGTGGCCAATAAAAATATAAACTGTATTGATTTATACATTCTATTCTATTCTAGATAACAACAAGTTATAAAGAACAGAAATCGAATCTAAAGGAAGAAGACGGTCATTGTCTTTTTTTTTTTTTTTTTTCCTCCCTTATTGCTACTACGTAGGCAACATTACAAGAAATTTTTATAGGCAAACTTAAGTCCGTCAGCCCAGGGTTTCGAATCAAGATCTTCAGATGCGATGACCAAGTGATGCAATCCCCTGGACATTGTGATCCACCTTCTGCATTACTTTACAAACTGTCAGCGATTGTCAGGTACAATTGATTGGATGTGTCACCCAGATTATCGAGACTGTGTTGGGATCGTCAACCATTTATCAAAAAAGAATTATAATTATAGTGATACTCATAGTTCTTATTTTGATCTCTCTAGGAATTCACTAAAAAATAATAATAATAAAAGAGAGAGATCTAGATTCTAGATCTAGATAGAGTTTTAGATTTATATCTGATAGCTAAGAAGTATAAAAAACTAAAATTGTGAATACTTTATAACCTACTCTCTCCCAAAATATTGAAACCAAAGTTTTTGTTTGATTATAGTTTGAAAATTAAATACATATATATATTTATATATATATTATATATAATATAAATATTATTCAAGAGAATGGAAAATAATAATAACAATACTTTTTTAGAGACATTGAATCAATGAATCAGACATTGAAGGAAAATAGTCAAAGATCCTTAGTGGTAGGAAATGATCAATTTAATGAGGTTGGAATAGATATCCAAATACCTTCTTATATGGAGACTTTCCATATCTTGGTAGCTAGAGAACAAGCTCGAAGACTCGGGGATATAAACCAAAAACAAGTAAATACCAGGTTGTTATTATTGCCATCTACTAAACCTAAACGTGAATATGACCACCATTTATCCTTTGATTACTTGGTTATTTTTCATGACCCTCAAGTGGAACATGTATTTAACCAATTTGTACCACCCATCATTGGTGACTATCCAACTGGTCCCAAAAAGATAAATGTAGAGTAAGTTTAAAAAAATCACAATTCCTTAGAACTTACAACTCATGACACTAATACATCTGTCTATCTATCTATCTATCTATCTATCTATCTATCTATCTATCTATATCTATCTAGTGCAATGACAGAAATAGAGATTGTTAGGATGGCAATATTTTATTGTGACAGATTCACGATCTTGGCAACAGACACTTTGCCTGCTAAAAGAAAGAAATTTTCAAACTTTTTGAAATATCAACTCGTTAGATAGAACTTTATTATTATTATTGATAGATTAGTTAAGTTCCATTTAAGAAGAATATTCAATAAATTATTGTTACAATCTATCTTTTTTTTATCTTAAAAAATAGAAAATTCAAAAATCGACCAATAGAGTATTTTTAGTCTGTTGAACTTCATTCAATTAATATTAATTCAAAGAGATAGAAGAGAGAGAGAGAGAGAGACAGATATATAGAACAAGAAGGAGATGTTTAGTAAGAAATATAAAGATGTATTTGAACAAGAGGAAGGAGATAGCAAATCAAATGGCAACAAAAAACAAGACAACTATGATGACTATGAATTCGATGAAGACGAATTAATGAAAGATAGTAGTGATGATGATGATGACGACGATGATGATAGTAGCGATGATGATGATGATCATCATCAAGATAAAGATGGTGTTCATATTCAATCAACTGAAAATGTTGAACATTTAGAAATCAAAGTAAGATTCAAACATATCATTCATTGCAATGAACCACATCATATCATATCTTATTTTAAAACTAACATATCTCTCTCTTTTTTTTTGTATATAGTTAAGAGAAAATCAATACAACTTTGATTTACATATAGAATATATTGATGCTTTAAAAAAGGCAAAGCTATTGGATCGTCTAAGAGAGGCTAGATTTGCAGCCCAACGATTATTCCCATTACCTCTCTCGGTTTGGGTATCATGGTTATCCGATGAACAACAACTATCATCACCTCTTCAAGAACAAGAAAAAATAGATTTATTTGAAAAAGCAATTAATGATTATTTATGTATGTTAAATCAAATCATATCATTATTATTATATCATTTTCATTTTACTAACTTCTTTTTATTTTTTAATTTAATTTTAGCAATTAATGTTTGGGTACAATATTGTAAATTTATAGAAAATCAAGTTATATCAAATTTGGGAGGAGATATTAAAAGTGGAGAAGATGAAAGATTAAAAAGAGTACGTGATATGTATGAAAGAGCAGTCATTGCATGCTCGGATCACATGGTCGATAGTTTCAAGTTGTGGAATACCTACCGAACATTTGAACAACAAGTATTGGCAATGATCCCAACCGAAGCAACCGAGGATATCAAGACCAAACAATTGGCAAGAATCAGATCAATCTATCAAAGACAATTATCATGTCCACAAATGAATCTTGAACAAACCTATCAAGATTATGAACAATGGGAACAAAGTCAAGTCAATTCTTCTTCCTCCTCCTCCTCCTCTGCCGCCGCTACCAATATACAAACAAGATATCAATTAGCATTAAAAGTAATAGAGGATAGAAAAGATTATGAAAAGGCAGTGGTTGATGCCAAGACGACCGGTGAAGGAGGATCTACATTGGAAAAATGGCAAGAATATATTGGATTTGAAAAAAAGGATCAGTCAAAGAAACTAAACAGAATAGCTATACTCTACGAACGAGCATTGCAAGAAAACTATTTTGTCTTTGATTTGTGGAAACAGTATTTGGGATTCTTGGAGCACGATTTCAAGGCTCCAAGTGCCACCATTTTCTCGGTTTTGGAACGAGCATCGCGTAATGTGTATTGGTCAGGGGACATTTGGAGTATCTACATGTCACGTTTGGAAAAGTATAGTGACAAGGACGATATGATTCTCAAGGTCGATCAAGTGTTTGAGAGAGCTTTGGTGGCAGGCTTGTCGGGTCCGACCGAATATCAACACATCTTTTCAACACGATTCGATATCTTGTGGCGTCACCAAAAGAAGGAGGGTGGTGCTGGTGCACCATTGTTGGACGAAGAAAAAGTAAACATGTTTGAACAACATTTCCAAAAAGAATACGAAGTGCTTGTAAGCTTGGGAATGGACGTGTCAGAGAGTTTGATGTTCCGTGCCAAATTCGAGGCCTATCAACTCGACAATAGCACGTTGGCCGATCAAACATTCCAACTGTTGTATGCCGGTGCACCACATCTCTATCATCTAGTGGACGAGTACATTCGCTTCAAGATTACAAAGCAAAAGGATATTGACGGTGCGCGTGAAATTTACAAAAAGGCGGTCAAGACAATTGCAGAGACGTCGCGTATCTGGCAAGACTGGCTCAATTTCGAGCGTGTCTATGGTACGTTGCAAACGTCTGATCATGCGACACACGTCTACCAAGACACTGTCCAACGATACCAAGCCAAACAACAAAAAGAATTTGAAAAGCAAAAACTCCAACAAGCACAACAAAGAAAGGCACTCGAAGACAAGAAACGTAAAAAGGAAGAGAAACAAGAGGGAGGAAAAGCATTGGGTGCCGGCGACGGACGTGGTTCACTTAAAAAGAAAAAGATTGAAAAGACGACCATCTACATTTCAGGTCTTCCCTTTTCCGCACATTCAAATGATCTCGTAAAGATGATCAACGAACGTGTTGGTGACTTGAAAGAAGTGCATTTAGTGTCAGACAAGAATGGTAAATCCAAGGGTATTGCCTTTGCCGAATTTAACACGAGCGATGCTGCCCAAAAATGTATCGACACGTTACACGGTGACATAACATTCAACGAAAAGCATCCAATCAATGTTACCTACTCGAAAAAAGAATTTAAACAACAAAGTGAACAAGAAAAGAATACACAACTACACTTTGAACAAGAACAAAAACGTTTGGCACAAATCGAAATCAACTTTGAAAATAGTGAAGGAAAGACTGTTTTCATTAACAATCTTTCGAGTAATGTCACAAAAGAAAAACTTCAATCATTTATTGAAAGTAATGGTGCCACTGTATCGGATGTACGTGTCATTGTAAAGGCTCGTCCATTTGCCTATGTCGATTTGCCTACCCCGGAACAAGTCCAAAACGCCCTTAAACTCAACAACAAGTATTTCCTTGGTAATTACATGCGTGTTGCCTTGTCCAAACCACCACCTGGTAGTGCTCCAAGAGAACATAAACCAAATCCAAACAAGACTGAAATTGTTGCCAATCCATTTGATTCAAAACCAGGTGATGAAGAGATGACAACTAGTACAACTTCAACAACAACCGCAGTTCCCACTAGAAAACCAGTATTATTTATTCCAAGAGGTTTAAAAAAAGCCCCAGCAACTTCAAATAAATAATTAAATTAAAAATTGGGATAAATAATTTATTTAATTATTTAATTATTTAATCGATTAGTTATAATCCCAAACTTTAATAGTATGATCACTACTACAACTAACAAGTTTATCCTTTTTAAATTCTAGCCAATCGACGCTACCAGTATGTTGACCAAGAGTGTACAGATAACTGTTTCCAGGTTTGTCAAGATCCCAAACCTTGATTTTGTTGTCCAATCCACCACTGACCATTCGATTATCTTTGACTTGGAAATGTTTGATTGATTTGGTGTGACCTTTGAATACCTTTGAACAGGTAAGTTGTGAAAATGATTGTTGTTGTTGGTCACCGAGAACTACTGGTGCTAGTTGCTGTTGTTGTTGTTGTTGTCCAATATTTAAATCCCAACTATGTAGATTGTTACAAGAAGAGGTGTAGATGACGTTGTTTCTAAATTGTATGTGCCATACTGGACAGCATAGAGGGTTAGAGAGCATAGCTTGTAACGAGCCTGTTCGTAGGTTCCAAACCGAGATGGTCCCATTATTGTGTCCAGACGCTACATTCCAGTTGGGGTTGGACGGTGAGAATCCCTGATGATTGATTTGAAGGCAATGAACGGGGGAATTGGATGCCATGGTATGGATGTGCTTGCCAGTGCGGATATCCCAGATACGACAGGTTCGGTCTTGGGCACCACTGACGATTAAATTCTCATTGGCCATTTGTACATAGTAGATGCGTCCAGAGTGTCCGAGTAGTGACATGGTCTGTTGACCAGTGCTCATGTCCCATAGACGTACGGTCTTGTCGTCACCACCACTCACCAAAACATTGTCGCTGTTAAACTCTAGCATCCACACTGACCCTTGGTGGCCTTTGAATGTCGACATGCACTTGCCAGTATTACTCGACCAAATCTTGAGAGTACTGTCATCCGAGCCACTGACGACTACGTCACGCTCAAAATGGAACGAGTTGATAACGTCTGTATGACCAACCAACGTGTGTTGGCACACTCCCTCTTCAATATCCCATACCTTCATGACACCGTCCTCTGAACCACTGACCAAAGTTTGTTTGTGAAACTGTACACCCCAAACACCTTCTTGGTGTCCATACAATGTGTGTACTGAGCATCTACCCTTTTTCCAATTCTTTTCTACAATGACTCGCTTTTGGAATAAATGTTGGTACGACTTTTGTTGTTGTTGTAATTGATTATGTGCTTGTGGTTGGTATGATGGTAGCTTTGATTTCTTTTTGTTACTCCAATTCAATGCCGACCAATGTTGTTTGTACAGTTGTTTCCAAATCACAAATACGCTACTAATTTCCTTTACATTGCGATTGACAGATTGTAACTGGCAAATATCTCTATAATCCAAAAAACTAAATACATGTACCATTATTTCAAATGGTAATAATAATTCCATATTTGATAATTCACTAGTTATCTTTCTATTCATATTATTATTATTTAATTTATGATAATATTGTAAATTATTATTATTAGGTTGTTCTGTAGACATTATTAAATCATTATCATTATCAATGTTTAACTCTGGAACTAATTGAGTATCGTTATTATAATTACAATTATAATTATTATTCTTATTATTGTCAGGTGCATTGTCATATAGTTCTTCTATTGCTATTAAATTGTTTAAAGTGGATGAAGTCGATGAATAATAAATTCCACCATTATTATTATTATTTAAATTATTCTTTATATTTTTGTTATTATCGGTATTATGGTGTGACATTTTTTGTTTCTTCCATTCTGTATTATTATTATCTTTGAATTCTAATCTTTTATTTGTAGATGTAATCGATGAAAATCCATTTCTCCATTGTTGAAATAAATTTGGAAATGAGAATCCTCCTCCTCCACCACCACTCGTATTATTATTATTATTATTATTTGTAGTTGAGCAAGTAGGGGTTTGCTCGTCCATAGAAGAGGAGGATGAGGAATTGTTGTTGGAATGTGAAATTAATCTTGACATGGATAATATATCCTCCAAGTCTTGTGCTACTACTTGTTCTTCTTCTTCTTCCTCGTAGTTTATTATTCTTTGTAGTTGTTGTTCCTCCTCGTCCTCGTATTCTATGTCTTGGTCGTCGTCGTCGTCGTCGTAGTCTTCGTCGTTGTTGATTTGTTTCTTTTTAGTGATTAATAAAGTTGTCAAAATATTGATTAAATTTGGTGATCCACAAAATCCACCTCCAGAAGACGATGATGATGATCTTGATAAATTAAATCCCTGGTTATGATGGTGGTGGTGATGGCCGTGTCCTCCACTACCAATAGAAGATGGTGAAGACAATGGAGTATGTGCTGCTGCTGTATCCAATACTATTATTTGTTCTCTTTCCTGATTATTCATTCATTAATTATTATTATTATTTATTATTAATTATTAATTATTTTCTCTCTATACAATTATTATTTCTTTTTACTATTATTATTATTATTTTAATGTGATAGATAATAATAATAGGGATATGTTATATGAATATCCGACAATCGTATTTTTTAAATGGTCAATAACATAACGATAACAAACCGCCAGTATTTATATTATTATTATTACGATTATTTATACAATGATATAAAGATCAATAAAAGATAGATAGATAGATAGATAAATAGAAAGACAAATTTATATATCCAAAAAAAATGGATGAACCAATCTCTTTCCTCTTCACTGCAGCGGATGGGAGAAGGATAGTACTATAAATATGATTATTATTGATATTCGAATTGTTGATGTTATTGGTCTGCTTGTTTGTGTTGTGGGTGGTGTCTGTCATTCTGTCTGTCTGTCAGAACGTTTTCTCTTTTCTTCCTCATCTTCCTCCTCCCTTTTCCATAAAAAGTAAGCAAAAGGAATGGCAGTAGGACTTATTCTACTCAACAACACACTTTTGAGAGTGAGACAAAAAGAAGAGAGGATAACATCATTCGTCTGTCCGTTAAGATCTCTCTCCCCTAAACAAACAAATTTCCCCACTCCACGTGAGTTTGTTTGTTTGTTTGTTGTCTTTCTTTCCTTGAGAGAAAGTTAATTAAACTTTACGTTGGTTAGTTTGCATAAACAATTTGTAGTTTACCCCCTCTTTATATGATTACTATTATTATTGTTGTTGTTGCAGAGATGAGAGATGGGTTGATTGATAAACAGAAATTCGAATTGTGGTTGGAGGGGGGTGTGTTTGTGTGAATTGAAACGATTCGTCAAAACGTTGTTGTAAAGCTATATATTATATCTTTTCTTTCCAAAAACTACTGTCGATCAGTAAATCACCTGCAATCTCTTTTTGGTTCGATTTATTTGATTTAATTAATTTAATTACATTTTAAAAAATCTTTTAAATTTAGATTTCTTTTTCTCTTTTGTTTGTTGTTGTTGTTGATTATTATTTTGATTATTTTGATTATTTTGATTATTTTGATTATTATTATTTAAAATGATTTCACCATCTTTTTCTTTAATTAATAAACCTAAAATTTTTGATGGACCTTGATATAATTTGTTGACTAGTAATTTTAGATGATTACTTTGATAATGATTGACAAGGAATTGAGCAATCTCTTTTGTGGTTTGACTTTCAAATGCTTGGTAGGGACATGAAAGATGTGGGAATTGGTGGACGACCAGTGATGCCACTTCAAACTTTTGTGACTTGGCAGCATTCTCGATGATCGATGATGTACATTCATCCTTGTCATAGGCATCGTGGGTGAATATGTATTGTAATACTTCATAGTGTCCTCCCTTGGCTGCTTGATTGAGCCAATTCTCTTTACATTTTTGTTTGTAAATCGTGCCAAGGTATTGGACAATCTCGAGACATCCACTACGCACGGCAAACCCCATAGCGTTGGGCGAGATATTGACCATCTTTCCCGAGTAGTGAAGATACTTGAAGCATTTGATGGCCGACATTTTACAAGCTTGGTCGACGAGTAGAGTGTAGTGATTGTCGGTGGTCAGCAAGGGAAGAGAGTCGAAATAGGCGAGTATATCAACTCGGTCACGTGCGATAATCACTTCGTTAAAGTAGTGTGTTGCCCAACTCGCCGAGGCAAGGTCACGTGTCCAGATTGGAGCGATATAGGTGACGACATCAATCGATTTGGTGGCATTCAGAATACACGAGTACAAACTAGGTACCTTTTGTGAGGCTGGTGCTTTGGTGAGCAGGTATTTGACCATGTGCAGGTGTTGACTGGCTGCGAGGATGTGTTGGCGAAACATGTGTTGTTCGATGACATATCCTTTGAGAACAATGTCGATAACGTGGTCGTACAGCTCGATACTACCAATTTGACAGAGCGGGTCTATTAAATTGGAAAAGACGGCATGACTGTCACGCGTGACCATCCCCATGGGCAGTATCTGGTTCTCTAGCAAGTACCAAGCCATGCCGATAGAGTCTCCACGCGCCATTTTGACTGTTTCGGCAACCGTGTTGTCCAGACATCCCTCTGTACGATTACGATGAAGGAATTTGACTACATCTATAAACCCACCGAGTGCCGCATAGTGGATGGCTAGCGCATTGGCACCTTCTCTTCGAGTATTGTGTAAATATTCGACCACTGAAAGATGTCCTCCTGCCGCAGCCTTGACCATAGCATCGGCAGTACACCCTTCTTTACGATGGTCGTTCAAATATTGTACAATATTTAAATGGCCATTCTTTGCACCAAGGTTCATGGCGGCTGTTGAAGCAGGTGCACCTATCTTGTCCAAGTACTCGACAATGTCGAGATACCCAAGTTCTGCAGCACGATCCAATGCCTTGGCAGCCAACGATACGGTGTTGCCGCCAAGGCAGATCTGAGAGTACACCAACTCGACCATTTCAAGTGACCCTGATGACACGGCATCATAAACAATCGGACTTGTCAATAGTATATCGACACCACCTTCCAAACGTGTGTCTCTGTGCTCTAATAGTAATCGCACCAATTCAACCGACCGACCAGCCACTGCTTTCTCGACAACTGTGATTGTATATTTGGCAGATGGACATGACTCCAAAATATATCGTACAATATGAATGTGTTCAAAGATCGTAGCCAACTCGAAACATCTATCGCCGACACCGACCATGAGATAAGGAAAGGACGTGTCAGATGACAAAAGATAGGTGAGTATCTCTATATGACCACACTGACACGCCATCTCTACAGTTGTCATAGTTGGTCGTACGCCAATAGTATCAACCACATAACGCACACAATCTAAGCTACCACTAGCAACTGTGTTGTCCAATACCCAACTAACCGATCCAAAGCAATCACCAAGTATCTGAGGTAACCACCTTGCATTATCTCTTTCCAACAATGGTGTTGTAGTTGTTGCATACCGTTCATTTAAACTAGTGTATAGTGGTAGTTTAAAGTAATGTGGATACAAGTAATGAATACGCTCCAATACAACTACATCTTTACAATTCCTAAGTAACCTTGGCAATGCTCTAAAGTAAATGACAAAGTCAGATTCTACATGTACAAGATTCACAGACATCAACTTGTCTTTAAACACATTAAATGAACGTTTCTGTCTTTCCAATCTCTTTTTATAATGATCTATTCTACTAATTTGTGTATTAATACTATTCATAGTTGTACTACTATCATTATTGACCTTTAAATCATCATCATCATCTTCATTATCTAGCCTACAATAACGTAGAAATGATACAGATTTACTTGTCATTTCATTGTATTTGATTGTCTCTACTACACCATGACTACCTCCAACTCGATAGGCATCATTGATCAAAGGTATAAATGATACAATGTGTCTAACCAATAACTTGTTTTTGAATAATGATCTCACCACTCTTTCTTTTTCTTCACCTTCTTCTTTTAAATTCATTATTTAAATAAATATAAATAAAATACAACAATATACAAGTAATATAATATATAATAAATAACAATAAATTATCTTTTACTACTGGGTGACAACCATGATCTTAAAATAGATACGCCAATACAACTTTTAAAGAAAGAAATTCAATGAAAAAATATCTAGAATCATAGTGCACTTTCGTGTCACACACAAGTGATCGTTTTACCCATATTGTAGTGTGAACATGGGAATGTAATAAATAATAATAATAATAATATTAAATATTTATTAATTAATTAAATAATTAATAAAGTAATTAAGCAATATTATTATTATTATTATTAAGATCTTAAGATCCTACACCGTCATAATCTTGGTAGTAGGTTAAAAACCATTTCAATTCAAATGTAGAATTTGAACCGGTATAACGTAAATTGATAGGATCATATTCCGACTCATGTTCTTGTTTTCGTTGAGTGATGATTCCACCTGTCATTGTCTGTTTCTCCAACACCAATACATTTCTATTGTCTGCGTCCAATCTTTGAATTGAAAATTGATAGGTTGTGGGAGGTTGATTGGTCCCATTTTCAATAATGATTGATAAATCTCTAACATTGGTATGGTTGATCCCTTCATCTAATCTAAATACTGAACCTGATTTTGAAGTAAATTCCTTCAACTTGAATTAGCTAATAATTTGCAAGTTAGATGTGTGGTGCACTTTGAGTCGGAGGAGATTGATTGTTTCTAGGTTGGGTGGATAGTTGGATGGAAACGTGATCTGATGACCTGCGATATTTAACACTACAATACGAGAGCCTTTTCAAACTGCGAGGCAGTACGTCTGAATACTTACATTCATCTTTAGTTTAACGAGTGATTGAGGGAGTTTGATTGGATTCTTACAGTCTCCAGAGACGGTTAGGTGAGTCAGTGACGGCGGGAATACAACTTGTTCAAGTATATTTATCCTCTCTGCATAATTATGTATTGTAACCTTTTCAACAGTGGATGGGATGATATTGGCTGGAATGACATTCTCACATTCGCGAATAACCAGTTTCTTGAGAGATTGGCTGGACTTTAGACTGACCCTTCCATCAACCAATAAGCTTCCATCAACACGCAGTGTCTCCAACAATGGCATAACTGAGGGGATGCGCACCCAATAGGACCAGATTGTAAGAGTCTGGATGGAAGGAGGGACACTAGTCTCGATACTGTACTTTCTGCCGGTTGGGTAGTCAATGCGATCAATGAGCTTGAGTGTCTCGAGGTTGGGTATGTTCGAGATCGATGAATGCTTGTTCTTCCACATCTACCTCTCTTCGCAAGGTGATATTAAGTTTGACAAGCGACACCAACGAATGGAATGTATCTCGTGGAGGTACCTTGCTCAATCTGAGGGTGAGTGACGTCAAGCTGATTGGTAATTGATCCGACTCTATACTAGACACAAAATGATTTTGAAGCTCTGATCAGCGGCACGCACAGCATGGGAGGTGCCCTCCCCCCACCACTTGAGTGTTGTATGTTGACCAAGATGCACCTCTTTTGCACCTCGAACCGAAAGATGTTCGAGATGAGGCAATAGAACCAAGATCAACAACTGGATTAGTATTACTATTTGAGTAATAATGTTTTTTTGTTTTGTTAAAGATGAATAGTGTCTCGATTGATGGTATGTCGTTGTAGATTGATTGTATTGTTGATTGTTGGTAATTGGTTACCAAAGCAGTTGTAATGTTACTCTTGTCAGAGCTAGTTCTGTTGGTAGAGGATGAGATACGTTGTTGTATCCATTGAGGATAGTTGTCTAAATGTTCAAAGAATTCCCCAAAGATGACATGTTGATCAGATACACTATTCTCCAATATATCTTTAAATGTGTTGAGTTTGAATTGAGTAGCCGTTGCTTTAAACTGCTTCGAGGGGTTATGCCTTTGAATCTAATCAATCTTCTAACAGTATATCTGTTTACAAGTTAACAACAAACATATTATATCTCCATTATCTATCTGTGATATGATATGTAGTAGTAATAGATTTGATAACTTTAATAGAGACATAATAATAGTAGTCAAAGAGACATTCGTGCATAGATATTGTGCGAGAGTGCCGAAAGATAATAAAAAAAAACTATTTATTTCATGGTTTTACATTTTGTGTTCCAAGAAGAATCGTCATCGTTGTCGCTGTCTTTATCATCATCACTATCATCATCGTGGTCGCTCTCATTTTCTTCATCATCATCATCTTTATCGTAGTATCTGTCTTTGACAAAACTCCATTTCAATTCAAATGGAGGGTCAGAGTGTGAATCCAAATGTAAATAGATGGGATGATACTGTGTCTGCTGATCATCTTGTTGTTGTTGCTGGTCGATTACTGTTATTCGTCGTTGAGTGATGATTCCACCTGTCATTGTCTGTTTCTCCAATACCAATACATTATTGTTGTCTGTGTCCAATCTTTGAATTGAAAAATGATAGGTGGGATGAGGTCCACGAGAAAAATCGTCAATAATGATAGATAAATCTCTAACATTGGTATGGTTGATCACTTCATCCAACCTAAACACAAATTCCGAAATATCTCCCAATAGTTTGCAAGTTAGATGTGTGATACTGGGTGGTAGCCATTGTTGTTGTTGCGAGACAACGTCTTTGGTTAACTTGGAGGTGATTGAAAAGATTGTAGGGCCACCATACAACCAATCACTACTTTTTGCTAATGTCATCAATAGGTTGGTGACAGATGGCGGTATATTGTCAATCACAAGGTGGTCCACTTTGAGTTGGAGTAGATCGATTGTGTCAAGATTGGGTGGATAGTTGGATGGGAATGTCATCAAACGACATGAAGAGCCAGTACTACAATACGACAGTTTTTTCAAACCGAGAGGCAGTACGATTGAACCTTTATATCCAAGCCTTAGTTTAACGAGTGATTGGGGTGGTTTTATATATTCAGGGTCCCCAGAGATGGATAGGTGAGTCAGTGACGGGGGGAATACAACTTGTCCAAGTATATATAAATCTCTTGCATGATTATGTATTGTAACCTTTTCAACAGTAGATGGGATGATATTGGCTGGAATGACATCCTTACATTCGTGAATAACCAGTTTCTTGAGAGATTGGCTGGACTTTAGACTGACATTTCCATCAACCAATACCTTTCCATGCACACACAGTGTCTTCAACAATGGCATGACATACTGTGATGGGATGTGTGCCCAATCGGACCGGATTGCAAGAGTCTTGATTGAAGGAGGGACACTAATCTCGATACTGCACTTGCAAATAATTGGGTAGTTAATGCGATCAATGAGTTTGAATGTCTCGAGGTTGGGTAGATGTTCGAGATCGATGAATGCTTGTTTTTGCTCCTCCTCCTCCTTTTTCTCCTCCTCAAAGATTGGTCCACCTTGATTTCGTAGCCAGATCTTGAGTTTGACGAGTGACTTTAATGAATGGAATGTATCTCGTGGAGGTGTCTTGCTCAATGTGAGAGTGAGTGACGTCAAACTGATTGGCAATTGATCTGGTCCCATTCTCGACACAAAATGATTCTTGAAGCTTAGATCGGTCAGCGATACGAATCTGGTGAGTCCCAAGTCGGCGAGTGCGTATGAGGTACCAACATGTAGTTTCAGAGATTTGAGTGTTGTATGTTGACCAAGTTTCACCTGTTTTACACCATAAACCGAAAGATGTTCGAGACGAGACAACAATGCAATAGAACCAAGATCTACCACTGAATTACTATAATTATGATAAAAAAGGTACTCTTGTCTTTCTTTTTTTGTTTTGTTGATGATGAATAGTGTCTTGATTGATGGTATGTTGTAGAGTGATTGTATTGTTGGTTGTTGGTAATTGGTTACTAAAGCAGTTGTAATGTTATTCTTGTCAACTCTGTCTATAGTAGCCGATATACGTTGTTGTATCCATTGAGGATAGGTGTCGACTATTGGAGACAGTACACAGAATTCCCCAAAGATGACATGTTGATCAGATACACTATTCTCCAATATATCTTTAAATGTGTTGAGTTTGAATTGAGTAGCTGTTGCTATAAACTGCTTTGATATCTCTCCCTTGTCAGTGATCGCTTCTATGCCTTTGAATCTAATCAATCTTCTAACACTACCATTACGATATAACTGTTTACAAGTTAACAACAAACATACTGTATCTCCGTTATCTATCTGTGATATGATATGTAGCAGTAATAGATTCGATAACTTTAATAGAGACATAATAATAGTAGTCAAAGAGACATGTCACTATTAATAATAGTTGTTGAGGTTTAGACTTCAAGTGAGCCAAAAAAAATGGAAATACAAGTTTGCAAACTCAATCATGATACTTTTCTTTTATATATTATTGCAAGACATAATCAATTATTTAATTTAATTTAATTTAATAGATCAACATTTATCGGAATTGTGTTATGTTAGTTAGATTGGTAGTGTTAATAATATTATTTATTTTAATAATTTAAATATCTTTCATTTCTTGATCTTCTTGTTCATCTGACATAGAGGTGGTGGTGGCGGTGGTGGTAGTAGTATTCTTTGGTGGCATGACAGTTGTTGTACTGATAGATTGTTGTTGTAATTGGTTTCTAATTTCGATTGGGATGGAAGGGGATAAAAGATTTGATTTTTCTGGGAGGTGAGAGGAAATACTCTTGTTGTATTCGACAACCTCGGCAGCTGTCAGGGCTGGAATGGTCGATGTAACAGTCCCCATCTTTTCCACAGCCGACAAATATTTAATATATGATTTATAGATTTTATAGTCTACAACCAATTCACATAATCTTTGAATTGTAAATGGTGGTCTAGATAGAGAAAGAAAAAAAGTGTAAGTTGTTGCTGTTGTTGTTGTTGTTGTTGTTGTCAGACGTTGTTCAAGAACTAAACCATAATATTATGTGGAACATAGACATACTCTTTATATTCTTTAAAATGATTTTGAAATTGTGATTTGATCTTTTGTTGGGCAGCTTTCTTATTTTTTAATTCCTCTTCCTTTATATTTGATTGATTTTCATTTGACTCAAAGATATCAAATATCTCTTGTAATTTGAAAAATACTAATTCCTTTAAATCTATCCATGGATAACTATAATATATATATAATCAAAATAGGTAATTAGTTTTCTCTCTCTTTCTCTCTCAAAGTAGTAGTATCATATCCGCAAGTTGATGAGACTGACCATGTAACTCCAGTTACTGCTATATTGTCTATGATTGACATTAATTCAGGTGTAACATTCTTTGTTTCTTGCTTTGCAAATTCTATAATAAAGGAGAGAGATCTTTGTTAGACCAACAGTCAATGATTATCATCAATATCTCTGAGCATCTCGATCTCGATCTTTGATCATTCATTCAATGACTTACCTTTAAGTTGATTTTCAAGTTCACTATTATACAACACCTGAGTCATTCTACTTTTCTCTCTCTTTCTATCTCTCTCTTTTTAAAAACTATAATACAGATAAATAAATAATTATAATATATATTATTAGTATCTCTGAAATGAATGTATTATTAATAAGTTACTTTTTATTTTTTTATTTTTTTTAAATTTTTGTTTTCGCGGTCAAAATCTGCATTAATATTATAACGACACCACAAATCTATTTTTAACGATCGATCTGTGATCTACTAACTTTAACTTTTGTTGTATTATTCTAGTCTTGGGAATAAACCAACAGCACCATATTGAGATAAATCTAGAATGGATTGTTTGAGGGATTGATCTTTTGGATCAAATGGTTCACAGCGTCTGACATGGTATAGGGATACTATAGTCTTTAGATCACTGTATTTGATACCATGTCGATACTGTGATTCTAATTGTGGCCATATTTCCTTCCACATTGGAATAAGATCCAATGAATAGAATTGATTTTCAAATGTACCAATAAGATGTAGCTTTTCCAATTGTTTCTTGGTTGATTGGTCCAATTGGTCATAGTCGATGGCTGACTTTATCAAATGTTGAAAGACAGAGTGACGCTTTTTAATCTCGCGATCCAATATCTTTTGATTGTTGATCGTGAATTCCAACTCTTGAATTTGTTCATCAATGTCTTGTTCTCCGGCAAATGTCTTGTGAATCTCTGAAAGGTAGGGGTTGGCAGGTACAAATAATTTAAATGCCCGAGATGGCATAATCGTAAAATTCTCCATATCCTTTTCACCAATCTCTTCATCTGCATCAACTATTACACTTAATTCTTCAATCCATTCATCTTTTAAATTTAATTCAATTATATTCTAGAAAATTAAAAATTAATTAATTGTTATAGTTTTTAAATAAATTATTTGTTTCATCAAACATACCATTTCATATTCAATTAAATGTTTAAATAAATTTGGTAAAGTATTATTATTATTACCGTTATTATTATTATAAAGGAATTGAATGAATCGATTTGATAATTTATCACGAGTATAGAAATATTTTGATTTTGAGAATTGGGTCAAGAGATTGTCTATGGGTTGATTTAGGATGGTGTCGGCTAATAGATTATGATTTAATATATAGTTGATGAGACCGATAGTGCCTGGGATGACTGTGTAGAGACCTTCGAGTATTTGGTCGCTCGACAGTCCTACCAGCTTGGCCATTTGGTTGGTGTTTTCAATGATAGTGTTGTGTGAAGGGTTGTTGATGGGATGAATCATCAGTCCTGTTTCAAACATATTGGCGTGAAGGTTAGACTTGCAGTCTGTCAAAAAGTCGATTGATGTCTTTTTCTTGAAACTGGTGCAGAGATGGCTGAGCTTGCGTTGGTCAGCACGTGCCTGTTGGTCGCCCGACATGGCATAGGTGTAGTAGACCTGGAACTGACGATTAGCCTCTCGCATTAAAAGATCGATTTTGGCACGATTGTCACGTTCGTTTAGTGCGGCAGCCGTGTCCACAGTGACGGTCTTGAACAACAGGTCATCCCATCGTTCCTCGATGAATGCACGGTACCCTTTAATCGATGCAATGTAATCTCTACCACTCTTTAACGCTTCCATAACCAAATTAAAAGGATCGGTTGTTATTCTTGGATAATGTGATTGAACATAAATCATTGTATCAGTCACCGAATTTAACTCTTTCCAATCTTTAACATGTTCTGGTAATTTTATATTATTATTATTATTACTCTTATTATTCTCATTATTATCTATTTGTTGTTGTTTTTCTAATAAAGTATTTAAACCTTTAAAAATTTCTCTTTCAATGATATCTAGTTCCGAGTTGAAGTATCCGATAGCACCTTGGAGAAGACGGGCTGTCTGTCTGGCACTGCGGAGTAGTGTACGTTCGTCTTGTTCGGTGGTCCAGTTACTGTTACGCAGTATCTCGTCGAGACTGTGCCAGTGCAAGACGGGGATGATCTCATTGAGCTTGCACCCAATGTACATGTCCCACTTGGTCATATCCTCGCGCCAATAGAACCGACACCATCGGTGGATAGCCTCGTGCGGCGTCCACTTGTCAATATGAGCTGGGTTGTACGAAGCAAACTGATCCTCTTGGTGAAACGATGCGTACTGTGGCATCTCCAATTCACCATCCACCCATCTCGACGACTGCTCCATATACTCTTTAAATATACGTTCTTCCTCTTCCATTCTTTTAACCAATTCTTGATCTCCACTTGCTTCTTTTGATAATATTTGTTTCTTCTTGTTAGAGTTTGAGTTTAATGATTGTTTTTGTTTTTGTTGGTTGTCTTGGTCTTGTTGTTCTTGGATCTTTGCAACACGATCTTTTCTCTTTAGATGTTCGTAGTCTTCGTTGGGAGACATGACACGACGCGACTCGTGATGAGTAAATGACACACCGCTGTTCATTGCCAGCGCCATCGCACGTAGTGTGAATGGACTGGCATTGACCTCTCCCACAGGCACGTTCATAAACGATGCAATACCACCATGCATCGTCGTAGTCTGCTTCAAATCACTTGACATTGCAATAATCTTTCTCGCCAACTCGTCTTCTCCCAGATCCTTGATATAGTTTCTTCGTTCGGCATGTGACTTTGTCTCATACTCTTTTGGTAACATCAACCCTTTGTATTGATTATAATGTTGTGTTGTTGAATATGATCTAATACTACTATAACTACTTGTCCATTTCCTCAAATGACCTATAATCTGTCTTTGTTGGTTTGTGATCATCCTTTAATCATATGATTTACACACTTAATAGTGAGTGAACGTATGATCATCAAGTTTTCAAAGAGATCGACACTTTATGCCACCAGTTTTAAAATTTAATTATTATTTTTCTTTTTATTATTCAGAACCAAGACCGGGCCAGTGGACTGTCTCACTTCAGTTTATCTTCAGTGTATCTCGAAGTTACTCAACTCAAAGATAGATAGATATATAGATAGATAACCTTAACCCAACCCCCCTAGGAGGATGACATTTAAAGAAACAAATGCAATTCATACAATGTGAAGATGAATAAGGCAAAGTGTTCAATCATTTCACTGGCCCTCAATGCCATCGTAAGCATGATAAGGTGCGATAACCTGAGGAATGGTCGATAATACGTTAACGGACAAATAATGTCTAACCAAAATCAATTTTTATTTATTATTATTATTATTATTTTTAGGGATATTGCTAAAAGATTGTTAGATGAGTGTCACAATTTGATGGTGATAGCTAAAAGAAAGACGGTCGGACCAAAAGAAGTGACAGTAGCAACCAAAGTTACAATTCATGGTAAACTTCAACTTGATACAATCACTCATGGGATTTTGAAATTGAAAATGGTAAAATGAATAATAAGAAAATCAGTGCCAAATCAGCTGGTCATATTTAAACCAACATGGTACAAACAACAATTAAAAGAGATTGGATGTCAAAGAGTCAGCAAACTTGCTCTTTTCTTTATTACTGGTGTCATTGATTGTTTGGCACAAAAGGTTATCAATGCTTCTATTGATCAATCTGTACTAGATAAAAAAAATGTAATTACCTTTTTCAAGTATTATTCGTTGCTAATCATCATTATCACCTAAATCTCTCTAGAGGCTTAATTCAAATCACATTAGACTTGCATTAGGATGTAATTATGATTTGAATAAGTTGTTTAAATAGTACGATTGGAGGTGCTGGTCTAGTCGCCCATATGGATCCACCTCTCTCTCTGAAATGGAAGCTTTGGAAAATACTTTTGACCAAAATCTAAAAATGTTTAATGAAAGGATAAATTATATTCATGATATTTATCAAGAAGATGGAGAAGTAGAAGAGGAGGAATAATTAATTAATTATTTATAAAAGTACTTCAAAAAAGGTGATTCATTCATTTGGACTCTGGTTTAAATTTGGAACTTAAAAATAAATAATAATAATAATAATAGATCTGTCATCGCACCTTCGAACCGTAATTGGAACAGAGGTGGGTTGTTTGTTATTATTTTTAGATTGGTGGGAGAACTCCCTAAGGAGCCTACTTTGGTGCTCAAAGAACAACTCAACTTACGTCCCTATTTAACAATTGTAGTTACTATAATGTACTGTTGCTGTTATTAAACAAATAAAAGAAAAGAAGGTTATGATGGACTATATAGAATCAGATGCGATAACATGTTTGTTAAATCGAATGGAGCCTAGTGTTAGCATCAGTCCTCAATCCATGGATGTGTTAGTTCATATTTCAAGGTAAAAAAGAGACAACTTCGTCATCATTAAATTTGCTAAAATTTCATACAATACATTTATTATATTTACTTAAATATGAAAGAGATATAGCTGAAAGAATAATAGAAGAGGCACAATGTATGGTAGCAAAGGAGAGTAAAAAGACAATCACAGTAAGGGAAATCCAATTCGCTACTAGAATTATACTGGATGGCGCTGTTGCAATGCATGCCATCGTACAAGGCATGTTTGCTGTGGAATCTGGTATGTATTGTCAATTCTGACCTGACTACAACAACAAAAACAACAACAACAACAACAACAATAAGCAAACATTAACCATATTTATAAATTAACTTTAGGTGGGGAAAAGAAAGAACGTCTCACATTAAAAGTATCATGGTACCAACAGCTATTCGAAGAGATGGGATATAGAACCCAAAAACTTGCTCCTCTCTATCTTACTGCTGTTATAGAGTACGTGTTAATAGAGATTCTCGAGCTTTCCTATATGCATGCAATGGAAGAGAAAGAAACGGTAAGAAGACACAAGATCTTAAGATTGCAATATGTTGCAAAAGAGAGATTGATTCATTGACCTATTCTAACTGTTTGTCTCAATTAATGATCATACAGGAAATCACTCCAGGTCACATCAGACATATTATATCACGTGATTGGGAATTATTTAAAGTATTCCCACGTTCAAGTGTCATTGCTGGTGCAGGTCTCTTGCGTTATATCGATCCCAAAACAGAGGTTATCACTAAATCCAATGATAGTGACGATCAAGAAGATAATAATAGTAGTCACAATGATGATGATGATGATAATCAAGATGATGATGATGATGAAGATGATGATGATGATGATGAAGATGATGAAGAAGATGATGATGAACAAGAACAAGAAGTGGAGCAAGAAGATGAAGAAGTTGAGAATCTCGAACACCTTTTCAGTGAATTGGATCCAAATCTTGAGGGCACTCAAGAGCAGCTTAATAATAACAATAATAATAATAATAATGTTATATTTAAATGTAATGGACCAACTGAACACCCATTAAAAGTTTGGTGTCAACAAGAATTTGATGAATGTTATTTTTATTTAGAGGAACCAATCTCTAGATCAAAGATTGCAGCATTTGACATGGACGATACTCTTATCAGAACAAAGTCTGGTGCCAAGTTTGCTCAATCACAATCGGACTGGCTTTTCTGGGATGATAAAGTTCCATCAAAGATTGCTGAATACTATAGACTTGGATACCAAATTGTAATTGTTACAAATCAAGGTGGTATTGGAATACACGGCAGACACGATCACACCAAATTCTCTCAAGTCAGTGGAAAGATTCAAGACCTATTTAGATTTTGGAATATGCCATGTATTGCTATTATGGCATGTGATGTCGATGGTTTATGGCGTAAACCAAGTAAATTAATGTGGAACTTCCTCGTTGAAGAGTGTACAGATGGTTCTGTATCTATCAACAGTAAAGATTGTATATATGTTGGTGATGCTGCTGGAAGGTATGTTTAAATAATATTAATATTTAATTAATATAATATTAAATAATAATGATTGGTTAATAACTAGTATCATTATTTTATATTTAATTAAATCATTTTAATTATATTAGACCAGACAATTGGAAATCAGGAAAGAAAAAAGATTTTGCATCATCAGATCTTGGATTCGCACTTTCATCTGGTATTGCATTCAAAACTCCAGAAGAATTCTTTTTAGATGAACCTCCTTTTGTGTTTGATCAGACAGTAGGTGCAAATGGAATCATTTCAAGTGACAAGATACCAAAGGTAGCTACAACAGGTGATATTATCCAAGGTGGTGCTAATATCATTCCACCATTTCAACGTCAAGAGCTTGTTATTATGGTTGGTCTTCCAGCATCTGGAAAGAGTACATTTACAGAGACTCATTTTGTTCCAGCTGGCTATAGTCGTGTAAATAGAGATACTCTAAAGACAAAAGAAGCTTGTTATAAGGCTTGTCAATTTGCATTGGATCAAGGTAAATCAGTTGTAATAGATAATACCAATCCATCAAAAGAAGATAGAAAAGTATTCATAGATATGGCTAAAAAATGTATGTTGTTATTTTTTATTTATATCTAATTATATAAACCAACTCCCAAACTAACGATCTATCTTTATATTTAATTAATTAAAACTATAGTGGGTTTACCAATTAGATGTTTTAGAATGAATACACCACTCGATTTGGCACAACATTTAAATTACTTTAGAGAAAGAAAACAAGGTGTCAAACATGTTCCAAATATTGGATACAATATGTTTAACAAATGTTTACAGGAACCTCAATTGAATGAAGGAATCGATGAAATCAATCATGTCAATTTCATTCTCAACATCAATCCAAATGATGTCAGCAACTGGAACATTCCAAAACCAAAATAATTAATGTAATTAGATCCAATTTTGTTTATTAACAAAAGATTATTTAAATCTGATTGTTTCACACAACAGAATAAATAAATATTTACCACCATCCACCGTTTCCACCATTTCCACCAGCATCACCTCCATTTCCACAGATACCGCCACTACACGCAACTGAATTGAAAGAGTCGTTTGTCACCCCTCTAGAGGTATATTTATAACCAGAATGGTTGTTGTTGAATTGGTTACTAATGGAAATAGGTGAAAGTTTTGATAGATTTTCTATTTTTAAAAAAAAATTAGAATAAGAATAGGTTTATAAATTAACTATGTATTATTATTAACTTGCTAAATATCATTTCGAAATATATATAGAATTAATAATTATTACCAGGGAAAATAGAAATAAAAATAATAATAATTGATAAATCCATAACTTAAATATTAATATTTAGAATCATGAAAAAAAATCGGATTATTCCTGATTTGGATTTCAGCATTATCATAATGGCTTCACCAAATAGAATCAACATCCATCCTTATTCATTAATCTTCCCACCTCGACCATTTATGGAAATTAAAAGTTAAATTATTCTTTACCAATCTGTGGATATGATATGTGATAACTTTAAAAGACTACTCATTGATTACAAGTGGTTGCACTGAAAGAGTTAAAAAAACTATTTTATTTATAGAATAAATAATAATGAAAAGATAGAGATAATCATCATCATCATGATAGAGGATGACGATGGACTGGAAATACTGGTAGCTGATGATACAAGATCAGTAGTGGCACATTCCTGGGTCAGATTTCTATTGATGATATGGAATGATGGTTGAATGGTAATTGATTGTCTAAACGATGGTGTTACAGCGACAATAGTAGTGGTGTTGACAGTTCCTCCTGATTCTGATCGATAAGAGATGATGTTTGGAAGAGTATCTATCATCGATGCATGTACTAGTTTTCCTTGTAGCAATGCTTCAGATACTGTTGAATCACCAATTAACAGACTAGAAGTGAGATTATTTGGTGTCTCAAATTTTGAATTGGTCACTGTGTCGTTGCAGATTGATGGATTGGAAATAGAGGTGTGAATCTCAAATTGATTATCTGGTGAGGCAAATGTCCATCCAGAGATTGTAATATTATACAATACCGATCCGGCAGTATTATTGTATCTCTGACCTGCAAAATATACCTCCTCATTGTCTTGATCGACAAGAGTGGCACCGAAAAATATTGATAACCCTTGACCTCTAAATGTGAGACTATTTCCAGCTGTCACTGTCCATCCAGACAATGTTGTTAGATCCAAAGTACGAACATCAGTATTATTATTATTATTAACTGTATCCTTTTCAACCAATTTCAATAATCCAATTGAATATTTAACTTGATTGTTGAATGAGATTGATAATATTGGTTTACTAGCCGTGTCAGTGGTTGATGGTGTGAGGACAATCGATTTGGTGGTATTGGATGATAGTTTAATTCCACATGATGGGCCATCCCATTGAGGATTAAGATTACAATCACAATTTCCAATCATACAACGACCTCTATCATTACAATTATCTATACAGTTCTCGTTTAATTCTAAATTATACATTAAAAAATAAAAATATTAATATTAATCATTTAATTGAGATTATATTATAATTACCTACCTGGATAAGTATGAGAATCACCAGTACTATATAGTGGATTAAAGAAACTATTGTAAGCATAAAAGCCATATTGATATTCAACATCTGATACCAAGTTATCAATATAACAATAGAGTTGTGTAGTTGAATTACACATCACAATATTTGGACCACTTTCAAATCCTAAAGTAGCCACATAATAGGTAGAGTCTGGTTGTCCACCTACCAACTCTGTCCATGTCATGTTGACTGAATTGATACCGAATACTTGGTTGGTTGAGAATCCACTTGGAACGACATAGGTGGTGAACGAGACTGTTTTTTGGGAAGAGGAACCATCATTATTGGCTCTCATGATAATGGTAAAGGTCTGTTCTGATGGATATCTTTCATTCTCATAGGTGTAAATAAAGTATCCGGCTGGAGTAGCTGTCAAATTGACCGATGCACCATTGACAAGAGCAGAGTAGGTAGTGGCACCTGGCACACCACCAGTTGAACTATAACTAACATTGAAATATGAATTATGTTGAACGATAATAGCATCGGTGTTGGCGACTAATGGATAGGTGGTGGCGACTGTTGTAGCGGCGACTTGGGTACCATCATTTGTAAACGTTGCAACAATGGTTTGTGTGGAACCAGCAGTCAATGATGAAATGGTACATTGTGATGTGGATCCTCCAGCTTGGACAGGTTCGCAAGTAACAGCTGTGGAATTAACTGTGAATGTTACAACCGTGTCACTTGGAGCACCACCAATGTACGAATATGCAACAGTGACTGTTTTAGTTGTAGCTGATACGACAGTTAACGTTTGACCGCTGATACTAGCGAGTGTTTTAATGGTAGTTGATTGAGTGTACTGATACCCATTATTAAGAGTTGTAAAGGATATAGTGTTGGTGGTATCTGGTGTCAATCCACTTATTAAACAAGATGTTGTTGTTGTGAAATTGGCGGGGGTAGATGAACAGTTGCTACTGACTTGGTCATTGACTTTGACCGATACAGAGATTGGGAATCTTTGGTCACCTCCAACCAACGCATAGGATAGTGACACAGACTTTGTTGTTGTGGCTGTCAACGTTGGTATTTGAATGTTGGTGACCGGTTGGTACACGGTTGTAATAACACTCAATACTTTGAGCGAGCTGAATGAGCTGGTAACAGCAGACACCGAGAGCGTAATATTCGGTGATCCCGATGCAGCGACCACTGCAGCCAGACCACCGATAGTACACGATGGGCCAGTCACACAACTAGCATTTGAACTACTCTCAACTCCATTCACCTTTACAACATACGTTGTCTCTGATCCATATGAACTATCATCCAGAACATAATCAAATGTAACAGAGTCTGCAGTAGCACCAGTAAAATTGATTGATGTTACATTTGGTGCTAACAAATAAATAAATAAATAAATATTTGTTTAAAAAAGAGATCAAGTAAGTAATCATGGATCGCTTTGATATTAATATTGATTGATTGATTGATTAATAGTTACCATATGGTAGTTGCATAACTTTAGATACATAGGTACCACCCATATCTTGTGGAACGTATAAATTGGGGATTGCGTAGATTCTGATTCCCTTGCCTGGAGTGGGAATGGGAGCTGGAATGGTGACGGTACAGCCAGTGGCTGGACAGTTGGAGGCGAGAGGGATTCTGGTCCCGATTCCATTGGTACTTGCTTGGTAACTGATTGCATAGCCTGGCATGGAATAGGTGAAATAGTCGGGCATATTACTGGAAAAGCCTGGAATGGTGATTGTGGTCAGAGTCAAAGTAGTACCATTTTTAAAAACTAATCCATAGGGGCTTGGAACAACCGATGCGTATGCAATATTATCGGGTACCGATCCCAATTGAGGACAGTCCACACCATGAAGGGTAGCCGTACCTTGACCACAAGTAGTAGACGTGGCGTAATTAAAGTTGAGTCCGCCACCACCTGCCTGTGGCGAGATATTCGTAATCAAGGTATCAAATGCTTCTGAACGCACACACGTTTCTGACACACCAATCAGGACTCTACCAGCATTTGTAGTATCTCCACAATTCCTATATTATAGTTAGTTAGTCATAGTAATTAGTAAAAGATATAATAGATTGGATAATAATGTAGTGGGTTATGGGGTTAGGGGGCTAGATCGATACATACGAGGTTGTGATATGTTTCTCGTAGAATAAGAAATAAGGAAGTGGAGATAATGGAAACTCTGATGTCTGGAATCTATAATAACGATTGATTCCTGGGGAGAGAGGTACAGACAGACATGTTCCTAGTGGCTCAGAGTTGATAGTGGTTCCAAGAGGCACTGAACATGCATCGTCGAGGTAGTTTGAAACGGTTACTGCACCTGAATCGAGAGTGTACTTGTACGATTTTCCCAAACCACTTGTATAACATTGACCGTTGACTACTGACACGACAGAGACTGCAAGTGTCGAACCAGAGCAATCATTGTTCGGAAAAGAAGATACAACTATATAGGTTGCATTGATTTGTACAACCAGTACTAATACAAATAATATAGCTATGGTTACTACTCTTTGAAAGTTGACCATTATTATTATTATTATTATTAGAACTAATATATATTAATTGGTGTGAATGTTCAAAAATAACACTTGTTGTGTACGGTTGTTTGGGGGCTTGCGTGTAAAACAGAAAAAACAAATCTAACACCATCGATGTGAGGCGCACATGTGCAAGCACGAACGGATCATTTTTGGGTGATCGGTGCTAAGATCAACCCTGCCCAATTCAATGAAGGCGAACTTCGTAGAACCCACATTTTTTGTTTTTTTGTTCTTTATGCATTCCTGGGGTCAGATTTCTATTGATTTTATGGAATGATGGTTGAATGGTAATTGATTGTTTAAACGACGGTGTTACAGCGACAATAGTAGATCGGTAAAAGATGATGATGTTTAAACAGTAAAGATTGTATATATGTTGGTGAATCACGTTGTAATAAATTTAATATTTAGTTTCTTTTGTTTATTTAAAAAAGATTATAATCTTATTGTTTCACACAATAGAATAAATAAATAAATATTTACCACCATCCACCGTTTCCACCGCTACCACCGTTTCCTCCATTTCCTCCATTTCCACCAGCATCACCTCCATTCCCACAGATACCACCACTACATGCAACTGAATTGAAAGAATCGTTTGACGACACTCCTCTGGTATATTTATAACCAGAATGGTTGTTGTTGATTTGGTTACTAATGGAAATAGGTGAAAGTTTTGATAGATTTTCTATTTTTAAAAAAAAATTAGAATAAGAATAGGTTTATAAATTTAACTAAGTATTATTATTAACTTGCTAAATATCATTTTGAAATAGACAGAATTAATAATTATTACCAGGGAAAATGGTAATAAAAATAATAATAATTTATCAATAACTTAAATATTAATATTTAGAATCATGAAAAAAAATAGGATTAATCCTGATTTGGATTTCAGCATTATCATAATAACTTCACCAAATAGAAACAACCTTCCTTTTTCTTTTAATCTTCCCACCTCGACCATTTATGGAAATTAAATGTTTAACTTTTAAAGAATAATTATTCTTTAATTCTTGGACTCTACCAAAAGAATTAAAAATAATATTTAAAATATTGGTTGGCGCCAAATATTTTTCTGATTGTATTGGAAGTGTTTGTCTTCTCTTCAAGCACAAGCAATTTCCCGTACGGAACTATTTCAGATCTTATTTGAGATATATATATTTCTTCATTATGTTGTCAATAGTCAAACAATCAAATGCTATTAAAAAGCTGATGAAAGTGGGTGGCATCCAGAATAGAATCAGTGCTCCTGCCCTCAATATTATTATAAACATTACACAGTATGTCTTCTTTTACAAGCTAGATCATTGCAATCATATCGTTTACAGTTTACTGACTCTTCTTCTTCTTCTTCTTTTTGGATGATAGAGACATGGCTCTAAAGATAGTAGAGGAAGCACATGATTTAATGAAGAAGGAGCAAAAAAAGACACTCACCGCTAGAAATATCCAATACGCTTGCAGAATTGCTATAAATGGGCAACTTGGAATGCACTCTATTGTACAAGGGATGTATGCAGTCTCTCAAGAAGAAGAAGAAGATAAACGTATGTATTTCTTTTTGATGAATCCTATCTTGATCAATTCGCCGTTCAATAGGGTGCACTAACCTATTGGTTTTTATTCATTTTAGGTTTCCAGAAGATATTCAAACCGTCATGGTACAAACGACTATTGAATGAGAATGGGTGTACACGAGTCGGTAAGAATGCCCCTCTCTATCTATCTGCAGTTATGGAGTACTTGACAATAGAGATTCTCGAGCTCTCTGATCATACTGCAACAAAAGATAAAAAAAAGGTAAACTCATACAACATGCACATCAGGCATATACAAATAAGATGCTCATTGATACATTTATCGAATACATAAACTTACTAACTTTCATCTATCTATCATTATTGATTTATAAACAGACAATCACTCCAGTCCACATCAAACTTGCTTTATCGTTGGACGAGGAATTATTTGGTTTGCTTCCAAGTTCAACTGTGATTGCTGGTGTTGGTAACCTGCGTTTTGTTGATCAACCTGTAAATGATTTAAATGAACAAGAAAAACAAGAGGATCAAAAAGAAGAAGAAGATTATGATGATGAAGAGGAAGATGAAGAGGAGGAGGAAGAGGAGGAAGAAGTACCCACACCAACAACTAGTACTCAAAGACAAGAACAAAAATTTTCAACCTCAATCAAAAAATAATAGTAATAATATTAATAATAATAATAATAATAATAATAATAATAATAATAATAATAATAATAATAATAATAATAATAATAGTGGTAATAATAATAATATTTATAATAATAATAATAATAATAATGTTATATTTAAATGTAATGGTCCAACTGAACACCCATTAAAAGTTTGGTGTCAACAAGAATTTGATGAATGTTATTTTTATTTAGAGGAACCAATCTCTAGATCAAAGATTGCAGCATTTGACATGGACGATACTCTTATCAGAACAAAGTCTGGTGCCAAGTTTGCTCAATCACAATCGGACTGGCTTTTCTGGGATGATAAAGTTCCATCAAAGATTGCTGAATACTATAGACTTGGATACCAAATTGTAATTGTTACAAATCAAGGTGGTATTGGAATACACGGCAAACACGATCATACCAAATTCTCTCAAGTCAGTGGAAAGATTCAAGACCTATTTAGAATTTGGAATATGCCATGTATTGCTATCATGGCATGTGATGTCGATGGTTTGTGGCGTAAACCAAGTAAATTAATGTGGAACTTCCTCGTTGAAGAGTGTACAGATGGTTCTGTATCTATCAACAGTAAAGATTGTATATATGTTGGTGATGCTGCTGGAAGGTATGTTAAATAATATTAGTTTAAAGTTTTGAAAAGAAGAATAGTGATTACTATATTAGTCATTTATATAAATGTATATTAAATTAACCAACATTATTTAAATAGACCAGACAATTGGAAATCAGGAAAGAAAAAAAATTTTGCATCATCAGATCTTGGATTCGCACTTTCATCTGGCATTGCATTCAAAACTCCAGAAGAATTCTTTTTAGATGAACCTCCTTTTGTGTTTGATCAGACAGTAGGTGCAAATGGAATCATTTCAAGTGACAAGATACCAAAGGTAGCTACAACAGGTGATATTATCCAAGGTGGTGCTAATATCATTCCACCATTTCAACGTCAAGAGCTTGTTATTATGGTTGGTCTTCCAGCATCTGGAAAGAGTACATTTACAGAGACTCATTTTGTTCCAGCTGGCTATAGTCGTGTAAATAGAGATACTCTAAAGACAAAAGAAGCTTGTTATAAGGCTTGTCAATTTGCATTGGATCAAGGTAAATCAGTTGTAATAGATAATACCAATCCATCAAAAGAAGATAGAAAAGTATTCATAGATATGGCTAAAAAATGTATGTTGTTATTTTTTATTTATATCTAATTATATAAACCAACTCCCAAACTAACAAATGAACTACTATAGTGGGAATACCAATTAGATGTTTTAGAATGAATACACCACTCGATTTGGCACAACATTTAAATTACTTTAGAGAAAGAAAACAAGGTGTCAAACATGTTCCAAATATTGGATACAATATGTTTAACAAATATTTACAAGAACCTCAATTGAATGAAGGAATCGATGAAATCAATCATGTCAATTTCATTCTCAATATCAATCCAAATGATGTCAGTGATTGGAACATTCCAAAACCCAAATAATCATCGTAATTACAAACACCATTTGTATTAATGTATAAATTAATTTGTTTTATTTATTCAGAAGAGACTAGGTAAACCAGATTTCCTTTAGAATCCAACTTTGTTTTTGGTTGTTCAATTGTTATTTGTGGAACCTTTTTTGTTTTTAGTTTTGTAAATGTAAATTGTCTAGTTAGTGGTTTTTTAAATATTGCTCCACGGTATCGATATCCATTGTTTGCTAACCAATTGATCATTGTATCTGTGATTTGCTTTAGACTTTGAATTACTAGTGTTTGGATTTTCAATCCACCAATTTTTTCAAGATCTCTTGTGTAGAACTCTCTGAATTTAATGGTTTTGGTGGTTGATGGAATATCGCCAGAAAAATAAAGATGACCCAATATGTTATGACTACAAACCAGTTTGGTAATGTTGGTACCATTCAAATTATAATCATTAATATATGATTTGGATGCGTGGAATGTTTGGAGCTTTGGCATTTGTTGTGGTGGTACAATGTTGCTGTTGATAATTCTGTTGGCTAATGTCTTGTCAAGTTGAATATGTTCATCACGCCATAATGGTGGAAGTATTAGTTTTACCAGTTGTCTTTTAGTTGTCTTTGCCAGCGCATCCAAGAATACATTTAGATCGAATCGAACTTCATAGCGTTCTAAATTGAGTGATGTCAAGTTTTTGAAACTTGATATGAATTGAGGTGTATACAACTTTAAAAAAGGTTGTTTATCAAATCCTCTTGTAGAACTATTTGATCCACAACGAGCAGTCAATGATTTAATATTCTTGAATATGATAGGCATTGTCTTGATTTATAAACTTGACAAGACATTTGCCAGCACCATTATCAACAGCAATATTATACCACCACAACAAATGCCAAACCTCCAAATATTTCATGCAACACTAACACCAACCGATCGTTACACTTTAAATGACACTAATATTAGCAAGTTGGTGTGTTATCATCCAGATATGGCACCATTATTTGCAGGCAGTATTCCATCAACCACCAAAACCATTAAAATCAGAGATTTCTACTTTACGATCGATGAAACAATCAATGGGTTGGAAGTCGAAACACTAATCATTCAACGTCCAAACCAAATCACTGATGAAAAGATCAACGCATTCGCAAGACATGGGTATCAATATCGTGGAGCAATATTTAAACAATTACCAGACACACGATCATCAACTAGACAATATACATTTACAAAATCAAAAACTGGGGATCCACAAATAACAATTGAATTACCAAAAATAGAGTTGGCTTGATCAACCGAAAGTCTACCTATATCCTTTACAATCTCCATCAATAGTACAACCTACATCAATTGTTAAAACAAAAATAATTATTAATAATATATTTTTTGATTTTTCATTGAGCTCGTTGGAGATTCGCGCAGTAGAGAGGTTTTCCTTCTTGTTGTTTACTTGCATGGTGTTGAAAGTCGACTTTAGTTTTTGTTTTTTTAATTTTTTTTAGATTTTTGTTGTCAGTTACCTATTTCCAACTGAATTCAACGGAGGTTGGTAACTCTCCGATAAAAATGTATCAAAACTTCTATGTAGTATTTATTATTTAAAAAGAGATACAACAAACTGGATATTTATATAACATTATAGAGTACTTGTCATAGTATATAGATATATTTTTTTGGAATGGATTTCTTTAGAAGTAATAATAACAACAGAGGAAATCAAGGTCAATTTCCTGTTTTTTCTGTCAAACTATGGTATCAGAGAGAGTATATTTGATTCACTTCCCTAATTGTTTTAGTTCATACCTCAAAGAAAACAATTGTACAAGTGATTTTCTTTGCACAGGTTGTAAAGTCAAAGATTCACAAATTGCAAAGTTGGAGGGTCAGCTGTCAAGTAGAATTCCAATGGATTCAAGAGAAAGAACAACACAATCTAGGGATAATTACAATCCATTAATATTCCTATTTCAAATATATTCTTCAGATAGTAATAAAAAGCAATGGTTTATTAAAAAAGAGGTAGATCTTAGACTAATCTTAATACCTTTTCTTCCAAATTTCTTAAAAATAAAACAGCATCTACAAATTTGGAATGCATTGATACAATGAAGAGGTAGGTAATAGAGTGTTGTTTCTTTTTAGTTGAATAAAACTTGGTGTCCCAAATCATGTCAGTAGGACAATTGGTCCTAAACTCTACTCCATCTATTGCTCCAACGAATATAGTATTATTGATTAATACAGATTCACTATCTATGAGGTCTTTTTCCATTCTAATATAATTAAAACTTGATGAAAGGAAGTCCAATACATTTGACCTAACATTTCTGTAAGTTGTTTCTGATATCGAGAAGATAAATTCTCCTAGTATATCAGTTGTGAATTGACGTATGTGGTATACTCCAATTAATAGTCTTTCAAATGAAGAGAGAAAATGTCTTTCATCTTTGGAGTTATAAAACTTTTTGTACTTTGGTGCCAACTTAAATATGGTTGTTCTAGAGATACCCATTATCTGTTCAAACTTCTTTGGTTTGATAACATAAATTAGTTTGTATAAGAAATATCTATGTACTTTATTATAAGAATATGGTGGAGGAAGGTGGATCAAATGAGTTATTGATTGTTTGATTAAGTTGTTTTTATTTCGAATTATCTTCCGAGTGAGGACTCACTACTTACAAATATCATTTCTATTTATTTGTTTATAATTTAATCAAATGCAAAACACAACAACAAGAGAACAAAGAGGTTGTTCACAAAAGAAAGAGAGGTGGTCAATTTTTCAAGTTAACAACAGATTCATTCACATCAACAACATCAACAAGAACACAAAACGAAACATATGATGATGATGAAGACGAAGATTATGATGACGATGATGATAATGATAGTTTTAGTTTAGAAAAAGAGAAAAAAAAGAAACTTGCAAATGGTAAATATTTAAATTTAAAGACAAGATAGATGACTATCGATAAAGTTATATCTTTAATGGTTTTAAATTCTAACTCTTTCTTCATTTGTTTATTAATTGTAAAGAAGAAGAAGAAGAAGAGGATGGAAAAAGTAAAAGATACACAGAGAATGAATTGAAAAGTAAACTTCGAAAGGATTTGGTTGTGATTTGCAAAGAATTGGATTTATCATGCCCAACAAGGCAAACAAAGAATTTATTGATCAAAAAAGAATAATAGAGACACAAAACAAAAGATTAGAATTCAAACTTAAAATGGTTGACAATAACCCATTGTATGATTACAACAAAGGAGTACTTGAGTATTCATTGCCGTGGCCAATCATTGGTAGAATACTGGATCTAGTTTGGACTGCAACATCTATTTGTACATGTTACTATCATAGCCAATTTGTGCAAAAAATGAAAGACGGTATGACTCTTAATCACTTTCGGTACCACGATTGTGGAGCTAGCCAAAGAGACATCTCAATGTGGGAGGTGTACAAAGAATCAAGAATGCAATGTCCCATGCACTCGTATCACTTTTGGCTCGAAATGAATCCACCACCACCACCACCACCACCAATCAAACCTGTCAAACTTTTGGATAAAGCCGACAATTTTAAGGTTAAAGAAAAAGATGAAGAAGAAGAAGAAGAGGAAGAGGAAGAGGATTATGATTCGGATGAAAACTATGATAATTCGGAAAATGATATGGATAATGCAGATTATGAAACCAAAATGGACCACATATTTTCCACATCGACCGACATTGCCCTAGTCACTATGCGTGACAAGAACAGATGGAGGTATCAACTTTTAGGCCTATCCAAAAGAGTGTTCCAATTTTTGTCGTCAAAACATTGTACCAGTCTTCGATTCAAATACAGACCAGCCACCTCTTGGCCACACGTCACCAGTCAATATTTTCCAATTAAAACACCAAAGGTCGTCACATTACTTCAAACAATCCACGCACTCCCAACAGACACACCCGTCTTTAGTATGATCGAGAAGCTCAAACTAGACATTTTTTATCTCAAACCACCTCACAACAAAGCTCTGCCTATTATATTCAAGAATATCAAATCACTGACAGCTTTTTGTAATTCAAGTACGACAAGAGGCGGTGATAAACTCCCTTTTTTAAAGTTGTATACACCTCAATTCATATTATGTTTCAAAAACTTGACAGCACTCAATTTAGAACAATATGAAGATCGATTCGACCTCATTGTATTCTTGGATGCTGGCAAAGACAACTAAAGGACTAGTAAAACTATTACTTCCACCATTATGGCGTGATGAACATATTCAACTTGACAAGACATTAGCCAACAGCATTATCAACAGCAACAATTGAGTGATGTGAGGTTCTTGAAACTTGTTATGAATTGAGGTGTATACAACTTGGTATAATACTTTGTTTCTCGAATATCTCCCATTTTATCGTTACGACCTGTCAACGATTTGATATTCTTGAATAGAATAGGTAGCGACTTGGTGTGAGGTGGTATGATATGGAAGCAGTCTAGTTGGAGTTTCTCTACCAAACTAAAAACGGTTGTGTCTGGGGAGGGGAGCGCACAGAGACGGTCACCTTCAGATTGTTGGAGACGGACGACCTTGGGCGATTTAATTGGAAAGTATGGATTGGTGATGTGTTGCCACGAGGTTGATCCGTTTTCGAATGTAAGACTGGTACAATGTTTGGATGTTAGGAATTGGTACACTCTCTTGGATAGACCTAAAAGTAGATACCTCCATCTGTTTTTGTCTAGCATGAGAGTCTCACTAAAGTCTAAACTGTTGAAATGGACCCAATGGTACGAGTGCATTGGACATTCCATTCTTAATTCTTTGTACACCTCCCACATGGACCGAAGTTCTGGAGCGGCCTTTTGATACATTTCATTCACAAATTGACTACTATAGTAACACGTACAAATAGTTGATTCCGTCCAAACTAGATCCAGTATTCTACCAATGATTGGCCACGGCAATGAATACTCGAGCAGTCCTTTGTTGTAATCGTACAATGGGTTATTGTCAACCATTTTAAGTTTGAATTCTAATCGCTTGTTTTGTGCATCTATGATTCGTTGGATCAATATATCTTTGGTCAAGCTTGATGATTTTATATCCAATGATTGACAAATCACAACCAAATCCTTTCGAAGTTTACTTTTTAGTTCATTCTCTGTGTATGTGTATCCTTCTTCTTCTTCTTTTTTGATAAAAAAATGACTATAGTTAATATCAAACAAAACAAGTAGTAGGTATCAAGTGATATCTTTATTGGGAATAGTTATTTACCTTTATCTTTTTGATCATCTACATTGTTGGATGTTTTCTTTTTCTTTATTGTTTCTTTTAAACTATTATTATCATCTTTTGTATTTTGTGTTGTTGTCAAACCATGATCATCACCACACGCTGGTAGTTGAAATTCGGACGACCCACGTTTCCTTTTGTGATCAACAGTCTCTTTTCCGTCTACCTTTGTATTTGCGTCTTGCATTTGATTAAAATGAATATTAATATTAATATTAATATTAAATACAAAAAGGTTCATAAAAGGACAAATATATGTACTTTCGAATAGTCAAAGATCACCAAATTAGATTTACCAAGAAAACATAAAAAAACAAATGAAATACAAGTATAGTGATCGTTACTTGCTACATCAAAAGGATATGAGCATTGGTCGATTGATGCGAGGTTCAAATCTTGAATTGATATTTAAACTATGACCAGGGAGCCATTGACCAAAAAGAGATAGGGTTTCTACTTTTATGTTTCTGATAAATATTTATATATAAATATACAATCATTGCCAAAGTAAATGAGTGTACTAAGAGTTCACTCTGGGAGGGTATGAATAAAAGTGTTAATTATATTAAAAAATAAATAAAAAAAAAATAAAAAAAAGACAGATGGTTTGATGGGTGAAGAATGAAGGTTTGAGGGAAAGACAATTTTCATTATATTATTAAAAAAAAGAAAGAAAGAAAGTAAAGTAATATAACTTTCTATATCGTACATACTATTATAAATACGAATAGTATAGTTTCACTTGACTCATCATCATTATCATCACATTATTATCATCAAGTAGAATTTGATCAAGATAGATAGATAAAATATAAACAAAAAAAAATGGATAGAGAGAAAACAATAGCAGATGGTTATGGTGTATTTGTGGTAAGTACAAACATACATACATACATACATACATCGAAAAGAAAAGAAAAGAGTAATGTCTTAGGACATTAGCATATGATATTAACTATTATTCTATCTCTCTATCAAGTCGGATATTGCTAGAGGAGTGACAGATGAAATGTTGAAAGAGGAATTTAGTAAAATAGCAGAGGTATCAGAGGCTATTGTTGTAAAGAATAAGCATTCTGGTGAGACAAAGGGATACGGTTTCGTAAAGTTTTTTTCTCTAAATGACTGCTATCGTGCAGTTGAATGGACTAGTCCACCTGCTTTCAAAGATCATTTCTCTGGTAAAAGGTTTGTATTTTTTTGATTGATGACCAACAATGATTGAAACAAGTCATCATCTTCTTCTTCTTCTTCTTCTCCTCCTCTTCTTCTTCATCATCATCTTCTCTCTCTTTTTGTTCGTTTGTTACTGTTGTTATTGTTGTTATTGTAGTTGTCCTCACATCCTTATCACTATCATTTGAGACCAACCAACTAAAAAGGGGATGAGAATATATTTAGCAGAGAGATTAGATTAGATTAGATTGATGGGTCAAGGCGATAGTTTAATGATATTAACATTTCTATTCAATCATTAATAATCATTAATCATTAATCATAAATCATATTTATATTCATACGATCAACAACAAATAATAATTATTATTTTTGTAAATCATTAATCATTAATCATTAATCACTACACAATAACACATATACAATATAATATATATTTACAATCGATAAATACATAACTTTTAAAAAATATAAATATAATTATAAATCTCAACAATCACATCAAAAAAAAACAATAATTCCATTTTCATTCAATCATTAATCATTAATCTACAATATATATATATTATAAACAAAGTAAAAACAACATATTAATAATAACTTTCAATCAATCTCTTCATTAATAATTACAATTTATAAAATATAATCAAATCATGAATCACAAATCTTTTTATGTATATATATTAGCCAAATGGTAAAAATAACAATGGCAGATACCAAAAATACTCTATATATTGGACGAATCCCAAAGGATATGAGCGAACGTGAAGTAAAGATGTCATTGGAAGATGTTTCAGGTTGCACAGTAAAATCATTTGAATTTGATGGTACCAATAGTACAGCAGGTTGGGCATTCTTTAAAGATCATGAAACCACTATTAAAGCAATTAAATTGATTCAAAAATCAGTCTATACAGCTTCACTAACTAAAAAATCATCTTCAACTGCTGCTTCGTAAGTGTTAAAAAAAGAAAAAGAGAAATAAGATTGATTCCCATTTATATTAATATTTCTTTTTTATTTTATTTTTAGAGTACTACCAACAACTTATACAGATAATCAATCAACCAAAGTATTATTTGCAAGAGGAATTAAATCACAAGATGAAGGCCAAGTTTTACAGGATCAATTGGGAACAACATATGTTGAAAAGGTGGTGGTACCATTGGACATGCAAAAGAGAGTGCCTCTAGGACACGCATTTATCTATTGTCACACTGTCGAAGATGCAAAGACATTGATGGAGAGAAACGAGGGAGGTGTCGAGTTTTTAGGACGATCCATCTCGTTGGCATGGGGTCTACCAAAACAAAAACATAGAGGATTTGTAGACCCATATGCCACCGGTGCCTATGACTATAGTTATATGTTGTATCCCGACTATCTCAGCCAGATGTATCCACCACCACCTCCACCACCTCATTATGCAGGTAGCACTGGTGGTCGTGCCGGAAGATACGACAGTCACTACTCTGGCAGCTCTGGCAAACATAGTGGTGGCGGTGGCGGTCGTCACCACGACCATCATCATCATCACCCTGCACCACACTACCCCTACCCCATGGTACATCCATCTGTCAAGGGAGGATACGAGGCTCCCTATCCACCACCAGCCGCCTTTTATCCACCAGTCGAAAGAAGTTCAAGAGGTGGTCGTGGTGCTCCAAGTGGTGGTTATTCAAGATATACTCCATATTAAAAATGGAAAAAGAAAAAGGAAAGAAATATAGTTGGTTTTTTTAAAATATTTTTAGGACAAATAGATAGATTGATAGATAGAAAAAGAAGAAGAGATAGAGAGACAGATAAGAGAAAAGTTGTAGATATAGGTTTTATTTTTATTTTTTTATTTAAATAAATTCTCTTCTCTTTTCTTCTTTTTTTTTTTTCAAAGTATAGAATAGTATAGTTTAGTCTTTGTTATTCACAGATCAATTTTGTAGAATATTGGAAAAATAATGAATAATATTCCATTTTATTAAAGTATTGGGTAGAGAGCAGAGCGCACAACACACTAAACTAAACACACGAAAAATAATGAAATTCATTCACCACAATGCGAAATTCACAGAGCTAACCCAACCGAATATACACAAAAAAGAGATGACAACAACAACCACAACAACAACAATCAAAAGTATAAAAGTGTTTGTAAAACTCATTTTCAACCTGTTTGTCAAACAAGGCAGTCAGTGGTGATGCCCTGCCAACCAAGCCTGGTTCAGCATGCCCACCAAAACAAAAAGTTTTGCTTTTTTGAGAAACTTTTTAATTTTTCCAGACACAAGAGCTCTGCCAGGATTGACGACGAGACATATTCAGGAGTTTGACACCACCCTAAATACACACCTTCTGCACTGATTGACAATGAAAAAAACAGGGAAACCTATTGCTGTTGTTGACTGGCAACTAGTTACCCACCTATCTGAGTAACACAGTATTAATTAAAAAAAAATGAATGAATTTATTATATTATATACCCACCTGTGTAAAACAATTTGAATCTAATTCGATTGACCAGGACATCTAGCAATCCAAATGGTATCCTTTAAATACCAACATTTTTGTTCATTGTTTTTTTATTTCCTATCCTTCCCATCCACCCTCTCCTCCCCCAATAACAAATAAATATATATAAATATTTATATATATAAAATAACCATATCAAAACATTATTTTTTTTTTTTTGATATTACACAATAGTTTTTTAAAAATTATTTCTTTCTTTCTTTCTTTCTTTATTTATTGGTAATAACATAAAGAGTATAATTATTTATATTAGAGTATAATATAATATAATATAATATAATAAATATAATACATAATAATAATCGTAAGTTATTTTTAAATATGATCCTCTCAACCCATTACTACGATTAACTAACTAATTTTAAAAATGTTTATTTTTTCACCCCTGTTGTTCATCAAACACACACAAACAAAACTACTTCTTACTTTACTTTATTTGTTCACTTTTTTTATCTATCTATCTATCTATCTGTCTGTCTCTTGTATATTTGTATATTTATTATTTATTGTACTTTATTTATCACCACTCACTTACTCTTCTTCTCCCTCCATGTTACTTAAAACTTAATAATACTTTATTTATCTATTTATAACAACCATATTATTAATCGTTTACGATTTATAGCATAAGTAGTAGTAGTAGTTTGCATTTAGCAACATTATAACAACAACAACAACATTCATTTATTCATTGTAAATCACATCCCTACCTTTATTTGTAGTAGTAGTAATAATAATTAGTTTATATATAAATCATTGTAACAATATACAACACATACATACAATACAATACAACATAGTTAATAATAATAATAATCTAAATAATTAAAAGAGTACAATTCTCTATTCTATTTAAAATCAGAGAATGACACTTTACATGAAGCATTTATTAATTGGCTTTATTGGATGCTTATTGGTTTTAATGGTGGTTCATTCCAAACTACAACAAGAACAACAAGTATTCCAAGACCTCGACAACAAGGTATCCAACTCGGTCAAGTTATTCTTTGGTGAAAAGTACACTCAAGATTCTATTCAACGTTCACAACTCATTAACAAACAACTTGGTCTTAACAATAACAATGAACAACAACAACAACAACAACAACCAACAATACTCCCCAAACCAGATACAAAACGTACCAAGTTATGGGTATTTTTAAATGAAAAGGAAGGAAAGGATGTATTGCTCAAGTCGAGCACTTCTACCACTTCCTCCAACAAGATGGTATCCAATACTGCCAACTTGATTAATAACATTCAATCAATTGATCGTCGTATTCGTCGTGGTCAATTTGAACAACAACAACAAAAACAACAACAATCCTCACAAACATCATTAAAACATCAACAACCAACAAAAATGATTGTAAATGAAAAGGATTTGCCAATTTCAGAATCAATTGTAGATAGAATCATGAAATGCGATCGAAATGATGCACAATTGACTGTACATCACCGTATTAAATGGATTAATGCTATTTCAGTGTCTCTATCTACACAGACATCGTCGACTGTCGCTTCAGAAGTTCTTCGTTGTATCTCTGGCATTTCACAGGTTGATCGTGTCGAGTTGGTCAACCGTTTCTACAAACCAAAGTTTGACAATGACAATGAAGAGCTTGACAAGTTGGCTGCACACATTCAACAAGAAAACATTCTCGTCGAGGCTGACATTGCCCCCCGTCGTCGTATCTTGTCGTCGGACGAACAAGATCGTGCCTTTTACAACAACACATTCAATGCTGCCACTCAAATCAATGTACCAGTTGCACACTCGAATGGATACAATGGCACTGGTGTCATTATTCTCATGATGGACTCTGGATACCTAAAGAACCACACTGCATTTGCCCATCTCACCTTCCTCGACGAATATGACTTTGTCGACAACAAAACAGACACTCAAGGTCCAATGGGTGACCCACAAAACACTCATGGAACTGCCACCCTCTCTACTATTGGTGGCTTTGTCCCAGGTGTTATGGTCGGTCCTGCTTATCTAGCTCATTATCTTTTAGCCAAAACTGTAAGTAAACAAGAAGGTTAAATATTCAAAATATTGGTATTAATATATGTTTTTCTTTTAATTTAATTGTAGGAAGATACATCTGCAGAATACGTTGAAGAAGAGGATAATTGGATTGCAGCAGTTCAGTGGGGTGAAGAGAGAGGAGCTGATATGCTCTCTAGTTCACTTGGATACACTGATTGGTACAAATACTATCAAATGGATTCTAAACACGCTCCCATTACCATGGCTGCTGACGCTGCCGCAGAGAGAGGTATGACAGTGGTTGTATCGGCTGGAAACAGCGGTGAAAAGGGTATTGGTGCACCTGCAGACGGTATGAATGTGCTTGCTATTGCTGCCATTGACCAACATGGAAACACTGCCTCGTTTAGCTCGCGTGGTCCAAGTTCAGATGGTCGTGTCAAGCCTGATGTATCGGCATTGGGTGTAGCCAACTTTGTCGCATCTGCATCTGACGCAAGATACTATACTCGTATGAGTGGCACTAGTTTTGCATGTCCCATGACCGGTGGAGCTGTCGCACTCATCCTCCAAGCACATCCCAACTGGACACCCGCAATGGTGTACGAAGCGATCACCCAAACTGCTTCACACCCCGAAATGGCTGACGTGCAACAAGGTTTCGGTATCGTCAACACGTGGGCTGCCATCAACTATGTACCCACCAATCTCAGCACACATGACTCTTGCGACACTGTCGGCTGCTCAGGTCACGGTGGATGCTGTGACGGACAGTGTGCATGTGCCGCCGACCGTTACGGAACATTCTGTCAATTTGAAAAGGTTGCATGTGGCGCTGAATGTCTCTTCCGTGGTGGAAAGTGTGTATTGGACCAATTTGACTTTAGCTATGTGTGTGGTGATATTAATGGACCATCTCATGTAAACCAAACCATCACATGTGACGTATGCACTGATGCCAAGGTCGATGTATGTGGGGTGTGTGGAGGTGCCGGAAAATCATGTGTTGGATGCGACGGTGTCCCCTTTTCGGGCAAGGTCGTTGACGTGTGTGGTACCTGTGGCGGTAATGGTGCTTGCAAGGCTGTCGTACCTGAACCTGACAATGCTGACAACAAAAACACCCGTCTCAAAATCATCATTGGATCTGTCATTGGTGGAACCGGTTTCCTTCTCATCATTGGTGCCATCATCATTGTAGCCAAAAAGAATAGAGATAGAAAAGGAATGGAACCATTTCTCGGCTTTCCTGGAAGAGGCTACGAAACATTAAGAACTGAAGATTTTGAATATTAAAATATTAAAAATCAAATTAAATAAATAAATAAATAAATCAAAACTTTGTTTATAATAATATAATTTATTATAAAATATTAGTAAAATTATTATTATTGTTTCTTCTATTTATTTATATATATTATTTCAAATAGATAGATATTATTATTTTTAGAATGTACACACACATAAATATCTGCCTCTTTCCGATGTCGCCAAACTCGGTTGACCTTCAAACTGACGAACACCATAAAAACGTTCTTGAAAAATCTAATGAATTGTTTTTTGACAAAAAATCCGCCACCTCACCAATGGTGTTCTGACTGAAGAGTCCTCCTCATCTTTCTCTCTATCACTATCTTTTTCACAAACACATATCAAAGTCGGTACAGATAGCTAGATAGATAGATACAAAGGACTCAAATCATCATCTTTCTTTTAGTTGATTAGATAGAATAGAACCCTCTCTGTAATTTGGAGAGGTTAGATATTTGAAGAACAGTTCATCTTTTAGTTTATTCGATAGACAATAGATAGATAGATAGATAGATAGATATCAAAGGTATGTTTCTAGAAGACGTCTTCTATTCTATAACAAAGTTGGTTTAGTTTAAAGTACAATGCAATGGTGCTTAGTAGGATGTGGGAGTGGGAGTGTGTGTTTGTTCGTTAAAATTTTAACCTATGAATCAAATCACCCAATATCCCCATACATCCATGATTCATCATCATTATTATCTTTGGAGTGTTCTCATCTCATCTCTTATCTATCTACAATATTCTATAGTAATAATGTATTATTAACACATTTTTATCATTTTACAAATATATATATATATAAATAGATTGATATATAGATATATAGATATATAGATAGATAGATAGATAGATATTATTATCATTCACTCATTCACATTCATTCACTAGTTCACTTATTTGTAGTATACAACACCTTTTGTTTTGTATATATTATAATATTCACAACAATAATAGATACAGATATAAAGATAGAGATAGATTATCTATCGAAAACAGGGTTGAAAGCATTAAAAATGTCATCTAAAACAAGAAATGCAGTCAAGCTATTCCAACAAAAGTTTTATTCTTTTCTATCGTCGAGATTGGGAATGGCTCTCTGCCTGATTGGAGCATTCGTATCGTTTAATATGGCACTACACATCTTTTCAATGTTTCAAAATTCACACTCCAACACTGCCATTCTCCGCGAAATCTCTGACAATATTGGAAACAAACCAATGTCCATCGTTCCCGAACCCATCGATGCCGTCTACACATGGGTTAATGGATCTGACCCAAATCTCATTAGCGCTGTCGCTGAAATTAAAAGGAAATTAAGAGATCCAAATAGTTTGTATCCCATCCTCTAAAAAATGAATATAACAGAGATGTGTGTACTTGGACTAACCCTTTCCCTTTTATTTTGTTTTTGTATTTACTATGTAGTGCCAGAATGTAAAGATAAACAAGACCCAAGTAAACATAATTGTTACAAGGATGGGAATAGTGCCAATCGATTTGTTGATAATCAGGAATTAAGATATTCGTTGAGATCGTTGGAAAAGTATGCTCCATGGATTAGACATATCTACATTGTCACTAATGGACAAGTACCTAATTGGTTGAATGTTGGACACCCGAGAATATCGATTGTGCAACACAAGGAGATCTTTGTAAACAAGTCTCATTTACCATCATTTAGTTCACCGTCGATCGAGAGTCATCTACATCGTATCCCCGGTCTCTCTAAACGTTTCATCTATCTCAACGACGACGTTATGTTTGGTAGACCTGTTTACCCAGACGATTTCGTTCAAATGAGTGGACAACGTGTCTACTTGTCATGGCCTGTTCCAAATTGTAATGACGGGTGTCCAAACAATTGGGTAGGTGATGGTTTTTGTGATGCTGCTTGTAATGTTACCATGTGTGATTTTGATGGTGGTGATTGTAATAACAGTACTGGTCAAATTAAAACAAGATGGTGGAGTATGTATAAAATCAAAAAGAATAGAATAGAAAACAAGTGATTGTGCAAGTACTTACTTTGTTTATTTTTTGTTTTGGTTTAGATCGAAATTCCAATTTGAATGGTGGAGGTTCAACAACTACATCAACAAGTAATGCAATTAAACCCAAACAATATTGTTCAAAGGGGTGTCCAGACTCTTGGATTGGTGATAGACACTGTGACAGAATGTGTAAGAACCTTGAATGTGGTTTCGATGCCGGTGATTGTGGTGTTGAAATGATGTTTAATTCTCCAATGTTGGGTTATGATATTACAAATCAGGTATGCAAACAATCATATACATACAAATACACATATAATATATTAACCTTTACTTTTTAATTCTTTTAAATTTAAATAGACATTAATTCATTTACCAAATGGAACCTATTCAGTTTATTTTAATTTATCAACATTGGTTGGAACGAATGCGACCATTACAGATGGATCACATGATAATGCCGTGTTGGTTAGAACAGCTACCATCTCGCAAAAGAATAAGATTATGACATTGACCTTTAACAGGAATATCGAGTATCAACGTGTAGCAGTGACTATCACCTATGACAAGGCTGCCACAGCTCCCAAAGTACCAGATGGTATCGTTGCCAATGGTGTAGTTGTAAAAGATAACTCTTATACCAAGGATTTTAATATTACTCTATCTACAATGGACGAACAACCAAAGGATTCTACAAGTACCAGTACCAGTACAAGTACAAGTACAACTGGATCAACAACAACAACTGGAACAACAACAACTATTAATAATAATACACCAAGAGGATCAAGAAGAACACCAATTTCATCATACACATCAATGGTTGCAAATAATAATAATAATAATCTATATGAACAGGAACAAGATGAACAAGAGGGACAAGAACAACAACCACAACAAGAAGAAGGAGATGAAAATGGTGGTATTGGAAATTTAGAAGGAGATGATAATATTGGTAAAGGTGAACAACCAATTCAATTGACAGAGACTGAAGTTGATGAGAATGCAACTACACCAACCACACCATCAGAAACTGCTAGTGTTAACAAGGTTGGTGAAACTGTCCTTTTCACTCAAACTGAAGTCAATGATAATCATGATACTCCTGTACTTGGTGACCAAGCAAAGGAACAACAAGGTGGTGGTGGTAGACAAATGTTGACTGTTGACTATGTTGGAGATAGCTATAGTTCTGAATCTCATTCTGATGACGACTCATCATTTGAAATGAGGTATGAACCAACCGAACAAAAAGAATTGAATCAAATCATCAAACAAAAAGAACAAGATTTGGAATTGGATCGATTGGAAAAAGAGGAGAATGAATATGACCGTAAATACATGTTAAATAGAGAGACTGAAAGAGCTATTAGAGAACAAGGTGGTGAACAAGTATTCCCATGGGAAGAAGAAGAAAAAGTGGAACAACAACAGGTCATGCCAGGTACCCAAAGAAAGACATTAGATATGTTTGGTGACTCTTTAAAGTTTGTAAATAGACTATACACTGTTGAATTTGGTGCTGCATCAAGAAAGGTTCCTGCTCATATGCCACATATGATTGATGTTGATGTTATGAAAGAATTACAAGCCAAGTATGTTTGTCAAACCAACCCAACAACCCAAACCAAACCAAACCATTTAATTTAAACAAACTAATGTTGGAAAATATATATTAATATTTGATTGTTTTTAATTTATTATTTAGATGGCCAGAACAATGGGATGCAACAAGTAGTCATCCATTGAGACACCCAAGAGATATGCAATTTGCATTTTCATATTTTTATTATCTCATTCATAAACGCAAGGAATATGATATCGATAAGTTGTGGAGCGAAGAGTTTGACGGCAACAGAGACGGTGTGTTGGATCTGAACGAACTGCGTAATATCGGTGTTGCATGTCTCGGTACACCACTCCGAAACACTTGGAATGATTTCAAGAGTCATTTGTATAGAAGTTGTTTGGAGCAACGTCAACAACGACAATTCCAACAGGGACTGATTGAAAAGCTAGAGGACCTTGGCAACCATACCATCCGAGTCGGCGACCTTGAGTTGCAAGACTGTCCCATCACCAAGGACGTGTTGATTCATTCCAACAAGACAATGGAAGAGATTAAAAAGACATACTCGAAGCGTAGCTATTGGAGAACTACGATTGACGGTACCGACGAAGTCGCCTTTGTCATGGTCGTCGATAATGACACTGTATCCCAAGGTAAACTGGACGGTATCCGTCAAAAACGTCATAAATTTGTTTGTCTCAACGATGACTTTGATCATGACAAACCAACTGCTCATCTCGTTGAAAAGGTTGTCTTGGACTTTTACAAAGCAATGTTCCCATGGCCATCTTCCTTTGAATTATCTTCAAATGAATTTAATAATTTTATGTATATTGATGATTATAATGAATTGTAAGTAGTATAGAAATTAAAAACAATCAAACAACAAATAATAACATTACAAACAAACCCATCCCAATTTTCAAAAAAATTCTAATATTTATCATTCATTCATTTCCCAATTGAATTGTAGAAGAAAAGTAAAAGATGAAAGTGAAAGAAGCCATTCAAATTCATTTTGGATTATTTGTGTGTTAATTGTCATTGTAGTTTTGTTTGTTTACAAATTCCAAAAAACAAACAAGATTTCCAAAAAGAAGATGTTTACCCGATAAAATCGATAATAATAGATACAATAATATAAATAACAAATAATAATAATAACAAATAATAATAATAATAATAATAATAATAATCGATCAATCATGGATTCAACGTGATTTTGCTCAATATGGGTGGTTGTTTTGGTTGGGTTGTAAACAAAACAATAACACAACAATACAACACGACTATGGTTGGGGGGTTTTTATGTATGATCCCCAATACACATTTCCATTGTCACTACAATCATCCAATTAATCAATCAATCAATTGATTTAGCTTATTGCAATAAATCCTACAAACTTTACAAAACAAAAATGATCCATTTTTCCATTTTTGGAGCCAACCCTGTCAAATTTTTGGGATTTGTGTTCAATGGGTTTCAATACTTTTAACCTCAAAAGGTGCTGAGGTGGTTAATATCTTAAGTCACTTCTGATTAGAGTCGAATTCACTCCAAATAGGGGTAGTAGTAAGAAGTAGTAGTAGTTTGCTAAAATTATAATTATTATTTATTCGTTTTCCATTCTTTTTTTTTTTTTTTGTATTCTTATTTTTGATTTTTTTTTTTTTATAAAATGTGATGATTTGAAATGAACTTAAATTTAATTGAATTCAAATTATTTTCTATCTATTTTCAAAATCACCATATCTTTTTCTTTCGAGGAAAATAAAATGAATTTTGATCAAAGATCTTTTAAACAGCCACCACCACTTTTTTTTTTTTGTCAACCACATACATTCTATCTGTTTCAAATTTTTCTTTTTGCTATGTGTACGGTACATGTATAGTATGTCTATTTTATCCTATTTAATTGTTAAAAGTAAAAAAAAGATATTATTAGAATTTATTATTATTATTTACTTTTTTGAAACTATAGTTTTTTTTTTTTTAAATTAATATTAATAATAGAACCTTTTTCCTAAAAAAAATTTACCAATCAACCAATCAATCTGTCCACCTTCTACTGTACTCATACAAAACACAAACTACTGTCTCATACCAATCCATCTTACCATTCCCCCATTTGATAGATTGGATTGATTGTCACATGTAGGTCGGTCAGTTGGATTAGATGGGAAGGAGATTGGCAAATTTACTTTGGAAAATCACTCCTCAGTTCAACCAACCAACCAACTTCCAACTTTTAAAAAATCGTAAATTCAATCAAATAGCAGATTATTCAATCAATCAATCAATCAATCGATCCAAGAATAGGATCAATTGATATTATAGTATGAATATATTTCTCCTATCCTTCATCATTGATCAAAAACACCAATTTTTCCTTCCTTTCAATACAACACTGTGAATGGTTGTGGTGGAGTGGGTAGTGCTCAGATTTTGGAATTGATTCCAATGACAAAAAAATGCTTGTATGTGTGTGTAAATTTATATCTCTATCTCTCACTTCTTTATATATCGATCAACCTTCCTTATTATTGATTCTATTCCTATCATCGACATTGCCATCACTCACCCGACACTACTACTACTAATACTACTACCTCAACTCTTAAATCTATCGTATTGCCAAACACCACCACCACAACACAAACTAAAATTCAATCAATTTTATAATAGTTGGTAGATTGTGGTTGACCAACTTCTTTTTATTTTCCTTTTTCTTGTATTAGATTTCCTCAACAAATGCACAAAGACGATGATTGACATTCACATTCTTTTATGTTGTTGTTTGTTTGTGTGTATGTGTATGCATGTATGTGTATTAATAATATGATGTGTGAAGATGCAACTACTAAAAAATATTATACCCACCCTCATCATAGCAATAGTAGAGAGAGATGAGGAGACAAAGACAAGTTGTGTTGATGGAAGTAAAAAGTGGGTTTAGTGGTTGGGTTTGCGATGAACAACATCGGTCGACTTGTCTTGTATCAATCAATCAGTCAATCAACCGATGTGTTTGATGCGTTGTTGGCTGATGGATCAGTGCACTGCTGCGACCCCCCCCAATGAGCAGCTATGGAGGGCAAAAAATCCAACCAACAAATGCCAATTAAGATGGCTACAACCCCAATGCAGTAAATCTTTCAATTGGGTTGTTGTTAGATTTTTGTTTGTTTGCTTGTTTGTTTTGTGTTTTTACCGTATTCAGAAATCATGATAAGTATGATGGATGGGTTGGTTGGTTTGCGTCCCTCCTCCTATTTTGAAACAAGCACCACTGATTGGGGGGTTGTTGCAGGTGGGGAGTGCAGACGTAGGCAAAAATGAGAGTGGTTAAAGATGCTGTAGATTAAATCGACAATAGTATCAGTGATAACAAAAAGAGAGCTAGCTATAATGAAAGAGCGGTTTTGAAAAGTATTCCATTAAATCAATTCCCACTGCTATCAATCCGATCAAACTCTGCTTTGCTTCCTGTTATTACCCATTTTTCAACAATCGAGTTGAGGTGGGTCTAGAAACTATAGTTCCACAATGTAGGTAGGTTGGTAGGTTGGTAGGTAAGTAGGGCACCTCATCCTACTATACCCTCTCTTCCACTCTCCATCCTACTCTTTTTTATTGTTTGAGTTCTTAAAAAGAACCGGTCTATCTCTCTCTCCTACTCTCTCTATTACTCTCTTTCTGTCTGTCGTTAACACTCAAATCATATTTTAAACAATATTAGTGTAAACAAATAAATAAATAAATAAATTATATAATTATTATTTATTTTTCTGTATACGGTACTACTATAAATAAATTCAGATCAATCAATTTAGTTAGTTTATTACCAACCATCCAACCATCCAACCAACAAAATAAATAAATAATTAAATCTAGAAAACTATAAAAGAAAATAATATTGTAAGTAACTTACCTCTTTTGTTGAAATTGTGTTTGTCGGTGTGCCATGTCGATGTGGTAATTTATAACCCTACTATTCTCTCTCTCTTTTTGTCGCTAACTATATGCGTGTCACGTGATGCGGACCACCTACACTCTCTCTGTCTCTCTCTCTCTCTCTCTCTCTTTGTCGCTCACTATAAGCGTGTCACGTGACCGAGGACCATCTAATCCACGGAACCATCGAGGGCTCCTCGCCACACGAACAGACGATTGTTATATTAATTGTGTGTCTGTTCATTGCAAAAGAGATTGACTCTAACCCGATTAACACCAACTTGTTGTTTGTGCCAAGACACCACCCGTGCGTGATTCGTGTTGTATTGTCTCCGTGTTTAAGTCTCTATCTATCTCTCATCACCATCAACCAACCCCTCCCTAAGATCGTGTTGGTCAATTGGTTTTTTATCTAAACCACCCCCGACTGATTCAAAGAACCTTCCAAAACTCGTTAGATTGGCTCTCACCCTCATTAAAAAAAATGAAATTAGTTGTCAGCAGCAGCAGGCCATTGTTAACAATCACCACAAAAATCAACGATTCACAACCACGCGACCAATCACAATAGAATTAATTATTAATAACAATAATAATAATAATAACTATCTTTAATTCAATTTCATTCAGTTTCCCCTCACCTCACTCGCTCCCATCTTCTTAAACCATTCTTCGTTGTTGCTTGTATTACTATATCTTTAACGAAAACAACAACAACGACTCTACACATATATCAAATCGAAGAGATTGTATCTACCTCATTACCATATGTTTCTAGTATCTGTAATATTGCATTCAATTTAACATCTCATATACATACATACATACATATATACATATATATATTTAGTTTACTTTGTTTTGTTTTCTTATCTTATCCCTTATCTTTACATTTTCTAACAAACTCTCATCAATTCTCTCTATCTCTTTTTATTTCTATTTCTCTTTCTCTTTCTCCTTTTCTTTTCTTTTTCACATATATATAAAGACAAGCATGTCACTAGCAACAGCAGCTAATTCAGTCTCTACACCAACGACCTTGTACAAGAGAAAGCTCGATGAGATGATGGAGGTGTCATCTGACATCTCATCGACCAGCTCTCCACAGTCTAGCTCGTCGTATCTCGACTCTACATCGAGCAACATCGATGTATCTCTGTCGTCGGTACTCCCAAATATCTTTAATGACTTTCCCTACTTGGTCGACGGATCAACCAACAACATGTTTGCTCATCCAACAACATCCTATCAACAACCAAACAACAACAATAACAATCATAATAATATCAATAATAATAATAATATCAACAATAATGGTGGATACCAAACATTTGGTACAGGTAATGTAGATAATGGAGGATTCCAACCATTTGCTACACATATTGAACCATACTCACAACCTCAAAATGGTTACTTTCCTCCAACACAAGATACCTACAATCAAGTCCAACAACAACAACCACAACAACAACAACAACAAATTTTAATGCCATTGACATCATCACCATCAAATGACCCTTCATCACCAGACTCTACCAACAACATCCCTCATCCACCTCCACTCCCACCAACTACCCTCTTTAACACGTACAACTTTGGCCACAAGTTTGGTCAAACTGACTTTTTGCCCTTCTCCACTCTCATCCAGACTCATCCACCACTTGGTAATTTAAAAGTGGATCACGAAAAGTACGACATTATCAAAAAGAAAGAGGCTATTGCATTCCTCAACTTTTACTTTAGAGTCTTGCCATCAAACACAGAGTCAACTGTCACAAGAACATCTGTCCTCGCTCTCTACAGTCACCGTCTTACCGAGGAACAAAGATACCAATCCAAAAATAATATGGCTAACCTTTGTGGAGCAGTCTATACCTTTATTTATGATTCTCTTAAAAATCAATATGAAGTAAGTAAAATCAATATTAAATAATAATAATCAAAATTAATTAAATTATTTCTTTTTTAAAGGAATCAATGAGAGATTTTATTACAAAGTCTGAAGGATCAAATGAAAATAATAATGGTATAAAGAAACAAAAAAAGGATAAAAAGAAAAAATCAGATGGTCAAAACAATGCCAAGGATTTAAAGAATAACTTTTTTGCCGCTCTAAAGGTGGCCCCTTCTCTTCCATTCCTTGCATTCCGTCATGTCGAAGAGTTGCCAAATTCTGACATTCAATATATTCAACAACACCAAGACTATCTCTACACATCAGAAGAACTTGCTCAATGGGAAGGTGAATTGGTTACACAACGTACATCAAGTACTTGTAGACCAAGAAATACTTCAACTCTAGTATGTATAAAAAAAAACAAAACAATAATCATCAACGTTCTAATTGTTTTTTTATATTTTTTTATTAGGATCCAATTAGAGCAAATACAAATCAACAAACACAACAACAACCATCATCACCAAGATCGAATCGTATACATGGGTTACCTGTCAATGTTATTGAAACAGCTGACAGTTTCCAAATCTATGCTTCCATTCCATACTATAGAGCCAATTGTCTGAGAGTCACAGTCAATCAAATGGAAATCATCTTGGAGGGAACCATTTCAATGCCAGACACTATATTACTACCAAATGGCATCGAAATGAATATTCCCAACCTCTCCAGTCACACTGGCATCCAAAATGATATCATGGAGGGCAACTTTAACAAGGTTATCAAATTGTCTTCACCAATTTCAACCACCAACTCGACAGTTGGCAAAAAGGATGGTATCGTTGTCATCATTGCTAAAAAGGAAGAGGGTCAATCAACAGTCCACAGACTTTAAAACTAAAACATACACCACCAAACACAAACACACTAATACAAATTGTCTTATCACCCTTGGGGTTATCCCTAAGGACTCTCTCACAAATATTATAAATAATAACAACAACAACAACAACAGGTATATAGCTAACATCACATCCCACACAACTCCTCCTCCTCCTCATCACCTTTTTTTTATTTTCAACCTATACATATTTTTCCACACCACAACATAATTACATTTTTATTTTTTCAGTCTAATTATGTATGTTTTTGTACAAAGCGACTCTTGACAAGGGTCACCCGAAAAAACCAGGCAAGCTCATTGTATATACCATGTAACTATAATCAATTACAAAAAATATATAACAAAAAAGAAAAACCTTTAAAAAAAATGGAAAATATAAATCAAAACAACAAAAAAAAAATAAAAAAAACCTATTCTTCAACTTTGAAATACAAAAATTATAAATATATTATTTAGTATTATTACCATGGTTTTTAGTTAACTTGGGAATATTAATTTTAATTATTAAATATTAGATTATTAATTAATTATTAAATATTATTATTATTGGTAGTTTGGTCTATGTATATATGTAGTCTAAATATATATATATAATATTATTTAAAAGCTTTGTAGAACAAAAAGGATGGGGAGGTTCTATTTAAATATTCTAAATAATCGAGAGTTTATTAGAACTTGATATTCGTAAAACCGACCAAGAATAGTCTTGAAAAGCATACGAAATCTATTGGATGGTTTTCCGATTGTAAAAGTGGGGGAATGGCTTTAGCGAGCAATTGTCGAGAGAGATTGGATCTTGTTTTTCTTCATCTCGTTCTCAGACAAAGGCAAACCCCGAGTCAAGCCATTCCAACATTTGGATTATTTTCGAATGTAGTAGTGGCTGTGAGTTATAGTCTGGTAAATTAAGTTGATGGGTACAGGTATGAGCAGAAGGTAGCTTATCAATATTTGGAATATGGACGATTAAAAGTGGCTTTTCGATTCCCTGAAGCGAGATGCTCACCATTCCAGTAACAAAGCGAAGGAATAGCTGCAACTCGTGTTGCGTCATCATTGAAAGGGTCTGTAGTAGAAAAGTGGGTGTTTGACTCGTTTGTGGGAACCCAATAAACTTGATGTGTTGCTTGAGTAGGTTGGCATCGAGTAGTACAGATCCACACATCAGCAACTGCAGTTCGCTCGGTGCAAACAATTTAAAGTGTGCATTGAGCGAGTCGGCACTGCAAAAGCCACTCTTAAAGGCATCGAATCTGTATTTGCGACTGTCGATCAGCAAACGATCGATGTTTTTCTGAATAAACTCTTCCTTGTTGGCGTCGGTTACTGCAATCTCTTGGCCTCCCTCGACGAGACCTTCAAAGGTGGTTGAGAGATATTGGTCAATATCGTCCAACAATAGAACCTTTTTAAAACTCTGAGCCATTTGTGGGTCAAAAGCCTCCAAATCGCTAATGGTGGCCTTTTCAACACCCAATAGATACTTGAAAAAGGTTGGTGGGAACACATCGGGTATTGGCTTGCCGTCAATGACTGCCTTTATAAAGATTTTACCCAATGTTTTGAAAACCTCCTTTTCGGTTTTAATGTTGGACACCTTGAAAAAGGTTGATTGATCCATATCAATTTCTTGATTCGAAATTAAATAAAATGGTGATTCTTCACTATTTCTTTCAAATAATTGATATTTACTTGAAAATATACTCTTTAATCCAAATGGTGATGATGATGAAGAAGATGAAGAAGAGGATGAAGATGATTGATCTTGATTTTCTTCTTGATTTTCAAAAGATTTAATTTGATTTAAAATTAAACTATCATTGAAAAAAATACTATACATTTCACTTTGTAATCCGCCATGATCTATTCCCTTTTCACCATGGAATTCAATTTCCAACTTTGAAAACAACTTTGAAGAATTTAATTTGCTAAAGAAATTAAATACATCTTGGATGAGGTGTTCTCTTCGAATCGTTACCAAGATGGGTTCATTGTTTTCTTCCAACATGGTTGTCAATGATGATACATGTGCTCTAAATGCAGCTATTTTTTCTCTACTGTCAATCAATGATTTCGATTGTATTAAACTCTCAACTTGTGAAGTAATAAAATAGGGATGAACTGTAATTTGATCTGCTGTTGGTCTTGAATTATAATTTTTTTGTAATATTATTGATAATCTAAATAAAAAAAATAAAAATAAAAAATATTAAATAAAGCGTCAAATAATAAATAAATAGTTTTGTTTTTTTTTGGTTTCTTACAAATTAATTAAATTTTGATCAGAATGAGATGGAATTGAAACTGTTAATTCACCAGGCATTAAATAAGGGTCTTTTGATTTTGGGAAAAATGATTTATACAACATGACACCAAATGCCCATATATCGGTAGAGTATGAACCTGTTGATCCTTGTTCCCTCATTTCTGGTGCTCTATACATTTCGGTTCCTCCTGAAAACATGGTTGCATTACTATTTGAAATTGAAATATCTTTACTCAAATCAAAATCTGATATTACTGGTGTATCATTTTCATTCATTAATACATTCTAAAAAAATAAAATAAAAAAATTAATATAAATAAATATTCTTTGTATATGTTTTAATTCTTTCTTTCTTTACCTCTAATTTTAAATCTCTATGAACAATACCATTACTATGCATATAAGAAACTGCTTGAATGATTTGTTGGAAAACCTTTTGAATTTCCCAGGGTTGTCTATTTACTATTACTTGACTTTGTTCATTAATTGGTGGAGTTAGAGATCTACCATTATTATTATTGTTATTATTATTATTATTATTATTTGGTTGAGATTTCTTTAACCAATCAACCAAAGTTCCACCTTTAATATATTCCATTTGTAAATAAGCATTTCTATCATAAAATACAGCTTGAACTGGCATGATACATTTATGATTCATCATTTTCATCAATGATACCTGTCTTTCAAACATTTGTTTACCAAATTGATCACCAATACCAAATTCTTTTAAAACTACCAATTGATCATCAAATGATGCCAAATAAACATTATGTGGGTGACTTGATAAAGTTTTAATAATATCATAATGATTAAATTTTCTTTCAGTCAATAATCCTGTATCTTTTATCCTAAAAATTAAATAAATAAAATTAATATTACAGTATCTTTTTTTTGATTTCCATTTTTACATACTTGTTACTAATTTTATCTTGTTGATTTAATTTAAATCTTAATTCTGGTGAATATTTTTCAATGAGTTGTAAAAGAGTATCATTTAAATCCTTTTGTCTAGAGAGTAATCGTTGTTCTTCTTTTTTAAGTGTAGTCATTTGTTCTTTGAGTGATTGTAAAGAGGTTTCTTCAATAATGTCTTCCTCTAATTCCAATACCTCTATTTTCTTGCTTGTTTCGATACTTGATCTTTTACAACCTCGATACTCGCTCTTTATCTTTTCCCTTTCCCCAAAGATTTCAATGGCCATTGAAATCTTTTCGATTTGCATATTTACATCATTCAGTTGACAAGAGTCGCTATTCTGCAACTCTTGTACTTGTGTCAGACTGAATTCCAATTTGTCCAAATAGATCTCTCCATATTTTATAGATTCCACCATGATGAGTTGAATTTCCTCCATTGATAAACGAACCTTTTCAGAATGGTTGTCTTGTTGAATTGAGTTGGTTATATTTGAACAAAACAATCCAATTGAATTGTCCAATCTTTCTTTAAACAATAAACATTGTTTTTGTATTTCTGATGTTGAAATGGTTGAAATGGTTGTTGTTGTTGTATTGGTTTGTTCTTGATTTAGGTTGTTGTTGTTATTGTTATTGTTTCTAACAACATATTTTTTTAAATTCATTTCAAGTGTTGATTTTTGTTTAATGATTTCATCCCAATAATTTAATGATAATTCCAATTGTTGTTTTAATTGTTTTAATATTGAATTTCTCTTTTCAACAATGGTTTCCAATTCTATTTGTTTTTCTTGAATATTAATATTTGTAGTTGTGGATGGATTTTGATTTTGATTTAATGAATTTGAAGAATTAAATGGTGAATGTTGATTACTATGATTGACAATTTCAACCACCAAAGATTTAATGGTTTGCGTGCAATCTCTTAATTCTTTTGTTAAATCTTCAGTTGGTGGAGGTTGTTGTCTAATTTTACTTTCAATGATACATTGTAGGATGTGATTTGATTGATTGATTTTTTCCAACCATTTGATAAGATTGGTTTGCGTCGATATTAATAAATCTTTACCAACCAAATTCTTTTCACTTGCCAAGGACTCAAATGATGGTGTTGGCGACGATGTTCTTTTTATATCATTATTACTAACTCTAAGTAATAAACTATTTTGTTCTAATTTCTTTTCTTCTTCTTCTTCTTCTTCTTTTTGTTCCTCTTCCTCCTCCTCTACTTTTTCTTTCTCCTCTTTTTCTTTTTCTTTTTCCTTTTCTTCTTCTTCTTTGATTGATTGATTTTTTTTACCAACAATAATAGAAACAATTTCTCCACTTGAAATTAAAAAATGGTTGATATGATTTGATAGTGGTGACTTGGTTTGGAGAGTATATATGTTTTTTTGATTGCGTTCCAAGTCTTCCACCAATACCACACCCCCAACTATAGATTTCATTGTCAGAGGTGATAGCTATATTGTGTTGAAAGCCAGCCGAGAGATCGATAAATGCAGGTGACTGGACTGGGATAGGTAGGTTGTGATTTCCATCATCGACACCTCCCAAGACACCGTAATCGCTTCGTCCCCATGAATACATGACTCCGTCTTGATCAACGGCCAGAGAATGGTACCCTCCACACGATATCTTGACAATGTGTAGGTTTTGAAGAGCAAACACCATTTTTGGGGTAAGTTGTTGGTGTTGGTAGGATCCGTGTCCAAGTTGTCCGCTTTCACCTCGTCCCCACGAGAATACCTGTCCCTTGTCGGTCAGTGCCATCGAGTGGCCGCCGCCACACGACATTTCGACGACGCGGTGTCCTTGGAGCACCTGCACGAGCTTGGGAGCGTTCACCATGCACGTGTCTCCGTGTCCACCACGGCCATGTTCGCCACGTCCCCACGTGTAGAGACCACCCATCATGCCAACGGCAGCCGATCGATTGCCACCTGTTGAAACAGACACTATGCGGTCTCCCACCGAGGATATCCTCGTCGGTGTGGCTATAAACGATTGATTGGTGTTTGGTCCCAGACCCAACTGGTAACTATCATTGCTTCCAAATGAAAAGACCGCTCCTTCATCTGTCAGTACGAGTGTGTGTTTGCCACCCGCCGACACACCGACCACTCTGTGCATCGCCATCTGTTCCACCATCTTTGGCACTGCTTGCGACTCTTGATCGCCGTGTCCCAATCGTCCCAAAACACCCTCTCCCCATGTATACAATAATCCAGTGTCTGTGATAATAGCAGTATGTATTGCTCCCGCCGACAATGACATAATCCTCTGTTTAGAATATAATTTAGAGAATTCTATCAATTCATATTTTCCTTGATTCTTATTATTATTATTATTATTTCCCCATATTTCAATTACATCTAAAATGAACAAAATATTAATCATCTGATTCATTCATTACACAACATTATATTGTACTTTTACTTACAATCTTGATGATCATTATTTGTTTTAATAACAATCTTTGTATCATTTGATGATGATGATGACGATGAATCTGATATTTCCCTTCTTTGTTGTAGTACGCTACTACTTGTTATATCGTCTTTTGTTATAGCAGCGGTATGAGATGATTTTAAATAAGTTGAAGTTTGGTATTGACTTGGTGTATTGTATAAACTATAATCATAAACTGATGATCCTCCTGCTGATGTATTAATAATACTATTACTATTATTTCTACTATGTGTTGGTGATGTTGGACTATTACCACTATTATTATTATTATTATTATTACTATTGCTATTGTTATTGTTATTATGATTAATACTAGCACTAATCTTATTAGTATTAGCTTGGATGGTATCCTTTAACGATTTAAAGAATGACATTGTTATATACAATGTAAGAGATATCTCTATATATCTATATCTATCTCTATCTCTCTCCTCTCCTTCTACAACTTTCTTTAGTTCTATTTCTGCAATCAGTTACTTTCGTCAAAGTTTATTAATAAAAAAAATACATTTTTATAAAGTAGTCTGGACTACACCTCAGCTCTCTCTTGCTAGCTCAAGAAAAGGGTGTGAAAATCCAATGATGATGGTTTCCGACCAATCTTGAGATCGGAGTGAGACGACCAAAGAGAGTGAGAGTTGACCATCATCACATTCATTTATTTGTTTATTTATTTATTTAGTTATACTATCTATTTTTAACATGTACAGATAAGATAGATAGATAGAAAGTAGGTAACTAATGGTTGTTGTCATTGATAAAGGTTGTTGTGGATACAATGTCATCAACAAGATTGAAGTTATATTTAATTTAAATAAATTAGAAGTCCAAAATATCCACCACCTAAACTAGAGGTCAGGTCATTATTTATTTAATTTAAATTGAATGGGGGGTTACAGATATTAAACCAATTTTTGTAAATTAAACCTGGTGAAGAGACACACATCACAAAAGTATAAAGCATTTAATTCTCTCTTATAGTTATTCATTCATTCATTCAAATTTATCTCTATACTATAACAAAACATGTCTAAATTAATACTTTACGGTGACCAGTTGTCTCAACCAACCAGAGCTATCTTGTTTATCTTGTTGAACAATAAGATTCCACATGAATTCAAAACTATTAGCATTGCCAAAGGTGAACAAAACACTGAAGAATTTGCTAAAATGTATGTGTCACTTTAAGTTATAAATAAATAACATCATTCTAATTTTGATTGATTTATTCTATCTTTTTATAGAAACCCATGGAAAAAAGTACCAGTCATTCAAGATGGTGATCTTACATTGATTGAAAGTCACACCATCCTGAGATACATTGCTCAAAAGTATAAATTGGATCAATTGTATTCAAATACTGATTTGATTGAAAGATGTAAAGTTGATATGTATTTAGAGTATGTTCTATGACTATTTAGATTGTAAATGATAGATTTAAAATCTTTATTTAAATATCCTTTTATTTGTAGTTGGCATCATATTGGATTACGTAAACCAGCTTCAACAGTTTTTTACTTTACATTTGTTGCACCATTGTTTGGTATCCCTGTAAACCAAGAACTGTTGGCTTCAGAATCCAAGAACCTCCAAACCAGTCTTTCCAAATTCGAATCGATTTGGTTGGGAGACAAGAAATTCATTGTTGGTGACAAAGCTACTCTGGCCGACTTTGCATCATTCACAGAGATATCTAATCTCAGACTGATTTCAAACGACTATTTCGATCTTTCAAAGTATCCAAAAATAGATAAATGGATCAAGCAATTTGAAACCATGGATGGTTATCAAGAGAGTCATAACATCTTTAACATTGTATTGGCTAAAAAGCAATAAATCATACCTGATATAATAAACCAATGAAATTGAATTATTATCATATTCATATTCTATTTCAATTAGGGTGTTAGTTATGGTTAGGGTTATTATTAAATGTTGTTAAAATATTCAAATTGAATTATCTGATTGATTGATTATTTAATTATTATTTTTGTCAAAAAGATTCTAGAATCCCAATCTTTGACACCCCCCACAGATTTATTACATGAAATTGAATGACATCAACTTGTTTTGAAACACATTCCATTAGATCAGTGATTCATTTTCAAATTAGGAAAGAGTGGTTGGATGTGGAAACATAACATCGATATAGGTAAATTTTACACTTTTTGGATTTTAAAGTGGTGTGGTGTGGAGGGTAGGGGGTAATATCCGACCGAATTAACCATGCCTATAGTAATAATAATAATATCTATTATTAGAATGTTTCGAAAGATTGACCAACTTTTTTACTAAATGTGGAAAATGATCGGGCATTATTTGATATTGATTATCTTTCATGGTCGGACCATAATAATCTATAGTGATCATCTAAAGTTGGCAACTATCTATCCGATAGATATAAATATCTCTTTTATACTCATTGTTTATATTCATTCCAACAATCAAGTATAATAATAATATATTCAATATTTTTAATACTACTAAAAATCAAATCAAATCAAATCTAAACTAAAGAATGTTATTCAGTATGTAATTAAATTATTTAATTATTTATAATATTATTATTTTATATATCCATATTTCCAAAAATATTAATTATTGTTTTCTTTTTTTTTTTTTATTTTGTACAAAACAGAAAGTCTTACATCACTCGCTGGACCAAAAGTAGGAGCTACTCAAATGAATGCCAAGATCCAAGGAATCTCTGGATCGAGTGGTATGAATGGCCAATCAAGCAACTCTATCGCTTGCGGAGACTACACCTCTAGTTGTTGCAGTGATTGCTGTTGTTGTTCGGATTGTTGTTGCAGTGGAATGGTTAATAGATACCCTTGTTAATCCATCCATCTACCCCATCTAGATATCCGAAATAAATAAGTAAATAAATAAATAAATAAATAAACAAACAATTAAAATTATTATTATTATTCTTTTTCAACTTTACCAAGCAGAGGTCACCACCTTCCTACTTCAGGCAGCCTAGATGTACAGTTTGTGATATTATGAGATTGTTTATGATCCAAATGGACATGTCTCCATCGATGCCTTGTTAACAGGAGCGGCTGACATGTCACAGAGTTTATATGTAATGCGATGTGCAACTCACACTGGCTTGTCCTTGTTATGAAATCATAATAATAGAATGGATATTATCATCACCTGCACCTAGTTTAGCCATTTTTCAACATAGATGTAAGGTCAGAATGTCAAAAGAATAAAGGAACCAAACTCAGCTATAATCATCAGTTTCCTTTTTTGATTAATTTTTTAATTAAACTTTTAATTGTTAACTATTACAAAACAGGACGGGATAGGATACATCATCATCATCATTCCATTTCAAATTCAATTTCATTGATTCTATTTTAATCTTAAATCATATATTTATATATATATTTATTTAATGGCAAGTAAACTTATTCTCTATGGTGACATGATGTCACAACCAGTCAGAGCTGTCAGATTCATGTTGTTGAATCATAAGATACCACATGTATTCAAAGCTGTAAAGATTGCTAGTTTAGAGCATCTCAGTGATGAATATAAAAGGATGTATGATCAATCTAAATATATCTATATCTATCTATCTAATCAATCAATAGAGATTAAATTAACACTTTTAAATTGCATATATTGTAGTAACCCATTACATCTAATACCAGCTCTTCAAGATGGTGATCTTACATTGGTAGAAAGTCATACCATCATGAGATACATTGCTCAAAAGTATAAATTGGATCAATTGTATTCCACTACCGATTTAATTCAAAGATGTAAAGTTGATATGTATTTAGAGTAAGTTTGATTTATTTTATTCATTCTATTATTATTATTATTATTATATTATTATATTTGATACTAATCAATATAATTATATTAAGTTGGCACCATTTAGGATTACGTAAAGCTAGTACGATGGTATTTTTCTCTAAATTTGTTGCACCAAGGATTGGTAGAGCAGTCAATCAGGCTGCACTAGATATGGAGATCATGAACCTTCAAACTTCACTAAGCAAATTTGAATCGATTTGGTTGGGAGACAAGAAATTCATTGTTGGTGACCGACCCACTTTGGCCGACTATTCAGCATTTACAGAGATATCTAATCTAAGATTTGTTCCAGTTGAATTCTTTGACCTTTCAAAATTCCCAAAGATTGATGCATGGCTAAAAAGATTTGAATCTTTTGATGGGTATGAAGAAAGTCATCTAATCTTTAAAAAGGTATTATCTAAATTGTAAAAAATAAAGATTGTGTATTGTAAAAAAAAATAAACTATTATAACTGTGTGTCGTATCCGGTCAATTGACCAATCCATCCATACTGGTCTATTAATTACATTGATTAATTGATTCTTTTAATATAATCTATTTATTATACTATGTATTTTTAATCCTTCATTGTAATATCTTGTACTGGTTGTATTGTTGTTTCTTTTTCCTTTTCCTTTTCCTTTTCATTTGTTTGTAAAGGTGGTACGATTGTTGTTGTTGTTGGAGTTGAAGAGGATAAAGTAGAAGGTGATGATGAAGATGATTCTTTGGCTGAAGACCCTGATGTCTGACTCGTTGATGATGAAGATGTACCAGCAGATTGTTTTTTAATGGAATGAATCAACTCGTTGAGTGATGGTTGTTTGAATGCCTCTAATCTCTTTCTTGATATGAGTCTGAGTGTTTTCCATATGTACATTTGATCGTCCTTTAACAATGGTTTGGGATCATCGAGATCCTCAAGATCGTCGGAATCAAAGTCTAAATTATCGTCATCATCCTCTTCTTCTTCTGCTGCAGCAACTTCTTCTCCATCTTCCTTTTTATCTTCTTGCATCTTTTGCTCGAGTTTTTTACGTTTGGCATCACGTTCCTCTTGCTTTTTAGTCTCTTTTGCTTTGAGTCTTGCCAAACGCTCCTGCTCTTTTTTGGCTGCTTCCTCTTGCTGTATCATCTCGTCGTACATTGGTGCAATATAATCCATCACGTTGAGCTTGATCTCTGTCTTTAAACTCTCGGTATTGTCACTCGACAAGTTCCACAAACGCGACAATTCCTGCGTACCCATCATTACCTTGGTCGATGTCTTTCTCAGTTTACGCTTCTTGACAACGATTGATTGTGCGGCGGGCCTTCCAAACGCCTTGCATCCACCATCCATCTTCCAAGTCAACCAATTTGTCTCTCTCTTTAAAATCAATGCCAAACTCTTCATAAAATGTTCTCCATTTGGTTGTGTCTGTTCAATTATTTTCTTTGCTTTGTTTGTCAATGTTGTTAATAATTGTTTCTATAAAAAAATAAATAAAAAATAAAAATAAATAAATATTAATATTAATTCTCTTTCAATTTCTTTGTTCATTTTGTTGTTGTATTGTACATACTTGAGAATCATTTAATAAATTTGGAGATTTAATAGTATTAAATTCAATAAATTGAAAAGTGATCAATAATTGAGTTAGGATGTTTCGTCTAAAGGTTGAATCTTTGAGTTGCAATTTGATGAGGTTGCTACTAGTGAGATATTTGGTAAAGTAGTGAGACTTTGACATGGTTGCCAGTTCGTCGAGATTAATGTGTGTTGCAAAGGTGGTCAATACAACCTCTATCGATTCCATAAAATGACTCCACTTGTCTTTGTTTAATGCCAGTGCTGCTGTATTGACTGCATTTGCATTATTAAATAATTGGAATGGTTTTTGGAAATATGATTGTAATCCCCAAAATTGTTTATAGAAATTTAAATCAATTGTTGTTTTATCTAAATATATAAATAAATTAGTAACATATTTAACATTTATCTTTATCTTTATCTTTACCTTCAGGAGAAGTTTCTTCAAAATCCATAATATTTGTTAAATCCAATTCACCATGAACAGCATGTAAACTCTTTGGATTTAAACCAGATGGATCAGACAATGGAAAGATAAATGCCAAAAATATAAGAATACGTCCACATGAATCTGGATTGGTTGATTTACTCAATCTCTTTAACAAATCAATACAAATCTTTAACAACATATTTTTTGTTCTTGAAACCATAAATTGATCCTATAAATATAAATGTAAGTAATGTGTCTTGTCTATCGATAATAATAATAATAATAGTCGACATACTTGAGAGAAATAATCAGCTCTTGATTCCAATAATGAAAAGAATTCGATTGATTCACTTATACTTTTACTATCAAATAGATCTTCTGCCAATTGAGCGATTAAATAGGAATCAATATAACCCAAATCAGCAATTTCAATTGCAAGTTGTAATGTTATATTGATATCATCCTTTTTCATTGATTTTGATCTCTACATAGATTGATTGTAATGCAAAGTGGTTAGTCTTGCATAAGATCTATCATTGCTTATCTTTACATACAAATACATCACTGAATAATTGTCTAATTGATAATTCAATATTTGTTCTTAGGTCAGGTGCAATCATTGATAATACGCTACCACTTGTACTTGTACTTGATCCAGATTGAGTAGATGGTGTTGTTTGTATTACATCAGTTGCTATGATTGGTTGTAATGATGTCTTTACATTATCTATATTTATATTCTTTTCATTCAATGCATCTTGAAGTAGATTCTATGTACACATCATTCATTATTAATACTTTGTAACTATTTATCTATCTCTATCTATCTATCTATCTATCTACATACACTGAATATTGATTTTACATCTAACATCATATCTATTCTATCTCTATTCTATTATCTCTATTTATACAATATATATACACACAATCGAAAGATTGAAACTAAAATGGCAATGATCGAACTTCACTCACAAAAATAAATGAGACATTGCCCAGAAGTTCGGGTGATCATAAAAATCGAGCTCTGTGATTCAAAGTTCAATAGAAATTTCTTGATAGAGAGGAAATGACTTAATATTAGGCTCAGGTTTCTTATTTCACTGTATTTCTTTATTTATTTATTTATTCATTCATTCATATCTCTAGTTTTATATCTAGATCATCAACACACAACACATACACAAAGATAGAAAGATAGTTCAACAAACACAGTAATAGTTTAGAAAGACTATTCAATCATATCATATCAATAATATATCAATAATATAGTCAAACAAGATGGATGACGCAGATGAAATTATATTATTAACAGTCAAAGATTTAGGATGGTATGTTCATTACACTTTACACTCGTTATCTAATATCTAATATATACTCTATCTTAGTGAGGTCGAACATAATATAACTATAAAAGAATTTGATGCAGATATATTTTATAAATGTTTGATACAATACTTGAAAGCAATCAATGCAGACAAGGTATCAAATTTGACGGCAACCATACCAAAGAACATGTCGGCCAGAGTCAATGCATGTTCGACTATTGCCAATATCATCAGAGAGCTGGGTTTTAGAGCCGAGCTCAGTTATCACAATCTTTTATACCCAACTTTAAACGACACTCGTCGCATTTTAATCTTTCTTGGACAGAACCTACCCAAAAAGGAGCTTGGCAGCGGTGCAGGAGCAGGCAGCAGCGATGCTGTCAAGCTCGAGTCGCTAGTGTGCGCCTATTTGCAGACTTCGATCAAGGAGAGTTGGATGCCATACTTTTGTCCATTCACCAAGCGTATCCCGGGCAACTACTCGACTGCACGTCTGTTTACGACGGGTCCTGTAAAGATACCAGCACGTGGACGTCAGGTCAAGGTGACACCCGGACTCGAGTACTACTACATCAATGTGCTGCCACCCGTGACACTGCAGCCACAACGTGCCGACGACATTGCTCCGTCAGTGTTTGAATACAATTTGTCGGTGTTTGCCGATACTCAAGAAAGAGAGCGCGAGTGGAGCGAGAGGGGTGTATCGTCGGGTCTGTCGCCCGTAGAGTATGCCAAGCAAAAGCAGCGTGGTGTGTCGTCGCGTATGGACGACTCGATTAGAAGTGCGTTGGTGGATGGTGGTGTCGGGTTGGAGGGACGTCGCGGGAATGGTGGTGTGTCGGCTGGTTTGACACTCGACGACATTATCGGCGGGTTCAGTGGACGTGCTGGTGGCGAGGACATGAACGAGTTTGCGCGTAAGATGTTGTTCACAACCGAGCAGGGTGAGCAGACTGACAGCGGCGCCGCCGTCGCAAGCGGTCCCAAAGAGACCGAGGAAGAGCGTCTCGAAAAGCAACGCCAGGAACTCGACGAGCTGCAAAGCAGCCTGACTGCAGCAGTCGACGAAATAGCAGAGACCAACCGCGACATGGAAGAGTTTATGCAACTACTACGTCAACTTGAAGCCGACATTAATGAAGAGGATGGACGTCGTGGCGACCTCGAAAAGCAGTACAAGATCAAGAAAAAGACGTTTGCACTGCTCGACAATGCCGACGAGAATCTCAAGCAGCTGCAGATGTTGTGTCAGCAGTCGTCGGCCGCTTTGATCGAGATGGCTGGCGAATGGGAGCGCGTGCGTCGTCCAATCGTCGACAAGTTCCGTGCACTCCGTGACGAACGTGCCAACCAAAACGACGAGGCCAAGTCCAAGCTCGAACGTGTCAAGGAGATGCGTGCACTCATCAAGAAGCTGATCGCCGAGATTCGCGCCAAGGAAGAGCTGTTTGGCCAGCTCCAAGAGACGTACAAGAACGCACCCAAGGACACCAACCGTTCCATGTACACCCGTCGTATCCTCGACACTGTAAAGAACATCAAAAAGCAAAAGGTCGACATTGACAAGATTCTTTTGGACACCAAGACACTGCAAAAGGAGATCAACACCATCACTGACAGCGCCGTGCGTGCCTTTGACAATGTCAAGGATATCCTCTACGCCGACGCCAAAAAGGATGAGACTGCCAAGCTCGCCATCAAGTCGTTTGCCGTCATTGATGAAAAGTTCCAATCCCTCTTGCTAGCAATCGACGAGACTGGCACCTACCAAAACAACATCCTCACCCTCACCTCTAAAATCGATCACATCTCTCAAAAGACAAATACCCTCAATTCCGATCGTGTATTGAATGATCTTAAAAATATTAAAACTGACAATCAAAATCTTATCAAACAAATTAAAACTAGAATGGCTGCAAACAAATCATCAACTGCCGAATAATAATTCTCACAAAAATAAATTAATATGTATATTTAAAATTAAAAAAGAAATGAACTAAAAAAATCAAAGATAATATCGCTTCTCATTCTTTAGATTTCCACTTTCCTTTTTATTGATGGATAATGCCTAGAACTTTAAATGGTTAGCATCTAAGAATTGTACACCTGAATACATAATAATTATGTATATTTTAGAAAATGAATTTGTTGTTGAATTTATTTATTTAAAGAATGGAACACCGACAGTTGCCACCGCAGCCACAGATATCACATCCAATCTAATAATAGTAATGGAAATGGGAAAATAATAATTAATAAATAATTCTTTTTAACTTATTATCATTTTTAAAACTTTAAAGTACATACTCCACAACAATCACAACCACCAGCCATTGAATAGATCATAGTAATATTTGAATTATTATCTAAATGTAAACTTGAAATTTTCTTTTTATCATTTCTTTTTGAAAATACTTTACTACCTTCAAATCCAAGCTAGAATTTTTTTGAAAGATACAAAAGTTCATAAAAATATTAATAGATTTAAATCTTAGATCTTTTTTAAATTATACTTACAAGTTGATGAGCTGGTGGAGTTCCTGTTTTGTCATAGATTTGATGTTTAACATCTATTAATTTATCATTGTCTTCTACTTGAATATCAATAGTTTTCTCTAATGTTGGGCAATGAACTTTCATTTTTAATTTGTTTTAAGTGTTTTGATGATTTAATATATTATATATTTTAAGGTTTAATTATTTAATTTAATGATGATTATTATTATTATTATCTCTTTATTAATAGTTGAATGAAGTGACTAGTTTTTTGACTTTTGAATTCATTCTAAAAAGGAATTTAATACATTTATATTTTAGATACATGGTTATTATTGATAAAATGAAATAATAATAATAAATAATAATTTTTATTTGAAAAAAAACAATCTAAAGAAAAGAAATTCTTTTTTCCTATGTTTATTTTGAAAGGTTTGAAAAGAAAAATTATTCGTCTAGTGGCCCAATAAAAATTCTAAAAAGAATGTTTCCTTTTTTGGTAAAAATTTCCAGTTTCCCAAAACCAAAAAAAACAAAAAAAAAAAAAACCATCCACAACAGTTTCAAACGGTTTACGGAAACCGTTGTCGTGTCTCCGCAACTATAATTTTAAATATACACTGGAATATATTATTTCCTTGAATAATTAATTATTATTATTACATTTATTATTATTTTTTCAAAAGTTTTGAAAATAATTGTTTGAATGAAAATGATTTGTTGTTGTTGTTACTCGATGGTTCTGGTGCTACATCAATCTCCATAAACTGGTATACATTTTGTCTAAGAAATTGGGCAATTTCAATATGACCTTTACGTTCGGCAATTTGGAGAGATTCTTCTGTACATCCATCACTCCTGTTTTTGAATAACCATTCAATGATGTTGAGGTGATTATTATAGGCTGCATACTCTATAGCCTTTTCAGATGCACCTTCACTACGATTCAAGTGTAACCACTCTACTACATTTAAATGGCCACCCAGCGCTGCCATATCCATCGCGCCCGTTGTACATCCTTCTGTGCGATTCAAATGTAAAAACTAAAAAGAGGATTTATTATTAGTATTTCTAATAATATAGTATTTCTTAAATAGTCTATACTATACTTTGACAATATCAATATGGCCATTCTCAGCAGCATAGTTCATGGCAAGATGATCACGTGGACCCTCTTGTCTGTGCTCATGTAAGAATTGAACAATTTCCAAATGTCCTTTTTTCGATGCCATCGCCATTGCATCAAACCCTTTAACCTCTGTCCTATTAAAATGTAGAAACTAAAAAAAAAAGAATATTAAATATATTATATTTGAGTTCAAATATCTAAAACATACCTTGACTACCTCCATATGTCCATTCTCAGAAGCAAAGTCTAAAGTTCTTTCCTCACATCCCTCTGTTCTGTTTTCATGTAGAAACTATAATTAAACAACAATAAAAGTCTATTAATACTATACGATGTTTATGTTGCATTCATTGTACATACTCTAACAACATCTAAATGTCCATTTTTAGAGGCCATTGTCATTGCGCCTGGAGAACATCCTTCTGTTCGATTATTATGTAAAAAGGAAACAACATCTAGAAATCCTCTACTAGCAGCATGATCCATTGAATATTGAGAACAATTAATACCTTTTTCAAAGGATTTCGAATGTTGATGCAGAAACATAATTAGTGGCAAAAAGCCAGACGAGACTGCAATATCAAACCCAAAACTAGTACCTGGTAGGTTAGTCTTTTCAATGATATATTTAACAATCTCCAAATGATTTCTTGATGATGCTGCATCAATTGCAAATGATGTACATCCTTCAGTTCTATTTTCAATTAGAAACTAAAATAATTATTTAAAATAATAATAATAATATAATGTCTGTCAGTCATATGATCTTTGGATATGAATGGTAATATCTATGTACATACTTTTACAACATTTAAATGACCATTGTAGGCAGCTCTATCAATTGCCTCTTTGGTGCATCCCTCAGTTCTATGTTTATGTAAATACTCTACTACATTTAAATGGCCGTTCGATGCGGCTAGATCCATCGCATTTTCGGAACCCTTCTTCTTGAACATGTCAAGATACTTTACAATCTCCAAATATCCACCACCTGCTGCTCCAGTCATAGCCTCTACTGTACATCCTTCTGCTCTATTTTCATTTAAAAACTATAAATAGAAATTTAAAAAAAATAGTTTGGTTAATCAAAGAGTACTGTACAGTAGTTTAGAGAATATAATATATTATATACTTTGACAACATCAAAATGACCATTCTTGGCTGCCTCATCCATAGCATTAGTTGTACATCCTTCACTTCGATTATTATGAAGAAACTATAAATTATAAATTAAAAGGTTTAGAGTAAAGTTATTCATTTGACCAAACATGATATTTATATTTTACATACTTTAACAATTTCTAAATGACCTTTTTGACTTGCAAATTCCATTGCAGATACACCTATATATGTTTTTGGATTGGTATCATGAATAAACTTGACAAAGTCTAAATTTCCATACTTTGCAACTATACCCAAAGCCAAACCAACATCGGTATTTGGAAACATATTGTACAAACATACAAATAGGTCATAATGATTGTGTTCAGCCACTTTGATTAACATTTCATTTGGGTTTGATGGTTTGAATGCTTTGTGTCCTCCTTTAATCCAATCCAATAATTTCTTAAATGTCTCTAAATTTGCATTTCTATGATAACAATATTCAGTTATAGCTTCTGATTTATCTTTATCACTTATTATTATTATTGGTTGTTTATCGTGTTGTTTCTTTTTCTGATTGTCCTTCTTTGTTGTTGTTTCTTTTGATGTTATTGATGGATCATTATTTTGAAAGATTAAAGAGTGTTTGATAAAGTCAAATGACATTGCATAGATTGTGATCATTGATAATCCAGGTAGATTGATGATACGTCTACCTTTGATATACTGATTGACAGACATATAGTCATGATCTATTGACTGTTCATTATCTAGTCTACATTGTCTTTCAATATCATTAAATATGATCTTTCGAATATATGAGTGTCTAAATAGAGTAAAGAATGCAGTTGTTGTTGTTGTTGTCATTGTTGTTAAAGATATCTAGATAGATAGATAAGATTAGTTATAACTAATCTATCTCTTTTGTATGTAACCATTGACCCACGAACGAAAATAACAAACCAAGAAGGAAGGGTCCCCACAACTTCTTTGAATTTTTTCATTGATCTATCAGCTGATCAAGACAAACCCTTTCATGCCCTCTCCAGACTTTCTCACCATTTTATTTTAAACTTCCTATTAATACACTTTAAACAAACAAATAGAATATAGAGTAGATATTGAATAGATAATAATGAAGATGATGACACTACCTACATCATCGAGTTTGAAGTATTACTTTTTATTTTTATTGTTCATTATTGCAACCACCAACATCAGTCCGGTTCAATCACAAACTATAGTTCTACCACCTGATGAATGTAAGTAGTACTATTACCATACATACATGTACATTAACAATAACTAACTACTATGTAAAGTAAACTCTGTTATTTGGTTACTTAGATTCTATGGTATTGTAGATGTAGGTCAAACATCAAATGAAATATGTGCAAATGCTCAATTCACATGTGCACTCATTACATCTGATCAGAAATATCATGTCACTTTTATGTATGTAGATATATAGATATAGATATAGATATTGATGGTTTGATGGCTAATCACTTTTCTTTCTTTATTGTCTAGTGATCTTACGGTTACAGCATTCCAATATGTTGGAGAATGGACAGATTTAAATATGACACAATTAATATTCCCTGAGTTGTTGAGTTTGACAATCAATGATTACCCAGGTAACACCAATTACACCTATAATCCATTAGACTATCTTCAAAACCTACCTAAACTATCTAGTCTTAGAATATTGAATGATCTTCGTATCTCTTCCATTCCAAATACTTTTGATCAAGCATTCCCTATTCTACAACAATTGTATGTACAAACTATAGAAACTATAAAGATTTAATTTAATTATTTGATTTATTAATTTTAATTTTGATTTATTAATTTAATTTAAATTTAGAACATTGGATTGTGAAAATCTAACAAGAATCGATAATTTCTTTAATATTACTAGTCTTCAATTAATTGATATTGAAGCACCCAATTTAGGTTGGGTTCAAATCAATGACCCTCAGTATTTACCAAACCTCATTACATTGTCCATTGTAATGCAATCCATCTATGATACTAATTGGGTTTTTAGAGATACTAGATTCCCTAATCTTTATTCAATGTATGTATCAATCTTGCGTGACAAATATTCAATCCCCACTTGATTATATATATATATATATATATATAATAATAATATATTTATTCTAACAAATAATCATTACAACAACAATATTATTATTATAGTACTGTTATGGAAAAATCCCTGGAAATAATTCTTTAATCTTTTTTGTAATGACTCCATCTGTGAGAGAAGTTAGAGTGGCTACTCTTGGCTCGCAAAGTACTATTCTTCCAGTATCAGACTATCCTGCAAACATTAAAGTATTAAAGGTTTCAGGTCTAACTGCTCGTCATAATCCAGGACTAGTATCAGCTTATCCAAATTTACAAGAATAGTAAGTCACCTAGGTTAAGAATAATTAATTAATTATTTTCTAAACTTTAGAAATTCTAATACAATATATTATTATATTATAGTTCATTTACCGATTCTAATATTACAACTAATCCATTCAACACATCTGTACCAGCATCAATGACAGAACTATCATTGGCAAACAATGACTTGGCATTTAGTTTTCCACTACCACCTTCATTTTTGGCCAATAGTCCATCCTCTATGCAACTCAATTTAGAGTCGAATATGGGGATTGATGGCATTGTACCAAATGAATTTTGTAACATTGCTGGTTTGAATATTAAATCAACCTCTGTCACTGTACTCCCAGATTGTTTCTGGTGTTACATTGATAATACACAAGCCATTCAAACTGATATCTCCAAACCAGGAGGTTTTTCATGCAGTACGTAACACAAAGAACAATACAAATAACAAAGCAAAGAACAAAACAAAGAAATACTAACTAAACAAACAATTTGGTACCAAATTTAAAATTTATAGTTTTTTCAGTTGATACAACTACATTGAATTCTATTAGAGGTGTTTTTAACATCTCAGGTGTAAATATCGGTTGGGGAGGTCCATCAACAGAACTCCAAGTAATTATTCCAAATAAGTTGTTACAGTAAGTAAATTGATCAATGAGTGATCAAAGATTTCACTCTCCAAATAATATAACTTAACTTAATTGTATTTATGTATTTTTTTATTTTAGGGGAACAATGAATCCAAGAAATGGAATAGTTCAATCAAAGAATATTGTATTTAATCCAAATGACCCATCACTAACGGAGAGTTTTATCATTACCGAGGTTGGATTTTTGGTTGATACTGTCAATGTGGCCAGTCAAACATTGGATGAAAAATTCATAGATATTCATTACCAATATGTCAATCTTGACACTATCCCAGACTTTAAAATGAGTGATGGTTCAACATGTGTTCTCGTCCAACACAACGCTACCACCAATACTTCAACATGTTCAACAAAATTCAACTTTATAACTAATAATCCAACCATACTTGCTTCAAATCAACATATTTCTCAATCTATTACTTTTAATTTCAAACGTATGTCACATACCAATATTTATTATTTTTTTAATTATTATTATTAATTTATTAATTTTAATTTTCTATAGCAACAATTATCAATTCATTATCAATTAATAATCCACCAATGACAGTTAATTTGAATGGATATTTTGGATTGAATATTACACATGGACGAATCACTATCAATGATACTATTGGTTGTGATATCATCGGTGCTGGAGTTGCGACCATTGATTCAATTCAATGTAAATTTAACCAAGTACTGGCATCGGGACCTGCAACCATCACAGTAGTAGTACCAAATGGTCAGTACACCTCCAAATCACTCTTATTTATTCCGTTCCCATTACCAACCGACAATAGTTGTCAAACTAAAACATCAAATTGTAATGGTCATGGTACTTGTATAAACGGTCAATGTGTTTGTGAACCAGGATGGTATGATAATTGTAAACTTCAATCAAATACAAGTATGTAAAATATAAAATATAAAATATAAAATAATGGATATATAATATCAACCATTGTTTGACTAACCTATTTTATGTTCATAGATCCAGATGTAATATTCCAAGTTAATAATACAGACCCTGCACCAAAATTTGAATACAATGATTTTGAATTTTCATTTAATATTATTGCCGTTCAGGAATTGGATATTAATGATGTAGTTATAAAAGAACTACAAACTAAAAAATGGAATGTAACTGATTTATCAACTACGGATATCGTCAATATCAATTATGAATTGGTTAAAACAATCGATTTCCCAACAGTAGATGTTATCACAACCGTTGGATTTTCAAATCAATCTAGAACCATTTCATTTGGAGGTGAAGATATTCAGCTGGCAAATGGTGCCATTAAAATTGGTGTAAATGTAACTAATTGGCCATTCGAGAATGTTTTATCACATCTAAGGGTTGTATTCTCTACCGTTGTCAATAACGACCAATTCATCCAAGACAAATGCTCAGGTGAATTGACAGAGATTCAATCATTCCAAAACTTTATAGATAATGCCGATTCGTTACAATACCTTCGTGTCGTTAAAGACAATGTACAATTCTTTGGTCGGTTCCTTGAATACTCAGTGTCGGATGGTAGAAAGACATACTCCAAGACTGAAGTGATGAATACCACTGTACTTAACATAGACCAGTCTCTAGCAATCATCGGTATACATCTACCACAGTGTCAATCGTGTCTTTTAGACCCAGACTTTTCAGCATTGATAGTTCACGACGACTCTTCAAATGACGAGTGTGACAATGAAAAGAATAACACCTGGAAGATTATTGTAGGTGTAGTAGTCGGTGCAGTAGGTGCCGCTGCAATAGGCGTTGCCATTTACATTATCATTAAAAAGAACAAATACTACTTTGTCCGAAGATCCGCATCTGTCGACATGAAAAGATTTAAAAAGAATAAAGATATTAATTAACCAACACATTAATTAATTAAACATATTAATTGTAATTTTAAAACAAATATAAACTATCGTTCTTCAGTCTTTGATTCCTGAAGTTCAATAGAAGAAATTAGGAGGGAAAAAACAAATTATTTCAAATAAATTAGGGTTTCGTGAAAGCTGAGTCATAAATATTAAAGTTTTGAGTAGTATAGTTTTATTGTTCAAAATAATACAAATACAAAATACAAAATACAAGTATATATAAATAATATAAATAAGGAGATATAGGAAAGAAAGAAAGAAAGAAAGAAAGAAAGAAAGAAAGAAAGAAAGATTTAAAAGATAAAGGAAGACAAGACAATAATGTCTCTATTTAAAAGATTATCTACCTATCTTGGATACAACAATAGTGAACCATCTAAACTACTAGAGTTCTCTGGATACTTTTATCATTATCATAAGGGCCAATGGAGTTGTTTGTATGTAGTACCTAAGAGAAAGAGAGAAAGAGAGAGGAAATAATTATAATTATATTATATTAACGCTATGTACTATTTATTTACTTGTTTATTTCTACGTAGATTCAACGATTGTGAATTAGTAATATTAAAAAAGAGTGATGGAAAGTATAGTTATGCAATTCAAGTGACTCGTGTAGTAGAGGATGAAAACGATATTAAAGAGGGTGATGAAGATGACCCCAATTCATACGAATTCCCTATTACTGTGGGACTAGAGTTGTACAAGGAAGAGGGACCACTAGGTGGAGTCGCTTTCAGCTGGAAGGGAACTCGTAGCAGATTCCTCTTTGAGTTTGAAAGAGATTCAATCTCTGCTGAATCCGATGCATCTAGATTACAATTACTACTATGTCAATGTATCTATGAAGCTTTCTATCAACAACATCATACAACTGGTTCAATTAATGAAATTGAAAATTATTGCAGGTACTTACATAAATGAAAGAAAGAAATGATATAATATTATTTATTATTTAATATTAACTATTTTTTCTTCAAACAGAGAATGCAAAACAGAGATTCATAAACCACTATCAACCAATGTAAATACAATTGAAGCAAAGAGAGTTGAAGTGCCAAAAGAAGAAAAACAAGAGGAAAAAGAAGAAGAAGAGGAGAAACCTTATTATCCTATACATGATTTGGTTGTTGAACAAGTAGCTCAACCATCTACACCACCACTAACTGCAACAACAGTAACTTCAACTTCAACACCACTACAAACCAATCCAACTGGAACTGAATTGTTTAGACGCCATGTTTCATTGTATTTAGAAACTGGAAATCAATTCAATTTAAAGGATTCCGACGTTTTTGTATTATTAAGCAATACTCAATTAAAAAATCATAAATCTGTTGAATGTATGTAACACATTTAAAGAAGAAGAAGAAGATTATTCTCTCATCAACTAATATATTTAATTTTCATTTAGATACATTTTATATTGTAAAGAATGAATTGGTCGTACTTTCACAAATTATAAACTCTGATATGTTTCCTCATTTTTTTAATGTATGATATATATATAATATAAATATTAATATAATATTGTATTAATTCATTTGATTTTGATTTTTTATTCATTTTTAGGAACAAAATTCATTTATTTGGTATTCATCATATGGTAATAATTATAGTAGATGGAGTATTAGATTTGATTCATTAGAGGATTATGAAGCATTTAGAACAAAGTTTGCAGTTTTGCAATACGAGGCTTTGAACCAAACAAAATTCACTGGTAAAAAGGATGATGTTGATTTCATGGCTCAAGCAATGACTGAAGACAAACAAGACCCAAATGTCATCTTTGATACCGATGATGGTTTCAATGCAAAGGATCTTGAAGATTTCGATGATCTTGATATCTCTTCTGATTTTACTCCAGAAGAAGCTCAATATAATGAAATGGAACAACAAATGAATGATCAAATGGATGAAAGTGAAGAAGATGAAGAAGAGGAAGAAGATGAAGAGGATGAAGAAAGCGAGGAGGAAGAGGAAGAAGAAGAGGACGAAGAGGAAGAAGAAGAACCATCTCCATACAAACCACCAACCAAACCAACTCCACAAGAACAAAAGAAAATTGTTCCACCTCCACAACCACAAGAAGAAAGCGAAGAAGAAGATGAAAGTGAAGAAGAAGAAGAAGAAAGCGAAGAAGAAGAAGAGGAAAGTGAAGAGGAGGAAGAAGAACCAATTGTTTTACCAAAGAGACCAGTTCAAAGACAAATTCAAGAAAGTGAAGATGAAGAGGAGAGTGAAGAAGAAGAAGAAGAAAGTGAAGAGGAGGAAGAAGAAGAAGAAGAACCAATAGTTGTATCAAGAAAAACACCAATTAAAAGAAGAACTATTGAAGAAAGTGAAAGTGAAGATGAAGAAGAAAGTGAAGAAGAGGAAAGTGAAGAAGAAGAAGAGGATGAAGATGAAGGAATTCAATTTTCAGAGGATTTGGCCAAAGCAAAGAATAGTGAATTACTTGTTGGTTACAAGGATCGTTCATTTGTTGTAAGAGGTTCATCCATTGGTGTATTTACTACCGAAGATAATGACGTTAAACTCAATTCAATGATCCAAAGAGTAAAGGATAGTAAAGGAAAACAATTTTCACCAAAAAAGGTAAGTCAGAGAGATCTCTAAAACAATTTAAATCATCAAAGGATATTTTATTTATTTATTTAATTATTTAATTTCTTTTAGATGATGTTACAACAACAAGATAGTTCATTATTAATGTTAAATAAGGATCAAAGATCCAAAGTATTTAAACTTGATTTACATAGACCAGATGTAGTACAAGAATGGGATATGAAATGGAAGGATCAACCTACTCCAATCAGCTCGATCTTTCACAAGACCAAGTTTGATGAGACTACCAACGACCAAACATTTGTGGGTATCAATGGAAACGGTATGTTTATGGTAGACCCACGTGCCAGCCGTGACAAGGTGGTTAGCAAGTTCCAAGGTGCCGCCACGATGAGCTCTTTGCATACTTGTGCTGCCACATCGGCTAAAGGCCAGATTGCAGTAGCCACCAACAAGGGTGAGATCAAGTTATTCTCGTCCAACCAATTTGACCCATCTCGCAAGAGTGTCACTAACCAGAACCCAGCCGGTCCACAACTACGTAGCAAGACTACGTTGCCAGGTATTGGTGATGCCGTCATTGGTATTGATACAACAGCCGACGGCAAGTGGATTGTAGCCACGTGCAAGACCTATCTCATGATTGTCCCCGTCGAGACCAAGGACGGAGTCAATGGGTTCGAGTCGCGTCTCTCGGCACAAAACAGACCACTTCCCAAACGTCTCATCCTCAAGCCAGCCGACATTAAGCGTCTTGGCGGTCAAATCTCCTTCACACCCGCCAAGTTTAACGTCGATTTGGTCAACAACAATAATAGCGAGACTTCTATCGTCACGTCGAGTGGTCGTTTCTTGATCACTTGGAACTTTAGAAAGATCAAACAAAACATCTTGGACATTTACCAAATCAAAGAGTACAAGCATGAAATCGTTGCTGATCAATTCAAATTTAACAAGGATAATTCAATTGTTGTCACTTTACCAAATGATGTAATCATGTCAAAAAAGAAATAAGAAAAGAAATTAAAAATTAAAAGAAATCACACAACACAAATCAATAGAACCCAGTAATTAGTAATATTAACCAATAATAATAATAACAAATAATAATAGTTTAGACCAAGGAGAGAAAGAAAAAGAGAAAGAATATTCTTTCTTGTTTTTTGTTTTTTAAATAAAATAAATTTAATATTTTTTATAACTCTATCTATCTATTTCCCTACCTTAGATATTTTATCCATCAATATTATTATTATTATAATATTAATTCTTTGGAAACTAAAACTAAAATCCATTCATTTTCAAAAATTGAATGATTTCTTTGTTTTTTAATAGATTCGTCTGTCAACTTTTTGTAATAATGTAAAGAAAGAATCTGGCCCCTCATAGCTATACCTCTTGATATGATGGTATGATGATATCACTATATTCAAAGAGATTGAAAACATCTCAAAGTATCTACAAACTGTAGCAGTAAAACCTCCTCCTCCATCTGAACCTACTACTACCGAACCTGCCATTGACAACAATGTGGTGGTGGTTAGAAAGAGAACTTTACCAACTGCTAGAGAGGAAAGAGTACATTTCCAAAGCAAGGGATGGGCAAGGATATTAGAAAGATCCCTAGTGAATCACCAACTCCATTGCCAATGTTGACACGATATGCAATGCCATGGGACTTTGTCAAACACTATCTACCACTAGAGATGGACAAGAAACATCAACGGCAATGAGGATATGTTCAGTGGCTTGTTAGTAGTGATATTACATTAGAACCTCCCATTGATATTGACGAGGCTATTGAATGTGCTCTGACAAAGGACCAACCAGTTATTGCTAAATGGATATTTGATCATTGTCACCACACTATACATTATACGAGAAACAACAAAATACTACTATTGATAAATTAGATAATAATAATGATGGAAATAATAATGGAATAGTAAGTGACGTTTAATTTGATGGGACAATGAGATGACCTCGGATAAAAAAGAAGATATTAATTTAAAAGTTTTAATTGTTAATATTATAATAGGTGAGCTTTCAAGAAGACGACTTTTCCATTGTATTGTTATCGACCAGATAGCGGAACTGAACCAAACGAGGGTGACGTGGAAGTGGAAGATTTCCCGCCCGTAATGACCGAATGCCGACTCACACTCATTAAAGTAGATAAACACTGAAGTAAATTTCGAGAAGAGGAGAACCAAACCAACTCCGAAGAGAGAATAAAATAAAACAGATGTAAATATCTACGATAAAAAAGAAAGATTCCTCAGATGTGCACTCAGTGACCTCATAAATTAATGGGCCATGAAAAGGTGAAGAAGAAGGAGCTGGAAAAAAACTCAAAAGATATTTTCAGTTCAGCGAATCCATGATGTCGTTCGATTGAATTATACTAAATTATGATTGGTAACCAAAACCGACCACTCTCTTTAGTCGGGAATGGTCACAAATCAATCAGATGATCTACTATGTGAGCATGGGTGGGCTCATTGTGGGGGTGTCTCTCTGGTCGACCTAACATAGAACGGAAAGAAAAGTAGCCAGCTTACAACAACAAATTTTTTTAAAGTATTTATTCAGAGCTAGAAATATCTGTTCAATCAGATATTTTGATTTTGTTAATTTATTTTTGAATTTCATCATCTTTCCTCTCGAAACCATCCTCCGAAGAATAGAGCCTATAGATTCTCCTTCTCTCTTATTTAACCAAAGATATAAAGTAGTGATCACTCACCATTGACATCATCATAAATACATATATAAATAATACAGATACATATATATATAAATATCTACCTTTACCTTTTCATTCACACACATATATACATACACTCTAAACAATGAGATTAATATCTACTATCGTTATATTATTGGCATGCCTTTGCAATGTAAGAAACGAAAAAAAAAATATCAATCAATACTAAATGATGGGCTGGATTTACTAACAAGATATTTAATTTATTTTATTTATCTTTTTTTTTCTATTTTTAGATAATTAATTGTTCAGGTCAAATCGATCAGTTCTTTATGATGACCAAATTTGGTATGTTCTTTTCATTCAATACTACCACTGGTCAATTGATTACCAATCAAAACACAAAGAGCGGAGACAAATATTTCTTTTACGCAGCCGTCGACTCCAACTCTACCACCAATACCGTAACCTTTTTGGGTACTGACAAGACCGACCGAAACGATTATCTCATCGAATATAACATTGAAGTATGTAGTATACACATGTGTTACCATGATTTATTTGTTTTAAAAAAATACTAATCAAAAATTCTTATTTATTTATTAAATTTTAAATAGCACAATAACTTTACCAATTTACAAGGTATTGAAGGTCAATATGGAGGCTTTGAATGGTCACAAATTTTTGCTTATGATCCAGTCCACAATTTCGCTGCCCTTCCATCAATCGTTATGAACGAACAAGAAGCCAACCTTACCATCTTTGTTTGGAACTTTACTTCCCAAGAACTGTATGTAGTTTTTTCTTACTACTTTTATTTTTTTTATTCATTTTCTAATCTCTATTTGTTTTTTTTTAAAAATTAATAGTGAAGAAATTACACTTCCAACTGGTTCATTGAACCAAAATGATATGACTCCAGTTGCTTCATACGATATTGAGACTGGTAACTATTACATTGTCTATTGTTTGGCCAATCCAAAGATTCTCTATTTGGTCGTTTACAACATGTTGTCAAGAAAGATTGTCCAAGATCCAATCGCCTTTGACATTTACATTCCAACTCCACAAATTGTCTTTGCCGCTGGAAAGCTCTTCCTCATCAACACCTACCCAATGCAAAACTATGAAATCTACAACGTTGACGTTACCGCCAAGACTGTTACTCCAGCCTACACCATTGCCAACAGCTGGACCACCAACCAAGGTTCTGATTTCGATATGGTCATTGGTCAAAAGGGTACCTCTATCGTTTTATTCTCACACAGCAAGCTCGCTTATACTTGCACCACCATTGACCTCGAAACCATGTCTTTCCACGCTTCACCTTCTTATCAAACTGATATTAAATTTGGTTATGAATGGGTTTCTGGTGCCATCTAAACAAATATATATTTAAAACATAATAATAATAATAAATAGAAAACATAGAATTTTAAAAAAACCAATCAATCTTTATTATTTGAATTAAATATGTTTACTTTTTTTTTTTTGTCCCAACATCATAATAATAGTTGGTTTAATTGGGCAGAATAAATTAATGTCATACATACAGGAATGGGCCAGACAAGGAGCTAACAGAGTAGGATTGAGCCAAAGGAATACTGTTTAGCCGACTTTATAATAATACCACTAAATGTACACCTTTGGCTCATTCCTACATGGGAGCTTTTCAATTTATCCCTAGTTATGAAATCACCTAAAGATACAATAAACCTATTAAAAAACAAAAATAAAATATTCAATACAAGCACTAATATTATACTACTAATATACTGATTAATAATCTATAATATTCCTTACTAACTAGGATGGCATAAATAAATATTATAAACACTAATCAGGTGATTAGTGGAATGCTGTTATTAACACAATAATAATAAATTAATTATAACAATAAATCAAGATAATTTGATTATTGATTGTATTAAAGAAAAGAATGTTGTCTCTCTAAATCATGTTAATATATTGATATCGAAACAATTCTTCAGCTGAGAAAAGGGGTGATTAATTATTTATTTATTTTTTAGTCATACATTTTTTAGTTGATCTTGCTTGATGTGGTTGAATTACAAATTATATTATTATTAATACCCACTCTATAGTACTATCTCCCTACCTTTGAAATCATTTCAAGACAATAAACCTCGATCGAGGTGCAAATGTTGTTGAAAATGTTTCAATGATGAGATAATGGTTTTGAGCTGGATTGTTGAGTTTGCTTTTATATTGTTGGAATTCTGAAATGACACTTGGGTCGACATATAGGTTGGTGACAATCACATAGATGACTGGAGTTGGTATAAATTGAATTCAACAAAAAATTTGGTGTAGGATTTCTAGAGGAATGGTTGAACCTCTGAACCAGCTCTCACTTGTTCTGAGATAAGAAATGGATAAATGATGATGATGTTTCGTGTAGTATTACTTACCCAATCTTACATATGTGATTATTATCTCTACAAACAAAGAAAGAGAGATAGAAAATAAATAAAAATATAAACAAAATTAAATTATCATGAGCTCAAAAGGAAATTTTGGTAAAAATAATTTTAATTAATATATTGTCTTTCAATCAGAGGTAGTAATAAGAATCATGGAGGACGATAATGAAGGAGTAGGAACTGGTGGTACTACTACTGCTAGTAGTAGTGGAGCAGTAACAGGAAGTACAACAACAGGAGGAGGAGGTGGTCATAAACATAGTAACTTGTCAGAGGAGATACAGTTAGAGAGACCACTATTAAAGGCACCTGTAGAACAACTAAACAAGTTATTTAGAAACACACAAAAGAGTTTGGAAAAGGAAATGACTGTACTCGTAAACACAATCAATGATATGAACAAACGAAAAGATACTATCACCAAAGATGAAGTATCGACTACAATCGATAAACTATTAAACAAAATGAATAATCTAAAGAGAAAGGTATGATTGATATGATTTGATATGAATACAACAATACTTATTAATTGTCTTGTTTCAATAGATTGAAGAAACAAAGAATGAAGAAGAAGGACATTTAAAGAGAATGAAAGCAAGATTAGACCATTTAAAGGATGCAAATACCAATCAACAGAATCCACATCAAAGAGATCACTTTAACTCTGTCAGAGTTGATAGAGTATTGATTGACTATTTATTACGTGAAGGATATTACAATACAGCAATTAAATTGGCTTCAACTGGAAAGATTACTGTAACTATCAAATCAACAACATTGATTCAAAATTACATTATTAATTTGATTATATATATATTATTAGGAGTTATCAGATATTGATTTATTTGTATCATCTAAAAAGGTGATTGATGGATTAACCAAACATGATTGTACAGAAGCTTTGGCATGGTGTAATGATAACAAATCAAAATTAAAAAAGATTAATGTATGTTTAATGTATAAATGGAATGATTGAATGAATATGAATATGAATTAACTTTTGTTTATAATATGTTTAGAGTACATTAGAATTTAATCTAAGAATACAAGAATTTGTTGAAATGGTTAGACAGAATAAATTGGGAGCAGCTATATCATACTCTAGACAACACCTTTCACCCAATGCATCAACCAATATGAAAGAGATTCAACGCGCAATGGCAACACTTGCATTTAGAAAGGATACATCATGCGAACGATATAAATACCTATTTGATGAAATGCGATGGACAGATCTAATCAATCAATTTAAAGTAGACAATTATAATATCAATTCATTAACTTTGAAATCTCTTCTCACTATTACCTTTAAATCTGGTTTATCTGTTTTAAAAACAGAGTATGTAATAACAAATCAAATCAAATCAAATCAAATCAATATTTATTAATTAATTTATTTTTTTAATTTTAGATCATGTGGATGTACAGAAAGTAGAAATATAAATTGTCCAGTTTGTGATAAGGACTTTAAGAAACTTGCCAAACCGTTACCTATATCATTGCAGAGTCATAGTAGTTTGATTTGTCGAATTAGTGGTGAAGTTATGGATGAGCATAACCCTCCTCTTGTCCTTCCAAATGGTCAATTGTACTGTAAGAATGCTTTGGATGCAATGGCAGAGGCCAATGAAGGAGTTGTTACCTGTCCCAAGACTGGTAAATCATTTGATTATTCTCAATTACGTAAAGCATTTATTTCCTAAATAATAATATTCGATCACTGAATGGACAAGACAGGACAATCAACTCGCACTCTCTCTACCACTTTTGTAGATATAAAATTAATATGTGGTTGGTGTTGTGTTGTGTTGTCTGTTGTATTCGTCCATCAACTTGATACTTGTGTACACTGTATATTCCAAATAATAAACGTCTTTTCCTTTTTGTTGTCACCAACAAAATCAATACCTACATCTTGATCAATCGATTGTGTTCCATTATGCAGAGTAATATATATATTTTGTGTTTGGTGTGTAAAATGAATGATACATACACTTTTGATATCAATCCAAGAAAGGAAGGAGGATCTCGACTAGCAGAGTAGGATTTGAGCCAAAGGAATACTGTTTAGCCGACTTTATAATAATACCACTAAATGTACACCTTTGGCTCAAATCTACATGGGAGCTTTTCAATTATCTTAACATGTTTACGGAGACATTGTTTTTCTCCTATTTGTTAAATATAAAGCTAGTATGTGAATAGTATGTAGCAACGGTTCAATCGTGCTATTAATCGCTAATAAACTGATATCTGTATCAATCACGATACTTTGCTTTTTAAACAGAAATGGTGTGTTCAACCAAGTTGATGCCTGTTGCCAATATGTTTCATTCAAGAATTATTGGTTTCCTTGCATGCGTAATGGATGTGGTAAAGATATAGGGTTTTACGCTAGTACGTAAAAAGTAAGTTATTATTATTATTATTAATTATTATTATTGTTGAAGTTGTTAATGTTGGGGAAAAATGATGTCGCTATTGTACAAGACCTGATTACAATGAGAGAGAATTATGTCTATTCCAACGCCGCCAAGATGCAATGGTTTCTAGTGCTATTGTGTATTGAATAGTTATACATTCTTTAAGATAACTTTTAATGATGCACTCCTCAAGAATCGCACAGTGCCCAAAGCCATCTAAAAATTAAATAAATAAAAATATTTTTAATGGTGAATAAATATTAACTTAACAGTGTACATACGATATTGTAGTAGTTTTGTAATCAAAGAGGAAGAGAGAGAGAGAGAGAGAGAGAGAAAGAGAGGCAAAAAAGAAGAAGAAGAAGAAGAATGTTATCTGTATCACAATTGGGAGGTAGTGGAGGCGTAGGTGCAGCTGTAGCGGGATCATCATCGAACGGATCATCATCAACGGCAGCAGCAGCAGCATCAGCAGCAGCATCAGCACAACTTCGACAAAAGTATATGGATATTATAGACCACGGAAACAAACATCCTCAAACAGTACAACAGAATCTACATCTACTCAGAAAGACTATCTTAATGGAAGGACTACCACTAGAGAGCGAGGAGGAGATCAAAGACAGAAGATCAGACTCTTCTTCACAATGCAGTCTACGTGGATTGGTTTGGAAGATTCTATTGGGTATACGTGACCTCGAACCAGACAGATACTTGGAGCTGTTGGAGCGTGGTCAATCGGATCAATACCAAAAGATTCGTAAAGACATTAGTAGAACGTTTATGAAGGATGCAGAGTTTTCACAATCAGTGTCACAAGACAAGTTATCACGTTGTCTCAATGCTTTTGTTCACAGTTGTCAAGAAAGAGGATCAAACATCTCTTATGTTCAGGGTATGAATGTTATCTGCGGTGCATTCCTATACGTACTCCCTGAACTAGATGCTTTCAATTGCTTTCAAACTCTTGTATATCAATATTGTTATTTATATTTAGAACCAAAAATTTCTGGTGTTCATACTGCTTTAAAAGTAAATTGAAAACAAAGTAACAATACACATAACATCATTGAATAACATTATATATTAATCACAGTTATTTGTTTCATTCTTTAGATTTTAGATACAGTTTTAGAATTTGTTGATCCTGAATTATTTGGTTATTTAAAATCAAAGTCATATGATTCTGTTTTATTAACTCATGGTAAGAGAGTAATAATTATTATTAAAGATGAACAACAATGATTAACTTAACTTAACTTTATTTATTGAATTTTAGCTATTCTAAGTATTGGAACAAGTACACCACCTTTGGGAGAATTATTACATCTTTGGGACTTTTATTTTGCATTTGGTATTCATTTAAATGTTATTAGTACGATTTCAAGATTATTATTGATGAGAGATACATTGTTGGCACATCCTTCACCATGTTCATTATTTAGATCATTGCCAGATTTGGACGCAGAAACTATTATCAATCTATCTCTATCCATCATCCGTCAATTACCAGATGAACTTTATGAATTATTAGTTGATCATCCTGTATTTGAAATTAGTGGTACAAGTCAAGAAGAAGAATATTAATCCAAAAATCAAAACCAAAACAAAATAATATTAATAATATTAATATGTAATATCAATATCAAATCCCGACAACAACAAAACGCAACAAGAATAGAATAATACTACAATTAAAATATCATCATAAATGTGTAAATAAATTAAAATTAAAATTAAATATAGTAAATATATTATATGTTCTATGTTTTATTCATCTTGAATTGTAAATTCAACTTCTTCAAATGGAGCAGAAAAGAATTTCATTACATTTTCATATTTACGTGATAATAGGGAATTGTAGATACAAATAGTATTGCCACTACGATTCATTCTTCCTGAACGACCTGCCATATGTAAATAACTAGTTGGTGATATTTCAACATTTAAAATATAAACATGTTCTACACCACTAATATCAATACCTCTAATTGAATTTTCCTTTCCAATATAAATGATTGCTGATTCTTTACTCAATCTTTTCTTATTCTTTCCTGCTGATCCTCCTTTTGGTTGTTGTTGAGATTGATTAAATATTTGTTGTTTAGTTGTTTCATCGATATCTTGCATTTGTGATAATTGGTGTTGAATTAATTCTTTTTCACGTTGTTCTTGTCTATTTTTTCTTTTGCTAACGTCTTGATTGACTTTACTTTGTTTGTCGCGGTTCTCTTTGTCCACCTGTCTGACAAACACATCGTGTTGAGCAGGTTCCATATTTTCAATGTTGAATTTGTCAAAGTTCATACGATCGGTGAGTGGTTTGGCATTGATACCACGTGCACGTAGCTCGTCGACCACCTTGGTGATACTACCATCCGATGCAATCACTGCAACAGCCTCTGTCAGAGTGTCTGGCTTTTGCTCGGGTAGAATGAGGTCGTTCCAAGTCTGTGCAATCGCTTCCAACATGTCTTCCTCTGATTGCACCGATATGAAACGATTGGTGAATTGTTTGGGGAGTGGGTGATCCATAGACCCTTGTTCACGCAACATGACATAAACTCTTGTTTCATCAACCCATCCCTTTGATTCGATATAAGCACGATTACGCATATTCAAAGTAGCCGATGTAAATATAGTTTGAAAGTGTCTATATGTTGGTACATAATCCATTTTCTCCTCTTCTCCTCCACCCTTTTTCTTTTGTTGTTGTTGTTGTTGTTTTTGTTTCTCTTTACCAAGTACTCTTGAAGCTGCACTATTCACCAAATTCTTTAATGATCTTTCATCAAATATTTCTCCAACTTGTCTTTTCTTTTCTGCAAATGATTCCTCTGCAGCTGTCTTGTTTGTTGGATTTACGTTTACGTTTAAATCTTGAGATTGACGAATCTTTCTATTTAATTCATTTAGGAATAGGACACCTTCGGGAGGATGAATCTTTCTATTCATCTTTTCGGCTTGTGATGTGTATTTGGCGAGTGCTTGAACGACGAGATCTGCCTCATCGACAATAAGCATACGAAACTGTGTATAGTCGAGTTTACCAGTAACCAACAACCAATGGAGTACGTTGGGTGTACCAATCAACACTTCTGGTTGTGTGCTGACCAATTCTTGAGCCAACAAATTATCCGATATACCTTTAATAGCCAATTGCACACCACTACCATTACCAAGCAACTCTATACCAACACGTTTGGATAGTTGGCGTACCCAATCTCCAATCTGCCACGCCAATTCTCTTGTAGGTGTGACAACTAGGTATTTAGGTGCAAATGAACCTTTAGCCTTCATATTCTGTTTGATTGAAACCTCTTCATTGCTATCGGCATGTTGTTTACAATTGACTAGATAATCATTGACAATACCACACATCAATACAAATGATTTACCAGTACCAGTACCATCCATCACAAACATATCATTACCTCTTAGTAATGGTTGCATTGCCTTTTTTTGAATAGCAGTTGGTTCTACAATACCCATATCATTTAATGCTTTATCAATCAACCCATTAAATCCAAATCCCCCAACCTTATTGTTAATATTATCCAATGTTGAAGTTGTTGTTGTTGTACTACTACTATTATTTGTTGAATAAAATGATTTAGATATAGATGATATAGAAGGAGATATAATGTTAAATGTATTATTACTATTACCAATAGTTGAGTTGTAATATGTTGGTTTATATGGTTTGATTGTTGTTGTAGTTAAACATCTTGAATGTACTCCTGTTGCTGTTAATCTACAAGCAGTATTCGTTTTTCTTATTATGTGATTAAACATAATATATTATATATAGTATATCTCTTTGTTTGTTTGTTTGTTTATACAAAAGAGAGAAGAACAATGAGTAAGAGAGTAAATTAAAAATTAATGTGGTCAGAGTCGCGAATCGACAAAACGAGTAACTTAATGATCGCAATGATCATTCATTTTCACACATCCACAAATACTTTTAAATAAGAAAGGGATAGAGAGTTAAGGTAAGAGAGTAGCAGATGGCAACATCTGTATTCTTACGTAGTGGTTCATCGATTGCATCATCATCATGGAGAGGTGCTAGTAGTATTACTGCAATAGGCAGCAGCAACAATATATATAAATTTACATCAACGAGTAGTAACAAGATTATAAATAGTATTAGTAGTAGTAGTATAGGTAGATGCTTTAGTACTAAACAACCTATAGATATTGCTAGCTTTCCACCAAGTAGAATTAGAAACTTTAGTATTATTGCTCATATTGGTAGGTAGTTGATAGAAATATATTGCAAGATAGATATTAACTTCTTCTTCTTCTTTTGTTTAGATCATGGTAAAACAACATTGAGTACAAAGTTATTAACATTGACTGGAACATTACCAAAGAATATTTATGGTAGTGGAGAGGAGAGTTTAGGACAACAAGAAAAGAATGAAAATAGAAGAGAACAATATTTGGACAAGTTGCAAGTGGAAAAGGAACGTGGTATCACTGTAAAGGCACAGACTTGTACTATGATCTATCACAACAAATCGGATGACAAACAATATATGCTTAATTTGATCGATACACCGGGTCACGTCGACTTTACCTATGAAGTGTCGCGTTCATTGATGGCATGCCAAGGTGCTATATTGGTGGTGGATGCATGTCAGGGTGTGCAGGCACAGACGATGGCAAACTACTATTTGGCGTTGGAGGCTGGTCTCGAGGTGGTGCCTCTGATCAACAAGATCGACTTGCCAACTGCCAATGTAGACTTGGTGTGTCAGCAACTGAAAGATACGTTTGGGTTCCATCCCGCAGACGTGTTGCAGGTTAGTGCAAAGACTGGTATTGGGATAGCAGAGATATTGCCCGCTGTGATTGACCGTATCCCGCCACCCGCACTGTCTGACGAGGAAGAGGCACGTAAAAAGGCGCCGTTCAAGGCATTGTTGTTTGACAGCTGGTTCGATCGGTTTAGAGGTGTCATATGTCTGTTCAAAGTGGTTGATGGTAGTGTCAAGCGTGGTGATATTGTGCAGTCGGCGAATACCAAGCAGACGTACGAGGTGATGGACTGCGGCCTGATGCATCCCGAGCAAGAGTCGACGGGCTCGCTCTATACCGGCCAGGTCGGCTACATGACACCGGGTATGAAGACAACATCAGAGGCACGTGTCGGAGACACATTCTATAAAAAGGATACACCCGTTCCTGCCCTACCCGGTTTTAAACCGGCCAAGCAGATGGTGTTTGCCGGTGTCTATCCCATCGACTCGCTCGATTACGGAGATCTCAAAGATTCGTTTGAAAAGTTGATTCTTACAGACAGCAGTATATCAATGACCAATGAAAGCAGTATTGCATTGGGTATGGGTTTCCGTTGCGGTTTCCTCGGACTCTTACACATGGACGTTGTGCTGCAACGTGTCGAGCAAGAGTATGGTCAAGTAGTCATTGCCACACCACCCACCGTCACATACCACGTAGCTATGAAGGATGGCACCAATCGTTGGATTGCCAATCCTGCAGACTATCCTCCATCCGAGTATATTGACCAAACCACCGAGCCAATGATTCACGCCAAGATTGTTGCACCCAACGATTACTTTGGATCGATCGTCACACTTTGCATGGACAGTCGTGGTGTACAAACCAACCACGAGACTCTTGAAGGCAACCGTATGCGTCTATCATTCACATTCCCACTCTCAGAGATTATTACAGATTTTTACGACAACCTCAAACGTATTTCAAGTGGTTATGCTTCACTCGACTATGAAGAGGCTGGCTATGAACCAACCGATGTCGTCAAGGTAAAGATCCTCCTCAATGGTGAAGAGGTTGACTCGCTCTCTTCGATTGTACATAGATCGAGGGCTACCCATCATGGACGTGCCCTTGTGAAACGTCTCAGAAAGATTATCGATCGACAAATGTTTGTTGTTGCCATTCAAGCATCGATTGGAAATGATGTGGTGGCACGTGAAACTATATCTGCCATGCGTAAAGATGTCACTGCCAAATGCTATGGTGGTGATATCACGCGTCGTCGTAAATTGTTGGACAAACAAAAAGAGGGTAAAAAGAGAATGAAGCAAATGGGTTGTGTCGAATTATCGCAAGAAGGTTTCTTAAAATTAATGAAGAATACAAATGAAGAGGATGATTAATTAATTATTTTAATGCATTATTTATTAATAAATATATTCGATTTAAATATTTATCTTTCAAATAATTAAAAGACATTAAAAGATAATTTGAAGAATTTTAAATGAATTATTTATTCAGTTATATAATTATTAATAATGATATCTGCCATCTTGTTCCATCGTATAGCGATATGGAAATGATATTGTGTTGTCTCTAAATAATATATTTAAATGACGATCATTTCTGATCAATTTCAATTATTGGTAGTTATCCTTTGTTACAAGATCTCTAACAATATCTCTGCTATTTGATAGGAATGTCATTTCTGGTGAGTATGCCAATCTACTTTCTCCAAGTATCGAAAAGAATAAACAAACATCCATGTCTATTAATGATTGGTCGGGTACTATTTCAAAGATAGACGACAATACCTCTTCGTATGTTAAATTGATAAAATCAATTGATTTGAGATGATAATAACTATCGGTGTATGATTCGAGAACAGCTGGGTATGCAAGGAGAATGATACAGTCTAATATGAACACAGGTTCTAATAGAACCCTTTTAACTTTTGGTTGTGTTGGTAGATTGTAACCAATAATTTCAGATTGTTTATTGCAAAATAAACATCGATCACCATCTCCAATACACTTCTCGCAGAATGAATGCTTGCAATTGAATCTGAGTCGGTTCGGATTAATGTCCCAAAAACAAAATATGCACATATTTGCCATTAATTCTAGGGTTTTCTTGTTGTCATCAGACGGACCGATTTCCATTTGTTGTAATTTCTCTATTGTAAAATGATATTTGATTCTTCTGGGTTGTATTGAAGTTGGTCGAAATGATGAGTGAAAAGTGATAATCCATCAAATGTCATTCCTTCTGGAAATTGAAATTCGCCTCTCCATTCAATCGGCTCTTCCAATTCTGCCGAGCTAAAAAGTTCATCTCCAAATATTTGATCAAAATATTTTTTGGTTAGATCATCAACCATTTGCTTTTTAGTCTCTGATGATCGATGATATTCTTGATGTGATGTGAATCCAAGATCACATTCGTATAGGTGTTTTGATTGACATTTAATACTATTGAGTATTTGCCAATCCAAATTAGCAAAACGTTGCAGTTGAGACATATCTTGTGGTATTGTCGTCAGCTTCATTTTCATATGATCAATCACCATTTTATATTTTTCAAGATTTGATGATTCCAATGATGGTGATTCCTGTGAAAGGTATTCCAATCTATTTTTGAAATAATAATAGAGAGGATTACCGTCAAATCTGTAAAATTTGTCATGGTTGAAAGTACCTACCTGATTCAATTGGGAAATAGCACTACTAAAAAGAGTGTCAGTACCACTTACTGCAGCTTTTTTATCCTGAGATGAAATATTCAAGTGCTCCAAGATTGATTTTAATTGATCCAAAAATAAAATAGGATCTATTGTAGCATTTGGAAGTGATATTGATCTACAACTCTTGAAATATGATTTGATTCTCGTGGTCTCCACACCCGAGTTGATGAATTCCGAGCTTTTGAAATAATCATCATCTTTTCCAATCATTGAAGCAGTGTCTTGTTTGTTGAAAATGATTAATAGATGGGGTTTGTATGGACTGTTGATTGCTTTTGATTCAATGTGACTGACCATTTGTGATAGTGCTGACACGATGGTTGATTGCTCTCTTTTGTTGTTAAAAACATAAACAACAATATGACTGATAATATGAAGCAAAACTGGATATATTTCTTGTATAACTTTTGATCTTTTAGCAAGTTGACCCGAGTTACTTGGATTTGAAAACAATTGATGGTTCAATGTTCCACCACTCCCTTCAGAGTCTAAAAATACACTATAGCCTACATCTACATCGCCACCTATTCGATAATAATCAATGTCTGAAGATGTTGATTTACATTGAGTTGTATCTGTTTGTACTGGTATCTCCAGTTGTTTCAATTTTTCTGGCTAGTCGTAGCAAACTTCTGATGATGGATGATTTACCTTTTTAAAAATAATTAATATTTGCAATCTAAATATATTGTCTCCAAGTACATACCACCTCCAGTCGGTCCAATAAAAGAGGCCATTGGAAGATCATATGGATAGTACCCGCGCACGTCTATGGCCTTCATTATCCATTTCTGTTGTTGATCATTGTATTCCGATTGTATAAGCTTGTTATCATCCTGCTTGATTTGATTGACTGATTCATCATTTTTATTCAACCCACTTGAATAGTCTCTAATGATATGATATATTTCATTTGCATTGACTTGTCTGTGACTATGAAATGAACATGATTCATCGAATTCCTTTGTACAAATATATATTCTACACTCTGAACAAAAAACTATCTCTTTATCTGATTGACAGATACCACATAGAATATCATTAGGTGGTTCTTGCATTTGTACAACTATAAAACATATAAACAAAGTATATCTTAACTTTTTTCTTTTCTAGTGAGTAATCAAGATCATAAGTCCAGATTAATTGGAAAAAAAAAAAGAATAGGAGGCCTCTGACCGGTCTTTGTGGTGCGAACTTCGTTCCCAAAGTAAAAAAAAGATAGTGGTAACAGGATTTATTTAAGAGTTATTATGACTGTTATGTGCTGCGTATGCTGCCGTTGTTGTTATTATTATTACAATGGTGTGATATATTCAGATAGAACATATGAAACCAATTTTTTGATTGTGATCATTTGTAATCCATATTGAGTTGCATAATCTGGTCCTGTGTATCCCCACCAATCCCAACATCTATATTTTAATAAAATAATAATAATAATTAGAACATTTAAAAATATCTTTTTAATAAATAATAATAAAATAATTACCCATCCGGATTCAAATCGTTTCCAAGAGCTTGTGGATAAAGAATAATCAAGTTATTGTTGTCGGCAACTTGATTGTATCCAATATTCATATAATATGTACTATTAATATATGATACTGATTGAGTGCATCCATGAAATACTACATGTAATGAACATCCTAAATTAAAAAGATTAAGTTATTAATATGTTATTATTATTTTAAATAATGATACAAATAATTTAAAAATAAATACACATACTTCCTTTGTTTTTGAATAATCTACATGATTGTGGAACATATGCAAATGCACTTTGATCCAATCCAGCGAATTCATTTGTAGTATTAATTGGTAGGAATGCAGTTTGATTAAATTCAACAATCTAAAATTGATTTGCAATAAAAAAATAAAAAACAATTAATATTATATTATTATTATTATTATTATTATTATTATTATTATTATTATTATTATTATTATTATTATTATTAATTAAATATGTGTATGAATACATACATTTGAAGCTAAAGAAGGAGTATTTGAAGCAGGGAATAAGAAACCATACAAATGTGATAATAAATTAAAAGTAGTATCATAACCACATTGATTGATCCATGGCCACCCGAAATAAGTACAATTGTTACCATAGGTTTTAGTTACAATGGCGTGTTCGGCTTGTACGTTGTAGACACTCTTGATTGACCAAAATGGTACAAAATTTGAATAGTATTCCTCTAATTTATGAACGGTACCTGGTCGAATAGTAGAGTCGTATTTACCAGAGAATAGGTATACTCTTTGACGAGCCAGATTGTCAGTTGAATCAATTGCAAAGGTACGTTCAGCATGTTCAGTATAATTTAATAATTTTGGAATTGAAATTAATGAAGCATTTTTAATACATTGTGCAATTGCTATATCTGCACTTCCTTGTCCGCCTAAATAATAATAAATAAATAAATTAATAAATAATATTAAGTTATAATAATAGGTTTCCAAGTTATAATACAATACAATAATAAGGACCAGCAGCAATGATGGCAGCACCTTTAATAATTGATGAAAAGGCCATGTGAAATTGGACGGCGAAAGCGCCACCCGAAGAAAATCCAGAAATGGTGATCTTATCCTTTTCATCAAAGAATGGTGACGACCCGTTTGCAAATATGCAACTAGTGAATTGATTGGCAATACAATTTAATGCTAAAAAGTAAATAATTAATTTATACATTTGTTTTTAAATAATATAATAATAATAAAAATACAAGATAAAGATGATGAAAGGTTGTTATTGTTAAGAGTGTGCTGAATCTATAGATTGGAATTTATACTTTTCTGTGCTCGAGAGGCAGTCGGTTGATGATCATCGGGTAAATACTTTACCTACCTTTACTTACTCCTTCTTTGTTGATATTATGCTACCATGATGATGGTTGGTGATCATAATACATACAATGGGCACGAAAAATGAGTCCCCCAATCTTAATCTATGAACCAGAAGCAGCGGAATAAAAAATCTACCTTCCGAGAGACATCAATCACAAAGATGGTTGGGTGATCTATAAATAGCTGTTATTGGTAGGTTTGGTTGCTGTACAACAATAACGCGTCGAAATATGCGTTAGCTTCCTATCTAAGCTGATCATTGACTACTGAGCTTGATGTCACCTGATGACAGACAGGTGCGCACCATTGTTTTTTTAAATACAAAAAGATTCATCTTGTCCTTCTTTGTCAATTTAAAGTTACAATGGAATTGAACGGTTTAATAGAATTGACAGTGTTGAACTAAGAAAGACAAGAAGATTTTAGGTAAATTTTACTTAATAAGGAACCTAGGAAAGAGCACCAACCAAACAAGAAAAAAAAAGAAAATAATAAGCTTGGATTTTATTTTAAAACAAAAACCATTTAACTTTCAGACCAAGGGATCACCATTCACTAGGATTCTATCCCAATGGTTGATCATTTATACTTTAAATAACTCTCATTGTATTCTCCTTAATATAAAAAATATTAACCAACATTCCACTCAAAAATGCAATAAATAAATTTAATTAAAATGATGATAATAATAAGAATAATTTATTTATTTGAAATAGGTCTATCTATTTGGAAATGATATTGTGTTGTTTTCATATATTATTTTTTCAATATATTGAATGCCTATATTGATCAATGACAATTGTCGATAGTTATCCTTTGTTACAAGATATCTAACAATATCTCTTCTATTTGAAAGGAATGTCATTTCTGGTGAGTACGCCAATCCTTCTTTTGCTCCTCTTTTCACAAAGAATAAACAAATACCAATGCCGATGAATGATTGATCGGGCACTACTTGAAAGATGGATAACAATACTTGTTCGTATGTTGAATTGATAAAATTGATTTTTTTGAGATGATTATAACGATTGGTGTATGCTATGGGATCAGTTTGGAATGCAAGGAGAACGATACACTCCAACATTGATTCAAAGTTTAATAGAATCTTTTTAACATTTGTTTGTTTTTGACTGATAAAAAGTTGTTGTGTTTTGGGGACAGGAGAAGGGGAAGGAGGAGGAGGAATGTAACGAATAATTTCAGATGGTATATTGCAAAACAAACAATTATCACCATCTCCAATACACTTGTCGCAAAATGAATGCTCGCAATTTAATCTGAGTCGATTAGGTTTACCAAACAAACAAAATATGCAAACATTTGCCATTAATTTGAGTGTTTCCTTTCCCTTATCAGATGAACTGTTATCAGATGGGCTGATTTCTAGTTGTTGTAATATCTCTGTTGTTGTTGCTGAATTGTACGATGATTTGATAGATTCTTCTGGATTGGGATTGTGTTGGTCCAAATGATGATGATGATGATTAGCAAAAAGTGATAATCCATCAAATGACATTCCTTCTGGATATTTAAATCCACCACTCCATTCAATTGACTCTTCCAACTCTAAAGAATTATTTCCAAATATTTGATTGTTGTCCGGTTTTTGATCAACAGATACCTTTTGCTTTCTAGTCTCCAAAGATCTATGATTTAATTCATGTGATGTGAATGCAAGATCACATTTTATATTTGGATGGTCTGGGTGTGTTGATTGACACTTTATACTATTTTGTATTTGGATATCCAACTCTACAAAATGTTGTCGTTGAGTCCTACTATTTTTTTGCCAATCAATGGTATTATCCTTTTGTGGTATTCTTGACAGCTTCATTTTCATATGATCAATCACTGCTTTATATTTTTCTTCTAATGTTAAATTATTAGATGAGGATGAAAGATAATCCAATCTATTCTTGAAATAACCAAAAAGAGGATTATTGGCAAACTTGTAAAATTGGTCATGGTTGAATGTACCGTCTTGATTGAGTTGGTTGATGGCACTGAAAAAAAATCGTCAATAGAGTTGACTGGATTTTTTCCATCCAATGATGAAACGTCAAAGTGTTTCAGGATTGATTTTAATTGACCCAAAAATAAAACAGGTTCGGTTGATGCCTTTGGAAGTGATATTGATTTGCAACTCTTGAAAAATGATTTGATTTTGGCAACCTCTTTTGAATTGATGAATTCCGATCTTTGGAAAAAGTCCACATCTTTGCCACTCTCTGACAAATCGACTTGGTTGTTGAAAATGACTAATAGATGGCATTTGTAGGGACTGTTGATTGCTTTTGATTCAATGTGACTGACCATTTTTGATAGATCCTTTATAAATGTATCTTGCTCTTTTGTATTGTTAAAGACATAAACAACCATCCCACTGATAATATGAAGCAGTCTTGGGTATATTTCTTGGAGAAATTTTAATCTTTTAGCAAGTTGGTCAGGTGTAAGTAGCTCTGACCCAGTTCCACCACTTCCTTCAGAATCTAAAAATACACGATATCCTACACCCTCAACATCTCTTAGATAATAATCAATATCTTCAGATGTTGATCGGCATTTAGTTGAATCTGGCGTTGGTAGTGGTAAAGTCATTCTTGTTTGGTCTACTCGTACTTGATCTTTCCTGACTTGTAGCAAACTTCTAAGGATCGCAGACTTTCCTTTAAGAAAAGATATTAATAGTGTAAATATTAATAATCATCATCACAAACAAACAATAGTAGTATCTATCTTATTGATAGTAGTATATAAAATACATACCACTTCCAGACGGTCCAATAAAAGAGACCAATTCATTAATATATGGGTAGCCGTGACGGATGGGAGTCGACTCCATTACCCATTTCCTTTTTTGATCATTGTATTTCAACCGTATAAACTTGTGATCATTCTGCTTGGTTTGATCATCACCTTCTTTTTTATGACTTGAATCACATGAATAGTCTCTAATGATATGATATATTTCGTTTAGGTTGGTTCGTTTGTGATGTTCTGATTCACACGATTCATTGAAATCTTTCGTACAAATGTACAGTTTACACCCTGAACAATAAACTATCTCTTTATCTGATTTGCAATCTTCCACTTGGCATATAATATTAATACTAGTATGGGGTTGTTCCATTGTGTTGTACCAGAGTACTAGCTAAAAACAAATAAAAATTAAAAAAAAAAAAACAAAGATCTTTGGCTTTGAAGAAAGAAGAATGATCTCTCGAAAAGTCATCATCATTAATTTAAAAATAATTTTAAAGCAAACATAGCTTATTGCTACAGATAGAGATAGAGCGAGTGTAGTCTGTTTATCTAGATACACACACATATATATCAAAGAAACTACACTCTATATATATAGACAATGTTTGAAAGAACATTAGCCGACCTCGTCAGAGGTATCAGAAACCACAAAAAGAATGAAGACAAGTTCATATCACAATGTATTCAAGAGATTAAAGAAGAACTCAGAGGCGATATGAGCAAGAAAGCATTGGCTATTCAAAAACTTACTTATGTATGTTCATCAAATCAACAAAAGATCTTTGTTGATAAAGTGATAAATCTAACATGTTCCTTTTACTTTTAAATATATATTTTAGATTACAATGTTAGGATATGATATTAGTTGGGCATCATTTAATATTGTTGAAGTGATGAGTAGTGCAAAGTTTTCATCGAAGCGTATTGGTTATCTGGCTGCATCACAATCATTCCACGAAGGTACTGAAGTGATTACATTGGCAACCAATCAGATTAGAAAGGATTTCCTCTCCAACAACCAATATGAAGCTTATTTAGCTTTGAATTGTTTGTCCAATATTTGTACACCAGACTTGGCAAGAGACTTGGCCAACGACCTCATCACATTATTGTCGACACAAAAGACACATATCCTCAAACGTACCATTTTAGTCATGTACAAGGTGTTTTTGCGTTACCCCGAAGCACTACGTCCAGCATTCCCACGTCTCAAAGAGAAACTTGAAGACCCCGAACCCGCCGTTATGAGCTGTGCAGTCAACGTCATTTGCGAGTTGGCACGAAAGAACCCCAAAAACTACCTGACTTTGGCACCGGTTCTCTTCAAGATCTTGACCAACAGCACCACCAACTACTGGATGTACATCAAGATTGTCAAGTTGTTTGGCGCATTGACTCCACTCGAACCACGTCTCGGCAAAAAGTTGATCGACCCACTCACCAATATTATCAACACCTCCTCGTCCATGTCTCTCCTCTTTGAGTGTATCCAAACATGTATTATTGGTATTCCAGACAACTTGCCATTGATGAAGCTGTGCATTAGCAAGTTGCGTACGCTCATTGAGCATCCCGACCAGAACCTCAAGTATTTGGGTCTGTTGGCACTCAACAATATCATGAAGATCTACCCCAAGGCTGTAAGCGAGCACCGCGAGGTTGTACTTGGGTGTTTGGACGACGAAGACATTTCGATTAGACAACGTGCACTCGATCTGTTGTCGGGTATGGTTACCAAGAAGAACTTGCCCGATATCGCTGCCAAGCTGTTACGTCATATCGAGACGGCCGAGGGTAGCTACCGCGACCGTATCGTCGAAAAGATCGTCGAGTTGTGTGCATTGGGTACCTACCAATACGTCACAGACTTTGAATGGTACATCAACACGTTGATTCAACTGTCTGAAGTATCCGAAACTGCTCACGGTCCATTGATTGCCAGTCAACTACTCGACGTAACTATCCGTGTACGTGTAGTACGTAGCTATGCTACCAAGCAGATGATCGCATTGCTCAAGTCACCTAAACTAATGGCCAACCCAAAGGAAGGTGGTATCTGCGAGGTACTGTATGCCGCTGCTTGGATTGTCGGTGAGTTTGCTGCCTATGTAAACAACCCAGTCGAGTCACTCGAGGCATTCTTACAACCACGTGTGTCGGTTCTACCAGCACATGTGCAGAGTGTCTACATGCTCAATGCACTCAAGGTGTTTGCACATGCCTCTGCTGAAGCAGCTACCGGCGGCGAGCACGCTGGTGCCATCACACAGGAAGAACGTGATGATCAGACAACTGTAGTCGAGTGCACACCCGTTGACGCATCGACTGTCGAGGAGTGTCTTGCCATCCTGCACGCACGTCTCCCTCTCTTTACCCAATCGATCCATATCGACGTGCAAGAGCGTGCCTGTCTCGTCAGCGAGATTCTCAAGTTCTACGGTACCATGCGCGACCAAGGAAACGACATTGCCGGTGAGCTCGTCACACTCTTTACCGAAGCACTCAACCCAGTTGCCCCCAAAGCACAAAAGAAGGTGCCTGTACCCGAGGGACTCGACCTCGACGCCTGGATCAACGACCCCAAGCTCCAAGTCGTCGACAGCGACACTGAAGACAGCGACAGCGACATCTTTGGCAGTCGTGTCGATGCTGGCAACAATGGAACCAACGACTCGGGCGATGAAAGCGAACGTTCATTTGATATTAGTCGTGCCAAGGAGGAACGTATCCAACGTAACGCCTCGAACCCATACATGTTGGGTGGTGGCAAGAAAACACAAAAGTCAATCGTCGACGAGGAGATGACTCATATCCCCGTTGCTGCTCTGCCCGCCAATCTCGGCCCTGTCATTGTTGGTGGCAAGATGGACGCTAAAAAGAAGAAACCAAAGAAATTCACAATCGATACAACCACTGAAATGCCAGAGAATGCACGTCCCGATAGTGATGATGAATCATCCTCCTCCCTACACTCTAAGCGTAAACAAGATGCACTCAGCTCCATCAACATTAATGAGCCATTGACAGCTAGCGATGTCCTTCCAGTTGCTCGTCATCGTAGTGATATTCAACGTGAAAAGGAAATGGAACGTGAACGTGAATTGGCTGCTCAACGTGCTGCCAAGCGCGGTGCCTCCTCCTCTGCCAAATCACCACAATCTCCAACCGCCTCAGTCTACACTGACATTACTTCACCAGAAGTACAAGCCAAGGGTGGTAAAAAATCAGCCAAATCAAAATCTGCTGCTGCTCCCGCTCCTGCTCCAGTCGTTGTTAAAAAGGCACCAGCAGTCTACCTTCCCATCACATTAGAGAATTGTGAATACTTTACTCTTTCATTTGAATTGACCAAGGTTGATCAACCCCCTCAACCTGCCACTTCAACCACTTCTGCTACTGTCCCAATTAAACTTTCATTAAAAGTACAAAACAAGAGTGATGAAGATTTATCTGAAGTATTATTTACATTGGTTGAATCACAAAAAGACAAGATTACAGTAACTGGAAAGTCATCGGCATTTGATATTGGTGTACTTGAAGCTGGTAGCAACACTACCATCTCACAAACATTTAACCTCGCCACCAATACCATTATCCCTCAATTGACACTTAAATTGACTGGCACTTCAAGTGAATCGATCGATATTGACATTGATATTCCTATCCCCATGTCATTCTTTATCGTCAAGACCAAGATCTCCAAGGACAAGTTTGCAGAAATTCTCCAAAAATCAGCTTCTATGGCATCGGCCTCTGTCAAGGTGCCATCCATCACCATCCAAAAGGCTATTGAAATCCTTGCCGATCAATTAAACATTGAAGTTGTCCAATGTCATCCATCAGGCTCCACCGCTTCATTCTATGCCAGAACCAACCAAAATCAACATATTGCAATGTTGGCAAAGGATCGTGATGGCGTCACTTCTTTTGATATTAAATCATCTGATTCTTCTTTGGCTCAATTATTAGTTAAACAACTTTCAACTTTATTTTTAAAACAACAACAATTAAATTAAAAATGAAAAAAGAAAAAAGAAATAAATTAAATTAAATTAAATTAAATAATATTATTGTATGATATTTTGATTTGACTGATTCCAAAAAAATTACTAAATTTAGTAAACTTGGATTGTCATAAAAATGTAAATCAATTATTTAGATTTGGAATGATGATTTTAATATTCCAAAAATGATTGTACAATGCGATCTACATACTTTTTGATTTCAACCAAATTTTCAAAACCCCCAAAGAAAATAAATGCTCAAATAGTACATCTACACACACCACCACAACAAAAAAAATGACATGAACTCTACTGTCCAACACCCTTATCCAATACCAAAATTTCAAAACACTCTCACACTAAAAAGAAAAAAAAATATTACCCTCATCAAATTTGTTTGTCAAATTGATAATAAATCAAGTTGTAATATTACATTTATTTTGTATGTCTACAACTATTATTCTTTTTCGGATGTTCTTTTATTAAATTCCAAATTTAAATTAAAATTTCCAAAAAATTAAATCAATTGATTAAATTAAAAAATACAAGGAATTTATCTTTTTTTTACAATTGGAATTAATTAAATTAATTAATTATCATATAAAATAGAGAGATATTTAAAATATTTAAATAATAATAATTCATAGATCGACTCGAAAAAAGTAAAGAAATTTAAAAGTAGGTTTTTTACCAAATCAATCATAGTTGGTTTTTTTGTTTATACTATTCTATCAAAAACTATTTAAAGAGTTGAAATTGTAAAAATATATCTACTATAATTTTTAGAAAAGAACTTGAATAGGAGGATTCCCTTTTCAATTTTTTGGGGATTTATAACCTTTTTGGTTTTTTCGACAAAAAAGGATAAAAAAACTAAAAGGGTCACATCAAGTCTGGCTCTCTTTTGTTTCCATAAAAGGGTCTAGTAGAAACAGATTGTCACAATACTCTTATTAATTAATTTAAAAAAGACGGTACAGAGGAGAGAAGAGTGATAAAAGGATCAAACTATAGTTGGAATGATAGATCCTATGATCCTCTACACCGACTCTACCACCAACCAACCCATCATACTTTTCGTAATTAGGGTTACTATGTGTTCAGAGGAGGAGTCCTGGGAGAATTAATTTATACGATAAAAGAGGGTAGATAGATAAAATCAATTAAAGGAAGAGAATGAACGTGCAAGAAAAGAAGAAGAAGGTACGGAGGTTAAACGGTTGGAATAAATAATAATAATAATAATAATTTAGACAGACCTTGGTTACTTTTAAAAATGCAAGATTTGCTTGTATCACTATTTAGTTTAGATACAAAGTTAACAACCAATTTTTTGTAAAGGTAATCAAACCATTTCCAACTTGTTCCAAGTGTTGTTCCTTGCTTCTTTTTTCAATAATAATATTTTTTGTTTTTGTTTGTTTGTTCCATCCCCATCCTATCGTTTGTTAAAGGAAGGATCAAAAAAAAAAAGTATCTATATCTTGATATTTTATACAATCACCAGATCTTGGATACACACCCCAAACCAACCAACCACCACCCTTTTAAATTTTAGAGTTGGATAGAACCAACTCTACTCTATGTATTCTACCTACCTACCCCCTCCTCCTTTATAGACCACTCGATTGGTAATGTCGATATCTACATTACATGGTGGTATTACCAAAGTAGAGTCATTTTAGCGTCTTGTTACTTTATAATATATTGATCATGACGGATATTATTATTATTATTATTATTGTTATAGTTGGTTGGTTTGTGTGTTGCTGCTAACTAACTGGCTAGTGATATTGCCAAGGTGTTGATGTTGTTTCCGATTGTGTACATTGTGTGAGGAGGTTAAGTAAAGTTCCCTCTTCTTATTCCTATAACTTGAGTTTGCCCGATCATCATCATCATCATCAATCATTCATTCATTTTAACGATCGTTCAACATCCACTATAAATATTTATCATCATCACCAAACATATAATATATATGTATATTCTATTCTATTATATTCTATTTATCTTAAACACAACTAAAATATAAGAAATAAGTAATTATTATAATAATAATAATAATAATAAACTCTCCCCTTATAACATCACATCAACCCATCCATCCATGGATCAATATTTTTGGTTCTAATACAATACTGATTGTTGTTGTTGTTGATGATGATGCTGATGAATCGTGATCATCATCATCAATCATCCATCATCCATCAAACGCACTAGAGTGTTTGGCAATCAATCGAAAAGTGTGATTGATGATTATAATACCAATGCTCTCCACTCTCTATCTTATTCTTTCTTTGTGTTTGTTCATACTAGTATTATCTGTTTTTGTTGACTTTTTTTGGTGATTGTTGTGATAACCCTTACCACCACCACTGTACGCTTCCTTTCTCCCTCCCCTTTGTTATTATTGCCTTTTTTAATTCTTCACACCCCCCCTCTCACACCCTCCCCTCCACAAATTATTGAAGTGTGTCTTCTACATTGTTATTAATCAAAAAATTATATACAACAAACACATATTATCTCTTTTTACTTTCTTTGTTTGTGTTTTACACTTTTTTTGTCAAATCACATCTCTTTTGTTTGTTTGTTGTTGTTCATCAAATCAAACAAATTGAAACAAAATTTTTCAAAAGAAATCTAGAAAGTTTAATTTAAACAAAACAAACAGACACATCGTACACCTTCTTATATTCAAAGAATACATTCTATTCCTATTCCATTCAATACTCAACTCACAATAATAATAGTATTTTGTATATATATAGCTACATTTAGTAATAACCTTTCTCTCTCTCTCTTCTATTTATATATTTAGACTTTAAGATTCAAAACAACAGACTTATCAGAACAGACTTAACAGAAAGTAGTAGTACTATTATTATTTATTATTATTAAATTTAAACTAAACTAAACTACATATTGCTAGTTTATATATAATTTAAATATCAAGTCATGACAAGTGGATCAAATCATCAACAAAAGGCAACAGAAAAGGTGAATAGTAGTGGAGGAGGAGGTGGAAAGGTGTTGGAGGAAGGTAGTGTAGTTCAACAACAACAACAAGAGTTTGTTAGAAAGAGGAGAGGTGCCATTAGCAGTGAAGTCATGGGTGATAGTACACAGCCGGCCAAGGCAATCCCTATCGCACCCAAGACTGCCGAAGCACAATTGCGACTCAAACAAGCACTTCAACGAAACATTCTATTCAACCATTTGGAAGACGAAGAACGAAACACTATATTCTCAGCCATGGTCGAGGTACACTATAAAGAAAATGATTTGATCATCAAACAAGGTGACCAAGGCGATAACTTTTATGTGGTAGATGATGGAATATGTGACATTTACGTTACAAAAGATCCAAACACTTTCCCAGGAATCCATGTAATGGAGGTTAGAACAGGTGGTAGTTTTGGTGAATTGGCTCTTATTCATGGTACTCCAAGAGCTGCTACTGTTATTGTAAGAAAGAAAAATAGCTATAAAGAGAAAAAGAAAAAAGAAAAAAGAAATAATATAACTTACTTATACTTTTAATTCTTTTTAGGCAAGAACAAATGTTAGATTATGGGCGATTGATAGAATAACATACAAGAGAATATTGATGGATGCAACCATTCACAAGAGAGACATGTACAAAAAGTTTTTGAAAAAGGTGTATATATTAAAAGATTTGGAAAAGTATGAAAGAAACAGTTTGGCCGATGCATTGGAGCCAGTTAGTTTTAAAGACGGCGAGGTGATTGTACGACAGGGTGAAAAGGGTGACAAATTCTACATTATAGTCGATGGAGAGGTACGTGTCACCCAGAGAGAAGGTGGCCCCACCTCTACCACTGGGCCAGAAAATGAAGTTGCTCGATTACATCCATCCGAATACTTTGGTGAAATTGCCTTGTTGACCGATAGACCTCGTGCAGCTACCGTCACAAGTGTCGGAACGACCAAATGTGTGGAAATGGACAGACAAAGATTTACTCGTCTGCTTGGTCCATGTGAAAATATTCTAAGAAGAAATATGGAAATGTATAATCAATTTATTAATCCTCATCAATATCAACAACAGCAACAACAACAATCAACTAAAATATAGAACAACTAATCATAACACAAATAACAAGGGTAATCACCTTGTTTTTTTTTTTTCTTTTAAAAACAATTAACCAATCATCATTTATAATAATAATAATAATACTTTGTTAATGATGATCAAGACGAAAAAGATATATTTATATTTATATATACAATGAAAAAGAAGAATATTTTTTTTTTTCAGTCAATCCTTACTCTTTTACATTGATTCCCATCCCCCCACTCTCTTTTTATTTTTTAATAATCTAAATCAATCTTTCACTCCAACAATAATTAATTAATCCAATCAATCAATCAATCAATCAATAATAATAATAATAGTAAATAATATTCAATTGTATAAATATGTATAAATTAAACTTGGATATGCATATATATATATATATATTATATATTAGTCAACCAAAGAACACAAAATAAAGAAAGAATAATAAATACCAAATCTTGACAATTTATTGTTATTATTATTTTTTTAGATACCTAATAATAAATCCTTTCCTACCAATGATGAGTTTCTATTTTGATCGTATACATCACTCTTTTCAAAAAAGAATTCAACATATTTCTAGAGAAATAAATGTAAGTAAAGGTGAATCAACAAAAAAGATTCTATATATTTAAATTTACCAATTTAATTTCAGTTAATGAAATGACACCATCAAAGTTTGAATCAAATAGACTCATGATGGATTCAGCCTTTTCAATTGGTGATCTTGTATCTTGAGGATCTGACCCTTTGTGAGTTTTAAAGTATTTGATCAAGTCATCGATTGAGATTGAGTATTTTGATTTGGATGTAAATCTTAATAGAAATTTATCAACATCCATTTGTATAATTTCTTGTAAACTTTTATCAAACTAGATAGATTTAATATTTAGTACTTGATCAATTTCTTTTTCTTTTTCTTTGTTTCAACTTACAATTCTTAATTCATTTATTGTAATAATACCATCACCATCATGATCCAAAGTTTTAAAATATCCTGCAGCTTGGACAGACGGATCTTTGAATCCTTGATTTTTAAATTGATTTAATACTTCTTCATATGATATCTTTATTTAACAAAAAAGATTGTTAAATAAAAAGATTAAATTTTGAAAGAGTAAAGTACTAGTTTCTACTTACTTCTTGGTTACCATCACCATCCCACAATTCTAAAAATCCTTGACTGTTTTTGATACTCTTTCTCGAATAGGGTTAAAAGTTTTAAAGTTCATTTTGTAATTATTTATTTATTGATTGTGAAGGTGTTTGTTGGTTGGTTGTCACCCATGGGTATTTATACCTTTCTAGAAAAACCAAAGGACCACAAATGGTGGGTATGGGAAAAGCCAAAAAAAAAAGTCATATAGGCTTTTAGATTGGAACCGGGATTAATTTAATTTATTGAGTTATAAAGTAGTACAAATTTCACAAGTACATTTTATTTTTCTTCCTTGCTTTCTTTTTATAGGTGTTGGAAGAGGATTATTATTATTTCTAAAATTATAAAAGGTTTGATACAATCGATGATATGATCTATTTTTGATGATATCACGTCCCAATATTATATGATTATTTTGATAGAGATAAACCATAAAATCACGTGCCGATGGATACCCACCCATGGTTTCGTATATTTTGATCCATGATAGGAATGTATCACGGCAGAGTGTCTTAATATCTTGGCAAAGATGGTTAAATATTGAAAATGAGCTGTATCTCATTGCCAATTTAATGTGTCTCTGTCTATACCAATCTTTGTATTTAATAGGAATAATCTCTTCCATTCTTTTAAATAAATCCAATCGACCACTACGAATAATATCTTTGCCAACATTGACAATGTTTCGTTTTATCTCTTTTATGTGGTCTTTTGTTTCTCTTTCTGTTTCTCTCTCTACTAGAAAAAAGTTTGTTGTCATTGTCTTGAGAATTGATTGTTCATTGTCAGTGTATCGATATGTTGGACAAAGGTATTGTTGGACATACAAGTTGTCACTCATTCCAAAGTTTTCTTTCAAGGTGACTAGATTCTTGTAGAGTTGGGGGTGATTTACCAATACAATAAACTTTTCAATTGATCCAGACACAAAATCTAATTTCTTTTTAGGATCAATTGAATATTTTAAATATAAATCAACCAATTCCCAAATAACTTTAGTATCATCTCCACTTGCCGCGAGGACACTATAGGTGACCAATTGATCTTGTTTGGTAATGTCAAACGAATCAATATTGTCTTTGAGTAGATGTATATCCTCTTTTGTCTTGATCTTGAGATGTACTGGATTAAAATAAGACCACACCACATTGAATTGATCTGTTGAGCCGACAAGACCATGAATTCTCTTTAAAATTGGTATATCTTTTGGTACAAAATCGGTATAGTCTTTGAACACTCTATTTTGACAACCAGAAACTATATGATTCTTTGCTTTTGGATATTTGGTCAATAATATCTCCATGGTTGTTGGCGGTATTGAAATTTGATGTTTGAATAATAATGAATAATCCAATCCTTTTGATTGTAGTGCATCCAAAATAACTTCTAGTTGCCAATCTTTGGTGATTCCTTTAATCACACGATATTCCAATTCTTTTGTTTCTGGTGTCAATTGCAAGTCAATAAAACGTCGATACAAGCGTCTCGATTTTAAGACCCTATAATTGTATTTCTGACACACTTGAGGGTAACACTGAAATATCTTTTCGAGTATCTCTGTTGATGGTGCATGATCTATCATTGAATAAGTTGTATTCTGTATGAAATAGTCTTGCACCGATCCGATATTCCATTGTAAAACTTGTTGCCACAACTCGGTATTTGGATCATCGTAACCATGCCAATCAAACCGGTGGATGGAGAGTAGTAGTGTCATCAATGTTACAATCTTTTCATTATCATTTTGATGCGACTCTCCTCCAAGAATGTCAATGGCCTTGTTCTTTAGTTTCTTTACAGGTTCAATATCTTGGATTTCTAATAGAGCAATGATGACTTGTTTGATTCTTGCAACTCGATCTTTGGGCAAACATAAAATCGGTTTCCAAGGGAGGTATCGATCGGGATACCTTTCAAAATAAAGACGAATAATATCAACGTTGAGAGACAATAATACGTCGTCTAGGTCAACATGTGCAAAGAATTGATCTTTTGTTGAATGCATATATAAATATCCAATTGCATCTTTATCGTTGACTTGTTTTTTAAAAGAAGAAGAAGAAGAAGAGGATGATGAAGGAGAATGATTATAGTATCTAATTTGATGTGTTTTGGTGTCTGTGAACACATTCTTTAGCAAATTGAGAACTACAACAGTCGTTCAAAATAGCTATATGATCACCTCGTCTTAGTTTGTATTTGAGTAGTTGTTTGTATCCATTTCGTATAAAGAAATCGAGTGACATTTCATTGTAATGTCTACTTGAACATGAAGGGGAACAAGTCAAACGTAGACATTTGAATATATATTTTAATAGATAGATATTTGAATATATATTTTAATAGATAGATATTTCTAAATACTGTTATTATTACTCTTCTACTATCTTTATTATTATTATTATTATTACTTTCACCAACAGTCATCATCATATCTTTTAATGAATAGAATGATCATTGTTTGAGTGTACATGATGACAAACATGCAACTAGAGCTGTTAAGAATGCAAGTTTTGAAAATATTAATTTTTTTTAAGGTATTACATTTTTTGTTGGTTTTGTATTAATACATACAACAAAATTTGATATTAATAGTATTTATTCATACTTATTTCATTTAATTAAGAAGTAAGAATTTCAAAAGTACACTTTATTTTTCTTCCTTGATTTCTATTTATGTTGGTGTTTGATGATTATTAATATTATCTATAAATTTTTGGTTATATCACGGTCCAATATTATATGGTCATAGTTTTTTCATAGGATTATTATTATTAATAGGATTATTATTATTAGTATTATTATTATAGTAGTTGATGATGAAGAAGAGGATTTTTTGTATTTATTTGGTGGAGTGGAAGAGACTACTCCAATAACCAAAAGTGGAGGTAGGGCACTCATTTGATATGTTGATTAGTTAGTACTATAGGATATGATGTTGTTTAGGGAATTCAAGTCGTTTAGTTCTTTCATTTAGTTTTCCGTTCTGATCTGCCAAAGAATTTAACTTTACTTGTTTCTCTTCTAGAATGTCTTTCAATGACTTGTTTTCTTGTTCTATAGTATAGATCCTCGTATGCAGATCGCCAAAGAGTTTTCTAAATTCTTTATTCTTTACCCATATATTGATGGTTTTGCGAATTTTTTTTTTTCTCAGCGATACTCTGAAAGGTGACCACTTGACAAGTGAGGAGCGAATGGAATTTAGGATCTTGGGGGTCTGTCGATCTATGCCATTCCTTGTGGCACCAAACCCGAGGTATCTTTCGGTGCTCGTTGCTACAGGGAATGGGAGGTTGACAGTATCCATACCGATCACTATGATGACGCACTTGGCGGGGTTGACTTTAGACGCAGTGGTATCGCAAAAGTCATCGAAGTGTTTGTTTGTACGATTGATCTCGCCTCTATTGGCTGCCAAACCAAGCGAGTCGTCTGCAAACGATTGGATTGCGAGTCGAACAGATGCTCTTTGGCATAGCTGTGATCGTACGAGGGAGACAAGGAATTATTTTTTTTTTTAAAGTAATTCTTTTCCTGTACAAGGAATTAATTGGCGTCAAAACACGAAAAAAAGTTTTTTAGACATCAAAAATCGCTCGTTTAGCTCAGTCGGTAGAGCACGGTGCTAATAACGCCGCGGTCGCAGGTTCGATCCCTGCAATGAGCAATTTTATTGCTGTTATCTATGCTGCCGCTGCCTCCGATCCCAGTTTTTTCATGATATTCTAATAGTACACACAATTCCCTACATTTCTATCCAATTTTCATCAATTTCCACCAAAACCACATCACTAAAACATGGTCTAGAAAAAAAAATCTTTGGAAAAAAACCATGACAAGGCACCCCAAAAGGCACCTGTTTTGATCTTTTTTTTGCTGCCCTCTGATCCCAGTTTTTTCATGATATTCTAATAGTACACAATTCCCTACATTTCTATCCACTTTTCATCGATTTCCACCAAAACCACACCACGAAAACATGGTCTAGAAAAAGATCATCCGGGTACAAGGTTTTTTTGCACGTGGTTGCCACTGATTCAAATTTTTTTCATGATATTGTTTTTTTTGGAACCACACCATCTATAGATTTTGTTTGTTTCCTTTCTGCTCGAGTGCACTGATAATTTCACACAGTAGTTCATCAACACCACCACATGATAGAGGCGACTACAGATCTAGAGAAGATTGATCATGCAGTACTTTGCCTTTCAAATGAACATGTTTGTACTGCACCGAGTTGCACGTACTTGTACTATCTATAGTTGTCACTTGATCATCAATTAAAGCATAAATTAATTACCAATTAATAGTATTTTTGTTTATTTCAATGGACCAAAAGAGGACCAAATAATTGTAGTTAAAAGTAACATTTGTAGCCTACAACTGTTAACAACAAATAATAATAATTATAATAATAAGAAAAAAAAAAAACAAATTATAAATTTTGTAATAATAATAATAATCGTTACCTAGGTATACAGATACAAAATATTTTAAAGTTTATTTAAAAGGGGTTTCAATTTTTTTTTGTTGTTATAAAAATCGTTGAAACAAGCTTTGCATTTATCACCATATTCGTTGATTTGGACAAACTCTGTTGGACATGATTCGCACTTTACTTGAAAATCGGATAGATCCTCTTTTTTTTCAAGGATGCACACTTCGGAACAGTATGGGTATCAGTCGCTTTTGTAGCTCATTTCTTCACCACATGCGTCACAATGCACGGTTCTTCTGGTTCTTTGCTTCAACAATTGAGACTCTGGATTGAGTGTAGAGTAATCAATATTCGAATCAAATTTGGAGATTTCTTGTAAATATTTAGTTGCACTGGGAATAAAAATAAAATAAAATAAAATAAATTAGTTAGGTTGGTCCAAATGAGTAGACATATATATATATTTTAATTAATTTGCAATACATACTCTACTTTGAGGGTGTGATCTTGAGACGAAACCTGTGTAATCGATTTAGAATTGAAGCCAATAGTATGATAATTCAATGAGGCCTCTCTAATTGATGGAATAAAGTTTAATCTAGCTGCTCCAGATACATTGCAACTGTCCAATACATAATCCAAAAAAGAAACAACCAAACTAGTTTTGCTTTTTGGTTCTTCTACATTCTCGTTGAGGTTGAGTCCAATAAACTCCTTTTGAGGAATATGATATTTTGAATAGGGTATCATGTTTCCATGGACGATTTCCATAAACTTGCGAGAGTTTACAGCATTCTCGGCAAGAATGTCATAATTGCTGTCATCCACGATCATTGGATATAATTGTTGTCTTGATTCAAATTTCCAGAATTGTTTGTTGAAACGCTTTGAGAATGATACACCACATTCTTTGAGGAAATCTATATAGGTAGAGTACTCGGCCAATTGTTCCAAAACAGATTGGTCAGTGAGTTTGGGTGCTCCAACCCATTCTCTGATACGGTTGATAACATCCACAATGTATGTTTTGGTATGAACCTTGTTGATGGTTGCAAACGATGAGATTAATACAACGACCATGCAGTTATTTTCTCTTGAAACAGTTGATAATTCTTTAAGATGTACTTCATCTCGAATGAATCTATCAGTTGCTAAAAAAAAAAAAAAAAAAAAAAAAAGAATTGGTAATTAATATTAATAATATTTAATATTTAAAATTAATTTCATATTTAATCAAACATACCAGTACCAATGAAAAGAAAATTAGTGTTTGGCTTTTCGGCATGAAACTTTTTGATTGTTTCAGCAGCAATAAAAGGGTCGTTGAACTCTTCAGAAAGTTCTTCGTCGTGATGTTCATCTGAGTCGTCCATATCATTGCTTGTGTCTTGAGCTTCACCCTCTACTGGGGGCTCAACACGAGATGGTTGAGCTTCACCCTCTACTGGGGACTCAGCACGAGATGGTTGAGCTCTAGCCTTTACTGGAGAAACAAAACGGGATGGTCGATGAGCAGACTGTAACTCGTGATGTTCGACTCGAGTTACAGAAGGAAACACAGATTTGCAAAATTTGAGTTGATTTTGGAGCGACTGGCTATTGTTTCTATTCTTGAGAATCAACTTTGATGTTCTAGTGTGGATCAAAGCATTTTGAGAAAAGTCAATTTTGAGGGCAGATTTGAAAACGTTGGCTTCTACTTTGGAATTCTTCTGCTTGGAGGCTCGATTGGTGTACTGAGAAAGCTGGTACGAGAATTGAGTGAGACCATCAAAAAAGCCTCGCATCATGTCCAAGGCTTCATCAAATGTGTGCATTACAAATGGCACCCATTTTCCATCTTTGAGTTGCTTGATGTTGGTCGTATAGAGACGATGATTACCAAAGTCCATCAACAATGAAACTTGATCACCAAAAAATGCTTTTGGAGGCATGAGAATGATTAAAAAGCCATCAGAATCGTCCAATAGTTTGGTCAATAGATTGAAATCGGTCAATCTTCTTGTGATACGTTCCAACGACGCTCCAATAATCACGTATCCATAACCAAATTGATTCATCATAAATTTGATTTGGATTCGTTCTTCAAAGCTATACTCTGAGCTACTAAGCACCTCGAGAATAAAGTGAGGAATAAAAGTCGTCTCTCGAGGGTTGTGGCCAGGCAGACCATTTGCCTTGAGAAAGAAAAGACCGCCGATATCCAAGATTCCTTGGTTTTTCATTGAGTTGGTCTGGCTCAACTGTGCTTCGGTGCTTTCTCTGATTAAAAGGAAAACATGTTTTACTTCAATTTCCAAATTAATTTCATTGGTTAATTGTTGTGATAATTGATTGATATTATTGTTATTGTTGTTGTTGTTGTTGTTGTTGTTGTCAGTACTCTCTTGGAGAGCCTTTATACGATTGATTGCTGCTACTTTTGTTGCATTGAATTCCAATCGCTTCTTTGTGACAATAGCAACTAGTATTTTCTCTTGAACGAATACATTTTTTTGGAGTGGTACTAATCTGATATCTCTTGTTGGAACCATTGTTTGCCATTCCTTTAAATTGACCTACAAAAAAGATAAAAGAGTTAGATTCGATAATTGGATTCTTTTCTTTAATGTATTCAATGGCATATAACATACAGTTTTATAAATGAAATGCTTATAATTATCTAGATCATCAATTCTAAAAGATGGTTTGAGATAAGCAGATACATCTAAATTGTCGTCGAATTCAGCGTCAGGAATGTTCGACCCAAATGTCAATAAATACAGACCACAGCGACCATTGATTGAAACCTCGCCAAAGGTAAAGACAGAGAGAAGAGTCAGTTCATTGTTGGCGACTGGTAGTGGAAATGGAGGGTGGCTCTTTCCAATATAACAACTATCGGGATAGGTCAACAGGTATGTGTGGACATTTGAATAAAGTGGTGCCAAATCTTTAACATTCGGGATCATCATTGGAATGAAAAAGTGGTGGTCGGACTTTTTAGGCATGATCTTGAGGTGTTTCAGTTGGCTTTGATTCAATAGATAATCAGACATGGTAAAACACCAAGAACTAGTATCTTGTGTTGGATACGACTTTTGAAATTGAGCAAATGTGCTAGTGGGGTTTTCAATGATGAAAATGATGAAAAGACATGAAATAATGTCGTGTCCCACTTGATGAGAGATGGTTTTGGAGAGGATGTAGGGAAAGCTAGCTGAAAGAAAGGTTGAAAATAATATTTCAACCAAATCATACTGTGATGCAGTGGGTGTTTCTTTTAAAAAAAGTGTTGATATATAGTTGAGAAGATTGGTGAATTGTTGATCTCCTTTGGCTGATCCTGCTTTAATTCGATCAATAAAATCTTTTCTTGAAAAGTTGTATGATTTAATTTTAGCTGCCAATTCTCTAGCATAAATTAATCCTATATTGTTATTATGATGATTACTATTATTATTATTATCTATTCCTCGATTGACAAATACTATTTTGATATTATCAAAACTCTTTGAAAAGGTTGTCCCATCAAAGAATTTGGATATATCCATCCCACTGACAACAAATTCTGCATTTCTACTAATACATTGATAAAAGCTATAATCATCCTCGTGTGAATATGAAATAATGATTGGTGTGATTTGGAGATTGTAGGGTGATTCTATATTCAACTCTAATATTGGTGAGAAATCTTTGTACTGTTCCAATATCGATTGTAATATTGTGTTGGCTTGTTTGTGACTCTCTCTCTTGGGAAGTGTCTCTCTCAGTGATTCTATTGCTGTTTGAACTATTCCAGTAGATATGTTCCGAGAATACTTTTGAGGGTTACTATTGACAATGATTGATATTAATTTTGTATTATAGATAGACATTATATATATAAAAATAAAGGAAATATTATTATTAATATTATTATTTAATAATAAATAAATAGCATAATTTAAGTATATAAATATTAATATAATGGTATACAATATAAATGTAATGTTGATAGAGTAAAAATATAAAGAGTGATACTTGGGGGAATAAATGAATAAATGAATGATAGGATGATTGGAATGAAGTAAAAGGGGGATAGGTTAAACAATTCCAATGGCATTTGTTTGGTGTTACCAAATGAGGAGTCCTCCTTGTACAAATTCTTTTCATTCTTCAGTCGTCACGCACCACACCCATCTTATATATACATATGCCATTTACCCATTATGGTCACGCTGTTATAGAGTGAACAACTCTTGAAACCAACACCATTCATTTTTTTCTAGCCAGTAATCTTGAGCGATAACACGTTGAATGATGTGGACATGTGTTGAAGTGAGAGAAGTACGAGCAAAAGAAATGATGATTTTAACCGTGTCGGGTAGAATCTCAAAGAGTGTCGCAAGTTTCTTGGTTTAAAAGGAGGAGATGAAAAAAAAAAAATCTGACGTGTCGATTTTAATCTTTACTCTACAATCAAAATATTATTATGATTATAATTTACTACTAATTGATTAAATAATAAGGGTTGACGAGTTTCCATCATTGGTCTCCATTTAAACGATAAAACAAACTGCTATTCTTTTAAAATCTTCCAATCTAAACATCTTTCCTTTAAATGATATAATATTATCATCATCTTGATTTGTTATTCTTTGTTGTTTGTTTTTTTCATGTTTCCAATTAATATATGATAGAGCAGTTGTAATTGTATTATTATTATTTAAAGATTCCTTGATAATTTGATGTTCTTCCATCATTGACCAACGTTCTTTAACATCTTTGAAAATAAAATTCCAAATCTGATCAAATTTTATCATTAACCAAACTATCTAAAGCAAGTAAAGTAGGTTGTGATCGCGATCTTCCCAAACGTTTAGCAGTATTTTCCAAATAGTATGTACCAATAATCGAGATCCTTCCAATGTTGATCGTGATCCAATGATTTGAGTCCGTGCTGGTTCTACCACTTCCAATTGACGATACTTTAGACCAAGAAGTGCATGAATCCTTAAATCTCTCTTGTTCCATCCATTCAAATCACACAAGTGATTGGCACTATTACTTCCTTCAAACATGATTAAGTAGTTGTTGATTTTGATCAACCAAAAATATATTCAATCCAGACGAGCATAGATAGAATAAATTTTGATCCTTCCATAAAATACACGAGCAATATATCATGATCATATAAATTCTATCATTTTCATCTTTAATAACAAGCGTTGATTTATCACTTGATTTGAAAAAGAATTAAATTTAATATCTAAAAAAATAAATCAAAAAAAAGATTAACTTAATAAAACTAACTTTTTCTTTCTTCTTTTTTCATTTACCATTTAAATCAATATTATTAATATTATTAATTAAAACATCTTTTAATTAATCTTTGTTGGAGTGATTGTAATTACTTTGTATAAAGAAAGTTTGCCATTTCAAAATGCCAAAAACTAGTTGGTTTAAAGTTGTTGATGATGATGAAACTTTTTAAAATATCATCATTCTGGGTTGAATACAATGAAACCGTTGAAACAAACACTATCAGATCATTGTAATGATGATCTGTCAATATCTACAATACTTGATATTTGTTTTGGCAATTCCAATTCTTGATATGACGACGACGACGACGACGATGATAAAGGGATGAAGTAGATGATGATAAAGAAGAAGAAGAAGATAAAGAAGAAGAAGAAGATAAAGAAGAGGAGGCAGCTGATCTAATTATCAATGGTTGATTCTAAACCATTACTACTATTACTATGATAGTCATAATCTTTACCACTAAATAAACTAGTTTAGTGGTAGGCACATAGGTGATGGCCAACTTGTTCTTTTTGTCGTCATCAAGTTGTTTGATGCAAGCAAATAGAGTAGTGACAACATTATCGTATCCAAAGCAAGTGATAGTCTACCAATCAATTCAACTGTGAAGATGCCGATATCAAAGTAGAGATGGTAGAATTGGAACTGATTAATGGATTCATTGTTTGATCAATTCAATAACAATAATCTACTACCAAATAACAGAACTTTCTCTCTCCTTCTCTCTCTCGTTTGTTCTAAATATGATTATATACTTGTTGCTTTTGGAGGAGAAAAAAATATAAAGTAACAATCTGATAATAATGATGAGTTGTTTTTGTTGTTATGGTGTGGGAATGCAAAAAAAATTTTTGATAAGAGGATGAAGATGTCTACTACCAGGACTGGATCAGAGGGTGTGGCGGCAAAAAAAAATTCTAACAACATCATCATCAGATTCAAGTTCCTCCAATTCTTCTTCAAGTGATCCCATTGCTAAAAAAGGGATCACTTGAAGAAGAATTAAAAGTAAAAAAAACAAAAAATATTTAAAACTATGTCCCTTTTAGTTTATTCCAGATGATTAAAGTCTAGACTTTAATCGTCCGGAATACTATCCAAATTGGATTGATTCTTTGAAACTCTAATACTACTCACCAAACAATAAAAAAAACATTTGTGAAAGAAACAAAAGACGAAAGGACAGTGCCATCGCCCTTTCCCTTAGAAGGTTTTCTCAAATGTCTTTTTTCCATGTCGAGGTTTTATTCCTTTAGTTTTTTTTCTATTTCTGCATTCTCCACACCAAGGGCTACATTTCTATCCAAGTTTCATCGATTTCCATCAAATTCTGACCATCAAAACATACTAAAAAAGAGTCGAGTAAAAAAAAACTGGTTTCTAATTTAGTTTTCTCTGACTATTCTATTCTCCTGATTGCTTTCTATATTATAATAATTTTTTCATCAAATTTGGTCAAATCCTGATTAAAACATACTGATCAATCTTGGTAAAAAAAAACAAAAAAAACTTATTTTTTAAAAAATATACATTTTAAATTTATTTTAATCTTTTAAAAAAGTGAAGGATTAAAATAGAATCTATTATTATTATTATTATTATCATCATCATAATTATAGATAAAACAATTTAAAAGTGATTTTGATTGATTAAAATAATTATGTTTTAATTTGTTCATTTCTTTATCGATTACCAAATATTGAATAGTATCGCTGTCCAAAAATGAATCAAATAAATCATTTCCAAATCTATTACCAGAAATATCCAATACTTTAATCGACTTGTTTTGTCTAAATGCCATCACCAACTCTTTACTTGATTCCAAATCATTTTCTTTGATCCCAACAACTCTTATTCTCATGTTGGTCATTAACAATTGACAGAATGATTCTATATATTCTTGAATCAATGTACCACTAGTCAACATCAAAGTTGTAATACATTGATTATGACATAAAGCATCGAAAAATAAAGGTGATATAATATATGAAAGTTTTGACAGTCCAATTAGTTTAATCTTGTTATTACTCGTCCAAATTGAAATAAAAGGTAAAGCTAATCTATCCAATGTTGTTGATTTTTTGTTGTTGATGTATCCATCATGATGGGTATCTTCCAAATCCAATCTTTCAAGAGACGTGTTGTTTGATAATCTTGAACAAAATTCGTCCCAGTGTTGGATGGTATCTCTTAGTTGAAGGTTTCCACTTGTACAATATTCACATCTGGTGTGGTGGCCATATGATGATGATTGATCCTTTAAAATTACTTTTACAAGGGGACATGTGATGATACCAACTTTGATCGACTCTAATTGAAATCCATTCGAGAGAATACCAACAAACTCTTCCAACTCGACAAAGTCATACCCAATGTTGAGATGCTTTGTTGATGCTAGTTGACTAATGACATCAATGTTTTTCTCTAGATGTAAAACATCACCACTACAACCGTTGCCATCGTCCAAATACAAGTTGAGACATACCGGTTGCAAGACATCGATCATTTCAAGAACATTGTCAAAAAAAGAGTCACTAGCAAAGTACTCGTAAATGTCGTTGAGTGTGATCGTCACCAATGGTGGAATATTGCGTTTGGTATGAGGTGGTCTCCACAAAAGACAATGTTCTCTTTGGTCAATGATGATGTGGACGGTTGACTGAACCTCTGGAAAAGAGTCGACCATTTGAGTGATTGGCCAATCACACATTGTACCCAAATTATATGCCACTATATCCAATGACTTTAGATTTGGTAATAATCTTGAAAGTATATTTTGATTATATTCTATTTGATTATATTTATCATCCAATTCATTTGGATCATAATCTCTTTTACGAACATTCCATTTAAATGATTCAATTGTTGTTGTTGAACCTTTACAAACACTTGAAAAGTAAGATTCTTTTAACGGACCAGATATCTTTAATGTTGTAGTTGCTTGTTTTGATACTTGTAACCACCATCTCGACACCAATGCAATATTGATCAGTTTGTAATGATTGACAAACTTCCTCTTACTCTTTTGTTCAGGTTCACCTTTATACATTAGATATGATGTTTTATCAGATGTACTGTATTGTTTACGTCCATATACATCGTCACCATCATCAACTACTATGTCTCCTCTACTACTGCACCTTGGTTCTGTCAATATCATATTAATGATGATTGCTTGAATGTACAATGATAATACACAACATCCATCTTGTTCCTTTTCATTAATCTCTTTATCTATTATTACTACTATGTTGTTGTCTTTACTATTACTATTACTATTACTATTATCCATTCATTATTAAATATTTGTACTACACATGAATAATGAACTTCAAAGTTTAATAAAAATAATATTAAAAAAAACTCTTGTTTCAAAGGACTTTTCATCATTAACATTTATTTGTATTTATGTTATAATTTGTATACATAATATGTTGAATGATATTGGAATAATGAAGAGGATTGATTAGTTTCTTCCAGACTCCATACCGGCGTTATGACCGCCACCTCCACCTCCTCCTTCATGACGTGGGCGACCACCACCACCGCCACCGCTGCCACCGAAACCACCACCGCTGCCACCACATCCACCTCCACAGGTAATAGAGTTGACATAGCCACTTGATACACCAGAATAACTTTGAATCACTTCACTTTGGATAGAGTGACTTGAAATGGATGAAAGTTTGGATAAATTGTCTGTGTAGATAGATGACGAAAAGATTATATGCATGTTAGCAATGATAATGTTATATACGAAAATAATATTATTTTTTTAGAATTGGATACATACGAAATAACATGATAATAAATAATAATAAGAATAGATAAATGAATATTTATTTTATACAATTAATGAATGTGATCATTTTCATTTATAGTTTGTTAGGAGACAAATTCTTTGTTAAAATCCATCCAAAAAATCTACAGCACTATACTCCCACACCATTTCATGATTACTTTATAATATTATTATTCCTTCCTTTTATCAACTAATTACTTTCCTTTTTTGGGCAAAAGTAAATTAAATGATTAATTTTTAAAAAAAAGAGATAATTATAGCAATGGTAATAATAATCAAAAAGAGGTAATTTATATAAATAAAATAGAATTCTAAAAAATATCTTAATTTTTGATCCAAAAAGAGAATGATGACTCAAACTTTATTCTTTTTGAATCACATAGTAGTGTGATTTACACAACAAGATGGTTATTTTAATAATATTATAGATAGAGATAAAGAGAATTATAGGATGAATAATAAAACAACATTTCAAGATGTATTTAGAATATTGTATATACGTCGTAGAATATTTCAATCAATTGAAGAGTTGTCAGAGATTGCTATGAATCATCAATCGTCATCATCTGCATCACCTCGTTTTCTTGAAAAGAAACCAGTATATATTAAAGGAAGAGAATTACAAAAGTTATCGGTATTTGATTTGGTTGCAAAGTATGCATTGCCATGGAGTATGGTTGGTGGCTTGTTTGAGGGGATTTCATCGGATCAAGTTGACGCTGAAAGACAGCACAAGATGATTTCAAGGTATACTGCACACCCAAACAGCACACTTGACATGTTCTTGCGTCTGCGAGCATGGTCACCCAACTTTAAACCGTGCAAGGCGACACTCGAAAAAGTGTATCATCTCGACATCATGTTGCATATGATGGAGACTGATGCAGACACTATTCAACGGATCTGTCCACCATTGAATCATCAGATGATGGATTTTGCTGCTGGACGTGGAAGATTGGATATTGTAAAGGTAACTATAGAATTGTAAAAAAAAAAAGGATCAAATTGTATTCTAATTACAAAAATGATCTATATAGTTTCTTCATTTTAATAGATCAGAGGGATGTGGCAACTATGCATTGTTTCAGTCTGCGGTGAACGGACACACCGAGACGGTTCATTGGATGCTCGAAAACAAGACCGATATTATGTGCTCGACCTATGTGATTAACATGGCCGCTGCAAACGGGCATTTGGATGTACTCAAACTCATTCAAAAGTACCAACCTCGTGTGACGGGGTCGATTGGAGCGGTCGAAATGGCAGCCAAGAACGGACACCTTGATGTGGTCAAGTTCCTATTCCCTCAGTTTAGTCTCACCGGATGGTCAATGGCTGGTGCCAACCAAGCGGCTGAGCACGGACATCTTGAGGTCTTGCAATGGCTGCATGCGCACAAGTGGGATGCAACGTCGCACGGAATGGACATGGCCGCTGGGAGCGGACACATTGATTGCCTAAAATTTATGTATCGTCAACAGACACTCAAATTCACAAACAAGGCGATGTATTATGCTGTCAGAGGCGGGCATTTGGAGGTGGCGCAGTGGATATTTGAGCATCCCGAGGCGTGTCTGCCGTCCAAGTCGACAGGCCCGGCGAGAGCGTCGATTCACGGGCTCAACTCTCTGTGGGACGAAGCTGCCCCACACGGCAGTCTTGCTCTATACCAGTTGATCCAGAAATACTCAGAGGTATCTTTTTCTTCAATGCAAGAGACTCTCACAGAGTATGGATTAGAGACGATTGCAAAATATGTACATGGAGAATCGGTAGTGGTACCAATCCTCAACTATCTCGTCGAGATTAGAAAAATAATCATTCCCCAACAAGACAACAACAACAACAACAATAATACATTTACTAAAACAGTAAAACATGCAATCGAGAATGGCAACACGCATGTTGTCAAGTGGATATACGAGAGTAGAGGAGAAGGAGGAGGAGGAGGACAACAGAACATGTTGATTGATCGCTCTTTGACGACTGCTCTCTCACGCGGTCACTTTGACACGATACAGTATCTGTTCGAGCAACATGCTGACAACATTATTCAAATGGTACGATACCCGATTGACCATGCGTGTTATAGCGGTAATTTGCAACTCGTGGAATATCTACACAACAGAGGTTGTAGTGCATCGAAAAATGCAATGGCGTGGAGCAAAGGCGATTTAGAGATTGTACAGTTTTTATACAACACACGAACTGAAGGCAGTCCACAAAACCTGTTACAGATAGTTTTGGATGATGGACATTTTCGTGTCGCCAAGTACTTGTCCCAACGCCCAGAATTTACAAGTTTTCTCTACTCTGTTTATAAATTCAAAAAATCAATGTTTGAAAGATATAATAATTGGAAATCCTCAGGACCCGTTTTCAAGTCAATGCATACCTATAGAATTGATGACTGACCTAAATGAATAAAATAAGTAAGTAAATAATAAATAATAAATAACATAAATATCTAACAACAATACGTATGACTACTGCTTAAAGATGATTATTAATATAATATATATATATATACATTTTATTACAGTTTAGTAATAATATATTATCAACTATAATAAGATATATGTATAAATAGAGAGAGAGAGAGAGAGAGAGAGTAGTTCAAATGAACCAACTTCACATCGACTACCTTATTTTTATTATTAGTTAAAAGAAAGGTATGCTTGCTTTTTTTTATTACAATAATAATAGATTAATTAAATATTAATTTATTGAAATGTCTTTTATCAATATATTATATAGCTTTCTTTTCTTTTGGTTTGCTCATTATGTTATGTGCACATACTATATATATATACATATATACATATAAAATGCGAATTATAATAAAAAATACTAAAAACAATAACAACAATAACAACAAAAAGAAAAAGAAAACAACTATAATAATAATAATAACAATATTAATAATATTAATAATTCAATTACAAGAGTATTCAAAAATCATTATTTATTGCAGTTGATTTTAAAGTCAATACGTAATGAAGTTTATTTTCTCGGATCTTATGTACCTAGATCTTTGACAAGAAAGAGGTATTCTCAACTACAAGGTGATTTACAACTCGTCATCAAAAATAGATTATTTGGACTCCTAAAAGACATGTTGCCATCACAACCATCGTCATCCTCTTCTTTATCAACACTAGACAACAACAACACAATATCAGAAGATTTGAATCAATCATGGAAATTATCAAGAATTTATAAATAATAATAACAATAATGAACATATGTCAATGACAATGAACCAACAATAATAATAATCATAATCAAAATAATCAGAATGGTATTATTCATAAATATCAATCAATCAATAATAATTTTACCAAACAAATGATTATACAATGTATTCAATATGGTAGAAGAGAAATATTATTTGATATCATTGATGATGTTGGAGATTCATTATTATCTTATTTAAAGGCATCTAATGAACCTATCAAGCTAAAAGTTGAAGGGAATCTAAAGAATCAAATAATCGACAATATTATTGTTGATTTGGCAAAGAAACTTTCCATTCCACAATTTAAAGAAATATTTTTACGAGGATCCTCTACACAATTCCTTTTCTATTATATGGATAGTTTAATTGCAATACTAGAAAAAGAGATATTTCATAGGATATATTCAGATAAATTTAGTGATTATATAGATATACTAGAACATTTCACAGATGAACAAATTCATATTCGTTATCAAAGTTTGGTACAATACGAAGAGAAATACCATAAAAAGATTAAAATGACTGACACAACTTTGAAATCGTATTTCTCTCATCCACCAAATACCGATCTATACACAACCACCCTATGGTACAAAGCTATGTTTATTCACAACTGTATAGATAGTATTGCAAAAAGTCTAATTATTTTTTTAAATAATCATTTTAATATTGGTAAATATTTAGACACAAAGTAAAGTAATCATATAATAATAATAATATTGATAATTTTAAAATTATTTAATAGATAGTGTAAATTTGAATTTTATAATTCTTTATTTATTGGATGGTTGTGGATTTTCAAGTATTTGTCAGTATGGTCGTTTAGAGTTGGTTCAACAATCATTAAAAATATTAAAACAACATCCTAGAGGATTCGTGGAACATTACCCTAAAGTACAAAGAATCAATTTTCTATCAAAAGACATTGAGGTTTTGGAATTTTTAAGGACCGAGGTATTTAGTTTCGATTCACTCTTAAACCATGATCCCGACAAGATTGATTTATCTCCAATCGATATTAGCGATATTAATCTGGATTTTAGAGTAATCAAATTCTTTGCTGATAATGCTAGATTTTTATCAATATTATTCAAGGTGACCAACGCCGTCCTCATTTCATTATTGTGGGATAGTAAATTCCAATTGGTTGAAAAGTTACTTAAACTGTCTGATAATCCCAACAGACTGATGCAGTATCCGGGTTTGCCTATAGTCACTTCAAAAAAAATGGCTACCTATTTCAATAGAAATATTGCATTGGCCCTGTTTGGTGTGGACCATCAAAAAAACATTGCAATGGTCGATTACTTTTTGGAGTTTCAGTATACTGGTACACAAGATCAGTTTGAAACACAACAAAACAGATTCAAAATGTTGGTCAACCAAGCTATACTCTATTCCAACTCATATGAAATTATCGAATATCTTTATCAATATTATTTGACACACCAAACATTGACATTTACAAACCCCATAGTATATTACTTTGGTTTTCATCTAGACTCTATGATACAAAAGTTGGACATTGAAATGATCGAGCTTGCAATGAAAATCGTTGGACATGATGACCTAGTCATTCGATCAAATGATTCTTGGGAGACCATTGGAAAATATGGCAACGTCGAATGGGTCGAATTATTTAGATATCCGGGTCGACCACAATTTGGTCTCAATCAAATATTTTCATTGTCCAAAGGTGCAATGTTAAACTCAAACTTTGAAAATAGAAATTCTATATTAAAATTTTGTTTTAAAAAATAAATATAATAAATAAATAAATAATCTTTAGTTTAGATTATAATTAATTATATATAAATATATAAAACAAAAGAAATAATAATACTTTAGACAAAGTATTTATCTGAGCCAAGAGACAGACAATGATTTTTGAACTTTCAAAATTCGACGAAAAAAAAAAAAATGAACCACCAAAATCAACGACTAAATTAAATATCAGTATTAGAGTATCAGAGATAAATATAGATAGATAAAAGGAATGACTACAGTACCAACTAAAGAAGCTCTAGTAGTTATATTAGATATAGGGTTGGGAATGCATAAACATCACCGATCGGTTGGTGGCGGTGGAATATCATCATCGTCATCTTCATTGTCATCACAATCACAACACCTACTACAATCAGCAAACAATACATCTCCGATTGATGAAGCTTTGAAAGCAGCTACTCTTCTATTTCAACAGAAGCTTATATACGGTAAAAAGGATGAGTTGGGATTAGTACTGATCGGCACCAAAGAGACAAATAATAGTTTACAAAAGGATGGTTATCAACACATCACAACTGCATGTAATATAGAAGAACCAAAAGTAGAAACACTTAGATTTCTAGAATCAATTCAACCTGGTGAATCTAGAGGTGATGGTATGTAATGAGAAAGATAGTTAGATAGAGACAGATAACTAACATATTCTTTATTATATTTAGTAATTGATTCATTAATTGTTGCAATGGACATGTTAATACACAAGACTGAAAAGAAGAAATTTCAAAAGAGAATATTCTTGGTAACCAATGCAAGCGATCCAATCAACAAGGATGATTTATCAATTCTACAACAACAATTTAAAAATACTGATGTTAAATTAAATGTTGTGTATGTATTTATTTATATGATATATTAGATAGATCTATCACATCATATGTATATTAATATATTATATTTATATTTATACTTTTTTAGAGGAGTTGATTTTACAGATGAAGAAGATTTAGAAAACAAGATACAATTAACGGAAAAGGAAAAGAATGAAGTGTTTTTGAGAAGGTTTGTGCAATCGGTCAATGGTATATTGGTGCCGGTTAAACAGGCATTGGAGATTATGAGCTTCTTTAGATCACAGTCTGTGCTCTCGAGAACAGGGTTTAGAGGTGTGTTGGAGATTAGTACAGAGTTTGGAATACCTGTTTGGGGATACTTGCGCACCAAGATACAGACATTACCAACACTTAAAAAGGTGTCGACGGTGGCGCAGCAGGCCGACAACCCTGCATCGCTTGAAGTCAAGCAAGAGAAGCTGCATTATAGTATAACTGACCCCGACAAGGAGATTCTCGATCACGACCTACTCAAAGGATACAAATATGGAAAGTCGATCATTCCCTACTCCAAGATTGATATTGAAGCACTCAAACTTAGTGCCAGCAAGTGTTTAAAGACACTTGGGTTTGCGCCAGCTTCACATATCCCTCTGCACCACCTGATGGGCCAGACTGAAGTGCTCGTCGCACCACCAGGCGACCAAGAAGCTGCTCTAGCGCTGTCTGGCATTATCCACGCGTTGGCAGAGACTGACCAAGTCATCATTGTGCGGTTTGTCAAGCGTAGCAACTGCTCACCGTATCTTGGCTACTTGTACCCACACATCAAGGCTAATTACGAGTGTCTCTATTTCAATCCGTTGCCATTTATCGATGACATTCGTCATTACCAATTCCCACCCATCTCACCCAAGAATCCCCAATGTAAAAAACAGTATCAACCAACAGCCGACCAACTCAACGCTGCACACAGTCTCATAGAATCGATGGATCTCATGACAGCAGACGAGGATGATGAAGGACAGCCCATGCCATCCCTCCGTCCAAAATACACCTACAACCCATCACTCCAACACTTTTTCCAATGTCTTCATCATCGTGCACTTCATCCAAAAACACCTCTCCCCTCACTCGATCCACTCATCTCTAAATACATCAATCCCGACGAAAACATACTCGAACGTGCTTCCGATGCAATCAAAGACTTTCACTCGAAATTTACACTTACCAAAGTCAACAATTTCAAATCTGATCACAAGTATCGTTGGAAAGATGGAATGTTGATTGAAGAAGAAATTAAATTGGATTCATATATTGGTCAAGATGATGATGGTTCTAAAAAGAAACGTAAAGCTGATGATTTAGCTGATTATTCTTTAGATGTAAGATAGAAAACAAAAAAGAAAAAAAAAGATTAAATTATTTAAATTAATTTATTAATTATTCTATTTTTTTTAGAAACTTGTATCAGGATATGTAAATGAAGTTGGATCAATTAATCCAGTTCAAAACTTTAAAGATATGTTGGCAAGAAGAGATATTGATTTGGTAGACAAGGCAATTAATTTGATGAGAAGTAGAATTGTACAATTGGTCAATGATTCATTAAAAGATCAATTCTATCAAAAGGCATTGGAATGTGTAGTGGCTCTAAGACAAGGTTGTATCAAAGAGTCTGAATCAGATGCATTCAACACTTTTCTACAAGAGTTGCGAGACTATTTTGAATCCAAGAAACGTGATGACTTTTGGCAATTATTGGTCACATGGAAGATCACGTTGATCAACGACCAAGAAAGTGACACCTCGAGTGTCAGTGAAGAAGAATCAAAGAAATTCCTTGGTGTCAAACCTAAACCAGTTCAACCACTTCAAGCACCATCCAACAACAAAGGTGACACTGTCGATGATTTGTTTGACCAAATCGAATAAAATAAAATTGATTTTATTGTATATATTATATTAAACAAAGAAACGTATTGACAAAAAGTTTTGGCGGGAAATCCAACTTTTGTAGACATTTAATTGCAAATTAGACGAGAAATGTCCTACAACTATACCATTCTTAAAAAATGATCAAAGAATATTTTCATTTATAAATACACTCAATAAATATGTCTATATTTCAAATAAAAGATTTCAATATGTTGTTACAATTTACTGACGAACAAATAAAGTCAATCACAAAAGTACAATCATTCCATCAACCCACTGTTCTCCAAATCAAAAATACTTCTAGGACGTACCTTGATCGTCAAAGTCAACCAAGGCGACGTTCTCAACCACAGTGTGTGCCATGACAGCTGACGCAAGAAGAGCAACACTTGTTTCCTTATGTCACTTCCCATCTTCACCAAATCAATCCATCAATCGATATGCTTCGCAATCATCCGTCGACGAGGCGCCCCAACTACTTTTCGACAAAGTTCTAATATTAGTCTACCACTGCCACAGCCAAACCCGGCATTCTTTATCGTTGTACATCATCTACCATTCTGATTCTGATCCTGTCTTATCATCTAATTTAGATCCCAGCAACGACAGCAGTGATGTATGAATCGCACAAAGCTAGAATTATATTCCAATGCTAGAATGAATATCAACAGTACCAAACAAATTGTATATCACATTGGTTCTGTTGATATTCATTCTAGCATTGTAGATCCCAAATCAATCAAAAGTATGTATTATAATAGCGTTGACGACTGTCTTTATGTGATGGTCTCTATGTATTTTATTTCTCTCTCTCTATCTCTCTCTCTCTCTCTCTCTCTCTCTCTCTCTCTCTCTCTCTCTCTCTCTCTCTCTCTCTCTCTTTCTCTCTCTCTTTCTCTTTCTCTCTCTCTTTCTCTTTCTCTATCTCTCTTTGGTTGATAATAATTCAAGTATTGGAATATATTTCGTGCTTGGGTTGTTCATTATGAACAATGTTAACTTTGATTTTATGCATCAACTGTGTAATAAGTAATACATATATGTATATTATATTATATTTTGTACAAATAATATTGCTTTCGTCATTCAAACTAAACAATGAATGAACTCACTTTCACCTTTCACCGAGTCGGAGATTACGAATAATTTAAATTATTATTTAATTTTTTAATTTTTTTTTATATAAACAAGCAAGATCACCAACATAACCAGTTTCATTATTTGTTATTTAATATTAATTAATAATCTTCTCTTTTTGTATCATCATAACGATAATGATAAGATCAATTAGTTCAAAATCAACGCACCTTATTAAATGTAGCAGAACTTTAGCTAAACCCACCACTAGTTTAACCTATTCTACTTCTTCATCGCTTGTCAAGAAACCAGAGCTACTCGACATCAACATTCATGGCTCTAAAGACACTGCAAAGATTATTGATTTGCATAACAAGGTGATCATGAACACCTATGCACGTGTTCCTAACCTCGTCATGGACCATGGCAAAAATGCACACCTCTACGATGTCAAAGGTGACCGTTATATTGACTTTACCGCCGGTATTGCTGTCAATGCACTCGGTCATGCCGACGAGGAAGTGTTGCGTGTAATGACAGAGCAGGGTGCCAAGTTGACACACATTTCAAACGTCTATTTTAATGCACCTGCCATCGAGCTTGCTCAAAAGCTGATTGCCTACTCATCGTTTGACAAGTGTTTCTTTGCCAACTCTGGTACCGAGGCCAACGAGGGTGCACTCAAGTTTGCACGTCGTCACGGTCTCTCCAAGAATCCCAACAAGATCAACGTGATCGCCTTCACCCACGGTTTCTCGGGTCGTTCGATGGGCGCCCTCTCATGCACACACAAGAGCAAGTACCGTGAGATTTACGGCCCGCTCGTGCCGGGTATCGCCTTTGCCGACTACAACAACATTGATTCGGTCAGAGAACTCATCAGCGACAACACCTGCGCCGTCTTGATCGAGCCTGTGCAAGGTGAGGGTGGTTTGGAAGCCGCTCGTCCAGACTTTATGCAAGATCTCGAAAAGTTGTGTCGCGAGCACGACGCCTTACTCATCGTCGACGAGGTGCAATGCGGTGTTGGTCGTACTGGCCGTTTGTGGGCACACGAACGTCTCGGCGTGCAGCCAGACATTATGACATTGGCCAAACCACTTGCCAACGGTCTCCCCATTGGTGCCATCCTCGTCCGCGAGCATGTCGCTCAGGTCATTGGTCAAGGTGACCACGGTACCACCTATGGTGGTGGTCCACTCGTCTGTGCCGTTGCCAACAATGTATTTGGACGTATTGCCAACGAAGACTTTTTGCGCGAGGTTCGTGTCAAGGGTGCCCGTATTGTAACCCGTCTCACTCAAATTTCAAAGTCCTCTCACGGACAACCCATCATTGACATTCGTACCACTGGTGGTCTCTTTGTCGGTGTTGAGTTTGACCATCCAGTCAAGGAATTAATTGCCTTTGCCAACACTCACCACAAGGTACTCTTTATCTCTGCTGGAGACAATACCATCCGTCTCTGTCCTTCTCTAACAGTTCCACAAGAAGATATTGATATTGCAATTGATGCAATTGAAGCTTATTTAAAATCAAAAGAAAAGTAGATAGATAGATAATAAAAAATAGAGAAAATATATATATTTTTTTTTTTTAGAAGTAATCATAATAAATCAATAGATTATATTATTTATTTTGAATAATTCAAGATGATAGTACTTCTTTTAATAATACATTGGATGGATGATAAATACAACAAAGATTTATGAATTTGTACAGCGCAGCTAGTAGACAATTTAGAGAATACATGGAAGACCACCAAGAACTCCACCAAGTACACCACCTACGATACCAACAACACCACCAACAACAAGGACAGCGCCACCAACAGTTTGGTTCAAATAGTGAGTTGGACAACTATTGCAAGCAACACCATTGGATGATTGAGAAGACATGGAACCAGTTGACATCAAAGCAGACTTTGAGAATGATGATGACTTTACATTACCCATAGATGAAATTGAAGCTATAAACAAAAATAATTAATATTTACAAATTATAAAATAATATTTGATTGATAAATCTATTTACATAAGATAGACATTTTGATAGTTTTTGATTTAAATTTAATTAATTGATGATTTGATCATTTGAAATATTTAAAATAGTTTCTATTTATAGGTTTTGAAATGTAAAGGTTCTACCTTTCTAATTTTATTTTTTTTAAACTGTTTAAATCTAATATTTCTATAAACGGGATTTGATTCAAATAAATGATTCTGGTTTATTTTTAAAACAAGAACAGTCAATCATTCATAGTGATCTAAATGCCTATTTCATTTTAAATTTGACTTTAAAGGAAAACTTGATGGGTTAATCAAAATAATAGATTAAAAAAGTTAAAAGTTAATATGATCTGTAAATCAATCAAAATAGGTGGTTAGAAATTTCCATCTTTTAATTGAATCAAAATTTACAATCTAGAAATATTAAAAAAGGTAGTTTATCACACACTGTTTTTTGATCAAATTGGTACATTGTACAACCAAACTTTAATAGATTGATTTTCCTTTTTTTTTTTTTTGTACAAATATAGTATATTACTTCTTCTTCTTCTACTTTATTCTTCAGTTAAACGATAACTAATATTTTTAATTTCAGTTTCTATCGAATAACGAATTGATAAGGGGATAGACATATTATTGATATCATCTTTTTCAAAGTAATGAAGTGATTTGATTGGGAATGCAAACAATTTCTTTTCATCCATGATGATTGGTTGGTTGAGGGAGATAGGCAGTTTGTTGGTGGAAAAGGAGTTGAGAGTTTTTGCCGATACTTTCTTTCCAAATTCAGTTGGACTAAACATGGACAAGACTTGTTTGAGTTGGTTGGCATTGATTGATGGGCAAACGGTTTTACGATACTTTTCATCGGCAAACTTTTCCTTGTCCTTGTTGGTGAGAACGGCGATGATTTCTTTGACAATGACAAAGGCAGAGTCGACGGGACCAACCCATACATCACCAATTTCATTGGCCCATTTGACGAGATAGTCAATCTTGGACTTGAGATGGAGCGCAAAGGATTCTGTACAAAAGGCTTGGCGAAGCATGATACCGTTAAAGATGGTGATACCAATCCAATGGAAGATTTGTGAAAAGAATTGTTGGGACAGTGAAAAGTGAATCCACTTTTGTTGGAACAAACTAATAATGGAAAAGAGGTGGCTTGTCACATGGTCAATTTGGAGTAGTGGTGCCGATTGGATATTGGAATTACTAGAGTGCAAAGAGATGGAGCTGACGCCAACACTCTTACGATTATAGTTTTCATTCAATATCGATCCTTCAATGAGTGGTTGAAGCTTGGATATGACAGTCTTGAAAGCCATACCATAGCTGCGACCGACCGATTGGTGGAGGAGGTCGATAAATTGAGCCGATGGATTGGCCGACGATTCAGATTCTAGAATGTTTTCAGTGTCTTCAATATCGGCAATCGAGGGGATGGAAGGCATAATAGTTGTCTTTCCTGTTGGTAACTTGGCTTGGAAGACATACAACAATAACGATGTACATGCCAACAAATAGGCAGTGAGATCGAGTTCGTCATGATGGTTACGTGTAAACTCGAGGATTGACTTTATGATACCCTTAAAGATGTAGGGTTCACTACGTTCAAAACACTTCCAGTATGAGATTTGGTGGTACCACAACTGACATGCCAACGTTGAGTGTTCGAGCTTGCATGACAACAAAAAGTTGGACAACATTTTTGTGGGTACTTCTTGGTTACCAGCATTACGTGCCAGCTTTTCCCAATCGCTTTCCTTATAGTTGATGATTTCTTCAAGACTTTGGAAGTTTCGTAGACGGAAATCGACTGCCTTGAACTTGTCATTGTACTGTTGATACTTTTGTTCAAATGCATCGCGTTCTCTGGTCATGCGCTCGACAACATCCATCATCTTGAGACGCTCGTTCTTCCACTCGTCCTTTTCGCTTTGTAATTGCTCCACATTTTGTTTGAGTGTTGTAATCTCTCCCGATTGAACCACTTTGGCGTCTTCGAGTACTTGTTGAATTTCGACAGACTTGCGACGTGACTTTTTCTCTTCAAATGCTTGATGACGAAGTTGTGCGTTTTCTTGTCTCAATTGTTCCAACTCGGATTCCATACCTGCCGATTGTTCTTGTACTGAACTCTTTTCATCGGCCAATTGTTCTCTTTCTCTTTCCAATGCAGCAAGTTTGGCAGATGTGGCCTGCTCGCTAACCTGTAAACTATCAAGAGTTGCTCTGAGTGATTCAATCTCTTGATTACTGTTGGTACGTAAATTCTCCATCTCGCTACTCTTGATGCTAGCAAGACGTTCCATATCACTTTGAGCCAACTCAACCTTTTGTTTGTTGATGAGTACCAACTCGCTCAAATCAGCATTACGCATCTTGGTTTCATTAAACGACTGTTCGACAAATGATTGTTGTTGACGAAGAATTGAATTTTCAGATTCCAATTTAATGGCAGTCTCTTTTTGTGTTTGCAATTGTTGTTTGATTTGATGGTATTTCTCTTTGGATTTCTTGATTTGTTCTTGGCCCAAATGGATAGAATCTTGGTTTTGTGTACCAGCATTCTTGAGTTGAAGGATTTCCTGTGACAGTTGTGAAACGTTGGTTTCTAGAGCCTGAATCTTTTCCTTTTTAGAACGAAGCTTGACATTTTTGAGACTTTCAAAACCAGATTTGACAAGTGTCAATTGTTCGGTCACTTGGTCAAATTGTACGTTTAGGATATCGTGCTTTTTGACAATATCATCACGTTCGTCTTCAAGACGATTGATCACTTGTTTCTTGTCTTCCAACTCTTTTTCCAAACGTGTTTGATTCTGTTGCATCTGAGTTGTAACCTCTTTAAGATAGACACTCTCTTGAGCAGATGATGAATTTTGTGTAGTGGCAACAAAGAATTCATTTTCAAATCGTTCCTTTAGACTTGTCAACTGTTTGATTTCCATTTCAAGACGAGCTTGGTTTTCACGTGCACTAACAAGGTCACGATCATATTGCTTGATGGTTGATTGTTGTTTCTCCATCTCTTGCTTTTGGTCACTAATCGTACGTTCATATTGAACAATACCCAAGTCAGACTTGCTCTTTTCGATTTGTGAAGACGATGACAATTCCAATATTTCCTTTGACTGACGTGCAATTTGGTTCTTTAGATCCGATGTCTCTAGATTCAACTTGGCAATATCATTTTCACGATTTGACAAGTCATTCTTGATACGGTTGCTCTCTAGTGTTGATTGTTCCAATGTTTGCTTGATTTGAGTAATCTTTTCCTTTTGATGTTGATTGGTCACTTCTAATTTCTCCTTTTCAAGTTTGGCACTTGTAATTTGTTGATTGAGCAATCCTTTTTCATCTTCCAATAATTGTCTGGCCATTTTAATCTTTTCATTGTCGGTACTTGCAACTCTACTATCTTGTTCAACATTTTCCAATTTTCCTTTAATCTTTTTGTACTTTTCAACGAGTTGAACATGTTCTTGTTCCTTTTGTGATAGTTTAAGACGTAGTTCATCTCCACCATTGACAAGTTGATTAATTTGTTGTTTCATTCCTTCTTCGGTTGATTTCCAAGATACTGTATCTGCTGCATGTTGTTGTTGATGACGTTCAACTGTAGCTTGTAAAGTAGAGACATTTTCTAGAGTAGAGTGTAACTCTTTTTCAGTTGATTCCTTGATAGCAACAACACGATCATATTCATCACCGGCAACACCTCTGGTACGTTCCATTTCATCACGTAATGATGCGTTTTCTCCTACCAATTCATCAAACGATCGTTGAATAGTATCACGCATATGTCCAACCGTTGCAGTCTCTTCTTCTAATCTCTCGACTTGTTTACGCAACGAAGCAACTTCGCCAGTTGCCACACCACAATCCATAGTCTTTTCTCCAAGTCGACTTTCCAAATCCTTGATGTGATCGGTTGTACTCGACTTTAATTCCTTCAAAGACTGTTCCAATTGTTGTTTGGTTGTACTTGTCTCTTCATATTGTTGTTTGACTGTTGCCAATTCCTCGGAAACCGATTTTATAGTCTCTGTAGAATCCAATTTCTCTCTTTCCAATTTCTTTAAACTACCAACATGCTCGGACAATGTCTGTCTTGTCTCTTCTAGTTCCTTTCGTAGTACAGTCAATTCATCAGACATTGATGTATTACTAGTCTCTAATGATTCACTCTTACTCTTGTATTCAGACAATTCTAGTAATACGTGATCGTGAGTTGATTGAATTTGTTCTAGTTGTTTTTCCATCTTTATCTTTGTCTCTTCAATATGTTGTTTGGCACGTTGTTCGGTAGTCAATCTCCATTGAATCTCTTCGAGCTTGGCTTGGAGTTGATTCTTTGCTTCTTGAACCGTCTTTAGTGATCTCGCTTCGATACGTAAATCCTTGTACTCTTTTCTTGCCATTTTACCTCTCCACTTGGCTTGAAGACGGACGATACCACGCAAACGACGACTAGTGTCACGACGATCGTTGCAGGCACGTATAATAGCCTGCAAGTAGGTAGCAGCTTGCATTGTCTTTTTCTCTTGCAACTCGTGACGCGACGACATTTTACGAAGTGCACTTTGCAGTACGACAGCGGCATGCTTTTGTCTTTGGTAATCGCGACGTTTGATATACCCTCTGTAGGCAGTCTGGATGACTTTGGCAGCATGGTTGCGTTGCAGATGTGCCAATTGGTTGCGAGCCAATTGTGATCGGATCTTGTTTTGGATTGTGACGGCGGCACGCAACAAGGCACGGTACTGCTTGGCACATATGTATTTACGCCAGGCTGTTTGGATGGTGGTGGCACTGCCGTTGAGCTTGTCCATACGCATATTCTCGAGAGCGGCAAGCTGACCAGCACGCAAAAACACCTTGGTAGTACCGAGCTTGTACTTGTCGTCTGACAACTCGATACCCTCTAAAAGTGCACGTACCTGTGCCTGCTTGACGGCATTCACGTCCTTGGGATCCTTGCTAGTCGACTGTGTTCCTCTAATCGCCTTGGCAACCTGTGCCGAAGCAGGATACAATATCTTGTAACGTGGGTAAAAGTCAACCAATGTGCGACGTGTTGGGAAACCTGCACAACAAATACGCACACTCTCCATGACACCACCGCAACGCAGTTGATGAATCACATCATGTTTGTTGAATGTATGTGGTGCCTTGTCGGGATTGGGTTTGACACAACGCACATAATGCGGGGATGTTGTGCCAATCGTCTTCATCAGCGTCGCCAACGAGGTGGAGAATTGCGAGCCGACCGAACTAAACTTCATCGAACTCGACGCAGCTGCGCTACTCGGCTTGTTTGGGTTGTTTTGTTGTGCACCACCACCACCACCAAGACGATCGTTGCTAGTCGACAATATAGTCTTTACAAATCCAGTTTGTGAACGTTGAAGCAACGAGATTTGCTCGGGAATGATGAAATCCTTGTTCTTGTCGAGGAATTGGTCAGTCTCGTAGGTGACACGTCCAGCATAATGGTTGATGGTGAATGCCGTGCCCGAGAAACGTGGTTTCTCAAACTTGGCATGACTGGTCAGCTTGGAATAGAGTTTGGTTGCAAATGTCGCGCCCGTCGACTTGGGGAACATACTCTCCTCGTCCAACAATGACAAAATACACATTGGACGTTTCTCGATGAGATCGAGTGTATCTTGATTGTCGTTAAAGTCAATGTACGACCAATCAATCTTTTCCTTTATGTATTCCTGCTGCTCCTCTTTAAACACGTGCTGATTAAACACCTGTTGCAGCTTTTCGTTGGCATAGTTGATACAAAACTGTTCGAATCCATTGACTGCAAACGACTCGAACCCATAAATATCGAGGATACCAATAAACGACTTGCTCTTTTGTTGTGCCGACATGGCTGCGTTGATCTTGACGACCAACCAGTCAAACATCAGACCGTACAACAACATTGACAACGAGTCTCTTGCATTCTCGGCACGCTCCTTGGTGTTGGCTGTTGTAAACACCTCTTTACCAGACACGACCTTTCTCGTTAAAAATGTCTTGGACAACTCTACAGCCGACGTGCCAAGTAGCGTGGCAATCTTTTCCAATGCGCCGCCACTAGCACCTTCGTCGATCGATGACCCGTCATTTGCCTCTTCCATAAACACGATATTACCCAACAACAACACCACCGATAAAATCTTGAATATATTCTCTTGATCTTGTGTGTTGATTCCTGCCACTCCCATTGCATGGCACGTACGTTGAAACATATCACTATCATCCACTCCATCAATTTCAAAACATTGACTTTGATTTAAATAATAATAATCTTGTGCATTCATTAAATATAATGATTCTCTTAATTCATCATTTGCTCCTGCTAATAACTTTAAAAATTAAAAATAAATATAGTTTAGTATATATTTTAATTAATTATATTATATATTTTGTATTTAATATTTACTTGATAAAATATATGATAATTTCTTTCATTATAAACTTGTCTAACTAATCTAGACTTTTCCAATAAATATGTTAAAATCTTTGCCCCTATAATTGATCCCAATTCATTAAAATGAATTTCTATAAATTTACCAAATCTTGAAGAATTATCCTAAAAAAAAAAAAGAGAAATTAAAATAAAGTAAATAAGTATCATATGTTATTTCCTTGTTTCTTTTCTTTTGGATATTCATACATTTCTTAAAGTTTTTGCATTACCAAAAGCTTCTAATAATGGTGTACTTTCCAATACACGTTCTTCAATTGATTTTTCAGATGATGTTGTCTTTTTTGATGATGGTGATTGTGGTGGATTACCACTACTACCATTGTTGTTGTTACTATTGATATTAAGATGTGGAATTGAAGACGACGACCCACTCAAAGATGGGGTCGATGACGCACTTGATCCTCCTTGTTGATGTGAAACCATGTTACCCATGGCTGCAAAATATTGTAATAAGAATTTTGTTGTTTCAGTTTTACCTAAAAAATAAACAAGTTGTTAGAATCTATCTATCTATCCATCTACCTTCTGTTCTTTTTCTATTTTGTTTTATTTTATTTACCTGCACCAGATTCACCAGAAACTAAAATAGATTGACTTGTACCATCATATCTCATATCTTTAAAGGCATCTTCAGCGACGGCGTAGACGTGTGGAGAGAGTGCACCCAATTGTTTACCATAGTATGCACTGATCATTTCACGGCCATACAGTGGCAGTGATTGGTAGGGATTGATAGCAATGAGAATCTTGCCAATGTATGTGTAGATTTGGTCGAGGTTGTAACGGTGATGGAGATTGTGAAGGATGGCAGCTTCGTGCAAATGAGAGAGACCGGCGAGATCGTCTATACCCTCGAGAATGTCTGGATTCTGGAGATAGATCTTGTTGTTGGGTACTGTGATCTCTTTCTCTCCTTCCTCTTCGATTTCAACGCGAACCACCACCTCTCCATTGTCGCTATTATACGACACTACGTCACCGGCGATCCACTCCAATGTAGCATCGGGTATCCATACCCCCATACCTTCATGGTATTCTATTAATGATAAAGGTGGAGTAGTAGCTCCTCCATTTGTTGTCGTACCCATAATACTCCTTCTTCTTCTTCTTGTTTAAAAGATATAAAAGATAATAAATTGTAAGAGTAGTAGTAGTAATATAAAATGATATGAATGATGATAATAATGAATGAAATGAATATATACTATGATTAAAAGATGAGATACAAAACGTAAATACAAAAAGTAATTTTGATGAATAATGATACAACAACAACAACAAGAAAGCGAACAAACACAACCACAACACACTCACTCACACACTACTTATGATTGTGATCACAACAATGAAATGAGTTATAAATATAAATGTATGTTGAGTGATAGAGTATAAGAATAAGAAATGCAAAGATATATATGATGAAAAATGAAATGATAAGAGGCTTCCCCAACCAGCCCCAAGCATCAGTCTGATTGCGGTTATGATGGGGGTGGTGACGTTTAATTAATTTAATTTAATTTTTTTTTTTGGGTTCCCAAGACAAGATGTTGCTTTTTCTTTCTCTCGATCTTATTTTGACAATCTAAAGTAATCTTCACTTCAACTCGGAACTATTTAGAGAACTCAATTTAACACCATATATTCTTACTAGTCAATAAGAGCATCTAAATCAACGCGAAAATTCACGATCTAACGCCCTTTGCCGTGCAGAGGTTTGGTGTTCTCTCGTTCGTAAAATGGATCTTGTCTATCGATTTTGCTATCTGCATCTTAGAATGCTCGCAACCCAAGAGGTTTGTTGGGACTATGGACTTATTTTAGCACTGCCTTCTCTACAGAAAGCTACCATGTAAATGATAAGCTTTGAAAGATGTAGCAATATGTATATTATCATATCTCTCTATGCTTATCATTTACTGGTATGTGTGCATCAATTAATCATCCGATTGATTGACATTTGTACAAGACGTTTGTTTGTATACACAATATCAAAAAAAAAAAATACAAATTATGATACAGTAATAATATAATGATATAATATAGTTTTATTTATTTATTTATTTAGAATATACTGTTGATGGAGGATCATGACCACGATCAAGATGATTGTTGTGAATTGGAAAGAGTTCAAAATAAAAGAGGTACCACAACTTGGGAGTGTCTCTGGATTGGTTGTGTCAGTCGTGGCAGTAGCAGTGGTAGTATTTGGTGTGTCAGATGATAAACTACTACTACTACTACTATTACTAGAGTCAAGTACACTTGATGGAATAGACTCTATCACTACAAATGATCCATTTTGACCTTGTACAATGGAATTTGGTAATTTGTATTGTGTCTTGACCTTTTGACCTGGTTTGATGGCTCGGGTGTACTGCCAAATGTTTTGTGGTTGGTCTGGTGATGGCTTGAATTCACCACCTTTATACAATGTTGCATTTCCCTGTGATCCATGGAAATAGAGTGCAACGTAGGAATTGGTCTTTCCATTATTGACAATATCACAATTGTAGGTATTGAATTTATCAGTGGTACCACTACAAATGGCAATGACAGTGGTACTAATGTTGAAGTGGTAGATTTTGGTTGGACAAGCTGCTGGATCGATTAGATAACACGTGTAATTGCATGTGGTTGGCTGTGAACAATAAACCGTTCTAACATCTCCACAGACAAGTAGTAGTGAGAGTCTGTAAGTATTGTTGTCACAACCACCTCCGTTGGACTGTGGATTGTACGACTTTATCATTGTACCAAGTGATCCTCCTTGAGTATTGTTCAAATCTTGGAATACGGCGGTACCAATCAGCGATGTAATGTCAGTAGAAGGGAGGGAATCGCCCCATCTCTTGCAACTCATCACTCCATTAGAATGGTCTGCTACTGAACAATCCGGGTTTGTACTACACACTGAAAAAGACAATCTCCAATATTTATCATCACCAACTGATACGGAAAAATATTGTGTTCTAAAGATTAACCCAAAAAATATTAATACACCATTAATTCCCCTTTTTAAGATCTTAATTATTATTATTATTACATACTTCAAAGATGTCAAATTGTAATAAAATCCAGTTGATGTGTCATTATAGACACATGGAGATTTATCGGTTGCAGGTTGTTGTTGTTGAGCTTGACCAACTCCACTCCAACAAGACAATTATAATAATATTAATAATGTGAGTGATAAATACAAATTAATGATCTTCATTTTCCAAAAGATAATAAGATAAGTAGGAGATGAGGATGAAATATAAAATAAAAATGTTGATTTGAGTTGACAGTCTATATATATATATATATATATATACACGTATATACAACCATAATTAATTAATTAAAAGGGGAAACAAATTTCAAAAAAAATGTCTTGTTGGCTTGAAATTTGGAACCGTCACTTCAAACCCTACCGACCAACCGACCGACCGACCGATCTATCATACCTTTATTCCATTTCTTTTAAGAAATTAAGAGATGGTTATATGAATGTTGGGTTTTATAAAGTTGGGTTTGAAGAAGTTCGTTCTTGTTTTATCTCTTCCTTTTCTTTCTTTTCTTTTATCACAAAGAGAGAAAGAGAGAGAGAGAGAGTAGCTCTCAACTATATTCATATCATTCTTGTTGTTGTTGTTGGTATATCTATTATCTACATATGACTCCTCATCATGTGATTTTTTTTTGAGAAGAAGAGGGACAAAAAAATAAAAAAAAATAAAAAAAAAATAAAAGGTTTGAGCGGCTAATGGACCATTATTAGAAATCAATAACTTTGATAATAAATCAATGTTGTTTTATAAATAGAAAGATAGATAGATAGATCATTATATATAGTATACTACGAACGAACGAGTATTGCGACATTCACAATCATCATATAACATCATATATCAAACAAAAGTCGATTGAAAGATCATATCATACAAACAAACAAACAAACATACATATATTAAAAGAAGATGACATCCGATTTAGATAGACAAATCGAACAATTAAAACGTTGCGAGATCATTAAAGAGTCTGAAGTCAGAGCTCTTTGTGCTAAAGCAAGAGAAATCTTATTAGAGGAAGGAAATGTTCAAAGAGTAGATTCACCTGTCACTGTAGGTTAAAGAGAAAGAGAAAAGAGAAAGAGAAACCAGAGTCAACTATGTATTGGATAGATTACTTATACAATCATCATTTACTCTCTCTCTCTCTCTCTCAAATACACATATATGTGTATGATATTATGTAATCTAGATTTGTGGTGATATTCATGGTCAATTTTATGACTTGAAAGAGTTGTTCAAGGTTGGAGGTGATTGTCCACAAACCAACTACCTATTCATGGGTGATTTTGTAGATAGAGGATTTTATAGTGTAGAAACATTCTTGTTATTGTTGGCATTAAAAGTAAGTATATACATATATTGTCATATGAAGAAGAGATTAGATAGATAAATAGATATTAATACTTTCTCTCTCTCTCTTTCTCTCTTTTTTTTAGGTAAGATACCCAGATAGAATTACATTGATTAGAGGAAATCATGAGAGTAGACAGATTACACAAGTATACGGATTCTACGAAGAATGTGTTAGAAAATATGGTTCAGTGACAGTGTGGAAATACTGTACAGAGATATTTGACTATCTATCTCTATCGGCTCTAGTCGACGGTAAAATATTCTGTGTACATGGTGGTCTCTCTCCAAATATTAATACATTGGATCAAGTATGTCAAACATAGAAAGATAATTGATTGACAACTCTATTATTAATTTACACTTTCACATTTTTAGATTAGAGCCATTGATAGAAAACAAGAAGTACCACATGAAGGACCAATGTGCGATTTGATGTGGTCAGATCCAGATGATTTGCCAGGTTGGAACAACAGTCCTCGTGGAGCTGGCTATTTGTTTGGAGAGGATATTGTGCAAAAGTTCAACCACGACAATAACCTCGAGTTTATATGTCGTGCACATCAACTGGTGATGGAGGGTTACAAGTATATGTTTAACGAGACTCTTGTCACGGTGTGGTCTGCACCCAACTATTGTTACCGTTGCGGCAACGTCGCTGCTATTCTTCAACTCGATGAAAACCTTAAAAAGGACTTTGTCATCTTTGACGCTGCTCCTCAAGAAAGTAGAGGTGTTCCAGCTAAAAAACCTGCTCCAGAATATTTCCTCTAACTCTTCATCATCTCATCAACCAATCAACAACAACAACAACTATCATTTTTCTCTTTTCCACTAATATATATATATATCGTCAAGTCAACACTGCAATGCAATCAATCAAATTATAATTAATTAACAAAATATCACAATTTAGTTTGGATTTTAAATAACTACAAACCTACAATACAATCAAATAATAATAATAATAATAATATAATAATAATAATGACAAACAATGATTTTTTTTTTTTAGCGATTCAATAACAAACACCTCTTAACAAAACAAACACTGTAATATTTACAACAACTCAACCAATTAAAAGCAACAACAAACAATAACCAACAATAAAAACTACAACACATAAAAACCAAACCAAAAACAACAAAATAAATAAATGAAATCAAAAAACTGTCAAATCACAAACCAAACCAATCAATCAATCAATTAATTAATCCAGAATTTAATTAAATTCTTATTGTAAATTACAAATCTAATTTTAAACTAACTTCACCATCCAATCTAATCAATTCAAAGAGACACACCCCCACACACATGGTTTGATGGAAAAAAATCAAAAAGTATGGATCACAAAAAAAAAAACAAAAATTATAAACATTAATATTTATTATTTGATATCAACTTATCTACAATTAATAATGATACTTTATAAAATAATAATATATTTATTTATTATTTCAATTATTATTTTAAATTCAAATGCAAGTTTATGTTTAAATTTAAATAATGTAGAAGTTGATTTTTTAGTATTGGGAGCTGGAACGGCTGGATCAATCATGGCATCTAAACTGTCAGATGATAAGAAAACATCTGTACTATTAGTTGAACGTGGTGAATGGGATACAGATCCATTCATATATAATACATCTGATTGGTATTATCATTGGGGTATGAATCCAACCCCATTATATATTCATAAATATTTTGGTGAATCAGAACCAAGATTAAATGGTAAAAAACCAATCAATTTATTATCAAATATGGTTGGTGGTTGTTCAAGTAAGATAAATGAAATGAAAAAAAAAAGAAAAAAGAAATATTAATTATTGTTCTTTTATTTTTAAAGGTATGAATGGAATGGTATCAAATTCAGGTAGTTTTATATTTGATTATGAAAAATGGGGAGAGATTACAGGAGCAAAAGAAAATTGGTCTGGTGAAATTGCAAAAGGATTGTTTAAGGAATTTCTGGATGATTTCCCTATTTATTTTGAAAATAGGAATAGAACATGGTTAAATGAAATTGGACAGGCTATTGAAAGGTCGTTGGGGTATCAATGGAATAGAGATGGATATATTCATTTGGATCCTAGTGGATACTCGACTAAACAATTTTGGATGACACCTATGCAAAGAAGGATATCACCATACAGTCAGCTATTAAAAGACAGCAAGGCACTGGAAACAAGATGTAATTTAAATATACTTGTTAATCATCGTGCTGTTAAAATGGAGTATGCTTCTAATTGGAAGAGACAGGTTGTAGTGACAGGTGTATGGATCCAAAACACACAAACCAAAAAGAGGTGGTTCATCAAAGTTAGAAAAGAGGTAATTGTGTCAATGGGAGCTGTCGAGACACCTAAATTCCTCCAACTCAATGGTATAGGTGATAAAGGGAGATTAGAGTCACTTGGCATACCAGTCGTAGTAGATTCACCGGGTGTTGGTAGAAACCTTCAAGATCACACTGAAGTATTTTATCTTGGTAGAAGTGTAGCGCGGTCACTTGTCAATATAACCTATACTATTAGGAACTCAGTGATTGATGGATACACTATTTTCGGTCCAAGAAATGCAAGTACCCAAGGTCACAAATATCTAGTCAATATTGATATTATTCAAAGAGTTGGATACGTACCGACATTTGCATGCAACATTGAATCGAATAGACCAGAATCAAGAGGATACGTTGAAATCAATTCAAAGGATCCATTAGCAGACCCAGTTATATTCACAAATTACTATAGTGATCCACGTGACTTGGAGTATGTTATACTTGGTCTACAAGAGTGTGTACAAGTTCAAGAGGAATTAACCAAGATGGGGGTACTTGACCCTTCCACTCCAATCCCTCTAGGACCCCAATCAACTAGATCCGACTATACCAACTATATCATAGCAACGTCAATGACCGATTACCATCTATCCAGTACCGTTAGAATGGGACATTCCAAAGACCCATCCTCACCACTCGACGGTAACCTCCAAGTCAAAGGATTAAAGAATGTTCGTGTAGTAGACGCATCTGTATTTCCATTTATACCAGGTGCTAATCTAGCTACCCCTCTATCACTACTTTCATATCAAGCTGCCAAATTAATCAAAAAATCAACAACCTCAAACTAATTTAATGAAATCATTTTCCACAAACTGAAACCTCTCCTGACATCACAAAATAAAATAATACAATCTTCACAATCCTTCAATTATTCATTAAGTTTAACTTTCACATTCACAATCAAATATATATATATATAATATAATATACATATTTATTGTATCTTCTTCTTCTTCTTCTTCTTCTTCATCTTTGTAGAGAATGAATTTTCAATTAATGAATGTTCAAAATGAACACAGGGAACCTGTTTATGATGAAGATTATAGATTTCCATATAGATTACCTCAAAGAGTTGTTAGAAATCAGTATAATAGAATGCCATGGTCAATGGATTTACATAGTACCTATAGATGGATTACAAGTATGGTTGTGTTACAAGAGAATGATGATAATGAACGTTGTAGTTGTGGACATGCTAAAAGTTGTGGTTATGGTCATAATCGGAATGGTCATAATCAAAATGGTCATCAGAATGGTTCGACCCATGCATCTCACCATGAGATTGGTACATGTTGGACATTACCAAAGAAACTTGGTGGTATTGATCATCATGCAGCAGGACCAAGAATATCATTCAGAGGTGAAAAAGTGTTGGTTGCAACACTTGTCTATCTCTACTTTCATCCAGGTGAACCTATCCTTGCCAAACATAGTGTACAACATATCTGTGGTTCCAAAGATTGTATTAGACCAGGTCACTTAATTGAAAAATTGACAAAGAAACAAAAGATTAAACTCAAACACCAACAAGATGATGAAAAAGATGAAGATGATGAAGAAGATGAATCACAATCTGAATAAAGAAAGTAGAGACCATCCATCAATCAAAATTGATTAAAAGAATGAATAATAAAAATAATAATAATAAGTTGATTAATTAAATTTAATTATTTAATTACAACTATTCAATATTCATTTAAAAATAGATAGATAGATAGATAGAATAATATATTTCTAATAAAAAATAATTTTATAAATAATATGAATTAATTAGTACATTAAAGGACAATACAGCGATTTTATATTTCATTTAATTATTTTTCACACAAAAAGAGATAATTAATAATCATTATGAATAATAATAATAATAAATAATGTGTGTCATATTGTCGGATCTTGGATCTGATTGATAGCATTATCTTTATCATTATCTCTCACTATCTATCTAACTATCTAACTAACGATCGTGTTAACATTCGCAACACGCACTACACATACCCACCCCACCACTTCACTTGAACCAATGCATTGATTGGTTGTTACCACTCCCACCACACACCATCATCATAATGCACTGCACCACTATCACAACATCAGCAAAGGCGTTAGCATGATGGTACAACCAACCATACATTCATATGATCATCAAACAAGTCAATATTTGTACATATAATATAAATATATAATTATAATTATCACCCAACAACTATCATCATTTATCTTTATCTTTTATATATATATTTATAGATTAGATAGTTTTAGTTTTATATATACTATTATACATATACTATTTTTTAAATGAAATCTTTTTTAATATATAAATATATATTAATTATTTCTATTTCCTTTACTCTTTGTATTTATGGTGATTCAAATATAAATGAATATCAAGAAAAGAAATCAAAACCATCTTCATCATGTATTGGACAAGAATTGGTAGTTGATTATTTGGTATTGGGAGCTGGTACGGCTGGATCAATTATGGCATCTAAACTGTCAGAAGATTCAGATACTACCGTACTATTAGTTGAACGTGGAGAATGGGATACAGATCCAAACATATACAATACATCTCAATGGTTGACATGGTTTCGTAATCCCAATCCTCGATTCAGTCACAACTATTATGGTGACGCGGAACCACAACTCGGTGGTCGAAAGATGAAGAATCCATTGGCAACATTTGTCGGTGGATGTTCTGGTCACAATGCAATGGTTGCCAACTCGGGTAGTGCACGATTCGACTTTGACCTATGGGCCCATTTTACGGGTTCAGAGAATAATTGGTCGGGTGATATTGCCAGAGAGAATTTGATAGAGTTGAACAAGATTATGCAGTTTCAAGGGATGGATAGAAATAGAACATGGATGCCCGAGTTGGCCAAAGCAATCGAGTCGTTGGGATACAAACCAAATGATGGACGGTTCATGGAATTGGATGCAACTGGATACTCTACAAGACAATTTTGGTATACTCGCGGTGACATGAAACGAACAACAACGTATAGTCGTATGTTAAAAGACAATGGTGCATTACAAAACAGAGATAATCTAGATATCATTGTCAATCATCGTGCCGTTGAATTAGAATATGAACCAATTGGTCGTGATAATGGTCATTTTCCGGGACATGACCGACGATTTGGAGAAGAAGAACAGTCTACGACATCAACAACACCAACAACAAAAGATCCAATGTTTAGAGTTGCAGGAGTATGGATTCAAAACACAGAGACAATGAGGAAAACATTCATCAGGGTACAAAGAGAGTTGATTGTGTCGATGGGAGCTATCGAGTCACCTAAATTCCTCCAACTCAATGGGATTGGAGACAAACGTCATTTGACGTCACTCGGTATAGAGACTGTCGTCAATTCACCATGGGTCGGAAAACATCTGCAAGACCATGTGTTTTTAAAGGTGCGAGGTAAGCGTCTTGCCAGCCATCTCCAAGACACTGTCATCCCACTGCGCAACCCTATATTTGACGGATACCAAGTATTTGGACCGCGTAATGCTAGTGTCATTGGCAACAAGTATTCCGTGGCCATTGACGTGGCGCGAGATGACAAGGGGTTCGCCATACTCGACTTTACACTCGAAAGCAATCGTCCACTCTCCCGAGGATTTGTCAAGATTACTTCACGCGATCCATATGCCAATCCACAGATACTGACCAATTTCTTCAGTAATCCTATCGACATGGAATACATGATTGACGGTATACGCGAGTGTCTATTGATTCAAGAGGAAATGGCCAAGATGGGCTTACTCGACCCCTCCTCTACATCGGATCTCCCACTCAACGCCACTCGACAACAGTACATTGACTTTGTCACCCAAAAAGGTGTCAGTGATTCCCATCTCACTGGGTCCATTAGAATGGGTCCCGACAAGGACACTGCCTCTCCCTTGGACGGTGATCTCCGTGTCAAAGGACTAAAGAATGTTCGTGTTGTCGATGCATCTGTTTTCCCCTCTATACCAGGTTCACCAAATACAAGTGTACCAGTATCACTCATTGCTTTACAAGCTTTTAAAATTATTAAAAATCAAAATAAATAAATAAATAAATAATTAATATTTTTAAAAAAAAAAATAATCCTTTTTTTGAAATTCACTCAATACTTTTATTTTCAAAATTATAATATAAAGTCATTATTCACAAAACTATACTTTTACTTGTATCAATAACAAAGTATGGCAAGAAGTACAAGTAGAGATAGATATAAAGAAAGAGATCGTGATAGAGATCGCGATAGAGAAAGGGATAGGGATCGTGACAGAGATAGAGATAGAGATAGAGACAATGATAGATATAGAGATAGAGATAATAGAGACAATGATAGATATAATAATAGTAGAGATAGAGAAAAGGATCTTGATAGAGAAAGAGAAAGAGATAGAGAAAGAGAAAGAGAAAAGGATAGAGAAAGAGAAAGAGATCGTGAAAGACAAAGAGAAAAGGATAGAGAAAAAGAAAAAAAGAGAAAGGATAGAGATGATAGTTCTTCTGAATCGGAATCTAAATATAGAAAAGAAAAGAAAGATAAAAAAAAGAAAAAAGAACATAAAAAGAAACGACGTGATAAAGAAGAAGAAGAAGAACCTTCACATGATGAAGATATTGAAATAGATCATGGAACAATTGGAGGAGGATATACAAATCAAGATAATCCGTTTGGAGATTATAATTTGGCAAAAAAGTTTGTTTGGAAGGCAAAAAAGGAAAAGCTTATCAAGGAGGGAATGAGTAGTGACGACTATGCCAAGAAATATGAACGTAATAGAAAGACTGAAATTCAAGAGGAATTGGAACGTGCCAAAAAACGTAGAGAAGAACGTGAAAAGGAACAAGAGTTGTGGGAACAGGAAAAGGATCGTCTACAACGTATGCGTGACACTGAAAACGTAGAGGAACTCATGAAAAAGGAAGAAGAGTTTCATTTGGATCAAGCGTATCGCAAGAGTGAGCTAAGGTTGTCAGAGAATCGACCTGTACCAATCGACGTTTTGTATCGGTGTGTTCACATGACACCTGGTGTATCGTATCGTTATGATGGGGTCGATCCTACCACTGTGATGCGGTCACTTGACAAGGAACGTCTCGAGATTCTCGAGGCCGACGTTAAAAACTTTATCTTTCTCGATTATGACCACGAGGTCTATTGGAATGCGTGTCTAGTGGTCGTCGAAAACGAACTAAAGGAACGGTATGGAGTCGACCAAGACAACGAAACATCGACCAAAGACACTCGTGAGACTGTGCATCGGTCAGTCACATCGGACATTCTCGACAACTTTCGTGGCAAGACGTATCGTGAATTGGTAGAGTTGGATCAACAAATCAACACGAAAATTGGATCGGGTGGTTCCATCAATGTAGAGTATTGGCAAACTGTACTCACTCACTTGCAACCATTCAAGGCTGCTACCTATATTGGAGAAGTTCATCGCGCTAGTCTAAAGTCAAAACAAGAAGATCGCGAAACTTTTAAATTTATTAAAAATGTTCATAATGATATGGTTAAAAATAACAACAATAATAATATAGATCAACAAGATGATGATAATAATGAATCAGAGGCAGAATTATCATTCTTTAATAGAACATCAACTACTAGTACAATGATCCAACCAATTACATCTAAAACAATTATTGCAAATGGAGATGGTGATGATGGAGGTGACGAAGAAAAGAAACCAGCCAATAGTGAATCTTGGATGGACGAGGAAACTGAAGATAAATTTGAAACTGAAGTGTTGCTCGAAACCAAACACTATGCTTGGCATGACAAGTATCGTCCTCGTAAACCAAAATTCTTTAATCGTGTTCACACTGGTTACGATTGGAGTAAATATAATAGAACTCATTATGATCATGATAATCCTCCTCCAAAGGTTGTTCAAGGTTATAAATTTAATGTATGTAAAAAAAAAAACTAAAATAATTTATTTATTTACTAATTTATTTAATTTTTTTTTTAGATATTCTATCCAGATTTAATTGACAAGACAAAGGCACCACAATTTTTCGTTCAACCTTCAGATGATGGATCCGATACTGTCATTTTAAGATTCCATGCTGGTCCACCCTATGAAGATATTGCATTTAGAATCGTTAATAGAGAATGGGAACAATCTCATCGCAAAGGTTATAAATGCGTTTTTGATAAGGGTGTATTACACTTGTGGTTCAATTTTAAGAGATTTAGATATAGAAGATAAATAAAAAACCACAAATTAAAAGTAAATATTATAAAAAAAAAAAAAAAGTGGGAGGGGAGGGGAAAGGAGGGAAAGGGGAAAGGAAAAGAGAGGAAAGGAGGGAAAGGAAAAGAGGGGAAAGGAGGGAAAGGGGAAAGGAAAAGAGGGGAAAGGAGGGAAAGGGGAAAGGGGAAAGGGGAGGGAGAGGGGAAAGGAAAAAAAAAAATGGAAAAAAAAAAAAGTGGGAGGGGAGGGAGAGGGGAAAGGGGAAAGGAAAAGAGGGGAAAGGAGGGAAAGGGGAAAGGGGAAAGGGGAGGGAGAGGGGAAAGGAAAAAAAAAAATGGAAAAAAAAAAAAGTGGGAGGGGAGGGGACATGAAAGGAGGGGAGGGAGAGGACATGAAAGGAGGGGAGGGAGGGGACATGAAAGGAGGAGAGGGAGGGGACATGAAAGGAGGGGAGGGAGGGGACATGAAAGGAGGGGAGGGAGGGGACATGAAAGGAGGGAAAAATGGAAAAAAAAAAAGATGTGATGATTCCTGTGGGATTTGAACCCACGCCCCGGAGGATCAGTGCCTTAAACTGACGTCTTAGACCGCTCGACCAAAGAATCCGCTGCTGGTATCATTTCCGAAAAAGCCTACTTATTTTTGAATTTTTTGCCTCTATTTGTCTTTAATAGCATAGATAATGACAAACATAAGTCTCTAATCTAATATATTGGTCCAGAGGATCAGTGCCTTAAACTGACTTCTTAGACCGCTCGACCAAAGAATCCCCTGATGACCAATTCCGAAAAATCCTACTTATTTTTTTGATAAATGTTATTACTTTATTCCCACCGTACGATGATGCCATTTCTAAAATTGCTCCTTCATTGAAAATTTTTTGGGCGAAACAGGAATAGAATTACTTTAAAAAAATTTTTGGACGAATATATTGATTTATGGGTCTTAGGTTGTATTCTAACCTCTAAACTTGGCCCGCTCGACCAAAGAATTATTTAATGGACTGTGCATCACATTAAAAGAAGTGGGAAAAATACTATACGGTTTTCTCGCTTGAGCAAAAATTTATTTAATCTCTTAATTAATTATTAATAATATAATGACAATAACTAATAGTAACTAAAGAATTAATAAACAATATAAGAACAAGTATTTATAATAAAGAGCAACTTCGTGGGTTGGTTGTTCATTTTTAGGGCTCCCTGCAAATCAAATTTTTTAAATTATTTTTAAAAAATTAACTGATTTTCTGTCAGAGATCACCAGCTCAGATGATATTTCAAATTCACATTATTTTAAATCAAATCAAAAAGTACACATGTACAAAACACATTACATCTTCATTTCTTCATTCACATATAGTATTTTTCGTATTTAATAACTAGTATTCCCTTTTATTAAAAAAATAAATAAAATAAATGTAACACTATTCTGTACCACTAAATTAAATATTTTAACTATAATAAAGACATTATTAGTTTTCTTTTTAATCAACTTGTATAACTTGTATGAGTGATTTAAATTGATTAATCAAATAAAAAAGTTGTTGATTTTACTATTTTAATTGATTAGGGGAGATCATATTTGAAATATGAAATTTAAAATTTACAAAAATTTGGGAAACTGATTTTTAGATTGCAAATCACAGCAAATGGGAGCCCTATTCATTGTTTTACATTTGAACATTAAATACCTTTTTTTAAATACTAAATATAATCATTCACCATATTTCATTCTGGGAGGATAAACAATTGCCGTTGCATGGACATGATGATAGTGGTTTTAACAGATAAGAAGTATTAAGAACCCCACATTGAGAGGGGAGGTTAATTTCGTACTTGTTAAACATGGGTGGGATTTCCTTTTATATTTCCACAGAAATAACCTAAAAATTTCGACCCGGCGCCTATAAATAGGCGAAAATTATTTTTGGCAACATCAAAAAAATATGCTTCTATGGCTCAGTAGGCAGAGCATGCGGCTGTTAACCGCAGGGTCGTTGGTTCGATCCCAACTAGGAGCGACTTTGTTACTGCTTCCTTTGCCCATGATATTCTTGTTCTACTCACAATTCCCTACATTTCTATCCATATATCATCGAAATTGATCCAATCCTGATAACTAAAACCTATTCCGAACCCATCAATAAAAAATTTTACCAAAAAAAAATATAGACCGATCCAACAAGGAGTGACTTTATTGATCTTTTTTTGTTACTGCTTCCTTTGCCCATGATATTCTTGTTCTACTCTCAATTTTCTATATATATCTATGATTTATCATAATTGGTATCGAACAACTTAAACTTATCAATTTTTGGAAACCAAAACCTACAAAAAAAACAAAAAATGGTATATCAATAAATAAATATTTTTTTAAAATATATGTTCAAAGATGTTGCCACATTCGTATCTATTTAATATATTTTATTCTTTTAAAAAATGATAAAGTAAAAAAAAAAACAAAAAAACACAAGAGAGATCGATGATTGCCGAAATATATACATTTATATTAAAATTTTCGTTCTACAAAGTTAATATACATTTATTTATTTAATTAATTAGTAGAGTGGAGAGAGGAATGCTACATGTTTTTATTTAATAAAACAAAGCAATAACCAAGATAAATACAAATGAAAGAGAAGAGACGACACGGATCGAGTCTGCAGCACTAGCATGATTCTGACATACACCATACTTGTCCAAAGAGAAACCAGCCTCTGAGCACATTGGAGCTTGGTTTGGTGAGGCATAGATACACTTGGCCTGAATGTCGCAGACGTGGGAGCCACAGTTCTCCATGATACAAGACGATGGCAAGAGCGAGGCTTGGTACATGGACTGGCACTTATTGTCGACGGCACATTGGATAAAGTCTGATGACATTTGAGTGCATTGCGAGAAGACATCAGATGTGGGGGTAAACTCTGCATCACATACACCACTGTAGGTGTCATTGGTGCAAGTACACGACTCGAATTGACCACATCCCATTGGATTAGTTTCATTGTCGGAGCAATTCATGCTTGGCATGGTCCATTGGGGAACGACACATTGGGTACCATTGCAAACCGATGCCTTGCAAGGTGACAAAAACATACCATTGACGCCTTGGAGATTCTGGTTATTAGTAGAGCAAACGGAACCCTCAGCCAAAGAGAATGGTTCAACACAGGTGCTGTTGCCATCGATCATTTCAGTGACGGTACAAAGAAGGTGTTCCTGACATTTGACGGCCAATGCTTCACCCATGATGCTACCGCATTGTTGTCCAACAGTGGCACGGTCGATACATCTAAATTGGGTCATGGTGGTATTACAATACATATTGTATGGACACTGGATATCATAAAGACATTGATGACCATTTCTTACATTGGAATCAGACAATGATGGAATACAAACTTTTTCAAATGGTGAACATTCCAATGTTTCCATACAATCTGTATCTGATCCACTAAAAAAAATAGAAAAAAAAGAAATAATTAGAATTATTTAGTAATATTATTATTATTTTATTTAATACATACCAATCACCACCTAATTGTTGATATTCAACTTGTTGACAAGTTTTGGTATTACCAGAGGAAGCAGAGGTACAGACAAGTGGCATCTTACAATAATCACTATTGGCGCATGGGTCACCAATGTTACCCAAAAGTTGACAAATGGTTGCTGGAACTGGACTAAAGTTTTGACTATTGTCAACAGCCGATGCTTCAACACTCATTGGTGGTTTGTTATTTGGATACATTGGATTTTGTAAACATCCCAATCCTATAAAAAAAAAGAAAAAAAAAAAAAAAGAAAAAAAAAAAAAAGAAAAGAAAAAGTTAAAATTATCTTATTATTTCTTCTTTTTTTTTGTAATTTAACTTACCATAAACACAAACATTTTCTTCATTACATTCTTCATTTAAACCTACACAACCCAATTTTGTTACTTTATTACAATTTTGACCATTGACAATGGTACCAGTCACCAATAATACACAAATAAATAAAATAATTTCTTTAAACATTTTTTTTTTTAATTTACAACGATACAATTAATAAATAAATATAAATACAACAATGATGAATGGATGTAAAAATAGATGAGATGATCATTGTATTATTTATAGTTTATTGATCCAACTAACCATCGAGAAAAAAACCGATAGATTTTTGAAAAAAATGAAAAGGCGTCAAAAAAAAAAAAACCACCAATCAAAATTGAAAAATTAAAAAAACTTGCATACATCGATTTGATACCCAATGATCAAAAGAGTTTTCAAGAGATATTAATACAACCACTCTCTTTATGTTGTGATTCTCAACAGCTACAATTTTGTCCAATTAAATAATTAGTTTTCGAAAAAAAACAGTTGTTTTTATCTTTTTGTTCATTGAGCAACAGAAACCGATGTGATTTGAATAATAATAGATTGTAATATGCATGTATTATTTTTTAAAAACCGTTGTTTTAATGTTTTTTATTTATTTCATTTTGATTTATCTGTCTGTCTGCTTAGAAGAGGAGGGCAGCAACAATCAAAAAGATGAGGGAAGCAGAGACAGCGAGGGTGTTGGCAGATGAGAATTCAGCACAGAAACCAATTTCGTCGAGTGACTTGTCAATGCATGATGGACCAGCGACTGGATTGACCATGGTACACTTTTCAGTGATCTTGCAAATTTCGCTACTGCAGTGCTCGTGGAGACAGGAACCTGGCAAGAAACCATTACCCAATTGATCTCTAACGTAAAAGTCATAGTCGTCGCAAAGGTTGTCGGCGGCACAGGCAAGGAGCTCGGTGGTGAGTTGGACACACTCGGTTTGGGCGCCAGAGTCGGTGATATATTGAGAGACACAACGACCGGCGGCACCTTCAGAGTTTGTACCGTTGGCGCAAAGACAGGTTTCAGTTGGTTCGACACAGTATTCAGCAGAGCAGTTGACGCTGGCAGCAGTGTTGTTGAGAGTGCTGCAAAGACCGTCGTAACAGACCAAACCAGCTTGACATGGTGAAATGTAAATACCGTCATAACCATAGAGGTTTTGGGTATTCTCTGAGCAGGAGGAATAGAGTCCGAGAGAGAATGGAGCAACACAGTGAGTGTAACCAGTGGCGTTGGCCGAGCAAAGAGTGTCTTCCATACAGACGACAGTGTAGTCCTTGTCTTCAATACCGTTACCACATTGTTGACCAAGGGTAGCTCTGGCAACGCAAAGGGAATCGTCATAATTGCATTGGAATCCGTAGGCGCAGTGAGTTGTCTCTGAGCATTGTTGTCCATCCAAAACTTGGCCGTTTGAAAGATCGGCAATACACTTTCCACTGAATGGATCACAAGTAAGGTAACTCATACATTCTCCATCGAATGAACTATAAATAAATAAATAAAATATAGAAAAAGAAATATTGATATTAATATAATAAAATTTTTGTTTCTTATTTTGTTTACATACCAATCAAAACCTAATTGGACAACATTCAAGATTTGACAGGTTTGGTTACGACTGCCACTGATAGAGTTGTAACAGGACAAACCTTCCAAACAGGGAGCGTAATCATCATCGCATGAGTCTCCAATTCTACCTAAATATTGGCAAGTCTAAAAAAAAAAACCAACCAAAAAAAAAAAAAAAAAAAAAAAAAAAAAAAAAAGGGTCAGTATCAAATCAATCAACCAATCAATCAAATAACATAATAACTTACTCTTTCTGGAATTGGTTCAAATGAGGAACCACCAATGTCGGCTAAAATAGAGTCAACATTGTTATTTGGGTAGAATGGATTTTGAATACATCCAAAACTATATAAAAAAAATGATAATAGGAAAAAAAAAAAATTAGAACAAGATTATTATTTTTATTTTTCTATTTATATATATAAATAACTTACCCATAAGTACAAGTGTTGTTTTGATTGCATTCTTTGCCTTGTTCTACGCATTGATATGGGTAGTAAATATTAGAAATGCATGATTGGGCGGCAATTTGACCGATTGTAGCTAAAATACAAATAAAGATTATTTGTTTGAACATTTTATAAAATATATAAATAATACAAGTAAAGTAAGAAGAAATCACACTGAGATTGTTTAAAGATGTTTGTCATGCAGGTGATGGCACCAAAAGTCAATTTAAAAATAAAACAAAAAAAAATCGTAAAACGGTTTTCTTCGATTCTGTGTTGCATCTCAAGTCAGGGTGTCGCAACTTGTATTGTATGGAGGCGACCTTTTTTGTTCGTGATCCCCAACCACGAAAAACTTTAAAAAATCTTTGAACTGTTTTTGAGAAACGGTTCGTTGATTGCCCCCGATTTCAACCCTGAATTGATCCCTTTTTCCCAATTTGTATCGTTTTTTTTTTTGTTTTCGTTTGTTGTACAGTTTTGTGTCACAGCGGCTCGATTGGTAACGATCAAGAAACTGCAATGAAATGACAAAGAAAAAAAAAAGGGTGGGATAACTACAAACTTTAAATCGAACGAGTATACTTACTGTCTTTTTTTAAAAAACTATTAATAGATTTAAAAAAAAAAAAAAAAAAGTGATTGTGATTTACATTTTTTATTTTACAATAGAGTAAAGATGATACCAACGGCAAATAAGATGGAAGCAGTTGTAAAAGAAAGAGTACTGGCAGAACTAAAATCTTGACAATACATTAGTTCATCCAAATCAACTGCACCGCAGGTTGGAGCGGGACTTGGAGGTTGAGAGATACATTCAGCTTGAATGTTACAGATTTCACTGTGACAGTGTCTGTAACCGCAAGAGTTTGGAACTAACAAATCCTCTTCTAGTTCTATAGATTGAGCGTACCCAGTACACTCATTGTCCTTGAGACAGCTTAAAAGCTCGGTTGTGTATTCAACGCACTTGTTGATAGTGTCAGTGTTGGTGACAAATGTAGAGACACATTGTCCAGTGGCACCTTCGAAATAGGTGGCATTGTTGCATTGACATGATTCAAAGGCGGAGCAAAGGTTGATATCGGCGGAGCAATTGACCGATGCAGCAGTAATATTGAGAGCGGTACATACATCCAAATAACAATTGGATCCAGCTTGACATGGTGAAATGTAGAAACCATTTTCACTTTTATATAAATGGGAGGGATTAATAACAAATTATATATTCATTTTTAATTTTATGCTTACCCATATAGGTCTTCATAGTCACGAATACAACCCTTTCCAATGGCAACAGAGAACGGAGTGACACAAGTATATTTACCTTCAGAGTCGCCATTACAAACAAGGTCTTCTTGACAATACATGTAGGAAAATCCATCTTCAGATCGTTCACATACTTGACCCAATGATGATCTTGGGACACTTGAAAATATAAATAAAAAAGAGAGCAGATATAAGTATACTTCCATTCCCCCAAACATTGATAGTATGTAACATATCTATCACTTTGTTGTTGAAACTTACCAACGATGAGAGGTAGTGTTACATTGGAACCCATATGAACATTGAATATTGCTTACACATTGATAACTATAAGTAGGTTAAATGAAATGTAGGATATTGTTAACAGTTAGCTTGAACAATAAAAAATATTAATATTTACTCAGAGTGGATATCGGGAGCACATTCCCTTTCGAATGGATCACACTTTAAATATGAGTAACATTCTTGATCCAATCTGCTATATTATATGTAAATATAAAAAAAGGAGTGTTTGTTGTTAATATCTATCTATCTATTTTTTTTTCTTTGATAGATTCTTCTTCTTCTTTTACTGCTTACCAGTCTTCACCCAATTGAGCAAATGAGAGTTGTTGACATGTTCCATTATTGTTAGAGTCGTAACAATGAAGACCAGCCATACATTGAGCAGTATCGAAACATGGTGATCCAATTGCACCTAATTTAATACAAATCTATATTTATAAAAATATTGATTAATAAAAAGTAAAAGTAAAGAGAGAGAGAGAGAAAACAAGACAATGATGATATAACATAACATTATTGTAGTTGTTGATACTTGCCTCAGCTGGGTATGGCTCATAAGAAGATCCACCATCTAATTCAGCCAAAACAGAAAACTGAGGGATTATTGGGTTTGGAAGACATCCATATCTATAATCAAATAGTAGTTTTGTTAATAAAAAACAATATTGAGTGTTTGAATGAAATAACATACCCGTAACCACATCTAATGCTACCATTTTGGAAACACAGGTCACCCTCTTCTGCACATGAAAAAAGATAGGTATCTCCATTACATGTTGATTGAGCACTCGAACCAACAATCAATAAACTAGCTAAAATACAAATAACAATAATCTCTTTCATCATCTTTTAAAAATAATTAAATAAATAAATAACAAAATCATGACCGTGATTTACTCTTTTGTGAAGGCACCAGCAACAATTGTTTAAAATAAATCTATTTTAAAAAAAAACCCTTTTCAACGATTTGGTTGGTGATCGCTACGTTGAACCTTATGGTGCATGTGTTTGTTGCTAGATAATATTGATTTGATTTTAATTGAACGTTTATTTATTTATTTAAATAATTAATAGGTTGCACTTTTTTTTTTTAGAAAAGGAGAGCAATGAAGACGGCAATGAGGATGGAGCCAGATGTGGCGAGAGTAGAGGCAGAACTAAAGTCGGCACAATAGTATTTCTCGTCCAAATCAACTTCACCACAGGATGGAGCTGGGCTTGGAGGTAGGGCGGTACATTCAGCTTGAATGTCACAGATTTCACTGTGACAGTGTCTGTAACCGCAAGAGTTTGGAACAAACAAGTCACCTTCGACTTCTCTATTTTGAGCAAAACCAGTACACTCGTTGTCCTTGAGACAGTTCAAAAGATTGGTGGTGTGTTCGATACACTTGTTGATAGTCTCGGTGTTGCTAATAGAGTATGGGACACATTGTCCGGTGGCACCTTCCATTCGAGTTCCATTGTTGCAGGCACAATATTCAACAAATGAGCAAAGGTTGCGATCAGCAGAGCAATTGACTGATGGGCCAGTGATGTTGAGAGTGGTACATACACCGTCATAACATACAGATCCAGCTTGACATGGGGAAATATAGAAACCATTGTCACTGTTTTATAAAGATTGAAAGAAAAATAAAAAAGAAATTAATATGAATATATTGGACCGTTTCATTTGATTTAGTTTACTCGTTTACTTACCCACTGAGGTTTTCAAAAGAATCACAACCCTTTCCGGCGGCTACAGAGAATGGGGTGATACAGGTATAATTGCCTTCAGAGTCTCTGTTACAAATAAGGTCTTCTTGACAATACATGTAGGAAAAACCATCTTTAGTTTGATGACATACTTGTCCTACTGATGCTCTTGGGACACTGCAGTAAAATAAATAAATAAATAAAAAAAAAAAAAGAGTTGTAAGTAATTATACTTGAGTTGCCCTAATTAATTGTTAAAACTTACCAACGATGAGAGGTAGTGTTACATTGGAATCCATATGAACATTGAACATTGTATTGACATTGATAACTATAAAAGTAGGTTTAATGATAGTGGTGGTTAATATGTGTGTTTAATAATATATTGTTGAGAGAGAGAGAGAGGGATATATTTACTCGGTGTTAACATCGGCAACACATTCTCTTTCGAATGGGTCACACTTGAGATTATAGTAACATTCTTGATCATATTGGCTGTAATATAGGTAAATATTAGTATTTCTTTCTTATTTTTTTTTTTTTCTTTTTTTCTTATGCGTACCAATCTTCACCCAATTGAGCAAAGTAGAGATGTTGACAAGTTCCATTATTGTTGGCGTTGTAACACTCAAGACCATTCATACATTGATCATCTTCGAAACAAACGGCTCCAACGGCACCTAATTTAATACAAATCTATATTTAATTATATTTATATTTATCAGATTGTGATTAATAAATTTTTAAAACAAAGTTGTGTTTTTGTTAATACTTACAGAAGTAGGGACTTGCTCATATGAGGATCCACCATCTATTTCAGCCAAGGCTGATCTTGGACCATTGTAGTAAAATGGGTTTGGAAGACATTCGTATCTAATAAATAAATTAAATTAAAAAAAAGATAGGTGTTAAAAAAAAAGAGATATATATGCATGTCACATGATAGTTGGGATTTAACATACCCGTAACCACAAATAAGGGTCTCGTTACAAAAACGACCCTCTTCCACGCATGAAAAAAATTCGGTAGTTCCTTCACATTGTTGAGCGCTTGACCCAGCAATGAATAAACCAGCTAAAATACAAATAACAATTATCTGTTTCATCATTTTCTTTTATATATATAAATAAATAAGTTGTAATATTACTTTGAAAACAAAAGAGAACACAAGATTTATGTTTGAGACCATCAGCAGCCTAGGTACGTAGACGTTGCAGGTCAACTACAGAAACAATTTAAAAATAAATAAGCTAAATTCAACAAAAAACTTTTCACCGATTCGTCGAAAGATCACCTGATCACCAATTAGGGCGACGTACGAGCTCGGATTAACGACAAAAAAGTAAGTACAACACAAATATTTTCGTACAATATATAATAAGTTTCAAAGTCAATAAATACATTGATTTTAATGAGAGCGCTTAATTTATTAAGTTATTTAATATTTCCTCTTTTTTGTTTTAGAAAAGGAGAGCGATGATGAGGGCAAAGAGGATGGAGCCAGAGACTGTAAGAGTGCTGGCAGAACTAAAGTCGGCACAATAGTATATCTCGCCCAAATCAACCTCACCACATGATGGAGCTGGACTTGGAAGTTGAGAGATACATTCAGCTTGAATGTTACAGATTTCACTGTGACAGTTTCTGTAACCGCAAGAGTTTGGAACAAGGAAACCTCCGTCTTCGAGGGTGAGAGAGTAGTCAGAACATTCATTGTCCTTTAGACAGCTCAAAAGATCGGTTGTGTATTCAATGCACTTGTTGATAGTCTCGGTGTTGGTGACAACTCTGGCGACACATTGTCCGGTGGCACCTTCCATTCGAGTTCCATTGTTGCATTGACAATTTTCAATAAATGAGCATTGAGAAGCATCGGCAGAACAGTTTACTGATGCGGCAGTGACGTTGAGAGTTTCACATACACCACTGTAACAGATACTTCCAGCTTGACATGGTGACAAATAGAAACCAAGTTCACTTTTAAAAGATAAATGAAAAAATTAAATTAATAAATATAAATGTAATAATAATAATAAAATATTTCATTTACTTACCCACTGAGGTCTTGGTTATCACCAAGACAACCCTTTCCAGCAGCGATAGAGAATGGGGTGACGCAAGAATTATTGCCTTCAGAGTCTCTGTTACAAATAAGGTCTTCTTGACAATACATGTAGGAAAAACCATCTTTAGTTTGTTGACATTCTTGTCCTACTGATGCTCTTGGGACACTGTGAAAAAAATAAAAAAATATGTCAAGGATTAGCGTATGTGGATAAGCTACTATCTGTCACTTGTTTACTTACCAAAGGTTAGTGGTACTGTTACATTGGTATCCATATGCACATTGGATATTGTTACCACATTGATAGCTAGAGAAATAGAAAAAGGGATGATTAATAAAATTAAAATAAAAAAAATGTGAACAAATATTATATTTACTCTGAACCAATGTTGGCAATACATTCCTTTTCGAATGGGTCACACAATAAACTTCCGTAACATTCTTCATTGAATCTGCTATAAAAATGTAAATAGTATATTATAAATATAAATGATGTTAGTTTGTATTCTTTGAAAGACTTTAAATTCTTCTTAATATAATGCTTACCAGTCTTCACCCAATTGAGCAAAGGAGAATTGTTGACAAGTTCCCATATAGCCAGAGTTGTAACAATCGAGACCATACATACATTGATCATCATTGTAACATGGGGATCCAAGAGCACCTAATTTAATACAAATCTATAAATTTTATATAAAATTTTGATATAAAAATAAATTAATATCTATATGTTTGGGAAAAACTTGTCTTGTCTTGTGTTTGATAGTTACAAATGGAGCATATGGCTCATATGAAGATCCACCATCTAATTCAGCCAAGGTTGAAAGTGGATTGGTGATATATGGGTTTTGAAGACATCCGTATCTAAATTATTAAATAAATCAAAAAAAAAAAAAAAAAAGGTGTTAAAAAAGTGATCTAGAAAATTTATATATGCATGTCACATGATAGTTAGGATTTAACATACCCGTATTCACAAATAAGGGTTCCATTACATTTTTCACCCTCTTCCACGCATGCAAAAAAGTAGTCATCTCCTTGACATTGTTGAGCACTTGACCCAGCAATGAATAAACCAGCTAAAATACAAATAACAATTATCTGTTTCATCATTTTCTTTTATATATATAAATAAGTTGTAATATTGAGAAAACAAAATAGATTGATAGTTTTATCACATGATGAGTAGGTTAGGGCCAAACTTCTCCGCGAAACAGTTGCAACAATAAATCTAAAAAAAACTTTTCGCCGATTTGTGAGTCGATCACAGAATAGCATAAAAATCGGTGACCGAATTCTGCCATTGCATGGTCTCGAAAGCCAACAACTTTGAGAAAACGTAAAAGTCTCAAACTCATAATATAATATTTTTGATTTAATTTTAATTGATTTTATTACAAGAGTTATTTTAAAAATAATTGTGTGTGATTAATAAATATTGGTTACACATTTTTTTTTTTTTTTGTTTTAGAAAAGGAGAGCAACGATGAGGGCAAAGAGGATGGAACCAGAGACTGTAAGAGTGCTGGCAGAACTATAGTCGGCACAGAAGAATTTCTCGTCCAAATCAACTTCACCGCAGGATGGAGCTGGGCTTGGAGGTTGAGCGGTACATTCAGCTTGAATGTCACAGAGTTCACTGTGGCAGTTTCTATAACCACAAGAGTTTGGAACAAGGAAGATAGCTTCTCCTTGTCTGGATAGGGAGTAGTCAGAACATTCGTTGTCTTTGAGACAACCTAAAAGATTGGTGGTGTGTTCGATACACTTGTTGATAGTCTCGGTGTTGGAGACAACATATGCGACACATTGTCCAGCGACACCATCAATATAGGTGCCATTGTTGCATTCACAATTTTCAATAAATGAGCATTGGGTAACATCAGATGAACAGTTGACCGATGCTGCAGTGATGTTGAGAGCGGTACATAAATTGTTGTGACATACAGTTCCAGCTTGACATGGTGACAAATAGTAACCATTGTCTCTGTTAAATATGATTGATTAGATAATACAATTAAAAAAAATTAATTAATTAAATTAAAACTAATTACACAATGAGTTTCTACTTACCCGTTGAGTTTTTCGGATTCAGAAAAACAACCCTTGTCAGTGGCGATAGAGAATGGAGTGACACAGGTATAATTACCTTCAGTGTCGCTATTACAAAGAAGGTCTTCTTGGCAGTACATGTAGGAAAATCCATCCTTGGTTTCTCTGCATACTTGTCCTGCTGATGCTCTTGGGACACAACGGTTAGAGGTGCTGTTACATTGGAATCCATATGAACATTGAACATTGTTTTGGCATTGCAAACTATAGAAATAGAAATAGAAATAGAAATGTTTAGATAAAGAGAGAGAGAGAGAGAGAGAGAGACAAGTCAAATATAGATTGAAAATATATTTACTCTGAACCAATATCGGCAACACATTCCCTTTCGAATGGATCACACTTTAAATTTGGGTAACACTCTTGATCAAATCTGCTGCAGATTGTAATATAGGTAAATAAATATATTTATAATAAAAATGGTTGTTCGGGTTAGTAACCATCTCATGGGGGAACAGTCTTTTGTCATTTCTTCTTATTTTTGATCTAATTCTTACCAATCTTCACCCAATTGAGCAAAGTAGAGATGTTGACAAGTTCCATTTTCGTGAGGGTTGTAACAATCAAGGCCATCCATACATTGATCATTATAGTAACATGGTGATCCAACAGCACCTAATCTAATGCAAATCTATATTTATAGAGATATTGATCCAAAGATCAACGTATTAATATTAATATGTATTGCAATGATTAATCAAAAATAACCAGTCATGTGTTTGTTTGTTTGTTGATAGTTACGTAAGGAGCGACTGGCTCATATGAGGATCCACCATCTAATTCAGCCAAAACAGAGGTTGGATTGGAGACATATGGGTTTGGAAGGCATCCGTATCTAAAAATAAATACGAAAATAAGTTATTATAAAATTACACACAACATATTATCAATTATTATATGTTGTAACTATATGATTATGATGAGGGGGCTACATACCCGTAACCACAAATAAGGGTTCCATTACATCTTTCACTCTCTTCAACGCATACAAAAAATTCTTCATATTCTGATGAGCATCGTTGTTGAGCGCTCGATCCAACAATCAATAAACTCGATAAAATACATATAACAATTATCTGTTTCATCATCTTTGTATTCTATTTTCTAATAATAAATAAGTAATAATAACAAGCAAGATATAGATTAAGACTATCAATCGATCATGTGGGAGGCAAGACCAAAATAAATTACAGATAAACTAAAAAAAATTCTTGGTTTCACCGATTAGTGCTCGATCACCGAACACTGAGCCCTCTCCCGAAATAGACAAACAGATAAATGTAACTGTCAACACAGTTGTGTCATTGTGTTTATTTATTTATTTAATTATTTATTTGTATTTCTATTCTATTTTTTAAAAATGGCATTATTTTTCAAAAGATTATTGTATCGAATTAACCCTCACAATGAAACAATAGAATATGTACAATCGAATCAATTGGGCGTACCCGATATTATAGCGAAACATATCCTATCATTCCTACCACCAACCAAAGACACCATCAAAAAAGTATCACGTGTCTGTCGGTACTGGTTCATCAACATTGTACCCTATTCACTCTTTTCCTCTAGTGAATACATAGAATTTACTTCATCAAATATCTTTATTCTATTTTATCATCATGTATTACAAAGTTTAATTCAAAAAGATAGTAGATCTTCTTCATCTTCTTCATCCTCCTCTTCATCCTCTTCAGATAATAGACCAATAATGAGTTTAAAATGTACAAGTATAACAAGTGATACAAGACAACAAATGATGAAATCGTTATCAAAGATGGGAGTGGAAGTGACACCAAGGTATATTAAAAGATTACCTGAACTTTTCAGTATTGGTTGGATGTTAAGGTCAGTTTCATTTTACTTTGCAGACACGAGCCGTGAAATGTATAGCAAGGAGATTGGTGATGCATTGGTATCTCTCAAGCAACTAGAGTCACTCACGGTCGCTGGGTCTCCCGACGACTCTTTATTGAGGATGGCCTGTCGTCTAACCTTTGACATGCCGTCGTTAACGTCGCTCTGTCTCTGTCGCAACGAGTGTCACAACAGTGTAGTGATTGTATCGTCACGGTTGAGTAGACTAGATGTTCGTATCCCACTTTCACACGGGTTGGCCATCATCGATTCATATCATGACTATAACGCCAAAGCACGACAATTAAAGAGGTTATACCAACCCTACGCAGACTCTAACAACTATGAACTAATGGATCTGGTCGAGTTGGATGATGAGGTCAGCAAAGAAGAGGAAGAAGTGTCTGGACCAATCCCATCGTGTATAAATAATAGTTTAGAGTTTCTTTCATTGATATGCTCGTATGAAGTATATGCATTGTTGTCGAGACAAATGTCAAATGTGAAAAGACTGGAATTGGCTGTAAACGATAGATTCTTTTTTAGAACTACTCGATCAGTCTCGTGGACAAACAACAACCCGATTGCATTCGACCCGTCTCTACATGACCATTATTACGATGACATAAACGACGAGGTCATCTACATGGTCAAGAATCAAGATACAAAATCGTTTGAACAGGTCAATGGGTTTGGGTCTCCTTTACGATGGGACATTTTCAACAAATTAAACGAGTTGGTTGTGTTTGGTGGATTAGAGGTTCGAAGTAACCTAGTGACTAACCGTTACATCACACAAGATGTGGTATCCAGACTACAAGTACTCGAGATTTATAATTTCACATTTACCAATGACGAGTTGATCATGCTTTTCGATTGGTTTAGAGGTCAGAAAATAGTAATCAGTGTCACCTATCTTGCTGCCATCGATACTATTCTTTCTCTACTATCCAATCACCCAACCATCGAATCTGCACAATTAATAGGTTCATCAATTGCATTGGTTCATAATTTCAATAGTCTTATCGACTTGCTGTACCCATTCCTACATCAAGACAATTGCAGTGGTCTAAAATTCCTTTCGCTAGTAACTACACCAAATTTACATGGAAAATTTGCAAAATCATTTTATGATCAACTATACAACAATCAAAATAGAGGTAATCATATTTGTGGAAAAGACAATAAATGTAAAAAGAATAATTGTGTAATTGATTTAAGTTATTAATAAAACTTAATAAATAAATAAATAAATAAATTATTATTTATTTTAAATCAATTTCAAAGCATGACCAGTGTTATTTTTGTTATTATTTTTTAATTGATTTGATTGTATTTTACGAATTGAAACTACAATTACTGATACCAAAACAACAGCACCAATGATTGATACCATTATATATAAAATCATTTGTTTGGTATTGTCTTTTTCTTTTTCTTGACTCGATGAATTATTAGTACTGCTATTATTATTATTACTACTACTATTATTACTTGGAGGAATGATAGAAATAATGTTGGATGATGAAAATGAATGTCCTTCAATTTCAACAAATAAATCTAATTGTTTAAGATGATAATTATTATTGTTGTTGTATAGAATATTCTTTAAATTAATAGTACATGATAAGGTTGTGAAATTAATTGATTGTACCAAACATTCTTGATCATTAATTAATACAATCGATTTTGTTGGTAATTCATCTTTATCATGACTAAATATTCCATTTAATGTAATCATGCTTGAATTTTGATAATTAGTATCCAATATATCATCCATATTAATTTCAATTGTATTTATAATATTTGGGTATGCTAAAAAAATAAAATAAATTAATAATTAATTATTTAATATATCTATTTTCTTTCTACATACATCTTGTTAAATTGTAATAGGTAATTGCATTGTTTCTGATATTTGATATTTGGAATGTAAGGTATTGATGTGATTGAGTGATGAGGAGGGGTGCAAAACATTGTAAGGTTTTATCGTTAGTGTACAAGATTGTACTTTTAATGCATGGAGTTCCACTAACAAGAATTTTATGATCTATAAAATGATTGTAGTTTAATGGTACACGTATGTATAGACCGTATGGCAGTTGAGAAGATATCATACCTCCATCAATATTGATAGTGGTAAATGATATTTTAAAAGTTGCTATAAAATTGGTTATAGTGTTGTTTCCAATGACTACATTCTCTTCCATAAGAGATGGATGGTTTCTATCATACTCTAAAACCTTGTTGGGGACAGTTGCGATCATCTCACCACCAGGTGTAACAAGTGGTAATGGGATACCATAATAATCTCTTTCAATCAGTGAATTTAAAAGATTATTACCTTCAATCCTTGTTTTAGTTCCCATATACCTTACTGATGATACTGTTACATCTAATGGTAAAATATAAAGATTAGTACATCTATGTATGTATCTATCTATGTATGTAATGTACATACTACAATCCATTGGATATTTTTGGTCCAAATCAAAGACCAAGTTTGTAAATTGATGATTATAACATTTAAAACATTCAGACACATAGGTGTTAAACATGATTTTTTTGAATACAGGTGGGTAAGTGACAGCAAAAGCAAGAGCACTGCACAACGAATCTGGTAATCTTTGCCAATATCTCAAGTTGGCAACGGGGATACTTTGTGCGATTATCACCCCGACAATGCCCTCTGTTGATCCATCTGGAAGAGGCTCCTTGACCCTTGTAGGTAATCCCCTAATAATAATAAAAAAGGTTGTATATTAAAATTAAATTATCATAGGTATCGAGATAATATATATATATATCTCTGCTTCTGCTACATACAAGACTATTATTGATGGGAAATAAATAGAATTTAAATTCTTTAGATGAGTCCATGAAAATGAGGTAGTAATATCAAACTCTTCAATTGTTTTGGTGTAGGGAAAGTCTGGTGGGAAATAATCGATAACATGAAAATCTAGTTGTAGTCTTTTCAGTGATGGTAGTCCTCTAGTCATCTCTAATATGTTTTTCGATCCGTCTCTAGGCATTGTACGCAATCTTAGAGTTTCCAAGAATGGAAGGTCAAGGTATTCAAAGTTTGGATCAGGTATCCCATTCTCTATAAATAATAAACCGATATTACTTGTTGTTCTTTTAAAATCATCAAATCACATTAGTAAAAGATTGTTTGATTGATAGATTGATTGATTGATTGATTGATTGATAGATTGATACTTACAACTCTAACAAATGTCCATCCAAAGACATCACTACAGACTCTAAACTATTCCGAATGGTGACATTAAGTTCCAACCCGTTCAATTGCCAAACAAGTCCATAGTTTTGTTGTATATATCTAATCGATGGTTCTAAATAGATAATATATATAAATAATATATTGAGGTATTGATTAGATTATATATTATATGTCTTGATAGATTAATTCTTTCAATCGAGGTAGTTAGTGTTAATCAAATCATACCTTCACTTTGAAGTATAGTAAAGTTTAGTATATAAGGATAAACGATCGATGATACCTGCTGTATGACGCAAAACAACAGCAATAATAGTGTTGTGAATAGTGGTGGTGTTGAATATATCCCCCTATCCATTGTTCACCCTTCTCTTTTGACCTATTCAATCGGTACCCAAACCAATGATCACCATTATCACTCGTTGCAACGATTCCTTTCAACCATTGGAACTCTCACTAAAGTTAATGAGAGAGATATTAATTTTTGGTATCGGGTAAACGCACAATCTAAAAGATGTGATCATATTTTGGAAAAGACAATCATTATTTTATTTAATTTAATTTAGATTTTAAATCAATTTCAAAGTTTGACATTTTAATCTCTTCATTGCTATTTATGTTGTTATTGTTAATCTTTTTTACTTGATTTGATTGTATTTTACGAACTGCAATTACTATTGCTGATACCAAAACAACAGCACCAACAATTGATACCATTATATATAAAACCATTTGTTTGGTATTGTCTTTTTCTTTTTCTTGTTCTTCTTCACTCGATGAATAATTATTACTGCTACTATTACTACTATCATTACTATTACTATTACTATTACTTGGAAGAATGATAGAAATAATGTTGGATGATGAAAATGAATGTCCTTCAATTTCAACAAATAAATCTAATTGTTTTAGATTATTATTGTTGTTGTTGTTGTTGTTGTTGGTTAAAAGAATATTCTTTAAATTAATAGTACATGACAAGCTCGTAAAATTAATTGATTGTACCAAACATTCTTGATCATTAATTAATACAATCGGTTCTATTGGTAATTCATCTTGATCATGACTAAATATTCCCTTTAATGCAATAGTTGAATTATTATAATTAGCATCCAATATATCATCCATATTAATTTCAATTGTATTATTAATATTTGGGTATGCTAAATAAATAATAAATAAAAAAGAATAAATTAATTAATCTATCTATCTATCTTTCTTTCTTTCTTTTTATACATACATCTAATTAAATTAAAATAGGTTACAGCAGTATTTTTAATATTCGATATTTGAAATGTTAGGTATAATTGAGGTTGAGAGATGAGGATTGGAACAAAACATTGTAAAATACTATCGGATTGATACAAGATGGTTTGTTTTAAACATGGCAAGCCATTGATAACTATTTTATGGTCTATCAAGTGATTGTAGTTTAATGGTACACGTATGTATAGACCGTACGGCAGTTGAGAAGATACCATACCTCCATCAATATTGATAGTGGTAAATGATATTTTAACAGTTGCTATAAAATTGGTTACAGTGTTGTTTCCAATGACCACATCCTCTTCAATAAGAGATGGATGGGTTCTATCATACTCTAAAACCTTGTTGGGAACAACTGGTGTCAGTTGTCCTCCAGGTGTAATAAATGGTAATGGTATATTGGAAAAGACATCCCTTTCAGCAACTGCATTTAAAAGGTTATTACCTTCAATCCTTACACTTTCACCATGATATCTTAATGATGAAACGGTTACATCTAAAAATATAAAATAATAAATAAAAGGATTAGTCTAACTATTTCATTCTATTTTGTGAGTTATTTAGCTATTTACATACCACAATCCATTGGATAGGTTCGGTATAATGGAAAGAGGAGGTTTGAAAATTGTCGATTATAACATTTAAAACATTCAGAAATATAGGAATTAAATACAGTCTCTTCCCAAACTGGGGTAACCCCTAGATTTAAATAGAGAGAACTACACAATGAATCTGGCAATCTTTGTAATTCCTCAACGTTGGAAGGCATGAATAATGATCCTACAATATCCTCTGCCACTCCATCTGGTAAAGGTTCTTTGGCAAAATGAGAAAATGACCTATAATAATAATAATAATATATAATAATATTAATAAATTTAATCATAAATAAATACAAGTTGGTTTGGTTTGTACATCATACCATTTATATAAAGAAGGATAATAAATAGAATTTAAATTCTTTGGATGTAGCCATGAATAGGATGTTTGCATCTCCAAGATTTCTAGTGTTTTGGTAAATGGGAACCCGTTTGGAATATAATTTATATAGTGGCCACCAATATCCAAAAGTTTTAGACTAGGTAGTCCTCTTGTCATTTCTAAAATGTTGTATGACCCATCTCGAGGAACTACACTAACATACAAGCTTTCTAGGAATGGTAGATCAAACCACTTAAAATTTGGGTCGGGTGGTCCATTATCTAAAAATGGCACTTTAACAAATTGTGGTGTGATGTAGGATAAGTGTCTATTGAAAAAAAAAAGATTATTAATCTATTGATCGAGCTAGCTTTCAGAAATAACTATGAATTTGACACTTACAACTCTTTCAAATATCCATCAGGTGTAGTTTTAATAAAATCACCATCTGGGATGGTTGCATTTAATACTAAATCGTTTAATTGCCAATCAAGACCATAGTTTTGAAGTAGATATCTAATTGATGGAACTTTTTTGTTTGAGATTAAAGTTAGGGTTAGAATTTTGTAATGATAAAATATAATTATAAATATAATTACTACATACCTTCTCTGTCATTGACAAGAAATATGAGTTGTAGAGAACCATCAACAAACAAAGTAAAAATATTTATAATGACAGCCAACACTAATACCACCAACAACAATATTGATGATGGAGGAGATAATTTCTTCCACATTTCTTTTTTTGGTTGATGGTCAAAGTGATTAAATCAAAGTGTTGTTCTGCATCTCCTTATATTGCATTTGTCATAAAAATAAATCTTGCCTTTGGAGATGAAAAAAAAAATTGATTGTTTTGTGGGCCAGATCTTTTTCCTTGCAACCCAATGACAACCATGGACATTCAATGATGAAGAAGATCTACTATCTTTTTGAATCTACAAACTGTTTGTTTGTTTGTTTGTTAGCTTTGGTGTTGTTGTGCTGATGTTTTAAATAATTGTAATAGTATTGGCTTCTTCTTCTTTTTTTGTTGTTGTTTATGTGATTGTATTTTATGAATTGAAAATACTATTACAGATACTAAAACTATGGCGCCAATAGTTGTGACGATTAAATAAATAATGAGTGGTGTTATATGATTTTCTTTTTGTTCTTGTTCCTCTTCACTATTATTATTACTACTATTACTATTATTATTACTATTACTTGGAGGAATCATGAAAATAATGTTAGATGATGAAAGTGAATGTCCATCTATTTCAACAAATAAATCTAATTGTTGTTTTAGATTAATATTATTGTTGTTGATTAAAAGAATATTCTTTAAATTAATTGTACATGATAAGGTTGTGAAATTAATTGATTGTACCAAACATTCTTGATCATTAATTAATACAATCGATTTTGTTGGTAATTCATCTCTATCATGACTAAATATTCCATTTAATGTAATCATGCTTGAATTTTGATAATTAGTATCCAATATATCATCCATATTAACTCCAATTGTATTATTTATATTTGGGTATGCTTAAAAAAATAAATTAATAATTAATAATTAATAATTAATATTGATTCATTTCAATATTTAATATCATACATCTTGTTAAATTGTAATAGGTAATTGCATTATTTCTGATATTTGATATTTGGAATGTAAGGTATTGATGTGATTGAGTGATGAGGAGGGGTGCAAAACATTGTAAGGTATTATCGTTAGTGTACAAGATTGTACTTTTAATGCATGGAGTCCCACTAACAAGTATTTTATGATCTATAAAATGATTGTAGTTTAATGGTACACGTATGTATAGACCGTATGGCAGTTGAGAAGATACCATACCTCCATCAATATTGATAGTGGTGAATGGTACCTTAACAGTTGCTATAAATTTGGTTACTGTATTGTTTCCAATGACTACGTTCTCTTCCACTAGAGATGGATGGGTTCTATCATACTCTAAAACCTTGTTGGGGACAGTTGCAGTCATCACTCCACCAGGTGTAACAAGTGGTAATGGTATACCAAAAAAATCTCTTTCAATCAGTGAATTTAAAAGATTATTACCTTCAATCCTTGTTTTAGTTCCCATATATCTTACTGATGATACTGTTACATCTAAAGAATAAAATACAAATAAAAGATTAGTAAATATCATCTCGTCTATGTATGCATCTATGTATGTATGTATGTAATGTACATACTACAATCCATTGGATATTTTTGGTCCAAATTAAATACCAAGTTTGTAAATTGATGATTATAACATTTAAAACATTTAGCTACATAGGATCTAAACATGATTTTTTTGTATGCAGGTGGGTAAGAGACATCAAAAGCAAGAGCACTGCACAACGAATCTGGTAATCTTTTCCAATTTCTATAGTTGATAGTGTCAATACCATATGATACAAATACCGCTACAATGTCTTCTGCCGAACCATCTGGAAGAGGTTCTTTGGCATCCGAAGGTAATCCCCTAATAAATAATAAATAATAATAATGGATGGTTGTTAAATATATATAAACATAATATATATATAATCATATTTGATACATACATCCCTACTAGTGATGGGAAATAAATAGAATTTAAATTCTTTAGATGAGTCCATGAAAATGAGGTAGTAATATCAAACTCTTCAATTGTTTTGGTGTAGGGAAAGTCTGGTGGGAAATAATCGATAACATGATTTTCTAGTTGTAGTCTTTTCAGTGATGGTAGTCCTCTAGTCATCTCTAATATGTTTTTCGATCCGTCTCTAGGTATTGTACGCAATCTTAGATTGTGCAATAATGGAAGGTCAAGGTATTCAAAGTTTGGATCAGGTATCCCATTCTCTATAAATACTGGACCGATATAACTTGTTGTTCTTTTAAAATCATCAAATCACATTAGTAAAAGATAGTTTGATTGAATAATAGATTGATTGATTGATTGATTGATTGATTGATTGATTGATTGATTGATTGATTAATTGATTGATTGATAGATTGATACTTACAACTCTAACAAATGTCCATCCAAAGACATCGCTACAGACTCTAAATAATTCCGAATGGTGACACTAAGTTCCAACCCGTTCAATTGCCAAACAAGTCCATAGTTTTGTTGTATATATCTAATCGATGGTTCTAAATAGATAATATATATTTGATAGTATTATTATGTGTTAGAAGAATATAATATAATATAATTGATTGAACTATCAATCGATCGATCGATCGATTAATCTATGATCACAAATCGTTCATTTAGTTTAATCAAATCATACCTTCGCTTTGAAGTATAGTAAAATTTAGTTTATAAGGATAAACGATCGATGATACCTGTATGATGCAAAGCGATAACAATAATAATAATAGTGTTGTGAATAGTGGTGGTGTTGAATATAATATCCCCTTCATTCTCTCTCTCTTTCTTGGTCACAAACAACAACAAAATAATGGGCCAATGATGATCGGTCGTTTCAAAACCACGTAAGCACAGGACACTCCCTCTTTTTTTTTCTTTGCAAAAATAGAATAAGGACCAGTCCTTCATTTGTTTTTTTTTGCATTAGATTATCTTTTTTTTTCTTTGTTTTGTTATTATTTAAATAATTAAACCATACTCCTTTCTTGTTTTTTATTACGATGATGTAAATGTAGATTTGAAGGTGATCTAGTTCGATTGTAAATAATATAGACCAACAATAAAACAATGACCATAAACTCTGAAAATAATATAGCCAATGATGAACTACTGGCTCCTTGTAAAATGGTTGATAGATTCTTTTGATTGGCATTGGTTGTTGTTGTTGTTGATGCCGTCGCTGTTGTTGATTCTTTGGTCTTTTCATTTTGTCTTTTCTTTTCTTTTGATGAAAGAGCGTCTGGTTCATAATCCTCTATTGCTTGAAATTCAGTGTCACGTGAATCAATATTATAGGATATGGCAAGTAAATCTTTACTTTGAAATTCATATCCATCCATTGAAACGATCAACAATGCTTTGCCTGGTTGTAACTTTTGTTCCGTTTCTACATCCGATGCCAGTCTACACCTAATCTCATTCTCTGACATTTTAATCAGTGTACAACAAACATAATTAACTTGAATCGTCAATGACTTTGGAGTTCTATCTCCAAAATGACCATATAATTCTAATATCCCTCCTTTTGGTGAAATATGATTTGTTACTGTTACAATTGGATATTCTAAAAAAATAGAAAAGAAAAAGAAAAAGAAAAAGAAAAAGAATTAATAAATTATTCTTAAATTCAATTACATTTTAATTGTTTGTATATATTTATATTTATATTATACAGTACCCAAAGTAAAAGTTGAAATAAAAGTTGAAGATTCATAATCATTTAAAACTGTAATATTAAATTGCTCACCACCAGTTGGAAGGATGGGTACTCTACATGAAAGGATACCTGGTTTTAAAGGGGGTTGGAGGTCTGAGCAAATGGGTTGACCATCAAATAAGAATGTATGTTTGAGATTTGGATTGAAAAAGACTTGCATTTCAACAGAGATTGAAAATGATTCTTGTCTAGTGACTACATCGTCCAATGATATCTTGTAGAGTGGTACTGATATCTTTAGACCTTTTGACCCAGAGAGAAAGAGTTGGAGTGTGTCTCGATTGGCCGATAGCGATGCCAAAGGATGGTCTCCTTCACTAATCGATGCTGCAAATTTGGGGGATAGTGGGTTGACACCATATTCGAGAATAGAGTTTGGTACAATAGCAGTCAAGAGATAATCAACGTCACCTTGAACTGCCCAACCTAGATTAGTACCATAAATGGTGATCTTGGAGGCTGTGTATCGAATACCAGTCACTGAAATGATCGATGGACAATCCAGCAATGGTGGTATAACAGGTTGTGGGTGTATATGTACAGGTGCAATATTGAGATAACACAGAAAACAATTGGCAACATAACCACTTGTCAAACCCGGATAATATGATTGCACCGACAATGAACTAACATTACACAATGAATCAGGTGCCAAATTACTACCAGATTTAACATTGACCGTTATTTTTGATGTCATTCCTCTTCCAAAATCGTTTGGTATTGATGATATTATTGAAAATTCACTAATATATCAAATAAAGATTAATAAATAAAGAATAATCATTTTAATATATTGTATTTGAATTATTACTTACAAATCTTTTAATTTTGGATAAAAGGTAGAATTAAAATTAGTAATTTCTTTTGCTGCATTATTTGTAAATCGACTATAATATAAATAAATAAATAATTGTTAATATTATTATTATTATTAAGTTGAGTTGTATTGGTATTAAATTATGTTTACATACAAAACTTCTAAAGATTTTGATTCAAAAGGGAATTTATCAGGGATGATTGTTAATCTCATTTGATTTCTAATTCTTAGGTCAACAAGATATGGCATATTTTGGAGAAGTGATAATATATTTTTACTTGGTTCTAGAAAGGGATCGGTATATAAATAGAATCTTTCCAAATCTGGGAAATACAACTCTGTTATCGTTGTATCAATATTATCTTGAAATATTTGATTATTTTCTTCATATTCACTTGAGAGAGAGAGAGAGAGAAATTAATATTATTATTATTTGTTACCTATATATTACTGACTGATCTCTGTGATACATACATTCGAACGACTCGATAGAAACCTCTAACAAATTGACATGAAAAATAAGGAAAGTGTAGATTATTACAAGCCGATGAATCCAATGGTGCACCCATACCATATTGATTAATTACCCATTTAAGAGAATCCACTTTGGTTGTTTGTTGAGTAATAAAAGATAAATATATATGATGAGTAAATGTGATTTCTTTCTTTCTCTCTCTCTTTTGCAGATGTAGTGTTTCTTCCACTATGTCTTTTACTTACATTCTCTTTGATCTAATACGTTGGCATTGGTTGTATATTGTACTAATAAATTACTGTACAATACTATTATAAATATTAAAATGTATATGACCCGATTACAATCTTTTGTGATTGTGATTGTTGTTGTTGATATTGATTTGTTATTATTGTTAGTATATAATGAAGAAGATGATGATGATGATGATGAAGAAGGTGAAGACAAGGAAAACTTTGAACACTTCTTAGTCTTCCTTGTCGTCGTCGTTGTTGTATTGTTGCTAGTACTGTAATGACATTGTAGTGGTGATGATGATGATGATAATGATGGTAATGATGATGAAGATACTTGTGGTATATGCCTACAAGTCATACTACTTTAGTATTATATATATATGTATGTATATGTATGTATATCGCTTATAATCTCTATATATTACAACTACTCTCTATTATCATTATGCCCTGTAATATATATGTTATCTGATTGACTATATCTGTCTGTCTCTCTCTGTGTTTGATTAATAATAGTTGGTTCGTAGCTGATTGTTGATTACGAAAACTTTGTCCTTTCAAGATTTTTTCGAATCGTTAAAGTAACAAAATATGGTCTTTTAATTAATTATAACTATAATATTGTTATTGAATGAAAGAAAAATAGAATGATTCATTGCGTTGAGAAGAATGCATGTCTACATTCACCTACATTGAGCTTGTTTCTTCAAGCGGTGCGGCATAGGTTATCTTTAGATCTTCCCTCCTTGTTTGTGTTAACCAGTTGCCCTTGACACGTAGCGTTATTTGCCTACGTTGGCAATTGCGCCCCTTTTTTTTGTTTTCAATGATCTGCCCAAGAAAAGCCTGCAAAGGGGAAGAAGACCCCGTGCTCCTGCGGTGAAACCCCAAAATTCAAAAAGGGAATGGGAGGGATCTTCCCTTTTCATTCGTCGATCTCTGTTTGCTGACTGGACTGGGAAATTCAACCTTCTTTTTTTGAAGTTGTCCTATCATGATTGTTTTCGGGTTATTGTTGGATTTTATTAATTTGTTGTTGTTGGGTTGGTCGTGTATGATTGCGTGGGTAGGGCTGGTAGATTATTATTATAGATTATTTGGAAGGATCTTTTTTCCAACCCCATTTAGGTAGACCGATATTTGAAAGGTTTGGTAGATTGGGAGCTTCGATACCCGATGACTTTGAACTGGCACGTTTCATTTGATTTCGCATGTCTTCTTTGATCATGGTCTCAATCTCGCTGATCATCGTGAGAACCATAGACTTGAAGGAGCTGTCGTGTAGAGGTGCATCGTTTAACAGTAGCTTGAGTGTTGGTAGGATCTGTTCTTGTAGGAATTCCTTTGGGAATGCTTGTGTCGATACAAACGACCGTACACAATCAAATAATTGTTGTGACATTTCCTTTCTATTATCATGTGATGGATTATGATTATTCTTTCTAACAAATTCTATTATTTTTGGTAATACAACTAAACAACATAAAAAACAAATAATAATTAATAAATAATAATTAATAAATAAATAATACTATTCATTGTTTTACTTACAAGAATCTCTAAATCTTGGTTTTACAATTGGAATGATTGAAGTCATTAATTTTACAAATTCAACTTCCAACATGTGATGTTTATCCTCTAGAATCCTTTCAATTGCAATGGCAATCTTTTCCAGTACATTGTCGTCGGTCACTTGAGAAAGTGCCATTGAAAGAGCACCAATACACACAAATCTAACTGGTCTATCTGGATCTGTACTCATTGTTACCAATGATGGTATAATTGAATTTGATATTTGTTGTGGTGTAAACAAGTGAATCTAAATTTAAAAGTATAAATAATTAATTAAAAGAAATAAATAAATAAATTAATATTCTTTTTCTTTTTCTATTTTCTTTTTTTTTTTTTTTTTACATACAATAACTTTATAAAGATTTAAAATACAAGAACGAACTTGATTGGATGGATTGGCGGTAAGAGTAGCCAAAGCTTCACTGACTTCTTTCTTTCGGTCGACATTGTTGGAACAGAGTAGTTCGATAGTTTTGACAAGTGCTGGAATACTCGAGTGATCCCATCCCTTTTCTTCCATTGATATTTGTACGATGAGGTCAACTAGGAAACTAGACAATTCAGACGACTCTAGTGAATGTAAAACACCTGCTGTAAACAATGATAATAGACGATACTTTTTAATTGGAATGTTGGGTGACCCGGCAGATGCAGTAATCGCACCAGAGCTTTTACTATTATTATTGGATGAGGATAGATCATCACGTTGAAACTCTCTATAAAATGATGTTTTTAGAATACGTTTGGTAAAGATTGGTCCAAACGTACTACTAAATAGATACAATGATCTAGAAAACATTGAGATTAACTTGGTGTTGCCTACTGGGATACAGTAGAGAATACGCACCAACTTGCCAACAAAATCATTTGCAATCCATTCAAGTGATGTCCATCCAGACATGGACAAATCATTTGATACCAATGTCAATAGATACTGATCCATTTGTGCATTGAGTTTGGTTACTTCTGGTGATCCCAATATTGATATTCTAATCGTTGCGTTAATTGATGAAGTTGTTTGATTTGAATTATTTGTTGATTGAGTTGTAGCCGAAGAAGAAGAAGACGAAGATGAAGATGCTTCTTGATTATTATTATTTGAAGAAGTAGATGGTTTATCAGATGATGTCGAGGTAGAAGATTTATATTGATATTGATAAATAGCTTCTTGTTTATCACATTCACCTTCAATTGATTTTGCATCCTTTTCATTGATAAATGGTGATGATGAAATGATAGATTGATGGATTCTTGGTATGATATCATTAAAACAATTTAATAGGTTTTCAATCTTGAGTACATCTTGTTCTGGTATTTTATATTCTTCTCTTTGATTTGAATATTTCTAAAATAATAAATTTAATTAATTAAATATATATATATCTATTTCTTTTTCTTCTTTTTCATTTCTCTTTTTCATTTCTACTTACAACTACAGTTGATAACATTTCAGATAAAAGGAATTGAATTAATTTTGTATTTAATGATTCCAAGAGATCAGTCCAATTTGCAAGAGATGGTAAAAAGAAGTTACGGGCGGCATGTGAGACGGTTTGGTCGTCGTCGTAGAGGAGTGCTTTGAACGACTCCTCAACTTGGTTGTACTTGTCATCAGTCTCAAAGAAATTGATGAGGAGGGCAAAGTTTTTGGCGACGGCTGATCGGACGAGTGCCGACTTGTCCTGGCCGAGTTGCTGGAGAATCGAGAGAATGAGCGAGAGTCGCAACTCGGCACTGGCAAATTGTGCGAGTGATCCACAGCTGTCGGCGACCAACACACGACGCTCTGGATACTTTTCAGTGAGTTGTTCCCAGCATTGTGCTAATATTTCAGTCTCTGTACGAAGGGGACCGACCATAGACGCCAATGCCATACATCCCTTCATAATGACGTGTCGTTGGAACTCGTCGGGCTTTTTAGTGAGGTTAAACAACATCTTGGTGAGTGCGAATCGCGTCGTCTCGTCTGGGTGGTTCGAAATGATGACGAGGATCAGTGGAATGAGCTCTTCACGTCGATTGGGATACATGGCGGGTAGAATGTGTGGCAGCCAGTCTGATATCAGACACACCATACGTATGGCATTGTCGCCGTCGACCAACTTGAGTTGCTCAACCTCTTCGGCAATACGTACCGACGCATCACTCTCATCGTCGTTGCTGACGATACTAAATGCAACGGTCTGACGTCGTTTCTCGACCAATCCTCTAAACGTCTTTCTCATGACCGACAATTTATCAATCATCTGTTGTCTCTGTTCACGTGCCACATCTTGTTGTTTCTTTTTGTTTGTATTTGAGTCACTCATCGTTATACTCTTTGTACCAGTTGTCGTAGTCGTCGATGTCAATGTTGCACTTGACAAAGGTGGAGACATCATGGTCATACCAGATGTCGATGCACCCAATGCATTTCGTTGTTTAATATCTTCCATTCTCTTTTCATAGTCTTTTAGTACTGTCAACAAGTCGTCCTTTTCCTTTTGCAGTGTCTGCACCTTCTTTTTCGATTCTCTCCAGTTGTTTTCATTCTCGGTCAGCTCCTTTTTAAGCTTTGTAATCTCTCCCATCGTCTTGGTCAGTACTCCCTGTACTCCCGAATCACCACTTTCAAAAAAGTATCTATAAATCGTCAACAATGCAGGCGGTTCAGCTTGATTCAATCCCAAATCATTCCATGATCTACTATCATCTTGATTCTTCAAAAATAAATAAACATAAATATATTAGTATCTCTCTTATTATTATTTATAATTAATTTAATAGTTTTACATACCTCTTCAGAAAAAGAGACAGCGGTGAATGAATAACCATTAGCAATTAAATAATTCTTAAAGAGATGATTGAGAATCTTCTTTTCATGTGGTTTGATCTTTTCCTTTGCTCTACTATCCAATGAACTCTTGTCTTCTTTGTTCATATTTTGATATGCTTGTTGTGATTGTTGTGAATGTGGATCATTGTTATTGTCAATAAGTCCATTATTACCATTCTTTGATGATTGTTTTGGTGATGTTGATTGTTGTCCATTATTATTATTACTCCCATTATTACTACTACTGTTATTATACTGTTGTTGTTTCTTTAATTGATCTTTTAATTTAATAATTTCTTCTCTTGATTGTCTTAATTCATATTCTAGTAATGATATCTTTTCATCTTTTGGTTTATCATTGATTGATGATTGACCTGTTTTCTTTCGATCTAAATAAAATAAATATATTAATTACTTTCTGTTATATATATATATATATATTAGTATTTATACCTCTAACTATTCTAATTGGATCTTGTTGATTATCAGTATTAAAGTTTGATTGAAAGTAATTCTTTAACGATTCAATCTCTGTTCCATCATCTTCTAATAGTTCCTGATAAAACTCTAATGCTGTAAGATAGTATCCTTTCGATAGCAAGAATGATGCTATATCTTCTTTCATTTCATTATCTCTATCTCTCGATAACTTTTGAATAAATTAATGAAAGACAATTTAATATCTTTCTTCAAGCAAGCTGACATCTGAGTTCCAAAAAATGAAGGTCGACCCATTTTCTTTTTTTCGCTGAATTTCAACTCTCTCAGTATTTCATCGTGATAAAGGATTGTACAAATAATAATATAAATACAAATACAAACTATTTAGTATTTAAATAAGATATACATTTTATTGGATATATTATAATATATATTATATGGTGATTAATTAATTAACCAATAGTGACCATTTGAATCCTACCCTTATCCATTCGAATAGAGTACTTTCTTTTGATTATATAAACAACTGCCAATGTGGCAATGAGGAGTACTGCAGCACCACCAATTGCAATACCAATAATATGTGCAGTAGTCAATCCACTAGATGAACTACACTCATCTTTTGCATCAATTAAATAAGAGAAATCTAAAATATATATAATAAATGAATAAATATTAATTAATATAAATAGTTGATTTGAAATATTAATATTTATATTTACCAGGATCTAAATAAATTTGATTTGAATAATTTGGAATATTTAAAGCTACAAGAGTACTAGTACTACTCTTATTATCATTTTCTAATAGTGAATTGGATACTCTAACGATACGATAATCAACAATACCAGTATTGATAAACCGACCATATAAAACACGATCTTCAATCTTGAATTTAATCCAATTTAAAGAGTTCTTGTCAGTTGGATTGCTAGACGAGTCTGATCCAAAGTCGATCGATGTACCACATTCGTTGTCACCGCCAAGTGACTCTACATTGATTGATAGAATCAATTGAAGAGTATTTAATGCATTTTCAAATTGATAAGTATCCATTGCAATAAAATATTTGACAGTACCAGGTTGCATGGTAAGATTCTGATTGGCAAATCCAACTACTCCCAAATCATTAAATTGTTCAATGACGATGGATAACTTGGTCTTTCGATCTGGTGTAATGACTGTAGTGTACTGGTTGATCTTAGAGTCACCACTAAATGTATTGTACATGGCTGGTGGTGCACCAGTAGAGTTTGATGCTGATTGATTGGTCCAAGTCCAGTTCCACCCGTCTGTGAATTGGTAGTTGTGAATGATGGTGCCGTCGAGACCGAGTTCTCTGACACCTACAATCGAGATGATACTCTTGAGCTTTTTGTCCTCTTGACTGGTTGTTTCGGGTGATGTCTCTGATACGTTGGTTGGTACCTTGATCACCACCTTGTCACACAGTGTTCCCGAGAAGCCAAGGTTGCATACACATCCATTGTTTGTACAATTACCGTTATTCGAGCATCCCGATTGATAGCATGCGTGTTGGTTGGTACCATTCCCATTTCCATTGCCTGGATCGCTGCCTCCGCCACCTGTAGAAGGTGGAGTATAGACAGGTGCAACGGTGGGGATGACAACCTTGTTGGACAAGATGCCATTCACAGCTGCAAAGCATGTGATGGTTGGTGGGAGGGGTAGTGTTACTGTCGGTCCGTTGGCCAAGGTGAAAGTAACAGTCGACGCTGTCACTGCTGAATGAACCAATGTTTGACTACCAACCAGACAATTACCAACAATTATCCCTGCTCCCAATGTCTTTAGATGAAGTGTTAGATTGAATCCACCGTTATTGTATACAATTGAAGGGTAGTATGAGGTAACCAATGGTTGTGGGAGGGTAGTATCACGTGGAACCAATTCAGATTGGATATACGATCCTGATCGCATCATGACATTGGTTGCACCAAACACAGACACTGCAAATGGATAGCTAGATGTCGCATCCATCGAATGTCCAAATCCAAATGGGATGTTAAAGGTGGCAGAGTAGTATGCTATAGTCTTGCTCGAACTAGTTGACATGATGGTTGGTATTTGAAGATGAGCACCGTGCAAACTCTGAATAAACAAGTAAGGGGTGTGACGATACGATATACCAGTGGTATCATTAACTGTAAACGACACGGTATAGTTTAGTGCCGGACGGTATGCATAGAATACAGTATCTGACAAGACAAAGTTGGATATGAGAGGGGTGGTGAGAGGTGGAACGACAGTAGGTGGTGTACAAGTAAACACACCTCGGAGACTGTTTGTTGTGATACCTTCTAGAGGATTGATATAGTTGAGATTGGGTTGTTCGACGAGTGGTGTACCAATGGGAAGGTTATAGGTTGGTGACATGCCATAATTGTACGACCTATCCTTTGTCATGGCCGAACTCATCGTATAGATTTCATCCAAGCATCTAGTTGTATACTTGATCGAATAAGTTCCAATATATGCATCTCCAACCGTCACATTAACAGGTCTCAAAACAAATGTACGTGGTATCCAATCCTTATTCGATGTAATATTAATCACTGCATAATCCAATCCATTTGGTTGATCCTTTATAGTAACCAACCATTCTACATCCAAATCTAATCCATTTTGAGTAAATCCAACCGATACATTTGTTATCATTGGTGGATATAAATCTCCGTCTAAATAAATCAATTTAATTATTAATTAATATATATATATTAATTATTATAATAATTCTATTCTATATTTGATACATACAATTTGAAATAACATAAAGAGAAGCATTTTGAGGGAATTGAGATAAGAAATTTGTGAAATGAATATCAGGGAAACTTTTAATTGTATACTTTAAATAACCTTGATAGATATTCATGGGGACAATGAAATCGATTTGGAATAGTTGGAGGTCTGGATTCCACAACCCTTCAAACGATAGTTCTTGTGAAGATCGTGCCGTTCTAAATGATTTGATTGATAAAACTGGACGAACTTGGCTTAGTTGAATACCGGGTTTCTCTACCACCTTGAACCAAAGTGTATTCTTTACCTCTACATTGGTGACATCCACCGACGAATATTTAAATTGAAAGTAGGTGAAATCCTCTGCCAACCACAACATATCGAGTGGTGGCAATGCGAATCGGTTGAATGAACCAGTGGCGGATGGCAAAAAGGTACCTACTGCAAATAGTCCTTGGTTGAGTGCTTGATCAACAGCTACACACTTGAAACTAGACAATACAAAATCTTTGTATTTACCATCTAGATCCAAGTATCCTTGCCATACACCATTGTAAATACTACCAGATACCAAATTTGATTCATCAAGTACAACTGCTGCAATCGGGTTGGATTGAACAATAACAAATCCACATGTAATTCCCAATACTCCCGACTCTTCATCCGATGCTTCTACACTAATCCAAATTCTATTATTTGATATTAATTTAATATTGGTTGATGATATTAATGGTTTATTTGCTTCAACTGTAACTAAATTTAAATAAATAAATTAAAAAAGAAATTAAATAATATATTAAATATATTATATATGTTATATATGTTTGATTGTTTGATTGATTAATATTATACATACCAGTTGGAGTTAGGGTGAATGTTGATAATTGTTGTTTATAATCGGTTGCAGAGAGTTGTGAAAGTTGAAAGGTTTCAGAGGATGAAGAGTAATATTTTGGGAGTAGGAAACGAACGTTCCAATTATTGAATGATATGTCTCCGTTGGTGATACCGTAGGGGACGGGTGGCGCAACGGCGTATGAGAATCGTGATGCAAAGTTTGATGTAAAGTAGATTGGGACGGGTACGAGTGAAGATATGTAGAATGTAAGTTGGAGTAATAATGGGTCGGCTGTCGATCCTTGCCCGGGGATTATAGATCCTACTTGGAGTGTGTTGGTGGTCTTGACAATGGTGGCTGAAATGTCACTTTGGTTAGTCGATGTATGAGCGTTGACAAAAATGAGGGGACTGGCACCAGCCGACAGAGACTGGGTGATTGGGTCGACTTGAAGATACGTGGTTGACAACTTGACAGGATTCCCAAGCACTGGGAACGACAATACTTTAAACGCGTCAACTGGATACGGTTCGATACCCGACGGTATGGTACATACCAACATTTGTGATCCGTTGACGTTGACTCCTCCACGTACCGTCACGAGTGATGTTGTGTGTGTTACAAACCCGTTGAATGCTTTTGGCTCTTGTCTCACCATTACACGTGTGTAGTCTTGGCCTGCTACAAACGTCGATGTCGTAGACACTGCTGATGGCAGGGTAGGTAGAGTAAAGGTGGTTCTGACGGTTGTCGGAGCAAACAGATTCCACACTGTCACAACTACCGGTACTGTGTAATCGCACAAACCCGCCTTGCTGGCATCGATCAATGCTGACACCACAAAAGTATAAGTATGTGTATCGAATCGCGTCGATCCCTTGGTCACATTGGGTCCAATCGAAAACACGTAGCAATTGGGTTGGTTCATCGACAGTTGGTACGGTGTCAAGTTGGTATTCTGTCCTTTCAATGTCCGACTATACCTATCACCTTTAAAACTAACAATAATCGATGTTAGATTTGAATAGGCACTTAATAATGTTGGTTGTTGGTATTGTGGTACTAAACAAATAAATAGAGAATACAACTAAATTAATATCACGTATATATACACTATCTACTATACTACTTACAAGCACAATCTAAAGTGACAGTCAAGTCAAAAGGAGTGTCACCTCCAACACCCGATGCAAAGGTGACTGTGTAATCTTGTGGACCGTCAGCTGGAGGATACATGAATAAAAGGTCAACGTCACACTGAACTCCGACCGATCCTACAGCCCTGCACGACTGTGCACCCGAGCTAGAGACGACATCTGACATGACCGACATGGGTGCAACCGATCCAAATGTCTGAGCCTTATAGGTCGAATAACAATTCTGACCATCGAATGCAGGTGCGCCATAAATATCAGCTGGTAATACATATACCTGCGCAGTCAACAATGATGTTATCGAAGTTACTACTGTAACATAAAGTAGTAGTAGTACAAAAGTACAAATAAATAAAATATTAACACCCCTTTTTGACAGTAACATGATAGTCGGCGTTTTATAAAGGTGAGAGCGTGAATATGTGTATGTTTATAGATAAAAGTACATTTTAAGACTACTGATATTTATACTAACTATACAACAAAAGGGTTGTTTGATGATGGAGCATTGGGGCATTGAGAGATTGGATAGATGTTTATTTTTGAGCATACCCCAAGATATTTACAGAGCACGAAGATTGCTCTTTTTCTGCAGGGGTGGTTGAAAATTCAAATTACTTTTTTCTCCTATGATCCTTGATCTTGGACACCTTCTCAGTTCTTTTTGACTGTACATTGTCGAGTGAAATTTCGAGTTATTGTATTGGTTTAAGAAAGACTGTTTCATTCAACGAAATGAAAGGTAATCAATCTCAAGTAAAAGTATCAGTCTTGTCTGTCTCTCTATACCAACAAAGGATTACATCATGAAGCAAAGCAATCAATCAATCGATTACAAACGACTATTACTATTCTTTAGACAAGTAGACAAGACAATCAAAACATGGAATGAGCAAGCATGCTATCTATTTCTATTTATAGTTGAAAGGTTACACGTAAGCATTCATTCATTCATTCATTCACTCCAATTACTCAAAAAGAAGTATAATATTATTCGAATGGTTGAAAGAGGCTCTAAAAATATGTGATGAACAAGTTGTTAGAAAATTATTTATTTATTTGATAAGAGCGGTCATGAAATGGATCATTTTCTGTTTTTGGAAATAGTTGTTGAAAAATAATCAGATTATCATCAGTGATTTGGTTGTTGACTTGACTTACAAATCGGTACTCGAAACCACTCGATACCTCTTGGATAAAGGAATATAGGTGTTTGTATGAGTTTTGGTATGGAACTGTTGGGGTATTCATTGTCGACGATCCACTTGATGGTCGATAAATAGCCATCTTCTCAAAGTGTGTTGAATCGGTGGTGCATTTGAATCCACCAGGTAAAGGTGAGTTAAGCCATTTGTATACACCAGTTTTGCCGATGAAATCATTTGATGAGCAACAGATGTTAATTCACTTTCAAATCGGTCCCATAGGTATTGAAGGACTGATAGACCACGATGAATGGCCGCCGATTTAAAAATTAATCGTAGTTGTGCAAAGACCTCTTCGCTAAAGTGTTGGATTAGCCAATCGAGTGTCTGAACACAAAGATGGTCGTTGACACTTGCCTGCTCGATCAAATCAGTCAATTGCCACCCGTTGCTAAAAATAGTGTCCATTTGAATCAGAGGTAATAGGTAGTCTGTCAAATCTAACCGCCCCAATCGAATGGCATCTTGAAAGAGTTGGTTGTAGTCGGGGTTTTCCATTCTAGTCAACATGAATTGAATCGTATGAAGAGATGGGAGTTGATTGTTAGGACATACATCAATCTTTTTAAGGTTGGATAGTATGTGTGGATGATCTGCATCAATCATTTCAATCGAATCTATCAAGTCCATTGGAATTTGAGTAGGTATTCCACAGAAGTATCATCCCTTCTATTGCGATACACGTATCCAAGCATATCACCGTTTCTAACCTTGGGAATGAAAGATATCATTAAAGGTAAACCAACACCAAATCTAGTCTTGACAATCTCCAATATCTCCCGTTGACCATGTTGCAATGCTCTTTTGACAATATCTGGCAAATCGAATTCACTTTGAAATGATGGTATATAATCAACCAATACTTTGAATAAATCGGGTCGATTTTGAGAAATAGTGTAGCGAATACTTTTCGATAAACATACTTGATTTCTTTTTTTCATCAAACATACATATCTATATTTCCATTTTCAATTGCCTATAAGATTAGATTTTAAAATTATTAATTGAAATTAGTACATACTATGATTATTTGTATGCATCATATAATTTGATATCTTTTGTTTTTTTATTTATTTTACATACCATTTGAATTGCTGATCGAGTAGTTTGTGATCCGATAATGGTTAAGAATTCGACAATATGGAGGTGACCGTTAGCTGCTATCTCCAATACTGTCGATGCTGGTGGTGGTGGTGGTGGTGGTGTTTGAACACTCTTGCTCTTTTGTGGATTCGTTTCAATTAAATGTTTGAGCATCTCCAAGTTTCCAGCCGATGTAGCTTCACACATCATATGTTCGAAATTCAATAGACCAATTCCATGATTTTGTTGAATGGTTTTGAAAAGATCTATATCTCCATATTCCACTACATTATCGATTAATCTTGTCAAATGTGCCTTGAACTTTTGAGACATCAAATATTGTTCGTCAGTCAAAGGTGTCTCTTTCTGAGAGGATATATTGGAGGCGAGGTATCGATACACTCGAGCTTGTAGATTAGATGATTGTAATGTGATGGTGGTTGGCCAGGTATCAGCGAAATTTGGAAACGTTTCAAATGGTAGATAGCCGATGATTTCATCTCGATTGATTAGATATTCCTCGTCTTTGATAGCATCTTTAATAACTTGAAACAAGCTATCATTAACTTTATCTTTTGATTGATCAGCTGCCCATTTGAATATTTTAAATTGATTATAGTATACAGCATACCATATGATTGAATGAGATATTTCTGGTAATCTCGTTGACAACGTATTCCAAATCTCTTGAGTATAGTCAAAGTGTCCATCTCTAACTACACATTTGATAACAGTCACCAAATGAGGAGTATATGGGATACTATTATCTTTATCACTAGTCCAACGATACTTTGAATAGACCACTTGCTCTTGATATTCAACCACCTTTTTCTTCAATCAGCAGTTGATTGGTATAGTGTATTTTGCACAACTCTTTCAAGTGACTGAATAAACATCTTCTTGTAATTATATTTCTCAACAATCGTGAAAATAAATACTATGATTATTACTATTATTATTATTATTATTATTATTATTATTATTATTATTATTATTATTATTATTATTATTATTATTATGATTCCTATTCATTGTTGTGAGCAATTATTTCTAATGATTTCATCGTCCGAGAGACGAGTCTGCCTTTAGAAAAAAATAATGGCGCCAAAATATAAGAAGAGCACTAAAAGGTTTGAGAATAGTTTTAGTTGAACAAACTATTCTCATCATTTGATACACTTATAATTGAGTGCACAACAAATAGTATTAGTAAGTAGATAGAAAACAACATTACAGTCTACAAATACATACGATCATCAAACTAATCTTCCTTGTTTTTTTTTTGCATAGTATCAACTGTAGTTAGTTAGCTATTAATTAATATTATATGAAGTAATCTACTTTTAAATTTTGATCAAAGATGTGATTGATCAATCACGTGTTGCATACATAATATATTATACATATATACATACATACACACACCTTTCCTTTTTCGAGTTAAACATCATCACCCCCTCCCCTCCTATTACAGATAACTCTTTTAATATTTGTACAACAATAATGTTATTTTATTGATTTATTATATAAATACACAACATACGAGCATATTGTGTAAATACAAACAAGAAAAGAAATGACAATCAAACAAGCAATCAGAGGAAAGCAAGTATTGGTTGCAGGAGAAGAAACATTTAGAGAATGTACTCTATTGATTGATCAAGATGGAGTGGTTTCAGAGATCAAAGAATACCAATATGCACTTCCGGATGGTGTCGAGTTGATCAGAGACTGTGCCGATAATGAAGTTTTGATGGGTGCATTGGTCAACATCCACGTTCAAGTCACCGATAGTTTACATTTAGCAACTCATACTGCTGTTGCCGCCGCTGGAGGTGTCACCACCATCATTTACAAGTCTCTCACCACGGCGTCGTTTGATCATTTGTCAATGGAGTGCTATGTGGATGTCGGTACGCTCTACAAATCAGAGATTAATATTAATGACCGTGTCAATGTGGATAAGAAGAAACTCGAGAGCGACGTCGACGTCGACTTTATCAAGGAACCAGGCAGCATCTCTTCGCTGCAGTACGGCCTCAGCATCGTATGGACCGAGTACAAGAAGCGGGGAATCCCTAACCCAATGTACCACCTGACTGAATGTATGTGTGACGCTCCTGCCCGGCTCGCTAACCTCAATGACAAAAAGGGATCGATTGCAGTTGGTCGTGATGCCGACTTTGTAGTCTTTGATCCCGACCAGTCATTCACCTTTAAAGATGAAGGCAACGTGGTGGGAGGGTCCGCCACCCTCACTGGTGTCATCCTCGAAACTATCCTCCGAGGCCAGACTATTGACAATGTCATGACCGGTGGACTCACCACCAAGCCACACGGTGAGTGCATCGTCCCCACCAACATCCACAGCAACCCTTCCTACCCATCACCCTATCTTCCTCCAATCACCCGACTCAACCAGATGGGTCGCGACAACTTTTTCAATGTCGTCCATCTACTCTTTGAGACTGCACCACCTCTCGCCAACGCTCTCTATGACGCACGTCCATTCTCGAGTTACAACAACCTTATCGATGTGGCCGATACCATCATACAAAAGTGTTCCGACCAAGACAAGATACTCATCATCAATGCACATCCACGTATTGGGGTCAATCCCGCAGCCACCAAGACAAGTCAATCGACACCACTCTCGACACTATCGTTCCGTGAACAAGGTTGTCACAGCGAACAAATCAACGACGAGGTTCAAAGAGTCTACCAATCATTGCAACAACTAAACGAACAATATGAAAAAAAGAATGGATTCAAGTTTGTTGTATTTGTTGCTGGTCGTCCAAAATCAGAAATTGTAAAAGTACTCGAACAACGTCTCCAAAATAATACCATTGATGAATTGAGAATTGGTCTTACAGATATGACTGCTATTGCAAGAGACAGATTAAAAAAATTGGTCAAAATAAAATAAAACAATTAAATGTAGGTATATAATAAATTAATTAATTAATTTATTATATCAATTTATAATTTATTATTGCAAGGTTGATAATAAATCTGTGATGAATTCAAAAGACTGCAGCTTCACCTTGATTGTTATAAAATTTAAAATGTTTGTAAATAAGACTTTGTAACTTCAATCCGATGGGCAAAATTTTTTTCTTCTCTTGTCATGATCATCAGTCTTCTAACTTCACACACAACTTATTATCAAGTCCAAAAGATGGAATCATTGTCAACAGTAAAGATTGATGGTCAATATGTATCACTATCGAAATACATTCAATCTATGATCATTGACAAGGTAGTTCATGGTCATGATTTCAAAGATCGTCAATATTATGATGGGTTTAGATCAATAACACCACAAGAAATATTATATCTAATGATACATACAAGACCTCTAGAGAAACAAAACAAGTTTATTATATTCAAACAACTTGGTAGTATTGCATTAGTATCGAAATGGTGGATGAAAGTAGTACAACAAATCGTAACATCTACACCATCAAGCATAAAGATAGTTGGTCTGTTTAAAGAATCCTATTTTACAGATACTTCTTCATCCTCTTCAATCACCTATCTTAAATGGAAGATAATCAATGATTATCGTACATCACCAAACTATAAAGAGTTTGATTATTCAAGATTACCTCTTTTACTACCAAACCTAAAGTCAATCGATATTGTTGGAATTGATTTAAACAAGAAAGTTACTCAAGCAATTGTACAAGTTATCAATCTATTCCCACACATTCAAGTCAATTTGGATATCACGGTTCATAATGGTGGCGGTTTAAAATGGCCTGATAATATCTATTTTCAGGGACTTGTACCAAAAGTAGTCATAACACACTCCAACAATCTTTACTACTATGAAGATATATACAATATCGAGTACAGTATTAAAATGCTAGATGATTTAAAACCAAATTATGTCAACATTGGTTTCGATGATGGTGGTCATGATGGAGGATCTATACATTACAATTATCCAACATTATTCAATCATCTTACTACATCTAGTCACATCAACATTGAATATGACTTTGTGGAGCTGAATATTTTAAAGTACATCATCAACTCTGATAATTATAATATTCAAAGTCTAAAAGTTGGTATTATCACATGTCCTTTGGAGAATGAACCATTTCAAGCGCCAAGTAGAGGGAGAGCACAACATTATACATATCAAAATGGTTGTAGAGATTGCTATCGCCAAGAACTTGGAAAAAGAGAGACTCTAAGAGATTGGGATGAGCTTTGCACTAATCTCTCCAACAATTCAATATTGAAAAAACTTTGGTTGGAAAATCCACATGGAAATGAAAGAGAAGAGGAAGAAGAAGAAGAATCAGAAGAAATCAATACTAAAAAATCAATGACTTGGGAAAGAATAATATCATCATTTGCATCGATTTGGGACGCTAACGAAACGATTGAACTACTTTCATTGTCAAATCATCCCAATATCATTTCACCAGTATTCTTTTCCTTTATTTGTCACAATCAAACTATTACAACATTAATATTGATAGATGGTACTTTGATAGAAGAATACATTCCATCTTTCTCTCTATTATTGGTGACCAACCAAACAATCACAGCATTAGATATCAACAATAATCAATTACAACCAAGTACCGAGTTAAACACTACACTCAAACAAAACAAATCGATCAAAGTATTAAATATTGCAGATAATTATTTTACATTTGATTTGTTTGATTCATTGTTGGAAAGTGATTCAATAGAATATTTAATAATCGATCAGGAATTGTCAAAGGATTATCATCAACACCGATATTTTAATCAATCAAAATCAATGATTGAATGTTTTTGTATTGAAGCTGGCAACAAACCATTTGATTTCTATTTTAATCGTCATCTACTTTTAGATTAAACTAATACTAAATAAATGTTAATTGTATTTATAAATATGTGTAAGATTTATTTGTTCATATTGTCAGTTTTGAGTTGATTGCGAACTGACAATAAATCCACTTTTAAAAGAAGACAATAAATCTATGGGGAATTGATTGTTGTTTTTAATATTATCTCGATAAATATTCATATTATCATCTGTTATTTGATTGTTATAATAAAGTAATCGAACAATACAAGCTTGTTCCAATGAGAATTGGAAACCTCCAATCAAAGGAAAAAGAGGTATTCCCATGTCAATGAGGAGTAGAAAGAGGTCTGGATCCAAATCGATAGAATAGCGAATAAACTTTTTAGGGACTTGAGAATTTTTAATCTTAAAACCATTCTCAAATAGGTATCTTGTGGTTTTACGTGCTGATTCGTGGGTAAAGTAAAGAGATATTTCATCTGTCTTTGAGATAGATTGGTGGTGTCCATTTTCAACAATCCACTTGAGAGCCTCCAAATAACCCAATTGAGCCATCTGATTGAAATCTTTTTTAAATTGGGGTTGACAGAGATAGACATTGAGATTGATTTGAGAAAATAGCCATATTAGATGACTTGGTCTTTTGGCATTTATTGACAATGAAATCATTCTACTAGTTACTTGTACTGTGCCTTGGAATTTGCCTCGAAGATATTGAATCACTGTCAGACTGCGATATGAGGATGTTGATTCAAATACTAATTGAAGCTGTTCTTTTCTTTGTAAAATGTCGTTTGTAAAGCGCTGTGTAAGCCATTCAAATATCTCTACACAAACATTGTCGTTGGTTTGTTTGGTAGACCTTATTAAATCTGATAATGTTTGCCCTTGGTTAAAGATTGTGTCATTTGAATAAAAGGGAATAGATATTTTGCCAAATCCAACCGACCATTTGATATTGAATCTTGAAACATATAATTGAAGTTGGGCTTGCCCATTCTATCCATCAAGAATTGAGCCGTTTCAAGAGATAGGGTTTGAAAAGTATAAAACTTTTCAAACTTTTTAAGTAGGTGTGGATGATCTGCATCAATCATTTTAATCGACTCTAGCAAGTCCATTGGAATTGCATTTGATATTAATAAGTGTTCAACTGATGAATCATCTATTCTATTCTGATATACATATTGAAGAATATTATTATTGGTATGGTTTCCTGTCAATATGCGTGGTAAACCAACTCCAAATTTCATTTTGATAATCTCTAATACCTCCAATCTACCTTTTAGTAATGCCCTTTTGACTATATCTTTTTCATTGAATATACTTTGGTATTTTAGTGGTAAATAGTCAACCAGTGCTTTGAATAAATCGGTACGATTTTCATCAATTATATGGCAAACACTTTGAAATGAGCATCCTTCATTTTCACTTTGAAGTAAATAGACTAAAATATCTATATTTCCATTTTCAATTGCCTAAATTAATAAAATAAAAAATAATTAATGATTGATTTGCAAAAAAATTAAATCAATCTTTATAAATATACATTATCATTATATTGATAAAGATTGATTTATATATTAATTTATAACATACTATTTGAATTGTATCTAGAGTACAATGTGATCCGTGATTGGTTATGAATTTTACAATATGGAGGTGACCTTTATCAACTGCTTTATCCAATACAGACGATGGTATTTTATCCTTTGATGGGTTTGTTTGAATTAAATGTTTGAGCATCTCCAAGTTTCCAGATGACGTAGCTTCACACATTAAATGTTCAAAATTGAATAGACCTTTACCTTGATTTTGTTGAATAGTTTTGAAAAGATCTATATCTCCATATCGAACTATGCTGACTAATAAATTTCTCAAATGTTTCTCCAGCAATGTCTTTAAATTTGGTTGAGAGGATGATAAATTTGAAGCGAGGTATCGATACACTCTAGCTTGTAGATTAGATGACTGCAATGTGACTTTGGTTGGCCAGGTATCAAAGACATTTGGAAACGTTTCAAATGGTAGATAGTCAATGATTTCATCTCGATTCTTTAGGTGTTTCTCGTCTTTAATACCATCTTTGATAGCTTTGAACAAGGTATCATTTACTTTATCTTTTGCTTGATCAGCTGCCCATTTGAATATTTTAAATTGATTATAGTATACAGCATACCGTATGATTGCATGAGATACTTCTGGTAATCTAGATGACAACCTATTCCAAATCTCTTGAATATAGTCAAAGTATCCATCTCTAACTACACATTTGATAACAGTCACCAAATGAGGAGTATATGGTATATCTCTATCTTTATCACTAGCCCAACGATACTTTGAATAGACCACTTGTTCTTGATATTCAACCACCTTTTTAATTTGATCAATATATCCGTATCTTGACAACTGATCAATATTATCTTTTAGTTGCCCATCTATACACCTTTAAAGGTCCTTCTTGTCTTGGTTTATTTTCATCAAATGTATTGATATACACTTCTCGATCTTCATCTTTACCTATATTTGCCTCAAATAGATCGATCATGTTGTGCAAGTGTATCTCGCACACCTCTTTCAAATGATTGATTATACATCTTCTAATAATCACATTTCTAAACAATCTTGAAAATAACTCTTCTCTACTACTATTATTATTAATCATTATTGTATCTATCTTTGCAATATTAATATCTAGGGAGTAGTACTCACCTACTGAACACAAATCCATTTGCTTAAAAAAAAAAATATTTTAAAGTCAGATAGTTTTGGGAGTGGGTTAACGTTGAACAATCTTTATTTATTTATTTATTTTTAAAAGTTGACAATAAATAGAAGAGGAATGGATCTTTGGTTGAATATTTAGGTACAATGGTTGGATCACTAAAATAAATTAATCGAACAACACTAGAATGTTCAATCGACGATCCAGAATGAAAACAAGAGAGAGGTAAAAGAGGGATGCCCATGTCATGAAAGAGTAATATTTCGTCAATGGATCGATTCAGCATCAAATTTTTTGAAAGTGTAATCAATGATTGATTGAGAGATGATGGAGCATCAATGACACCATTCTCAAAGAGATATCTTGAGGTTTCAAGGACTAATTTGTTTGTTAGGTCAAGAGACTGTTGTTCAAATTTTGAAGAGAGGAAACGATTGTGGTAATCATTCTCTACAAGCCATTTGATAGTTGATAAATGACCTAGACGAGCAGCTTCTTTGAAATCAATTCCAAATTGACCAATCGAGTATGATGATGAAGGAATTGAATCGAAATGCATAAAGAGCCACTTTAGATTAGAATCTGATCTACTGACTGTTGATGGTATCATGTAACCATTCACTTTTACAATCGATGTACTGTCACCACCAAATGTATCCCATATATATTGAATGATTGGTAGATTGCGATGGGCAACCGCATGCTCAAAAACTTCTTGGAGCATGTTTTTGTTTTCTTTTAGACGCATGCCAACTGTTGGTTGGCTATGGTCAAAGCGTTCGAACACCCATTTGAGTGTCTGTAGACATTTTTGGTCACTGACAAATCTCGACAATTGTACCAATTGACATAAAACTTTCTTTTGATAGATATGGTCGGTTCCCAGGTGACTGAGTGGTAGCTTTTGGTATAGGTAATCTGCCACATCCAATCGACCAATTGAAATGGCTTTTTTAAAGAGTGTTTTGTATTTTGGTTTATCCATTCTAGACAACAGGTATTGAATGGTTTGCATAGATGGCTTTAATTCATTAATATTAAACACTTTAAGGCTTTTGAGTATGTTTGGGTGCTCTGCATCAATCATTTCAATCGACTCTATTGATTCCATTGGAATTGCACTTGATACTAATAAATGTTCCAATGAAGAATCATCTATTCTATTATGATACAAGTATTTGAGTGTACTAGTATCTCCTAATATTACATTTGACAAATTTGATGAAAGACCAACACCAAATTTAGTCTTTACAATTTCCAATACTTGCCATCTATTATTAATCAATGACATTTCAATAATCTCTTCAAGATTGAATTGATCTTGAAACGTTGGTATATAATCAACCAATACATTGAATAAATCAGTACGATTTCGGCTAATAGTGTTGAAAACACTTTCAATTGTACATCCTCTATTTTGACTTTTCAATAAACATTTTAAAATATCTATATTTCCTTTATCAATTGCCTAAAAATAAATAAAAAAAGAGCTAATATTAAAGATTGATTTACTTTTTTTTTTTTTTTAATTTAATTATATACCTTTTGAATTGTAGAAAATGGAAGTTGTAGATTATGATTTTGAATGTGGTATTCAATAATATGAAGATGACGATTATCAACTGCATTGTTTAATATTGTCAATAGTATTCTTCCATTTTCGTTTTGTGGATTTAATTCGAGTAGATATTTGAGTATTTCCAAGTTTCCAGTTGATGTAGCGTCGTTGTACAAATCTTCAAAATTGAAAAGACTGTTACCATTCTTTTGTTGGATGGTTTTTAAAAGATCTAAATGTCCATATCTAACTGCATCGATGATTAATATTTTTAAATGTGATTTGGTCTTTTGAAAGGATGGTATCCTCTCTGTGATGTATTGGTACATTTTAGCTCTTAGTTTTAATGATTGAACCGAAATACTGCATGCAAATTCTGTCAATACATGTTGACGACTAGGAAACAATTGAAATAGTATATAATCAATGATTTCATCACGATTCTTTACTTGTTGTTCATCTTTGACTCCATCTTTAAATGCCATTAACAATGGTTCTAGTAATTGTCTAACCTTTTGGTTTGATTGTATTTGTTCGATTGCCCATTTTAACATTTAACTTGGTTATAGTAAACAGCATACCATATGATTGAATGTGATACTTCTGGTAGTTTTGATGACAACCTATTCCAAATCTCTTGAGTATAGTCAAAGTGTCCATCTCTAACTACATACTTGATAACAGTCACCAAATGAGGAGTATATGGTATATCTCTATCTTTATCACTAGTCCAACGATACTTTGAATAGACCACTTGTTCTTGATATTCAACCACCCTTTTAATTTGATCAATGTATCCGTATCTTGACAACTGATCAATATTATCTTTTAGTTCTTCCCATGAATACGACATTTTAGAACCTTTAATGAAAGATATTTTGTTGTGCACTTTGTTCACCTCGTACACTTGATCAAATATACATCTTCTAATGATCACATGATTCAATATTCTTGAAAATAACTCTGTTGATCTTTGTTGACTATTATTACTATTATAAAAATCATTATTCATTATTGTATATATATGTGTATTCCTATATATATCTATCTATCTATATATCAGAAATACACTAAAATGAATATAAACTACAAATTATTATACATGTTTTAAAAAGCAAAAAACTTATTTCTTGTAAACTGTGTAGCACCAAAGTTTTTAGAAACTATAATAGTTTAACTATTATTATTTTATTATTAAAATAATGCAAGATACAAATGACGAGTCCTACAACTACAAAACAACAAATTGAAAAGATTGATGATGATGAATGTAAACTTTCGAAATACATTCAATCAATGATCATTGAAAAGGTGATCAATGATCATCAATACAAAGATCAGTATTGTAATTATACATTCAAGTTAATATCACCAAATGATGCTGTTCATTTAATGATCAACAAAACACCTCTGGAGAAACAAAACAACCAATATATTACATTCAAACAACATCAAAGTAGTATTGGTAGTATTGCATTGGTATCGAAATGGTGGTTGAAAGTAGTACAACAAACAAAAAAGGAATCAACAAGTATAAAGATAGATGGGATATTGAAAGAATCATACTTTTCAGAGAATGTAACAAATCTCAGATGGAAGGTTGGAAGAAACCAATCGGGAGGATACAAAAAGTTTAACTTTAAAAGATTACCTCTTTTATTACCAAATCTACAGTCAATCGATATCGTCGCAAAGAATTTAGACATCAAAGCAATTAGAGCAATGGTACAAGTAATCAATGCATTCCCACATATTCAAGTACACTTGGATATCACCTTTGATGATGGAGATGATCCAGAATGGCCCAACAATGAATCCTTCAAAGGACCACTCAAACCTATCGCAGTCGTAACACTATCACACGGTAGTTATTATCAAGATCAATCAACTGTCGATTATTTTCATCAAATGATCGATGACTTAAACCCAATCAGTGTCAATCTTGGGTTTCGAGCCTATATTGATGGACCCATACATTATGATCACTCAGAGTTATTCCCACTTCTCAATGAATCAACACGTCAACTCAACATTGAAAATGACTTTGTCGAACTACCAAATTTAATAGACCTTGTCAACAATAAGAGTATTCATAGTCTAAAAGTTGGTATCATCACATGTCCTTTGGAACAAGAATTACAAGATGAAAGAGATGAAGAAGACGATGGAGAAGATGATGAAGAAAGATACGAGAATCGTAATAGTTGTAGCTCATGTATGAGTCTTGAAATTACAGATACCTTGGAAGATTGGGATCAGTTTTGTAACGATCTCACCAACAATACAACATTAAAAAATCTTTGGTTGGAAGGTCCACATTCAGATCTACCAATGATAGGTGAACCAGCTTCAGTGGAGCGATTAGCATCACCATTTGTATCTATTTGGCAAACAAACAAGAATATTACAGTTCTTGGACTATCAACTCTACCAAAAATCATTTCACTTTTATTCTTTTCCAATTTAACTTTTAATCAAACTATTACAACGTTGATGTTGACAGATGGTACATTGGCACAACAATACGTTCCAACATTCTCTCTATTTTTAATGGTGAATCAGACAATCACATCAATAGACATAAGCAAGAATCAATTACAACCAAGTTTTGAATTGGACACTGCACTCAAACAAAACAAAACAATCAAAATATTAAATATTGGTGGTAACAAATTCACATCATTTATATTTGATGCATTATTAGAGGGAGACTCTATCAAATATTTATTGATTGATCAACCATTATCAAATTATTATCATCAACATAGATATTTTATTCAATCAAAATCACTCTTAAAATGTTTTACTGTCGGACCAATCAATTATAAATTACGTAATTTTTATTTTGATAGTCCAATCATTTAAACAATAAATAAAGATTAATTACAATTATAATAATATTATTTATTCATACCCGAATAAAATATTTAAATGTATTTTATTCATTGTTTACATTTTCTCAAGATAAATCTAACCGCTAGCGACTTTTACATTTTCGGACCGAGATATTTTTGTAGAGATCTCTTTTAAGAACTTTACCGACACACTGTTGCCGATCAGCTGCTTGCGATGATTATATTAACTCATCTCTAACACATGTGATTCATTTATAGATAATAGATAAGAGATAAGAGAGATAGAGATAATAAATGAAAGTATTATTCATCTTTACAACATTGCTAGCTATAGTGTTTGCTGCAAGTAACAATGTTACACCACAAAGTGTAAAATTAGCTCTGACTACAACCAGCCCAAGCTCAATGAGAGTGTCATGGTTCACTTATAACAGTGGTAGTTCACCATCTGCTTTATTGAGTGTTGACGGTCAATTCAACCCATACGATTACAATGCTGCCAACGTTGCTCTATTCACTGGGTCATCGGAAGGTTATGATACCTTTCAATGGAGTGGTTACATCAATACTGCTGTCATGTCTGATTTACAAGAACATACTACCTATTATTACTCTTGTGGTGATAAGGAATCAAACAAGTGTATGTAAACAAAAAAAAAAAGACACAACCCCTACCCTTTATTTTTTTTAAAAATATATTAATAATTAATTAATTGATATTCCTATAGGGTCACAAGTTTACAATTTCACAACCGCTGCAGCACCAGCTGAACAATCATTTGTAACACCATTCCAAATCGTCGCCTATGGTGATATGGGTATCAGTGGAAATAACACTCAAACATTACAAGCAATTGAACAGCGTATCGATACGACTGCTTTTATTTTACATGTTGGTGATATTGGTATGTATTATTCATTATTATTATTATTATTATTATTATTTGTACCTTAAAATAATTATTAATTTAATTTAATTTATGTTTAGCATATGCTGATTTGGGCAAGTCCGCACTAGACTCTATTGGTGGCAATCAAACTATTTGGAATGAATTTTTAAATGTCATTACTCCACTTTCATCCACTCTTCCATACATGGTTTGTCCAGGAAATCATGGTAAGTAAATTAATCAATTAATTAATTAATTTGAAATGAAATAATAATAATTAATTTATTATTATTTATTGTAGATATTTTCTATGACCTTGCAGCTTATAGAAGAACCTTTTTAATGCCAGTTGAAAGTAATGATGATAATTATTATGCATTTGATTATAATGGTATTCATTTCATTTCCTTCTCGACCGAACTCTTTATTCCATTCAGTCCACAACACCTCTGGTTAGAGAGTCACTTGCGTGAATTTAGAAAATCAAATCCAAATGGATGGTTGGTCGTTTATGCTCATCGTCCAATCTATTGTTCAACTACTTGGTCTTGGTGTAATACTGATACTTATAGAGGTATGATTATAATATAATAATATTTATGATTATTTATTTAATTAATTTTTTTTTTTTTTTTAAAGTAATTATCCAAGATAGTATTGAACCATTATTCAAGAAATATAATGTTGATTTGTATATCACTGGACATGCACATTCCTATGAAAGATCATTACCAGTATACAGTGGAGAAGTTGCTGGAACATATGAAAAACCAGAAGCAACCGTACATATTGTGGTAAGTGTTTAATTTTATTATTTTTTCCAGAAACAACAGCAACAACAACAAATACTAACAATGGTTATGTCTAAAATGGTAGGTCGGTACAGGCGGGTGCCAGGAAGGCCCTGATAGTGGCTGGGTACAGGCCCCAATTTGGAATGAAGGTGGTAGATTCTTGCTTACAGGATATGGACTCTTGTCTTTTGAAAATGACACAAGTTTACATTGGGAATTTTATGGTCCTGAAGACACCGTATTGGATGAATTTTATTTAACCAAGGGTACCTTTTAAACAATGATAAAGGTCATAGGAATAAATAGGATTGTCTCATAACAACATTGGCAATACTGGAAAATCAACTTCAAAATTAATTTTTGTAACTACACTAAAACAAGAGGGACATCAGTTTTTAGTTTCATTTAATTTTTTCATTAGCTAATATGCATATATTTCCAAACCTACAGTCAATCGATATTGTTGCAGAGAATTTGGACAACAATGCTACTCGAGCAATCCTAGAGGTCATCAAAGTATTCCCAGTCAACTTGGAGATCACTATTGACGATGAATATCGTTCGTTGGTCACTAGAGTGGCCCGACCAAGTATCTTTTTTTTTATGTATCAAACCGTTGGTAGTCATTACAAACAAAGACTACTTGGATAAACTCAAACCATCCTCTGTCGATTGTTTTCACTACTTTAATATGGAATATAATCATAAAAGATTTAGTGATGATGGAGTCCATTTTGACTATGAATCTTTAGTACAACATCTCACCAAGATTAGTTCCTCCCAATCTTCCATTGTATCAAAATTGTTGATCCTTTCATTATTACATATTGCACAATATTGTTCTTGACCTCCTTCCAAAGGACAAGTAACTATATTGGTTCTGATAGTTTTACATTTAAATAATGATGAATAGACCAGATCTTTGAGATACCTCAATTCCATGTAATCATATTCGATGTTGATATGACTAGTCTTGGTGCAATTTTAAAAGAACTTTGGTTGAAAGGTTTACATGATCATGAACCCTTCATTGACGAGGACGAGGACGATGATGAAGAGGAAGAGAACAACCACAACGAGGAGGAAGAGGTCAATGAAGTAGAAGAGGGAAACGACAACGAGGAGGAAGAGTTCAATGGAATAGTTCAAAAAATAGAAAGAGAAGCTTCATTATTTGCACAGATCTGGCAAGAAAACCAAACCATTGCCATTCTTGGATTGTCAAAGCTTCCAAAAATCATTTCACCACAATTCTTTTCTAGTCTATCTCTCAATCATAGTATCACAACATTAATATTGACCGATGGTACATTGAAACAAGAACACATTCCTTCTTTCTGTCAACTGCTGGTGGACAATCAGACAATCAAATCTCTAGATATTCATTGGAATAATTTAGAACCTAGCGAAGAGTTGGATGAGGCAATCAAACATAACAATTCGATCAAGGTAAAAACAGGAGATAATTAATTGTATTAATAGTTGTTGGAGCTAGTAACATCCAATTTGATCACTCTAATCTTCCAACTTCAATAAATTGGGATTTATTTGAAAAAAGTATCATATTGTTGAGAATGAGAAGATTATTGTTGAAGAGTGTAATAGGATAATATTATTTCAACAGGAGCCACATGTGATATTGGTTCACCTGTCGTTTTGAGTATGATAACATTGATTAATGATAGTTCTTTGATTGATCTATCAATGACTGTAAATTCGAGTGGCTGAAGATTGTATCCCATCGATTTCAATGATGTTTGATATGAATTGCAACCCAACAGATCGATAGGATAAACACCACTGTAAACCTTTTTTGCATTGTTGTTGACAACCTGAGCACTGCCTTGCATTGAGAATTGTCCACCCAATGATATCATGCATGAATTGGGAGTTGAGGTCGCTGTTACTATCAATCTTTCTAATACTACCTTTTTTACTCTTTGTAAATCTATGGGTTTTAACAGTTTAAATACAACTTCACCTGTTTCTCTTGAACATGTTCCTGATAAAAACACCTTATTCTCTATAAGAATATCGTTCATTGCTATCTATTAAAATAGAATATGTTTAGAAAGAAAACAATTAAAAGTAAAAAGGCTTTCAATAAATAGATATTTATTTCTCTTTTTTTTTAATCTATTGTTGTGTTGTTTGAATTGTGGAAGAGGTGCGAGGATGTATTGTATAATACGATAATATTATTTCCACCGATGGCATTTCAATGATCATGCCACTAGGGTCGAGGATGGTCACATTGATTTCATTTAGTTCTTTAATGCATCTATAGATATCAGTGAACTCGAGTGGCTGAAGATTATATCCTGCTGTTCTAATAGTATTTGTAAAACTAGACCCACCCAACAGATCGATTGGACAAAACTTTTGGCAATCTGGTATAGGCTTTTTATAGCTATTGTGACTAACAATATGAACATTGCCTTGATAAGAGATTTCATTACCCAACGATATCAAACATGTTCTGGGGACTTGTGGCGCCGTTACCGTCAATCTCTCTATTACAACCTTTTTGACTTTGAATAATTCAATTGGGTGTAACAATCTGAAATTTACTTTCCCAGTTTGTTGTTCACAAGTTCCTGATAAAATGTTACAATGAAAAGAATCATTACCCCAATAGTGATCATCGCGATGATGAAGTGGTAAAAAAAGGTGATGGGTTGGAAATAATATTTTGGCGTTATATTTTTTGTGTGATTATTAAATAGGATAATCATTTGTGTTATTATTATTATTATTATTATTATTATTATTATTATTATTATTATTATTATTATTATTGATTATTATTATTATTATTATCAATGGTCAAGTTGGAAGAAGCCTGAGCAGCCAATTTTTTCAAGAGGATGGCATTATTTATACCAGTTTCATCGACCAACCAAGTAAACAATCCAGTTGGGTTTTGGAGAAGGGCATGAGGAGAGTCAAACTCTTTGATCTCACCAGCGTCCATGACAATGATTCGGTCATAGTCTATGATAGTGTTGAGACGATGTGCAATGGTGATGATGGTGCAATCATTGAATTTTTCTTTGATGGTGGTTTGGATTAATGCGTCGGATGAGGCATCAATGGATGCGGTAGCCTCGTCGAGGACGAGAATCTTGGGACGACGCAAGAGAGCACGACCCATGCAAATAAGTTGGCGTTGACCGACCGACCAATTATCACCATTGTCAGTGACGATGCTTTCAAGGCCTCCTTCAAGTTCCTGAACCTTATCCTTGAGTTGGATGTCCTCGAGTACACGCCACAAGACATCGTCTTGATGTTCACCAAATGGGTCGAGATTCATACGAAGTGTGCCTGCAAACAGACAAGCGTCTTGGGGGAGGATAGCAAGGTTCTTACGGAGATCCTTTAGACCATACTTTGCAATATTTTCACCGTCGATCGAGATGGATCCTTGGGAGAGTTCGACTAGACGGAAGAGGGCGAGTACGAGCGATGACTTGCCCGAGCCAGTTCGACCAACAATACCAATCTTTTCTTTGGGTGCAATGCGACAGGTGATGCCCTTGAGGACCGGGTCGAGACCTTCACGGTAGCTCATCACGACATTGTCCAATGCAATACCACCCTGTTGTGGCCAATCGGATTCAGGACGACACGACTCGATGACTTGTGGGGCCTCGACCGGCCCGCTAATATAGTGGTTGATACGCTCGACACTGTTCATCTTGGTTTCAAGATCGGCACCTTGGAGTGTGAACCGATTGAGTGAGGCAGTGATAGAGAGTGAATACGAGATGGACAGACCAATCGAAGCAATGGTAATAGTGTCACGTGACACTGTCACGAAAAAGGCTGCGAAAAAGACAATCAAGTTGCCAAGAACATCTAGTCTTAAACCAAGCCACTGATTCATTGTCTGCAACATCATATAACTCTTGTTGTTTTCGTCTAAAAGGTAGTGGTTGGTACGGATACTGTCTTGGACACGACCATATGCACGGATGGTGGTTGCGCCATTGAGGGTCTCGGTAAACTGTGAAAAGATGGGGGACCGAGAGATGGATACAAGACGTTGTAACTCACGACTAGAGTAACGGTAGTATGTCTGCAACAAATAGTAGAGTACGATGATGGGACCGAGGGGGATGAGAAGGAACGGCGTAATAATCGAGATGATGACCAAACTAGCAACGATCGACATAAACATACCGACATACTGACCGAGTGACGGAGCAATCAAACTGTCTACAACATCAATGTCACGTGTAAACCGGTTAATGATTCGACCCATGGGAGTAGTATCAAAGAACCACATTGGACAACGCATAATAGACTTGAATAAAATATCGTGAATCTTTTTACTACATTGCACAGTGTAGTCGAAAAAGTACCAGTTACGTAGACCAGCTGCCAATATCGACCCTACACCAATACCAATAAAGATATAGAGATATTGGTCAGAGGTAAGATTGTACTCTCCACCATCACCAAATTGCATGGCATTTGACCAATCCGATAACCACCAATTCAACATGGCACTTGATCCATTCTCCAATGCAAATAATATAATAATGACTCCAAAATAAAAATATCCTCCCAATTTAAAATAAGAAGAGTATACTGACAGACTAACAGACCCAGTTTCTCTTTCTTCATTTTGAATTAATTTTCCTTTTTCTTCTTTTCCTTCTTTTCCTTTTGATGTTGGTTTTGTTTTTAATTCCTCCTCCTCTTTGATTATTTCTAATTTTTCTGGTGGAGGAGTTACGAGGGTGGTGACGGTAGTGGAAATGAGTGATGGTGTTGAAGGTTGACTATTGCTGTTTTGTTGTTCTTCATTACCCATTCCATAGTTTTCAAGAATACTTGAAAATGATCCGTTGGCAACCATGATTTCAGAGTATGTACCACGTTCTGAAATGGTATTGCCAGATAGTACCAACACATGATCGGCAAATGGTAGATAGTTGAGTTGATTAGCAACCAATACAACAGTCTTGGGTCTAAGATACCCATTTATACATTTTGAGAATATATGTTTACCAACATGAGCATCGACAGCAGACAATGGATCATCCATTATATAAACATCTGCATTACTATAAACAGCTCTTGCAATTGATACACGTTGTTTTTGACCACCTGAAAGATTAATACCACGTTCTCCAATCTCTACCAAATCACCTTCTGGAAACATTTCCAAATCTCTTTTCAACGCGCATACCTCCAATACTTGTTCATATAATTCATGATCATATTCTTTACCATACAATATATTATCTTTTAATGTTGCATTAATCTAAAATAAATAATAGAAAAATTAATAAATTAAATAATATTTATATTTATATTTATATTTTGGACTTACAATCCAAGCTTGTTGAGGAACATAGGCAATTCTTCCTTTTGTTGAAAGATGACCATCGATTAAATCCATTTCACCAAGGACTGCTTGACAGAGGGAAGATTTACCACTACCGACACTACCGACGACCATGGTAAGTTGTGGACCGTTACATTCAAACGAGATATTGTTTAACTTGAATGAATCTTCTTTGGTAGTATCCCAATCAAATTTGGCATTGGTTACATAGATACCACTTGGAACTGATGGGTCTGTATTTTCTTCGACTGGTTTTCTTTCAGACAACAAAAGGAATGCTGCAATTCTATCAGTTGCCACTTTAACTTGAGCACCCATAGCAATGATCAGAGGAAGGAATGCCAATGGCATTCTCAAAATATTTAAATAAGCCAATGCTGAAAATACCCTGTCTGCTTGAATACCAGTATCAGCTTTAAATACAATAACATATACTACGATAGATACTAGAGTTGGTACTGCTGATATTACAAAAATTAATATTGCTCTCTTCAAAAAAAAAAAATTAATATTAATATATATATTTTGTTTTTTTTTGTTTTGATTTAGAGTTTACTTACATATCTTGAAAATTTAAATAAAGATTTAACTTCAGCTCTACGAGATGCGAGGGTTTTTTTGGTGAAAGGGTCTTCCCAAGCATAGAGTTTGATGATTTTAATAAATTGAAGTATTTCATTGGTGAGTCGAAGACGAGCGTCAGAGTTTCGAACCATTTCAAACCGAATTTTGAATAGAAACTTGGCGACAAACCCATTGAGCGGTAGGACAATGACCATCACTCCAAGACCGACAAAAGTAGGCCATCCAATTTCGAGGTACATCAATACGATGCAAACAATGATTTGAGGGAGTGCAAAGATACCGGCGTTGAATGTCAAGAATACTTCGGCAACACGTTGAGCATCGTTACTCATCAAATTGACAATTTCACCAGTCGATGTCTTTCTCTTGGCATGTGTATCGAGTTTGAGTGATTTCGTATAGACATCCACCACCATTGCCGAACGTACCCAATTGCCAACTCGAGCGGCAATCAGCGACGATTGATAATTGCAAAATGAACCGACCATAGCCGACCCAAACATTGCCAGTGCGTAATAGTATCCAAGGTTCTCATCGACATCTGGATTCAATCCATATCTCAACTCGACAATATACTTTATGATGCGAGACATTAATTGTGGTCCAACAAATTGTGATGCACAAAATACTCCATAATAGGCAAGTCCAATACAATAATACCATCCATATGCTCTAATTGCTGCTAACCAATATTTTTTGGTTCTCCTCTTTAAAAAAAAAAATAAAATAAAATAAATAAATAAATATAAATAAATAAATCTATTTTCTTTTGTTGTTTGTTTTATACATACTCTGGTTTTGCCAATTCTTTTTGCCATTCAATATTAATTTTATTGGCTACATGAGTAGCTTTGTCGAAATCTGCAAGATTGTATAATTGATTTTGTTGTAATACATTTCTAAAACAGTGCCAAGAGAATGGATCGATCCATGAAAAGGTGGCCAATGCAATCGGGTTGGCCCAATCATGTGGATTCTTGACTCCACCAAATCCGACTTGACCAGGGTCTCTTTTTAATTTTTCTCTTTCTCTTGTTTTTTTATCATCGTTACCTATACTATTTAATTCGATTGGTTGTTGTTCAATGACCATTTTCTACTGCAACTGCAAAAACTATTATAATAAATAGTAGTAGTAGTAGTAGTGTAGCTAATACAATAAATAAATAAATAAATAATTAACGATAGTATTATAAAAAAAAAACTTGTACAAGGTGTAGAATTTGTGGTGTGACAATGCGAGTGAGTGACTGAGTGAGTGGTGTGTAAAATTGTTGTTGTAATCAAACAGGTCAGTCAAATGTGTGTTTGGATATATATAAAAATTTATATGTATATTTTAGATTCTTATTCGATTTTGAAAAAAAATAATAATATGATTTATATATATATAAATTTGAGTGAGAGATCTACTAAAATATTATTATATCTAATTCTTTTGATTTTTCATAAACAAAAAAAAAGATAGAAAAAGTATTTGTGAGTGTTGTGTTGTTTGTAGCTAAAAACTATTAAATAATAATAAACAAGTAGCTGTTGTTATGGGAATGATTGTAGACGAGTAAAACATAGAGAGACATAACAACCCTCTATATAAATAACTCTTAGGTTATAAATATCACTCGACCAATGATGAAACGGTTGCGACACATGATGATTCGTTTAAAGATGAGGGAGAGGACTGAAAAGACTATAAATGAATGATCACCACCATAAAACAACAGATCGACATGTTTGGTGTCATAAGAAAGATAAGTGTAAGTTTTTTCTTGTGTGTATTGAAAATGCTCCTTCGCAACAAGTAGACATCGATAACGACATTAATGATGCTAAAAAGAAATTTTTGAATTTTTACCCGTTTTGGACTGCAGCACTTTTGGAGTGATGTCAATTTCCGATAACCATTCTACCAAAATTATTTAAACCAGTGTTTTAAATAGTACTATTTATTTATTTATTTATTTTACATAGGATGAATCATCTCCTGGAAGATGATTTAAAATATTGACAACATCTGATTGGTCTGAATTTTGTAAAAGTCCTTTGATAAAAGAGAGTTGTTTAAAAGTAACATTTTGAAGGTCAGTAAGAGATTTGATAAAAGAGGTGTAGGATTGTAAGTCTTGTTTGATGGTTTCTACAATGTTGGATTTCTCCATATAATCTAAATATCTCTTTTCTTTCTTTTTTGGACTTTCTTTTGTCATGTCGGCTTGTTGTTGTCCTATTGACATGAATTGAGAGATAACACTGTTTGATAGATTTGTTTTAATTTCTTCTTCAGAAATTATGTTTCGGATCTCCAATTGGGTATATATATCATTAAATAAATTTCCAGAGTTGTCATGGTAGTAATCAATGAATCTATTTTCATCAAACAAGAGGTTGATAATCTGGCCAATATAAAGTGGTTGGTCATTCTGATGTTGGGATGGGATCGAGTTGGACATAATTTGATTGACTAATCTTTGAAATTCTGAATCATTAAAATGAGTGATTGGCAAGATGGAACAATTATTCAAGTCTATCAATTTGGCTTGAGACATTTGATATAATTTACGATAGAGAGCGAATGGATAGACTGTTACAAAAGTAACATGATCACCTAGAAACTCGAATCTATTGAGAAATCGACCAAGGTTACGTCCACAAATAACTATTGTTTTGGATTCGGTCAATGAAATCTTTTTAAATGTTGGCATGTCGCAATAGGAGCAGATACCCAGTGCAGACTTTTGAAGTGGCTGACCACACCCACTACAATGTTTGTGGTGATGTGATGACATGCACAACAAATTGGCACCCTGTAAACTTGCCCAGAAACAATTATTCCTAAGTGAAATGGTAGGGATTGCAATGTTTGTCCCTTTTCCAAGACTAGACTCTAATTGTGAAATGGATATCTTTTCCATCTCTTGACAGAGATTGGTCGAACTGTAACAAAGGTGAGTGGTATCTTTTCGGTTGGGAAGAGTGATTGATTTGCAAAATATATGTTTACAATGAATGTAGAGATACTGTGGTTGGATACCTCTGTAGACATACTTTAAAACACGTTCCGATGGCACACTGGCTTGAAGTGATCGAGGTAGATTAGGAACAGAGTTTGTTCTAGTTGCATATGATTGTAATGCTCTTGGATGAACATATACATCTTGACCATTATATGCAACACAACAACAATCCAAATCAAATCCAACTAATAATTCTTCGAGTGAATGGAATAATGGAAGGATGATTGTAAATGGACCAATTGTAAATGTATTACATGTACGTTTGATTGTAATATCTATGTGTCCTAGTTTTACCAAATAATCATATATTTGTTTGGTCAACTCTACTACTTTTCTTTGTCCATCGCTAACATTTTTGCAGATGATGAAAAAGTCATAGTCTCTGACTGTGTGTACTTCTACTATTCCTCCTTCTCTTGTAAAGTCTGGTGCCAAACCTTTACTTTGCCTAGGGAGAATATCAGTACCGGATAAAGGGTCGATAAAAGGTCGTAGTATACGATTGATAGTGTTGTTGATCATCATTGGAAGTGAAAACTTGTTGACCAGTCGTCTCACCTCGCAAAAGTGTTTGTATCTTGACAACCAACCAATCCACTTTCTATCTAATGCTGAGAATGGACAACCACCAGCCAACCAAACCTCTGTTCCATTATTATCACTCCACTTTATATTGTCGAGTAGTCCATCACACTTTATCGATATCAAATGTTTGTCAATCGACATTTTAAACAACTCTTTGTTTGGACAAATATATCTTGCGTGATTACCATTGATAAATGTAATATCATCAGATACATATCCATTCTTTTTATAAACATTGATTAATGGTACTATTGGCATTTCAACTTTACAATAGTCTTTTCCTTTTGATTGTTCAACCAAGTTATAATATTTTTTAAGTTGTTGTTGATGTCTTCTAACGATAAAGTGCATTTCATATGCTTGTTCTATTAATTTATCTGTTTCTCTATTCTTTGATGTGAGAAGTTTGATTATTCTATCTCTAACAGCATTGATCTTGTCTCTATCAATATAACTAAATAGAATAGAGAATAGAGTCGTTTCAGTCTCCAATTCTAAATATCTATGATGAAATCGTTCTTTGTTTGCCTCTATTTGATCAATGCAATCCAATATCTCCTTGATGGTTTCTTCAAATACCGACGATGGTATGAATAGAGGATCATGAAATTGATTGATACTATTTGCCAATATTTTGATTGAATTCCAGATACCCTTCATTCTAACTAAATCATCAATATTCATCTCTTCCTCTTCTTCCACATTCTCTTCATCATCTTCTAATATTAGGTCATTCATTATTCTTTAATCTATTTATCTTTTTTTGAAAAGAGAATAAAAAAAAAAAAAAACAAAATGAAAGATAAATTTTGGAAGAAGAGGACTAAATTTCCAATAAATTCGAATGTAAAGTATTCAAATAAAATAAAATAAAATAAAATAAAAAGATTTGAATAATATTAATAACATTTATATTATATTTTGGGGTATATGAATATATTTTAACTTTAATAATATAAAAACTTAAAAGTTAAATATTTATTGAATTGAATAAATATTCTTATTTAACTTTTTCAAGAGTTCGATGATTTGATCCATTTTCGCATCTAAGTTATTCATTCGATCTTTATTTTCGGACAATTTTTCCATGATATGGTCTTGGTCCAGCTTTCTCTTTGGGAATCGATTTTCTCGCGGGTGGTGTGTTGGATAAGAGGAATGATCCGAGATTCGAGACTCTTTGAATTATGGTAGAGATAATCATTTGTTCTGTAGAGATAACCATCTAAAATCTCTTGAAGTCTCAAAAGAAGAAGGTTGGAAAATTGGGAGGTTTGGTTTTTGGGATTTGGTTGCAATGACAAGACAAATGGGGCCGATAGCCATATGTGGGCATGGGCATGACACTCTTTTAGATATGGATTGTTGCGCACACCCGTTTCCCATTGTCCATAGTTGATGACGATACGATCGGTTGCAGGGGGTTGAGAAGTTGGCAGGTCAAGATTGGCCTTCTCAAGTTGCACACAAAGCGACTGAGCATTGATCCAAAATTTCTCTCCCTTGACCATCTCAACATTGCTGTGAGTCACAGAGATGTTTGTATTTGAAATTGGATTAGGCATCATTCCAACGGGAGAGAACCGAGTAGCCGGGCAAGTCGATGAGGTTTTGGTTCCGATTGAGAATGGATTCCTTATACACGGATACTTGCACATGTGACGTTTACCTGTTTTAGTGTCCTCAACCAATTGTGAACAAGTCCATTCTCTGTGAAAGTATCTTGAGAATAAAAAAAAAAAAGTGATATGAATAATATTTATAAATAATGATATTATATTGTGGGGGTATTAAATGTAACTTAAAAGTTTTTTAATTTACAAAGAGTATGAGAACTTTGAGGTATACCATCTCCATTTGGATCATCATCATTGAAAAGATTAGATAGGTCTGGATGATTTGATTGCTTTAGTCCATCAATAAAAGAGTATTGATAGAAACTATAGTCTTCGTTAAATTGGAGTGATTGGAGTAACTTGATAAACGATGAGTATGCTTGAAAGTCTTGTTTGATTACAGTACACAAATCCAAATTAGGTAAAAACTTTTGTTTCTTTTTGTTTGGTTGTCTTTCTTCTTCTTCTTCTTCAAGTGTTATAAACTGAGATATATATTCTTCAGTGTATGAATATGAATTGGTTTTAATCTCTTCTTCAATATCCATGTTATATATCTCGAGTTGTGTGTACGATTCAAGATATTTTGTGTTTCCAGAATTGTCTAGGTAATAATCTTTGAATCTATTTTCTTCAAACAAAAGGTTGATTATCTGACCAAGAAAGAGCGGTTGATGTTCACCATCACTATCGCCTTCTTTGTTGCCGGGTACAGCTGGGATTGGGTCAATGGTCAAATAAGATGCCAAATGTTGAAACTGTGAATTGTTGAAATCATCCATTGCAATGATTGCACAACTGGTCATACTGATTTGTTGAGCTTCAAACATCTGGTATAACTGACGGTACAGTGTGTAGGGATACAGTGTTACGAAAACAACCATACCTTGAAACTCGAATCGGTTGAGAAACTGGTCAAAGTTTCGTCCACACAAGACTATTGTTTTGGGTTCGGTCAATGGGATCTTTTTAAGAGTAGCCGGAGCTGTCTTGCAATAACGGCATCTACCAAGTTGGGCAGACTTTCCAAGTGGTTGAGCACACTCACTACAATGTTTGTGGTGATGTGATGTCATGCAAAGCAAGCTAACCGTTTGCAGGCTTGCCCATACACAGTAGTTCCAAAGTGACTCTATCGAACCAATATCTACGTTTGTCCCATTACCAAGTTTGTGCTCGAGTTGTGAAATAGATATATTTTCCATTTGTTGACAGAGATTCGAGTCACTGTAGCATAGGGGCATTGGTTCTTCTCGGGTTGGATGAGATGATGGCATACGTTTTATAGACCTGCAAAATATATGTTTACAATGAATGTAGATATATTGTGGTTTGATACCTCTTGTTTTGTACTTGGCAATACGTTCATGTGGCACACTCGATCGTATTGTGGTGGGCAGATGAGGAACACAGTTTGTACGTGTTGCATAAGATTGTAATGCTCTTGGATGAACATACACATCTTGGCCATTATAAGCAACACAACAACAATCCAAGTCAAATCCAACTAATAATTCTTCGAGTGAATGGAATAGTGGGAGGATGATTGTAAATGGACCAATTGTAAATGTATTACATGTACGTTTGATTGTAATATCTGTGTGTCCTAGTTTTACCAAATAATCGTGTATCTGTTTGGTCAACTCGACTACTTTTCTTTGTCCATCGCTAACATTTTTGCAGATGATGAAAAAGTCATAGTCTCGGACTGTGTGTACTTCTACTCTTTTGTCTCTTGTATAGTCTGGCATACTCCCTTCAGAACGAGTTGGAAGCATATCAATACCTGATAAAGGGTCGATAAAAGGTCGTAATAGACGATTGATAGTGTTGTTGATCATCATTGGAAGTGAAAACTTGCTGACCAGTCGTCTCACCTCGCAAAAGTGTTTGTATCTTGACAACCAACCAATCCACTTTCTATCTAATGCTGAGAATGGACAACCACCAGCCAACCAAACCTCTGTACCATTATTATCACTCCACTTTATATTGTCGAGTAGTCCATCACACTTTATCGATATCAAATGTTTGTCAATCGACATTTTAAACAACTCTCTAGTCGGACAAATATATCTTGCATGATTATGATTGATAAATGTAATATCATCGGATACATATCCATCCTTTTTATAAACATTGATTAGAGGTACTATTGGCATATTTAGTTTACCATAGTCTTTATCATTTGATGACTGTGCATAATATTTTTTAAGTTGTTGTTGTTGTCTTCTAACGATAAAGTGCATTTCATAAGCTTGTTCTATTAATTTATCTGTCGATCTACTATTTCTTGCAATGAGTCGTTGAATGATCATATCTCTAACAACACTAATCTTGTCTCTATCTATATAACTAAATAGAATAGAGAATAGAGTCGTTTCAGTCTCTAGATTAATCTTTTTGATGATGTCGTAACTGTAGCTAGGATAGTATTTTCCTTCTTTACTCTCTATTTGATCAATGTAACCTATCATCTCTGTTATCATCCTATCATAAAAAAAGATCGATGTTGTTTGAGGGATGTGAAACCTATTGATCTCTTTTGCTAAACCTTTGATTGAATTCCATATACCCTTCATCTCATCTATTTCTTCACATTCTTTAAGGTGATCCTCTGACCACATGTTTGTATATATATACAAATAGATATATAGATAAATAGATAGAGACAAAAATATGAAGGAAGGTGATGATATGAATTCAAATCAAGAGAGAGTGAGATATGATAATCAACAAACAAGCATACTTGGAATTTTTTTTTACACTTCATCTGGGCACGATGAACCTTTCTTCTTATTTTTACAAAAATATGAATTCATATCATCACCTTCCTCCATCCTTTCTATTATACGATTATATATATATATATTTTACTATTACTTTAATTGATTTATTATTTTAAAATAATTCTAGAATAAATTATTAATTAATTAATTTAATCCATTTTGCAATTATAATAATTTATAGTACTAATTAATTAATTAATTAGTTAATTTAATCAGCCCTTGAACTTGCAAAGAAAAAAGTATCTTGTAAAATAATATCGGTCATGTCTTGTAAATTGTAAACTTTAAAGTTTTTGATCTCTGGATCACCAACTAAAAATAATCGAGTTGCATTCATTTGAATGGCGCTAAAATAATAAATAATAAATAAATATGTTAATTAATTTGAATAGATATTATGTATATATATTTGTTTATGACATACAATAAATAATTTAAATGTCCTATTGGTTGCCTAAAAATCTTTTCAGAACTACAGAATAACACACCACCCAAATTAAAGCAGTCATCCCAAAGACGGTTGAGAGACTCGAGTCGTTCGACGGGATCGGTGATCTGTGCAAAATCGGATTGGTAGTCTTCATAGATGCGATAGTACCTCGATGACTTTGGGAAACAATAGTCAAAGTTGATGAGCATCATGGTTTCGAAAAAGAATGGTGGTGTCCCCGATATACGGTCAAACATCTTGGGAGACGGTATGAAAAAGGTTGCCACGCAATACGCCGTCATTAAATAGGCTGATGCGTGCCAACTAGATGCGATTGGCTTCTTTGTTAAAATTCTCGGTGTCGAGGGTGAAAATATCGATGACAGTGATTGCATTGCTTCATTCCATCTATTTGTTAATTTAAATATTGAATTAATTAATTCCTTATTACTAATATTATTATTGCCTGTTGTTGTTGTTTGATTTAATTTTAATTGATTTGAAAATTGTAAACAATCATTATAAATCGATTCATATAATGATTTAACCTTGTCAACCTTTTTATCCATATATTGTTGTACGGTAGGTGCAACATTTAATAATGTCTTGTAAGCTTTAATATCTTTTCTTCTTATAATTGATACTCTTTTATAAATCTCTAATTTTTTAATAATCTAAAAATTAAATAGAAATATTAATATTATTATTTAATTATTATTTTGTTTTGAATATATATTGATTTGATTTACCTCATTTAAAACAGTTAAAAGTGGAGAAATATTTGGAGATTTTGAAATAAATGATAAATTGAATGCCGATGGATTACAAGTATTGAGATAGTATTGTTGACTGTTATTGGAACATGCCATCATCCAGAGTAAGAGATACTCTTGGTTGTTGTAATCTAGGATGGTTTGAAAGATTGGATCTTCGTAGATGGCGAGACGTAGTCGACGTGTAAAGTTGGAGATACCGTTGAGAGTGAACCGTTGCAGCATGGTACCTGTCTGGTAACTGCGCAGGTCACCACCAAAAGCAGTACGGTAGTGTCCGAGATAGGCACTAGAGTTGGAGAGGATGGTTGTGAAAAGACCGAGTAGTGAAAAGGGTGGTGGTTGAAGATTGCCAGCATGCATCGTGCAATAGGCTGCATGCTGTGTCTCGAGCATCTCAAACAACGTTTTCATCTCGGTCAGCTGGCGTATAGCCGACTCTATCGTAACGGCCGAATACACACGATACGCCATCTCATCGTGTGTCGCACGGTATATCGACCGCACCTTCTTGACACGACTCGACATGAACGGTGTAAAAAACAGTTGGAATACCAAATCGTTGACGAGGCACTTGTAAAAGGCCGATATTGCATCGAGGTCGTTTGCAAAGCCCATCCAGTTGGTCATGTAGTGTGCACTCTGAAACAAAGGTGACTTGGCCACAAACTGGCTTGTATTTCGTACATTCCAGAGCAGATGGTTGTTGGCAACCACCGACGTCACATAATCCTCTATACCAAACGTGTAATGACTGTATTGGGTCGAGTTCAAGTCAGACACCAACATGGTCGACATTTTAGTCATGGTCTCTTGCAACTCTAAATACATTGCAACTTGTCTTGTAATATCATACATTGATGAATGTAGTCTTATGTACGACACCTTGATATGATCACGCAGCGTCAATGGAAGTCCATCCAAAATACCATGCCATGGTCCTTCCAACAAAGTATTCAACTCTTCACGATAATGTGATGTCGTAGATGTACTAGTACACGACAATGCACTCAATATACTACAACTACTCATACTTGATACTATCTCTTCTCCACTACATTGTTGTTGTTGTTGTTGTTGTTGCGACGATTGTGTTTGTTGTTTAATAGTCAGCTGAATAATAGTAGATTGTGAAGAAGATGGAGGTGAACATGATATAGTACCATAATCATGTTGTTCATCAACATGAGCATGTGGATGAGTAAGAGTAGTAGTATGATTATTCTGAAGTTGAATTGATGGTGTAGTTGATGGTGTAGTCGAACTACTAATACTACTGTTAGTTGGAGATACTAGTGTATTTGAATTTGTTGTAGTACAACTAGGTGTAGTTGGAAGTGAACTCGAATAATGATGATAAAGTAATTTATTACTACTATTCTTGTGAAGCAATAGATTGGATGAAGAAGATGCAGACGATGACACTGAAGAAGTAGGTGAAGAAAAGTCTATAGAGGTATCTAAACTTCTCGGTGTAGTGACCAATGACGACGAAGATGAAGATGAAGGTAGCACCCTCATCATACGTTGTTTCTCTTCTATCACTACATAACAATCATCCTCCTCCTCATCAATACCATCATCATCATCATCTTGATTATTCTTCTCTGTCTTTAAATAATGTATTAACTTTTCAAAAGTTTGTTTTTGTTCCTTTTGTTGTTGTTGTTGGTGTTTGTGTTGATGTTGAGGGGTAGGGTTGTGGGTGTTGGTATAATTCATTATGAATCTACCCCCTTCTCTATATCTATATTATCTTATTATTAGTATTTGTATATTATTATTATTATATGTATTTATAGATAGATTAATAATATTATGTGGAGGTGCGTCGATTGGTTCATCATTGGGTTTTGAGGTTGAAAGAATAAAATCGGCGGCAGAATCTGCAACTTTTTATTATTATTATTTTTTTTGTTTTTATTTTTTTTTTGAACCAGGACAAGACTCTTGCAAGAACATCAGGCGATTACTCTTTTTTTTTTAATTAGTATTTATTTATTTATTTATTTGTATCGGATACAAATAATGGAAGCACAGTATAATAGATAACTCGGAGTTAGAGCATAGAGGGTCTTGAGATGAATCATCTTGGTGTCACCCTTTAACACGACGTCTTTGTAGACATTGACAACTTTTGGTATTGACACCATCGCAGATACCAACATGGGATAGTTCCGATAATGTAGTGACAAGAAAACAATCAATGCATGATAACTATAGATTAGTAGATAGAAAGTAGTTAATGAATGAATGAATGAATAATGAATGTATGTAAGATATCTTCTTTGGTCTTCTGACTTTTACGTACCAAAATAATAAAAAAAATATAAATCTAATAGAATTCTTTTTCCCAAGTAGAATGTTTAGTGTTATGATACCGGCTTTGGCATCGTCGTCGATATCTCTATGGTATCCTGAAATGAGACAAGTTGTGATGAATAGTGCCACCAAAGGACTGTATACTATGAACCACTTGTCTGGTAGGTGGTTGGTAAAGAGACAATAGTAAACTGACATTGTCATGAATATGTAGAATACAAAATTTAATGGTCCCAGTGCAATATATTTAAGGGGTGTGTAAGTGATGGCTATTATTGATAGACCCAAGCAATAACTTTTAAACACTTGTTTAAGCCATTCCGTTTCACCATGACAAAACATAGTGAGTATGTAGGTACTTGCGAGCATCGAGACAAAAGAAAAGAGAATGCATTTTTTGTGTCTGCCAAGTGACATTTTGTCAAATAGTGTTCTGTCACATGCTGTCTTGGGGTCGTCCACTCCAGAGATAAAGTCAACATAGGTGTTGATCGAATAGTATAGTGAATGACCAAAAAAGGATACCATAAACAACAGACAAAACATTAGAATATAATGTTGTCCCATCGGATCTTTTGGCAAGTATACATTTCCACTACCAATTGCTATAGATATTGATGTTATAATATATAATATAATTGGTGGAAATGCATATAATCTAGATGCATCGATATATGATTTTATTATTCCATTCATAGCTATATTATTTTCTTCTAATCTATCTATCTCTTTAATTAATTATTCTACTATAGTTGAATGAAAAAACATATTTTATTTTCTCTCTCTCCCTTTACAACAATTAGTATTAATATTTGTTATTATTGTATCTAATTTTAGATTTTCAATTATATTTATTTAAATTCAATCGGAATTTACACAACACACTGCCCATTCACCACAATTTTTTTTAGAATGTACGTTGTACGTGTGTGAAAACAGGTAACAATATAAATACATGTAAATTTTTATTTTTATTTATTTATTTTTATTTATTTGTATTTAAAAAATTTAAAATTTCAATTCTATTTTCTAGATTACAATTATATTGCGTTCCAGATTTGATAGATTGAAAATGGGTTTGATCAATGGTCATTGATTGTAACCATTGGACAGACCCATACATACCAATTAGGAAACAAGCTTCTTTGGTTTGTATTTCAAGTTGAATGCCTAGTGACATGGCCAGCTTCATCATTTCAACATCCATCGATTGTATTAATTGGTCTCCATCAAATACACTGGGTAGTGGATGCATTTTTTCTAATTGACTATTCCCTATAGAGATATTGTACCAACTCACATCGACCAGATTGTACAGCAATACGACCCATCATTTTAAAAAATGATTGGATCGTTTCTGGATGATGTTGGTCATTCAATAGGAAATAATCGATCATTTCCTTGGCTTGTTGATCATCTTGTACAAATTCACCTGGGAGGATTGGTAGATGAAACCGATCTTCCAATACCCTAGCCATATCGGCAGAGTTTACTGGTATTGGTTTCACGTCAAGTGACCAAAATAAAAAGTTTGTTTTGGCAAGGAATTTATGTGCCAACGTTGACTGTCCCTCCCACATTAATTTCTGAATGACTGCCAAATGTAATTGTAATGGTATGTTGAAATGATCGGCCAAATACTCTAAATGACTCCACATTTCCTTTTTAATCATTTTTGGAACCAATGATGCAACTCTCACATCGCTAAATGTTATTCTTGGTGCATAAGGAAGAGTTGATAATCTATCAACCAAAAATCTAAAAACATCTAGATCTTTGGATTCCAAACCAATAATTTGGTAACCCGCCACTTGTTTTTTTTGTAATTGTTCAGCCAAACCAAGAATATGATTATATGTTTGTTGTACCAATTTTAAATTACCATATTTACATATAATTTCCAAACCACATCTTTTTAATAAATATTTAATTAATTCTTCACTATTATTATTATTTTGATTAATATTAATATCTTGATTAATTTTTTGGAATAATAAATAATTAAAATATTTTGATTTTGGTATTTGATTAGGGGATGATACTTTTTCATATTGATAACAGAGTTCAATAATCCAAAATATATAATATAATGGTGTTGTCAATTGTTGTTGTTGTGATGAAAAGAGTGATTTGATCTCATTATGTATTACAGTTTTATCTATTTTAAAATTATTATTATTATTATTATTATTTTGATTATTATTATTACAATGATCGATTAATGTTGATAAAGATTGATAATGTAATTGTATACTATTGTCCAAGTCAACATTCTCTTTTAATTTTTTACATTCACGATAATGTATAAAATAACTTTTTAGAAAACTATTTACATTTAATGGATAGAGTGGGATGACTAGATCAATGTTGGTGGTCCAATATTGATAGATTTGGCCTGAAAACAGACGGTTTAATAGGTTGGTCGAGTACATTGGTCCCAGTCTATTGACAAGGTATGTAATAGTGTCTCGGGCAATTTGGTTGTTATGGTGAGGCTTCTTGGTGCACCCATAGGCAACAATCGGGTTGATTGCGATTGTTGTGGTACATAGGTGGTCCATCTTTGTCTTTCCAATATCAACGTCTATTAAATGGTCCAATAATTCAATTCGACCATTTAAAATACACGATCGTATCAGTGTCACCATCATCCCTTGTCTATCTTCAATATGATTTATCATATCAAAGATGGTTTGCTTTTCTCCTTGTCCTTGAAAATTACACCACTTTGTAATCTTTTGAAAGATTGTGAAATGATTGGACTTGTGGCCATGATGACAAGTGGTCACGATAAATTCGGTAAACAATCTCCACACTTGTACATTGCCGTGATTGGCAATTAGTGATTCTAGAAAGTCTCCGCCACCAATGTTAACTATGAAGAAAAATGGTTCAAAGAGATGTTGTTGTGTTGAAAGAAGAAGAGTGACTAGTTGAGGGTCACTTATAGTGGTTGTTGCCTGTACCATCAATGTCACATCACAATGATCGTTTATCTTTGGACGTCCATCCTCATCATCATCATCATCATCATTCTTTGACACCTCCAATATATCTTTTAAAATTACATAGTATCTATTTAATATCAAGAAGGTTAAATCTTGATATAAATGTATGTACCTCTTATTAGGTAATCTATCTATCCTTCTTCTCTCGAAAGATCTTGGTACATGAGCACCCAGAAACTCTAAATCATTGCGCAAACACTTATACTCTTATTATAGGGTTATTGTTGTTGTTGTCGTTAGAGTTCGACATGTCGATGATGAAACTTTATAATAACAAACATAGTATTTTAATCTTACAATAAAGCAGAATTTTCTTAAGAAACCTGAGAGAGCCCACTACAAAAAAGTAAATTCATTCAAATATCTTTTCCACAATCATGAAAAATAATAACCAACAAATAATTAAAGATAGTAATAATAATACAGATATTATTAGAAAAAGATAGAAACGGTCAGTCTCATAAAATTACACATCTTACAATCCTTCATTGGATATGAGGAATTTTTCCCTTTCCATTTACGTCAGCACGATCGTTTTTTTTACTTGATTTGATTTGTTTGTTCTTTTGAGTAGTAACCTAGGATAATCCTATCTTGAGGATTTAAAATAAACCCAAATTGATTTAAAAATAAAAAGTGGATACTTTTTTGATAATATCTTTGACAAGATATTTATTTAAATTATTTTTGGGATCCCCCGAAAAATCAGCTCCGACCTGTAAAGGGACCTCGCCAAACATCAATCAGGTAACTTATTTAAAGAGCACATGTGGAGGTGATGTTGTTCATCATTAATTAATTATCTTTTTATCTTACATCATCATCAAAAAATGAAAATCATTGCAACTTTTTTAATATTATTTGTTGCTTGTGTGGTATGTCAGTTATTCCTCTTCAAAGAAGAAGATTGAAAAGAGGATAACGGATAACAATTAACCTAACTATTTTCAATCAATATCAATATCAATATATTATGATAATCATTCTTTTAGTTTTCTCAACCACAAGCTCTTCAATACTTTATTACCACTCAACCTGGAGTCTACAACTATGCAATCCTCAGATTGAGTGATGGTACCACTCTCGACAATTCCACATTCACCGCTCCCTACTTTAACCCATGGGGCTATCTATCCACCAATGATACTGACAATGTACTTATTTTGGGTTCTGCTCCTCAAGTAGGTCTCCAAGTCAAATCATATTCTGTTCAAGTAGGTGCATGATTCAAAAAGGTCAGAAATCAATTTCTAAATATTAATTATCCTTTATCTTTTTGTTTGTGTACTTTTTTAGACCAATTCTTTGACAAATGTTTACGATGGACAATCCCAATACAGTTTTAGTTTTAAGATTCAACCAATTGTTTGGGATCCAGTATCTCTAGTTGCCTCTGTTGCTGGTTTAAGCATGGCCAATGAATATGGTGCACTTGCCATTATTCAATTTGGTTTTGGTCAACAAACTCCAAAGTAAGTTATAAACAAAGAAATGATTTCGAAATTAATTGGGTAATAATAATAATCTTTTTTTTTTTACTACTACTTTTTTTTAGATCTGCCATTAACTTGGGTGTTCAAGGAGGAACTTTTAATACTGCACCAATTGGTGCCTATGATGGATCTAACTATTACTATATCTACTATAATATGGGTGCTACTATCGGACTTGTCAAATACTCGTTCAAGGATTACACCTTTTCCAAGACTGTACTCAACCAAGAGGGTGGTGATATAGTTGGTAGCCAATCACTCTTTTTCTACAATAACCAAATCTATTTGGCCTCTGTCTACTCCAAGGTAGGTGTTACCATCTCTACCATCAACTATCAAACCGGAGATATCGCAATCATCTACTCTGACTCGAATATCAAAAAGGGATTCACACAAACCATCCAAACATTTGTCTTTGACCAAGACACTGGCTCAATTATCATCCTCAACGTCGAAAATGATAACCTCTATGTCGATATCTTTGATGTCACCACTGAAACTGTCACCTCGTCTATTTTAGACAACACCATTCCACCCAATACCAATACTATTGCAGTATCTACCTATACCATCCCATCTGCTTCTTTTTCAAATTAAATAAATAAATTTAAATTAAAATGATTTATCATTTATCATTAATTAATATTATCGCGTGGAACTTTAGTAACTTGCAGTGTCATCCCACAGCCCCTGTGCCTCATCATCATCATCATTCTTTGACATCTCCAATATATCTTTTAAAATTAACTACAACTATTAAAGGCTCCATCTGACCGAACCACATCTCAAGATCATTGATGTACCTTCACTGTAACGCAACTTGTTGCAAACAAACAAGTGTGCGGTCTGACACTCACAATTGGTTCATGCTGATTGACAAACAAACTGTAGATGGAGGATTCATCAAACAAGATAAATCTAAACAATTATATATTGTTATTTAGACGTTATACATTCATTATCATTTTCGCACCTTTCAGTTGGAAAATTAAATGAATTGAATAGGCTCACTGAGCCTTATTATCAATTTATTATTTAATATTCTCGCTAGTTTGTTAACTTTTACTTGCTCCACTTCCACTTCCACTTTCATAGAAACCTTTTACTGCGTTGAAATTAAAATTGGTATTTGTAAATGTATTATTTTGTAAAGTGAAAGAAGATGAGGATGAGGGATCAATCAAGGTGGATTGATCAATATTATTATTATCGTTATTATTATTTTCATTATTATTATCGTTTCCATCTTGATCTTCTGGAGGATAAGCGTGTTGAAGAAAAGATACAACATCTAAATATCCATTAGATCTAGCGACATTGATGGCAAAGCTTGAACACCCTTCAGTACGATGTTGGTAGAGAAAGGATACGACCGAGATGTGGCCATTCATAGCGGCGCAGTCCATGGCTCGAGAAGTGCACCCCTCTGTACGATTCTGATGAAGAAAGGATACAACCGAGATGTGGCCATTCATCGCCGCCATGTCCATAGCTTCAGTTGTGCACCCTTCTCTCCGATTATGGTGTAGCCACGACACGATTGCCAGTCTTCCTTTTTCACTTGACCAGTCCATCGCATCAGTTGTACACCCCTCGCTTCTATTATTATGTAACCATTGTAATACATCCATTCTACCAAATTCCGCGGCTTTATCCATCGCCCATTTTGTGCACCCTTCACTTCTATTATTATGAAGGTATGATACTATAGAAAGATGTCCTCCTTCTGCAGCCCTAATAGAATCGGAATATATAAAGAATATATATATATATATTTAAATTAATTTATGGGGATGTTAATCATTATTATTATTCTTGAATCTATCTATCTATCTAACTATCTAATGTTTCAATGAATAATTGTGTGATATTTACCAATCCATTGCATCCACAGTACAACCTTCAGTTCTATTTTTATGTAACCATTCTATTATTTCTAATCTGCCGTACTTGGCGGCCAATGCCATGGCTTGACTTGTACACCCTTCCGATCTATTTACATGTAGCCAATCAACTATGTGCAAGTGGCCTGCACCACTAGCATTGTCAATTGCCTTTGCGGTGAGTTGAACGTCCTCTGGGAACTCTTTAATAATGTATTGTATAATATCTAGGTTCCCATTTCGTGCAACTTCGTCTAGCATCCAATCCTTGGGTAGAAAACAGTCACGTGACCATTCGACCAAATGTTTGAGTGTGTGGAGAGTGGCGTTTCTGTGCAGACAGTATCGATTGATCGATTTGAGTCTGTAGAGATAGTATACACTCTTTGCATCTGGTAGATAGTGCTTGATAAAGTCCCAAGGCAACGCATACTCTCCGACCATTGCCAACCGCTCTTCTTTCTTGGTGTCTAATGACTCGAGTATCAAGTCTCGTCCCTTTGCATATTTAGGTACCGCTTCGAATGGTTCAGATGTCTCTCCCAACCTACTAGTCAACCAAGATATATCGTTAAAGATTCGATTTCGAATCACCTTGTTTCTAAATATCTCTAGAAATATGTTTGTTGTTGTCATTTAAGATATCTCTTTTAGAAAATTAAATTAAAACTATTAAATAAGATAATGATGATGATGATGATAATGATGATAATAATGATGCGTAGTAATGTAATGAATATATTAAATTATACAAAAAAAAAGAGAGAAGAAGATATGAATAATGCGTTATAGTTCTTGATATAAGTATGAGAGGTTTGAGAATCGATCGGTATATAGATAGGATAGATAGTGTTTATAAATAAATTGTAGTAGTAAAAGGGGATTTCAGTGCATGGTGTTTGTGTAAAAGAGAAGAAAGTTAATTTAAATTAGGCTAGCTTCTTTCTCTTTTTTGGTAAAGAAACTTTGCATCATCATTCGGTTGGCTTTCAGTCAGTTGGTCGATTTTTTTTTTTTTTTTAATTTATTGTCGACGTCCAGCTCTCTCTCCAATTTCATAGTGACTCACCCTTGGTATAGGATCACTTAATCAATTCACTCAGTGATCCAATGATTACCTCCTCTTTGATCATCATCATCATCATCATCATCATTTAGTAAAGGTGACAGTGTTTGAAGAAAAAGATATTTTATATTTATTTATTTATTTATTATTAATCCTTGAACAAATCGATGACCCCAGTTACAAAACATTTGATTGATGATTTTGAATGAGGTTTAAAATACAAGTGTTGGTAATAAATCTGTGATAATGGTCCATCAATGATTAAATATTGTAAGGTTGTACTTTCCAACAATGAATCGAAAATCTCTGTTGAAAATCGGTTGTTTGCTATATTTAATACTTTGATGGATTTGTTTTGTTTAAATGCCATCACCAACTCGGAACTTGGTTGAAAATAATTCCAACTTATATCTAGAGATTTGATTGTCTTTGTGGTCATTAGTAATTTACATAATAATGGAATGTATTCTTGAACCAAAGTACCGTTATTTAATATTAAAGTTGTAATACTTTGATTGAGACAAAGAGTTGAAAAGAATAGAGGTGAAATGATATTTGGAAGCTTTGACAGTGAAAGAAGTTCAACCTTATTATTTTCCCTCCAAATTGATGCAAATGATGATGCTACTCTTTCCAATGATGCAGATTCTAATATAATCTCACCTGATACTAATTTTTTCTCTCTTCCATTTCTTATTAGTGCCATTGGATGAATTCCATGACAACTTTCCAACCAAAGTTGTTTCAAGTTTGAATGGTTGCTGAGATTAAAACAAAGTTCATTCCAATCTTCTACTGTATCTTTGGTTCTCTGGAGGTTATCATCACCATTACCACCACCAACACCACATGATCTACATTTATATTGGATTGGATGACCATCATTTGATAATTCATTTTCCAAATGACATGTGATGATACCAACTTTTAGACTTTGAATATACTTGAATGAATCACAATTTACAATGTGTTTTAAATATGATAGTTCGACATAATCATATGCAATATTGATATGACGAACTAAAGATAGATGTTGGAATAACGATGGGTAATCGAAATGGACATTTCTATCTTTACACAATAGTTTAAAGTTGTTTGGTTTCATATAATCAAGTACTTGATGAAAACTAGTGACAATTGATTGGTCAAGATTATTCAGGTTGTATATGTTGGTTATTGTTACATTTGGTTGGTCCATCTAAAGATAATGAGAGATTATTAATAACGTCAGCTGGCCACTCTAACCTCCACCCATTTTCATCCATTTCTATATCCAAATTAACTTGAATGTATGGGAATGCATCAATGACCTGTTTGATTTCTCTAATAGATTTGGTGTCCACTGAATTCTTCTTTGCAACAATATCGATTGACCTTAGTTTTGGTAGTAAAAGAGGTAATCTTGTATAATCAAAATCGGTGGTATAGTTTGGTGCATCACGTTCATCATAATATTTACTTTTAATCTTCCATTTTAGATAAGATACAGTAGTATCTGATGATGATGATGATGATGATAATGAAAAGTAAGATTCTTTAAACGGACCAACTATCTTTATACTTGATGATACTATTTGACGAGACACCTCCATCCACCATTTCGATACTAATGCAATACTACCAAGTTGTTTGAATGTAGAAAACTTGTTGTTTTGTTTCTTGGGTCTATTGTTGATCATTAGATATGATAGTTGAAGAGATGTTATGTGTTTGAACATTTCTTTATCATCACAATTCGAATTGTAATGACGACTTTTGAAATCATGAATCACATAGTCAATGATAATAGATTGAATGTATTTCGATAATGTTGTTGTTGTTGTTGTTGTTGTTTTGTTGATCATATATCCTAGGATGAATGATTGATTATATTTGAAGTGAATAATCTAAAGGAATTATTCAAAATGGTCAACGTTTGTTTTTTTTTCAAATAGTTTGTAATCAAATAATTATTATTTATTAGAGTGAGGGTATATCCCTATAACTATAAACCAGTTATACTTTATTAATTAATTAATTAATCGGCATTTAATCAATGATTTTGATTGACTAAAATATAAATGTTGATTTTGAATTTCTACCAAATCCTCGTTGACTGTTAAATATTGGATAGAGTCACTCTCCAACAATGAATCAAATAATAAATTAGATTTAAAATGGTTTCCTCTAATATCCAATATTTTAATCGATTTGTTTTTTTTGAATGCCATTGCCAACTCGACTGTCAATTCCAAATGATTATTGCTAATTGTTTGATTAGTCAATAATAATTGAGAGAATGATGGAATGTATTCTTCTACCAATGTACCATCTGTCAATATTAACGTTGTAATACTTTGATTGTGACAAAGAGTTGAAAAGAAATGTGGTGAAATGGTGTTTGGATGATTTGACAATGCAAGTAGTTCGATGCTGTTGTTGACCTTCCAAATCGATGTAAATGAGGATACTGTATTTTCAATTGGAACTGGTTCAACTGCTATTACATCATGTACTGATATTCCAATTCCAAATCCATGTCCTTGTGGATTGCTCAACGATAGCTTTTTCAATGTTGAATGGGTTGAGAGATTGTAACAAAGTTCATCCCAATCAGATACCGCGTCGACGCCTGTTTGTACCAGTACTGCAAGATGTGTGATGGGTCCAACTCGCAGAGTCTCAATATTCTTAAATACATTGCAATTGACTATATGTTTTAAATGAGCTACTTGGACAAAATCATATGCAATACTAACATGCTTGACAGTCTTGAGATGTTGGAATATTGATTCGAGATCGAAATGTGTAATTGGACACACTAGGTTAAAATAGGTTGGTTTCAAGTCATCAAGCATCCTATGAAAACAGTCGACTAGCTGTGCATCCAGACCACCAAGACTATCTCTGTTTGTTACCACTACTATTGGTTGTTTGTGAAATGATATATGATCATTGCCAATGGGCCATTCTATTTGTTTGGCATGCCAATCAAACTTGATAGCTCGATCCTTTGAATCAATGGTGATCTCCAAATTAACTTGAATGTGTGGAAATAGGTTGATTACTTGGACGATTGCTTTAATAGCTTCATTATCCAAACACTCTCCATAGATATTGAGTGTATGTAGGTTTGGTAGTAATCTAGGTAACCTTGTATAATCAAACTCGGTATAGGTTGGTAATGGTTTGCCATCATGATATAGCCCTCGACTAAATACCTTCCATTTTAGAGTTGTTACAGCTGATCTATTGGATGATAATGAAAAGTAAGACTCTTTCAATGGACCAACCAACTCTATACTTTTTGATGTTATTTGAATAACAACTTTCATCCACCATTTTGATACTAACGCAATACACTTTAGTTGTTTGAATGTAATATATTGATTTTGTTTTTCTAGAGGTTTGTTTACACCCATCATCATCATCATCTCTGATTCTTGATGATATCTAAACTGGAACAATCCACAGTCATCATCATCATCATCATCATAATGTCGTTCAAAATCATGACCGTGAATCAACATGTCAATGATCATTGATTGTACGTATTTTGGGAGTTCACTACATGTACTATCATCATCGCCATCATCATTTGATATGTTTTCCTTTAGCTGCTGATCTGTTGTTTTTGTTGTTGTTAACATATTAGTTGTCAAACATTCACTTCAAGTATACTATAGTTAGTTTGTACTATTAATATTTAATAGAACAACAATTAGAAGTACGTATGTCTTTTTGGCCTGGGAGGTTTGAACTTTGAACATCAAGACAATTTTTATAAAAAGAATAAAGATCATGATTTGACCACTTGTGATCTTTACAAACAAAGACACTCTCGTCAACATATAAATCAAAGATGTGTCAAATACGATAACAGATGATAAGAATCATCTTCAACTTGAACTTTTATACAAACAGATAAAGAATAAGTAAGTGATAGACAGAAAGATAGATAGAATTAATTTATATTAATATATGTATTTATTTTAGTCATGTCAGATAATAATACTAGTAGTACGATTACAAGTATTGGTAATACAAAGAGTTATTTAAATTCATTACCAAATATAATACTATTGATTATAATCGATCATTTGGATGATGATTTGGATTTCATTTGTTTGATGTTGACATCAAAGAGAATGCACGATGACGTGTTGAAAAAGAGAGAGTTGGTGCATCGATTCAAGAATACTCAATATATGATGAGAGGAGGTGGTGCATCGGTATATTATCATCCTACAACTCATCTATTAGCGTCTAGTGATGGAGACATTGCATTCAAACTAGAGAGGTCTTTTAAATCAATCTATCTCAACTCGACTGTTCAAGATCAACTCGTATTGGATAGTGGTACAGAAACAGTAGATGAAATTACAAAGAGAATAGAATTGTATAAAAATATCAACAACATCAACAATAACAAGAGAAATGTAGATGTAGATAGAGATGAACAACAACAACATGCAATGTCTCTAACATCGGTACTCATTAAAACGGGTATACCAGTCCCGAGATACAACGACTTGGCATTAAAGAATGTTGTAGAGTTATCAATCCATCTTTCAATGCCACCGGTTGATTGGTTTAGTAGTAGTAGTAGTAGTGATGGTACACCATCAAATGTATTTGAACAGTTACAAACGTTGCATTTACAATACCAAGGTAGAAAGATTGAAAAGTTGCCAGATACACTTACCAACCTCACTTTGAAACATGCCAAGTGTTTGGGTGAAGGTGTGCTGTTACCTCGGTCACTAAAGTCACTCAATATATCAAACGACCCATTCGATGGAGATAAACATGGGTTGGGAGAATGCGTAGAGTTGACTAGGTTGACTTTACCATCGGGTCTGGTGAAACCGCTGGACAACCAGTCACTCCCACCCAACCTCACTTATCTCTACATTGAATTGGAGCATGTCCCACACGTTCATTTCGCGCTCCCTGCAAGTTTGAAAGAGTTGACAGTGTCTGTTACATTTACCAACAACTATTTGTTGCCGATTGCCAGTCTGCCGAGTTTGGAGACACTCATGATAGACTGTGACTTTCCAACAACCGATTTATTCGGACGTGCAGATCACAAGACTGAAACAACTAAAGCTTTGGCTATTGGATTACCTCTGCCTGACGCACTGCCAGTATCGCCATTCCCAGCGTCGCTCAAGTCACTGCGTTTGATGCGGGATATCCACTCGCCGCCAACCGACCCATTATTCTATCCAGCCGGCCTGCTTAAACTCGACACTAACCAAGCCAACGTGCGTGCTCTGTCACGTCTGCCACCAACTCTGCAAGAAGCTGTGATCAACATATGTGACGGTCCATTCCCAATTGGATTCCTCCCCTCTTCTTCCTCTCGGTCACTCACCAAACTCGAATTATCCTACGAACTACGGTCTACAAATGCCGTCATCACACCTGGATCCATTCCCAACACCGTCCAAGACATCTCATTACACCAGTACACCGGTCCACTCACACCCGAGTATCTGCCATCCCAACTCGTTCATCTCGACTTGAACCACTATCCACATGCATTTGGTACATCTTTAGCTGACTTCAAACACCTCGAATCATTGACAGTATACTCTATCAAGTCATCGGACCATCTACCAACTGCATTCCCAGCGTCCATTAAATCCATCACCTATAATGTATTTTTCCCATTAGTCAATCTTTTACTACCAGTGTCACTCGAGTATCTATGGATACGAATCTATCCAGTTCACTCTGAGTATCATGTATACTCTCCATTTGAACAAATCAATATTATCCATCACGGCGACGACCCCAACCCCAACATGATGGTACCAAGTAATCTACGAGTATTGGAATGTGACCTAACATCACCAACCAAACCTCTATATATACTAAGAATCGATCAAGTTATCAATCATAGTTGTATCGAACAACTCGTCATACCAACCATCATCACAGCCCGTCGATTCACCTTTATGATTCGTCGTCTTGAAAATGGTGCCTTTTTCCTCTTGGAAAAACATACCCTATTTGGTGGTATCATTCAACAACAACAACAAATTGATCATAATCATGATGATGGAACAGTTAAATACAAACCATTATATCTTCACTTTAGTAATCATAAAGGTGTATTAATTCCATCTCTATCCAATTCACTCATCCCAAGTATCAATCCTGAAAAATACCAATTAAAAAAGATTATCTAACCATATAATAACAACCAACAACCAACAACCCTAATACCAACAAAATAATAAGAAATAAATAATATATTATAATATAATATAAATCAAATCATGATATCATTCAAAGTTCAAACCATGGGTCATCATTACCTCATCATCTTTTTTTTTTAGTGTGTCATATACTCCTATTTTCAAACTATTTTAGTTCATTCTTTAAAGTTCAGCTTGTATTTCAATTAATTATTTCAATAATGGATAGTGATAGTGATACTAATAGTAGTAGTAATAACAGTATAGACACATTCTCAATGACATCTGTTGATACTACTTCTTCCTCAAACTCTGATACATCATCTTCACCAGTATCTTCATCCTCTTCTACCACATCGTCGACTAAACAACAAGATATTGAAGAGTCGTCGTATATTGAAAGAGGAGGTGTCTATCAATGTTCAAGATGTCACTTTCAACTCTTTCGTAGTGATGCTAGAACAGAACCACCAATCAAAGGTACTACAAACCTCTACTTTATGCGATACATCAAAGAATCTTGTAAATTTGAATCAGAATATGCATTTGGTACAATGAGTGTTATCATTACTTGTTCTGGTGTATGTATATATTAAATATATTAAATATATTAGAGTATGGTGTATTAACTCTTTTGTTTACACAGTGTATGAATAAAATTGGTGAAGTGTGTACACGTAATGGTGATACGATAGTATTCCAAGCAAAGAATGAATTGATTGTAAAGAGAACATCGTTGGATGAAACAGACTATCAAGATACCAAAGTATACACATTGAGTGAAAAGATTGAAGAGGAGACAAAGAATCGATTTGACCTATTCTTTGATAAACTTGGAGAGTTGGCTGAAAAGGATAAACAATCACGTCAAAATCAACAACAACAACAATTAGAGGACGAGGATGATCGATTCATTTCTACATCTACTACCTCTACTACTAGTACAACTAGTACGACGAGTACTACCTCAACAACAACAACCAAACCAAGTAATTTTAGTCATATGTCAAGTAGTGGAGGTGTTAAATCAAAATCATCTTCATCTTCATCATCATCATCTCAACAAACTCAGAAAAAGAGATTATCTACACAATCAGCAAACAAAGAGAGACAACAAAAATACAAAGAATTGGAACAAGAAAGACAAAAACAAATGCAACCAGTTTCACAATTCTCATCGATTATAAATAATGTACATAATGGAATGCAAAATGAAACAACTCATAAATTTATAATGGTATCTGCACTCGCTATTGGTTATATCACTTCATTATTGGTTTCAAAATAATCAAAATAATAAGAACCAAACAAACAAATCATCATCACTTCACACCTTTCACAATAGCATTTGCTTTTGTTCTCCTCTCCCCTCCCTCCTCTTCTCTCCTTCTTGTACACATATCAATCAATCAAACCAACAAAATTATATATATATAAATCCACAAATAATAATAATTTATTTATTATTTATTAATTTATTCCAAATCCTTTTTTTAAATCAAAATGATAAAGACCATAAAGAATGTAATACTAAAAGTACAAACAATGTGGTTATGGTTACCATGGTTTGATGGAGTTATATCTCTAGATCCTATTTCTATTTCTGCTTCAGATGATGAATAGGAAGAGGAGGAGGAAGAGGAAGAAGAAGAGGAAGAAGCAGAAGATGGTGAAGATGGGGATGGACCAGATGAACCTGATGATGATGAACCTGACGATGATGAACCTGGTGAACCTGGATATGAACCTAGCGATGAAGCTGATGATGAAATAGAAGATGAAGATGAAGAACTTGCATCAACTGGAATACGATCGTTGTGGTATACCCCATTTGATTGAACTATTTCGTCGTTGACCCAGATTGTAAGTGATTGATAGTATTTAGTTCTATTAAAATCACCATCATTTAAATTACTAATTAATAATTTAAAATAAAAGAATTGTAAGTTTTGAGAGATCCAGGATAAATGCATACTAAAATACTAGAACCAACAAACAACAACTTACTAATTTCTTATTCTATTAATAAATTCTTTTAGGCCACTATAGACATTTTGCTTTTGGAAAGTTTGATAAACTTTAATTGTATAATCGATTGCATTAGAAACATTGTCATAGTACTATTATATAAAAAAAAGAATAGAATAGTAATAGAAATAGAATTGGTTAGATCAAATCAATCAATCAATCAATCACACCTCTCTTCCATTTATATATTTTAAATACCTTTTCTAATGAACCTGGTAAAACTGGAAGTTCATTCAGATCGTCAGCAAATTTTTCGTAAGATTGAAAGAGACATTTATCACAAGTTGCAACAGTTCTAACTTTTAATCCTTTTGATGGTTTCAATGATTGACCTATTAAAAGAAAGAAAGTATAAATAATTAAAATTATAAGGATTATTAATATTAATAATTTAATTTGAGTAGTTTGAATAGAATATATCTATGCTCTAATATTTAATTATTTAAATGTCAAACATACTACAACTAATAATTAAATCAAATTCTCTTTTCCCTTTATAATCGACACAAATATACTTTGACATTTTACTTGAAACTGTACATATATATAATTAAAAGGAAAAGATAAAAGGATGGAAATTAAACAATTAATAATTAATAATTAATAATTATGAAATACACCAAATTATTAAATTAATTTAATATTTACCAATAATATTAGTATTGATGAATGGATAACCATAGGGGCCATTTGAAGGTTTAAATACACCAAATATCAAGTAATCCAAATGAATGTTAAAGTTGGTGGCAGTGTAAACTGTTTCGGTCATATTGAAATTAAAGGTCATTTCCCTGAATGAAATCGACAATTCACCGCCATTGAACAATTCAATTTGTTTACAATCCTCTATCAAAGGAGTCTGTCCCCTTATTGTTAACCTGTTCTTGCAATTGAATGTTACATTGACAGTATCGTCAATTGTCACTTTGCCCATAAAGGTTAGTTTCCAGCCTTGTGGAATATTGAGTTCAGTGTTGTTGAAAGATATGGTATAATCCTCATTACCAAAATAGTATTGATTTTCTACACAAGAATCTGCTGTCCATCCTCCAATCATACAATTATCCCCTGTAGCCATAACAACGACAATCGATTCTCGTTGATGTAAAGAAATGGTACAAACCAAAAGTAAAATTATAATTATTTTTAATTGTATTAACATGTTTAATATTAATATACAGATATATATAGAGATAGAGATATATAGATATACAGATATAAATATGGTATGGATGATGGATTTTTATATATTTATAGTCAACGTTTTGAGGTGAGGGAATCAATATTAATATTAATAATATCTCTTACCATACCGACCGACCGGAACCAACCCAACCAAACCATCAAGTTATTAATATCACAGCCAGCCACTTTTTGCTTTGAAAATTATAAATATATATATATAAATATAAATATCAATCAACATATATATATATGTCAATGGTGATTGGTTCACAGTTGATTTAAAACTCGAGTGACACCCATCCCCTAACCATCATCATTACCATCATCATCGTTATCATCATCCTGCTACCGACCAGACCATCACACACAAAGTTTATTAAATGTGTGAGTGGTTAATGTTAATGCGAATGTTGTTTGGTTTGGTTGATGATACGATGAATAAATAAAGTATTTGTGTGTATATATATATATTTGTGTATTCGTATTGACTTTAACATATATGTCAGTCTTTATACTAAATACTTTCATTGCCTGATATAGATAATATATTTATATAATATATTGTGAAGTATGTGAATACAAGTCCGATTGGGACTTGATCATCGAGAGATGCGCGCTAAATTCGTTTCGAGTTGGTCTTGGTTTTTTTTTTTTTTTTGTTTTAATTTTTTTTTGGTTGAGTTCGTCTTACCCCCTAAAATACTCCTCTTCACATTCTCTCACTTCACCTATTTGTTCTATTATTAATAATAATTGTAATTATTCAAATCAATCAATTAATACATCACATCGACAACAACAACAAACAACAGCAGCAGTAGGAATCTCACTTAACAAAAAAAGTAGACATCATTGAACGACAATTGATAGATTGGTGATGATCATCATCGCGATTACTTGTAGTTGTTGATTATAATTATAAATTTGACTTATCGAGAAGAATTGAAAGATAGTAGTAGGTTTAACAGTACAGTAGTAGTGTAGTAGTCGACTCTAGAAATATAAAAGATATTGCATTTGTGTCATGACAACAACAAAAAGAAAAGAGAAAAGAGAAGTTCACAACAACTACAACTACTAAAAAGAAAGAAAGAAAGAATGAATGATCATTTGGTGATAATGAAAAATGCATGTGATATATTGGAGTTATATTATTATTATTATTAGTTTCGCGAAATATATATATTGGAGTAAAGAGAGAATATTATCTTTTCATTTAAAAACAACTTGGATAAACAGGATAGATAGATAGATAGTTTGTTTGAATGAATGACTCGAGAAAATTCTTAAATACCTATATTATAATATTTCCCTCCTACTCAGATGACACATATGTTTAATGGAGTATTATTTATTTAAATATATTCCCCTATTTATAGATCATCAGAATTTAAATTCATTTTCACAACAACAATTGTAAAACAGAGAGAGATAGAGAAAGAGATACAAAACAAAACAAAACACAACCACCACAATCACAATCGTTCACTTTTTTAAAACAATATTTATTTAAACAAAAGAATTATATTTAATTATATATATTAATTCAATCTTATTTATATCTACACCCATTACATTATTATTATTCTATTTTCTTTTTTTATTTCTATAGAAATCATGGGTGAATTCCAAGATGTTGATAGATATATATCTATCCTCAAAGAGTGCAAACCTTTGAACGAAGCAGAAGTTAAACACTTGTGTGAAAAGGCACGCGATGTTTTATTGGAAGAGTCCAATGTGCAGCCAGTCAAGTGTCCAGTCACCGTCTGTGGTGATATTCACGGCCAGTTCCACGACTTGATGGAACTCTTTAAGATCGGAGGTAATTGCCCCGACACCAATTACCTGTTTATGGGTGACTATGTAGATAGAGGTTTCTACTCGGTTGAAACCGTTACCCTTTTGGTTGCCCTAAAGGTTCGTTATAAAGATCGTGTCACCATTCTCAGAGGTAACCATGAATCAAGACAAATTACTCAAGTGTATGTAGAAACATAGAGAGAGTTATAGTATTAAAAGTAAGCATCTTGATTAATCCTATTTTATTTATTTCTTTTTAAATAGATATGGTTTCTATGATGAATGTCTAAGAAAATATGGTAATCCAAATGTTTGGAGATACTTTACAGATTTATTTGATTATTTACCTCTAACAGCTTTGATTGAAAAACAAGTAAGTTGAATCAAAAATTAATAATACTTGTGTGTATTTGTAACTAATTGATTGTTTGATTTTACTTTTTTTAGGTATTTTGTCTACATGGAGGTTTATCACCATCAATTGACACTTTGGATCATATTAGAAACTTGGATAGATTGCAAGAAGTACCACACGAAGGTGCCATGTGCGATTTGTTGTGGTCAGACCCCGATGACAGAAGTGGATTTGGGTATTCGCCACGTGGAGCAGGTTATACATTTGGCAAGGACATTTCCGAGCAGTTCAACCACAACAATGGTTTGACGCTCGTTGCTCGTGCCCATCAGCTCGTCATGGAAGGATACAACTGGTGTCACGACCAAAACGTCGTCACTATCTTCTCGGCCCCCAACTATTGCTACCGTTGCGGTAACCAAGCTGCCATCATGGAGATTGACGAAAAGATGAAACACACCTTCCTCCAATTCGATCCTGCCCCTCGTCGTGGTGAACCACATGTCACTCGTAGAACTCCAGATTATTTCTTGTAGAAAAATTTATATACATACTTATTCCATCCGCCCTCCCCCCTCCTCACATCCATCCATCCATCCTTTCTTTTTTTTTTTTATTTAATTTCAAACAACAACCAACACATACAAACAAACAAATAATAATAATTAATAATTAATAATAATAATAATAACAATAATAATAATAATTTATAACTTTTAAGATCAAGTTATAATGTATTTCAAAATCCAAGATACCCCTTTATTTTTTTAAAACAAAAACAAATAAATTCGATCCCAACCTAAATCAAATCAATCAATCAACAATAATCAATAATCAATAATAATAATAATAATAATAATAATAAACTGTATTATTTAACAACAATTTGGGGATATCCAATTTTCCATCATTTACACCAATTTGGCAATCACTGAGAACTTTTGGTTGGGAATTGAATCCCAAGGTTGGTAACCAAGAGCTATAGGGGCTTAATTGCAAGGCTAGTAATAAGTATTGATATTTTAGATTCAACAAAAGATCCTCCTGCCTACGTCACCGCCCATTAACTCCGAATTGTGTGTGACAGAGGAGATTCTTCTAACGAGTCTTCAGATGACGACAAATATCGGCAGTTGGGGGAGACAGGATATATCAGAAAAACTGACATCCTCAAAAATGAGGCTACGGCCTGGGGCAACTGCCCCTCAAATTTCCAAAAAAAAAACAATTTTTGAAAAAGAAACTGAACATTGATGGAAGGCGCCTCCTTTTTTTTTAGATAGATTCGCTGCTGAGAGTCGGTTGGCTAATCACTCAAAGTTTTTGTTTCTACTGTTTGTTTGTGTACACACTTTGTTTATTCCAATATATCGAAAGTCCTACCTACAGTATTTATATATTTATATAGAGATAGGAAAGAGAAAGAGAAAGAGACAAGTTGGTCAAGTTTTATTGTAGGTATTATTGAAAAAAAAAAACGAACGAACATTCTTCGTTCTCTCTCAAGTCTTCCGATCGATCTATATCACACCTCTTTTAAAATTGGCCCCAAAAACGAAAGATACATATACATACATACATACATACATACATCCTACACACTACAACATATTCATCCCTGGGAGGTTAATACCATTGTGTAAAGTGAGAGGGGTTATGAAAATATCCTAGACTTTTGTAACAACCCACTCACTCACCCACCCATCCATGTGTGTGTTAATAGTAGTGATACAATACTACTGTATTACACTGCACTGCACGACAGTTCACTCCCTCTCAAAAAGTTCATATGATATGAGCTTGCTTGCTTGGAGAGATCATTCCATCTCTCTCTTTTCTTTCCTTCCTTATTTCTCTTTTATGCAGATTGATTCAAAACGACGACGACGACGAATCAATCAATTAAATATCGACTATCTTCTTTTATCATCAACATCATTCATCAATATCAATAGTCTGACAAGAACAAGAACAAGTATGGTATAGTTAAATCGATATATAGATAGATAGCTAGTAATAATAATAATAATAATCAACGACAATGAATGAATGAACGATGTGATATACAAAAGTGTTAGAGAGACAACCAACCAACCAAACCAACAACAGATAACCATTATAAAGCTTGGTGATACATTTTAAAAATGGATCTTTTAGATATCTATAAAAATTGTAATGAATAGAGGAGGAGAGGAGAGGAGAGGAGTAGGAGGAATTCTCATTGTTTTTTTTTTAAAGACAATGATGATGAGACAAGAGTGTCACTCTGACAGACTATCTCTCTCTCTGTAACAAGAGAGGAGAGGGTTGTTCATCTTGGACCATCTCCCCTTCGTTCTTATTCCTCCTCCTCTCCTCTTTCAATGCATATCATACAATACAATGATGTATTTTTAAAGATCAATGATAAACAAATATCATTCATTGTTGATAGGTTAGAGGATAGGATAGTTTGTTTAAATGGGTGGTTCAGCGCCTATTAAAGTAGTACTACTTTTCCAACAACACCCAGCAACCAACAACAATAACTTTCACTTTAGAACAACACTTGAAACAACAATACAATACAATACAATACAATACAATACAATACAATACAATACAATACAATACAATACAATACAATACAACAATCCATACATTATACACTATTATATAATAATAATAATTTATACACATTCACATATATAACATTCACATTTATTAATATATTTCTCTTAACCTTCATACTTTTAGGCAAATTGGGTAGTAGAGTAGAGTATAGAAGAAGAAGAAGTTTGTTGTTAATATTGATCGAAAACGACGACGACGACGACGAAAGATAACAACCTTTCTTTACTTTAAATACCATCCAACCAAACCATCTTTCTTCAAAAAGTAGCAACTGTAACAACAACAACAACAAAGTAACAAAGTAACATTGATTACTACTATTTCTCAAAGAGTTTGATTGATAGAAGCAATTTCAACGACTACAACGACGACAACAACGACAACAACAACTTACGACCACTTTTTAATTAATTCGTGATGGTGTCAAAGAATAAATACAATGTCAAGGTCCAAGATGAGGAATTGGTATGTAGTATATTTGGAAATCTAGAATATATTAATATATTTGGAAATATAGTTAACTAATATCTTTGTTTTTATTTTCTTTAGGAAATTGCATATATGAGAGGATACAAGAGATCAATAACAAGTACAATCATTTATTATGGATTGTTGGTGATGACATTGGGAACTATATTGGTAGTCTTTCATTGGATGCCAAGATGGTACTACAAGTTAAAGTTTAGAGACTCGCCACTCAAGGACGCAGCCTATGTCTACATCAAAGACAATGAAAAGAACAGCACATTGGTCAAGGTGGTACCGCTGTCGGTCGGCAAGACAGGGTTGGCCATGTCCGGCGACAAAGTGACCAAGATGATCATCCACAAGTTTGTACGTCTCTTTTACAACGACGAGACGGGTGTTTTTGAAAAAAACACCTTCCAAACCGACTATACCCGCACACAGATTGCAGAGAGTATGCGCAGAGGTCTCAACCTCGACAGTTACCTTAGACACAAGGATTTGTTTGGTCCAAATCTAATCGACGTTCCTTTAAAGTCTATACCACGACTATTGTTGGATGAAGTGTTGCATCCATTTTTCATCTTTCAAATCTACTCGATTGGTTTGTGGTGCTCGGAATCTTACTTTTACTATGCCGCTGCTATTCTTTTGATTGCGTCTGTCTCTGCCATGTTGACTCTGCGTGAGACACGTAACAACTTGATCCAGCTCAATACAATTGCTCGGTATTCGTGTCCCGTGACGGTACTCAGAAATGGGCAGTTTGAAAACACGTCGAGTGAGACGTTGGCGCCGGGCGATATTGTCGAGATACAGAACGGCCTCGTGTTGCCATGCGACTTTTCGCTGCTCTCTGGCATCGTAGTGCTGAACGAGTCCATGTTGACGGGTGAGTCGATCCCCGTCACCAAGTACCCGCTGACCGAGTGTTCGGGCGACGTGCTCTCGGTGCACCAAGACGTCAACAAGCGGTGCGCCATGTCGGGCGGTACCAAGGTCGTCAAGATCCAGGGCAAGCAAGGCGAACGTATTCTGGCAATGGTCACACGTACTGCGTGGGGCACGACCAAGGGTCAACTCGTCTTGTCCATGTTGTACCCCAAAGAAACGCCATTCAAGTTCTTCCAACAGTCGATCAAGTTCTTATTGGTGCTCTGCTCGATTGCGTTGGTTGGTTTTGGTGTGTCGGTGTGGCGTCTGCTCGCACTCGGTATTTCGGCCAGCGAGGTCGTCATCCGTGCACTCGATCTTGTCACGATTGTGGTCCCACCAGCACTGCCCATGGCGCAGTCGGTCGGCCAAGGTTTCTCGATCTTCCGTCTCAAGAAGCAGTCCATCTTTTGTATCTCGCCGCCACGTGTGTCGATGGCTGGCAAGGTCGAGGTGTTTTGCTTTGACAAGACCGGCACGCTCACCGAAGACGGTCTCGACCTTCTCGGCGTCGTCCCCTCGTACAACCGCTCGTTTGCACCGATGGTGCGTGACGTCGACCGTCTCACCGGCCCGCTCTTCCTCACCCTCGCCTCGTGCCACACGCTCGCACACATTGAGAACCAGGTGAGCGGCGACCCGCTGGAAGAGAAGATCTTCCAGGCCACCAAGGCCCACCTCGACGACAACCACCCCAACTTTTGCGCCGCCATCCGTCTCGAGCAAAAGCGCACCAACCTCCACGTGCAGGTCGCCGACCAAGTGTCATTCCCCGTCTCGACCGACGCGATCGAGGAGTGCCAAGAGATTGGCTTGGTCGAGCGTTTCGAGTTCCAGTCGGCCCTCCAACGTATGAGTGTCATCATCCGCGGTGTCGGGCTTGAAGGCAAGGACTTTGCGCTCGTCAAGGGGTCGCCCGAAAAAATCAAAGAGCTCTCGGTCGCCGACTCGGTGCCCGCCGACTTTGACGCCGTCCTCGACACCTACACCAAGAAGGGGTACCGTGTGTTGGCATGTGGGTACAAACCATACAACGCACCCGCCAACCGCACCAAAGATGAGATCCGTGACGAGGTAGAGTCAGGTCTCTACTTTTTGGGCTTCATCGTCATGGAGAACAAGATCAAACCCGAGACACCCCCCGCACTCAACGTGCTCAAGGGTGCCGGCATCCGTTTGATCATGGTCACCGGTGACAATGTTTTAACGGCCGTATCCGTGTCTCGCGAATGCGGTCTCGTCGCACAACACAAGATTGTGTTTGTGAGCGAGGTGACGCGTGAGAATGGCGTGCCAACGATCAGCTGGCGCGACGCTACCTGCGAACCCAACGCACTTACTCATCGTCTCGACCCCGTCTCATTGACCGTCGACGGCAAGTCCTACGACGAAGAAGAGTTTGTGTTGGCTGTCACTGGTGACGCATGGCGTATGCTCTACGAAGACATGCAAAAGAATGGTAAAGGTATCACCTTTACACGTCTCTTGCAAAAGGGAGCCATCTTTGCCCGTATGACACCCGACCAAAAACAAAACCTCGTCGAGCAACTCCAAGAATGCAAACTCTACGTAGGTATGTGTGGTGACGGTGCCAACGATTGCGGTGCCCTTAAAGCTGCCCATGTCGGTATCTCGCTGTCCATTGCCGAAGCATCCATCGCCGCTCCATTCACATCGACCATCACCAATGTCACTTGCACACACCAACTTATCCGTGAAGGTCGTGCATCGCTCGCCGTCTCATTCAAGCTCTTCCAGTTTATCGGTATGTACTCTCTTATCCAGTTCATTTCCGTCATCCTTCTCTACATGGAGGGTGGTGTACTCGGCAACTGGATGTATCTCTACCAGGATCTCTGGATGATCTTCCCACTCGTCATCTTTATGGGTCGTACAGAACCATGCTCCAAACTCGCCGTCAAGCGTCCCTCTTCGCGTCTCATCTCCGTTCCCATCCTCGGCTCGCTCTTTTCCCACGTCATTGTGTCTGCCGTCTTCCAAACACTCATTCTCATCTTTGTTCAACGTGAAAAGTGGTACACTACCCACCCAGTCACTGACAATATGGATGGTATCATCACCTACATTTGCACTAGTCTTTTCATCTATGGTAATTTCCAATACTTGATCATGTGCTTTATTTTCTCTTGGGGTAAACCTTTCTTGAGAGCTATCTATACAAATAGTAAGTAGAGAGAAAGAGTAATAATTATTAGTAGTATATATATTTATTTCTTTTTTCTTTTAGGATTATTATTTGGATGTTTTTCATTGACAGTTTCAACTTCATTTTTATTACTTTTGTTGCCAACTGCCAAGATGTGGACATTTTTACAATTGTTGGAGGTGCCAATCGAGTGGCGTGTCAAAATGTTGATTCTACTTGCCATCAACGCAGTCTTGTCGATTGGTATTGAATGGATCATCATCCTATTAAAGGAAAAGAAATCACAACTCAAACGTCGTGCCAAACAAGAGGCTAGCAAAGTCATCAATGTTATCCATCAACACAATCATATAAACTCTATCCAATATGCCTAAAAAATCAAACAATCAAATAACTAATATCAAATAATATAGTAGTAACAAATAATAATAAAATAATAAAATAATCATTCTATCAATTTTTATTTTCTAATAATACAATATACAATAATACCAATCTACAGAGTGGCTATAATAATCACATGATACGTATCATGTGCCCTCTAACAGATCTTCAACGACCTCTTTTGATATCTTTGGCTACCAAGAACAATGATCAACAACCTGGAGAAGCATATATGGTCCTCGGTCCGTTTTGATCAGGAAAGACGAGTCACTTGCATGCAATCGAACGAATTTTGAAAAAAAGGGATGACCAATATTATTTTAAGTATGTATTTAAAAAATATTAATACTATTACAATATTTATTTACATTTATGTATGTATCTATTATATACCAAAATTTAATTTAAGTATAATAGATCCCAATAGAGATATATTCGATCAATTGGCTTATCAAATCAACATGAAAAATGTTCAAAACTATGATGACTTTAAAAATGTAATTATTTATTCATTAATTTTCACAACAACAATAAAGATGAACTAACCAAACCTTATTTTAGATATTTTTAAATGAAAGGGTAACTGGTACTACTACTACTAGATTACCATGTATTTTATTAATTGATGAACTTCAATCCCTTACTTGACTCCTAATAAAAGACCAATTTCTTGATAGACTCAAAGATTTGCTTGAATCGAGATGTATCCATTCCATTTTGTCTTTGGAACATATAGAGCTAGACAAGCAATAGTTTGTGAACCCTTTAGAAGAAGTCCATTTATTGAAAAGAATACTATTAAAATTGGACAGTTTACAAATGACCAGGTCAAAAAATGTTTATTAGATTGGGCAAATGATAGAAATAATATTATAATGAAAGAATCAATGTTAGATACACATATTTTATCAGTTGGAGGGTAAGAAGAAGAAGAATGAATTCATAATATTTTTCCAAAAATATTATATTAACTAAATATTTAGGTTTCCTGGAATGCTTGCCATAATTGGAGGTGAACTTGATAATGAAAGAGAAATGATTGGAACAGAATTGGATAATCAGAAATGGATATCTATTAAAAATCGAGTATTTGGTTCAATGACCCATAAATCAATGTTTAATTTAATAGTCAATCGTATCAATCATGACAAAGAACTGTGTCACCATGCACTCAATATTCTCAATGAGCCACCTGATCATGTTTTTAATCCCAATTCTGGTAAGGTTAAAAAAAAACTATTTATGATAAATTATTGAAAAGACCAAGACTCTAACTTTTTTTCATTCAACCCGAATAGATTCCATTCAATACTTTTTTGAATTGGCAAACTTTGGTATTGCTATTTGGAATTGGGTCATTTCAAAATCAAGAATGTTGACCCAAATATCTTCTATTGTTTTCAGTGAATTTCTCAAACCATCAATATACAAATAAAGTATAAAAAATAAATCAAATAGAACTATTTTTTTGAAAGAAATAATAAATGAAACCACCCAACAAACTCATCAGATTGATGTATTGCCGGCAATGTCATTTTTCAACGGTTTTTTTAAGACGGAGGGGGTCCTGGAGAAAAAATTTAAAAAAAAGTTGTTGTTTACTCCAAGCAACACTCGAGGCATTAAACCATCAACCATTATATTTATATCTTTAAAATTTATCACTACAGCTCATAAAGAGAATTCATTCATTCATTCATCTATTTAATCAACACACGCACGCACGCACGCAGCATATATATATGTAAATTACAGTTGTTATCTTCAGATCGATCGAAACAAACACCCAACACCCATTGTAACACTTTATTATTGTAATATTACACCTTCTTCCTCTTTCAAACACCCAACAACAACAGCAACAACAATAGTTAGATAAGAAAATATATATAGATTTAAAATTAGAGATATAGAATGGAGTCATGGATTGTAGTACTCGGATGGATAGAGTTTATAGTTGCATTACTCGTTTTGATATTCATAGCATTTGTATCACACACTATATACAAAACAAGACACTTGGAGTTTAATAAATATTGGCGATCAAGATTACTCATATGTGGTAGTGCCTTTGTTTGGGTAGTATGTATCATCAATCAAATGAAACACATCAACCAATCATCTATTATTATAACTAAACAATTCTAATTTATTAATCTTTTTAAAGATTGCATTATTATTGGGTAATGATTTCTTGTGGAGACCAAATGAAGGTTTATTTGGATCAAACGAAGCATACTACAAATATATTTGCAATATACATGTATTTTTTACGGTTGGTTCGGCAGAACCTTTATTCTTTGTTGTATTTTTATTTATTATAAAGTCAAAGACTAGGTATGTAGACTGATCAATTAAATCACATATCATCAATGAGTGATTTATATGTATGTATATTAATAATATTGTTTTGAATTCTATTTTATAGTCAAAAGGGTAATTCATTGTATATGGAAGACCCAAATTATTATGTTTTCAAATGGTCGATATTATGTACAATCCCTATTGTAATCGTTCATATAATCATTCTTATTCTCGATTCTTCAAGTATATCCGAACCAAGACAATTGTTTTGGACAACATATGACTCTGAACGAGGCAAATGTGCTGTACCAATCATCTCTACCGCAGCCTTTGCTATTTTCTTTGTCATCTTTTTGTTGTTTTTCTGTAGGTGATTGAACAAAAATAGATAGGATTAATTATTTTCAATCATAACTTAACTAATTAATATTTTTTGTTTGTATAATATTATAGTTGTCATTACAAATAGATTCTCAAAGACTATTCTAAATAGAAATTTAATCAATAGAATTAGATTGTCACTTGGATCATTTGTTTTATTCTTGCCTTTGGAAGTTGCCATTCGTGTAGTTTTAATCTTTACATTAAAGTTTGGTGTATGTATAATAATTATATATATATAATTTATATATTATTTGTTTTATTAATTTTTTCTATATTCTTATTCTATTTTTTAGAATACAAGTTTAGGATTATTCCATGCATTCTTTTTTGTAGATGTAGCAGTTGCGTTGGTAGCGATTCTAGAGTTTGCATTGTTCCCAGTTCTCGACTCTATTGGATTTAGAATTTCATTTACCAATCTTAGATTGACCAAACAGTCGATCAACAAGTTGATGCGCAACGATTACGATGGTGCAGGTATCAGCCAATGCGATCACAAGGATGTTATCTCTGTACATACAAATCAACAAGACATGTCTAATAGTAACAACATAATGACTCCATTGTCTCAATCGACTACTGGCGCAGGCGGCGCCGAGCAACAGATGGACCAAAACCAAATCTTGAAACAAAAGTTCTTTGACAATTTGGCCAGCAATAAGAACGGCGGTGCTGGCGACACTGGCAATGGAGCAGGTGGCATCTTGACGATTGGCGACGACGATGACGACTTTATATTCAACGATAATCCAGGTAGCGGTGACGGACAACATGTCATTGAAATGGACAGACTTTCATCCAACAGCGGCAGTGGTAGTGGTGGTGGCACCACTCATCGCAGTCCAAAGAGTCCTGCATTTGATAGAGTGTTACATACCGATGACATTAATCGTCCAGTCTCCCCGCTATCCACTCCTCTTTCTAGTGCCTCCTCATCTAGTAAATCACCTCCATCTGTATTCTCTTTAAATAATAATAATAATAACAATAATAATAATAACCAACAACAAACAGGATATCAAGCACCATCATCGGGTGGCCATGAAAGAAAGAAATCAAGAAGATTCAGTTTATCTGCCAAGAAACATAAACAAATGAAAGAAAAAGAACAACAGTCACAATCACCATCCTCATCAAATCCATCATCACCAACTCTTGCTTCAGTCTCGACATCCCCTCCCAACAATCAATCAAACGTTCGATCAATGTTCCAACCAACCCCAGTAGATGATTTTAAAAATCAACTAATGAAGTATTCGAAAAATAATAGATTCTAAAAAAAAAGAAAGAAGAAATACATAATTTGTGAATAAAAAAAGAGAAAAGAGTTTTTTCTTTTTGAATCAAATCATGGAATCAGAAATTATCTAGTATTCGAGGTTGATCATTTCAACTAACCTATTTGATTTTCGTTCTGGCCTCTTGAATTGGTTATATTTATTATTATTATTGTTTATTATTATTATCATGGTTACATTATTTATGTTTTAACAAGTATTGAATTTTTCCAACAATTTCAACTAGAGAGAGAGATTAAATTAAAGAGAATCAGGTTAGAAAATGATAAAGAGAGATCATAATAATCATAATATATTTTAATTTCATTCTTGAACATACTAGCAAGTGGATGGGATTTACATTCATAAACATAACTTTTTCCATCAATATATTCAATTGTAAAATGTTTTTGTTTATCTGTTAATGAAACCTTTAATACATCTTTAATTAATCTAGCAGGCTAAATAAATAATAAATAGAAAAAATGGTAAATATAAAATACTCTTTTTCTTTTTCTTTTTCTTTTTTTTTCTTTTTTACTCTTTTAGTTTCTTGTTCTTTTTTTGGATTTGGAGACATATTGGTAATTCTTTCTTGATCGATACCAATGATTCTTTCTTGTTTGGAGCCATATTTTTTCAATTTGACCACTTCGTATTGTTTGTATTGACCGGCGAGTGCATCATGCCAGAAAATGTCTGCGGGGCCGTCATTGTCGTCACCAACACCGAGCACCGAGCCGTCGCCCGACATGGAACGACGCAGCACCGAAACGAGGACAATATCGAGCGTGCCGAGCTGCTCCATGGTGATCTGCATGTTGACGGGCTGACCATTCTCATACTGAAAGATGTGTTCTGAAAAGTTGAGCTTACGCTTCTTGCATGTGTTGATGAGTAGCTCTTTGAGCTTCATGTCGGGTTGATACGCCACCTTGGTGATGGACGAATCGGGTAGCGTGATCTTGATGGGTGGTGCAAGCAGCGATGCGTCGGTCGACCCTCCGCCGTAGCTCGTCTGGCGCCCATGCGACTTTTTGTGACCTTCGGTCGGTGGCGCCAAGCCATTGTTGGAGCTGCCGCCACTGCTGCCCGCCGACGTTGTCATGGACGACGACCGCTCGTACTTGCGATCGACACACAACACAAACGCCTCATCTTTGAATTTATATATCATCTGTGTTGGGTCGAGCGTAGGGTAATCTTCGTCTACGCGACCGTCATCGTCGGCAATCCGCAAAAAGTATGCTTTTGGGTCGGGAATCATTTGAGGTTGTCCGCTGCTACTGCTCACACTCGAGGTGGCAGAATGCAATTGGAAATAAGTCTTTAGTGTCGCCACAATCGTTTGTACAACCGTAGCCTTATCAATCACTCTAATCTTTAATAATCCAATACCTGCAATTCCAGTATGAATAGATAATAACATTCCCATTCCTGGTGGTGGTATCTAAAATCCAAATATATAACAATGATAATATAATGTTAATGCAATTGCTTATTATAATTACAATGAATATCGATTATTTCTCAATTTACTTACAATTTCACCATACTCTGAGAATAGATCCTTTTCAGAATCATTTGGTTTGACTATTTTTGTTAATAATGAATCATGTGCTACTGGTGGTGTCTTGAATGGTTGTTTTGTAAAGTTGAATACAGGTCCATTGTTGGCAGCAGCTGCAGCTGCAGCAGCAGCAGAAGTTGTCGAGTTTCCAGCAGCACCAGTACTCGAATTTGTATTGTTTCCAGTAGTAGCTGTTGGTGCAATCGTAGTTGTAGTTGTAGTAGGAGTTGGAGTTGGTTTGGTAGAGGAGTTTACATTATTTTTTAAGTTACTTGTTGGTTTGCTTGATTGTGAAGCAGAGAATGTTACTATTTTACATTTTTGTTGATCAACTGCTGCTGCATTATTGTTGTTATTATTATTATTATTATTATTACTATTACTGTTATTGTTGTTATTATTATTGATCGGTTGTGGTTTATTTATTACAGGTGGAGGTATAGCTGCCGCCGTAGTATTCCCATTGGCAGCAGCAGCAGCAGCAGAAGTAGTTGTTGTTATTGTTGGTACATTGACAGGTGAATTTGCCTGTTGTTGCTTGGCAATATAGATGAGTGACGAATAATCCCTCTCCAAGCTCTTGCTGTAAGGGATACTCTGATCATTCGAAGCATCGTCATTTGAAAAGTTGTACAACTGATCGGCAATACTATCTCTTTTCATCGCCTCGTAGAATATCTGTGTCTTGTATCTTATTTGTTCTACAACATCTTTGATTTCACAAAATACTGCCATTATGATGATCCTCCTCTTTTATATAAAGAAAGTAACGTATTCCTGAGAAGAAGAAGAAGAAGATGATGATGATGGAGAAGAAGAACAATAAAAGAAGAAGAGGATGATGATGGATGTCTTGATCAAAGTAAAAGCTGTTATACTCTCTCTAAATATGTATTTGTTATATGTGTGTGTTTGACTTAATGATTGATTGATTGATTGATTGATTTGATACCAATGTGTTGTGTTGTTGGTATATCTATCTCTCTCTTTCTCTCTTTGTATCAATCAAAGAAAGGAAAATAGTAGTAGTGTGGTTGGTCTGACACACCCCCCAACGAAAGTAAAGTAGTTTAGTTTAGTTTAGTTTAGCTTTTGCTATTATAATAAATAAAGATGATGGATGATCGTTTATAATTAAATAAATAATCCTATTGTACAAATAATAATAATATAATAAATAAATAAACTTGTTTGTTGTGAAGCTGAATGATGATGAGTGAAAATTTATAATGACAAAAAGATTAATCTAGGTGGGTCGGTCCGACCTTGCTTGATAAATTAAATATATGAGTATTTGGTGGTTTGATGATTATTATTATTATTATGTATCTATGTTATTTTGAGTGATAGTATATGGCTATATTAATAACAGATATTGTTTTTGTGTAAAAGAGAGTAGAGTAGTATGAAGTTATTACATGTGACAACAAACTTGCTTGCTTGGCTCTTTGTGAATTGACCCAAATTTTAATTGGTCGGGTCAGTTGATTGGCAAAGGCCACCTTTCTCATCCTTTTTCCGACATTCTCTTAATACATACGACGATATATAACATTTATCTATTAGCTAGCTACTTACCCTAACCCACCAACCCTCCTCTAGGTACTCACCTCACACAAGCAAGCAAGACGAAAGAGATAGATCAATTGAGATAATCAGACATCACACCCCACCACAACTTCTCTTTCAATCACAAAATGTCTGATCAAACATCATTTACTTTATCTTTTCAACCTTATAAATTAACATTACGTAGTGCTTTTGGGTAGGTATATGCATCATTCATCATACTCATGAGCACTTTATCTTCTCCATCATCAAGTTTTAAACTTCTCTTCTTCTGCAACTTTGATTTATTAACTTGCTTGCTTAAATTATTCTAGAACAGCTCATTCAGTTACAACGGTTAGAAACAATGCATTGATTAAATTAGATGTAACAACAACAACATCATCAGGTGATGTCATAACGATTCATGGATACGGTGAATGTGGTGTACCACCAAAGAAAGCATTATGTTACTTTGCTGATTTGAATGATATTGAAACTTATTTCAATGCATTTGTCGATACTGTTACACAACAACATGTATCACCATCATCATCGCCGTCACAGTCGTCAACTATTAGATATGACCCATTTTCACAATTGCCTGATCAATATTTCAGGGATTTAAGACCAACCTCTGCGAATAACACATCACCATCTATCTTTTACACTTTGCTGGAGTGTTTGGATAAATGTCCTTTAAATAATATGGATTATTCACATGCATCTCAATGTGCAATTGAAATGGCAATCTTTGATTGTTGGGGTAAATATTTAAATCTACCTGTATGTAATATAAATATAAATAATATATAATATATAATATACATTTATTAATATATAATGTGTTTCTAGATTTATAAATTAGCATCATTGGAATGTGGAGATGAATTGAAACCATTTTATTATACTGTATCATTGTGTCCTACGATGAAGGAGATATTGGATTGCAGTGATTTTGGTGCAAAGTATACATCGTTTATAAAGATTAAATTGGATGATGATGTTGAAAAGGGAATACATATTATAAAGTCGGTGCTTGAACATTTGGAGAAACAGTCAAAACCAGTCACCAAGATATCGGTCGACGCCAACTCGAGTTGGTCACCAGCCAGTGCCATCAAATATTTGGAGTACTTGAAAACAATCAAACATCTCATTTCAATGGTAGAACAACCATTCCCAGTAGAGACACTAAAGGTCAAGACAAAAGATACTCCACGTATCATTGGTGAATGGAAACAAATCAAGGAATTGTACTTTGAACAAGGACTCCCATTGTTTGCAGATGAATCGATATGCACGCACGAGGATGTTGCAGAGCTTGTTGAATTAGTTCATGGTGTCAATATCAAACTTGAAAAGACTGGTGGAATTAGAGGTGCTTTATTAGCAGTGACCGAAGCCAAAAAACACAATCTAGATATTTGGGTTGGTTCAATGGTTGGCAGTAGTCTCAATGCCAACGCAGCTGCACATATCCTCACATCAGTATCAAATTACGGCGGTGATTTGGATGGTGGATTATTAGTAGACGATCAATCACAATTATTCAAAGATGGTTTTGAATTTAAAGATTTGGGGTATATTCAAATTAGTTCAAATCCAGGTGTTGGTGTATTAAACAAATAAATATTTATTTGTTTTTTTATTTTATTGTGAAGAGTATAGTATTAATTAATAATTTAAATATTATTATTATTATTATTATTTGATTGCAGATGGTCTAACAATACGACTAAATTGATAGGCCAAGAAACTATAAATTTTTTCAAACCAACTTCTATTTGACAAATAGTCGATCGTGATTTCATGTGATTTTAAAATATCCTTTTTAAATTGTGCTTCCAACTGTCTGGCAATACGTTCATCTGGCATGGATATCATGACCTCTAGATTTCTCTGACTCATAAAATCCAAATTATATGATCCAATCGTACTAAATTTACCATCAAATACCATTGTCTTTGAATGTAAAGTAGTTCCATACATTTCAAATATTCTAACTCCCGATCTAAACAAAAAAATAAATAAATATTAATTATTATTTTTCTTTTTCTTTTTTTTTCTATTTCTATTATTTACATACTCTAATAAAGGTTTATAAAGATAATGAGAAGCCATTCTAATCCAAGGTACATCACTTTTACCAGATGTTAAGAGTCTAACTTCAACACCACGTGCTGCAATATCCATGATGGAACGTCTGAGGATTTTTGGTGGCAGGAAATAGGGTGTTGTGATATAACAATATTTTTTACAGTCTTTAAGCATGATACTTAGACTTCGCTGTAGGTTTCGTTTGCCTCGGAGTAAATTGGATTCCAATACTTGAACGGAAACTCCTTTTACTCGATGTGATTTTTTTACAATGACCCCAGCTCCATATTTGTTGTTGTTGACCATCATGTCGTCATGTGTCAAACCACCATACAGGTCGTCATCCTCTTCTTCAATACCGTCGTCTTCAATCTCGCTTTCATCGTCTTCAATTTCATCGACCTCTACATTTTCATTATCCTCTTCTTCGTCGTCATGTTCTTGTTCGTCAGCCTCGTTGGCAAAATCTGAAAAGTAGTCATAATAACGGTCGTATAAAAATCGATCAATCTCTATCTGTCTCTCTGTTGGTGTTAGATTTGTTAAATCTCCAAGTCTAATAGTTGATGATGAAGATGAAGAGGATGATGATGAAGTTGATCTCCAAGGATATGAATTATCATTATCATTTTGATTTTCAAAGTCATCCTTTTTTCTTTCAATGTGTTGTTGTTTGATGGTATTGTAGAGTTGAATATGTTGATCGTTTTGAGCAACTGATAGACTTGCTTTACTGTCACGTTTTTTAGAGTAGAATGCAGCGGCGAGGTCGAGGACGGCTGGACCGACAATCTTTACATGTGTGTCACGGAAATAGTTGGTGCCGAGCTGCTTGCCGGCATATTTCTGTGATATGTTCATACCACCGATATATCCGACGGCATTGTCAACCACAATCATCTTGCGATGGTTACGAAACATAATAGGAATATTCGAGTCAAACGATATCAAGTTCATCAATGGATTGAATTTAGTGATACTCGCTCCACTTTCCTTTAGGTCTTTGAGATGTGCATCGGATATCGACGAGCTGCCAATAGCATCATACACAAACTTTACCTTACATCCTCTTTGTTGTGCCTTTGTTAAAAGATCCAATGTTTTCAATCCAATACTATCAGGTTCAATTGTATATGTTTCAATATTAATTGTTTCTTTTGCCTAAATTCATAAATATCAAAATATTAATATTAATAATTAAATAAATTATAATTATTTGTTGATTACATACATTTTCAATACTTTGCCACATTGATTCAAATGTTTGATCACCATCAAAATAGATTGTAACATCATTACCATTACTCCAACTTTCAAGTAAATATAATCTAAATAATAAATGAACCTTGATTAGTTTCTCGATTTAAGATTGTCTATTCTTTTCTTTTCTTTTCTTGTTTTGATATACTTTTTCATTGTTCTTCTATCTATAATATCCTTCCACCATAATCTTGTCTTTTTCAAAGCATCGAATAACCTTGGTGTTTGTTTCAAGGTATGACTCATTTTCTTTGATAAAGAGTTTACCAATCTTGTATTTTCAACAAGATTTGATGATAGTTGTATTTGTCGATGTTTCTGATGATCTTTACTATTTCTATCTTTTTGTTGTTGTTGTTGATTATTATAAAAGTGGTTTTGAAAGTAATATTTGATGGTGTAATATTTAGTTGTTGGTGTTACTGTTGTTGTCATATATTCTATTCTGTTTGTTGTCTTCTTCTTGATGACCGTCGTACTTTAACCCATGCACCTGACTCTGACTCTACCACTCTACGACGACTACTACTTACTACTACTCTAACACTTTAACTAACTCTAACCGATTGCTGGTTTGCAGCGCTGCAAAAGTACGTAAACCAACTACTACTTTGGCAATGAATTTAAGGGTTAATGCATTCATCGTGATGACGATTGGCATGAAATAAATTTAATTAAAAAAAAAAAAATATGTATTGCTTTTTAAAAAATGATCATTGTAATACTATTTATACAAATAAAACCCATTATTCCTAATAAATCAATCAGTTAGCAACATACAACAACTATATTCTACGATTAAACAAATAATAATAAATTATTATCCCAACACTATCTAGAGTACTATTTGTTCTCTCTCTCTCTCTCTCTAGTTTTAAATTTTAGTATTGTCCTAAATTTAAACCAATTATTTGTGTTGTTTGTTGTTGATATTGGCATGGGGAACATGTGTTCTCACAATCCCCCTTTTTGAAGAATTAATTGATTATGATTGTTTTTCGCTCTCCTTCTATAATATATTATATAATATATAATCACAAATCAAACCAACAATGAATGCTTAATCTTTGAAAGGTTGACGTTTCCAAAATATCTATTTATGTCTTTTAGAGCTGTATTCTTTTCTATTGCTAATGGCTCTTCATCTTCATAAACTATAGATAATAGAAAAGAAAAAGATTTAAAAAATAAATGAAGGATATTATTTTTTATTTTTTTTTTTGAACATCACCAGTTGGTATTTTTGCGGATTACAAAACAATAGTTTCAAATGTATACATAGATTGATATCTGTAAGGATGAGAGTAAAAGGTAAAAGAAAAGCAAAGGTATCTCTTGAAAGTCTTGAAAAAGAAGAAGAGTATAGAGAGTTGATGTGCACAGAATGGAAGGCAGGTGAACAGGCTATTGTTGGCGCGGTACTGCCGTGGTATGCACAGACGATCATCCTCGATCATTTATGCGCTGGCGATGAGAAGATTAGTATATTGGTAGCAATGGTGTGTTGGAGGTATAGGAGGTATGTGGCACAAACATACTTTCAAAAATACTACAATCCCTATTTAGCAGTATCGATATCTGATGTAGCACATCATATCTTTAGTCGATACTCTTTGTATCGTGACGTCAAGTCACTGCATCTTGGGTATGCTAGGAACCGTAACTTGTTTTATGGTGTTTTGCCAGACGATGATAATGGCTGCGACGATGAAGACTGGTGTGGCGGATCGGATCTTGACAAGTCAATCCCTGTCAATGTGTTTAAAGAGAGGTTTGGTCAAAAGATAGAGTCATTCTCATTGCAGACGGGACACAGTTATGGTCATGATGGAGACGGTGAAGATCATCAATACAGTGTAGACGACTCCTTTAGAGGTGAAGAATACGTATCTCTCTTGTCAGAGTATATGCCAAAACTCAAACATCTGACACTCCGAGCAGAGACAGAGTCAAAGCGTAGAGTACCAACCCACTATGTCAACATCATCAACGCTATTCCCCTCCACCAACTGACCTCATTAACACTCAAATTAAGGTCGGGCAGGAAAAAGGATACTCATCTCACCCAATCAATTGCCCAACTATTTTCATCAACTTCATCAACTTCATCAAAATTAAAATCAACCCTTGGCATTCAACAACTGACAACACTTGTAATACATTTCCGCCAATCGGATAATCAAATACTCTATCCTTCACTATCCAACTATTTGATGACAACAACTACTCTGACAGACCTGTCTCTTTCAAGTGTCGACCATCATTTTCCAACTCTGTTATTGGGTGCACTTACCCGACCACAATCACCACTCAAGAGATTAGATTTACAACCAGGTGAAAGTTGTGTACATCCCGAACCAATCTATTTTGCTAGTCTTGACTATCTGTCAATCAAAGAGAGAGAATTTAGACTATGTCTCGATCCCAAATCTGACATTAAACGCCTCAGGATAGAGTTCCCCGATTCGATCACCAACCTCTCTCAATATGTAACCCAAAACAAACATTTAATCAGGTTGACAACAGGTAGAGGTTTGGACAACCTAGTATCAAACGAGGGGGGTATGAGCTCGCCATCGATTGCATCACTCACCGTACATGGAATCAATTTCCGCGACAACCAAAAGATTGAAAAACAATTGTTGGATCTATTGTCAAGATTTCCTAGTCTTACCACACTCTGTATTAGAGGGTTTGGGAAATGCCTCGAAATCCTAAAAGACAACAATTTTACAATGACCAAGAAACCAAACAAAGAAACAAGATATTATGTCCCTGTTTATTTATTTAAAAGAAATAAATAAATACATTATTAATAAATCAAATTATACATAGTTGCAACTTGGGGGGGTAATATCAATATTACAAACCATACCACTCTTCAACAACCAGGTTGTATATTTGTTTTTTAAGGTTCATTTTCTTTTTAAGCAAGCATAAATAAATTTATAGATATAAATTAATATAGTATATAGTATAAGATGAGAGTACGTTTAATTACTAGAAGGAGCAAGAATATAAAGTTAGCACAGGAACAAGATGCATCTTTTCTTCTTGCAATGACACCGATCGAAAGTAAAGAGGAAAAAGAGTATAGAGAGTTGATGTGTGCTGAATGGAAGAGTGATGAAATGGTAGCTATATCTGGTACTGTATTACCTTGGTTATTACAGACCCGCATCATCGATCTTGTGTGCCAAAGTACAAAGGTCGAAGTGAGGAAAGATGTAAAGGTCACGAAGCCTTCGAAGAAGAGCGGTCAAAAGGTCGATGCCTTCAAGAACGGCGGTCAAAAGGTCGATACCTTCAAGAACGGTCATGTATTGGTATCATCAGTGTGTTGGAGATACAGGAGATATGTGGCACAGACATACTTTCAAGAGTACAATACTAGCATGTCGATGTATGGTATGTCTCATCACGTGTTTAGTCGATACTCTTTGTATCGTGACATCAAGACATTGGAACTAAAGTATTCAAGAAACGAAGGATTGTTTAACGACAATGACCATGATGATGATGGATACCCTATAAATGGTCGATCCAAACAAGATGACAAGACAATCATGGTAAACGTACCGGCCAACGTATTTAAACAAAGGTTTGGGCAATTGATAGAGTCATTCTCATTGTCAACAGAACACAGTTATGGTCATGACGGTGACTCTGATGACGAACAAGATGATGTGGACGGATCATTTAGTGGATACGAATATGCATCTCTATTGTCACAACATATGCCTCAACTCAAACACCTGACACTTTGTGCTCGGGCAGAATCACGACTCAAAGTACCATCGAGCTATAAATCAATCATCAAGTCAATACCACTCCAACAACTGTCATCATTGACACTTGATATCTCGTGTTATAGGGATATCGATCTGACCGAATCAATCGCCAAATTGTTTTCTGGCCATGGTGCAACCAAATCAATGCAGCAGCCAGCCATATCAATACCAAAACTCAAACTCGATTTGAAATATGTAGACAATCGAATACTGTATCCAGCACTGTCCCAGTATTTGTTGTCAACAACGAGTCTTACTGATTTGTATCTTGGTGGTATCGACAAACACTTTCCACTTTTAGTGGCTGCTCTCACAAGACCAAAATCACCACTCAAGAGATTAGTATTGGATGCCACTCAGATGGATGACTACAGTATTGATCTTGCACCAGTTCACTTTACTCTTGACTATCTTCACATTCAAGGCAGACGATTTTATCTCCCTATCGATCCAACCTCTCAAATCAAACATATCGAAATTCGATACCGTTACCAAATAGGTGATATCGAACAATATATCGACCAGAACAAGCATTTACTCAAATTAACATTTGGAAGAGACCTAGGCAGCCTCTTCCCATTTAGTTATCATCAAGATGATGACAATGACGATGATGATAACGATGAAATGGACGAGTTAGAAGAAGAGAGGAAAAAGGAGGAGAAAAAGGAGAAAAGGGAAGAGAGGAAGAAGGAAATGGAGAAAAATAAGGAGGAGGATAGGAAGATGCTTAGTATTAGATCATCGTCAATCGTGACCCTCTCAATATTGACACTAGGTAGATGCTGTAGAAGGTCAGAAGAACAATTGTTGGGACTATTCTTACAATTCCCACATTTATCAACCCTTAAAACCACTTCATACTTCCCTCAAGAGGAAAGATGTAAACAAATACTACTTAACAAGTTCCCAATATGCACCAAACAATTCAACAAAAAAAGAAACCTAGAGTATTTTGTTTTTAAAAAGCAATAATAATAAATAAACAAAGATAACGAGCAAAATTTCATGTTTCAAGTCAATACCAATACACCAACTAGTATCATTGACACTTGATATAACTAAATGCACAAAGAAACTTATGGAAACTTTTACCACATTGTTGTTTTCTGGTGCTTCATCAGTAATATTATCAAAACTCAAACTCGATCTAAAAGAAGCAGACAATCGAATACTCTATCCAGCACTATCACAGTATCTGTTGACAACAACCACTCTCACCGTCCTGTATCTCGGTAGTATCGACCAACACTTTCCATTGTTATACAGTGCTCTAACTCGACCACAATCACCACTCAAGAGATTAGCATTGGATGCCTATTTCGGACCAGAAAATCCCAGTATCAAGCTAGCACCAGCTCACCTATGTCTTGACTATCTGTCCGTTAAAGGCATAGGATTTACCTTCCATCTTAATCCCATCACCTCTGCCATCAATCATCTAACAACTCTTAAACTCAGTACGTCAGTCTTTTTTGGCTACCAAAGAGAACAACATGAAAGAAAATGTTTACAAATACTGCATGACAGGTTTCCAATATACACTAAACAATACAAGAGTGGAGAATCTATTTATATTTTAAAAAGAACTAAATAAATGCAGAAAAAATTAAATTTTAAATCATGTGTCGTTTATAAATTGAAATAGAGCTATATCTCTATTTATCTTTTATCAGATCAAAGATGAAGAATAGTACAAACTCGCACTTACAAGTAAATCATTCATTTGATCAACTTGGTATAAACGAAAAAGAAGAGGAAGAGCATAGAAAGATGATATGCGCAGATTGGAGGAGTGATGATATGGTAGCTTTGGCTGGTTCAGTATTACCATGGTATGTGCAGACGATTGTACTCGATCATGTATGCAATGTAGACTCTGTGAAGAATAAGAAGAGTATTAGTATATTGGTATCATCAGTGTGTTGGAGATACAGGAGGTATGTGGCACATACATACTATCAAGAGTACAAATCATCAAGCATGTCGATATCTGATATGTCTCATCATATCTTTAGTCGATACTCTTTGTATCGTGATATCAAAACGCTCGCGATAGAGTATTCGAGGAATCAAAGCTTGTTTGACTGTGACCAAGAACACATGTCAACGCTGGTCCCAATCAAAATTTTAAAAGAGCGGTTTGGGTTAATGATAGAGTCATTATCAATGTTTACAGCACACAGTTATGGTAATAGTAAAGATACTGATGATAAACAAGATGATGTAGATGAATCATTTAGATCTGATGAATATGCATCACTCTTGAAGCACTATATGCCAAAACTGAAACATTTAACTCTACGTGCTTCTATAGAGTCAAAACTCAATCTTCCAACCACCTATCAATCAATCATCGAGTCAATACCAATACATCAACTAGTATCATTGACATTAGAGATTACATGCAAGTTTAATAAGGAATTAACCAAATCAATCGGTGAACGATTGTTTTCTGAACAAACAACAATATCAACACTCAAACTAAATCTAAAAGAACCAAACAATCAAATACTCTATCCTTTACTATCACAGTATCTTTTGGTAACTACGACTCTTACTGACCTGTCAATCTCTGGAATCGATGACATTCACTTTCCACTTTTATTTGGTGCTCTCACACAATCTTCACTCAAAAGATTAGAGTTGATTGCCGTTCCTGTGGTAGACTATTGTCAAAATCTTGCACCAGCATTCTTTAGTCTTGACTATCTGTCCATTCAATGTAGAGGTACATTTACACTCCATCTCGATCCCAACTCTTCCATTAAGCATCTCAATATTGATGGTCCCACCAAAATCAGTAACTTTTCTCAATATATGACACAAAACAAACATTTGGTTGAATTGAGAACGAGCAAAGGTCTTGATTCCCTCGTATCTTCCAAAGAGCAAGATTGTTTAATTAAATCGTCATCTGTCAAGTCGCTCACTATCCTTGATGCCAATTTGACAAGTCAAAGGGCCGAGAAACAGGTATTGGACCTATTGACCCAATTCCCTAATCTTACCACTCTCAATATCCAACCCACTAGAAAACTATACCCACTAGCTTACCAAAAACAAGTAAACATATGCCTACAATTACTGCAAGACAAGTTTACAATGACCAAAATAATGGGTTTCATGTCCCTTTATATTTTTAAAAAGAAATAATAAATGATCCAAAATTGTACAATATCCACACTCTGTCTAGGACTGACACTCAGGATATAAGATTAATCATCTTTTGGCGCCAAAAGACTTATCAATCTGGATCTTGCCATAGTATCGGTTTTCAATTTTTAAAAGAGCGGGAAAGCTGAAAACCTATATCAAGATATATTATTGTAGTTCAACAATGACCTTGTATTTATAACATATATATAAAGAAAAGATAGTATAGTCATAGTATAAAATGATAGTTAAAGGACCTTATAAAAGAAAAGCAAAAGTACAACTTAAAAGACTTACAATCAATGAAGCTTACAGACAACTTATGTGTACAGATTGGAAGAAAGGTGAAATGAAAGCTTTCACTGGTTCTGTATTACCTTGGTACGTGCAGACTATCATCCTCAAGGATGTATGCACAGACGATGAAAAGAGTTGTATATTGGTATCAATGGTGTGTTGGAGATACAGGAGGTATGTGGTTGAGACATACTTTCAAGAGTACAACCCTTGTATCGCATTATCAATCTCTGATTTGGCAAATCACGTGTTTAGTCGATACTCTTTGTATCGTGACGTCAAGTCACTACATCTCGGGTATGGAAGGAACCAGAACTTGTTTTATGGTAAAATAGAGTTCCCGAGGTGGCAGGACTCGGATGATGAAGGCTTGTGTGGACTATCCGATCAAGACAAGTCAGTCCCAATCGAGGTGTTTAAAGAGAGGTTTGGTCAAATGATAGAGTCATTTACATTGTCAACATTCCACAATTATGGGCATGATGGAGACGGTGAAGATGAACAAGAGAGTTTGGACGCATCTTTTAGAGGTGAAGAATATGGATCACTTTTGTTAGGGTATATGCCTCAACTCAAGCATCTGAAACTCCAAGCTGATGTTGGACAGTTGCTAAATTTACCAGCCAACTATAAGAACATAATAGAGTCTATACCAATACACCAACTAGAGTCGTTGACACTGGAGCTTGACAGACCCACAACCTCACAAATCCGATTAATGGATAAACTATTTTCAAATGTACCCCAACTCCAACTCAAAACACTCAAACTTGTTCTACAAGAAACACCAGACAATTTCATACTATATCATACATTATCCAAATATCTGATGGTAACAACTACTCTCACTTACCTAACCCTTACCAAAATTGATGATCACTTTCCATTGTTATTTGGTGCTTTTAAAAGACACCAATCACCATTAAAGAGATTATATTTGGAAGGTGGTAGAGAAAAATACACTCAACAAAAGGTACCAGTCTACTTTTGCCTTGATTTTATTTGTCTATTTCATGGGGAAATGGGTTCCAACTCCATCTCGTCCCCACATCTTCCATCAAGCAACTCAGGTTACACTCTTCTAGTTCAATCACCAACCTCTCTCAATATTTGGTAGAAAACAAAAATTTAATCGAATTGGCAGTTGGTAATAGCCATATATCCAAGGGTATTGGATCGTCATCGGTCAAGTCGCTCACCATGAATGGATTTTCCAAAGATCAAAAGACCGAGAAACGATTGTTGCGATTATCGATGCAATTCCCAAATCTAACAACTTTGACAATCAATCCATCATGGGTCCAAAACGAACAACTGGTCGACCAATACCAACAAATACTACAGGACAAGTATACAATGACAAAAAAAATGGGGGGATATGTTTTTGAGAAGAAATAAAGAAGTATGCTCTGACCAAATTTTATGCTTTTAAAAAATCATCTGACCCAAAGCTTGTTGTTATTGTTTCATATCATCTTTGTACAGATAAATAACTATACTAAAAGAAGATGATGTACATGGAAAAAGAGGAAGAGTGTAGAGAGTTGATGTGTGCTGAATGGAAGAGTGATGAGATGATAGCTATCACTGGCGCAGTAGTATGTGCAGACCATCATTCTCAAACATGTATGTACAGTCGACTTGGACTTGGAAGCAGACTTGAAAAAGAAGAGTCTTATATTGGTGTCATCAGTGTGTTGGAGATACAGGAGGTATGTGGTACAGACATATTTTCAAGAGTACAAATCATCAAACATGTCGGTAGATATGTCTCATCATGTGTTTAGTCGATACTCTTTGTATCGTGATATCAAGACATTGGATCTAAAGTATGATAAGAGTAGAAGCTTGTTTGACAATAGACAAGATCCATTAGATGAATCAAGACGTCGCGTACCTCGCGACGTGTTTAAAGAACGGTTTGGGTTAATGATAGAGTCATTCTCATTGACTACAAAACACGGCTATAATTTTAATAACTTTACAGAGAATTCGAATGGTGATAAAGATGATGATGATAAAGATCAACATTTTTGCATCCTCAAAGAATATGCATCACTTTTCGAGCACATGCCAAAACTCAAACATTTAACTCTATTGACAGTGCCATATTTAAGGACCATTAATCCATCCGCCTATGCATCAATCATCGAGTCGATCCCAATTCGTCAACTAAAGTCTTTGACACTCGATATTGCCTGTAATGGAGACACGGCCAATTGCAAGAGAATAACAGAATCTATTGCAAAACAGTTGATATCAACAGTCGGACATACAGCAATATCAACACTCAAACTCAATCTAATAGATCCAGACAACAAAATACTCTATCCTTCACTCTCAGAATATCTATTAAAAGAAAAGGCAAAGACACTCACCGATCTATCCATCCACGGTATCGACGATCACTTTCCATTGTTATTGGGTGCCCTAACAAAAAGAAAATCTTCACTCAGAAGACTAGAGTTGCGAGGTAAAGACCGCTATGGTGTAGATGGGCTTGCATCAGCCTATTTGCACCTTGATTGTCTGTCCATAAAAGGGAGAGGAGAGTTTAACATCAAACTTGATTCTACCTCTAAAATCAAACATCTCAAGATCCGAGACATCAGTAAAATCCAAAACCTGGCCAGGTATGTGACCAAAAACAAACATTTACTCAAATTGACCATACTCCAAAGCATCCCAAACGAGATAAACAAGAGAAAGAGAGGTACAATCCCCCACCATGCACTTCCTTATTTGGTATCTGAGGGTATAGGGTCGTCATCAGTCGAGTTTGTCACCCTCGATTTTGTCAATCTAGCCAGTCAAGAGCGCCAAAAACAATTGTTGGACCTGTTGACACGAACATTCCCAAATCTAAAGACTCTCTGCTTCTATGCACCAGAGTATCAACAAGAAGAAGATCAAAAACTAGTAAACAAATGCTTACAAATACTCCAAGAAGCATTTACAATGACAATTAAACCAAAAAAAAACAGACTCATGAAGTTAGATTATGTTTTTGAAAAGAAATAAATATATACATTTATTTCTGCAAAGAGTAGGTTTCTACTCTAGATCTATTAAACTCACAATCAAAAAAATTGGGACAAATATCACAATCCTGATTATATTTATTTATATTTAACTTGATCAATCAAATTTGAAAGATGGCGATCAGTGGGATCCTTTGGCCTTCTTGTGAGGAAGAGCAGGGGTCTCGTCGAGTGGCATTTCTAGAACAAACTGGGTAACATTTTTATGTTGGTAGGTTTGTTCAGAGCTAAAAGAGTAAAAGTGGTCTGGTGGGACCACAAAATAAAGATCTATTGTAGTGAAGCCTCCACCATCGATGAGTTTTGAGAAATCATCTTGGTTGGTCGGGTGTTCTTTGGAGATGGTCATTTGGAAAAAAATGCTGTGTGACTAGGCGAGGCCTTCTTGATGAGCGAATCAATGCAAGAAAACGTGGGGGATGATGGAATCGAATAGTCATCGAATTGAATTTGATCCAAAGCATTAAACGTTCTCTGCATCAATGGGCCAAAACAAGTTTGATTTGTTAAGTCAAGAGTATTAATTGTCCACTACGTCTAAATTAAGTGGAAAAGAAAGGGAAAGTGGGCGTGTGGCGAAAGAATTGCCCTCACAAATCTTTAGATGAGAGATCTTTTCAAAAAAAACTCCGCCAACAGTGCCTTTTAATGGTACCACACCTTGAATAAAAGAACAAACCGCATCCCTGTCCTGTCTAATAAGTTTTTTTGTAACTAGATCAGCGATGTAGCTGGAGCCAAACTCGATGGTTGTGTTGGTAAAATCATTAGAATAGGTGTGGAGGATTTTATGTGAGATGGACAACGACGCCGATGACTCTCCAATAAACTGTGTCACTAAGCCAAGATTGCACACTGAAATAGCATCATCAAGCTCTTTCTTGTTTGCCAAACCAGTGAAAACATAGCGTGGTATACCACCCCAATGTCTATAGTTTGGTCTATCGATGAGGGATCCATTGTCTTGTAGACGGTTTTTTTCAAGCAATCCAGTACTTTTTATTGGTCAAGTCAGACTATTATTTTAATAAAAAGGTTAGTTTGTAGTTTGGTGGAAAACATGGGCTATATAAATATAAATACCTTTAAGTACTCTTTGTATTTATCTGGGTTGGGAGAAGAAACCATGAGACCACTTGCTTTGAATTTTGCTTGTGATTCAAAGTTTACGGAATCAATTAGATATATAGTTTTGGGATCCATGAGAATTGAATCCAATTTACCAAGATTTGCATACTTTGAAACTCGTCTTGATTTCAAAGTCTCATCATATTCAAAAAGAAGAATATGGCTATTGTGAATCGAGTGAAACACAAGAGTTCGAGTTGTTGACTTGGCATATACAAATAACAAATAGATTAGCATGAACCTCTTTCCAATGCCGGGGTTCCCTGTGATGAGCACTGGGAACTGTTCGCTGGGTAGTAATAACTCCTTCATTTTGACGTAGCTCTCCCTGATGAAGATCGGCGTCTCAACCTTGAGATTTTGCATCAACTCATAAGACCAACCAGTTGGTAGTTCAAATATACTATTGCGCAGTGGCTCCGAGAGACTAAAAAATTGGTCGAATGGATAGACAATCTCTAGAGGATTTACAAAAAAAATATATATATTAGTAAATGAGAGATTGTTTTGTTTGTCTTATTCTTCTTCTTCTTCTTCTTACCTTGTTGGATGGGTTGATGTTGGCTATGTTGAATAATTGAAAGACATCTGCCACCTGATATACCAAGCAATTTCAATTGTGCTAGTGATGCACTTTTAGTGTTCAAAAGATCTAATCTCTCGTTTACTATTGCTTGATAATCACTATCATTTTGATCAGATAAACCTAATTTAACAAGAAGTTCTTTTGTTGAATCAGATATTGTTGTCATGTTTGTTGAAATCAAAAGAGAAGAGCAACTAGTTAGTTGTACACAACAAATTTTACAAAAGCGTATGCAAAAGTTGAATGATATTGCAACAATTTTTAATGAATTAAATAATTTAATTATTAATTATACAATTCAAAGAATAATAATACAATACAATAATTTACTGGTTTTATGATTCCCTCCTCAATGGATTAACATCTTTTAAATCATAATAATGCCATTATAAAGAAATAATTATTTGACAAAATGGATTAAATCATTTTTTAAGGTTTTGATTTGCTATTTTGTTTATCTCGTCTTGTTTGACCTTTCTTTATTTACTTATCAAGCATTTCATACAATGTTAGATAAATGGAAAGAGGGACGAACCCAGAATACAACTTTTTAATAAAACTACCACTACGCCACAACTCTTTGAGGATGCCCAGCGGAGAGAGGGCCAGTTTGGCCTGGACGGGGTCCGAGAGGTCTAATATATTTTGGAGCTGTGTGCGGTAGGAGATTAAAAATACAGGGGCCATGACGGTGGTGTAGATGAGCGTGCGACCCACAGGGTTGGCGAGGATATAGTTGGCGTAGCGCCAGAGTTTGGATTGCGTGTTGCGTATGTATTGGTGGTAGGAGATTTGTTGCAGTTGTTTGATGGCGCCGTCGACGAGCATGCCGGCAATCGACATGCCCGCATACACCGACATACCGCGCCACAGCCCTGTAAAACCGTTGCGTGTAATGACATGACGTGCCACATCGAAAAAGCCCTTGTAGTGGCGATCGACCATATAAATGTTGGCGCACATTTCGGCGGGGTACTCGACCACGCACTGACACGCAAATGCAGCGTATTTGTAGACCGATGGTGGAACGAGTGCGTGTATGCGACGCTGTAACTCGCCTGCTAACTGGTCCGAAATAAATACAGAGGCGATACCAACCAATGTACCTCTAAAGAGTCCGCGACGCAATCCGTATGTGCGACGCGCTTCACTGGCCACACGCCAACCCGTGCGGTAGTGTCCCCCAGCCGTCATGCTCTGACACACCACCGACACCATCTTGAAAGGTGACGATACGAGCTGCGAGCACATCGCAACCACCAACTCGACCACACGTAACAACTCTTCACGCACTTCGCCGTCTGTCTCGTGGAATGTACCACCTTCGTCAAACGAGTATGTATCGTATAGCTCGCGCATACGATCATCTGACAATATCTTGTTGGCACGATTAATCTCGACAAACTTGGTCTGATCTGCTGCCGACGGCTTCTTGTCGGGATGGTATCGCTTTGCGAGCATTCTATACTGTTTCTTGATCTCTTCCTTTGTTGCTGATGGTGTCACTCCCAAGATCTCGTACAAACCATCGCCTGCACTCATCAGCTCTTTCATCTCTTCTTGTGTTGGTCTTGTTGACATTATATTATATGTATGTGATAGATTCTCGCGATCTATACTACTAACTACTAACTATACTATATAATATATATCTAATTACAAAATACAAAGATACTGATGAAACGATGCAAACACAAAATTAAACATCGGTGTATTCTTGTCAAAAACGACCTCCTGAAAAATTTTACTGATTTAAAACCGAATCAGGTTAATTACTTATTTATTTAATTTAAATCAAATCAAAAAGATGGTCTATTGATTATTATTAGGTTAAAACAGAACTTCAAATCATTGACAATGATATAGATTGATATATCTGATCAAAAAAATAGGAATGATTATTTTCGCACATGTAACACAGTTGTGTGTTTGTTCACAAAGTGATTGTTGTTGCACCGTCATCATACAATTGTATTTATTATTATTTATTTTAATCCCAAGTATCCAAGAGATATTTCTTCCTCCTATTCTATCCATGGATAGTAAATTTATTCCAAAAAGATATTAATCTTTTTTGTTAATTAATTATTTTTCTGTAGTTTTTTTAAATTTTAAGAAATGGGATCAAGATGGAAATCAATATCTACACCTTCAAAACAACCAAAGATTATCAAGATTGATAAAGTTGATGAAATATTAGAAGCTATTTCCTCTCTTAAAAAAGTACCTCGCCGTCCGTTTAAAAGATATATAATTTTAATCGTAGTCTCTGTCCTTTTTGTAGCAACCTTGCACCAATACAACTTCCACAATTCCAAGTTGAAGCAATCATTGATCAATTTACACTTAAAACAATTTCAGCCCAGCAACGTTACAAAGATTGATATTAAAAATTCAATCATTGATATTCTCGAACAAAAAGGAAACCAACATAACCAATTCCAAGTTGGTATAAAATCCTATCTTTATCTCCACCGTTACATAGGTATGTGTGCAAATATTGATCGCATTATAACAAGATCTAAATCTCTCTTAACAAATAATAATCCATCATATAGAGCATGCCAGTTGGATGAGTGGAATATTCAAAAACATAACCTTTGCCCTACGAGAATGGATATTTGACTATGAAAGTCTATAAAATTTACAGACATTTGAAAGAATAGATGGTTTGCCAGGATTAGAGGATTACCAACCAGATTCTAATTGGAAGAGAATGCAAAAAATGTTTTTCACAGGTGGAGACCTGAAATAATTATAATTATAATACCTACCAATTATTAATTGTATATATATATACACCTTGAGAGAGAATAATAAATAAAAAATGTATAGACCAAAAAAAATATTACAATCTTGAAACATTGAACCAAGTACCATTGATCAACACGTTGGAATGGAATATAACTATTTATTCCAAAAAAGAAAAGAAATTTAAATTAATGGTGACCATGATGATGAGGAGGAGGAGGAAGTTGACCAGCTGGAACCTTTTTACTGTAAATTAAAAAAATTAAATAATATTAGTATTAGTATGTTTGTGGGATGGCTCGATTATGATTGCTTTTGTTTAACTTACACCTTGTTCATAAATTGTTTAAATTGTCTATTAAATCTAACTGTCATTCCACCTTGACTATTTCCTTCAACTTTTTTTCCCTAGATTAATTTATAAATAAATAAATAAATAAATTAATTAATGATTTGATTTCCGTACGTAATGACATTCTTTTCTTTTCTTTCTTTTACATACTTTAGTAGTTGAGAATACAACTGGTATTCCCAATGCTCTCATCATTTCTTCTTCTTCTGGATCTAGTCCAGATTCAACTGGTTCACCACCTTCATCGATAGCATTATTATTATTATTGATATTTTGATCATCTTTTGATGAGCGATGACTACTATCCTTTTTAGATGATGATGATGATGTGGATGTCGATGATTTTCTAGAACCATCAGATGTCTTTTCTCTTTTTCTATCTCTGTCTCTGTCTCTATCTCTCTCTCCTCCTCCTGATCGATCACCTCTGTCTCCACTTCTACTCCTACTACGTTTTCTTTCTTTTTCTCTGTCTCTGTCTCCTCCACGGTCACGGTCTCTACGAGACTCTCTGTCTCCTCCCGATCTATCACCTCTGTCTCTATCTCTATCTCTATCTCCTCTATTGTTATCTCTATCACGGTCACCACGATGATGATTGTCTCTATCTCCTCCTCCTCCTGATGATCGGTCATCTCTATGATCTCTTCGGTCTGATCTATGATCTCTATCTCTATCTCTATCTCTATTGTCTATTCTATCTTTGTTGTTGTCTCTTCCACCACCACCACTGCGATTGTCACGTCTATCATTGTTGCCATGATGATTGTTGTCTCCTCCTCTTCCATGGTCATCTCGTTGACGATTATTGTAATCTCCTCTTCCACCACTTCCTCCACCATCTCTTGAAGAATATTCTCTCTTTTGTTGTTGATAAGATGATGACGGCGACGATGTTGAAGATGGTTGTTGTTGTTGTTTATATTTATCTTTCAAATTGAGAAAGTCTTGGTCATAACCTCCTTCCTCTCCAGCTTCTATTTCTCCCTCATCATTAATATCCATATTTGAGGGGTGTTTATGTGTATGTATGTATGTATATAAATATATATATATGATGTACAATCAATCTTTGAAAATTGAATAATAATATTATTTTAATGATGAAAAAAGAAAGCTACTCTTTATTAATTTCAACACAGACCACTGATTGTCTACTTAAAACTAATTAAAACATAAAAATTTAACCCTATAATAAGGAATCCAAGATTAATTAATTAATCAACAAGAATAACAACCAAAAAAAAGATAAAAAGATTTAAGTCTTTATCCTACCGGATTCTAAAGTACTTTACTTGTGTCATACATAACATAATCAGAAAGAAAGAAGTTTTCTTTGTTTGTTGATAATCTGATCATGATCATGATCTTGATCACGATCAACACCACACCATCACCAGTGATGTTATCACGAATGAAAGAGGGGGGTTCATTGAATTGTACTTTGAGTAGTAGTACAACAACATCACAGAAAAATTGATCATATGATTTCAGTGTGATGGAATGAATACACCCCACCACCCACTAAACTTGGTTGCGAGCATATGTAATTCTGGTAGCGAGAATCACTATGACCATTTATTAGTTTCTAAATCTTTCTTTCTTTCTTTCTTTCTTTCTTTATTTAATCGAATACTACAACATTTTAAACAACAATGACAAATAATAGAATAAGAAAGTCAACAACATTATTCATTATAGTAGTGGTGGCCCTTTGTTCTTGTTGGGTTGCTCACGCCCAGGACCCTCCAAAGTGTTTGTATTTTTTAGTTTATATTTAGCAAAAAATACACATAGATTAATACTTTTGTACATTTTTTTTTTAGTTATGAATGAAATCTTTCAATCTGGGCAAATAATCTACTATGATACAACACCCAGCAGAAACAGTAAGTTATTGGTTTTACCATTTTTTTTTTGTAAATCTCCACATATTTATATTCTACTCTACTTTTGGGAATTAGGTGATTTTCAGTCATCCTACTGGACTTCATATTTCTTTGGAGAGAAAGGATTGGTTTTACCATATCTTGGTCCTGATGGGAAACCAGAATATGCACTAGCAGGAGCTTCACCTTTAGGAAGTGTTTCATCACCAGCCAGTTTTTCAAGTTACTTTAATCAAGTGAATGGAATATCAGAGGAAATAGTCGTTGGAGATATTCTGGAATTTGATCAATACCCACCCTTTATCTACGAATTACATAGATTTAATTATTTCCCACTCAATGGCCTTGGATTTGATAATGCTGCCAACTATCCTTCAGAAACAATTTACTATGACGACAATGGAAACCCTCAAAACTTTCATTTTTGTGCACACCTACAATACAAATTCGATAACTATCCCTGTGAAATCGAATATTCATTCACCAATTTTGAAAGAGGGAATATGTGGATCTATATGGATGGAATGTTGGTTTTCGATAATCCAATGGGTCAACCACAGAATACCTTTTTCCGTGATAACGTAAAACTAGATATCTTTTACTGTAGCATGTCAACACCAAAAACCGACCTTACCATCACGATTAGTATGTGTCGGTGTTATCAAGGCCAGTGTTGTAGAGTAGACGATTGTTTGCAACCGTTTTATGAAAATCTTTGTGGTTTTAAGAATTGTGACTCAAACATTGCAACTTGTTTTGGAACATTTGATGGGCTTTGTAATAATGTTGCAGGAAACTACTGTACAACTCCTGTATGTGACAATAATTTCCCATACACTTGTATGGACACTGAAACCTGTCCACAAGATGGTATCACTTGTAACACTGAATCCTGTACCGATGAAAGTACTGGTACCTGTGCAAGTGTAGATATCTGTCCACCAAGTACCGATACCTGTTTTGTCGGTATGTGCGATGTCAATGCAAATGCTTGTGTATTGAATCCAATTGTTTGTATGTATTATAAAAATTTAATTAAATTTATAAATTAATATAAATATATTTCTAACTGTAATATAATAAACTAACATTCTATTTTCCTCTTTAGGTGATGATGGTAATCCATGTACATTGGATTGGTGTGGAGATGGTAGTTGTGGTTATTCAGACCTATGTAATACAACGAGTTTGTGTGAAAGAGCACATTGTAGAGTTGCTGCCAATGGAATAGATGGTGAATGTTACATTGAAGATTTATGTGTTGATATTGATCAATGTATTATTGGTAGTTGTATATCCCCACTTCTTGGTTGTCAATTTGTTGCTGTACAATGTATGTATTTGTTATAAAAAAAATAATAATAATAACAAATGAAGATGATCGCAAAAACAATCAACCTCAGTCTTGTTTTTAAAACGTAAATTAATTCTTTTTTTATTTAATTACAAATTAGGTGATGATGGAGATGACTCAACAATCGATGCTTGTATTAATGGACAATGTGAAGTTATCACTGATTGTACTTCAACTGATGTATGTTTAGATGGTGTTATTTTCAATTCAACATGTATACTATTACTATTTGTAATTATTCTTTAAAGATGATTAACATTCATTTCTCTCAAATTTAAAAAGGTATATTCGTCCCCAACTGTGTGACAGATGATTATTGTTTCCCAAAGACATGTACACAAGATCAAGGATGTGTAACTAATCCAGTTAATTGTGATGATGGTGATACATGTACGGATGATAGTTGTCTAGATGGTAATTGTGCTCATGTTGATATTTGCTCGACCACTGAAGTTGTTAGTACAACTGGTATAGTCTCGACAACTGGTATAGTCACTACAACTGGTATCGTCACTACAACTGGAATAGTCTCTACCACTGGAGTAGTTTCAACTACCGGTGTTGTAACAACTGCACCAGCTACCACAGGAGTTGTGACGACCACGGGTGTACTAACAACTTCAGGTGTAGTAACGACTACTGGAGTAGTAACAACAACAGCAATAGTTACGACCACAGGAGTAGTGACAACAACGGAAATTGTCACAACCACTGGAGAACATACTACAGTACATCCAACACTTGGTAGTTCTTCTTCTTCGTCGATATCAACATCATCATCCTCCTCATCACTTACTGGTGGATCAGGAATAACAACTCATCAACCACATGAATGTGACTTTGGACATGGTCACCACCATATTGGATGTCCACGTGGATACATATGTGCCAATATCAATGGACATCGTCAATGCATAAAAGATGATAATGCATGTCCTGCCATTAAATGCAACACTGGCAATGATCATCACCAACCTCCTCCTCCTTTATGTTAAAATAAATCATCTCACCATAAACCATAACAATAAATAATTAATTAATAAATCAAACAATAACTATACTTTAAATAATATTTATAAAAATAAAGAAATAATTAAATTCTTTTCTTACTTTCTTTTTTTTTTTTTTTTTTTGTATGTTTCATCATCCCAAGTTGTGTAACAGTTTCATTTTATATACATATTTATATATTCTTTGTGTTTACTTTTACGAAACATTTTGTAGTAGGTCTTTAGCATTGACAATAAAGCTCCGATCGGAAAATCAGATCAACAATCAACCAACAATCAGATTTAAACAGTAATTGGTAGTCACAGACCCGAAAAACAACAACTATAGTAAACCTTTGAAGAAGCTATCATAGTTAGAATCGTAGGTCGCATTCAGTCATTTAGTTTATTGGCATACTTTTGTTGGTATCCCAGTTCCTGTCAAGTTGGATAGACCATTTATCATGGATGTTCCCTGGCCCAACAGACGTTGATTTACGAATGGGCGAAAATTGTTTCGCGTTGATTCAACCAACACTACACCTATTCGCACAAATACCATTTATGGAATTTTCCATTAAGGAAAATAAATCGGTAAAGCGTGCTTCAACTGATATAGTACAAGCTTCTCGCTGCCTAAAGGATGCAATTAAAGGATTACAGGGTAGCACCTCGTAAGTAAGTAGAAAACATCGGTATCATCAAAACAAAAATAATACTTGAAGGATTAAAAAACGCTCCAGCAACATTTGTTCAAATAATATATAGGGTGATACAAAGAGTTATGACGACTGTCCTGAAAGGATCCATTGGTCAATTGGAAGAATGAATTGAGCAAAACAAATAAATGATCATCAAGAAATATAATGATCCCCTTTTCTAGATGATCATTTGTTTGTTTTCTCTACTCTTCCAATTGACCGATGGGTACCTGGACGGGGAATGAAGAAGAATGACCAAGACAACTTTATTATAGTCGCAACTGGTTAGTAATAAATCATATATAATAATAATAATAATAATAATTTTGGAAGATATAGTTTGTATATATAATATGTAATATATAATATAATATATTTTAATTATTATTAATTTTGTTTCTTTGCAGATGAAGGAGAAGAAGTGACAGAAGAGGTGGCAGGCTTCTTGGTTACGCCACCTGATTGAATAAATCTCTTTCTTTGACCTAACATGTAGGTGTACAACCATGGAAGACCGATGACGTAGAATGCAAGTGATCCAATGAGTGTATAGTAAAGGTTAAATGAAACGTTGAGAGCGTTTGGCATGGTGATACTCCACAATCCAGTTTCCTTGACATATGGTAACGATGCAATAATAGTTCCTGTCTCTCCAGTTACTCCAGATGGATATAAAATAATAAATAATGTGTATCTACAAAAAAGATAAAGGAAATGAAATTAATTAGTAAATTATAAATATATATATTAATATTAATTTGATTATTATTTCTAATTTGTTATTTACCTTAACCAACCAAGAATATATGGGACGGCATCATAGAGGGAGAGTGCGTAGAAAAGGTATCTGACAACTTCGGTGATACCCCAAGCTGTGAGCATGAGAGACATGGCCCAATGATCGTTGGTGGTGGGGACGAGGATGGCGAGGGTGACGCAAGCGACACGTGAAAAGACTTGAACAAAGGTGGTGGCGACTGGGGTCTTGACAAAGCCGACCAAAGAGTGAACAATCTCCAAGACGGCGCCAAATTGGAAGAGTGTAACCCACCATCCGACATGTTGCCAGACACCAATCAACGATTGTGATGACCATCCTCCAGCATGAAAGTGTGCAGCCAAAAGATAAAGGATATATGTCCATCCTCCAAATTGCACAATATTGTATAAAAACAAATATTTCTTTACTAGTCCTGCCATTTGATATTGTTTCTATCTATCTTTGTGTATTGTGTAGTACTAGAGAGAGGTTCGTGTATGATGATGATGATGTAATACAACAACAAAAAAAAGTGTAGTATCGCGTGTGAACAAAGTTTAATTAACACGATTGATGATTGAAATGAAGGGTAGGGGTGCATTGAGATCATGATCAAACAAAAAATAAAATAAAATAAAATGTTCAAAAATATCGTAGGTCAAAGACCAAGTTTGGGCACAAGCCTCGCGAAGGTCGCCCCTTGAGTTCCCAAACCAATAGACAGATAGATAACATATTATTTGTATACATAGATACCTAGTAGTAGTATTAATTATATTAGAGATTTATTATTTCTATATTTCTATATATATTTTCTTTTTACAAAACAAAAAAAGGATGATTTGTTATTTGGGAAGTTGACAGACAGCTATCTGTATGTATCTGTTTAGATGTCTTTGGAACGATATAGTTTTTAGGGACCCATTAAAGGTTCAGATTCACTCTTTTTGATATCTTTACCTTTGAGGTAGGATTTATCAATGAGGGCGGCTTTGACAAAGGCAGATGGGTCGCAGTAGGGGGCGTCTCCGTCCTTGATGTCGATTTTCATGGCACCAGTGTGGTATGACTCGCCGTCGTCTTCCTTGTAGAGACTGCCGTCGTCGTTGCGGAGGTGCGAGTTGAGGAGGTTGTCCTCTTCGCACGACGATGAGGCCAAGTCAGAGTCGTCTTCTTCTTGGTCGGATGGATGCTCAATGTCGTCGGACAACAACACCGACGAGTGCTTCTCGTGCAACTGGTTGACAAGGTAGTACTGGATAAAGGTGGACAGTGTGGAGATGGAGACAAAGAGGAGGAACATGAGGAGGGCAGACTGCGAGCATTTGATTGTTTGCAACCACTCGCTGCCAGGACACCACATCGACACTGGAGTGGGGTATCCAACACCCATAAACTGATCCAAACCAATGACAAAGGCCCATGAACCATAGGTGGCAAACGACAAGAGTAGAGAGAACAATGGATAGACGACGCAGAAAAAGGGGATGAACAAGTTGATGGCCAACACTACATAGTTGTACCACGACGACTCGGACGACACGTAAAACACCACCAAATGCGACACATAGACGCAACTAATAATACCAATCAGACACGACGAAATCTTTTTGTAACGGATACAGATCAACGAGCAGATGACCGACACGACAAACGACAGTCCGATATGCAAAGCAAATGCAAAGTTGTAGTGTGTCGCCACCTGGTACACCAACACTGCTCCCAATGCAGATCCAAAGAAACTAAGGAATATGTCTTTAAACTTGTACCCAAACACTATAGTTATCCATCCTCCAAATAATAATCCAAATCCAATTAATTGATTCATTTCCAATATCATCTTTATATTTTATATTTTATATTATATTATTGTATTGTATACTCTATCTTTTGTATTTTTATGTATATATATTATTATTTCTAGAGAGAAATTTAAATAAAATGTAATGATGAAGATGAAAAAGCCTGGATTAACAACAAATTATTAAAATAATAATAAAAAGAGACAAAGAGAGAGAGAGAGAATGATTGATTAATGAGTTCCAATAAATAAACTAAATAAATGTATGTATGTGATGAAGAGTGAGAGTGAGGAGAGGAGAGAGAGAAAGAAAGAAAGAGAGGAATGATGGGATGAAATTAAATTTTATTATACATACATATAACAAAAAAATAAAATTGGTTTATTTTGGGTTCTAATGAGAGTATGGGGGGGGGGGGGGAGGTGGTGGTCGAGTATATAATTAATACATCTGACAAGAGTAAAAATGGAAATTGATTGAACACCCTAACCATCCATTCTCTCACTCTCACAAACCAATATCCCCTTTTTTTCATCACACTACCCCCACTGTTTGCGGACACCACCTATACACTGTCATTTTCATTAATGAGCCATCATTCACCCTTCTCTCTCTCTATTGGTTTGTTTAATTTTAATATTAAATTCGATTTATATTTATTTATTAAAAATAAATGGAAGTTCAACTCTCTTGGAATAATATTATGTTAAAATGAGATTTTCAAGGTTCACTTGCAAGTTTCATCTGATCATCTATTTTAATATAGATAATGTTCAATAATAATAATAATAATAATACAAATACTAGTAGTAATAGTCAGTTAAATGAGATTGCACAAAGACTAGAACAAAGAGATGAAGAAAGAGAAGAATTGAAAAGGAAAAAGAAACAAGAGAATGATAGGAATCAAATAGACCAAAATACAACTAAATCTCTCACCGATACTTCAAATGATATTAATACTATTATTCAACGTATGTTAACATGATTGACTGATTGATTGATTGGAATGTGTTGACTGACTAAATTTGATTGCTTGTTATATATGATCGATCATAGAAATTCACGATGATCTTGATACTTTGTTAGTATCCAATGAAAATACTCAAATACAACAACAACAATTAAATGGTATTAATGAATCGATCAGTACATTAAAGAAACTATTCAATGAATCTATAATACTTTTAACACAATATGATGTTAGATTAATTCAAGATGTATGTATGAATGAATGAATGAAATATTGTAAATTTAATATTAACTTTTTGTTACAATTATAGAGTATAAACAAAATAGATTCAAAATGTTTACAAGTTAAAAATAAGATTACTCCAAAATCTAAATTTTCATTTGCAAAGAAAACTACTACTTGTAGTATATCTCCTTCACCTACTCCTATTGTACAGAAACAACAACAACAACAACAACCAACTAAACCAAATGATACCAATGAAACAATCATTAGTAATTCGAGAATATTAAATATTAAATCACAAACATTGAATTTCCAATGTAATCAATCCAGTGGTGACAATAATAATGAATTATCAATTGCAAAAATAACAGATTCAACATTAATTATCAACAAAAAATTGGATAACCATGAAGACTCTGGTAAACAAGAAGAAGAAATTACATCATTACAAATAGATCAAATTAAAAATAGTAAAATCATAATCTATGGAATTGTAGATGGATCAGTATTTATCGATCATGCCAATGATAGTATATTTGTCATTTCATCACGTCAAATTAGAATTCATAATTGTCACAATTGTCAATTCTACATTCACACCAAGAGTAATCCAATCATTGAAACTTGTAAATCTGTTTCATTTGCTCCATATCCATTCACAAATAATAATAATAATAATAACGACACCACGGCCAATAATGATAATTGGAAACATGTAAATGATTTTGATTGGTTACAAACTAATATACCATCACCAAATTGGAATATAATTGATCAAAATAATCGAATAAACTTTGAATAACTCTAGAGACAGACAAATACAATAATAATTAATAATTAATAATTAATAATAATACAATATATTTATTCATCAAAATCAGTCTTTGAAGTGATTGACTGCCATTTTTCTAAATCAGCAACTTGTTGCTTTAATTTGGCAAGAGCATATTCATTACTATCGGCACCAACATAGAGATGGGTTGGGAGATCACCTTGGTGACGAGCAAGACCAACAAGAATATCAGCCAATTTGCTTGGGTCACCTCTTTGCTTTCCGTGAATGCCAACATTGTGGTGATGGATAAAGTCATAGATGGGTTTGTATTCTTCGATTGGTGCACCAGCCTCCTCTGGGTTCTCCTTGGCATTGCCAATGAAATCAGTACGGAAGTAACCTGGTTCAACCGATGTAACCTTGACATTGGATGATTTAAGTTCAGCTGCAAGTGTTTCTGTTAATCCATTCACTGCAAATTTAGTGGCACTACAATGTATTCAAATAAGAACGTAAGTTAAGAATATTCTTTTCTTTTTTCTTTTTGGCACTTACCAATATGCACCAAAACCTTGGAAACCAATAGTACCACCGACAGAAGAGATATTAATGATTAGACCAGACTTTTTGTTACGGAGGATTGGTACACCATAACGGAGTACATTGAATACACCAAATACATTGATATCAAAGTTATCTCTGATATGACGATCTGCAATGGTTTCAATCACACCAGTGGCAGCATATCTAAATAGAGGCAGAGGGTATTTAATTAGTCCTAAAACAGAGATTAGATATATATATGTATAGTTTCATACCCAGCATTATTAATGATGACATCGATAGTTCCGAAATGCTTGACAGTATCTTGAATCGATTGTTTTACAGATTCTTCAGTTGCCAATTCAACGGCAAGTGATAGGAATTGTTCAGAGTCTTGGCCAAATATATCGGTCAATTGCTTCTTGTCTCTTGAAGTAGCTGCGACCTTGTCACCTTGTGCAATGATCTTTTGTACCAATACCTTTCCGATACCCTTTGAGGCCCCAGTAACGTAAAACACCAATGGTTGTTTGGCAGCATCAGCAGTAGCAGCAGCAGTTGACATTATGTATAGATAGATAAAAGGGATAGTATTAATTAATTGATGAATGAATGAATGATCACAACTTTAAGGACTTGTCTGCGACTTCACCTCATGTCCCCGCCCAGTTGTTTAGTTAAAAAAAACAAAATATCTTCTTTTCCTTCTTTTAGACCCCGAAAAAAGACCTCGAAGAACTACGGATCTAGACGAGGACCACAACCCATCACTATGACCTATTCATTCGGTCAACACTCCCCAACAAACGAAGTTCGAGTTGTGATAAAAAGAATAATTAAATTTTATGGTTCATCCTCTCAAAGACACCACACAATCAAAATCATTCATTATCTTTGTTTCATTTGGAATAGTTATAGTGAGTTTTAAGAATGCGATAAGAATTGTCAAAAAAAGAAACAAATGACCAAGTAATCAAAGTATTTCAATAAGGTAAGCTCTGTCTGTGTATTTAGGTCCCCTTTGTTGATCGAGAAGACTGTTCAATCTAGTATCATTTGAGGGTTGTTGTCGTGTGTTACAATATCTTTGATTAAAGGAGTAAAGTAACATGACAACAACCCTCATCCCCAAGAGAAAGATTACAAGGTTCCACCGCCAAGCCAATCACTCATTCCTTTCAACTTGACAAAAAACAAATAAATAAATAAATAAATAAATAGTTTACTATACTGTATAGTATTAATATCTCACATTAAACTCAATTACTCATAAAAGGCAAAGTTCTCTAACTCTTGGCGCCCCTAATGTCCACACTTTTTTTATCGCCTTGTTCCCAAAAAAAAAAAAAATGAATGATCAGAGGAAGGAAGGGGTATGGGGGAGACGAACCTTTGATTGTTTGATTGATCATTCATTTTTTAAACGCATTTATTTATTTCATTTAAACATACAACTACACATATACCTATATATATATACATATCTCTTCTTCTAGCTAGTAAACACAAATATCTAGATAGGAGGATGTATTTATAAATCACCATCCAACTCCTCCTCTCTATCAATTGAATCTGATCACATCTCTGTCTCTTTGTGTGCACAAAGTATATAGATCAAATCAAATCAAATCAGCAGATTATAATAATATCGTAATAACAACAACAATCATAGAAAGACTATTTATTTATATATCTATATTTATTTATACAATACCTCTGTATAACCGACAATATATCTATCATCAACAATGAGTCATCCAACACCAACACCTTCACAACCAATCTTTACAAATAACATTAATAACATTAATAATAATAATTGTAGTACTACATCATTACTAGCACCACCATCATCATCACCACGTACAGGTACATCGGCACCATCATCTTTTAACTCTCAACAACATATCAATCACAATCTATCGACGTATCGACAGAACCTAACCGTCAAGTTTAATGAAATCATCAATTCGATTGCAGTAAACAAAGAGGGAACGTGTGTATGCTTGGGAGGTAAAAAGGCACTACATATCGTTGATTTGGAATCCCTCAAGAATGTAAAGGTTCTGCCTCAACAAAGTAAATGGGAGGTTAGTGTTGTCGATTGGAACAATGTTTCTCCAAATCTTATTGCTTCTTCTGTATGTCTCGAAAAGTAAAAAGTGTCTTTATAATCATATAAATATGTATACTAACTCTACTCTACTCTACTCTACTCTATTGCTATTCCTATTTTACGTATGTTTGTTTGTTTGATTGTTTGTTTATAGTCCAATCAAGATGCATTTATATGGGATACAGAAAACAAGTATCCATTGATTGGACAATTCATTTCACATAATCGAGCAATCAGCGATCTCTCGTGGAGCATATTCGATCAAAACCTACTTGCGACAACCGCTGCCGATGGGTTTGTTAATCTTTGGGATCTTCGTGTTCCCAAACGAGCCATGAAGGTCAAGAGTTTCAACTCTCACATTGTCTCTGCCATTCAGGTGAAATGGAACAAATTTAATCCAATCATCCTTGCATCTGCTCACGAATCAAATCTAATGATTTGGGATTTAAGAGTAAGCTAAAAGAGATAGATAGAGAAAGAGAAGAAATAGAATTATTTAATTAATTACTTATTTCTTTTTTTTTTACAATTGTAGAAAGAAACACAAGAATTAAATTCAACTGTTCATATTGCAAAAGTATCGGGTATTGATTGGTCACCACTTGATGCTGATGAGATTCTAACAAGTAGTCAAGACAAGTCTGTCAAGATATGGTCTTACACATCATGCAAAGCCAACCCAAAACCAAAACATATTTTTGGAACTAGTTATCCTGTTCTTCGTGCAAAGTATTTGGTATGTAATAATAATAATTAATTAATTATGTATATAGATATATCTATTTAACACACACAAACAACAAAAACGAAACAAATATAATAATTATTATTTGTTTCAAAATATCTCTAAAATCTGTTAAAATAATTCTATTGTATTTTTAATGTTGGTTTGTTCGTTGTTTCAATTGGAACAACTTCTTTCCTATTTCTGTCTCTCCTCTCTCCTTTCTTTTCCCATTCAAATAATAATGATTTGAAATTAGCAATTTAATAGGCTACTTTTTTTTTTTTTTTTCTAACTTATTTATTTATTTATTTAATTTTTTTAGCCAACTGGAAAAGGAATAGTAACGATATCAGACAGAGGAGATAATAATATACGATTGTGGTCATTTAATGATTTTGAACAACCAATTGCCAAACTTTCAGGACACTCGGATTGTGTACGTTCATTTGATTTTCGCGTTGGAAACAAGTCTGCAGACTCTAACCATCGTGACTTGCAGATAGTGTCGTGGTCAAAGGATCAGCACCTGAGACTATGGAAATTAGATGACGATAGTATTCGATCACAACTGCAACTACCTTTATTAAATCTTGGAACTACAACAACTTTTACAAATAATAATAATAATAATAATAATCACTTCACCATTGTAAATACAAATAATAATCATACTGCTACACCTCCACTTACACCAATTTTAACTTCTTCAAATGATCCAAACAATAACAGTAACAGTAACAGTAATAATAATAATAACATTGATCATCAAAACAATATATCTACATCATCATCATTGTCATCTTTGATATCGACTAGTATCACTCCACCAACCACTCCATCCACTCCCATTATTATCACAAACAACACATCTACTACCAATAATAATAATAATAATATATTATCACCAACAACATCATCATCTTACAACGCATCACAATTTTCAATTCATCATCATCAACCAACAAATGATAAAGAAACCATGGAGAGTAGTTATACAGTATCTGGAAACAAACAAGAGGATCATTTGAATGATTTCTTTATGGGACCCAAAGAGTTAGAGTATGAGCTAAAGGTCATCCAAAACAAGTTTATAGACAAGGCACTGCGAATCGACCAGATCAACGTCACGCAGAGAATGTGCGTGGCGACGTGCACCGTTGCCCAAAGTCCCGTGATTTCAGCGTCGACACCTCCACGTCTGGCAGAGAGTATCCTTGGGAACAGCAATGTCAACGACTCGTTTTTGCAAGATTCGCTTAGTATTGTGACGGTGCAGTTGCGTATTGTGTTCCCCTCACTCTACCCACAAAGTGCGTCTCCCCACTTTGAATGCATCCGATCGGCGTGCACAACATCACTCAAAACCAACAAAATCATCTTGGACAATCTCAACGAGGTTGCTCAGTTGCGTCTCGGTAAACCGTGCTTTGAACAGTGTCTATTGAGATTTGTACAAGTCACACGAAAAGTGGCAGAGGGGTCGATAGATGGTGGACAAGAGTATAGCCATATAAGTAATACTGCCAATACACCATCGCTGACTTCGGCGCGAGATTTCCACGGTGCTGGAAACCACCACCCTCCCATCATCTCGACTGGTACCCCCAAAGAAGGAAGATGGCCTACCCCCAAGGACATTATCGTTGACGATATTTATACCCCTGGTTATGTTACTACACCCACATCAACCAACAAACCAACGCAACCACCACTTCCCTTGACACCAAATAATAATAATAATAATGACGATACAAATAGTAGTACAGGATCAATTACTACTCAGATACACAATCTTCCACCCATCAGCGACGAGACTGTTAATAATAGCAACACTCTTACCGATTCAGATGATAATGATGACAGTCTTGCTTTGCAGCAGGGAAAAACGATGGACAAGTATGGAACGATTGTGGGTAACCAAAAATCCATCCCCATCAAGGCATCAAACACATCTCCTCCTATTATACCCCAACAAAAGGTTGGATCACCCGGGTTCAGCAAGTCGATCGAGCGATATTTGAATTCCCCTCTTTCATCCAACCACGAATATTTATTAAAGAAGCAACCAAGCATCAACAAGGATTTATCACCAACATCACTAGCGATGAATTCATCGTCCACAGCAGTAGCTGGAGGTGCTTGGGTAGCTGCCCCCTCTCTCAACTCCACATCAGAGGTTTCCCTGTCAAGTCATCGAAACTCTATCTCTCTAAAGTCGGCACCCATCATCACCACCTCCACCACCACCACCACATCCTCTACAACGGCCACCATTTCGGCCAACCCTCTTCCAATCCTAGATAATTATCCGTGTCCACGTTTATGTGGTGCTGTGTTTAGCAATGACAAGTTGGTGGTATTTTCAAATCGAATCCTCAATATCAGCAATCAAAAATTCACAACTCCATCATCAAACATGGTTGAAACCAAACCATTATTGGAAAATGATTATCCAATTGCACCATCACTCACCTCTTCAAACGCGGCCATTCCAACTTTTCATAATTATCATAATCATCATCAACATCAACAACAACAACAAAATTCATCTTCTAAATTTACAACACCAAGAACTTATAAAGAATTATTACAATTGGCACCTGATAATACTCAAGATCATTTAATTCAACAACATCAACAACAAAATGCATCAAGTAATAGATTAAGTAGTTCACCATCTAGATTTGATAGTCCAATGATATTATCTGCTATTGATCATAACAAGACATCTTTATCAAGTTATGGTTCATCACCACGTAGTTCACCAGCTTCACTTTCTCCAATGATACTTGGAAGTGGATCAAATACTGGTAGTCATAATAGACCTTTTACAACATCTCTTTCAATATCTCATCAACTTCGAGTTATTCCCATTTCATCCCTTTCTCCAATTAATTTTACTTTGGCAAATAATTATACGTAAGTAAAAAGAAAAAGAAAAAAAAAAAAAAGAAAAAGAAAAGATAATTAAATCAATTATTAATTATTTTTTAGATTGATTGGAGAAGTTGAAGATATTTGTAAAAATAATTTAAAGGTTGCAACATCTGTAAATAGAAAAGATTTAATGAGGTTATGGTCAACACTTGCAGAGATTACAGATAGTAATTTATTTAATCTCAATGATCATCGTTTCAAATACAACAAACAACTTAAGCGATTATCACGAGTAAACACTAATGAATTTATTGATGATAATTGGCCTGTTCATCCTCTTGGTAGATCTTTAATTCAATCTTTGTATGTTACAAAACAAAAAACAATAATTTAAAATGAACAAGTAATTAATCTAATAATTTTTATTTATATAGTATGGAATATTATAACAAAATTGGTGATGTTCAAACAATGGCAATGATAACATGTGTATTAATAATATCAGCTCAACAATTAACCAAATCGATTATTAATAATAGTTTGGGTGGTGGTACATATTCTTCATCATCTTCTTCATCTTCCAATCAATGGTCATCGGGTGGTGGTGGCGGCGACGAATTTAGTCTCAGTGGAAATACAGGCAACGCAGGTGTTTTGACAACATCCCTTTCACATCCCAATTTAACAAGCCTGGCTTTTACTGGCGGCAACAATCCCTCTACAATGTCTCCTGGCATCACCTCGTCAATGACGCCATTGTTCAACTCTTCGACACCGTCACCCAATCTGAGCGTGTCAAATCTGTCGCTCAACACCTCGACAGCCGGCAGATCACCCCATTTGGGCATGAGTGCATCATTCAACACTTCCAATTTAGGTGCTTCCTTTTCTTTTGATTCCCCAAACAATAATAACAACAACATCAACCAACCTTCCACATCTTCTTCATCTTCATCTGCTTCAAATCTTAATTTGATTACAGGTGGTAACACGTTGGTAAACTCGACAGCATCGACTTTATTACTTGGCCAACAACAACAACAGCAACAGCAGCAACAACAACTCCAACAACAGTATCAACAACAAATCATACACCAACAATTGTTGATGGTACAACAACAACAACAGCAACAACAAGAACAAGAGTTGTATCAATTGGGATCGTCAAAGTTTTGCGACCCGTCATTGTGTCTTCTCGACCCTCAGTTGCAGCAGTTTTACAACCACTATCTCAACTCTTATGGAGAGTTGTTGTTCCGATGGGGTCTGTTGGAGAAGCGTATTCAGGTGCTCAAGTTCCTCAACGAGCACGATTCCGCACCATCCACCAAAAAGGTGCAATTCCAAACGGTCTGCTTCAAATGCCAACGAACACTCAATAACAATTGTGTGTGTCCCAACTGCAAGGTCTATGCTGTCAAGTGTTCGGTATGCCATATTTCAGTACGTGGTCTCTCAAGTTTCTGCATTTCGTGTGGTCATGGAGGACACACCGATCATCTCAAGCAATGGTTTGGCAAACGTTCCGATTGTCCAACTGGATGTAAATGTAAATGTGTATTGAGTTTTAGTCCACAACAACCAAAACTACCTCGACAAACAACCCCATTGACAACAGGAAATACTTTTGCTGGAACTGGGAACAACAACCAATCAAGTTTAAATTACCAATTCCTTCAAAGTAAAACCATCAACCATCATCATCATCTTGTACATTCAAACAATCGATCAGAGTTGATCCCTGATTTTTCACCATCTCTGTCATCCACCAACAATCCCCCGACTTCTTCATCCTCTTCCTCCTCCTCTTCAATTCCACAAAGTATGATTATGGAAACCCATTTTCATTAACTCATACAAACTTAATAATAATAATAATAATAGTTTAAACAAAAGTACTAAATAATAATAATAAAATATATAACAAGTAAATAACTTGTTTTTAAATATATAAATAATTATAAATCGTCCAATCCAACGGTTGAAAAAAAGGAGGAGGTTTCGGGTCGAGGAATTCAGACCAACAAAATCTGATCTAAACGGGGTTGTCTGTTGAGAAGAATAATTCGAATTTAATATTAATTCCAATGTTCTGTTCGAATCAACAACACAATGAACTTTTAATCACAAGAGAGAACTTATTCTAGAATACACATACATTCACACACACACATTCATAAGCATGCGTCTGAATTTCATACTTCACACAAACAAATAATTCAACACCGACAAGAAAGTTATCTACAACAACATTTGACAACACATTGCTTTGTCATTTATACTACTACTCTTTATTTATTTATTTCTATTTCACATGATTTGATAGTTCATTCATTCTTTCTTTTATTTATTTTTTTTAACCTCTTACTCGCGAGAGTCATATATAACATTATATTTATAGAATACATCATGATTGAACCTAATAATACTACTACTACTAATAATAATACAACAACAACGGTTGTTGAACCAAATAATAATAATAATAATAATGATAATACAACAGTTCAAATAGAAGAATTTGAAGTTGAAGATAATGTAACAAAAGATGGAAAACGACAACATCAACAACCTCTAGGTTTTATAGAAAGAATAAAAAAATGGTTATTCGATTATATATCAAAGATGAAAGGAGGAGAGAAGAGTGGACCTCGTGTATCATTGGAAGAGATATTTTGGTCATGGTTGGGAGCATTCATTGGCATTGGTGTAGTGTCGGCACTACATTATAGGGTACTCGAACCTAATGACATGATCTTCCTCGTTGGATCTTTTGCAGCTTCGGCAGTACTAATCTATGGTGCGCCAAAAGGTCCACTTTCACAACCACGTAACCTTGTTGGCGGACATTTCGTCAGTTCAATCGTTGGTGTCATCATTCGAATTATATTTGTCGAGCAGGCTGGTGGACCAGCTGGTTATATTTTTGGATGTGCCTTGTCGGTATCATTGGCAATCGTTGCCATGCACCTCACCAAAACATTACATCCACCTGGTGGTGCAACTGCAATGATTGCAATTACAACAACAAAACAACAATGGTATGGATTTTACTATTGTTTTGTTCCAGTTGCTAGTGGTAGTATAATAATGCTTATTGTTGCATTATTAATTAATAATTTGGCTCCAAAAAGAAAATATCCAGTCAATTGGTATTAAACGTAATAATAATAATAATAAGTTATAATAATTAAAGAAAAATAGACTGTTTCATTTTTTTTTTAATTTAATAAATAGAAAAGAATGGAAAAAAAATATTTATTTAATTTAATTTAAAAGTTTACTACTTTTAAATTAATTACTAGCAATACCAGGAGTACTGGTACCATTTAAATCAAGTGGAGATTCGATTACAATTTTTGGAATTTGGAATTTACCTTTTTGATAACGTTGTTCCTTTTCCATTGGTATGTCATTATTATTATTATTTAATAATTGTTGTTCTGCTCCTCCTTTTTCTGTTCCATTTAAATCATTGGTAGAATTTGAAGAACTGTTGTTTAAATCAAAACAACTATTACTTTGACTTTTAATATCAATGATGTTGGGAATGATTAAATTGGGAGTAGAGTTTGATGATGAATAAGAGACAGAGTTGTTATTGTTCTTTGGTTTAGTTGGGGGAGGAGAATCTTCATTCATTTCATAATTCATTTGATTGATTTGATGATTATTCCAACACTCTATAACCGTTCTGAGTTCATTTTCAATACGATAGAGACGACCGAAAATGAGACCTGAAATGGGGATGATATCACTTTCATAACGACGATCGTCATCAAAGTTTTCAGAGATGGAGTTTTCCAATTTGATCATCTCTGAGAGATAATCGATATCCTTGATCATTCTCTTGATCTTGTTGACATTGTCTTGAGAGAGTGAGGAGAGGTTCTTTTCCAACGATTCGAGGAACACTTGGTTGGAAATGTCTTTGATGACAACGTCCTTGGTTTCGACATCCAACCATTCACAGAGGATGTACTTTATGCATGTACTAAAGTCTTCAATGACTGGATAGATTTCATCCTTTAGTTTACGTACGAGTACCATAAGAGCGGGGTCACAAGAGCCGGCCGATGGCAGAGTATTGTGCAACACCAAGAGGTTGTTGGCGACACGTTGGAGAGAGGCTGGTGGTGTGACAGTATAATCTGCTGGCACTGCATCTGGGTCGAATCCACGTTCAACAAGATACTCTTCCACACGCTCCTTGATCAGCGACAGCCACCAATTGACAACACGCATCTTTCTATTACCGTCAAGTATTTCAAGTTTTTGAGAGATGAGTTTGGAGACGGCTGCCTCACATTGTGTGCGTAATTGAGCACAACGAAGTTTCAAAGATTGACCACTTCTCGTTTCAGAGTAACAATCCAATTGTTCTAAAACACGACGACGTGTTGGAACATAGAGAGAGGATGGTTCGACGGTACTGAGGAATCGACCCACCTCGGCACTCACCATCTTTTGGACACATTGTACCAACTCTAGTGGAAGATTGGATGACAACTGAGTCAACAAAAGACAAAGAGTTCGGAGTTCTTTGAGTTCTCCAAGTGACAAGATCTGGTTGTCCAACTTGTCCAATAAATGAGGTTGAATATTCTTTGATGATAAAAAGTTTCTAAACAATTCCTCTTCTTTGGCCAATATCATCTTTTGCAGTGCCAAAGTTGGACATTCAATCATCTCTGACATTTTCATTGCATTCAAATCAATTAAACCAAATGCACTTGAAAATTTAATTATATCATCTCTTTTAATCCAAATCCATTCAGTTTCTAGAAAAGAGAGAAAATAAAAAAGTTAATATATTTATAATATATTTATAAATAAATTTGTTTTTGATTTACATACCAGTTGGATTAATATAAATACTAAGATATTCAGTATTTAAAGTAGTATCTTTAAATGGTGAATTTGGGGAATCACAAGATTGACCAGTGAATCTACCAAACATGTAACGAGTGGTTGGATAAATATCCTTGGCAGAAGTTGGATACTTGAATATAACGAGGTCACCCTTTGCAAGAGAGGTATGATTGAAATCTTCTTGTTTGTTGAGACATAAAAAGTCACGTAGTTCAACTGCGAGCTTCTTGTCTGACAATTTACTCCATTTGTTCATTAGATTCATTAAATACATTGTATCCAATTCCAACTTTTGATTTGAACGTCTAATATGTTGATTAAAAAATGATTTTGGTGTATTTTGTGGTGTATATCCACTATTACTATGAATAAAATAATTATGATTATTATTATTACTACTAATATTATTATTACTGTTGGGAGGAATGATTGGTTTTGTAATAATTGGTGATGGATTCATTGATAATTGTTTTTTAAGTAATATACGACGAGTGATTTTACCTCCAAATGGTAAAGGTGGAGTTGGTAATGAAGCCAAACTAGCATTGGCCGATCCACTAGAAGAAGAAGATGTAAGTGGATTTGAATGACCAGTTGTAGTAGAGGTAGTAGTATTAGTACTATGACTATTACTATTTCTATTATTATTATCCTTATTGATAAAAGTGAGTGAAGCACCCATTTTGGGAGTTGTTGGACCGTTAAAGACCATATTCATACGTCGATAGTTGTTGATATGGTCAATGAGTGAAGGGTTGAGATTAAATCCAATCAATGAATTGTCAATATCGGTACGATGCGATTGAATAAAATCTTGCATACCTTGACAAAAGGTGAGTAGAGATTCAGTCGAATCTAAAGTATCATCAATATTTGAAAAGAATCTTGGTGATGAGGAGGAGGAAGTGGATTGTTGATTTTGTTGTGTTTGTTGTTTAGGGTTGTCATGTTGTTCTTTGGCAAGGGTCTTGTTAAGTTCAACGACATAGAGTAAGAGACAATCGAGAATATGGGCTACCAAAGATGGAGAGATTAACTCTTGACTACCAACCATACGATTATGGAAAACAATACTCCATTTACGATTACTTCCACCGACCAAGATGGCATTCAACGCCGATCCATTATTCATCAAACTGACTGACTTTAATAGCTTTTGGCCAACAATCATTTGATTACACATGGATCTCTTAAAGATTGCCATATCACTACTACGATATGATTTCTTGTTATTCCATTTAGAAGTGGCTCTTGGAATTGAAATCTTTGAGAATTGATCAAACCATTCAACTTCTTTCATTTTTTTCTAAAATTATTATTATTAATAATATTATTTGTTGGGAGGAGGATGGGTAAAAAAAAATAAATAATAGTTAATAATTTATTTGTTGTTAATTAATATTATTGATTGATTGGATTTGATTGATTTTAAAATATAACTGATCAAAATATATTTATATTGATTCTGTTTTCGATAGTTTGCCAGATATACATGTGCGTGGTGATTCATCATCATCATTGTTGTTGGAAATATTTCGAACTAGTCTTTAACAAATTTGACTATTAAAGATTATCTTTAATATCAAGAGTATGAAACCACTTTTAAAAGGAGTAATAATAATTCCATTGTTGGGTTGTTGGTTGGTTTTGGTTGTTTGTTTGATGATGATGAAGAATAACAATGATATGTATTTATGTATGTATGTATGTTACTCACCCTGCTGTAATAATCCATTGTCGTTGCTTGTTATTTCTTCAAAAAAGGATAGGCATCAAAGTTATATTATACACAGTAGCTAGCAACTCTCTTTGTTTGTACTTTTATTCGCATACATTGAATAACCCAACTCTATGACTTATTCTTTATAATTATAACAACTAATATGTATGCAAGCAAACGAATGATTATATTATAATATATCAATATAATAAAGTTAGTATTATTAATATTAATATTAATAATTAGTATTATTAGTATGAATGATTTAATCGTTTGATTGATTGATTGATTGATTTGATTATAATCATATAACAAGCTATGCATACATACATACACACAAGCATACACACAGGCAGTCGACATTGTTTTAAGTTTCATGACTTATTGTTTATATAATCATTAGGATGGAGTAGTAGTAGTAGTTGTAACCAATCACATTATGATTAAAGAGAATAGAGTGAGTAATGGGATAGTGGTAGTGTTATAATATTATAATTATAATTATTGGTTAGACACAGACAGATAATGAACAAAAAAAATATTTTTCTATCTATCACTAGCTAGTTGGGTGGGATGTTGGGGGATCTTTTACCAAAAATAGAAATATAATAATATTATTTAATAAAATCTATTTATCTATCTATTATATCTATCTATTCAAAACCAATATCTGAATATTATATTTATTATTATCATGAATGTTAGATGATTGATTGATTGATTATTATTATTTATTATAAAAAAAAGTAAATTATTATTATTATTACCATGGTTCAGTAAGTTGCATCCAATGCTTATTTTCAATGTGGTGATTATGGAATTCACTTGGGTCTACTTGATCTAGCTGTTGTGCGGTAGGTCCTTCTGCAAATTCATCTTTGGAATCACCAAGGAATATAGACCACCAATCCCTATTTGCTTGTTTCATTCCTTCTTTCATTTCTTCATGTTCTCCCTTAAACTCTGGTTGACTGTAAAGTACTGCACAATGTGTTACACATCCTGTTGTTACTCCTGTCGTTGTAACACCTGTAGTTGTTGATGTACCTGTTGTCGTTGATGTTCCAGTCGTCGTTGATGTACCAGTCGTTGTTGATGTTCCAGTAGTTGTTGAGGTACCTGTAGTCGTTGATGTACCTGTTGTTGTTGAGGTACCTGTTGTTGTTGATGTTCCTGTCGTAGTTGACGTACCTGTAGTCGTCGACGTACCTGTTGTTGTTGAGGTACCTGTTGTTGTTGATGTTCCTGTCGTTGTTGACGTACCTGTAGTCGTCGACGTACCTGTTGTAGATGTTGAAGTGCCAGTGGTTGTCGAAGTACCAGTAGTTGATGTTGACGTACCAGTAGTAGTTGTATTTCCAGTGGTTGATGTACCTGTTGTTGTCGTCGTAGTAGTCGAGTTGGATGTAGGAACACCGGTGGTAGTTGTTGTTGAAGTACCAGTGGTAGATGTTCCAGTGGTCGTTGTTGTATTTCCAGTGGTTGATGTACCTGTTGTTGTCGTCGTAGTAGTCGAGTTGGATGTAGGTACAACGGTAGTAGCGGTTGTGGATGTTGTTGAAGTTGTTCCAGTGGTTGAAGTTATTCCAGTGGTTGAAGATGTTCCGGTTGTTGAGGTTGTTCCAGTGGTCGATGACGCAATAGTTGCTCCAGTCATTGATCCAGACATGGTTCCACCAGTCACAGTTCCAGTGATCGTTCCTGTGCTGCTAGTTCCCGTTCCTCCAGTGACAGTTCCAGTGATAGTACCTGCAGTTATGGTACCAGTAAGCGATCCTGTGACTGACCCTCCACTAACAGTTCCAGTGATCGATGATGCAGTCACTGTTCCAGTGATCGTTGAACCGGCGATGGTTCCAGTGATGGTACCTCCAGTGATCGAGCCGGATATTGTGGATGTTGACGATGATGAGGTCGTGGATGCAGTCGTACTACCAGTAGTTGTGGTAGTTGTAGTGGTACTGGTCGTACTAGTAGTCGTTGGATCCTTGATGTATGTAAAGGTTGAAGTACCAGACTGACCATGGAATGTTAACTCTACAGTAGCAGGGCCGGCTTCACCAGCTGGTACTGTGCATTGAACAGACACTGAGCTTATTACAGTTATACCAGTACAATCTTTTCCACGTACCTTTACAGTTGGATTATCACCGATTAAACCAAGATTAGTACCTGTCAAAACAACAGGGGTTGCTGTGTTTTCCTGACCTACTGGAGGAGCAACCATAAACATAGGAGACATGTATTTAAATTGATTGTTGGTGTTGCTTGTATCGCCATCAACTGTTACCTTGATGGGAATATTGGCACCTCCACCTTTGGGAAGAGTAAATACAATCTGAGTATCGGTAGATGACACAACTGTCGCCGACGCACCATTAAAAGATACAGTTGGTGATTTATCACCTGTTGGTTTAAAGTTGGTTCCAGCCAATGTAATTGGTATCATACCATCAACTCCACCAGTATTTGGTAGAACCGATTGGATATTTGGAGAACCATAATATGTAAATGTAACGTTCTTTTCTTCATTTTCCAAATCTAATACTTTAATGGTCACAACCTCACTCTTTTCAGATGATGATGTTGGTGTCTTGCATGTTATCTTGGTTTCTGCAGTGACAACTGTCACACTTGTACATGCACCAGCAGTTCCAATAGTCACAACAATCTTTGATGCATCTGATCCAAAATATTTACCAACTAGTGTAACATCTGTTTGTGATGACATTTTACCTTTATTTGGATCAATCGATTCTAATATTGGTTTCTCTGTAAATAAATAAATGATTAATAAATATTATCTTTTAATTGTTAACATAATTATATGTATTAACATACTCTTATAAGTAAAGTAGTTGTTTGATGGTGATGATTGACCACCAACTACAATATTAATAGATAGATCTTTTCCATCTCCATCTGGTACTTTACAAATGACTGTATTTTCATCTATCCATTGTACTGATGAACATCTAGTTGAAGCAATTGATACACTATTTTGAGGGGTTTGTCCTTCTTGATTGATTTTATCAACCATCGATGCTGGGATGAAATTCTTACCCTTGATCGTAATATTGTTACCTGCCAATTCACTGTATTTGACATTATCAAGAGTAGGACCAGTGTAGTTGAATGATCCATTGACCATTTGACCTCCAATCGATATTGAAATTGGAATGTTTTCACCAATACCTGGTGGCACCTGACAATGTATAATTGATGATGAGACATAGGTTACATTTGAACTGTTGGTTCCATTGATTGATACATATGTATCAGTACGACCAGTCACATTGAATCTTGCTGGAACAAAGTTTTGACCATTAATAGTTATTTGTTGTCCCATAGTATCACTATTAGTCACACTAGTAAGATTAGGTGCATTATAACTAATTGTAAAGGTATTGGTTGCATTGTTGGTGAGGTTTTGAGTACCAATGTAGATTTGTATTGGTAGGTTCTTACCAATACCAGGTGGGATTGGGAATAGGATCATAGATGAGTTTTGATAGTTGACTTTGGTTTGATCGATATTGGTATTGTTGTTTTGGCTTGTTGGTGGTCCATCTAATCCAACAATAGTCATATTGGTTATATTGGTTGGTCCTTGTAACGATGTTCCATTCAAGTATTCATTTGGGACAAAGTTGAAACCAGTTACTGTGATGAGAGGACTGGTTCCAGATCCATCGGTAGAGCTTGTGTTTTGTGATAGACCTAGCATGGTTGGAGGAAGGTATCCAAATGGTTCGTTGCTTTGTAATGACTGGTTGGTTGCAAGGATGACTTGAGCCAATATACTGTTACCAATACCTGGTGGAACTGTACAAATGTAGCAATCAAAGTCGACAGTCTTGCGATACGTATCTTTCATCACAATGTATGGGTCAAAGTATCCATTGTAGTAGGGATCGGTTGGTACTGCTATAGGTTGTCCAGCAGCATTGTAATATTGTTTGTCATAGTAACACGACTCGTCAATCTCGCAGAAATCAAGCTCTACAGTAGAGTGTATCTTGACAGTGATTGGTTCACCTGGTCTTTGACCCAAATCAGTTCCAACAACCCATATTGGACCCTCGTCAGATGTGTTGGTTGGTTGTCTAATGATTTGTAGTAATGCACCATCCTTGTAGTTTAGAGTTGGACCTAATACTACATAATTGTCAATTGATACACTTGTTCTTTGATTCTTTCCCATTCCAGGTGGAGTGATACAAATCGCCTGTGTCTCGCTGACAAGTGTTGTAGTCAAACAATCAACCCGGTCAATTCTAGCTTCAAACAAACGTCCAACACCAAAGTTTGTACCAGTAAACGTAATCGATTCGTTTCCAGCAGTCTTGAGGTCAGTGGTTGGTGACACTGATGATATCGTCGGTTTGGGGAATACCATCGAATATGGATGTGTTATCTGTGGACCTGCAACTTGCACACTAACTTGTACTTCCCCACCAATATACTTTGGTTGATTGATGATGATTCGGTCACTTGTCGATCCATAAGTCACAGAACTGGCAACTTCGCTATTCCCATTGAAAAATATTTGGACATCCGATACAGTTGATTGAGGTGACAATAAATTAGTACCTGTAATAGTCAATGCTGGAGAATTATAAACAACTGTGGAAATTGTTGGTTCTAAAAAAATAAATAAAAGTAAAAGTAAAAGATAAATAATTGGTTAATATGAATAAATATATATATTTGAATATTTTTATGATGTGATTGATACATACTAGCATAAACAAAAACATAATGTAATTGTTCTTGAGGTAGAATTGAATTAATATTAGAATATTGAATTGGAAGTATACCGATTGATGATGGGAATGAGCAAGTATAGGTGTTTTGGTTAACTGGTGGTTTGTTGATAGTACATGTTAGATTACCAACTTTAACTTGTACACCTGTATCACCCAATTTGACACCGGTGAGTGTGATGGTGGCTGTGGCAGATGCTTGATTGGTTGGAAGTGTTAAAGGTTGAATTGATGTAACAGCGGGACCACATGGACAATAATCAAATGGTTTATCGGCTAAAAAGTCAGCCAAAGTTGATGGATTAAAAGAACAAATCAAACCATTCAATGTGACAAATGCCAATCCTTCATCAGTTGTTTGATTTCCCTTGGCAATGAAATGTGATACCAATCCATTAAACACTCTTCTCTGGGTAGCTTGATTGATTTGCATTTTAATTGCTTGTGTGTATAATCTAATACCACGATTATTAGTGACAACTGTTCCATTTGGTGTTCCGATATTACATCTTGACAATTCAACAACTCTTTCAAAATCTTTAATCACTTGATGGTTCTCTTTAAATGTAATATACATGGGTGAATTTAGGAATTCTTTTGGTCTATCATCACTGACCCAATATGATAGGAATCTTTGTATTTCCTTGGTTGTTAAATCTCTTTCACATGTTTCCTTTATAAAAATAAATAAAATAAAAATTAGTTGACAAAGATTATTATTATATTATATTATTATTATATTTGTGTATGATACATACAGTTTCATTTGAGACGCATCTATTACATTTGAAAATATAATTATAATTCATTTGATGTTTGATCATTGACGAAATGGGTGATACTGAAGTACTGGTCATGGCTTGAGTGAATGATATCATGTCGATGGGTTGTGTCTTTGTCCATGACTTGATTACTTTGAGGATTAATTCAATATCTACACTAATGTCATTGGTGTAGGCACTTTCTTCATCATCATTGTTACCATCCATCAGATCCCAAAGGAATGCTGTTTGGTATCCTTCTGACAACAAACCATTCAATTGTAACAATTCACTTCCAATAAACTTGTCCATGTTGGTTGATGTATTTGTACCACATGAATAGAATGAATCCAATACATCATTGGTCAACGATGGGAATGTTAACCGACGTAATGCCATTGATAGGGAGTTGACCAGCGATCTAAGGAATGCAACCTCTTTGCTGACTGATAATGTGGCTGGTGATGTTGGTGTCGTTCCATTGGTTGGGAAGACGTCATTCCAAGTACTACCAAATTCAGGGTTAACAGAATCAATCATTCTAAATACAAATGCTCTTAGCACTTGTTCCATGCAAAACTTTCCATCATTCAAATCGATTGATATCCATGGATGGTTGACAGAGTACCCAATAAAGCTAGCAATATTGGTTGTTGGATTGAATGACATGGTTTGGTTGAATGAGATGGTTGTATTGGTTGTGTTGGATATTTGTCTTGGCCAATGATCCATCAATTGAGATACAGTCTTGAAGAGAAGTAGTATGTTGTCATTGACAGTAGTATCTACACTTGGAACAAACAATGTACTACTCTGTCGATTAACACCGAATGACATTGTACCATTACTATTCTGGATAATAGTAAGATCACTACTTGTGAGTAGTACAGTTGTATTGTCAGTTGGTAATGTGTAACCCTGGAATGCAAACATACCAGGTTTATTAATATGAACCAACCCATCATTATTAATAGTTGACATTGCAACAGTTGCAAATGGTAAAGCACTATCAATAAAACCATCAATATATGGTTTAAGATGTGTTGATTGATTGGTGAGATGTGTCAAATCAAACAATAGTTTACCATAGAATGATGTGTAGTTGAATGTATTGACTAATTGACAAGTTGATGGTGTTGTACAAGTTTGAGTGATATACTTTGAAACACTATTATTGAAATATTGAATGGTCAATGGAGATACATTCAAAAGACAAACAACCGATCCTGGATAAGTAACATCAGTCAGGTTATAATCACCAACACAAATTTGATTTGTTGTTGTTGAGAATCCCAATCTTGCATGATCAATTGAACTGTCCCATGATCGTCCATCCATCATTCTTGATTCTGTTATACCTGTAAATCCAGCAACTAATGGTGCTTTCACCTAAATTAGGGATTAAAAATAATATTGTTAATTTGATTTTAAAAAAAAATGATTATACTTTTTTTTTTTTTTTTTAAGACATACAGGTAAAATTAAAGATAACTTTAAATCATTCCACATGGTTGATCCATAGGTCATGTTTGTACTTGCTTCTTTAAATGTATTTGAGGAAGAAGTTGGTGGAGATGTGGTATGATCATAGTTTGTATTATAAATACGAGGTTGAGCCAACTTTAAGTTGGTCAAGAGTTGGGCTTCATTGGTTTGGTAGCAGAGGAATACATGTCCAAGTCGAGTTGACTCTTTGGTAAACCCAGCGGTATGGTGGTCAAGTGGATACCAACAGTCGTAAGGCAGTGATGAGTTGGTGGCTGATGTTCCGTTACATCCAGTGGTGGCACTTGGTAGAACGGTCGAGTTGAATCCGGGAGGAGCACCATCGATTGGAATAGGGAAGCCAGACTTGGAATGCTTGATATGTACACCTTGACCACTTTGCATGTAGACTATACCTTTACCAAGATAATTGTTTTGGTATGGTGTCCACCCAGTTGGAAATAATCTGTTGGTCTCTTGATCACCAGACAAGTCATTATAGTATGGTTCATCGTTGTAAAAGAGGTATTTTAGGGTGGAAGCAGATGTTGACAACTGACCAAATGTTTGAGCAAGACATGACTTGGAGTCAGTGATGGAGGGCTGGAGTACCGGTACGACAGACGTGTTGCTGTCAATATAGAGGTACTGGTTAGAGTTGGGGATGGTTCTGGCAATCCACCAGTCCACCTGTTCACCCGATGGCGAGATACACCCAGGTGGAGTAGTTGAATGGACCACCACCGCCACCATACTCTGGATCAATAAAAGAATGATGATGATTGTGATTGTCATTGATGATATATAATGTATATAAAACCTAACCATAATTACTTGAAGTTATTGATGATGTTATAGTTTTACAAACATGTGATTGAACAAAAAGAAAAAGAATATTATAATATAATGTAAAGAATTAAAGAATAATAAAGTTGTATAATAATATAATAAAGTTGAATTGTTGTAGTTGTTTGTTTAAATGATTAAAGCAAAGACATGTCAGAGATTGATTGATTGATTGATCGTCTTTTCTGAACAGTGATAACTATGCACGCGACCAACCAACCAACCAACCCAAGCAAAGGGGTTCTATCGTTGTCATGTTACAAATACTTGCATGTGTACCATCCATCCATCCTTCCTTCTTGTGAGATAGACGTACACGTATTCTGCATATATATACAACAACAACATTGGTATCTACAACTCATTGAGTTGGTGGAAGGATCGCATTTGATTGCTTTTAGATCTAAATGTAGTCTACTACTACTAGACTTTGATTGATTGTGTTGTTGTTGTTGTTGGTGTAGTTGGTAATGACATTATTGCAAGATGACTTTAATTCCATTGTTGGAAGGATAGACTACAACAAACAAACAAACATTCCTATCAGTCAGGATGCCACATTCTTATGCTTTGTTGTAAATCGGGCAGCTACCATATGATCATAAAAATGGGTGCAGATGACCAACCCCCTCTCTTAAAATGAAATCTAATTTTTAAATGTGTGTCTTGGTGTCCCACAAGAGACAACCACAAAAAAGGGAGATCGTTGTCATATTATAACTTCACACAAACACACATATACATATGACACAAAGCATTCTACTACTCTCATCATCATCATATGACACTCTAACAACAAATATTATTATTGTAAACCAATCAAATCAAAACGATCAACAACAACAACAACAAGTCAGTGTGCAATGTGACGACCGTCCATGGATCACGACGACGACGATCATATGATTGATTACAATTGTAGATTGTAACTGCGACCAAGGTCTGTTGCTTGCTTGCTTGGCAGGGACAACTATAATTATGATGATCGGTCAGTGTAATTTGGACAGACACGTTGTTTTAACAAGACATATTATGTTAGGTATAATATATTGACTGAATCACGATCGTTGTTAAACAATCAAGTAGTGTCAAGTACTTAATCTTCTTAAGAAGAAACCTTTCAATAAGAAAAAGAAAACATTTAATTAATTTTAACTATCACTATCATCATTATTCATTCAACCAATACACACTTATCTATTTATCTATTATCATCTTCTTCTTTTTTCATCATCATCATCATCTGACACTAGTTTTATAAATAATATGAAAAGTCTATAAAATATGAAACACTATCATTATCATCGTCGTCCAACAGTACTACTATTACTATTAATAGTATTAGTTGGAATTCTATCATGTGTAGTTGAATCACAAACCATTAAATCTCTCACACCCGAATCGGCATTCCCAAAAGGTGGAAACAGCGTGACACTGCTTGGCAATGGGTTCACAAGTACACCCGTCCTCCAATTGACCAATTCTTTGACAACCGTAGACTTTAAGTATATCAGTTCGACTCCATCCGGATCTGATGTTGCCTATGTCTTTGAAACTCCATCTGAAATAACAACCATCGCCAGTCGTAAAAGAGGTATTGACAAATCATTCCAGTGGCAATGTCCATCTGCCAATCTACCAAACACCGGAAAATTCATTTATTATGGTATGTAAACTACAACACAACTTGTCGATTAGAATTATTATTATTATTATTATTTTAAAACAATTTCTAATTACTTTTATTTTATTTATTTTTTGATCCTTTTCTATTTAGATTTTGATATTTCCTCTGTTGAACCAGAAGTTGCATTGGTAAAATCACCAACTACCGACCTTCCAATTATCAGCTTGCGTCCCACCACCAAGTTTATATTCCAAGACAGTGAAGTCAGTCTTGTTACTGTGACCATCGGTGGAGTAGCTGCTACAATCGATAAGATAGATCGTATAACTGGTGTAATGACAGTCAAGGTGCCATCATCAACTGTTAGTGGAGAGGTTGATATTGTTGTATCGGTATTCAAGGAATCCGAATCTATTAAATTCAATTATGTTGATATTCAAGTAGACAATAGCATCCATATCAATGTTCATGGTATCAGTGCTTCAACACCTCAAACTGTGACCATCACAGGTCAATACTTTAAACTATTGAGTGGAGCAACCACAGGGATGATTGCAAAGATTGGACCATACCAATGTGCATCACCAACCATTGGAACTAGTGCCACTGGAGTATCATTCCTTCTTTGTCCACTCAACACTCCTTCCATCCCTACAGACGTTGGAGTTGGAGGACAAGGACTAGTACCATTCTATGTCAAAGCTGGTAGTTATGAATACACCTCTCCCAACATTATAATGATGTTTAGTAAGTAGTAGAGTTATATATTTATATTACTATATAACTAATTAAACTATTCTTTTTCTTTTGTTTTTTTTTAGATCCAGACATTTCATCTCCAAAACCAAACAAGGGGTTGACTATTGGCGGTGATCCAATTGAAATTACAGTCACACCTATTTTTGCCATGCCAATCGTTACAATAGGTACTACCAACTGTTTGGTCACTGCAAAACCCACATCCACAGCCACTGTCATCTTTGAATGTTTGTTGCCAAGCTCGTCAGCAGCTGGAGACAAACCAATAACCATTACCATCAATGGAGTTGTTCGTAGTCTTGGATTATTTACTTATTACTGTATGTATAAATAGATAAATTTTAATATCGACGGGATATAATTTTAATTAACCAACTTCCTTTCTTTGATTTGTTTTTTCTAGCGGCACCTGCGATCACATCGATATCACCAACCACATTCCCAACATTAATTGATAGTACTGTCACTGTAACTGGAACCAATTTAGCAAAAGTCAATAAATTGGTGGTTGGTACCAAGGATTTCGTGGTCGACAATGTAGCTGGTAGTGACACACAGATTATCGTTGCATTGAATGGTTTGGTAACTGCATCAACTTCATTGGCTGTATTTGAAAGAACTGTTACATCCAATACAATTGCTGTTACTGTCAATCGTATGTCGCTGATTAAAATAATAATAATAATAATAATCATAATTTATTAATTTGCTTTTATTTAATTTATAGAACCTCAAATAACATCAATGACACCAAGTGTTGGACAAACAGCTAGTTCAACCGATGTAGTACTTGTAGTCTCAAACTTCCCAACCATTCAACAACCAATCTCAACACCCGAACCTGAAAAGTTCCCAATCGATGTCTATCGTCTCTACAACACTGCTGAGAATGTATTCTGTGAAGGTCTATCGTTTGTAGTCGACAATGATTACACTAAATTCAAATGTAAAATGCCACCTATCACCCCTGGAACTGGTAAAAAGACAATTAATTTCCAACTATCAATTAATGGTGTTGTAGTTACACCTTCTCCAACTATTACCTTTACATATAATGGTTAGTATATATAAAAGAAAAAGAAAAGAAAAAGAAATAATTCATTATTAATATTATTTTTTTATTAATTTATTTTAGAACCAAGTGTAACAAGTTTATCAAATCTTGGAGCAACAGGTGGTGATTTAACAATTACAGGTCAATCATTTATTGGAATGGATCCAACAAAAGGTGATAGAATATTGATTGGTGGTAAAGCAGTCAGTACATTTACAGTTGTTAGTGATACTTCAATTGTTGCCACTGCCAATGGAATATCTACTCTGCTTGGTGATGATCCTGAAACCTACAACTTTGGACCATATGATTTACAACTATGTGTCAGATTACACTGTTATCATCCAACTGTCCAAGTCAATTATAATGGTCCTATTGTAACCTATGTCAATCCAAGTAGTAAACCAAAATCAAAGACTGCTACCATTACAATTGTAGGTGCAAACTTTCAATCTAGTTCAACTGTCCAAGTTGGTACGACTGCATGTACAGGTGTAGCTGCTCAACCAGATGGAAGGTCATTAACATGTTCATTGGCCAGTTCAATGCCAGTTGGTGATGTTCCAGTTGTAGTATCTCAAGGAACAGTTCAATCAGAGAACAAGATTATATTCCATAATCATGGACTGCGTTGTCTAGGATCACCAAGATCTAATGTTGGCAGCACACTCTATGCAAATGATAAATCCAATGATCCAGTAGACTGGTGGTTCACATATAAACTAGCTAATAGTCCAACTCTTAGTTACATGTATGCCGACTCGTCCAATGCCACATTTAATCACAAACCATACTTGTCACAAAAGCCAACAGCTGCAGACGCAGACAGTGGGTTAGCAGCCACATTCCTTCAATACAAAGATTACAAATACTCTATGTTTTTCAACGACCAAATATCAACTCGTTCAATGGGTGCCAGAAGTGTCAAGAATGATCCTACCATTATCAGCACTGACAAGTTTGCACATTTGAAAGGATTCTTTATATTTGATGAACTCAATCAAGGAGGAATTCATGTAATGCATTCGAATCCATTGTTCCCTACACTTGCCAACAAACCAGCGTCACAACCCAAATACAGTTTTGTCGAAGATACCACTGATCCCAAATTCCTTGGTGCTCCAACTTTTAATCAGGTTTGTAAAAACAAAAGGAATCATTTTGATGAATACATTATTTATTTACTTATTCTTTTTTTTTAATTTAGCATTTCTTTTGTTATGAATTTAAAGGACAAGCAGGATTGGAAAGAGTAGCAGAATACCATCTTAAAAACAATGGATATCTTATGAACAACTTTTTGACAACACCTAAACTCCCACTTGTCGGTGATGTCTCTGCCACTGCCTATCCAAATTTATATGACTTGTTACAGTTTTGGGGAGGTTGGGCACCTTCAGGAAGAAAGAATCAAGTACAAATTGCTCAAGTATGTCGTCTGAACAATAGAATATATAATTATCATTTAAATTTGGTTTACTAATTTATTTATTATTATTTTTTAGCATTGTGTAGATAACATAAATGCAACTAGTTTAAAGGATTATTGTTATTGGACTCCATCAGCTTTTGACATTGGAGGAATGAGTTCAAGATTTTTTGAGAAAACATCTATGAATCCTACTACTTCATTTAATCCAATTGACACTCCCGATGGTATTGTATTGAATCCAGGAGGTCATTTTGACGGATTCGATCTGTGGGGTATCGTAGCCACCACTTATGATCACAGAATGTTTTCTGAAATCTTTTACAAGGGTCAAACCATCTACCCTTCCACCGACATGGTCAAGAACTCTGCCGTCATGGAACTCCCCAATTCCATCCATGGCACTGCTTCTCCCAGAGTTAAACCAAGTTATCCTATCAAAGGAAATAGTAATGATCATGCTAAAATGGCATTTTCCATTTATCCAACTACTGATCCAATTAAAATGAAAGATATTACTCAAAATATTATGTGTGTTGGTGATAGGTATGTGTTAAAACAAAACAAAACAAAACAAAACAAAACAAAACAAAACAAAACAAAACAAAACAAAACAAAACAATATTATATTTTATTAATCTTATTTTTTATTATTTAGTAATCGACATGGACATCAAGGTATTCGCGGTGGAGGTAGTTTATGTTTCCAAAATCCATCATTGTCTTATCAATTCAATAGAATGGTCAAGAAATATTATCAAGGTGCTAGAGTAGGCAATGAAAACCCAGAGACCGTTGGCATCATCTATTCGGCATGGCAGAAGCAACCAATCAAAATTGAACGTGGAAATTGGAAGGGTGATGTCTATATCGAGATTAAAGATGTTCCAGCGACAAATACCTACACCTCTAAACTACCAAGAGAATTTGGTGTTGCCACTGAAGCAACAAGATTATTGGGTGATGATTGGGTAGGAACCTACTCTTTTATTCGTACCTCTCTAGACAATGTATCAACTTTGGCAATCACTCCTGATCATTTGGTAACTGCCACCACTGACCCAGACATTAGTACGTATGTCGCAGCTCAAACATTCTCTGCTCATTACTCTGCCTATGACAAGAATGTTGGATCTATTTGTTTCGTCAGTGTCGCCAGTGACCCTAAATTCTGTGACCACACCAATGCCAAACAAACACTACTTCCCTTCAGTGCTGTGCTTCCAGGGTTCCCAAAGAGTTATGGAGTGATGAATGAAGAAACTCAACTAACTCAAACATTTGACATCAAAGTAGTCGATGACTTTAAGACCATTAAAGTTTCATCACTATTCAAACAACATGTATCATCAAAACTATTATTCAATTATGTTATTGATGCAACTGCAACCAAACCAGCAACGTTTGATGGAACCTATATCACCAAAAAGACAATAGATCATTGTGCTGATGAACTCTACTATCTCATGCTTCTCAATCACACATATAGTCTATCCAAAGATAAAACCAAAACACTCTATACATTTGCAAACGATGATATGAATTGGGCAAATGGTATATTAATAGCAATGGCCAAATTCATTAGAAATGAAATTGAATCAACTCCCGATAATGATATCATCGATACTTGTTTCTCTTCATTAATGCCATCATTTAATATTACTGAACAACCAATGTATGTAGACAACAAAAATAATAATATATTTTATTTTTGAAAATATTTTATTAACTTTAATTTATTTATTATTATTACTATAGTGGTGATACAACGAATATTGTAATTAAACATGTATCTGCAACTTGGGATTTCCTTTCAAATACATATAGAATTAAAGATAGTGTAACTCCAAGAAATCCAAAGACTGTTCAGGTAACTTGGATGAAATTGTTGGAAATCTTGTCTGAGTATACCACTGACGACAAGTTGTTATCATTGACTGATATTTATCAACGTGTATTGGATCCACTTGTTTACAAATCTGCAAACTATCGTACTATATTAATCAACAACTATTTGATGGAAGACCCAGCTCTAATGATCATTACACCAACTCCAACTAAAATGCCAATTGTCAGCAGTAGCAGCAGATCAGTTGACATATTTGATTCTCCACTTGTAGAATATGAATTATATAATAATCTTTACAATACCGAATCAAATACTCAACAAGAATCAAACGTACAACTTGACAGTAGTCGTGTATTGGTCAATGACATAGTTATTAATGACAATACAGATTATTCAGCATCATATCCATCACCAATCGAACAATTATTCAAATTTAGTCAACTTACATTCAAAAAGGAACAATTACTTCAATTGATTAGTAACGTACAATCAACATCAAAACTATTGGATGCAATGAATAGATGGTCAACCTTTACAAATTTGAATCAAGCTATTAGAGTATTGGTCGCAGTTCCATCAACTCAAAGAAAGAATCAAGAAATTCAATTTATCGATGAAGTGGCTCGTGATATTTATGATCTCGAGATTGACTTGTGTTATGGAAGAAATGAATCAAAAGGTATCATTGAAATGTGTAGTCCACAATCAATCACTGCCATTACATTCTTTTTGGATAATGTTATCTTGACAGCATCACAAGACTCAATCATGGAATATGGTGCACTCAAAGTATACAACCTTCCCAAACCATTTGGATATGGTGGTCTTATTACCGCAGATATTGGAGGTATGTTGGTTGGTACTCTCGATGGTTTAATATGTGATATTAAAATGTATGCAACCAATAGTATTCCAGCTACCATGACAACGCTATGTAAACAAGCTGGTCCTATTGTTACTGCTACAACAGTCGCATCATCAACAACCAATGGTGGACAAGTAATGACAGTTAGTGGAATGAACTTTGACAGTAATACAACTATCTTTATTGGAAAGAGTGAGTGTCTCTCAAAGACAGTGATTAGTGATACTCAAATAAGTTGTACCATTCCACCATCGTCTACATCATTCTATAATCTAGAAGTTAGAGCCAATACCAGTCAAATATCTCCATCCCAACTACGATCACCACAATTCAATTACCTTGCACCCACTCTATCGACCATCACACCAAACACTAATTTGATTAGTTCAGGTGGTCAAATGCTCACAATCACTGGAACCAACTTTGGAAATAGTGTTGCCAACATTCAAGTATTGATTGAAAATAGTCGTAATTGTAGAGTCACTTCAGTCAGTCACACGACACTCTACTGTATCACTCCACCATCAGTTGGTAATAACAAATGTGTTCACATTGTTATCTCAAATCTTGACCCCACTATTATGAAATCAACTAAATTTAATATTGATAGTTGTCTTGTCAATAATCTATCGTTCAAAGGTCCGAATATTACATCTGTTACTGGACAAGATCCAAATGAATTGGTTGAAATTGATGGACAAGGATTTGATGATTACGATCATACACTCAAACCAATTGCATCATTCAACGGTCAAATGGTACAAGTTGAATCATTTGACAATAACAGGGTACAAGCAGTCATCCCACCATTCAAAGAACCACCAGTCAACCTACAAATAGAACAGCAACAATTATTAGCAAGTGCAACGTTTAACTATGGTAAACCATATGTTACAAGTGTATCGACACTCAAACTTGGTGGTGGATTATTCAAGATGGAAGGATATGGATTAGGATCATCAAATTATGAAATTGATTATGTTAGATTGGATTCAACCGATATTAGTGCGTCATGTCAAAGTTATAATAGATATGTTGAATGTTATATTCCAGGATACACAACATCAGGTCAATACATATTGACAGCATCGATCAATGGCGAAGTAGTTCTCTTCCAAAACAATGTCACACTCGATTCAAACAATATCACTCTAAACTATGGTATCAACTGTCAAGGTTGCGCACTTTTATTTGGTAAAAAGAATTATGCAGGTACCGATACCAAGCAGGTCACCGACACTATGATTGTCAAATTGGACCAAGATTACAATTCAGTATTTGTCGTACCAGGTTTTGAATTCCTTTTAGGTAATAGTTCAACTACTCTTCAAGTTGTTAGAAATGATTTAAATATCCTTCAAATGAAAACTGGTCAATATGTTTCTGTCATGGAAAAATAATTAAATAATTAAATAATTAAATAACTAAATAAATAAATGTTTTTATAATTAAATATAATTATATGGTTTATGATTATATTCTCTTTAAAGATAGTGGCTATCCTGATAAAATATATGTTGTACCACTAAAAATATCACCTAAATGATTAATAGAAAAAAAAAGATAATTAGACATAAGGTTTAAATGATTTTTGCTTTTTTAAAAAAGAACTTACCCTTGAGTGTTGATGGAATACCCGAATAGAAAGAGCATGCATCAATATTTAAATATCTCCCACTTTTCTATTTTTTAATTTACTTTTTTTTTTTCCTTGGCATCACTTACTTCATTCTTAAATTAAATATATATGGAAAATATGATAACAATCAAAGATATATTGTCTATTCTGACGATAAGAAGAAAGATATTCATTCAAGTTGAGCAATTATCCAAACTAGGAGGATATAAAGGTGCAATAAATGGGAAAAGATTGGTCGAGGTATTTGGTCTGATTGGAATGATCTCTAGGTATGGCATGCCTTGGGACTTTATCAAACACTATATAAATGCTGCAACAATCAATAGTATTGATACTACATTACGATTCAAGGCAATTATATGTTATATGCAACATACAAATGCTACAGTTTACACTTTGGACAAATTACTCTCTCATCTATGGTATGAAGGTGGTGGTAGTGAAGATGATGATGATGATGGTTTTAAAGAACTTAAAGATCATCTAAATACACAACATTTTGATGTAATAGTAAAGAATAATAGATTAGATATATTACAATACATAAATGATCGTCATTTAAAAGACAACAACAATAATAACAAAGAAGGAAAAGGAGGAGGAAGGATAATAAGAGTAACAAAACAAGCATTTGATAACGCATGTGAAAGAAGAGATAATTTAGAGTTGATCACTTTTTTACATAATACTGGTAACACCTGTACATCTTTGGCAATGGATATAGCTGCATGTTATGGAAACATAAATATCATCCAATTCTTATATTTAAATCGTAGTGAAGGGTGTAGTGTATACGCTGTCAACGATGCTGCCACAGCCGGCCACATTGAAACTATTAAATATCTATTTGAAATTGGGTATAAAGAATGTTCAAAGAGTGCAATGGACAGGTACGTAACTGTACAATATTATTAGATACAATTATATTATATATCTAAAAGAATTATTATTTATTTATTTAAATATTTTTTGTTCCTCTCTAGAGCATCAATGAATGGGAATTTAGATGTAATAGAATATCTTGATAAACATTCTAATGTGGGGTGTACGACCAATGCAATGGACTGGGCAGCTGAGAATGATAGATTAGAAGTGCTTAAATGGCTACATATACATAGGGTGCACAACTGATGCTATGGACAAGGCCGCTGAGAATGATAGATTAGAGGTGGTTAAATGGTTACACGTGAATAGGACAGAGGGATGCACACCCCAAGCATTAGAATTGGCATGTCAAAATGGTCACATTGATATTGTTAGATGGCTACTTTTAAACCGTACTGAAAAACCAACTGACCGATGTTTAATAAGAGCTGCTGGTATTAGTTCACTTGAATTGGTTCAATTATTGGAAGAGTATAGAGGAGGAGGAGGAGGAGACAATAATGTATATGATCATATTCATCCCGATGTAATCACATGGGCTGCTAATTATGGAAATATAAATGTTATAAAATACTTTTATTCAAGAGGTGTTTTAAAGCATACAACACCAGGATTACTCGGTAAAGCAATGTCATGTCGTAATTTAGAGATTATACAATTTCTGGTAGAAATTAGATCGGAACAAATTACACCGGAATGTATCAACTATGCAGCTGGTCATGGTCTATTAGATACTATTAAATATTATCATCAAAAAGATAAAGAAATACATCATAATGGGTTCACAGCTACTGCTATGGATCGAGCCGCTTCAGGAGGACATTTGGAAATGGTAAAGTGGTTACATTTTAACCGTAGTGAAGGGTGCACTAAACAAGCTCTCGATAATGCAGTATCAATACGCGGTGGCAAGGGACTAGATGTAGCTAGATTCTTACAAGCTAATCGAACTGAGGGATGCTCTAAATCAGCATATGTCTATACCATCGAATCAGGGTCATTAGAATCACTACACTTCCTACACGAATATTACCCCAATATTCAAGCATCTGCCCATGCAATTGAAGGTGCCGTCCTCTTGGGACACACCGAAATCATTCATTTCATCTTGCACCATAGAAATGAAATGTATTCAACCCGATCCCTTACCATTGCCAATACACGAAATAGACTTGAAATAGTACATTTATTTAATCAATTTCCAAATAGAAAAGAAAATTAAATAAATAATAAATATAAATAAATAAATAGATATTATTACTCTATGTTTAGATTTGAAATTAAATAATTAAATAAAGTTCCTCTCCTACACTAGGTTGGAAATATATATTTATTATTACTTTTTACTTTTTACTTTTATTGTGGTTTTGATTTAACAACACCAACTTGAGCAGCTCTAACCAAACGATTATTTAATTTGTAACCATTCTTTACGACATGACCTACGGTTCCGTTTTCCTTGGTTGGATCGTTGATTTCAAAGATGGCATTGTGGAGGTTGTAATCGAATTTTTCACCGAGTGGATCGAATCTTTCGAGACCATTGTTGCCCATGATCTTGAGGAATATTTTTTCGGTCATTTGAACACCTTCGTGGAGTGACTTGAGGTCTGCATTTTCTTTTAATTGGGCTTCGTTGAATTGGGCCAAGGCCATTTCGAGTTGATCGACAACTTCGACCAAATCCTTTGCAAACGATTGGATACCAAACTTTTTGGCCTTGTCTGTCTCTTCCTTGCCGAGCTTACGAACATTTTCACGATCGGCAGCAATATATAACAATTGAGAGTGCTTGTCCTCCAATTGAGTCTTTAAATCTTTAATTTGTTCTTCCAATGTTAATTCTTTCTTTTCTTCAGTCTTGGTCGATTCTTCAGCAGCTGGTTTGCTTTCAGTTGTCATAAATCTCTTGTTGCTTGAAATTAAAATTGGTTGTGATGAAATACTATTAACAATATTGTTACGACTACTTGTCATTGTTGAAAGGTATCCATATTGATTTGATCTCTACAAAACAAAAAAAAAGAGTAAATCAAATATAAAGAAGAAGAAGAAGAAGAAGAAGAAGAATCATATTAGTTATCTCTATCTTTATCTTTTATCTATTTTTATATTTCTCTTTACTTACAACAACAAATTGAGAGGTCAATCTTAAAGTGGATGGTGAGAAAATCTTTGTTGAAATGTAATTCATCTTCTACCTCTATATATTATATATATATATATATATATATTATGTATTATTAATAAATAATTATTTTGAAACAAACTATGTATATAGTGCTTTGAAAAAAAACGAGTTGGCTCAGCTGAGAGAGGGATGATCACCGCACCCTGGAATGAAAAAAAATTAAATTAAAAAAAATTAAATTTCACTCAAACGAACGAATTACGAATGTGCACTCAAACTGGCTTGCTCTCTCCCCAGGACCTATATACTAGTATGTGCATACAAATAACAAATAACAAATAACAAATAACAAATAACAAATAACAAATAACAAATATATATATCTATTCTATCTATCTCATCATCTCTTGATTGAAATGACTGATTAATCAATCAATCAAGATGTTTTTAGAGAGTTTAGTTTATTGTTGTGGTTTATTTGAAATGACAGAGTGACCAGCTTCAATGATGAATTGACCGACTTGTTTGAAATGAGCCATACCTGCGACATGACTGGCTGGAAGTGACAAGACTTTGGCATTCATACGCTTGGCAAAGAACTTTTGAAGTTCTGGAGGAACGACTCTATCATTTTCTGAAATTTGATACCACGTTGGCATATTCTTCCAGGCACAGTGAGGTTGCATGTCGTCGAAACAACGTGCTAGGAATGGTTTCTGACAGGCGTCTAGGATCAACTTTTCTTGTTCACCTCCATCTTGACACATGTATTCAGAGAATTGGTTGCATGGCATACAGAGGTAGCCATTGTTATCAATGCTAGCTGGAATACCCTTTGATGGGAACTTGGCGAGTAGACCATTGACAGTCTCGTCATTGTCTGGTGCAAGTGCTGCCATGTACACCAATCCTCTGACCTTGGGACACGAGTAAGCAGCTTCGGTAATGATACTACCACCATAACTGTGACCAACCAACAGTACTGGACCATCCAACTTTTCAATAAGATTAACCAACAACTTTGCATCTTCGGCCAAACTAATATTGGTAAATTGCATACCATAGAAATTGAATCCAGCTTCCTTTAACATTGGCATAATCTTACCCCATGAACTTGATGCATCCAACCATGCTCCATGACACAATACTACATTTAATCCGTTCTTATTTCCACAACAAGTCATCTTGATTTAATTATTAATATTATTTAATTTAACAAACAAACAAATAAATTTGAAATTTAAATTTAATCCTCTCTTTTATTTATAACCTTCAAGTTTCATTTGAAATTGAACCATCCATCCATCCATGAATATAATTTATATATATATAATCCACTTTACATTTCAATTTCATTGACTTTGTTTAACAAAATATATTCTCCAAAGTACAAACTACAAAAAATAATAAAATATGTGTGTTGTAAAAAACCGAGCGACACATTCATTCAAACATACTCCATAGATCATAGCATAGTGATAGATCATCATTCGCACATATATACATATACATACATATACATTAACAACAATGAATACAATAGTAACACCAGGTCAAAAACTATGTAAAGATACAGAATACATATCTTCGGAGGGTACCTATGTACACAAAGGGTCGATATACTCCTCAGTATTGGGTTTCTCTCACACTATCAAAAGAAATATAAATACAGATAATAATAATGAAACTACTACTACAAGTAGTAGTGGTAGTAGTAGTAGTATACCATCAGAATATAATAATAGTACTTCAGAAGACAAAGTATGTGTATACTAAAAAAAAGACAAGAAGAAGAATTATTAAATTGACACATCAATCTTATCTTCAAATTTGAATTTGATTAGAGAGATTATATAGTAGTATTAAAAGAAAAAGAACCAGGAATAGTACCAGAGATTGGTAATGTAGTAACAGTACAAGTATTGAGAATCAATCCTCGTTTGGCAAGTTGTGCTATTCTTTGTGTTGGAACTAAAGCGCTAAAGGAGACTTTTAATGGTGTCATTCGTGTTCAAGATGTTAGAGCTACAGAAATTGATAAAGTAGAGATTTATAAATCATTTAGACCTGGTGATATTGTATCTGCTGAAGTTGTATGTAAATTACAGTAAATCAAGTTTGATCTACTTTCCTCTCTAATCTTTTTGTTTATCTATCTATCTCTCTATTTAGATTTCATTGGGTGATTCAAGATCATATTATTTATCAACTGCAAAGAATGAATTGGGAGTTGTATTTGCACAAAGTGTTGTTGGAGCAACTATGATTCCAGTTAGTTGGAATCAAATGCAATGTCCAAAGACTAAAACAAAGGAATATAGAAAGGTGGCTAAAATGGATATCGCTGGCACAGACCAAGACGACGACAACGATACTGAAAATGGTCATGAAAATGAAAAGGAAGACAATAACAATGAAAGTGATCAAGAGTAAAGTAGATATAGATAGATAGATATAGATATAGATCGAGAGATTATTTTGTAAATAAATCCCCCATCCCTCCGCAACCAATAACAACAACAAACAACGAACAACAATGGTATCAATGGATAATAATAATTATGATTTATGATTTATTCATCAATTAAATTAGAAATGATAGAGAAACAATAAGAAGAGCTCGTGGAATGTAAAGGTGGAGTGGTGGAAGAGAGGGAATTGGAGAGAATATCAATTAATTGATTATATGATTTGTTTTTAAAATGGATACCTCTATGATACGATATATCTTGTAGCTCTTCAATTGATAGTTTGTCAATTCCTTCACCTATAATTAATTGGTTGTCTTTTATGATTTCCTTTTCCCAATCCTTTAATTTTTGTTTTAATTGTTTTGTACTCTTCAATTCTATACATTTAATACCAATACATCTTGATAATAATATTAATTGTGTTCTATTTAAATCTTGTATTCTAATTCCATTCATTATTTCATCTTGTTGTTGTCTTGAAAATAATCCAAGTAATATCTTTGCCAATTTAACTCTATATTTTTGAGTAGTTAACATTCTATCAACAATCATTTGTCTGGTAGAGAATGTTGATGGAAGTATAGAAGACAGATATTTAACATAGATTGGTAATCCAAAAGCTGAGAATGGAATGAATGAATATAATCCCAATGGTATCCAATACAATGAATCGGTTTCTAAAAAAGAAAGAAAATCATAACATTAATAACTCTTTCAATTGTTTCTTTGTACATATATACAATACAAATACATACTAAATGTTTTCAAATGAATGATATCTTTTCTAGGGAGGGTAATACCAGCATTTCTTTTTGGTTTGATTACATCTTGAATATATCTCCAATTTCTATAATAGGATACAATACCAGCTTTGGTTTGTTGTCCCAATTCATATGACAGTCTTTTCATCTTTGTAAAAAATGATTCCTCTACTTTATCTTTACCATTATTATCATCATCATGATTCTTTATCTCTTCCATCTTTATTTATGTTCCTAATATTAATAATCTATCAACCAACAAACCAACCAACTATTATTAGATAGATATAGTGTGTAGAATAATAATACTAATAATAACCTGACATCATCATCACGTTTCCATTACTATTATTATTATTATTATTTTTATCTCCTTTGACACAACGATCGTTGATTGATCATTGTGATTCACCTGACACTTACAACGAAATGATGACACAATGATTATAATCTTTTTTCAATTTTGGTTTAAGCGAAATAAAGATTATTTATTAATTTAAATCATGATTGATTAGTTTATAGTTATAGGTTTTAATCATCATCAGTTTCAATATGATCATCTTGAATTAAACTTGAAATGACAGAGAAACAATAAGAGGAGTGTGAAGGTGGTGAAGCAGATATGGAGAGGGATTTGGAGAGAATGAAAAGTAATTGATCGTATGTCTTGTTTTTGAAATGGATACCTCTCTGATACGATATATCTTGTAGATCTTCGATAGACAATTTTTGTATGCCTTCACGAAGAATTAATCGGTTGTCTTGAATCACTTCCTTTTCCCAATCCTTTAATTTTTGTTGTAATTGACTTGGACTCATAAATATTGCCCATTTAATACCAATACATCTTGATAATAATACTAAATGTGATCTATTCAAATCTTGAATTCTAATTATAATTCTTTCATCTTCTTGATTTGTAGTAGTAGTAGTATTATTATTATTATTATTTTGTTGAAGTTGTTCTGATTGTTGATCTGGTGTATTATTACTATTACTATTATTATTGTTATTATTATGTTGATTTTGTTGATTCTTACTATATTTATCAGTTAAACTTTTAAATAATTTCTTTGCTAATTTGGTTCTGTGTTTTTGATTGGATAGTTTTCTTTTAACAATCATTTGTCTTGTTGAGAATGTTGATGGGAGTATAGCAGACAAATACTTAATATAGATTGGTAATCCAAAGGTTGAGAATGGAATGAGTAAATATACTCCCAATGGTATCCAATACAATGAATCAATTTCTAAATACAATCATCAATCAATCAATTAATTAATAACATTAATAACATTCAATTATTTAATAATTAGATATACTATATGATATGATACATACTAAATGTTTTTAAATGAATGATATCTTTTCTGAGGAGAGCCATACCAGCATTTTGTTTTGGTTTGATTACCTCTTGAATATATCTCCAATTTTGATAGTATGATACAATACCAGTCTTGGTTTGTTGTCCCAATTCATAAGACATCTTTTTCATCTTGTCAATAAATGATTCTTCTTCTTCTTCTTCTTTACCATTGTCTTTATCATTCTTGTCATCTTTATCTTTCTTTTTCTTGATGCTCTTTTCATCTTGATCTTTATCGTTGTTGTCGTCTTTTTTGTTCTTGGTCCTGTCCAACTTGTCAAGTATCATCTTTTTCTCTTCAGCTATCTTGTTTCTTATTTCTTGTTCCTTGGTCATAGATGTAGTAGAAGAAGTAGTTGTAGATTGGTTGATCGCTGGCTGCTCTCTAATCTTTTGATTGCCACCATGATTGTTGATTGGTGATTGTAATGATTGTTGTGTAGTTGATGAAGATGAAGAAGTACTCGTGCTAGTTGAAGAATAATAACTAAACTGTGATCTAGATCTGTTACTACTTTGGAAATAGTCGTTGACGATCAATGCTCCAATCACCAAACCATGTCTACTACTACTAACACCACTGACAGTGGTGTTCATAGATGTAGTGCAGACCAATCTAGACATTGATGTCATCATCATTATGTTTGACATTATCTATACTATCTCTTCGCTATCTTGAACAATTGAACAATTGTCGATCATTTCAATGACCCGACACCAACAACCAGATTTTCGTGAATAACAAAACACTAAAAGATATTTTACATAACACAAAAGAAGAAAGGATTGATACACGTTACGTTCGCATGTGTCTGAATATAAATATTGATAATATGATTTGGGAAAGCCTGATGGTGTTCTTTAGTTTAAACCATGACAATAATAATAATAATATAATCATGTGACTGGGATTTTGGAAATAATAATAATAATCCAAATATATTATAATAGTCTCTGTATGTAAGAAGGATCCTGTGGCCACAGTATTTGTTAATTGATTGTACAAGTTCAGGACAAATGGTTATTTATTGATTATGGAAAGGTCCAGTTTTTTTTTTTTATAGTTTTATAGAAATTTTCTTATCCCTTAGTAGTTTGAACGACACGAGGACACTGCGCGGAGTTTCTTATCCCTTAGTAGTTTGAACGGCACGATGGGCACTGAGCGCTGTTGCCAGATGGTGGACTTTGGCCAGTAGAAAGGGATCTAGATCAGATTGATTGAATTTGATTTGATTAACATTTGACTGATTTGATTCTTGACAATTTTGATCTTGTTTGAATTTCTTCTTGTTCATTTCATTTCCTTTCCTTTCCTATCCTTGATTCATATCTTCTTGCCTTCCTTCTTCTTCTTCTACTTCTTTTTCTTCTTGCCGTTTTTGAATCACTTGTTCCTCTTTCATCCTGCTACTACTTTTTGTTTTCATTTCTTTTTGTTTAAACATACCTTGAGCATCCCTTGCATAACTTATGACCGCATGACTTGCAAGACTTGGAATCGGAGGTACCACAACCAGCTGAGTATTTGCACATTTTATATTATTTGTTTGTTTGTTTGGTTTAAATTAAATTAAATCTATTTGATGATTGAATTGGGTTTCAGCTGATGTGCTTATAAAGATACTGTATTTCTTGTGTTTTACTCTACTCCTCTAAAATAAATAAATTTAAACTAGATTTTTTAATTTCCATGAAACAAGCAATGAGAGAGATATTTACAATCAGATCAGAAACTCTCTAAATTTCCCGCCCAACCGAACCAGTTAAACACGAAAAAAAAGGCAAAGATCTGATGAAATTTCGGTAAACTCGGAAAAAATTAGACACCCGAGAAAGTCGAGCGTGACGTGGCCTGCGAGAATGACGCCGAGTCCTATGAAAGTTGAGAATAAATGACTTGGACTAAATCGGTTGACATCAATCCCTCCTGAAAAAGTCGATCATGACGTGGATTAATTAGGTTGGCTTAAATCGTCTCTATCCCTCAAATCCCACCTATATTAAAACAACCAAGGGATTATTGTTGGTTGTTTTATTAATATTTTCTTGTAATTACTCTTGCTCCTTGATCATCATATTCACTTTTATTGATCCAAAGTTGGTCAGCTCTTTAAATAATAATAAAAGGTTAATAAATAAATAAGATAATTAATTTTTTGTTGCTTGTTTTAAACTTACAATGATGACTCTGCAATCTGGCAACCTCCATCCCATGCCAAATGTTGACGGTTTTCAAGACAGAATATTTGTATGTTTGAATTGGATGGTCCACCCACAAACTCTTTCTTTACTCTTTCTTCAAATCCTTTCATCATTGTTGTTGCTCCACAAAATACAACTTTTGATATCTCACTTTGTATATCTTTGTCACACTAAATAAATAAATGTTAAATGTTTGTTGCGTAAGTATGATATATGTATACATTTTTGTTATCAAACATACCTTTTTAATTGAATCACGAATACCAACTTGAAAACTAGTGTCTGGGCGACCCATCAATTGAGGATTGAATAGAGCTTCACCACAATTGGATAATAATTGATGACTGATATTTACCAATTGTCCATCGGGTAGTTCATATGATTGTGTGTCTTTATCTTTGTCAGTAGTGAGAGACACATAGACAAGTTTCTCTTTGATATCTCTAACGATTTGACGATCACGACTAGATACATTTAAAGAAAGACCATCTTGTTTGAGCAACTCTAAAAGGTATCTAGTCAGATGATCACCTCCAAAATCCAATCTAGTGCTTGCTTTTGGTATGTCTTTACCCTCGTTGATTGGGACTATATGAGTAACACTCTCACCTATATCCACTACGGTTCCGTAAGAATACCAGCTGCGTAAAGTGATAAAGTAGACTGTTGAGCAAATGACAGTTGGGGACATTTAAATTTCTCAAACATCATTTCAGCCTCTTTTTCACGACCAACCTTTGAATTGTCAGGTGACTCTGTCAAAAGGATTGGATGTTGAGATGGTTCAATACACATTAAATCTTTGAAACAATATTGTCTGAATTTTTCCAAATCATCAATATTTACAATTAATCCATGTTGTATTGGGTATCTAAGAGTATCTCTAAAAAAAATATATTAGTATTTATAATTACCTCTCTCTCTTAACTCTAGGTTAATTTACATACGATTTATATAATGCATCCAGGCCTATATTGCCAGCAGAACCCTAACAAGATGGAATGATATGTTGAGGACAACCATCTTGAGACGAACCCAATTTGCACCATCCCGATCCATTGTCAATTATAATTGGTGTATCTAAATCCATATAAATAAATAAATATATAAATCAAATGTAAATATGTTTTATGAATATGAAATGATGATGATGGTAAACATTGCATTTGTGATCACATGATGCAATTTCACAACAAACATATTTTTTGTAGAATGGTTTGGTTGCATTAATGGTTATGGTTGGTGTGTGTGTGGTAAGTATGTACCCACTGTTTTGCGTGTGTTGGTCAGGTCAATGAATGAATGTGCCAAGTGGGTAGTTTGTTTATATGGTCAATGATTGATGGCGATTCTTCAATTTGACTAGAAATCATTAGGCCAAATAAACAAACTACCCATTACCCATATTTCTCGATGGTCTTTGCACCACTATTGGAGATTGAGGTCAGAGTCCCAAATGAATTCTACGAACTACCCATCCTTATCACAGAGAGACTTGACGATCCTGCCATGAGAAAAGAGAATCTGATTTTGGGTTGAAAAAGGATACCAAACGATTTCAACAAACAACACCTATGATTAATAAATAACATAGTTTTATTATTTAATAATTATATATATATACCTACAAAGAATACTTCTAAACTTTTTTATGACTAATTTTGTCTCTCACTTTATTGAGTACCACAAAATTTTTTTTTCTTTTTCTTTTCTCTGCAGATAATTAAAAGAGATAGATAGAAATAACAATAGGTCATAACGTACATGATTAGGTCAACCTTTGTTTTATATAGAACAATTGATCATTCATTCATTATCAAAAATGATGATAAAGAACTGTTAGTGACTTGTGTCATCAACCACCCTGTACTATGTAATCACACCGTGATCAATTTAAAGACAACATGCACTCAAAAGGCAGAGCTAGGTGGATAGGTTTGACAGATGGATGAAGAATCAAGTAACAAACCGACTTCTACATTAAATTTCAATCATTCATTAGAAGGTATTATTATTATTATTATATTATAATCATACTTGCTGGTCTAGTGTAGGTAGTATGGTAAATAATTGGTGGTAAATTCGTTGAACAAGACTCGAAAAAAAAATCATATGACATAATGATGGAAATTACAAGACGAAAGAAAACCTATAAAAGAGGTTTGAATATCAACCATTATTATCAAACAAACAAACAAACAAACAAACAAATATTTATATATATATATTTTAAAGGTAATAATAATAATAATTTTAAAAAATAATAATGGAAGAAATTCAAGCACTAGTAATTGACAATGGATCTGGTATGTGCAAAGCTGGGTTTGCAGGTGATGATGCTCCACGTGCTGTATTCCCGAGTGTTGTCGGTAGACCAAGATACTCTTCAGTTATGGTTGGCATGGGCCAAAAGGATTCATTTATTGGTGATGAAGCTCAATCAAAGAGGTATGAATAATGTGACACATAATATTCTGGTCATCAAAAAATATTTATATTAATATTTATTTATTTATTTATTTATTTATTAAATTATTTAATTATTTAATTTGTAGAGGAATTCTTACAATGAAATATCCAATTGAACATGGTATTGTAACCAATTGGGATGATATGGAAAAGATATGGCATCATACATTCTACAATGAATTACGTGTTGCTCCTGAAGAACATCCAGTATTGTTAACCGAACCACCACTCAATCCAAAGGCAAATCGTGAAAAGATGACTCAAATCATGTTTGAAACATTCAATACCCCGGCAATGTACGTATCGATTCAAGCAGTACTATCATTGTATGCATCGGGTCGTACTACTGGTATTGTACTCGATTGTGGTGATGGTGTCTCTCACACTGTACCCATCTACGAAGGGTATTCTTTACCACACGCTATTCTACGTCTTGATCTTGCAGGTCGTGACCTTACCGATTACATGACAAAGATCCTCACTGAACGTGGATACTCATTTACCACAACCGCCGAACGTGAAATTGTTCGTGACATTAAAGAAAAGTTGGCCTATGTCGCTCAAGACTTTGACGTTGAAATGCAAGTAGCTGCCAACTCTTCGCAGCTGGAAAAGTCGTATGAACTACCCGATGGACAAGTCATCACGATTGGCAATGAACGATTCCGTTGTCCAGAGGCACTGTTCCGTCCATCATTCCTTGGTATGGAGTCTGACGGTATCCACGAAATCACCTACAACTCGATCATGAAGTGTGACATTGACATTAGACGTGAGCTTTACAACAATATCGTACTCAGTGGTGGATCGACAATGTTCCCAGGAATGGCCGATAGAATGCACAAGGAAATATTCGCACTTGCACCAAGTACAATGAAAGTTAAAGTCGTTGCTCCACCAGAACGTAAATACTCTGTCTGGATTGGTGGTTCCATCCTAGCATCACTCTCCACTTTCCAACAAATGTGGATCTCTAGAGATGAATACGATGAATGTGGTCCATCCATCGTACATAGAAAGTGTTTCTAGAAGAATATTCAAATTAAATAACAAATAATAATTAAATAATAATAACAAATAATAACAAACAAACAAATAATAATTAAATTATAATAATAATAATAATAATAATAACGATCAATTACAGGCGATATAACCTACACCAAATTACAACCCTAAATCATTTGTACATAATTATCATGGTTCACACAATCCAAAACCAACACAGAAGATGCTTTATAGGGGAAAGTTGATTTTATCCTTTCCAACTCTTGCTATCTATCTATCTATCTATCTATCTATCTATCTATCTATCTATCTATCTCTATCTTTTTTTAATAAATATTTTTAATTAAAAATGATTTATATATATATTAGATATATATAATATATAAATATTATTTCATAACCAACAAGTATTATTTATTTTTTCCTTTTTATTTTTGTTTTCTTTCAAAAAAAAACAAAAGATATTTGTAATCATAGGATGATGAGTTAGTTAATATCAAAAGATGATAAAGATCTATCATCAATTATCTCATCAAGTACATTAAATAGATAGTATTAATAATAATCATAATCATAACTATAATAATTTATAATGGAAGATATTCAAACTATTGTGATTGACAATGGATCAAATATGTGCAAGGCTGGTTTTGCAGGTGATGATGCTCCTCAAGCTGTATTCCCTTCTATAGTAGGTAGACTAAAATACTCTGAAGTTATGGTTGGCATGGAGTTGATAGATACATTTGTTGGTGATGAAGCACGATTAAAGAGGTATAAAATTATGCAATGTGATCACATCACATGACACTTGATGATATCATCATTTTTGAAGAAATAAAAGATATCTAACAACATCTTTATTTTAATCTTTATTTATTTTAAAATAGAGCTCCACTTACAATAAAGAATCCAATTGAACGTGGATTTATAACTAATTGGGATGATATGGAAAAGATATGGCATCATATATTCTATAAAGAGTTACATGTTGCTCCAGAGGAACACCCTGTATTGTTAACAGAACCACCCTTCAATCCAAAGTTTAATAGAGAAAAGATGACTCAAATCATGTTTGAAACATTCAATACCCCATCTCTCTATGTGTCTATACAAGCAGTACTATCATTATATTCATCTGGTCGTACTACTGGTATGGTACTAGACTGTGGAGACGGTATGACCTATTCGGTACCCATCTACGAGGGTCATGCTCTACAACACGCTATTCAACGTCTTGATATAGGTGGTCGTGACCTTACCGATTATATGACAAAGATACTCAATCAACGTGGATACTCGTTTACAACAACTACCGATCGTGAAATGGCATGTGATATTAAAGAGAAACTAGGTTATGTTGCATTAGACTTTGACGAGGAAATGCAGGTAGCTACCAATAATTCGACGCAATTAGAAAAGTCCTATGAATTGGTTGATGGACAAGTCATCACGGTTGGTAAGGAAAGGTTCAGTTGTCCAGAGACATTATTCAATCCATCATTAATATGCAACGAATCTGATGGTATCCACCAAATGACCTACAACTCGATCATAAAGTGTGATGTTGATATTAGACGCCAACTTTACAAAAATATCGTACTTGGCGGCGGTGGATCGACAATGTTCCCAGGAATGGCCGATAGAATGCAAAAGGAGATATTAGGACTTGCACCAAGTGCAACGAAAATAAATGTCATTCCTCCAGCACACAAATACTCTGTCTGGGTTGGTGGTTCCATCCAAGCGTCACTCTCCACCTTTAGACAAATGTTAATTACCAAGGAAGATTACGATGAATTTGGTCCATCCATCATACATAGAAAGTGTTTCTAGAAATAAAACTTGTTCATTTATTTATTTATTTATTATTTCTTTTATTCTTCTTTTCTAAATATGCAATTTGACCAGATTCCATTCGAAGTCTATTAAAACTACCTAGGTAATCACTTTTGCACCACGTTTTTTATCAAACCAAACATTATAGCCTGGTACAACAAAAACGGAATTATAATCACTGTCCAATGTGAAATTAGAGGTGCCGAATCAACAACAACTACTGGAACTTCTACGACGACTGGAACATCCACGACGACTGGAACGACAACAGGTACATCAACGACAACAGGTACCTCAACGACAACCGGAGTATCAACAACAGGATGTGTAACACATTGTGCAGTACTTTACAGTCAACCAGAGTTTAAGGGAGAACATGAAGAAATGAAAGAAGGAATGAAACAAGCAAATAGGGATTGGTGGTCTATCTTCCTTGGTGATCCCAAAGATGAATTTGCAGAAGGACCAAGCCCATTAGAAATGGAGAGTGTAAAACCAAGTGACTTCCATAAGCACCACATTGCAAATGGAAACAATCAGATGCAAATTAATCAACCTTTCAAAAACATAAAATAAACAAGTAAAAAGATTGTGTTTTTTTTCTAATTTTCAACGAAACGAACAAGAAAAAAAACTATTGGGATACTTTCAAATTTGTTGATCATTAATAGATTGTATACATTTGATCATACATGTAATTTGTAGTCACTCAATCTATTATATATATTATATATATTATAATAGTAACCTATAGTTTCTAGTAATAATGGAAGATATACAAACTATTGTCATTGACAATGGATCGGGTACATGCAAGGTTGGGTTTGCAGGTGATGATGATCCACGTGCTGTATTCCCGAGTGTTGTTGGTAGACCGAAAAACTATGATGCTGTCATTGGCAAGTTTAAAAAGGATTCATTTGTTGGTGATGAAGCTCAATCAAAGAGGTACATATATGCAATCAATGATCATCAATAATCGTTTCAGATAACTTTTATTAATACTTTAATCTTTACTCTGTTTTAAATGGTCGATTTCAATTTGTGTATAGAGGATATCTTACTATAAAGTATCCAATTGAACGTGGTATTATAACCAATTGGGATGATATGGAAAAGATATGGCATCATACATTCTATAAAGAGTTGGGTGTTGCTCCTGAAGAACATCCAGTATTGTTAACAGAACCACCACTCAATCCAAAGGCAAACCGTGAAAAGATGACTCAAATCATGTTTGAAACATTCAATACACCATCTATCTATATATCAATTGATGCAGTACTTTCATTATATTCATCGGGTCGTACAACAGGTATGGTACTCAGTTGTGGTGATGGTGTGACGCACACAGTACCCATCTACGAGGGTCATGCTTTACAACACTCTATTCAACGTCTTGATATAAGTGGTCGTGACCTAACAGATTACATGGCAAAGATGCTCAATGATAGAGGACATGATCAAATCAAGTTTACTGCACCTGCCGAACTAGCGATTGCACATGATATTAAAGAGAAGCTTTGTTATGTTGCAACAGACTTTGACCAGGAAATGGAGACATCGATCAACTCTACACAGTTGGATAGACACTATGAACTACCTGATGGACGTACATTGACTGTTGGTAATGAACGGTCCAGGTGTCCCGAGGCACTCTTCCATCCATCACTACTTTGTAACGAATCTGATGGTATTCATGAAATGACCTACAACTCGATCATGAAGTGTGATGTTGATATTAGAAGAGATCTTTACAACAACATCGTACTCAGTGGTGGATCGACAATGTTCCCAGGAATGGCCGATAGAATGCACAAGGAAATATTCGCACTTGCACCATGTGCAACGAGAATAAAGATCATAGCTCCTCCAGACCGCAGAGATTCTGTCTGGATTGGTGGTTCCGTCCTCGGCTCACTCTCCACCTTTCAACAAATGGTAATCACCAAGAATGAACACGATGAAATTGGTCCATCCATCATACATAGAAAGTGTTTCTAGAAATAAAATGTGGGTCATAATAAAAAGTTAATCTTCATCCAAAATATAAAAATAACAATATTATTTTAAAGATTAATAAATTTAAATATAAATCTTTGAATATAGTTTAAATATTACAGATTCGTTGGTAGATCACTCCTCACTTCAAACGGATGGAAAGAGAGACCCTCTTTACAAGTAAGAACTCACCTTCAAATGGCACAGAAATTCCAAGATGAACAATTAAAAAGAGATGAGATGTGCCCACTCCACCAATTTATCACAGACATCAAGAAAAGACCTTCATTCAATTTAAAGGTAGGCATGCGTACCAATTCTACAAGGTATCTCGGGTTGGTTGATGACAGCAATATATGGAAACTATCTTTAGCTCTCGTCTCCAAGAGACTATTCAACTTGGTGTCGACTAGTCTATTGACCAAAATCACTGTATTCCCCACCATTGAAACGAGCAGACATATTCTAAATCCATTTTGTGTCATCAAGAGAGCCAATCATCTTACTCTTCTACCATCAAATAGAGGTTATATGGCAGGATTCTCCAATTCCAAAGATGTTGTGCGGTTTGCAAATAGTGTACCAAGTCTTTTTAATGCAACCAAGATCGACCTCCAAGGAACAACTTTATCTGATTCTAATGTTTATCAATACTTTAATTTCGACTATTCCACCATCCCCTTTTTAATATCCAACTTTATCCACCTCACTTCAATCAACCTTTTAAATTCATACATAACCAATCAATATCTTGACTCCCTACCACTTTTGTTAACGTCATACACTTCCATTAAAAAAATTCTTTTACCAATCTATTTTGATTGAAATGTACTGGATCCAATTGTCAAAAAAAGGGTAGAAGTTTTATCATTTTTTGGAGATGGATCTCTTCAATTATTACAACAACTTGACAATATTGTCTACTTTTCAAGTCTCAGACATATAGTAATTGATGCTCAGATCGATTTGGATGAATGGAATGATATAAAATTAGCAAATAGTGTTGTCAAGGTGACACTTATTAAATGTCCAAAGAATATTTTATTGTTTCAAAAGAATACTCAAATTAAAACAATTCGATTTCTAAATAATGTTTCCCAATTTGATTCAAATCAATTCATTAGAATGATATTGGAAGATTTAAGTTGTCTCCCATTCAATGAAATCCAATCAAATGTAGAGAATATTATTATTCATTCACCAACCTCTATTTTGGAAAGTGATGTAAATCAATTTCAAAAAAATGGGTATCAATATATTGGATCAACATTTACCAAAAATTCAAATTACAAATTACAATTTAAAAGAATCCAAGAATCTTTTGGAAATTCAATCAATCAATCTATTCAACAACCAACATTTCAAGATGATAAAATGAAATTGGATAATAATAATATTATTAGTATTATTAATAACAATCACCAGGTACTCCCAAATTATATTCTCTTTAATATTATTAGATTGGTTTGGGATTCAAGAGGCAATTGTACATGTCTTTATGATCAGAGTATCAGGGAAAGAATTAAAAATGATGGTTTAAAATTATTGGACAATCAAGAATTTATGACAAAGCTAAACAATATCAAATCCAATTGCCAAGTACATTTTTCAACAAAATCTGCCTATCATCCAGCTGGATTAAATGCCAAACATGTCAATCGATCAAGACTACAACTATCACTCATATCAAAGTCATTTTTTAGATTCATCCAATCAAACTATTTCAACCAATTTGTGCTCAAATCATATTCAAACGACGACGATCATTTGGAAAACAAAAATTGTTTGTTAAACCATTTCACATCACTCTTTATTTATGATAATAGCCAGTTACATTCTAAAAAAATGACTTGTCTTAATTTTGATCAAGATAAAATTCTCAATATGACTGAAATGTCAATTAGACGTGGATTCTTTCCAAAAGGATATCTAGCACAATTTATAAATCTCCAATCTCTGACAGTCCATTCAAACAATAATCCCATCCCATTTGAATGTTTTCAAAATCTAAGAAAATTGGATATTGGTAATTTCGATTTACGTCATCTCAGATATTTTACATTAGATAAAGATCTATCAGAAAGTTTAAATGGAAACCACTAGAAAAACTATATCTCCATGTTGACATTAGAGAACAAGTCTATCTATCATTATCAGATGATATCAAAATGTCAATGAAATCGATTTTGATCAATCTCAACTCAACCAAAGATATAACTTTATTGAACCAATTTCCAAATATCAAAGAGTTACATATAGATAATTCAGATTCTTTTCCAAACCGTGTTGTTCCTCCAACAAGAATCAAAAAACTGATTGGATGTCTTTCAGAAAAGATTTCCTTTTTCCTAAAGATCAATCAATCAATTGAAACTTTTAAATCTCTGCTCCTGGATGACCATACAGACCCCAATTCAATGGTTTGTGATTTAACTGATGCAAACCATATTAGAAATCTAATCCTTCAAACTAGTTTAAATACTTCCAATAATTTATTATCTTATCCAAATTATAAACTTGAATCTAGTGTCTCTAAATTTTCTTACCAAGAATTTACTACATTATATCTAAAAAGAATAAAACAATAAAAAGAAGAGAGAGAGAGAGATTCAAGATAAAAATATTTCTAATAATAAATTTAATTATTTTTGAAAAAAGGTCTAGAAAACAAACAAAACTCACCTCTTTTTTATTTTTTATTTTGGTATCTCTATTTACTTACTAGTAACAAACATCCTTCTCTCTCTTATTTACAATTTATATTTATAAAATATATATCTATATATATATAACAAAAATGAATAACTTTGAAAACACATTCAATCAAGTAGATGACCAATCAAGTAAAAGGACACTTCCTTGGTTATTAATCACAAAAATCATTAGATATGCATATGATTTTAGTAGTATATGTACATGTGTCAACACAAACCGGTTAAGAGGTGTATATAATGAACATAATCGATTCGTTTGGGATACACGATCTAAACTAGAGAATTTAGAAAAAATAAGGGATGATGGCACTTGCTTGAGAGTAACAGCTCACCTTCAAATGGAACAGAGATTCAAAGAAGAACAATTAAATAGAGATGACATGTGTCCAATTCACCAATACATCATTGACATTAAGAAAAGACCTTCATTTAATTTCGTTGGTGATTTTCCTTCAAACAAGTATCTCGGGTTGGTTGATGACAGCAACATAAGGAAACTATCTTTAGCGCTCGTCTCCAAGAGTCTATTCAACTTTGTGTCTACTCGTCTCTTTACCAAAATCAAGATAATGCCCACCATTGAATCGCAGACACATATCCAAAACCCATTTTGTGTCATCAAGAGAGCCACCCATCTTTCTCTATTACCACTAAATAGATACGGTGGAGGAGCTTCAATCTTGGATTATCAAGATATTCAAAGGTTTATCAAAGATGTCCCTAGTCTATGTTGTGATGTGGAAGAACTCATCTTTAAAGGTCAAACCTTTTTAGACTCTGAAACTCTCCTAATCATCACTGCCAATCTTCCCAACATCACATGCATCCATCACCACCGAAAGACCGACGGAACAACCATCAATGAATTATTCACCAACTTTACCAAAGTTACATCTTGGGATCTTTCAAATGTATCCATTAACAACTCTAAGAGTCTTGATCAACTACCACTGTTGATTAAATCAGACTCCCCGATTAGAAAGATAATTTTACCAAACTATTATGATTGGAATTTACTGGATCCAGCGGTCAAACAAAACCTAGAGGTTTTATCATTTCAAGAAAAAAAATCATATCATCTATTACTTGACCTGCAGGATGATCATTCCTCATTTCCAAGTCTTAGACATATAATACTTGATGGTTATTATTTAAAGGAATGGATAGATTTAAAATTACCAACCACAGTTGTAAAGGTTACACTTTTATCATGTCGAAAAAAGAAATCACTTTTATTCTTTAAAGAAAACCCACAAATCAAAACAATTAGATTTCTAAATATTTTTTACCAATTGGATACATTTTGTAATCATTCTTTACAATTGGATGATATAAGTTGTCTCCCATTCAATGAAATCCAATCAAGTGTAGAGAATATTATCATTCATTCACCAACCTCTATTTTGGAGAGTGATGTAAGACAATTTCAAAAAAATGGTTATCAATTTATTGGATCAACAGCTGCAAGAAATTCAAATTTTAAATTACAATTTAAAAGAATGGAGGATTCTGAATACGAATCTTTAAATCAACTTATTCAACCACCATGTACATTTCAAGTTAAAAACAAGAAATTTTATAAAGACTATTGTGGTAGTAGTAGTCAAAATATACTCCCAAATTTCATTCTATTCAAGATTATTGGAATGGTTTGGAATTTAAGAGGTAGTTGTACATGTTGTCATAATCAGAGTATCAAAGATAGAATTAAAAATGATGGTATTAAATTATTGGACAATCAAGAATTTATGAAAGAATTGGAAAATATTAAATCAAATTGTGCGGTTCATTTTTCAACCAAAACTGCCTATCATCCAGGTGGATTCAATTCAATACACATCAATCGATCAAGATTTCAACTGTCTCTTTTATCAAAAGCTACATTTGGATTTATTCAATCAAATTATTTCAACACCTTTATTCCCCCTTTAGAGTCAGCCTCAATGTCTGTTCATTTGGAAAACAATTATTGTTTGTTGAACCATTTCACCTCACTGGAATTGTTTCATGACCGTCCTTATGAATCATCTTTGGATTACTTTCTAGGTAAATCTCTTACGATTACTGAGATATCATTCAATGTAATAGATATTCTTGATAAATACAGTGATACCTACAACTTTTATCAGAAAACGGCCAAATCTTTTATCCCACTGGATATTCGATATTTGGAGAACCGTGGAGCTTATCATATAATCGACCACCAACTATCAGAACAATTAAAAGGAAAACCAATAGAGAAACTATATATCCATGAAGATCAACGTAAAAGTGTTTATGAATCATTATCAGATGATACCAAGATGTCAATGAAATCAATATTGATCAATCTAAACGAAGATCAAGATCTTGTACTTTTAAACCTCTTTCCAAATGTAACACAGTTGCATATTGACAAATCAGATATAATCCAAAATATCATTCTCCCATCTAAAAGAATTAAGAAAGTGATTGGATACGCTTACCAAAAGATTACTAGTTTTCTAAAGATCAATCAATCAATCGTAACTTTTAAAACACTCTTTAAAAGTTTTAATGAGATTGGGTATCTAGAATCTCTAGTAAAAGATAATGATTTAGTAGATGCAATACATATTAGAAATCTAGTCTTTCAAATTAGTTCAACACCTTCTAAAAATCTATTATCTAATCCCTACTTTCAGCTTGTATCTAGTATCTCCAAGTTTTCAAACATTGAATTGACAACTTTATATCTAAATAGAATAAAACAATAAACTCTTAAACTATTATTCAAATAAATAATACAAATTAAAGTAAAACTATTATTTGTTCAATTCAAGAAGAACCAGGACAAAAGATCCTCTTCATAAAAATTTAATTTAATTAATTATTTTAAAAAGATCAAACTAACTTGCTACAATCCCACCCTCGACGCGTCATTCAATTTCATTTCACGTAGATATTTATTATTATTTATTTATTTGTTGTATTTTATTCATTATTCATTTCATTCACATTCACATTCACATTATTATATAATATATGCAAGAGAGTAGTAGAATGGAAGGTACAGTTAAACCAAAGCAAATTGAAAGTGTAGAATCAATCCTTGAAAAGTATATCCCAGAGGATGAGTTAAAGGAAGTAAAGAGAATCTTGTTTGGTCAAAACAGAGGTACATCTGTATCAGTTCAACCAGTCAATCAAGAAGCTACCGATATTGCTAATGCAAATAACTTTCAAGTACTCTTTTCAAAGTATGATCATATACAATCATGATTGCTGTAATATAAACGATACTAACTTAATTGTTCTCTTCATCTATATCTATCTCTATCTTTATCTATTTAGAATATTAGCTGAAAAGGAACAATTGAGACAACCAAGAATTGTTCGTATTGGTATCATTCAAAATAGTATTGGTGCACCAACCAACGCACCCATTCACGATCAATACATGGCTATTCAAAACAAGATTGAAAAGATGATCGATGCTGCTGGTGCTATGGGTGTCAACGTACTCTGTCTTCAAGAGACTTGGCACATGCCATTTGCTTTCTGTACCAGAGAAAGATATCCGTATGTATCAATCAATCATCTCAATGCGAGAGAGAAAGTAATCTACTATAATCTAATCAAATACTAACTCTTTCTTTCTTTCTTTCTCTTTCTCATCTATAAGATGGGTTGAATTTGCTCAACCGGTAACTGGTGAGGCTACCCAATTCATTCAAAGAGTAAGTATCAATATAATATAATATTAATATTAATATTATAATCACTAACATATATGTTTTATTTTAGATGGCACGTAAATATAATATGGTGATTGTATCACCAATGCTTGAAAGAGATGAAGTTCACGGCTCGACCATTCACAACACTGCCGTGGTCGTTGGCAACAATGGTAATATTATCGGAAAGAGTAGAAAGAACCATATCCCCAGAACCGGTGATTTCAACGAATCGACCTATTACATGGAGAGTACACTTGGACACCCAGTATTCGAGACTGTGTTTGGCAAGATTGGTATTAACATTTGCTACGGTCGTCACCATAACCTCAACTGGTTGGCCTATGGTCTCAACGGCTCAGAGATTGTTTTTAACCCATCGGCCACTGTAACAGGTCTCTCTGAACCAATGTGGGGTGTCGAAGCTAGAAACGCTGCCATGACCAACAACTACTTTGTCGGCTCGATCAACCGTGTCGGCACTGAACACTTCCCCAACGAATTCACCTCTGGTGACGGCAAGCCTGCCCACAAGGACTTTGGCCACTTTTACGGTAGCTCTTACTTTAGCTCGCCCGACAATTGTCGTTCACCAGGTCTCAGCAGAGTCCAGGACGGCTTAAACATTGCAGAGGTCGACCTCAACCTCTGTCAACAGGTAAAGGACAAATGGAACTTCCAAATGACCGCCCGTTATGAAATGTACGCCAAGTTCTTGACTGATTACATCGATCCAAACTATCAACCACAAATCGTTCGTGATCCATCCATTAAAAAGAATTAATTAATGCTCCAAGAATAATAAATAAATTAAATAATTAACTATAATTAACATCCATCTCTGACAATGATCTAGATGAGATTGTTACCCATCTCTTTGAGTATGGTATCGAGGGTGCAAACAGTCAGAACCAAACAGTCGCTCAGTTAAAGGGACAAGTCCGAACCCTTATTCTACAAATGGAGGTCTAGATCTACACAACACTGGTCAATTTTATTTGTTTGGTGCTTGGCAAACAATGGTCCTATGTATGAACCAGTTCCATACCAACCCAGCCATGTCATGGATACGTCACAATGCCCACCAACATGGTGTTGATGCTTGCCATGTCTACGTGATTAACAGAGCAGACACTGTTAGTCCATTGATGGGCGATACGTTTTCGAGTCCTTTTAATATCTAATGCAACAAGGTCCTTTTCTCATATGAATAAATAAATACCTATTTTTTAAATTCCAAACTAACTCTAAAAAAGATTAAATAAATTAATAATTATTAATAATATTGTTCCAAAGTAGTAGCATTGCTTATTGATAGTATAGTTACTTTTAGATACTATTAATCAGGTGGTTGATGTTTGGCTGGTTGCTTGACACGCAACCTCGGAATGGATGGAATTGCTCTTCTTGTTTCGACACCTTGGCTTTTTGACAATCTCGCCAAGATGCAGACACCAGAAGAATAATTCCATCATAGAAGAATATTAATATCAACACTAGTACTGGCTATACACCCAATCAAGTCGTAATGGGGTATGAACCCATTATGCCATGGAATGCATTTGAGCATGCCATTCAGCGACTACCGTCGTAATATAGAAACCTACCGTCAAATGGCTAAATCAAACATGTTGGAAGCACAGATTAGAAACCAAATACAACATGATAAAGGAAAATGGGCCAAATCATGCGATCTTGTAAAAGTCAAACGTGCGGTTTTAGATACACATAAAACAGAGCAAAGGAAAATGACAAAAATTGCGACCAAAGTACGCTGGTGGTCCTTGATTGTGCTCTTCCACTCGAGATGTATTAAATGATTCTGCCCTGATCATTCCATTTCTTCTTTTATGTATACTTTTGAGTTTGTTTGCAAGTAATCATCCCTCCCTCAGCCCATAAAAACGGCAATGTCGCTGAAATTACACAATTTTTTTTTTTTTTTTTATTTAAATCGAACTTCAAAGTTTCAAATTTGGCGCCTCAAACACATTTAAAAAGTAAGCTCAACTCTTTTTAAGTCTTATTGATAATTAATTATCTATATATATATAATTAATTATAGAATGGAAGAATCAACATCTACTACTAGTACTACCTCTACTACCTCTACTAGTACAACTAATCAAAGTTCACCAGAACGTAAAGAGATTGATGCAAAGGACCAAGAGATTATAGACAATGCTATGGGTAAAGTCAAGGCTGCAAAGGCATTGTTGGATGATCAAGACTATCTTTCTGCTTGTGAACTTTTAGGTAGCAGTTTATCTGCATTGTCAGTATTTACACATACTACTATAGTAGTAGTAAACACGCTCAAGACAACAAGTGACTAATCACAGTAATTTATCATTTTACTATATATTTATAGGTCCCCAATCTATGGAGAATTAGCAATTGAATTGGCACCAATTTACATTAAATATGGTAGAGCATTGTTGTTTTCATACAAGGTAAATGAATCTGATGTATTGGGTTCGAAATTGGATAACAACAAAGAAGGTGCACAAGAGGGTGAACCTGATGAAGCAGGTGAAGATGAATTAGACAAGAAAGAAGCTGCTAGTAGCAGTGATGGTGAGGATACTAGTACTAGTACAAGTAATGCAACCACTTCAACCACTACAACTACTGGAGAGAAAAAGGAAGAAGGTGACAAGGCAGAGACACTAGAGGTGGCATGGGACGTATTAGAGTTGGCTCGTGTCATTTATGAAAAAAATGGAACCAAGGAATTGGAATTATCAGATGTACACATGCTTCTCGGAGATCTCAATGTCGAATTGGAAAATCATCAAGATGCTCTCGAAGAATACAATATTGCTCTTCAATTAAGAAAGAAACAAAATAAGAAAAATGATAGAGAAGTTGCTGAAGTGTAAGTTAAATAATAATAATAATAATAATAAGTTTATAATTTATTATTTATTTATTTATTAATAATAATTATTAATTTCATTTTAGATATTATTATATTGGTATGGTTTATCAAATTAAAAATGATGCAAAGTTTGCAGAAGATAGTTATAAAAAGGCAATTGAAATATTGACAGGTGCATTGGGTGATTTACAATCAGATCCTACCTCTACATCTGATGATATTCAAGATTTAAAGAATGTCATTGCTGATCTTCAAATGAGAGTATGTTAAATACATTTATAAATTATTTAAAGGATATAGGATTTTAATTCTTTTTTTTTTTTTTATTCTTTTTAGTTGGATGAAGTTATACCATTAGATACATCAATGGAGAATATTCCAGCATTTTTAAAAGAGGAATTAATTAAACATTTGATTTCAACATCTGCTCCACCTGCAAACTCATCCTCCTCTACAGCTACTGTAGAAGCTCCAGCAGTACCTGAAAATAATGCACCAGTTAAAAGATTTGGAAATTTAGGAAAGGCTGCTAAAAGAGCTGCTGAACAAAAACAACAACAACAACAACAAGAGCAATCAACCAATTCAACTAGTTCAACAACTTTAGATACTTCAACTACACAACAAGAAAAACCAAAAAGAAGATTACAAGATTTAATGGGAGGAGAAGCACCACCCATTTCATTTTCTACTTCATCATCGAAACCATCCACTACTACTACAACAAAACCAGTTGAAGAAATTATAAAACAAGAAGAAAAAAAGAAAAAGGTTGAATAAACAACAACAACAACAACAACAACAACAACTATAGATAAAAGAAGAAGAAAAAGGATATATATATAATTTTGGTTTGGGTATAGAGAAATCTAACCTAGAATATTTTATTATCTTGTTACAAATTTGTATGTATACAAGTTAAAATACAGTGATTGGTAGTACATTTGACTATATATGTTTAGGCATCAACGACAGCGTTGGCTTGGGTTGTTGCTTGGACAGAGGTATTTGGTACATTTATGGTGCTACTGTGATTGGCAGAGATAGTAGTAGACAAGGCAATCTTGTTGAAACCTTGACCGGTCATTGAACCTTGACCAGCATTGAAAAAGTTGTTGGATGAGGATGATGACTTTTGGAATCCGATTTTAGAGATGGCAGCTAAGAGGAAGAAAAAAAAAGAAAAAAAAAGTAATTTGTTTGTTAGTTGGTTTGGTCAATCTTGTATGTTCAAAGCAAATAGATGCTTACAGAGGATAGACATTTTAGATTATTTGTTTGTTGTTGGGTATTATTAGTTTAGTAATTAACTTTTTAATTGTTGATTTAACTGATGATGATTAGAATGATGATTCAAGTTCTCTTTAAATAGTTTTTTTTTGTCTCTGGATTCACGTCATCATCTCTGCCATGAAACTTTTTTGGTATCCCATCCATGCATCCATGTATCAATCCCACCTACACCACGCTAGATTTCGAAAAACAAAGCAAATGTAAACTATTGATTTGAGGTTCAATGAATTTTTTTCTTCTAGGTCAAAGTGTCACTGACTGACCGAGGTCAATCTACCACCCAAGGTAACTAATTTGGCTTGTCACAACTCACCTATACTGCATATTAATTCGCCAAGTGATGATGAGATTTAATAAAACTTGAATTCAATCGAAACCAGAATTCATTAACATTTCATACAAAATGAATCAATAAATGTGGTAAGGATGAAAAGTAGCAGAAATAATCGGATGATAGCACAGCCGATACTTCATGTATACGTGGTGTGGTACAAGTGGTGGTTGATGAGGGATAACATCCAACTATTCTACTCCTCCCCCTCACGTTCATAGGATAGGGTAGTGACTGTCAAACGAATAATTACCCAACTTGGCATTTACGTAAATGTTGTGTACAACCTTTGTCTAAAAATGGATTGATTTTATCCCTTTGATCCACTCATTATCACCCAAATCCCTCACTCATACACATAAATACTTTGTTGAGACAATAATTATATTCATCCAAATTAATCTATACATAGCATCATGTTTATACATTATAATTAATCTACCCCTTATCGTCGTCGTTTATCTAATATCTTGTATGATTCTTCAAAAATGGAATCAATCATTTCAACCCTCACCAACCAACTGGGAAATAACAGTAAACCGTACCCTATTGCCACCTCTCTCATCACATTTTGAATGTCGATATCCAATTTATTTTTAACCCTGTCTATTCACTACTCTATGAATCTCCTATCCTTTTGATAAATGTAGATTCAAACAATTATTATTGGATATATCAAATAATCATCATTCGTTTTTTTAGCACAAGAGTGTTGGGGTGAGGTTAAATAAATAAATATTTTTTTTTTAATTATTTGTAGTATACTTTTTTTCAAAAATGATTTCCAAAACAGTGTCTTTTCGAAAATTTAAAAATATTAATTAATAAATCTATTTGTATATGTTTTTTAATCAACTATGAATAAAATTTGAGGGGTTAAAATTATAATCAACAACTGTCAAATATACACTGTTTTTGGTTTGAAGATCGTGATTCTGATTTTAAATCTCATTGATGACTTGATTTAGAATTTAAAAAAATAAAATTATAATCATTGATTCCCTATTTAGCCGTTGATGATGAACCTCTCCCCCTCACCTTTTAATTTCGATTGGTCAATGGAAATATAAAAAAACAATTTTGGAAAAGAAAGAAAAGATACAAGACTATTTTTGGATTTGAATTGATTTGAATTGAAACAATGATGTTTACATTGTTTATTAAATTAAATAATATGGAACGATATCATTTTAAAATGTTAGTTGTGATCGTTGGTGGTGGTAGTACAATGATCATATAGAGCTTAGAGTCTGACCAAAAGGTTTGTGGCAGCATCAACGTTGGCTTGGACATTGGTGTTGGTGTCAACGGTGGCATTAGCCTTGGTGGTACTGGTAACAGTGGTTCCACTAACAAAGTTCATTCCTTGCATTGAAGATGAACCCATTGACTTGAAACTTGAAGTGCTCTTTGAGACAGATGAGGTACCGAAAGATGAGATGATTGCTATTAAAAAATGAAAGAAAAATAAACATATTAAAATTAGGATTTCATTTGATTGATTATTAAAGGTTTCATTATAATGAACATACAGAGGATAGACATTTTAGTAGTAGTTTTTTTGGTTGGTTGGATTAAATTAATTAAATTTAGATAATTGATTGATTTGATGAATTGAAATGAACCAAATTGATGGATATTTATAGTTTTCCAAACTTCCCAAGTTTTGATAATTCTAGACGACAACGACGATATATGGGTGGATGGATGGGACGGACAGTGTACACCTGCTACCATGATTCCAACCACAACCACCCGAGTTTGTAGTATTGACATAAATTCTAACAAATCAAAGATAGATACCCCAAAAATATAATTACGTATTCATTAAATTAAAATATTATTAATTCATAAGATATAAATTGAAAATCAAGGAATTCAATTCAATTGATTCACCACCTCTGCATTTTGGTTTCCAAGAGTAGTAGCGATTGAATTCATTGATAAATACGATAAACAGATTTTGGTTGGTTAGGGTTAGAATGAAATAGATAAGATGTCATAAATAACTTCATCGAATCCTTTTTCCCCCATTATACATGCATGTCATCCAATAACCCTAGTCTACCCATTTATGCTTTCTCTCTTTCTGTCTATCTTTGGTCATCTCAACAATGGATAAATTAAAAAATTAATCAAATTTGGGAAAAAAGGGATCATCGACCACTAAACTAAACTAAAATGCCCGGAATGAACTGTTTACAATCATCTAAAGATAGATTGAATGAATAAATATTAATTATTAGCTGTATGATTTTATGATATCATTTTTAATAAACCAATCTTTTTTTCCTTTTGACGTCAATTTTTGTGTGTGAGTAGAAAACAACAAATACTTTTGTTTTACCCCTTTACTTCAACGTTTCAACACACACAATAATTTCAAACTACATTTTTTGATCTAATCTACATCATCCATTATCCAACCCATTATTATAAAATATTCAATCATCTTTGATTCATAGATATCTATCTACCTAATCAAAGATTTGAAATTGGGCACACATTGATGAATACAAACATTTAGTAAATGGTGGCGCACATTGTTCCCATTACCATTCATTACATGTTTTTTAATATTAATTGTCAGAGTTGCAATGAATGAATAATCGATCATTAATCAATCGTTGATTATCTTCTTACTTTTTGCCCATTAAAAAAGAGATTGGATTAGTAATATGAATGATTGAATTGATTGAATATGATTCAGTAAATTATTAATAGTATTAATATTCATATTATCCTCTCGAGTACCGTACCAACCAGACCATGATTAAATTTATATTTCAAATCATAATAATTTAATTTAATTTGCCATCTTGCATCTTCATCTTTATCTTGATTATTATTATTTTTTATACAAATATATTTGAAACTAATTTATTCCTTTTTTTTTTCAAATTTAAATAATTATTTTTAAGCAGATGGGTTTCTATAGAAATAAATAAAATATTAATAATTGATTCATCTAAATTATTTTCTTTTTCTCTCATTCTTATTTACCTGAACTTTTCACCAACAAAAACGGCATCCTTGCCCAACTCTTCTTCAATTCTCAAGAGTTGATTGTATTTGGCTAATCTCTCTGAACGACATGGAGCACCAGTCTTGATTTGACCGGTTTGCAAACCAACAACGAGGTCAGCAATAAAGGTGTCTTCGGTTTCACCGGATCTGTGTGAGACCATGACACCCCAACCAGCAGATTGGGCCAACAAACAGGCTTGGATCGATTCAGTGACGGTACCGATTTGGTTGAGCTTGAGAAGGAGGGCATTGCAAGCCTTCTTGTCAATACCTTCTTGAACCTTCTTTGGGTTGGTTACCAACAAATCATCACCAACAATTTGGACATGAGTTGATGATGTCAACTTGGTGTATGATTCCCAATCATCCTAAACGCAAAACAAAAAAAAATTAATTAATTAAATTAAAAAAAGAAATATATTTGTTTGTTTGTGTGACATACTTGATCAAATGGATCTTCAATTGATACGATTGGATATTCAGCAACAAAGTCCTTGTACAATTGACCGAGAGCTTCACCAGAGATGACTTGTGAACCGTCATTGTTCTTGGTCTTAAAGTCGAGATCGTAACCCTTATCAGTCTTGAATTCAGAGGCAGCACAATCCATACCAATCTTTACCTTTCCAGTGTGACCAGCTAAACAATCAAACAAACAAAATATATGTTAGCATTCTGGCTCTATTGATTAATATTTGTTATATATATACCCTTTTCAATGGCAAGTTTAAGGAGTTCAAGACCTTCCTTGTTACTGAGGATTGGTGGAGCAAAACCACCTTCATCACCGACGTTGACGGCATCTTGACCATAACGACCTTGGATGACACCCTTGAGACTGTGGTAGACTTCAGCACCCAAACGGACAGCTTCAGAGAAGCTCGAGGCACCAACAGGGAGGATCATAAACTCTTGCATGGCAAGACGGTTACCAGCATGCGAACCACCATTGATGACGTTGAAGGCTGGAACGGGCATGACGACCTTCTTTGGGTCCTTGCCAGCAAGAGTGGCGATGTAACGGTAGAGTGGGACACCCTTGGCGGCAGCACCAGCACGAGCGATAGCCATAGAGACACCGAGGATGGCGTTGGCACCGAGATTACCCTTGTTTTCAGTGCCGTCGAGCTTGTTCATGAGATCGTCGAGTTCCTTTTGTTGGGTGACGTCCTTGCCGATGAGTGCTGGTGCAAGAATCGACTTGACGTTGTTGATGGCCTTGAGAACACCCTTTCCACCATACACCTTGCTGTCCTTGTCTCTGAGTTCGACAGCTTCGTAGGCACCGGTTGATGCACCTGATGGCACGGCAGCTCTGAACAACTGACCATTGTCTGTCACTACATCTACTTCAACGGTTGGGTTGCCTCTAGAGTCGAGGATTTGACGTGCATGAACTGATTTAATAGTACTCATTATATAATAATAATAATAATATAATTAATAAAAAATATCTATGTAATTATCTAAAAAGATGAAAAGAAAACTATGAGAGATGATAATCATGAGGCACTAGTTACTGAACGGTGAACTTCTCACCAACATGCGAAAAAAATTTAATTTAATTTTTGTTTTTTTTTTTTTGATCATCCCACCCCTTTGTCCCAAACCACACCACATTTTAATTTAATTTATTTTCAATTTTTTTACGACTTTGAAGTAGTACTAGTTTGCAAAGATAGAGATAGGAGTAGTCGTATTATTATATAATGCAAAATAATACGACTACAGATAAACATGTACAAATAATAGAAGTAGAAACCCTAACATTTCTAACAATATTTAAAAATCAATATATTAGAAATATTATATTCAATCAAATAGATCAATTACCAAAGAGCATTGGTGGTAGTTGCAACTTTGTCAAAGGAAAGGAGTTGATTGCACTTGAAGCACCACTATCATGTTTGATTGCCAAATATGCTATGCCATGGGACTTTATTAGACACTATCTACCACCCAAGATGGACGGTGACCATTATCTGAGGACGTATGCAATCAACCAATACTGTCAACATCGAAATGCAACACTGCACACACTCAAACATCTCATAGAATGGTCACCGGAATACCAAAACAAAGATCCAGAGGTATTGAGGATAGTTTGTGATAATGGTCATTTATATATCCTTAGGTATCCTCTTTCCAAATGTACCATGTTCAAACTTTATGGGTGACAAGGCAATTAGAGATGGAAATATAGAAATGGTAGATTATTTGGTCAACCATCGTATTGCCAATATAGTTGAACATATTGGTCTAAGATTTCATTTTATTTCTCGAAACGATGCAGCTATGGTCAAATTGTTTCTTGATTATTTCCACAACAACAAATCTAAATATAAAATAGATACACTGGCATATATATTACCATCGATAGCAGGGTATTTTGAAATGTTCAAATCTCTCTATCAACAACTATCATTGCCACAGGCCGACTATTATCTTCAATTAGCAGTGAAAACTGCTCTAGAAGGTGGATTCCTAGACACTATCGAATTCCTCCACTCGAATAATCAACAATTCCCTGATAATCCTCTTGCTCACGTATGTATTATTTAATTAGTAATTGTAACTATTATTAACCATTATTATTATTATTTATTATTATTTAGGCAGCAGAAAAAGGACATTTAAAAATTGTACAATTCCTAACCACTCAACGACCAACTGAAAATAGTACAACCTATTCAATGGACAATGTATGTTAATAATTTAAATTATTATTTAAAGTATCTAATCTAATATAATATCTCTGATTATTTATTTATTTATTTTTAGGCAGCTAAAAACGGACATTTTGAAGTTGTTCAATATCTTGATCAGAACAGAACTGAGGGATGTACAACCAATGCAATGGATGAGGTAAATTGATCAATCTTTAACAATCATTATTCATGAATAGAATACTAACATTTATTTATTTAATTAATTTATTTATTTATTTTTAGGCAGCTAAAAACGGACATTTTGAAATTGTTATGTATCTTGATCAACATAGAAGTGAGGGATGCACAACCAATGCAATGGATAATGCATCATTGAATGGTCATCTTTCTATAGTAGAGTACCTAGATCAACACCGATCAGAAGGATGTACACAAAAAGCATTAAATAATGCATCGGAGAACGGACACCTTCCTATTGTCAAATACCTTTGTCAACATAGATCTGAAGGAGATATTCGAAGTGCGAGAAACATTTCTAAAACAAAGGTTGATGCAAGTCTCTTTCATTACCTTTGTCAAGAGATTCAAAAACGAGAAGGTACAACTATTGCAGACTTTGCTAATAGTTATCAAGAGTTTATGAATAACTTGGTTTTTTCTGGACAAGTAGATGGTCTCAAATATTGTTATGCCAACACACCATTTAGATGCAAAGTAAAGGATTTACAAGATGCTTTGCAATACAACTATCGGGAGGCTGCACAATTTATTTTGGACCGTGGAATAGAGTTGAATGAAAATGACCGAGTCAATTTAATTGGTTATGCAGCTTTGGGAGGTTACTTGGATCTAGTCAAGCTTTATCACAGTGGTTGCAATGATCGAAACAGTTGTACAAAGACTGGTATCGATTATGCAGCACAGAGAGGTCATTTATCGATTGTTGAATACCTCCATTTCAACTGCCGACATGGAGGTGGGTGCACAACAGAGGCAATGAATCGAGCTGCACAGTATGGTAAATTATCGGTTGTACAATTTCTCGATACCCATCGCACTGAAGGGTGCACGCCGAGTGCCATGAACTTTGCAAGTGAAAGTGGCCAACTAGCAGTTGTCAAATACCTTCATCGAGTTGGAAAGAAATGTACTGTCGATGCAATGACCAAAGCACAAGTATATCGAAAATTTGAAGTCATATCATTCCTCCACTACAATCGAACCGAAGGTTGTGTCAAAAGAGTAAAACAATCAGACTGTGTTGAAATTATGCAATTCCTCGTTCATCATAAAAGAGTTGTCAATTATCCAGAAGATTTATTATTTTATGATTGGGAAATTGAACAAAAAAGAAGAAATCAATACTAGGTAGAAATAATAATAAATTGGAAATTAGACAAAAAGAGGGGAGATTTATTTATTTAATTTTCCAAACAACTATCATTACAATTATTATTATTGGTATCTTCAAAATTTGGATGATGGTGTAAAGGTGTATTAATATCAATGTAACAAGTCGAATCTTGGTGGTCTTGATTTCTTGGTGTTGTTAGTTCATCTTCATCAAATTGTTTTAAAATATGGCTCGTATCAGCACCTACACCTGCACCACCACATTCAATATCTTTAAGGTTCTCGAGATCGGTTATAATGTCATCTTCATTGGGTGTGATGGAAGAGCTGGCAGGGGTGTTTGGCATAGTTGTTGCTGCGGTCTCCTTGATACCTCCTTGTCCAAGATTATTTTCGTCATCCTTTCTAAAGAGGGTGTTTCTCAACTTGGTGGCCTTGATAAAGATGGTGAGGACAAAGCTGAGGATGGCAAAGGGTGTGGCGGTGAGGAATACAAGTGCAAGGGCCGATGCGTAGGCGTCGACCAAGTACTCCTTGTAGAGCGGGTCGTACTGGTAGCTCTGGATCATATCTGCCTCAAACTGGGTGGCGCTGAGTCCGTTGGGCAGGATATCCGGGTACATTGCAACAAGACCGTGTAGGTTGTTTTGGAATTGGTAGTTGAGGATCGTCGAGAAGAGTGATACTCCGACAACACCGCCAATTGTTCTAAAGAAGGATATGGTGGCTGTCGCGATCGAGATGTACTTGACATCGACGCTGTTTTGGGTGATCATGACTAGGATCTGCATGGTGAATCCAATACCGCAACCAATGAATGCTTGGTAGCCGAGATACTGCACTTGGGTGGTATTGGTGTTCCAGAAAGAGAGGAAGAGTGTGCCGACGGCCATAAGGATCGAGCCGACGATGGGGTACGACTTGTAATGACCGAAACGCGTGATGAGCAGACCCGAGATGGCACCCATGGCGACGATGCCCAGCATGGTGGGGAGCAGCTGCAGACCGGATAGTGTGGCGCTCATACCCTCGACCATTTGGAAATAGATGGGTACATAGTAGATGACGCCAAACATGATGAACCCAAGAATAAAGCTGCACAGACTACAGATAACATAGTTTCTATTTCTAAACAGCTCCATGGGTATGATTGGGTTTTTAGCGAACCGTTTCTCATTGACTATAAAGAGGGCGAGGAATATCAAACTACCGAAAAACAGAGATAGGATAACAGGTGATTGCCAAGAGTAATTGACACCACCCCAACTGAGAGCGAGGAGGAATCCAATGACACTAACAACCAATGAGATGGTACCGACGAAATCGATGCATTTGAATCCTTGACGAACCGATATGACGTCTTGTGGAAGACGTAATGCAAAAAACACGACGCATAGTGCGATGGCTCCGAGTGGTAGATTGATCCAGAATGCCCATCTCCAAGTGACATTATCGGTAAAGCTACCACCAATCAATGGTCCGATAACCGATGACACTGCATAGACTGCGCCAATCAATCCTTGGTATTTACCGCGTTGTCGGAGTGGTACAATCTCGGCCATAACAATCATGACTGCCGACATTAACCCACCGCCTCCCAAACCTTGGATAGCACGTGCTGCAATCAGCATGGTCATAGTATACGATGTGGCACACAACAAGGAGCCTATTAAAAAGGCGACCAGTGAAAAGAGCAGCATAGCCTTTTTACCAAAGATATCACTAAACTTGCCAAATAGTGGAGCAGATGAAGTACTGGTCAGCAGGTATATAGTCACTACCCAAGACAACTTGTCAAATCCACCCAAATCATTTACAATGGCTGGCAGAGCAGTAGCTACAATAGTCAAATCCAAAGATGATAATGATAGAGATACCATTAACCCAGAAAATATTATTAATATTTGTCTTTGTGTTAATTCTGTTTTTGGTGTTATATTATTATTATTATTATTATTAATGTTTACAATTTGTTGTTGGTGATGTTGAGAATAATCGGAACCTGCTCTTGAAACAGGAGATGAAGTTGAATCTATATTGGATGAATCGCAATACTCGATAAACGAGGTTGCGGGTGAAGAGAGTGGTGTTTCGTTTAAATGGATGGTCAATTGTTGCTCGTCAACAATGGTCGTCGATGGTTTACTCAACGTCGACTTTACTAGTACTAGTTTTTCGTCACTAATCTGTTTGACAATCGATTTAATCATGGAACCAGTCGGTGAAGGTGGTGTGTTGTTATTACTTGATAAATAGTCTGACGTCGATTCTTGTTCATGAACGACACTATCATTATCGTGATGATGATTGGATCGGTTAATCAATCGAAGATCCATTTTCATAGGTGTCGACATTCCCGAGCATTGTTGCCCAAGACTATTAGTATTAGTATTAATATTATTATTTGTTGTTGGATTATTATTAATATTATTAATATTACAATTATTATTATTTAAATTATTTTCCTCAGCAGAAGGAGTAGGAGAAGGAGATGGAGATGAATTGGTAAATTGTTGTTGAGATTGATGGTGTTGTTCTTGTTGGAATTTTTGAAGACTTGAACTTTTGGAAACAACAAATAATTCAACTTCTTCAAATTCTTCGTCGGATGAAAAATCCTCTGTATTATTGGCACTACGCGAAATGGAAGTTGTCCTTGATCTTTTTAAACTACAGTCTTGAATAATATCTGGTTTATCCATTTTTTTTTCAAAAGATAATTAAAAGTAAAAAGAATAAATAAATTTTTTACAAAGAAAAAAATAAATTAAATTAATAAATAATTATTGGGGGATCCTAAATAAATAAATAAATTAATAAATTGATTTGTGGGGAAAAAAGAAGAGGAGGTTAGATAAATCGTTAATCAATAGGTAGATTAGAGGAAGAGGAGTTTCAAAACAATTACTTGAAATGGGCAAGGAATCTATTTAATTTTAATGAATTCACAAAAGCAAGAGCCTTTTTTTTTTGATATTCGCCAAACACAATATTGGAATGTTTGCTAGTGCTGATGATGATAAATGATGATGGTGTTGGCTATATATATTTAAATATATATATATATTGGATTAATTAATTGACGGAATGGTTTGAGCCGGATAGAAATTTTTATCCAAAAAACACAAAAATAATACTAAGTATACAACAAATTTAAGAAACAAGTGTAAATACACAACTAAAGCAAACTAAACAACAACAACAACAACAATCAGTAGAAGAGTAAAATAAGAAGAAGAAGGAGTAGTCGACGGTAACGACTGATGAAGCTGGCATAAGAGTCGTTTCCCAAAACAAAAATTGGTGGTACTAGCTAGTGGTGTAGGTGGTGGTGGTCGTGATGTCAGAGAAACAGGCAGTCAGGCAATTTGGATATGGATATCCAACACCACCACCAATACCACCCTCTACCATTCACAACTCTTTTTTTTTTTTTTCCAGATGGAATTACAAGTAAAATGAAAGAGTAAGGAATTAATCGTCGTGTCGATGATAATATTGATGATGCTGATGATGATGAAATTTATTAATTGAGCACAAGACCCATTATGCGCTCATTCATTCAACAACAGAACAATTTCCATAATTGGCAAAAAGGATTGAACAAAATGTTATGAATGGTATGTATTGTGTTATCCATTCACCAATAACAACGAGAGAGATAGAAACAATAATAATATGAGCTGTTGCCAATATGAATGACTTTTCAACATAATTTCAAGAGAATGCACTGATTCTTGAAAAGAAAAAGGTAGGTGGGTAAATGAATGAATGAATGAATGAATGAATGAATGAGAGAGAGAGGTGAGGAGTTGATTCCAAGAGGATAGAGGGAGGAGAGAAATAGGGTGAGGTGGCATCTGCAGATAATATTATATATAAATGATGATGATGATGATGATGAGGGTGATGTGTATTTTAAGATAAGTGGTTTTGGAAAGTTTGGATAGATGCATAGACAGATATACACACATTTTGGATGGTGGGTAGTGGTGAGTGGTTATGGTGCAAGGCAGCAAAAAAATGATCAAACTACTACTACTGCTCTTGATAATTCAATGATACATACCTACATATTATATTATATATCTGTTTACTTTGATTTTTTTTGTCTGTCGGTCGGTCGGTCTTCCAAGAGGCAGTCCAACTTTGGCATACATCAAGAATCAATCCGTCCATATGCCACTGACTGACTGACTGCCTGACTGAGATTTCCATTTCATCCAGTACTGGAAATTAAAAAAAAGTAGTAGAGAGTGTGTAATTTGAATACAAACCGTTTGGAAAACTAAACAATCATTTAATTAATTCCTTTAATCAAACTGTCCTGTCTTTGTCGTAAAATCAAGAATTTATATGTTTTTGTTGGTATCGTCTCTTTTTCTCTCTGCTCTACACCAAGATACACTCACTTCCTTCCTTCTTGTTGCAACAGAGTTGTGTTTGTTACAACCAACCGGTCGTTCCAATCGACATTCCAATTATCATCGACCCAACCCTCTTGCATCCATCCGTTCATCCATCCACCATACTATCATCCCCCCAGATAATAATAATAATAATAATAATTAGAATTCTACCTACCCACCAATTAATTGGTATGTAGTAGTAGTATGTAGTGGTCAGTAGAAGAAGTAAGGAAGTGAGAGAGAGAGTAGTAGGACTTTTGAAAGATCTTGTTTTATCGCCAACAATGCGTGTGTGAGAGATAGAGAGCAAGCATTATTGTTAATTATTTGATATCACACTCCATATTATATTATGTTTTATCATTCATATCTTACCCCAAATCTTCACAATCATCATCCAGATACTGGTCGAAAACATATCATATAAAACCACAACACAACACACAACGCAACTCACAACACCATGTGAGTTTGTTTGTTGCATTGTGTGTGTTATTGTTATTGTTTAAACAACACCATCTGTGCAAACAAAACTTTGGTTTTAGATTAAAAGTGTGCAGTGGAGGAGGAGAAGGGAGGGTTGTTGTGTTTTATATACGATCGTATCTTGTTGTTGGGGACAGACTACATTGCACGAATGTTCCAACCCTCATTCTCTCGATTGTATACAATCTTGAAATCATCACTAGATGATCGACATTGATCAATTCACCTTGGTTGTTGTTTTTAATATTCGTTTGATGGTGCTTGATGATGCTTTGATGATGATTCTCCCAATTGTGTTGTTGTTGTTGTTGTTGGTGATTGTTCTATATTTGAAAGATATAAGGTTGTAGCGATCGATTAAAACTAATTCTAAATCCTTTTAATTTTTTTGATCAGATCTCTTCTATGCAGCCAACCACCCACATCACATTGATTTATTAAAAACAAATAATAATATTAATTGTGGATTTGTTCAATTAATATTTGGAAATGAATGGAAATGATCATCATGTTCAAATAATTAATTCTAAAATATAATGATTCATTATAAGTGTGATGGTGTACGCAATGAATGGTATAGGTATATTTATTGAATTAGTTGTTATTAATATTTGTTGAGTTTGTTATTTGATCATGTATGTTTGTTGTTATTTGTTTTTTTTTTGGTTGTTGTCTCTTTTGTCATGTACCGTGTCGTTGTTTCCAAATTTATGATAATTTGGTTGAAGATATTTGCCTGGATAAAAAGTTAAAGGGATTGTGATGGTGATTGTGATTATGATGAGGAATATTATTATTGTTTACAGAATTGTCGTTGTTATTGGGAAAAGTACTATTATTATTATTATTATTATTATTATTAGTATGTGGTGAAGATGGTACGTTGTTGGAATGATGACTATTATTATTATTATTATTATTATTATGATTATTGTTATTATTTGAAAAAGATGATGAAGTTGAATTTTGAATATTATTAAAATGACCACCACTAGATGAGATGGAGGAAGATGAAGATGATAGTTCGTCAAATGACCAAACTTTGATGAGTTTGTCTTTGGAGCTGGTGACTAGTTTGCTGTCCTTAAAGTTGAGTGAAAAGATGGTTTCGTGGTGTCCGCCAAGTGTACGTACACCTGCTGCCGAGTCGTTGGTGTAGGGATCCCAAATACGAATGACACCACCCTTGCCCGACGAGATGATCTTTTGTTGGTCGTATTGCACGGTCCACACCCAACAGGCCGAGTGGTTGTGCGTCTCCATCGGTACAAATGTGCGGATGGTGCGGCCAGTAGCAATGTCCCACATGCTGATCGAGCCGTCGGTCGAGCCGCTAACCACCGTGTTGTCATAGACTGACAGACAAGTGGCATCGTCGTTGTGTCGGTATGTTCGCACACACGTCGATGTACGTGTGTCCCATACTTTACACGACCAGTCTGCACTAGCACTCACAACCGTTCCATTGTAGTTGGATGCAGGGTTATCATTGATCTTGACGCTGTAGATACCCTTGGTGTGGCCAGTTAGCTGAGATAGCGTCGACCCCGTCTCGACATCCCACAAATGAATCTGCGAGTCTAGCGACGAGGTGACGATCTTGCCCTCCACGTCACCCAAATAGTTGATGCTCGTCACAGCCTCTTTGTGACCACCATACACACGTAACGTCTTTTTAGTCTTGGGATGCCACACACGTGCTGTGAAATCGGCCGAACTTGTAAATATGCGGTGTATCTCATTGCCTTGTAGTTGGTAGTCTACGCCTTTGACCGTGCCCGTATGTCCCTTTAGACTATACAAATACTTTGTCTTTTTCATATCCCATACCTTTAGTTTCTTGTCCTCTCCTCCCGACAATATATAATCTCCACATATTTTAATACAAAAGATACATTTACTATGTCCCTTTAATGTAGTTTGATTGATTTTACTACCAAACCATGGTTTTTGTTGTCTAAAATTAAAATAGAAAAAGAAAAAGAAAATTAATACATATACACAATATATATCTTTATCTTTGTTTTGTTTGTTTGACATACTTTATATTATTAATTAAAGTTGATTTCCAAGTTGATTCAATTGATAATTTTTTAGTGATACCACTATTATTACAATATTTTAACCATAATGCTTCGTCATCAAATTTCTGCTTCCAAGCTTTACAAACTAATGCCAAAGATTTGACTTGTTTAATAGGCATAAAACTAAACAAATGTGTCATCAATGCCTTTGGCAATGATAGAATAGATGTTGGAGGTGATTTATGTATTGCAGTCGACACCCCCAATTCTCCATTTGTTGGATTAAACTTTGGTGGAGTTAAAATTGACAAATCACTAAATATTAAATAAATATTAATTAGTATATCTATATATATTTTAATAAATTAGGATCTACTACACGTACTGTTGTTGAGAAGGATTATTATCAACTATATTTGAAATGAATGGATGTTTGAGGAGGGCAGATGCATCAGGACGTTCTCTTGGATCACGATTAAAACAAAGAGTTAGGAAATCGATGGCATCTTGTGAGAGAGTGTTGGGTAGTTCAGGCATTGAATTGGATGATGCAATGTGATACATGACGGCTGCAATCTCATTGATGTTTGACCATGGTGGTGCGGCAGTTGCCATTTCAACAATGACACAACCGAGTGACCAAATGTCAGATGATCGTCCATGTCCAGTTTGTTTGATGACTTCGGGCGCCATCCAAAACGGTGTGCCGTGCATCGACTTGAATTGTGACACTAACCCTGAAAAGATCTTGCTGCATCCGAAATCACTCAGTTTGACAGTACCCTTGGTATCGATCAATATGTTGGCACCTTTGATATCGCGATGTATGATTTGATGGTGATGCAAAAATTGTAATCCCAAAAGAATCTGTTTGGTGTACACTTTGATCACGTTTTCACTGAACGGTCCGAATCTACTCAATAGCGAGCTGATCGATCCTCCAGGTATATACTCTAAAAATACATTTAAATGTGTACTATCCAAACACGACCCCAAATATCTAACTATATTTTCATGTTTTAAATATTTTAATACTTCAATATCTTTACTAAATGATAATAACATCTAAAATTTTAAAAAAAAAGGTATATTAATATTATCATTATTATTTCATTGATTATACTTTGTCTACATACCGATTTATATTTGCTATCCATAACTTCCATTAATTCTAATTGTTTGACAGCTATTAATTCTCCATTGTCAACATTTAAACCCAAGTAAACTGAACCGTATCCACCTCTTCCCAACAGTTGTCCTTTGGACCATTTGATGGGTTGTAAAGTTGTCAATTCTTCATGTTCGTTGATAATCAGTGTTGGGAAATTAGTAAACTTTGATAAATCAGCACTATTTCTATTTCCTGATCCATTACTAGCATTATTATTATTACTACCATTTGGACTTCCTCCATTATTATTATTATTATTATTACCACTACCTCCACCAAACAATTGATTGATTAATGGTGAAGAAGGTCTTGGTAAATTATTACCATAACTTTCTTTTCTAAATTGTATTAATCCTCCTACACCATTATTATTATTATTATTGCCACCAGAATTATTTGAATTCATAAAATTAATATTATTATTATTATTGCCATTTGAATTATTACTTGTTGGGGTGGTTGGTCGACCATCAGATATTGTAAATGGGTATGGTTTAAAATCTGCATCAATTGAACTATGATTACTTCCACTACCACCACCACCTCCACCATTATTATTATTATTATTATAATGTTGAACAAAATTATTATTATTATTATTATTATTATTATTATGATTATTATTTGTTTCCATTACTCTAAACCCTCTTTCCATTTCATCATCTAAATTAAATTCTCCAATGTTGTTGTTGTAATTATTGAGATAGGCGGAACCTTTGGGTGGAGAAGGTGGTGGTGATGGAGGAGGTGTTCGTAATGGTGGAGGATGTTTTGGGGATCCAGGGGGTGTTCTGAGAGGCGGAGTAGTGTCTTTGGGTAGATTATTCGCATGGTTATTATATTGTAATAGCGTAGGTGAAGGTGGAGATATATTGTTGTTGTTGTTATTGTTGATTGTTACAGGCAGAGGTTGAGGTGATGCTACTACGACTACACCACCGCCACCATTTTTAGGAGGTGAAGGGGGAGGTGTTCTCAATGGAGGAGGTGGATTACTTCCCTTTCTAATTGACGTTGCCGATATTGGAATGGATTGTGAACTACTAGTTGGTGATAATGAATTTAAATTGACACCATTATTTTGATTATTATTATTTTGATAGAGAAACGAGTTGGATGGTGATACAGTTATTTGAAACCCAGTCGTTGATGTTGTTGAAGGGTTACTACTATTATTACTAATGTGACTAATGTTGCTCGCATTACTGCTTGTCAGTGTCGAAGAAGTTGGTTTTAAAAAGAACTTGAATTGTACAATCTTGGATGGATACATTGAGCGAAACTCGTCAAACATGTTGATGGCGTCGATAATGTCGTTCTTGCCACGCACAGTGACTCTGTCACCTTCGTGATCCTCGAATTGGTGTACGGCCACCGGCTGTCCAAAATCCTCTTCCAACTGATCCATCAACTCGACGTAAGTCACCGTCGAAGGTACTTTTATAATTCTAATATCATCTTCTCCTAATTTACACTTTATTCTTATCTGCTGCTGCTGTGCACTCTAAACAAAATGTGTAGATACATATATATAAATATAATGTTTGTAAGTATATAATCAAATCTTTGCTTGACCCCTTAACCTGTCTGTCCGCCCGTCTTGAATTACCATTGTTGTGCCTAGAATATATAAATGATCTTCTTTTCCTCTCTTTCTACTTTCTATCTGATAATATTATCGTGTGTTGTTGTTGTTGTTGTTGGGTCATATGAGGAATAATACAATATAAATAAATGATAATACAATACTACGCCTAAAGAGTGAGATAAAGATAACACCTCCCTCACTTAACTGATTCACCTTTCATCGCAAGCTGGGGTTGGACAAAACAGTTTTGAGCTAAAAAAAAAAAACAAAAAATCTTTGATACAAAAACATTTTAGTTTAAGTTTTTAAAAAATGGAGGAGGATCAGATAATCTTTTTTTATTTATTTTATATTTATAAATAAATCTTTAATATTCCAATGATCAATGAAATATTTATTATTTGGAAAAACTCTCCACCACAAATAATAATAATTTTTGAAATTAATTTCAAAGTGAACATAAATTTTTGCAACGGTCAAATTTTTACTCTGACACATTGGGTTTGATCAGACATCATCAGTTTTAGTTTTAGTTTTTATTTATTTATATTTTAGGCAAAATCTCTCTAAATTGAATATTTCATTTATTCATTCATTCATTCATTGCAGAGATACAACTACAACTCCAACTCCAACCACCACCTTTCATCATCATCTATTCAATATTAATATAGTAGTAGCTTGTTTGTTGTGCTGATCAGTTCTAGAAGATAGATATATAGATGAGTACTGACAAGAAACGAAAGAAAAAGAGTACTACAACAACAACAACAGCAGCGGCAGCAACAGCAACAACTACAAATGAACATAACGAGGCAGCAGACGTAGACACTACGACGACGACGGTCACCAAGCAGAGAGGTAGGAGGAAAAAGACGACAAATGGTGCGGCTGCCACTACACCACCACCTGCTGCAGATGAACATCAAGATAATGATCATGAGGAGGAAGAGGAAGAGGAAGAGGAAGAAGAAGATTCACCAAATGGTACAAGTAGCGGTACCATTAGCAATGAAGATGGTGATGAAGAAGAAGAAGAAGAGGAACAAGAAGTAGCAAACCAAGTCAAAGATATAGGTGGTAGTAGTACAAGTAGGCAAAAGAAAGAAGATAATCAAATAACTCCAAATAATAATAATAATAATAATAATATAAACAATAGCAATGAACATAATCATCTTCATGAAGATAAACAAGAAGAAGATGAAGATAAATATAAAGATACTACTCCTACAACCACCACCAAAAAACAACAAGCAGATACAGATGAATCTAATCATTATCTAAATGATAGTAATACGAGTAATAATATATCAACATCAATGGATTTAGATTCAAGCAATAATAACAATAATAATAGTGACAGTACATATACTTTTGATCTCTTACCAAATGACAATAACAACAATCACAATCATCTAAATAATAATAATAATCATAAAGGAGAAGAGGAAGGAGAGACAACAACAACTTTAGAATCAATGGATATTGATACAGCTACGACGACGACTATACAACAACAACAACAATCACTACCATCACCAATCCTAATATCACAAAAGGATATTACTAAAGATCGACCAGACAATGATGGTGATGATCCAACAACAAATGAAACAACCATCAAAAGAAAGAGTAGTCTTGAAGATATGGAGAAAAGGTTCTCTCCAATGGAAGATATAAGTCAATTGTTAAGGAACCATTTCGATCCAAGTCAATTGAAACCATCATTATTTATCAACTTGTATTCAAATGGTTATTCTTTTGATAATATTAATAGAGTATGAAATATATATATGGATCCTACTATTATACAATTTGATTATTAATAATAACCTTTTGGTTTAATTTAGCAAAAGATCTATCCTTATGATAGAACATCAAAGGAATTTTTGGGATCGATTGGACAAGGGAAATTAGTACCCGATTTAATTGATATATTGGATGAAGTACAATGTCATTATTACGATGGATGTATCATTGCTGAGATTAGAGATTATCGTGGTATTTCAAATAAGTTATCAACTACTTCAACTACTGCTTCAACTACATCTTCAACTACAACTACAACTTCTACTTCAAATGATGCAACATCACAACAATTATTATTGTCACCTGGATCATCAATAACAACAAATGCAGTACATCAAAAGAAAGTGGTATTAAAGCCAGATATGGATTCATTATTATTTGATATTAAAAAGAATACAATGTTGTTGCGAAACACGGGCAACGAGGAATACCTATTGATGTTTGAAAAGAGGTTGTTGCAAGTTACCTCCTCCAAACTCTATCTTGACCCAACACTTGATCTCGGTCGAATGGACAATTACTACAACATGCAAAAGTTTAGTGTGACAAAGCGACCTCGATCCAATCTAGCATTTAGATATAACCAACATATGAATATGCTTGCCAAGGGAAAGGATATAACAAAAGAGGAGAATGTGAATGGGTTGGACGACACGATTAAATATTCGAGCAAGTTTGGTGATTTTAATCGACCGTCTACACTACTATCTCCATTTCACAAACGGATCAATAGTAATAATAACAATCAATCGTTGGATGGTCGATTCAACCTATTCAAATTCCTGACGTCCAACGGACACTGGGACGACGAGCGTAAAAAGGTGTTGGATTTCTACTACCCCATCGTTAATCCCAAGACCTATCCGTACTGCTTTCAGCACCCTCAGCAGCAGCCCATGCACAACTTGCAGCCTGCTCAGACACCGCCGGCCATCAACCCAGACGTCTCACAAAAGTTGTCGACCGAGGCCGAGATGGTCAAGGACCGTCTGCTGCAGTACCTTTCGTCCAACAGTCTGTGCGTGCTCACGTACGAGTGCAGACAGCGTGGATCCACCTTTGAACTCTTACTCTTTTTCAGCGACACTATGGCCAACTCTAAAATCGACCAACACAAACAACAACAATATAAATTGCTTCAAGCCAAACAATTAAAATTACAAGCTCATATTCAAGCTCAACAACAACAACAGCAACAACAACAATTACAACTTCAACAACAGCAACAGCAGCAACAACAACAACAATTGCAGCAGCAACAACTTAATAATAATAATAGTAATAATAATGTATCGACGAATAATAATCTTAATCCAAATCCAAATAATTCTAATCAAGGACAGGCAGTACCAGTGCCAGTGACGGCACCACAGCAGTTGACTGCTCCCACTCCTCCTGCTCCTACTGCTGCACCAACACAAGCAAATCCTACGGCGGGTGCCAATTCCACACCCACACCCAATCCCAATTCAAATATCACTCAGACAGCCACTACTACCATGGCTCCTCCTCCTCCAACTCCTACTACTACCACCACCTATGTCACTACACCTCCAACATCAACCACCGCGCCATTATCATCATCATCTACTCAATCACAACCACAACAACCTCAACCAACACAAGCCAAACCAGCTCAACAACAACAACAACCACAGCAATCACAACAACAACAACAACAATCCCAACAACAACAACATATACAACAAACATTCTTTCAAGCGACAGATTCTCCCGTGCCGCTCTATTTATCGTTTCCGGTTGGTACTGCAACACAGGCCAATTTTTTCATTACCCATCTCAAGAATTCCTTTGAGAGAGATAAATCGTTTACGCTGGCATACGACTCGATTCTACCACTCCAGCAACAACAGACTCTAACCGCTCAAACAGCCGAACTCAGAAGACGTATAGAACAAACATACATCCAAAACCGTCAATCCTATTATCAACCACAGCAACCACCACAACAACAACAACAGCAGCAACAGCAGCAGCAGCAACAACAGCAACAACTAACACCCCAACAAACACAAGCGATCCTACAACAACAACAGCAACAAGCACAATTACAACAATTGCAAATACAACAATTACAATTACAACAACAGCAAGCTCAACAACAACAACAACAACAACAACAAGCTCAGCAGCAACAGCAAGCTCAACAACAACAACAACAACAAGGACAAGGACAACAATTAAATATAGCTCAACAAACTCAAATGATTCAACCATCTGCACAACAAATTGTGCAACCATTTAATATTGCCAATTTGACACCTCAACAATTACAACAATTGCAACAAATTCAACAACAACATAATATGCAACAAAGACTTTTACAACAACAACAACAATTAGGGCAACAACAACAAGGGCAAGGACAAGGACAATTAAATTTAGCTCAACAACAGTTCCAACAATTACAACAACAACAACAAATGCAGCAGCAATTACAACAGCAACAACAAATGCAACAACAATTACAATTACAACAACAACAACAAATGCAACAACAATTACAACAACATCAACAATTACAACAACAACAACAACAACCAAGATAACATTTAAATGTTGTAATTTTAAAAAACACATTGAGAGAATCAATCATTTAATTGATGGATTAGAAAATAATAAATTGCCAAACAAAATGGAAGGTGTGTTGAATGAATGAATGGTATACCATTTTCATTCCATCATCATCATTTTCCATTTTAAAAATATTGTACATCTTTAAAAAATAATAATAACTTAGTATAATTATTATATATATCGACCATCCATTCAATTAGTGAATCCATCAATCCAAAATAGTTAAGAATTGTGTTGTTGATCAACCCAAATATTTGTGTCATTGATTGATTGATTGATTGTTTGTTTGTTTGTTTGTTGATTAAATATTTTGTTGTAGGTTTTCTTGTTTGTTTGTTGATTTATTTCTTTCCTTTCTTCTTTGATGCAGCAGCAATAAAGTCGACCTTTTTCTTTTCCTTTTCAATAGCAGCTTGTTTCTTGAGTCTTGCAACTTCAGCAGAATAATGATGTTTGTATGGACCACCTGGTTGATAACCATCCATCAAATTGATAATTGAATTGTCTTTTTCCTTTCTCTTCTTTTCTCTCTCTGCCTTCATCTTGTCTGCAAGTAATTTTGGCATATTGGCCATAGCTTCTCTAATTTTCTTTTCTCTATATATAATATAAATGATCAAATCGATTGTTGAGTATATATATTCAGTCATCATGATGAATATTGAATGTTGTTTAGTTTACCTAAGTGGAGCTTCTCTAGTATGTAAAGATAATTTGCTTGGTCTCTCTGGAATGATCTTTTCTTCCTTTGCAGGGATTGGCCATTCTACAGCTTGATCACCTCTTTCAACAGTCTTTTGAAGTACGTTGAATTGACGAGACGATAGCTTTGGACGTCTCCATCCATTAGCTGATCTCTGTGGTAATGAGTGTTTAAGCAATGCTTCAGCATTGATCTTTATAATGTTTCCCAATGTTGACATCTCTCTCCTTCTATATATCTATATTACACTCCTTCTAAACTCTAAACTACTCTACCTCTACTCTATCTTCGCTTCATCTGATGACAATGATCGCATTCGTCTCAAAAACTTTATTTGATTTTTTTTGTATTTTTTCGAATTATTTTTGACGACAGCCCAAGTTTTGATGATGATCAGAGTCTTTGTAATGATTAATATACATATATGTTATAATATACAATTTATTTATTTATTTGTTTAAGAACTTATCTACAAATGAACCCCATACACTTTTGTTGTTGTGTGTGATAGTATTATTGGGTTGATCAGGGACGATATGGTTGAGGATAAGGAATTGGTTGATATCAACTTCATTTTTTCGTAAAGGGTCGTTGATAAAGACATTGCAACCTTCGGTACGATTGTAATGTAGGAATGATACAATTTCAAAATGTGATCCCCAAACTGCCAAGTCCATCGCAGCCGTAGTGCATCCTTCAGTGCGATGACGATGAAGAAATTGAACGATCGAATGATGACTTTTACCAGACGCGCGGTCCATAGCTGCAGTTGTGCAGCCTTCAGTGCGGTGGTTATGAAGAAATTGAACGATTTTTAAATGACCATTGGCCGCTGCTCGGTCCATTGCAACCTTTGAACATGGACCACTACCACCATGTCTACAATTAAAATGTAAATATTCAACCATTGAAAGATACCCATTTTCAGCAGCCAAATCAATTCCATTGTCCAAACATTTACTTCTATTATGACACCCTTCATGAAAAAGTTTTAATAATTCTAAATCATTTCCATAGATTGATGATCTAATGCAATCTATTTGTTCGTTTTCATCTAGTTTCATTCCACCATCGATCATTATATACCGAGACATCTCCAAATTCATTCTACCCATATCTCTTGGCTCCAATCTAAAAGGAGTATTTTCATAACAATATTTGATACCTTCAAGATCGCCATGAGAAGACATTGAACTCATCAATTGGGCATACCATCGCGCAATGATTTTAGAATCTGTAAGTTTTGTTTTTTCCTGTTCTAAAAGAAATTGAAATACTTTAAATCTACCATGTTCAGATGATGATTCAAGAGCATCAACAATTTCACTTTCAGGTCGTCGTTGTTGATGATGGTAGAGATATTTTACAACATCTAAATGTCCAAAAGTAGATGCAAAATGCATTGCATTATTTGTACATCCTTCTGTTCTATTTTCCATTAAATATTTTACAGTTTCAATATACCCATTTTCAGCAGCCTACAAAATACAAATACAAATACAAATTAATTAATTATTTTTAAATATTAATTAAATTAAATTGAATCAATCCGACTTACCTTATCCATTGCTTCTGTTGTACATCCTTCTTTTCTATTTTCCGTCAGGTATTTTACAATATCTAAATATCCATTTAGTGCAGCTTTATCAATAGCATCAGTAGTACACCGTTCAGTTCTATTTGTATTTAAGAATTGAACTATTTTTAATTGATTATATTCTGCTGCCTAAATTTAATTAATTAAATAAATCAAATATATTAGTATTTATATTTATACATTTAAATGTTGATTGAATTGGATGCACATACATTATCAATAGCATCTTTTGGAAATTGATGATTTTTCTCATGAAAGAATTGTACAATATTCAGGTATCCACACATCGATGCATTTGACACCATTTCAACCGACTCTGATGAATTCAAAGGTTTTGAAAGTTGTTGATATATAAATTGAAATGTATCAAAGTGTCTTAGAGATTGTCTCATTGCTTTAACAAGACATTTGTCAATTGACATATCCGACGAACCTCTCTTTTTATGATGTTTGATGAGTAATTTGAGAATATCGATTCGACCACGATACCCAGCTTTCTCATAGGCTGTAACATCGTATCCTTCTGAACGATGGTTGATCAAGTACTCGACCACCTGTAAGTGTTGACCATCGATAGCATTGGTGACGGCTTTAGTTGTACATGGAGCCTTTGGATTGAGACTACTATCAAGATAGACGAGTATATCTAGATGACCATTACGACACACCATATCCAATACTCTATCATCTTTGTTTTGGTATTCTGGTGACCATTCTATTAGATGTTTGAGTGTCTGTAGTGTTGCCCTTTTATTTTGACAGTATCGGTTGATTGCATACGTCCTAAGAGGATGATCACCATCTCTCTTTAGTGGTAGATAGTGTCTAATAAAATCCCATGGCAATGCATACTTTACAACCAAACATGATAGTGGGGATTCTATTAATTCACGTCCCTTTACATAATCATTACCTATATGATTAGTCTTCTTTGGTAATTGATCTAATTGATTGAATATTGTCTTTCTAACGAGTATCGATCTAAATATTGTTATAAATGTTGTTGTTTGACTATTATTATTGATAGTTGTATCTGTACGGTTGTTGTTCATTCTTTAAAAGATATCTCTTTGAAAGAATAAAAGTAACCAGTTTTTGATATCATGCAATTGTAATTATTTTTGATGGGAGGGTAGATATTTATTTATATATAATCAAAGGTTTAAAATAGAATTGGTTTTCGGGTACTTAAAAATGTGCATCTACGATAATTCTATGCCATTTCAAAATTGATTATTAAATAGCACACCTCAGAAGGTGCTATTATTCGGAGTGTATCATGATAACATTATAATTAAGTAATTTAATTCCTAGTAAAATAGACTGGTTGTCGTTAAATATATTAAAATTAACAATAAAAATAAAATAATAAATTGGTAACAAAGTAACCACGTCAATGAGAGAACCATGCACAAAATTCGATTATTTCGTCTAGAACTTCGAACAGGTTGAAAGCTGGTGAATCATTCATTCGTGTGGAGTCATCAATCAAAGAATGAATCAAGTAGGTAATGAATGAATGAATGAATCATTCTTTTGGTTTAGTTAGTTATAACTACACCTGAACAAGTGATCACTCTTCTCCTTACATTTCACAAAAAATTAGATTAGCAAAGAAAGAGAGCAATAATTAGTACTTTGATTATGTACAATATTAATATTAATAGTAATAGTAGTGGTGGTAGTAATAATGCTAAATACACAAGTCATTTATTAAGATTGATTATCTTTGGAATTACCATATTACTTGGTATGTACATTAAATGAATGAATGAATCAATGTTGTGATAAAAGAAAATTAATTAACTTCTTTCTTTATTTAGGTATGGGACAAGAACTTGAAGCAGATTGTATTTATGATGATGGAAATCTATTTAGTTTTTGTCAACCTCCAAAGACTAATCAATATTATAGTGTCAAGGAAATGGCCAACAACGGTCTAAGGATTCGATACGAGTTTTGGTCATCACTAACACCTCTTCCAAACGTCATCCTAAATGGATCAGTTTGCTACAAGACCGATGGATCACATAAAATAGATGAGTTTGTTAGAGATGCTATCTACTCGACTCAATACAACCCAAACCTATTTGTTAAAAGAGATATGCCTCGTATAGTCATTCAACAAGATGCAAGACATTGTATAGATTTATTATCAAAGCGACTTTGTAGTTCTTTATTTAAAAGTATGTAAATTAATAATTAAGTAATTACATATTATTTATTAATTATCTCTCTCTTTATTTTTAGCATACCCAAAAGAGAATACAATATGTAATATTTGTGATGATATTTACGAGTCTTGTTATTCAAGTGTTTATCCAGTTGAATATCAAGATTTACATATTCTACCACGTAATCCAACTGAATGTTTGATTGGAACTACTGCTACGACTACAATACCATCACCACAATCACAATCACCATCAATTATAGAACCTGGTCAAGATAATAATAATAATGATAATAATAATGATAATAATAATGATAATAATAATGATAATCAAGTTGATGGAAATTGTGCACTTTTCGATAACAGTTTGATACCCTATTTATACACTTACAATCCAGATTTTTGGGAATCTTCTTCACCACCTTCCATCTTTACACCATCTTCTATTGTATCAGTGGCTACAACTACAGCTTTTACTCTTTTCTCCTTTTTATTCTTTCAATCTTGACAACTTTTACAAACAATCAAACAAAAAGATAGAGAGAGATAATAAAAAAAGAAAAAGATAATAATTTATTAAAAGTAAAACAAAAATTTATTTAATTATTTAATTAATTGTTTCCTTTTCTTTTCTTTTTATCTTTTTGGTTTTCTAGAGATATAAACAAAGATACCAATTAAAAAGACATTAAATAACCAATAACAACTCACGATGATTAAATTTCTTAGACGATTAGAGTCTTTCCATCCGAGTGTAGAGTAGAATTCCTCACCGGTGCTGTAGAGACAATAGCCACAGTCGTTGGGAGAGGAATCCAATTGTTGGACGTATCCAGTACTGTACATACTGAATAACCAAGTGTATTCTTCACATGTTGATCCTTCGGGTGAATGGAATTTAACGAGGTCGGCAGTGGTACATTTGATATTGACGTCTTTGAGAATAGTTGTAACGACACCTTCCATAAAGTATCGGGTGGGCATGACACGGTACACCCATTCTCTCCAGAACCTTGGTATTTGCGATTCAGGTATCATGACGCCGCTAAAGAGAAAGAGGAATACTAGGATGACTGGAACGACAAAGTTGGCAAGAAACATGGTTTCGCAAATCGCTCCGATTGCTTGCCCGAGGGACACACAAAAAAAGAGAAAGATGACAAAGTATGCCCAGAAATAGAGATTCATCACCACTTCGAATCCAAAACCAGCCAACCAGAATGTGCAAATGTAAAAGAGCGATGATGTAAAGATGAGGTAGGGTAGTTGGACAGAAACCATCGCCACAGTGAATGACATGCATCCATAGTAGCGACTGGCATACTCTCTTCTAAAATAAATCTTTTGTTGGAATACTTGAGGTAGTGCAACAAAGATGAGTAGGATACCGATAAACAGAGCTTGAAAGATAAAGAATATTCTCTGGTACATGTCGGAAGATGAGTTTTTTAAATTGTAAAAGGTCAGTCCGACCAAAGTGCCAATCATCATACTCTGCATAAACGATCCAAACGAATAGTATGGGTCACGCCAAAAGATGATGTTCATGCGTTTGTAAACCTCCCAAATTTGGTACCACAGCGGTGTAGCAAACTCGCGTGGTTTTCTATGCATGTCGTCGGGGTCCATAATAGTGATGGTATTTTCAATCTTTTCCAACTCATCCAACGTTGCCTTGTACTCTGGCGACGACTTCCACAATGATGACCAGTCATACCCATGACCATTTGACTTGTTGCCATGGAATCCTGCACCCGTTGCCTCCAAGATATACTCTGCTGGATTCTCAGACTCGAGACACGGACGAATCCCATGACGTGTGAAATAATTGATCAACGTACTAGATCGATGTCCAATATCACCAAAATACACCGTCTTACCTCCCTTTGCCAACAATAACAATCGATCGAAATATTCAAACAATACAGACGACGGTTGATGTATCGTGCAAACCAATGGCATTCCACTATCAGCCAATTTACGTATAAATTTAATTATATTATATGATGATTGTGAATCTAAAAAGGAAATAAATAGATATTAATATTAATATTTAAATAATTATTCAATATTTTCTTTTCTATTTACCTAACCCAGATGTAGGTTCATCCAAGAAAAGGATATGAGGTTTAGCAACCAATTCAATACCAATATTTAAACGTTTACGTTCTTCAATTGAAATACCAACACCAGATTCTAGACAACCGACTAGTGCATCACCTAAATGTTTCATTTCCATCATTTCCAATACTCGTTCGACATATTCGAATTTCTCTTCCAAGGGGACATGAGGATCTTGTCTTAACTTTGCCGAGAAACGTAGTGCTTCACGAACTGTCAAGTTTGGGTTGAAAATATCCATTTGTTCGACATAACCAGTGATACGTTCAAAGTCAATGCCAAGTGGTCTTCCATTGAGTCGAATGTCACCCGACAATGCACCAATGGTCTTTCTCTTGGCCAATACATCGAGTAGTGTTGTTTTACCTGCACCAGTGCTACCAACCAATGCTGTCATTTGCCCAGGTCTGATCCAACCCTCGACATCATCCAAAATCAACCGTTTCTCTCCTTTGACAGGTACAGTATATTTAATATTCTTCCATGAAAATACACCACCATGAAACTCTAGCGTTTTGCCAACATTTTCATTTGCCTCTTTTACAATCTTGGCTTGACTCTTTTCTTCTTCCAAATCATTAATCTTTGGTGCTTTACCTTGTTTATATACTTTTTTTGTATATCCTCCTCTAAACATAAAAATAAAATAAACAAAGTAAATAAATAAAGTAAATAAATAAATTATTAATTTGTTTTTGTTTTTTTTTTGTTTTTGACTTACTTGGTCCAATCAAAAAATTCAATTGCAAACATGTTTAGGATAGTTAAAGAAATCCACCAAATGTAGACAATGACTGTATTATAACTAATGTCATCAGCTCGGAATGAGTAACCGGCTTGGAGATAGGCTTCACCTGATACTTGGAGTATGCCAGGGGTGGCACCTGGGATGGCACAGGTACGATATCGCGGGTCATTGTATGCACCGTAGGGAATTGCAGTTTGGTAGCATTCAAAGAGTACATCTTTGAATTCATTGGCCATCAATGCTTTGTATCCATAGGACAGAGGATTGAACCAAAAGAACCATTGTAGCCACGGATGCATCTTTTGGTATGGTACAGAGTACCCAGTGTAACATAAAAGCAACAATAGATACACTACCATCACGTGTTGGGATACATAGAGTGATGGTGAAAAGAATCCAAGTGCACGAAAGAAATTGCAAATACCAAGTGTCAGTCCCACCATAACGACAATCCAAATGATAAATTGTGATACTCCATACTGAAACCCAAACATAAAATAGGCTATGACACTGTACAACACAACTTGTGCAAATACGACTGGGATATCATTGAGTACTTGTGCAATGTGGAATGCCGACGGGCGATACATGGCATATGACTTTTGTTTTTGTAGTGCGCGACGACCCACAAATGTGGCGGTCAACTCTCCCTGCGACAAGAATGCATTGAATAGGATGGATCCAAATATCGCACCACCACGAGTAAACAGGCCAGATAGATCGTGTTTTTGAAGATAGAATAGTGATCCATACACAAATGACTGTACCAACACTGAAATGTAACGTGATGCAAGTGCAGGACGATCACCCCAAATCAACTGTGCCTGACGCAATGTGAGTGCACGTACTTGAGTCAGAAAAGAGGTGGTGTATGGATTAGAGTTGGATGCAGTTCTTGACTTTTGATCACGCACCTCTTCCGCAAACACGAGGTGTGGTTGCTCGCTCTCTAGTTGCACGTCATATTTATGCTGTTCTGCCAACACGCGTGCACACTGCTCAGAACGTAGCCACGCCTGCTCGTACTCACTGCTGATCTGTGGTGCCGTCTCTTCGAACCCTTCGCGAACAATTCGTTCTTGGGGATTGGTAATCCCGGTCAAAAAGTCGGGTGTTGATTTACGTGGCTCACAACCGAATCCCAAAGACTGAAAGTATGGCTTGGCATCGGCAATGCCACCAAAGTAAATGCATCGACCCTTCTCGAGCACCAACACCTTGTCAAACAACTGGTAGATCGACTCGCTCGCCTGGTAGAATGTGGCGACCGTCGTCTTGTGCAACGTGTCGGTCATGATACGCAGCGACTTTGCATAGTCGAGTGCCGACGCGGCATCCAATCCACGAGTCGAGCAATCCCAACAATTGATGGGTGCACCCGATACAGTAGCCTCGGTAATGGTCGCACGTTTGCGTTCACCGCCCGACAACCCACGCACAATCTCGTTGCCGACCATTGTGTGACTCTGTGCCGTCAATCCATACATATTGGCCAACAAGTCATAGACCTTTTGTCGAAATGTGCGTTTGGCGTCGTATGGCACACGGTTACCTGGTGTCTTGCACTTTAAAGCAAAGTCAATGGTTTGCTTCAACGTTAGTGTTGGGTAGTGACTGTCTTCCTCTGGCACGTAAATAGCCTCACCGCGGTACTTGCTAGCCCACTCTTTAGAGTCCAATCCACCATACGACACCTTTCCACCAACATTAACATACGTGTCACGTTGATTGGCAATCACCCGAAGCAATGTACTACACCCTGCACCCGGTCTACCCAACACCAGCACCATCTCACCATCTCTACAAAACATATTAATATTATTTAAAATATTAAATGTTGTTCCATTATTTCTTTTCCTTTTAAAAAAAAAAATTAAAGTATAATACAAATATTAATAAATAATTAATAATATAATATAATATAATATATTGTAACATACCATTTAAAAGGATTAAATATGAATTTAATTGGTGTAAATAAATCTTCAATAATTGATATGTCAGCTCCTACAAAATTAAATAATTAGTTAATAATCATTCCAAAATAATATTAATTAATTAATATATTTAATGTTTAATGTTTGTGTGTTATGCATTTACCTTTTCCAACGACAGTTAAATCAGTTACACTGATACCCATCTTTTTAGGTTTATTTCCATTGGAAAGTGCCATTCTTTGTGAATTTTCAAAATATTGTCTTAGTTGGAAATCAGACTCTGATTCTCTTCCAGCTCCATTGTTGTTGTTGTTGTTGTTGTTGTTGATACTGTAGTTTAATTGTTTTTTTCCACCACCAACTTCCAAATCTATTGAATCATGTAGTTTTTTTTGATTATCAAATCTAAATTGTTGTTCGGATAATTCCTCTGCCAAACTAACTGAAGTAGTATTAAATAGATTGGTACTTTTTTGTAAATCAACCAAACTATTATTATCGGGTGGATCAATCACACCATCACTACTACTACTACTACTACCATTTCCACTTCCAATACTAATATTACTTGAATTACTTTTACCACCACTATAACTTCCACCAACCAATACTGGATGATGATCATCAACTATATTATTATTATCAATATTATTATTACCATTATCAACACTGGCATCTTGATCTTGATAATCTTCAATACAAGGTTGAAGTTGATCAACATCAATTTGATGAATTTCATTATTATTTATACTTTGGATATTATCATTATTGCCAAGATCATGATGAACATCTTGATAATTTTCAATGATGCAAGGTTGATCATCACTTTGATTTGGTTTCATATCATTGGACATTTGCTCCTCCTCCAAGCAATCAATATCCTTTTCCATAATAAATTATTATTATTATTATTATTATTATTATTATTATTATTATTATTATTATTATTATTTAATTATAATTTTTTGATTAATCTTATTATTATTATTATTATTTGTTATTTGTTTAATTATTATTATAATTATTACTATTATCAGTTTTAAAGTTATTAATAGAATAGAATGAATGAATGATTATTAAATGATGTATTAGTGATATTATTATTAATACCAATATAAATATCCTGATTGAAAGGAAAGAGGAGAGTGCATGAGTGCGCGCGTGCGTGATCATATATTGATATATGCATGTACATAAATGATGAGAGTTCTTGTCAGTGATGAACAGTCAGTGTCCTCACTCTCTCTCACTCACTCACACACTCACTCTTACTCTCCATCATGATATATAGACAGATCTCTTGTACTTTTGTATGCTGCATCGCTGATCTCTTTGATGTCAAGAATGGCAATTAGTAGTATCAATCAATCAAGTATACTACTATACTTAATGAGGTGCATCTATGTCCATAATTATGTTGTATGTGTGTGTTTGTTTTGAACAAAGATGATTGGAAGAGAGAGTGTGGGTTCGAATGACCTATACAAAAATACAAATACAAATACTAATTTTGGAGCGCAGAGCAAGAATCGCTTTACAGTTAATTCTATTTTTAATTATATTTATATTTATATTTATTAATTTATTAAAAAAAGACAGAAGTTCATTCAAAACATGTAGTTCGTCACTCAAATAATAAATAATGAAAGTAGAGAAAAAGAAGAAGAGTTATTATTGATTATTATTATTCGAGGTTAAAAAGTGAGATTAAAATCACATCACATCTTTCTTTCTTCTTTCATCTCATTTAACATGAACCCTTGTTTGTTTGGGTGGTATGTGAGATGGCTATCTAGACTAGACTACTCACTAATGAATGGATAGATGAAAGAGAATGAATGATCTACCCTCTTCTACTCACTTGCATTCATCTCGTGGGTTTAATAAGAATACTGATAACTATAAGAATGAATGGATAGATGAAAGAGAACCATTCATTCTTTCATTCAAACTCGATCAAAGTTATAATTATTATACTACAGAATAGATATATCAATGTTTACAACATTAATATATTATATAACCATACTGTTGTTGTTTTCTTTTAATAATAATGGAATCTTTGGGTTGATGGATTCACGTGAATGTATGTATTATTTCACATTAGTCTTTTATTTTATTGTTGTTAATATTAATAAGCATTATTTATTTATACATATAACTATACTACTATTATTATTATTATTATAGTAGAATCATGGAAATGGATTAAATATCAATACAATGTAGACTGGAATTTAAATGATTGTTTTGATCCTTTTAATCTTGGTATATCGTGTCAAATCATTGATGGAATAGACCATCTAACAGAAATGTAAGTAAATGTAAACTGATTGATTACACATACGTGTATGTATATTAATTAATTTATTTTATTATTGTTTTATTCGGAACAATTTAAAGTGATTTATCAAAAGCGGCAATTGGAATCGGGATCCCGAAAACAGAAGAGCTACCACAAATCGAATCCTCCTTTTATTTCCCGTATTTAACAAGATTAAAGGTTACACAATTAATTGGTGGACATGTGTTGTTTGATTTATCTGTTCAAGATTCTACCGTGTCATTATTGACTTTTTTAAACATAGTGACAAGGGATAATGGGGTGGTGAACAGTCGTGGTGGTAAAGGTGTTGGAGGTGGAGATCTCGGGCATCTCCAATTTTTACATATTTCAAGAGAACCAACAACAAATATTATCCCAACTTTATTCTCAGTCCCTACTCTACTAGTATTGTACGTTAAACAAATGAATGAATGAATGAATAAGAATATGTTCATTGTAATTAGAACTGATTTTAAATAATATTATTAGGGAAATATATACATCTAAATTCATACCATTTACAAATAACCACCAAACTATTGTAATGAACAATATACTATTTCCAAATTTAAAATCATTGACCTTTGAAATTGGAAATGGTGGTGATATCGACAACAACAACAATAACAACAACAAAAATAACAACTCATTATTCACCAGTTGTTCAGGTTTACAACACTTGTATCTATCAAATATACCAAATATTGATTTCAAAGGCAGTCGTAATCTTGTCAGTCTATCTCTATACAATCCAACCAATTATATTCCAAATGATCTATCATTATGGCGAAACTTGGAAACATTGTAAGATTAAATCATTTTAAATCATCCATCCAACAAACATACATTAATTAATTAGTTATTTTTATATATATTTTTTTAGAATTGTAAAAGGTAGGAAATCAAATAAATTAGCATTTATTGGATTCTCTGATTTATTAAATACAATGTATGATAGTGATAGTGAGATGGTGAACGCACCATCCAATGCATTGTTAAAGTGGAATACAAGATTAAAGAATGTGTCATTTGCAAACAACCAAATATTCAAGGCAGTAGATTATACACTTGAAAATGCTTATATAGATATGTCGGGAAATGAAATCAACAACTCTTTGGCAGGTTTCAATGGTTATTGCATGGCTCACACAATCAACTTTACAAACAATGTCAATCTCACACATGTCTCAGATTGTTTCTATTGTTCTTGGCCATACGTATCATCATGGTTTACAAATACAAATGTTTCAAAACCATTAAACTTTAATTGTCGTATGTATTATTTATAAATAAAAAGAAAGAAAAAGAAATGAATATTAATTGGTTGATTAATATTGATAGCAATAAAATTGGATAAAATCAATTATGTGGTTGGTGTGGGATCACCTATTGTAACAATAAAAGGAGAGAATTTGGGGTTTGTTGGTAATGAAGATTATACAATACCATATATTCCAAATACTTTGGTTGGGTATAGGATGGATCCACCGTTATCAAGAAATGAAAAGAGTCGATTAGTGCACATCCCATTTTATAGTGACGGCAGTATTGCAGCTGCAGTCCCATTGACAGTGGTACGTGGTACGCCTATTGTTACAAATGCACATACTATGCATACCCAAGATGACGACGACTGTATCGAGATTCAAGTGACAGGAGAATTTTCAAGTGAGGTTGGTCAACTCGGTCACACTGTAGAGTATGGTGATGAATTGAACGGGTACTATCCATGTCACATTGAATCATTCAACGAGTCACATATCGCATGCAAGACTATGCCAATAGACCTTCCAAGTGGATTCCACCATTTAACTGTATCAACAGCCCAGTATGGTTCGTCGACTTTAAATCTTGTTGATTTCAACAAGAGGATTGATCCTCCCAAAATTACAATTGATTCAATCAAACCTGTATGTCATCATCATCGTAATCATTTTCTGGAAGGAGAGTCAGTAGAGATTAGTGGGTCATTCTCATCGCTGGGTCATTTCAATCAAACCAATATCAATATTGATAATGTTGGATGTACTATAGATCGCTCCTCCTCCAACACCAATTCCATCGTTTGCACTCCAACTCGACCTATGATCGCAAGCACCGGTGTCAAAAACCTCACCATTGTCACCAATCATTGGACAACGTCCGTGTCGATCACTGTGATTGACTGTACACCCAATCTCGTCCAAACGTCGTCTTGGCTATTTGTATTATTTATTTCTCTCCTACTTGTATTCTTTCATCAATTCATCGTTTATTACAACCATCCCGATGAAACGATCAACATCTATCCAGATTAATCTATGCTATTAATAATAATAATAATAATAATAATATATTTATTTGGTTCAAAGTTGACCAAAATTTCTAGAGCTAGATAAACTATTTAAACTAGTTTCCAATGATGGTCGATTACTCCGATCATAATAAAAAATCTACTTTGAGAAAAAAAAAAAAAGTTCTGTGTGTGTTGTGGGTGGGAGCTGCAGAGAGAATGCACTAAACTTTGGGACTAGTCATTCATTCATTCATTCAATTAATTATAACTACTCTCAGAGAGCATTCTATATCTATATTCTCATCTTCTATTTTATATATATTATTATATATACATATCTATATATATATATATACATAATTGTAATTTTATTCATAAGAAAGAAGAAGAATACTTTTTCAGAAATTATCAGGAGAAAGAGAGAACAAGATAGAGTTAGATAGATAGATAGATAGATAGATAGAGATAGTTAGTAGAAAAAGTTAAAGAAAGAATCATGGATGGAACAAAAGCTGCAACAACTACACCAATAGCAGCAGCCACGACATCATCATCGTCGTCATCTTCAAGTCATGCATCATCATCACCATTGATAACACCATTCATGTTGATGCATAATGCATATATGGATGAATGGTTGACTATATCATTCTTACCATACATCAAGCCAACGTTCAACACTGACAATCACTACTATGACATTGGCAAGTTGAATCTGAAAAAGGTCAACTTTCACCTGCTACCCATCAACGAGTCGATCATGGCAATGGACAGACAATACCAACACGTGCGCAATGCATTCGATCGTATTCTGCAAGACACCGAGTCAGAGCGATCCTTACAGATCGAGACCTATGTCTCTTCGTTTGCAACGTTTATAGAGTCTGAAAAGATGCTCATCGAACAGGCTATCACTGACATTGGTGGTATTCCCCCCTGTCTTGGTGGTACTGCCAACTCTACATTATTATCTTCTTCCCCTTCATCATCATCCTCATCCTCTTCATCATCTTCCTCTTCATCTTCACCAACATCGACCATGTCAGCGTCATATATTACATCAATACAACAACAACAGGGAGCTGGAAAGTTTATGGCGTCTGCAAGGTCACGTGTCACTGGTAACATGCATTACCTCAATTACTCGGGACCGATCACATTGCTGTGGACCGAGTTTATGTCGTTGTTGTCCAAGTTGGCCGACCCCTCTGAACGCGAGTTCTACTATGAGAGCACCATCACCAACATTGCACCATCCATCTTTGAATGGCGTATCATGTTATTCAACTCTCAGAAAATCATCAACGACGACAAACAATCTCGAAAGAATCCATTTGTCAGTTCATCCTATTACGATCATTACTCTTCTTCATTTATTACAAATCAACCCAATACTACATCCTCAAATACAAGTGTTGGAGTTGGTATAAACAATACATCACCAAGAAATTCATCATCTTCTTTGATTTCTGATATCTCTGATTTGGCAATCAACGAAGATTATAATCAAATTCAAAATCAAAATCAAAATCAATTGGATCAACAACATCAACAAACAGGATCACATATGTCTGAACATATTCCACCTCCTAAACCACTTCCTATTCCACCTCCTAAACCATCTCAACAACAACAATCAATACAAAACCAACCGATGAACAACTCTCCCTCACCTACTACTACACATACATCTATTCTTTTACAACAGTCTCATATGCCACCTCCAAAACCATTACCTCAAACACCAGGTAAAGATGGAGGAGGTGGATGGCACAAGGCAGTGGTGTCGGCCAAACCAGCACCAACACAACCACCCATTTCCCTCACCTCTCATGTAAATAATCAACACCACCAACTACAAATCACAACACCAAACAACAGCAATGTATCGAATAGTTTGAACAACTCTACTTCTTCTATCAATACTTCTTCTACTTCCATTATTATAGATGATCCATCATTATTAAAGGGTATTCCAAATGGAGGAATATTAAAACAAGGATGGATGAAGAAACGTGGCAACAAAGTTAAACGATGGAAAAAGAGATACTTTATATTGGACGTTAAACGAAACTTGTTATACTATCAATACAAAAAAGATAAAGATAGTAGTAGAGACAGTAAAGAAATTGATGATCTAGTTATATCAAGTCCAAATACTGGTATCATAAATCTACATAATAATAATACAGATGATGAAAATAATCATAATAATCATAATAATAATCATAATAATCAAAATAGTCATACCAACAAGATTGAAGATGATTTATACAATAATAATAATATACAGTCATTACAAAATCTAAGATTTAAAGGATCGATTGAATTACATACAGCCATTGCAGTGGCCATTAAACCAAATACATGTAATATTAATGTCAATCTCGATGATGCAAACCTAGAGAAATTGGCAACTGCAAAGGATGATTCAAGTAGTTACTTTGGTATAGACATTATTACACCAAAGAGAAATTGGCATCTATGTTGTCAAAATTCAAAAGTTACCGATGATTGGTTATTAGCATTAAAAGGTCATAGATAGATAGATAGATAAAGATAAAGATAAAGAATAACTAATAACTAATAACTAATAACTAATAATAATTTAATAGATAAATAATAATAATAATCATAATAATTACTTAACTAACCAAAAATCGACCATAATAACAAATAATATAACAGAGAGAGAGAGAGAAAATAATAAAACCATCTTTAATGATTCCAAAAGTTTCCAGAATTCCAACCATCTACCATGTCACATTCATTCAATCATTGTTATCCAAGTTTGTTTGGTGCATTTATAATCAATAATAATTATCGTAACAAAGACAATATTCCAATACTTTCTTTCTGTTTTGTTTTGGGTTTAAGCGTTAATTTATATATATTGTAAAAAAGGTATTCGATTCTATGTTTTAAAGTTGTTCTAATTTCTTTTGTCTTTGTTGTCTCTTGGTATCTTGTATTTCTTTGACTTCTTCTGGTGAATTAAAATAATAATGTCTTGATACATATGGTTTAAGCTATATTACATCGATGGTTGATGTGATTGATTTGATAGTTAGTATTATTATTATTATTAGTATTATTATTAGATTCGTGATTTATATCTATCTTTCAATCTGTCTGCCAATCACTATATAGTGATTGATCAATCGATAGTATTATGATTGAGAGGTTGACCGAGAAGTATTAATGAATACCTACATCGCAATCTGTAAGATCTGGAGCATTGATTATTTGTACTTTGCTTTGTTCTACTTTGAAACGAGCTATAAAGTATATCGAAATAGTAGAATAGTAATAATAATGATCATTAGTTATATATTTATCTATTGATTGATACATATGTGATCTGATGTATAACATCGATCATCCATCAATAAACAAACAACATACCAGTAGACGAAATGGTACCAACGTTTCTTACACCTCTACCCTTGTAGTAATTCTTGTTACCCATCTTTGGAGTAAGGTTACCTATTAAATTTCTGAATACCATCTTGATCGATATCTATATATATATAAAATCAAACTGTAACTTGACTACTACTCTTCTACTACTCTATGCAATGATCATACTTAATTGCAGTGAGTTTTGAAAACGAAAAAAAAAAAAAAAATCATCCCAATCACAAGTATTATTTATATTGTAAGACAATATTTCTTCCATATGATGTGAACGCGTCAACGTTGAAAGTGTGACATTGGGTAGTCTAGAAGATAGATGACGAAATAGATTAACAAAAAAAAAGTAGAAAGAAAGTGAGACGTATTCATTTCAAAAAAGAGAATAAGAATATTTCATCAATATAGGAATATGATTGGGAAATCTTAATTAAAAGTAATATTGTATACAGTTAACTTTAATTACCCATCTATCTTCCTCCTCTTCCTCCTCCTCCTCCTCCTCCTCCTCCTCCTCTTCCTCCCTCCTTCTATTTGTTTATAAATGAATGAATACCTTGACTTCAAATTAATTAATTAATTAAGTTAACCTTCATCATAGTTTAAAAAATGAAGTTACAATCCAGAACTGTTACTCTATCACTATTGGTGATTGGTTTCTTCTTCTTCTTTTGTTCTCCTATATCTAGAGGAGGAGTTGATGCATCCACTTTGAATCATATTACTCTTGGTCTCGAAGATAACCTTAAACACATTCAAGTGAATAGAGGTGACATCATCCAAGTACGACTCGATCAAATCAATGGACGAGTTAAATACTCTGCACCAGAGTCTGATGGATTAACCGTATTGTCTAGTCAATCACAAAGCGATTTCGTTGAAACCGTATTCAGAGCCGATCATGGTCCAAGATCCTATTACATTGATTCTATTGGAACTTGTGCTCCTCCCAGACTATGTATTTTCGAGTACTCTGTTACCGTCAATGTTAATTAACAACTGAATCATTCCATTCCATCCCTTTCTTGATTAATCCTTTCATTTAATAAATTATATTAAATCAAATTATTCACAATAACAATGAAGTGAGCTCACACCAACTCTTCAGCTCTGAGACAAAACGACAAAAAAAATATTATTGATGTTCTTTGTTCAAAAGTAATCAAACAATACATAATTATCTTCTTATTGAATGATTATAGAATAGGATAAGATAGGATTAAAAATGAAGAGAATTAATCCTTTAGATAATAATAATAATAATAATAATGAAGGACAACAACAACAACCTAAAATACAATTCAACTTTCAACAAACAACAATAGTTCAACAACCATCACAGATAAAGAAACAAAAGGTTGATGGTGAGGATATGACTGCTACTGTTATTAGTAGTAGTAATATAGTACAACCTATAACAAGTATAAAACCAATGTCATTTAATTTAGCACCTGCCAAGCCATCAGCAGTAGCTGCTGGTAGTAGTGTAAAGACTTTATTTGGATTTGGAAAGAAACCAGCTGCAACAGTTGCATCTATGTTTAATACAAATGATGATGATGGTATCATTCATAAGCCACCTCCAAAACCAATGTCATTTAATCCTTCTTTGTCCCAGTCGATGATGAACCAATCGAATCCTCCACCACCACCTCCTCCTTCTTCTTTTGTCAACAACAACAACAAACCATCCAATTCAAGTGCTGAAGAAGATGATGATGATGTTGATCCATTAGATGCATTTATGATGGGTGTACAGAAACAAGTAGAAAAGGAAAATACAGAACCTCCTTCCCAAAAAGTAATATCTCTTATTTATCTCTATTCGTAAAGAGGAAGAGGAACCAAATCGTTTAAGGAACATTAAACCAATTCTTTTCTTTCTTTTTATATCATATATATTACTTGAATATTCTCTTCTTCTTCTTCTTTCTAGAATGCAGCTAAAAGAGATGATATCGATGAAGAAGATGATGAAGAGAAATATTATAAAGCTAGAAAAGAACATCAACAACAACAACAAAATAATCAAACAACCAATAATAATAATAGTAAAGACAACAGTGATGATCTTTTAAAAGATGATGATGATGAAGATTTTGATATCAATTTATTACAAGATAATGATGACGATTCAGATGACGACGATAAGAAATCATCATCAATTAAAAAGAAACGTATTATAGAACCATTGGCAGCATTGGATCATAGCAAGATTGAATACGAAGAATTTGATAAATGTTTCTATGAGGAGCATGCAGAGATTAGCGCATTGACACCAGAAAGAGTATTTCAGTTACGTCGTGACTTGGATATTCGTGCAACTGGCAATGATCTCATTAATCCCATTACTGGATTTGGACATATTGGATTCGATGACATTATGATCCAATCCATCCAAAAACAAGGTTATGAAACTCCAACCTCTATTCAAAAGCAGGCTGTACCTATTGCATTGTCTGGTCGTGATTTAATAGCTATTGCTAAAACGGGATCTGGTAAAACAGCATCCTTTATTTGGCCTGCCATCGTTCATATAATGAATCAACCATATCTTGAAAAAGGTGATGGTCCAATCGCCGTATTTGTCTCTCCAACTCGTGAATTGGCTCATCAAATCTATATGGAAACTCAAAAATTTGCTAAACCTTACAAAATCAAGTAAGTAAAGTACTATATATATAAATATATTAATATATTTATAAAAATATTTTCAATTTATTTAATATTTTCTTTTACTTTTTAGAACTACAGTAGTTTATGGTGGAGTAACAAAATTATTACAATGTAGAGAATTAAAAGCTGGATGTGAAATATTGGTTGGAACACCTGGCAGAATCATTGATATGATTAAATTAAAGGCAACTAAAATGAATCGATGTACCTTTTTAGTATTGGATGAAGCAGATAGAATGTTTGACATGGGTTTTGAACCACAGGTACAATCAATCATTGGACAAATCAGACCGGATCGTCAAACTTTATTATTCTCTGCAACCTTTCCAAATGCCATTGAACAATTGGCAAGAAACATTTTAACTGATCCAATTAGAATTTCAATTGGTAATTCTGGTTCTGTAAGTAATATAGTGAAGAAGAGTATTGTTAAAATATTTAAACTAATCTGTTCTTTCTTATCTTTTTAGGCAAATCAAGATATTAAACAATTTGTTAAAGTATTACCAAGTGATGGAGAGAAATGGGGATGGTTAACTGAAACGTTACCATTAATGTTGACTGAAGGAAATGTGGTGATATTTGTTAGTACAAAGGTGGCAGTAGAACAACTTTCAACCAATCTTTTAAAGTTTGGATTTTTAGCAGATGGTATTCATGGTGACAAGGATCAACAAGAGAGAACGCAGATTATCAGTCGATTCAAATCGGGAACAGTTCCCATTCTTGTTGCTACCGATGTTGCAGCTCGTGGTTTGGATATTTCACTTATTAAAAATGTTGTCAATTTCGATGTTTCTAGAGATATTGATTCACATACTCATCGTGTTGGTAGAACTGGAAGAGCTGGCACTCAAGGTACAGCTCACACTTTAATCACTCCAAAAGATACCCACTTTTCAGCAGATTTGGTTAGACATTTAGAAGAAGCAAATCAAAACGTACCACCAGAATTAATTACCGTTGCAATGAATAATCCTCATTTTAAAAGAGAAAGAGGTGGAAATAATAGTAGTGATAGAGGTGGTGGAAGAGGAAGAGGTGGAGGAAGAGGTGGTGGAAGAGGTGGAGGAAGAGGCAGAGGTAGAGGAAGAGGTACTGGTATTGGTTTTGGTAGAAATACAGATAATAATCAACAACAACAAAATAATACGAATAATAATAATAATTTTAGATCAAATAATAACGCACCAAAAGGATTTGTTAGAGCTAGTACTACTTTTGATAGGAATGAAGAAGATACCAAATATTTTGATTAAAAATAAATCGGACTATCTTTACTTCAACAACAACAACAAATGTTTGTTGGTGTTTTTGATATTTTATAAATTAAGTTAATTAATTCCATTCTTTAATTCCTGTCCTTCAGACAATAGATTTGTTTGATCAAAGGATGAAGAAGCTGATGGATTATTACTATTGTTATTATTATTATAAGAATTTGAAAGTAGGGATGTTGTTTCTGTTTCTAATGAGTTTAAATTGGAGGGAGTCTTTGAAAATAAATTAAACTTTGCAAAATTTCTTATTGAACCTCCAGTACTACTCGATAGACTGTGGAATGAATCGTTGTGGACCATTGGTGGTCTTGAGGTATTTTCTTTTTTCTGTTGTGATTTTACAAAGTATTGTTGTTTGATTGAAGTGAATAATGCACGTATAATATCCAAATTAGAGTATGCATAACATAAAAAGTTGAGGAATCCTTGCAAAGGTGAAAGTGATATAGCAAAAAACCCAAGATAATAGTTTTGGCATTTGTTGATCAACATTGCTCCAAAATTGATAATACTCATACTCCAACAAATAATAAATACAATGGTAAATAAATTTAATCTATTTATAATCTTTGTCTTTAAATTTGTAATTGTAACCTCTAAAAATAAATAAATAATAAATAATATTAATTATTTGCTATCATCTATCTATCTTTATATTTCCTTACTTGATAAAGATAAACTTAATGTTTTGAACCTAGATTTAATTTTAAATGTGAAAATAATTGATAATATAACTGAACCAACCATTGGAATATAGAATAAAAACAACATTGATAATCGATTGATTGTACACCACGATAATTCATCCTCTGTTGTTATATCTGATGTTGCCATCATTCCAATTCCAAATAAGAATGGTATTATCCAACAAACTACATAATAAATATAAAATGATCTCTTTTTACTAAAATAGAAAATATAAATTAATTAATATATTAAATATATATATTATACAACTTGTATGTTATTTATTACTTTTTACTTACAAATTTGAAAATAAACGATAAATATTAATTGAAATTGATAATGTCCATAAAAGAGAAGACAAGAATGCGAATCCAACCAATCCAGAACTTAGAGTACAAAATGAAAGACCAGGGTTTCTAACTACTCGATCAGGTGATTTAATAAAGTCATTGTCAAATTTAGCCAACATGATACGTGACACTAGTACAAAGAGTGCTGCCAAAAAGTCACTAATTGCAAGATGCAATACAAATTTACTTAGACGATCTTTGGTTGAATTGTTTCCACTTGTTGTTGATTTTCTTGTTATATTTGTATTTTTTAATAATGTTGAAGTTGGAGTTGTTGACGTTGAAGACGTTGAAGAAGGTTTGATTATATCTTTAAATTGTTTATAATCACTCCAACTATTATTTGGTGATTGTGATGGTGATAATGGAGGTGAATTTAATGGACTAGTTGATAGGTTGGTTGATGGGTCTGTGATTGATGTTGATGTCGATGTTGGTATATCAGTGTGCGGTGAAGTGATTGAATTGTATCTAAACTCTGACATATTCTTACTATTACTAGTATGTTTGTTTGCAGCTGCTACCGATGCAGCTACCGCCATTTTATGTTTGTGATTGTTATAAAGAATGAAAATGATCGTGCCTATAGACCCCAATATAGATAGAGATGAAGATATGATCCCTCCATAGGATTGATTTATCCTTTCCTCTATTGTTAATTTACAGTCTAACATTGTTCTTCTATACTATACTGTACTAACTATACTAATACTATATTATATTGTACTTGTAATTTAATAAATAATTATACATCAAACTAAACTTATAATAATAATAATAAACAAATAAACAACAACAAAGCTTGATTATGTGATGTTTGTGATGATGATGATGATGCCTGTGAAAAAGACAAGATAAGAATGATGGTGGTAACGGGGAGAATGTAATAATGATTGTGATTAGTTACGAGTTCACTGACCCCAATAACCACTCTAAATTACCAGCTTCGATAGGTTGACTTTCGAAGCACTGGCGGAATTCGCGCTTTTGGCAAAGTACAACGAAAACTCAATAAAGGGTAGAAGTTCGGTTTTTTGAATATATTGATCGCTCTATTTATATATTTGTAACGGTCGGTCGATTCATTGTTTATTTATTCTATTTTTAATTATTTGATGTATGTGTATATCTTATCTAGATGAATTTACTTTACTTTGATATTATTATTATTATTATTAATATTACTAATATGATTTATATTTAGTTGTTTGTGTTTGGTTGATTTTACTTATGTTTACTTATTCTTGTTGTTGATTAACATGAATGTGTTCAACACCCATTGCAGCATCGGTAGCATCTGCCAAGACACCATCGACAATTTGGTTAAACATATCGTCCATATCGAAAAAGTCGGTCATTGATTGAGGAATGACAGCTTGGAGAGTAGAGAGAATTGGCTTGACAAGGGGATTGACAATCTTCATTAAAGTTGGTTTGATGACCGAACGTACGACGTAGTGGATTTGACGACGTTGTTGGATATTGGCATCGTGGAATAGTTTTTCTTGTGTACGTGTCTTGCTAGCGGCAAGATCGAGTGAGGCGCCATTCTCTTTGACATCCTTTTCAAAAGTGTAGCATGCATTGTCCGAGATGGTGACGATCTTTCCACGAATGTGATAGGTAATGGTGGATGCCCAAAAATCGGGGAACACATTGTAGAGAGTAGTGAGGAAATCGTACATACCCCAGATATGCTTTTGGGCAGGTTCCATGGGCCAGTAGTAGTGTGGATAACGACGCAACTCGGCGAAGCTCTTGTCGTTACCTTCGCCCTTGTACTCGGATACCTTGTCGTCCCAGATGGTGAGTGCCTTGCCAAACCCACCTTCGATGGGGTCTTGCACCTCCTTGCCGACAATCTTGGCAAGATGTGGGGTGACGTGTTCGCGAAGAGCTGGTTCGAGGACACCCATCACCGAATCCTTCATCTTGACAAGCATCTCGTGTTGCAACTTGGCAATGGGCTCGATTTGGTCTTTGATCTTGGGTTCAGCCTGTGGACGTACCTCTCCAACTGTCTTGTCCATTGCGATCCAGGCTGGACTGACAGCTGACGATATAATACCGTCAATCAACGTCATCAACTTGTTACGCATAAAGTTACGGATAAAGTATGGTACGTTGGGTAGACCACACAATGCTCGTCCAAGAATATCATACTCTACCTCGTCGGCGATAATGTCGCAGAGCACCTGTGTCTCGGATCCACCCCAGCCCCACCAGCCCCAACGACCCAACGACCAACGTGTATTACGCACAGCCACGCCAAAGGCAGCCACATGCACCTTGTCTCTATTCTTAAAGCCCCAAGCGTTACGACAACACCCTTGGAAAATCTCGACCCAGTCGTCAAACTCTTTTTGCGAGTCGGCCGTCAAATAGTAGATACGACGATACGAATGGTAGAGTTCAATCGTCAGAGGTGGATACTCTTTTGGCTTGGGGATGGCACTCAAATCAATCTTCATCTTTTCAGCCAATACCTTTAATCTTTGCATTATTCCTCTATTTGGATCAGTTTCTACTCTATATCCTGCTAAATTCATTACTCCTTTTGGTTTAATTAATTTCTAAAAAAAGTAAAAGTGTGTTAAAACATAGTTTGAAATTAATTATGCTATTAATTATACATTTTTACTACATACAGCTTCATTTTCATAATATTCAACAGAGTAATCATGTTTGACGATGAAATATCTCTTTTTCCAACTCTTTCTGACTACACCTTCTTTGGTAAGGTGACCTGTGAAACGATCAGAAGTGTCCTTGTCCTTTCGTTTCTCTAATTGCCATGGTTTCGGTTCTTTTTGGGAATCCTTGGATGCCTTTTTGACCAATTCTATCGTGTAGGCCTTGGTGTATTCCTTTGTAAAAGTGGCCAACACCGCTTTGGTTAAATCAACCAATTCTTGTTTTAATTGACCGTCCATGATTAATTAACAGTTAACTGCAGATAACTCTCTAAATCACTAAAATTATATAAATAGATAATATAAAAAAGTTACAAAAGTGTCAGAAATGATTGATATATATATATTGTAAACTAAATTAAAGTGTGATTCGATCTGATTTCTCATATGAGAAACAGTGTGCAGAGCTGTCGGAAAACTATAAATAAGGGCTTATCTTACCTACCTAATTCTAGTTATATAAATAAATGTGCACTAGTGAAACAAACAATAATAAGAAATAATCGAGAAGTTTTACTAGTATGTATGACAGTGCGAAGAAGAGGGCCAACAACGATGATGATTCTCTCACCCTTAAACAGTTTGCGATGGTTGTGTGAACGGAAATAGAGAGAGATTTATGTTTATTGTTGATTCTTTGTCATTATCGAGAGACTGAAAGATGCGATCAAGAAAATATCCAACTCTACCCAAAAGTTTAAAAAAAACTCGAAAATATCTAGAAATGGTGGTTCGTTCACATAAAGTTCGATGCGAATAAGTATCCATGCACCGACTATTCGCCGAGCCCAACGATCATGCCTTTTGTTTTTCGACCGTCAGTACAAAGAATGACGATCATGATGGACGTGTCGGTTAAACACCATAAATATCTTATCTTATCTTATCTGATTAACTATAACTATACTAGTAGTAATTACTAAATTATTTGTATGTCATCTTAAGATATATCTCTCTCACAGACACAATAAAAATATGAAAAAAAAATTAAAGAGGCACTTCTTTTTATTTCGAATTCCTCTTGAGTTTTTATTATTATTATTATTATTAATATTCAAATATAGATATATAAAATGAGTATGTATGTTCTATCACATGACTACTGTTAATAACGAAGAAATCTAACAGACGAACTAAATATATAGGTGAGTTTATTGGACCTTCAAGACCTCCTCCTCCTTCTTCTTCTACAACTAACAAGAAAGAGAACGATGATGATGATGTTAAACCAACTGCTGTATCAACAACAACAACAACAACAACAACAGTGACATCCCAAGAACCAAAGAAGAGAACTTATGGACCATCATTAAATAGTGGGGATGATGAAAACGACAACAACAGTATACCAACTGTTGAAAGACCAACAAAAAGAGTAATGGGTCCTAGTTTATCATTGGATGATGATGATGATGATGATACTCTTAAGAACAAAGACATAGTTAAAGAAAATAGTAGCAGACACGTAGGTCCCTCTGTTGGACCATCTCGGTCGGTTGGACCATCAGTCGGACCATCTCGATCTGTTGGTCCATCACGACCAATGGGACCTTCTATAGGTCCATCTAGACCACAATCAAATAATGACGACGATGATGACGATGACGATGAAGACAATGATGAAGATGACGATGAAATTAAAGAACAATGGTCTAGGTTAAGATCACAAGACAATTCAAACACTGGTGATGACAAACAACAATTAAAAGTAGATAAAAATGGTGATATTATAAGAGAAGATTGGATGAAATCAATCCCTACTGATAGAAAAGTTGGATGTATGTAGTATAGAATGATATTAAAGTATTAAAAAAGATACTAATATTTATTTATTTCATTTTTAATTTTAGCACAATTACAAAATAGAAAGTTTAGTAGTAATTCAAATGTTAGTTTAAATAAAACTGATACAAGTTCATGGACAGAGACAAGAGAAGAACAAGAAAAAAGAAAAGCAAATGAAATGACATCATCGTCAAGAGGTAAATACTCTAAAGAAGAGTCACAAGAGATATTTAGAAAAAACAAAGAAAAGGAAATTGAAGAACAAATGAAATCATACAATGACAGGAATAGATCAAAATCACTAATGGAAATGCATAAAGACAAAAAGAATGATAAAAAGTCATCATCTTCATCGACACCATCAAGAGAATGGAATAGAGATAAACAAATGGAAGTTGGTGGAATTGATAAAAATCATTTAAATAATATTGTTGTTAATGCAAAATATTTAAATTCTAAATTTGAATCAAATTCTTCAAATAAATACTTGTAATGGAAAAATTAAAATACATTTGGAAATTTAAAAAAGGCAATGAATAACCTTTTGTGTAGGAAATTGGGTTTATTAAAATAAATAAGGTTTGGGTTTGGTTGGTTTAAGGGAAATTTACAAAATAAATTAATTAATGGGAGGGGAGGGAGTTGGATTGGGAAGGATATTAAAATGAATTATATATATGATTCTAAAATCTTCTGTACAATATTAAAAAAATTGATATGAATTTGTTGTTTGATATAGTTCGAATATATTCTTATTGATTGACTATCTGTCTCTCTATCTATCTATCTATTATTATTATTATTAAATATTAATTATTATTATCTGTTTGAATTGGGAGATGAATTATAATTGATTTGGTCAGTGACAATAACATTGTAATTATTTAGTATTTTGGGGACCGAAGATTCCATGTCGGGATAATCTAAAGTGACAAACATATTGGATGTGTAGAATGGAAGAACCGGCAAAGTATCACCAATACTTGATCTACAGGTAGGGTCATTAAAATACCTGGATGCCCGACTACTACTAAAATTATATAAATGCGAACTAGTAAATGACATTGTTAACCTTTAAAAAAAAAAAAGAAAAAGACAAATTAGTTAGTTTTGGATTGGATAGGGATATTTATGTTGATGTAGATATAGTTACCTAATGGAGTTTTTTGATTTTCAAAAAATGTGTTTGATATGATGACGATGATGATGATGATATTAGTTGTTTCTTATCTAAAAGTTGAAGAACTTTGATTGATGGTGGTTTTGGTCAAAACTGTTGGAATTGGAATGGAATTAATAATTTGGAAATATTATAATAGTTTTATTTAGACTAGGTGTAGGAGTAGGAGTATGATAATGGAGAAGTTATATATATATATTTATAAATTTAAAAATATGCACTACTAAATGGCGAGCTCTACACTACTGCTACAACTACGACAACAATTAGTGTTTCAAATATTTAATATTATTATTGTTTGCTTTTGCAGCAGCAGCAAGCTGGGTATTGCTAACAACAACAACAGTAGCAGCTAGCAGCAAGCATCAGCATCGATAGTGATAGAGAGTGAGATGGCAAAGGAAGATCCAACTAGATCAACACAACAATATTATCCAAAGAGTATTTTTTTCAAGGTGTGTTGTGTGTTGTTGAATTGTTTTTGTGTGAATCGAGCTAGCTAGGGGTGTTGTTGCAACAATTTAAATATAACCACCACGCACTCACACTATTGTATTATTATGATTATTATATCAACAATATTGAAAAAGGTAAGGAGGAGGTAGATAGACAAGATAAAGAGAGAGATAGAGAGAACATACATTAAATTATTTACACAACCCTGAGGAGGAATAGAAAAGGAGAGAATTAAAGATGGATCTGATATCACTTATTAAAAATGGTCAAGTAAAAGAAAGAATGAATAAATACGTTTATTGTTGATACCGACAACAATACAATATAATACAATAATATACCTCTCTCTATATATCGCACATACACTCACTCACCACCCCCAAGCTCAAGCGGTCAAGATTGAAGGGATGTTCGTCGCCACTCGCATCATCAACCATGCAACAGTGTGTTCAACCCCCATCCTCCCCTTCTACCTACCCACTCCCAACTGCACCACATCAAAAGAAGGGGAATGTCATCGAGTCGATCTATCACACTAAATCCTATATAAGTGTCGAGTTGTATCGATTGCGCAAGATAGATTGACTCCATTGTCATTCCATTCTTTTTTGAATCTAATGAAATCTCTCAATCTCGTCTCCCAAACCCCAACCAGCCACCACATATTTTTTAATATAATATTTATGAATGTAATATGCCACATTTAAATAAATATCACCACCCCCTCCTCGCTAGCTCGTTCGTATCCAAACCTCTTGCCCTCCTACCACGTTTTCGAATTGGGGGACCAAAAAAGGAAAACATCGTTTTGGAAAAAGCCCCAAATCCGGTGCACGAATAAGATAGAGAGCTCAAACCATTGGTGGAGATTGAACGTAATTCCATCTTTGGACCCACAGGCCTTATTAAAAATGAATAAAATAGGCTAATGTTTAATTTGGTTATTTATTTAGGTGGTAGGGAAGGATAGGATTACAAATTTATATAACAATATTGTTGTTGATGTTATTTTTAATTTTCACAGGTCACAGATCTAATTCTTATCGATGGGATGAGGATGGAGGTTGTACAAATATTAACCAATTAAATTACAATCTGGTGACTGTTTATTTTTTATTGCCTTTTTTTACCGAAAGGATCTGATATTAGTAGTTTGGGCAAACTTAACTCAATAGAAATAATCATTTGTGAGAGACCAGTGATTGATCAATTGCAACACTCATTTCAAAAATGAATGAATGAATATTATATTATATAATATTTAAAAGTTTACTATCTATCTATCTATCAAATTTTTCCTTTGTTGGAATCTAATATAATTGAAAGGGAAAATTGAAATTGGGGAGTAATAATTAAAAAATTTCCATTTTTGGAATTGTTGTTCATGAGAAAAAAATAGTTGGATATTTTCTATCTTGTTGAAAGAAAAAGAATGAGAGTTTTTTTTAATATTTTTTAAAAAGTTATAGAATAATAAAACAGATATTAAAAATGGAAAAGAATAATAATAATAATGTTTTCGAAGTAGATTTTAAAAAGAATGACAATGCTAAACCACCAAAAAGCGTTGAACATCTTTTTGACCCAGTTCAATGTGATGAATGGACAGAATTAAAGCGAGAGGAACAAGGAAGTAGAGTTCATGACCTAAAGATGAATTTGGTCTCTGAAAAAGCTGGAGAGGATTATCAACACTCCAAAGATGTCACCCATTCAACTGCAGCCAAGGACAAAGAAGAAACAAAGGAAAAGAAAAAGGAATTTTTAGAAAACTTGGATCAAGCTGAAAATAATAGAGAAGAATATCTAAACGAAAGAAAAGAAAAGGCTGCCGCTTTTAATAATCGTGCAAAGGAAATTCATGATAAATTAAAAGCTCAACAACCAACAAATTAATTAATTAAATAAAAATAATCTAATAAACAACAAATTATATATATTAAAAAATTAATTATTATATTATAAATGTTTTATTTCTTTTTTTTTTTTTTCTATATATGTATATATTTGTTTTCTTTCTTGAATAAAAAATAAAAGTTAAATAGACTGACTCTATAATTATTTACGTTTTTTTGCAGGTTTGTTTTTGTTGATTTTAATAAATGAATCAGAACCTACTCCACCTTGGGAATCACCAGCATTACCACCACTACTACCACTAGAGTTTATAATTCCAGCTGCAGTTCCAAATATTCCACCACTACTTCTTGATTGATTGTTGGTATTTACATTAAAGTTTAGTGATCCAAATGTTGGTGTATTACTATTACTATTGCTAGTACTTGTACTAGTTGTACTAGTGGTACTGGTGGTAGTTGTAACAATTGGTTCATCTATTGATTCTTCATTGATATCATCATTATTATTGTTGCTTCCACCAAAGTTTATTCCACCACTAACTTGTAATAGACTCTTTTCTCCTCCGTCACCGTGGTGAGAGAATGGATTACCAATATTTAATTTTCCTGACCACCCACCACTAGTCTTTAACGAGGAATCATGATGATCCTTGGATGATTCTTGAGAATGAGCGGCATTATCTTGTTGTAGTTGCTTATTCTTTTGTTCAAATGGATTTGATGTGGATATATTACCGACATTAACCTTGGCACCACCAACTCCAGAAACATTACCACTTAGACCAAAGAGACTTCCACCACTAACCTTGTTGGCTGCAGCTTGGTTGAATGGATTAAGATTACCACTCACATTTAACAATTTACCACCAGCAAATGGATTTCCAATCGATACATTTCCTCCAACTCCACCAATATTACCTCCAAGATTAAATAAATCTTCTCCACCACTACCACTCTTTTTATGTCCTTGTTGTTGACTTGTAGTAGTTGTAGTTGTAGAGGTTGAGGTATTTGTTGAATTATTATTATTATTATTATCAACAATTGGAATATATTGTTGATTATTATTAAAATCAATTGATTGTTGTTGTTGTGGAGTGCTAAAATTATTTGAAATTGAACTTGTCAAGTTTGAAATCAAACCACCAAATAGACCACCGGAACTCTTGCTTCCTGCTCCAGTTGTAATCCCACCTGTAGTATTATTTGAAAGTACATTTCCAAATGAACTAAAACTATCTTTGACAGCACTTGATGCATGTCCAATTTGATCTTTTGAGGCATTTGAAATATCTTTGGCAGTCTCTTTAGCTTGTTCAAATGTGTTGGTAGTGACATTTGAAATATCCTTTCTAGTCTCTTGAGCAATCTCCTTGGCATTATTGACAGTCTCTTTAGCTTGATTAAATGTTACATTTGAAATATCCGTTACATTCTCTTGAACAATATCCTTGGCATTATTGACTGTCTCCTTGGCTTGTTCAAGTGTATTGGCAGTGACATTTGAAATATCTGTTACATTCTCTTGAACAATATCTTTGGCATTGTTGACAGTCTCTTTAGCTTGTTCGAAAGTATTGGAAGTGACGTTTGAAAGGTCATTAGCAGCCTCTTGAGTATCTTGAACTATTTCATTGGTAATTTCCTTGGCTTGTTCAAGTGTATTGGTAGCGACATTTGAAAGGTCATTTGCAGCTTCTTGAGTATCTTGAGCTAACTCTTTGGCAGTCTCTTCAGCTTGGTCAAACAAACTATCCAATTCCTTCTTTGCATTTGAATTTGAAAATTGACCTTGAATGGATTTGGCTGCATTTGTTACTCTTTCATAAAATGATTGTGGTTGTTGTTGTTGTTGCTGTTGTCCTGATACTTGATCTGAGTTATCAATCTTGTCTTTGGCAAACTTTGATAGATCATCTAGTGCCTCTTGGGGAGCAATATTCTTTGGCTTGGAAATACCTTCAAAGATATCCTTGGGTGATAACTTTGCATCAAAACTGTCACGTGTAAAGTCTGATATATTATCACCCATACCTTTTGTATTAGAGTAGGACTGATACGATGACATCATGTTGTTTGATGTAGGAAGAATACCACTAGTAGCACTACTATTTGTAACAATTGTACTAAAATTTACAGGTACAACAATACCAGAAGAGTTGGTTCCATCTGGAATAAAAGCAGGTGGAATAATGGTAATTTGATAACTTTGATTGCCATTTCCGTCATTACCACCACTACCGCTATTATTATTATTATTGTTTTCTCTAATGGCAGATGGAGCCATTTCAATTGATTTGGAAATTGAATCTATTCCTTTGAGTAATTTATCAGCTGCAGTGGCACCACGTAGAAGGATAGGGAATCCATCACCGAGTGATTTAAGTGATACAAATGCTCTGATAAGATACAAAAAGAATTTAAGTAATGTACCAAGTGTAATTACTTTATTCCAAACTTGATATGCTCCAATATATGCAATCTAAAATAAATAAGTAAATAAAAGTTAGATACTTTTTTAAAAATAATAATATTATACACTACTTACTGATACCATTAATAATTGACAAACAAATTGAGATGATTCACCAAATAGATTTTCAATCAATGTAGCTACTTTTTTCATAAATGTAGTTGGATTTAATTGAATTGGTTGTTGTTGTTGTTGTTGAGAGTTACTACCGCTACCAGCACCAGCACCATCAGCAGGAATAATTTGTATATCAGGTAATGGTTGTTCTTGTTGTTCTTGTTGTTGTTGTTGTTGGAATGGTTGTTTATAAAGATCACCCAATTTTGATTTTGAGGAAGAGAAAATATTCTGATTCATGTTTGATGTATTGGATGGTTGAATAACAGGCAAGTCATGACGATCTTCATTTGTAGTGGTACTTGTTGAAATGGTTGGATTATCAGCAGTTGGCCAAGCAGTTGGATACATTGGAGATGTACCTGACCCTACTCCAATAGTACGATTTTGTGCGCCACTTGAATTATCAGAAGTTGGCCATGCAGTTGGATACATTGGAGATTCACCTGTTGTACCGTCGTCCTTGACATTGGTGGTTGAACTTGAATTATCAGAAGTTGGCCATGCAGTTGGACGTAGTGGAGATGGTTCATTTGAGTTTGGTAGCTTGTTTGGATAAGATTGAGAGAATGAAGAAAACTCTGATTGGTGTTGATCCATACTAGCCTTCCATTGACCAGGAAGTAAAATAATCACTTTGGCTTTAATGGAATTGATTGCTGCTCTTGAAATCAGTCTATTCATTGAACTATAAATCAACACACCCAAAATAATAGCTGGAATACTAATTGACATGAATAAAGTTAAATGCCAGCTAAGAATAGAAAAATATAATATTAATATTTAGTTTAAATACAATATGAGGTGGATTATTACATACTTTATAAAAAACAATTCAACAATGGAACCAATGATTTGAATTGTATTGGTAATAGTGACAGATACTTGTTTAATGGCTGCTTCCAACATTTGCATTTGATACTCTTTTTCTTTTTTTTGTTTTGTAACCTTTTCATTTAGAATGGTTGGCAATCTATCATCATTTGATCGATTACGTCCATTATTATTATTATTATTATTATCAATATTATTATTATTATTATTTTGATTATTATTATTAATATTTTCAATATTATAATAACTACCAACTTTATAGATTCTATCACGGGCACATTCTAGAGCAGCGAATACATTGTCAATACGAGATACTATTCTTTTACTGAGTAGGAGTGAGATCCAGGTACGAAGGATACGAGCAACCCACTCGACGACCAGACATATGGCAAGTGACTTGGTGACACCGTCGAGACGATGAACGTTTCGGTCCGAGGCAATGGCATCGATGAGATGGCTGATCAAGTAGGGTGTGATGAGCGACGCGATGGCACAGACGGTGAGAGCGACGACCAAGACGAGGATGATGGGCCACTCGGGGATGATAAAATCGACGATGCGGTGACCGGCGATAGGTGACGACGGACGTTGGGAGAGACGCTTGTCCTTGCGGTACTGCTTGAACGAGACGTACAGAGGGTACACATTGAGTGCCAAAAAGAGGGAGGTCATGGCCAACGAGTTGGTGATGCAAACAAGTGTCATCTCACGCTTTACGGGGTCGAGTACCGGATGACCGTCGGGAATGTAGACTGACGGCTCAAACTTTTGAAGTGCGGGGATTGCAAAGACAGCCTTGAGCACGAGATAGGCCAACGCCACCACACTGTTAAAGTAGGCGATAAAGTAGTAGAGGAAACGGTCGGTAGTAATCATGATATACCAAAAGAAGCAGGTTGCATAGCATACTAGCAGGACATCAAAACTCGAGTATGCCAAGAGATAGTCAGTGTTGAGTTCACTAATATGCGATGGGAAAAAGTAGAGACGGCCACCGTAAAAGTACATGTACGACGTGACAAGGAAATAAGCAATCATCAATACAATACACACCATCTTGATGATAAAGTTGATGGTAGTTGTATGAATACTCTTTGTAATGATTGTTTTGTTGTTTCTTTGTTGTTGGTGTTGGTAATCGTATCCGTCTCCGTCACCACCGTCATTTCCTCCTTCACCGGCAGTACTGTAATACAAACGATCATCCCAATCACCTTCCATATAATGATCGTATTCTTCATCACCACTATTATGTTCGTCTACATCATCATCGTCATCATCACTTTGACTCCACTTGTAAACATTTCTACCACCACCACCATTTACACTATTATTATTACTATTATTACTACTATTACTTGTAATATTAATGTATTCATGTTGATGTTGAAGAGGATCGTTGACAGCATTCTTAAACTCGTCAACTTGTTTTGGGATGATGATTTTCTCTTTGAATTGGTGTAGTTGTTGTTGTCGTTGTTTGGTGTCGTTGATGTTGACATTGCTGGCAGCCGAGTACATTTCATCGACATAGTTTGGTTGTTGTTGTTGTTGTTGATGTTCACCATCATACTTTTCCCATCCACCTCCAGCCTTTTCAGTGTCAGAGTCACTGTTGTTGATACTGTCTGGTAGGTCACTAAATACAGTCCTCTTTGTTCCAACTGAGGATGTCTTTTGTTTAATCCAATTTAGAAACATCCTTCTCTTTTTTTTTTGTATTCTTTTTCAAGAAGAAAAAAAATACTAAAAGAATAAGATAGAAAGAGAAAGAGAGAGAGAGAGAGAGAAAGAGATGTATTTGATTTAGATTGATTATATAATGATTAAGGTGGAGGAGAAAGAGAGTGAGGGCATAGAAAGTAGTAGCTACTACTCTACTCACAATCTCATCACATAGAAAATGATTGAATCACTCAGAGTGTCTCTTCCCCATCCATTCATTTATCTGTATCCAAGTGAGTGAAAGTAGGGTCGATCATATGATTACCCCCACAATGAAGTGAAATGTTGCATGGTGGGAATTATATGCATATGCATGAGCGCTCTACAACCATATATATCTAAGAGAGTGTGTCAATGATGGAGTTGTATGTGTGTGTTTTTAAAAGTGTGTTCTTCAAAAAACAAAAACACTCCATATTATTCAAAAATAAATGGTTTTTATATTATTTTTTAAAAAACATTCTTAGTGTCTGTCTAGACTCTCAAAATTAACAACTTTGGACTTCTTTATCTTTATAATTAATCATCTGATAATAAAATATATCTTTATTTTAATTTTAATTATAAATTTCAACTAATCAAATTTAATTTACATTATTTTTTATTTTTCCTATGCCACGTTCACAGCAGACACCCACACCACAAACATTTCTCATTCTAGTTGTTGGGAATTATTAATAAATTTTTTTCAAATTTGGTAACTTTACAACTCGTAGATTTATTTATACTAACATTAACCGATTTCTTGCTTGCAATGATGATCCCCTTAAAAAATTTTATTTTATTATTTTTAATATTATTATTTTAGCTAGCTTTCAAAAATAGAATAGAATTAAAAGAAGAAGAAGAAAAATTATGTTTATTATCCTTCTCTAAAAACCAAAAAATGTTAAAGAATATTAGAATATTTATATTATCAATCATTGTATTATTATCTTTAAAATTAAATGGCTATGGAGATTACAGTTATGGAGGAGCGGTCATGGCATCCAAGTTGATCCGAATGACTGAATGGAATTTTATAAATGGACAACAACCAACACTAAATATCGATCAAGATGACATTGTCATTTGGTTTACAACCGATAATTTGAATCATACAGTAACACACGATGCACCAGTTTATGCCAGAGAATTTGATTCAGAGGATCTAAATTCCGATCCACTCTATCAAAAACCAGATAATTTTACACATCATTTCAATACCAATGGAACCTATAGATACTATTGTAAACATTATCCATCTCAAATGTTTGGTATGATCTATGTATCATATAGAGAATTGGGTGTACCTGACCCAAACCTTCATGCCAACGAAACAGAGGCTCCATCAAATCAAAGTAGTGATGGAGGTGTGGGTGGTGCCAACACATCAGACCATTCTTCATCATCAAGTACCATATCAATATCAATAGCACTATCACTATTCTTTTTAATCATATCAACTATTTCTTAATAATAATAATAAATATTAAAGATTAAAAATTAAACAATTTAAATAAAGTGATGTGATTATTTATAAATGATTTATTTATAATATAATTTTGAAATGATTTCTTTGTAATTATCATTGGTAAGAGTAATAACATTATTTTCATCTTGACCATCTTTGTAACCGATGGATACCATGATCTTACTGTACTCAAAGCCCAAGAAATAACCTGGTAAAGATTGTGATGGATAGAAAAGATTGACTTGAACATTATCAAAGGCTTGGAAAACAGTCTCGATATCCTTCATAGCAATGTTGTGTTGGACAATCGATGCCGATCTCATTAAAATGGGGAGACTGGTATAATTTGAACAATCCTCTTGTAATGTAGGATTACCAATTACAATTACATCAATTATAATCTTTTCAGCTCCAGTCTCTTGACATAATCTTGCTGTATCTGAAATTGGTGCTAAAATAAAAAAAAAAACAAAAATTAATAAATGTAAAATTATTATTTATACAATAGTTTAACTTACTCATATAAGTAACACCACCATCAACAAAGGTTTGACCCCAAAATTGAGCGGGTGGGAATACAGCTGGAATGGAAGCAGATGCAACTACACAATCAACAATATTGGTTTCATTCTTTTCAAAACGTTGGAAGAGGCCAGTTGTAATATCAGTTGCGCCAATCAATAATCCACGAGTAGATGATTGCAATGCAGTTACATTTAAAACATTACCCATGAAATTATATAATGCTGTGTTGTCAAAAATACCCTTTTGGAAAAGTAATCCATCTACAACTCCTCCAATTTTCCAATCAGTATAAATATCTAAAATAAATTAAAAAAAAGAAATCAAATTAATAAATATATAAAAAATAAATAAATAATATTTTGATTATTAAATGTTACCTCTCTTATTAATTCCTAACCATTGATTAACAAGGAAATCCTTTCCACCAACTTCATTTCCAATATTATACATTGCCATACCGGCAGCATTGATTGAGCCGGCTGAAATACCAGTAGCAAACTGCCACATTAAATCGGCTGGGTCTCTGGAATCGACAAGTCCAGCAACAACACCAGCCTCATAGGCACCTCTATCACCAGCACCTGAAAATGATACAGCTCTGCATACTGATGAATCGCCTGATGACGATGATGATACAGCTGCAGATACAGTAGCCAATACGACTACTGAAAATATTAATATTAAAATTGAATAATCAAACTTCATCTTTTAAAAATATGAATATTTAGATTATATAAAAGTGAAAAAAAAGAGATAATATTACAAAAAATATATACAAAAATGTAAATGTGTAGAACGACTTTAAATAAAAGAGAGAGATGAACGGTCAGAAGAAGATCTTAACCATTGCATTAAAAAAAAAAAAAAAAAAAACTCTTTAAAGAAAGAGCACAAAGAAGTGAGAACATTTCCTCGGAATAAAAATTGTAATAAATATCTGTAATCGTGCAATGCCAAAGGAGGGGGAGCGCTTTTTTCCAATGGTGCATTTTTCAAAGGAAGAAGTTGATTTCCCGCATTATGTGTTGTGTTGCAACAGTTAAGTTATCTATCTCTCTTTCCTCTCCTCATCTCGAGATGCCGACATGTTGGTGTTTATGAAAGAGGGAAACGTTGTTATGCCTGCCCCCTGCAAAGATACAATGGGATCCGAAGCATTTCAAAGTTGTTCAACCTGTGAAAAGGTTAATGAAATTTTGCAAAGTGATCTCGCCATCCTGCGCAATAGATACCGATATTTTGATCAATTAAATGAAATGAATAATAAATACTCTTTTTTTTTTTAATTATTAAATAACCAATTTTTATAAAAAGTTATTTATTTGATTTCAAATTATACAACAATATTGTCATAATTAGATCCGAGGTGGTTACTTGAGATCCAATTATTTAGTGACCGTGGTGGTGATGCTTGAAGTGGTGATGGACTTGGTTCTCAAAGTCAGACTTGAAGTGGTGGTGATGGGAGTGGGTGTGGACGTGAGCAATATGTCCGTGGTGGTCAACGAGGGCAACACCGTGGTTGTGGTCGTGGTGCTTTTGGTCGTGGAAGACCTTTTCAGCGTGATGGTGGTCGTGATGCTTTTCGTGATGCAAAGAACCGTGGGCGTACCAGTAGACAACGTGGAAGTGAGTCTAAAGTTTAGAAAATAATAGTATGATTAGTATTTATGTTATAAGCGTTTAAAGGGGAAGAAGAAGTAATATGTTTTTTAAACTTTTAGTAAAAGCAAAAATCGTTACATCGCGATAGATAGATAGATTATATTATAGAGAGATATTATATGATATAGAGATATTATGCTTACCATTTTATATATTATTTATTTGTGAATGGAATTAATGAAAAGAAGACGGAATAAGTGCTCTTTTATGTTTGATGGACTCTTAAGATATTTTGAAAGAAATGAAAAAAAAAAAGTTTGATAAACGTCATCATTCCAAAGAATCAGGTGGTCTTATGACAGATTCTTAGCGTTGACCGAAAAAACAAACCAACGATCCCAAAGTTTGACGAAAAAAATCAAAGGAGAACACGTGTAACCGATGGGCAAGTTGTTAATTTTCAAACTATTATTTTGAATGGGCTCGAAATTTCGACCACACATACGTCATCCAGTCCATACTCAGAAGATATCTGATCACCTAATTCCCAAACAAGCCCGCACATTTAATACTGCGATCGATGATGATTTGTCGACGGGCTTGTAACCTCTTTAGACTTTATCGCTCACAACCGAAATATCACAAAAGACTTTTGTTTGCAGGTCTCAAAGGCAAATTTACCCCTCCAGAGATAGATCTATACCTACCTTTTAAAGTATTGCTCGGTAACCCTATCCCCCAAACAAACATAGAATAGTAATAATAACCAGGGTTGAATTTGAAAGTATGTTTTTGATAGTGGCTGTGATTTAGACACACATGTCACATCAGACATTATTCATTATGATAATATAAATACAAATATATAGATAGATAGAATATGTTTGTTTGTTTGTTTGTTTGTTCGATACTCAACTTATCATTTGACATTGACACAAATTGGTTGTTGATTTGATTCATATCTTTTTATTCTTCTTTGTGCCAAGCAAAGATACAATAATATGTTTATTCAACCAACCATACATATCAATACGACTACTACTCAACAACAAGAACAATGCTATCATTTCGCAGTCGATGATGATCTTCGAGTAGGCTATTTACAACCTCACATGACATCTCGTGAGTTTATCACTGAAGAGTATTTGGATGACTCTTCTTGGACACTAACAAACATGAATATATGGTTAAAGAGACAATCCCTATCTGTTGACAACAAGTCAATCTTGATTCAAGCAAAGAGAATGATAGGTCTCAATCCTCAATTAATTGGTTATGTCAAAGTAATTGGAGAACCGTTGAATCAATTGTTAATTGGAATAGATCGTACTATAGAAGATTTGAATAATAGTATTGCTACTATACATGTTACAAGATATCATTTTAAAATTGATGCAATAGAGGGGTCGGTCTATGTTGATGTTGTTTACAATGATACCATTGAAAAGTTTATGGTAACTAAATGATACATAAATAAGTATTAGTTGTTCATCATTTAAATTGATTCATTTCATTTCATTATTAGGTATTTGGAGGAGCTATAACCAAGAATGCAAATGTACAACTTCCTCAACAACTCCAGAGTAAATTAAATCAGACAAACAGTAAAATTCTGTGTTTTATGGAGACTTACCATCAAACCAAATACAAAGAACTACTAGACAAGGGATGGTTTCGAACATGTAAACATACACTTTATGATCACGACCCTTTTTATAGTTACTTTTTAGAAAACAACCTACCCAATATTAACCCTGGCGGTCATTGATATCGAATGAGATTCTAATTATTGAGTATTTGTGAATCAAAATAAATGTATATAATATAGTAATGTTATGGTGTAAATATAATATTCAAAGTTTCTTTATTATTATTATATTAATATTAGTTATTATTATTTATTTTTAAGGTTATCTTTTTTTTGCTGATAAAGGTGGATTCATTGGAGCCCAATGAATACATTTTGGTTCAATTCGAGTAGTTTGTTTAGAGTATGCTTTGAGATGTTCTTCGATTGCTTTGGGTGTAACCGATATAATATGTTGACCTTTCCAGTAACGAATAAGATTGAGTGATTGTAATGTACTGATAATATCTTCTGTTCGTATCGATGTCATACTGGATATATCCATAATCGAAAGATTAACCAATTTATGTTTTCTTAAAATCTCCAATAATACTTGTGTCCAATACGAACGATATGATAACAATCCCAAATCTGATAATGGTTTCTCTGGTGTTCCTACTTTATTTTCTTTTTTTGATAATTCATATGCTATCAAATAAAATAATATTAATATTTAAATAATACTACTCTTCTTTATCTTTTGTACATACAAAATGAAATTAATAATTTACCATAACCTTTTCTTTGATAGGGTGGTAATGTTAGGATACAAGCTAAATTGTAACCATCGGGTGAATCCTTTTCTTTGGAAAAGTATCCAACCATATGACAACCACGTGAATCACATTCGGTCATTACATAAAAGAGGAATGGTTCAACGTCATAGTAGAGTGTTTTATGATCTAAAAATAGTTTGGCCAAAAGACAAAGATTCTGACAATAGATCTTATTCTTTTTACCATCAACTTCAAACATTGATAATGACTGACTACGATAGATTTCATTACCAGGTGGATGACGCAAGTCACATTTGAGTTTATGACGATTGAGTGTTTTCTTTTTCTTCATATATTTGAGACAAAATTCACATAGATACAATTTTTCACATTTGGCAAATTCTTCTGGGTATGGTGAAAAGTACCAAGTATCTATTTCATATCGTCCCAATTCAATCACATTTATATTCTTGACCTTTGTTATTTCTTCATGTTCCTTTTCCAATGCCGATAATTTTGTATCATCTTCTCCTTTTTGAATATGATTAATCTCATCAAATTTTCTTTTATAATGTCTTGTTACTTTTAATCTTTGCTATAAAATATAAATAAAAAAAAAAAAAAAAGATTAATATAAATAATTAATTTACAATTTAATTTTTATACATACACCATCAGCATTTTGAATTTCAGCCAAAGGAGGTGGAGGAGCCTTTGGTTCATTTTCTATTTTACTAAAATCAAATCTTGATTCATGAACCCATTCATCCAAACGACGATTAAATTCATGATAATGAACATAATAATCATATGTACCTGGAAGTGATTCTGATTCTTTTCTTTCAATAATTTCACATTTATCTAAAAATCATTATTAATTATTAATATTTAATATTTCCTCAATTTCAAATTTAATTTAATTTAATTTGTACATACGATATTGATCTCTCCATTTACAATGAATATTTGAACCAGGATCCAATATTTTTCTATTTGCTTGTGGATCTATGGGAGAGGTTGGTTCTTCTTCAGCAGGTGATTTATCCAACATCTTGTTGAAATGAATATTGTTAAGTTGGCTTGGTTGAAAAAAATAAAAAAAAAGATGAACTTTGTCGGATGAGAGATGATGTAGTGATTGAATGAATGAATGAATGTACAGAATAAATAGACTATATACAAATGGTTGATAAAAAGAATGAATGACTACTGATGCGTGTGTGTAGTATATTAAAGAGAGAGAGGATATGTTAATAGTAGAGTGATTGATGGAAAAAACGCGTTTATAGAAAAAAAAGATGAGATGAATTTATAAACAAGAAAGGTTGTCTATTTTAAAGGGTAAAGATACAATATTGAAGATAAACTTGTGCTAAAGACTAGAATAAAGTTATCTTTTTATAAAGATAGTGAGTTGAGAGTATGTATGACTACTTTTATCCAATCAATCTATGTGTAGAGAGATGAGGCGTATGATCATACAAAGTAGAGGGAGAAAAAAAAAAAAAAGAATTTTTTTTTATTTTTAACAAATGAACTTCAGGAAGAAACAAACACTTAAAGTGTTACCATCAAAGAAAAGTGTATCATTCATCATACATATTTATTTATTAAAAGTGTATGTATTCAAACAGTAAGCGTATGTTTTTACTGTTTGAATCGGTAGAGAGAAAGAGCATACATTATTTTTTTCATTTATTCTGCGAGGACAATGTCAAGAGCATAAGAATCACCACTGCCATGGCACTGCAATAGGTTATGACAACAACAAAGTATTTGTTTGTATTAAAATCAAAAAGCCCTAAATGATTAGATAGAATATTACTCATATATAACTCGTTCCTCTACCTTTTGTGAGGTGATGCTTTGTGCGCTGTCTTCCCATTCAATTGGTGCATCGTTTAGGTATGGATCAGCTTCTCTCCCTTTGTATGGGCTGTCATGATGCGATGTTCTTATTCGATCTAATCCTGATATGGAAGTAGAAAATATTGATCGATTTACATACAGATAGTTTGGTAGGTATGGATAAATACAATAAATGTATAAATCATTTCCCATCGGTATCTACCAAACGATCTGTATGTAATGATCGGGATTTGACTGAAAAATCACTTGGAATTTGAAGAAAGGTACCAAAGAAAAGATATTATTATAAAAAGGATTTTTCTTTTTCTTTTTTTGTATTTATTTTTTCCATTGCTCTCGACCAACCCAAATATTCAATACTTTGGTTCATTCTTCTATCAAATTAATTTAATTATCTATATATATATCAAGATAAATGATAAATAGTTTAAAAAAAGGAAATACAATAACAACAAGACTAGCAAAGAACTTTAACTACTTTAAAAGGTTCTATTCTTTTTCTGCTCCTGCTGCTCCTCCTCCTTCTCCCTTGTTTGGAGGAGGAGGAGGAGGAGGAGGGCAAAGGCAATTAATACTCGTATCACAAGATTGGACGAGACCAAAAGATCCCCCATTATCACTTGGGCATGCATCGCTATTAACCAATCTCCGTCTCCATCAAGTCGATGTGATTGAGAGATCGTGGTCCGTCAACGCACCAGATTTCTCATCCGACTCTGTCACTGACTTTATCATGAATAATGTCAGGGAGGACGGCAGAACCGACGTGGCTTTGGGCGCATTCGTTTGGAACGAACACAGCACCAAAGCAATACTCCGTAACCTCAAAAAGCATCGTTTCCCCGGCCGAATTATTTTGGGTGGCCCTCAAGCCAGTTATCTCAAAAGTAATATTGAATCCTACTATCCAGAAGTAGATTATTTCATCCGTGGATATGCTGAATCTGCCATTGTAGATTTAATGAAATCAAACGTCGACGACGACCTTTTGATTTCAACTCCAACCATGATCGCTACTAGTACTGGTACTAGTAAACCGACGTCGGTTGGTGGTACTACACCATGTAGCAGTGGTAATAATAATAAAACCAAAGGAATACATCGAGCTGGAGCACTTCCCGATTTAGGGTTGTCAGCTACCGCCGATCTAGAGACTCTACCCTCCCCATTTCTCAGTGGCACTATCAAACCCCAGAGATTTATGCGGTGGGAGACTCAACGTGGTTGTCCCTTTCGTTGTGCGTTTTGTCAACACCGTGAATCAGACTCTGACTCTGACTCGCACGTGCGTAGACACATGTCGCTCACTCGGACACTACAAGAATCTGAATGGATCACCAACAACCCAGTCATTCAAGACTTGGCTGTACTAGACCCCATCTTTAACTCTGGCCCCAACTATCTCGAGATACTTGACCAACTCTTACGCGGACGCTACTCTGGAAAGCTGTCGCTTCAATGTCGTTTGGAAATGGTAAAGGAACCATTTCTCGACAGAGTGTCAAGACTCAAAGATCAAGGTTGCCAGGTTGTTTTAGAGTTTGGGCTTCAGACCATTCATGCGGCCGAACAAAAATTAATTGATCGACCAAACAACATCAAACGTGTTGTTCAAATACTCAAAGAGGTTGGACAGCGTGCCATACAGACTGAAATCAGTCTCATCTATGGTCTGCCACTACAAACGGTAGAGACATTCAAAGAGACTATTGATTTCTGTCGTACGCACGCTCCCAACAACGCTGTGATTCATGCGTTCCCATTAATGCTTCTTCGAGGAACACCTTTGTTTCATCGCAAGCACGAACTTGGAATCATCGAATCCAACGAAATAGTCTCGGATAATAATATTATCCCTCGACTACAATCAACCCCAGACTCGCTCGTCGACATACCTCATGTCGTTGCCAGTCCTTCATTTACCTACCAAGATTGGAAAGAAATGACTAAATTATCTGAACAATTAGAAATTGATAATCAAAGAATTCAATTAAATAATTAAAGATCAACCAACAACCAAAAACAACAACAACAACAACAACAACAATATTCTAAAAGAATATTATTAGAAAAAGAAATATTAAATTAAATAATGATAATGATAATTAGATTAAATAAAATTTTAGAAAACAATTTATTACAAGTTAATATTATATTTTTACATCTACTCTTATTATTATTATTATCTTCTTTTTGTTGAAGGTGGATTCATTGGAGCCCAATGAATACATTTTGGTTCAATTCTAGTTGATTGTTTAGAGTATGCTTTGAGATGTTCTTCAATTGCTTTGGGTGTTGCTGATATAATGTGTTGACCTTTCCAATAACGAATAAGATTGAGTGATTGTAATGTACTGATAATATCTTCTGTTCGAATTGACGTCATGTTGGAAATGTCAGTGATTGATAAACTGACCAATTTTTGTTTTCTTAAAATCTCCAATAATACTTGAGCCCAATAAGAACGATATGATAACAATCCCAAATCTGATAATGGTTTCTCTGGTGTTCCTACTTTATTTTCTTTTTTTGATAATTCATATGCTAATAAATAAAAAAAAAATAATTTGATTAATAAATGAATATTATGTTTCCAACCTTTATCTACTTTAGATTACATACAAAATGAAATTAATAATTTACCATAACCTTTTCTTTGATAGGGTGGTAATGTTAGGATACAAGCTAAATTGTAACCATCGGGTGAATCTTTTTCTTTGGAAAAGTATCCAACCATATGACAACCACGTGAATCACATTCGGTCATTACATAAAAGAGGAATGGTTCAACGTCATAGTAGAGTGTTTTATGATCTAAAAATAGTTTGGATAACAAACATAAATTCTGACAATAAATTTTGTTCTTTTTACCATCAACTTCAAACATTGATATTGATTGATTACGATAGATTTCATTACCAGGTGGATGACGTAGATGACATTTGAGTTTATGTCGATTGAGTGTTGTTTTCTTTTTCATATATTTGAGACAAAATTCACATAGATACAATTTTTCACATTTGGCAAATTCTTCTGGGTATGGTGAAAAGTACCAAGTATCTATTTCATATCGTCCCAATTCAACCACATTAATATTCTTTACTTTTGTTATTTCTTCATGTTCTTTTTCCAATGCTGATAATTTCGTATCTTCATTATTTTCATTTAATTTTCTTTTTAATCTATGCTAAAAGTTAAATAAAAAAAAAAAAAATTAATTAAATATATAAATAATTAATTTAATTAATTTAATTAATTTAATTATTTAATTTAATACATACCCCACTATCAGCAGGTTGAACTTCAGCTGCAGGAGCAGACTTTGGATCATTTTCTATTCTATTAAAATCAAATCTTGATTCATGAACCCATTCATCCAAACGACGATTAAATTCATGATAATGAACATAATAATCATATGTACCTGGAAGTGATTCTGATTCTTTTCTTTCAATAATTTCACATTTATCTAAAAAAAAAATAATTAATTAATATTTATTATTATTATTATTATTATTTGTCAATTTCATTTGTTGATTAATTTAATTTGTACATACGATATAAATCTCTCCATTTACAATAAATATTAGAACCAGGATCCAATATTTTTCTGTTTGCTTGTGGATCTATGGAAGAGGTTGGTTCTTCAGCAGGTGATTTATCCAACATTCTTGAAATTGAAGTATTATTATTATGTTGGTTGAAAAAAATAAAAAAAAGTGAAAAAAGGGTTGATGTTGTTTGTGAGAGAGCGAGAAACAAAGAGGAGTGTTGCGGTGAGGAATGAATGAATGAATGTACTTTTGTTTTAAAAGAGAGTTTTATATATACAAAGGATGAATAAGTTGACTAGAGTATAGTATAATATGTAAAATATATAGAGGTTGTTGTTTCTCTATAGAGTAGCAAGCTCTAAAAAAAAGTCGATTTTTGTTGTTGAGTATTAAAGATGAAAATGTAAAACTATTGAAGAAAAAAAGAGTATTGAGGAGAACAAAGAGAATAAAGTAAAGTAGAGTAATATCTTTTAATAATTGTACTTTTACTTTTACTTGCTTCTTCTTTTATGTTTTATTATTACAAAAATAATGAAGTTACCGTTGAAAATTTTCTTTTTTTTTTAATTTTTTTTTTTACAAATTTTTGAACTTCGGCCCATCCAGGAGTACCTTAAAATTTAGTGGTACGCCAATTGGTATACCATTCGAATATTCCACTCTTTATTTTTTATTATCTAATATATTTATTTTTAAAATATTTTGTCAACATTAAATAAAACATTTAATCAATGATTTTGATTGATTAAAATATTGGTGTTGATGATATTCATTTGCCATTTTATAATCGATTAGTAAATATTGAACAGTGTCACTCTCTAATAATGAATCAAATATATCTTGCTTAAATTGATTATAACCTATGTTTAATACTTTAATCGATTTGTTTTGTTTAAATGCATTGTTCAACTCTGTACTTGGTGACAAATGGTTGCCACTTATATCTAATGCCTTGATAGTTTGGTTGGTCAATAATAATTCACAGAATGATGGAATATATTCTTTAACCAATGTACCACATGTCAACATTAAAGTTGTTATACTTTGGTTGAGAGACAGAGTCGAGAAAAACATTGGTGAAATGATATTTGGAAGTGATGATAATCCAAGTAGTTCAATGGTATTGTTTGATTGCCAAATGGGGTCAAACGAAGATACCAATCTTTCATTTGAAATTGATGGTTGTTTAGAATGGCCTTGGGAGATCCTTGTATGATAATCTTCCAAAAAAAGATGTTTAAAAGTTGTATTGTTGGTTAGATTAGTGCATAGTTGATCCCAATCTCCTAGTGTATCTTCACATTCGAGTTGAAAAATACAACAAGGTTCACTATTAAAATATGGTCCATATCTATCACCATCGCCACCATCATCTTGGTTCATTTCCATTTCCAATTTACATAGAGATATACCAGTTTTAAGAGATTGAATATTGAATGTTGAATCAGATACAATGTGTTTTAAATAAACCAACTCTATAAAATCATTATCAATGTTGATATGTTGAGTTGTTTTTGATAAATGATCTAATATAGATTGGTAATCTAAATGATAAATTGTACCATTATCAATTGCCATATTAATGTGTTTTGGTTTCAGGTCATCTAACATTTGAAGATAATCATCGGTTCCTGATTCTGAGTAATGATTGTATTGATCAGATCCATTTTTAGTTGTAATGACAGTGATGGGATCATACCCCTGAAAGAAGACATTATCTGGCCATTCCAGTATCCTACCAACTGTGATATTCAAGTTAACTTGAATCTGTGGGAATGAGTTAATGACTAGTACAATATCTATTATAGTATTCTTGTCCAATTTATCTCCAATAATATCGATTGATTGTAGTTGTGGAAATAGAGGGGGTAATACAGAATAATCATATTCTTCATAGTTGCCATAAAATGATGGTTGATATATTCCTTGGTCTTCTTCTCCTCCTTCTTCTTCTTTACCAGTTACCTTCCATTTGAGAGATTTAGCAGTCTTTGAAAAGTATGATTCTTGTAACTGACCATTTATCTTGAAGTCTGTTGCAGTTTGTAGTGTCACTTTCATCCACCATTTAGATACCATTGCAATATTACCAATCTGATACAATGTAACAAACTTGGGTTGTTTCTTTTCGAGTTGTTTGTTGATCATTAGATATAATGCTTTTTGTGGTTTTATGATCTGAAAACCATGATCGTCATCAATACTACAATGATCTTTAACACCTCGACAATGAATCACCTTTTCAATGATCAGTGATTGAATGTATTTCGAAAGTATACAACCAACATCATCATCATGATGATGATCTATTTGATTATCTATTGTTTTTGACATACTATTATCTATATTATGTATACATTGACAATGAGTCTCTTTGATCATTCGTCTTTGCATAAATCTAGATTTATTTTTTCAGGTTGGAATTAAAATAGAAACTGATGACAAAACATTATTTTATTGTATCAATGATTGATTGATTTATTGACTAATCCAAAAGAATGGAAGAGTTGAAGTAAAAGTCTCCATACTCTGATGAAAAACATTTGATCAATGATTTTGATTCTATAAAATATGGATGCATTTGTTGAGGACATGCCAATTCTTGATCGATTATTAAATATTCAATACTATCACCCACCAATAATGAATCCAATGCCTCTATGAAATTGATTACCTGAAATATTCAATATTTTAATCGATTTGTTTTGTTGGTCATTAATAATTTAGATAGTGATGGAATGTTATCTAGATCCAATGTATTTATCATTCTTAATAAACTGAGTAGTTAGTAACCAGGGGAACTAACTACCACAACAAGAAGTCATCATTCGACTAGAGTTGTGTATAAATATACTCATATTCGATAATCTACTATCTACATACCCCCGTCATATTTACTCTGTCTAATTTTTGTCTTGTCATTACGTTACACTTCCATCTCTCTACCACTTGCCCCATCTACACTCTCTCTCTTTTTTTGAACTTGAGTATAAAGTCATATTCTTTTTATTGATTAAATACAAATAAATCAAATAAATAATAAAAATAATATTTATAAATTCGTCAAGTTCAACTAAAGATGGAGAAAAGGTTAATCAAAAAATGGAGAATAATATGGAGTGAAGACTGTGTCTACACTCTTAGCATTGAAACAGTTAATCAATGACTTTGATTCAATAAAATATCGGTGTTGCTTATAATCTGACAAATAATAATCGATCATTAAGTATTGAACTGAATCACTCTCCAATAATGAATCAAATATATCCTTTTTGAATTGATTATTTGCGATATTCAATATTTGAATCGATTTGTTTTGTTGGAATGCTTGATTCAAGTCGGTACTTGGTGCCAAACGATTTCCACTAATATCCAATGCTTTAATTGTTTGGTTGGTCATGATTAATTGACAAAATGATGGAATATATTCTTTTTCCAAAGTACCATTGGTCAATTTTAATATTGTGATACTGTGGTTGAGCGACAAACTATCAAAAAATAGAGGTGAAATGATTCTAGCTAGATTTGATAATCCAAGTAGTTCAATGGTATTGTTTGTTTGCCAAATGGGTGAAAATGATGATACTAATCTTTCGACCGAGACGGAAGGGGTTTGAATGGTTTCTTCTTCTTCTAATTCCATTTCAATTTCTTCATAATCAAGAATCTTTTTTAGATACCATCGGTCATCAAATCTGTTTTTTGATGAGGGTCTTCTTGGTCCATGTCGATCCCCCAAACAGAGTTGTTTCAACGATGTATTGTTGGTGAGATTAGTGCATAGTTGGTCCCAATCTTTTAGAGTATCTTGGACAAAGAATAATCCATAAGTACATTTTGAACAAGTTCCTATTTTGACGACTCCATTCAATTCCTCTTCCAAAGGACACATAACCACTATACCAGTATTGAGTGATTGAGTATGATTGAATGAATCAGTATTTACAATATCTTTTAGATATCTCAGTTCAATAAAGTCATATTCAATATTGATATGTTGTGTACATGTTTTGAGAAATGGGAATAATCTTTGGTAGTTGTAATGATCAATCTCACCAATTCTAGATCCAATTTCAGACCCAATGTGAATAGTAGTTGGTTGTAGACGGTAAATCATTCGATGAAAGGTTTCAATGACTGGTGGATCATCAAAGTAACCATAGTGATCGACCGATTTAATAGAGACCACTGGTTTGATTCCTGTAAACTTGACTCCTGATGGCCATTCCCCTCTTCTATTATGATCTTCAGATAAATCAAAGGTGGCTTGAATGTGAGGAAATAGATTGATGACTTGAACGATGGCTCTAACTGCTTTCTTGTCTAAATTGACTCCAACGATATCCAGTGTCTTTAGGTGTGGTAGTAGTCTAGGTAATCTTGTATAATCAAAATTGTCATAGTTGATACGACGGTCAACTTCCTTTCCTTTACCACTGTACACATTCCATTTGAACGACTCTATTCTCTTTGAAAAGTATGATCCTCTCAAAGGACCATCAATCTCGATACTTTTTGATGTAATTTGACTTGCCACCTCCATCCACCATTTAGATACCATTGCAATGTCTGCTAGTTCATAGAATGAAACAAATTTGGTCTCTTTCTTTTTAGGTGTTTTGTTTAGCATTAAATATGATGCATTCTCTGGTGAAATGACATGAAATCCATGATGGCTATAGTGATCTTTATCATTACTATCATTAATCAACATGTCAATAATCATTGCTTGAATGTATTTAGAAACACAAACAATTGCATCTTCTACTTGATAACTTTCTTTTGTTGTTGTTGTTGTTCTTTTTGTTGTTCTCATCCTAACATATTAACTGAGTTATTTCCTTTTAATTTTGAAGAAAGAGTACACAATTACAATAACACTCATCAAAAAGACAACTAGAATGTGTAGTTTCCCCTTACAAACAAAAAAATTGAAAAAAACAGGTCCAATTTATTGTATTTTTTGCCCAAAATTTTGGGATGCAAGATAGATTTTCACCATCCTCCAAACTCATATTAAGATATTTTGGGTGCTATCACATCCAAAATTTACACTTGTTTCAAACTGTTTGAATAAATCGTTGAAGTGTAAAGAAAATTATTTATTTTTTTTTGATTTTTTGAAAGTTGGTAAAATATTTTATACAAGACTTTGATTGACTAAAGTTAATTTTGGTTGGTCAATTATTAATTAGAGAGTGATAAATGTAATTCATCATTTGATTCACTATTGACCATAATAATTTAATTATACAAAAATAATTAACTAAATTTGAAGTTCACTATCGATTTAAAGATTTTTTTCTTTTGAAATTTTTAATCAATTGTAACAAAACATTTAATCAATGATTCTGATTGACTAAAATATTTATGTTGATCAAAATGCAATGCCAATTTTTTATCAATGACTAGATATCGTAGAACAGTATCTCTTAACCACACCGAATCAAATAAATATCTGTTCAAATCTTTGAATGTACCAGCGATATTTAATACTTGGATTGATTCGTTCTCTTGGAATGCCATCATAAACTGTTCACTTTTTTTAAATCGGTTACCACTGATGTCTAGTGCTAAGATTGTTTTGTTGGTCTTTAATAGTTGACAAAATGATGGCATGTATTCTTCATCCAATGTACCATTGGCTAAAATTAGTGTTGTAATACTTTGATTATGACATAGGGCAGAGAAAAACAAAGGGGATATGATATTTGCCATATTTGATAAGCCTAAAACTTGAATAGTACTATTGGCACTCCAAATTGGGGAAAATGTAGATGCCAATCTTTCCAATGAAACCGATCGTTGTTTAATGGTTGATCGCATCCCCCATACTCTTTCAGACATTGGTCCATGTGGATTGTCCAACCAAAGATTTTTCAAAGTTGTATTGGTGGTTAGATTGGTACAAAAGTCATCCCAATCTTGTAAAATATCACCATACTCTGATTCACCTTGATTGATGCATGGTTGACATCCCAAATATTTAAAATCATCTTGTTTTTGTTTTTGTTGTTTTTGTTGTTGTGCAAATGCCTCTTCCATTGGACAAGTGATAATACCAACTTTGAGAGACTCAAATTTGAATGGATTGGTGACATAGGTTTTTAAATATTCCAGTTCGACATAGTCATATTGAATGTTGAGATGAAGAGTTGACAAGAGATGAGGGAATAAAATGGGATGGTCTGAATGATAAACTCCATCTTGATCACCATGATCCATATCAAGATTGACAACGCTTGGTTTTAGGTCTTCCAACATTTGATGAAACGTGTCTGGAACCGATCGACCATCTGCACAAAGACTAAAATCAAAGTATTTTTCATTGTTTGAGTGTGTTACCATCACGTTTGGTTCAATTCCATAAAAGTGTATATTATCAGGCCATTCTAATTCGAATTTATCGTCTGGATTATCAATAGATAGATCTAGGTCAGTTTGAATATGTGGAAACAAGTTGATGACTTGGACAATTTCTTGAATAGATTTTCTATTCAAGTTGTCTCCAATAATATAGATTGATTGTAGGTGTGGTAGTAAAAGAGGTAATCTTGAATAATCATAATGGTAGTCATCATTATAAATAGCCCATTTGAGACGCTCTACATTATTATCTGAAAAGAATGATGATTCTAGTATTTCACCTTGTACAGTTATACATGTTGCTCTTTGACGAGTTACTTTCATCCACCATTTCGATACTAATGCAATGTCTGCTAGTTGATAGTGCTCCATAAACTTGATATCTTCCTCAATCGGTGTTTTGGTGATCATTAGATGTGCTAGATCGTCAATTGATATATACTCGAACCCTTCTTTTAAAGAAGAAGAAGAAGATGTGAGTGTATTATCGTCACAGTGAATCAACTTTTCAATGATCATTGATTGAATGTATTCGGATAGTTGTACTACTGCACAACCATCTTCATTTAGTTTTGCATTCATATGTTATTCTTTTATAATTGATGTTATAGATATAAATATACCTAAATATATAAATAATTAAATATAATGATTGTAATAAACAAAAATAAATAAATAATGATTCTCCTCAATCTCGCAAACTCTTTGAAACCACCAACCAAGAAAAATGAAAAAAATAAATACTTTATTTAATTATTTTTGCGATCACTATTTATATCTATCTATCTATCTATCTATCTATCTATCTATCTATCTATCTATCTATCTATCTATCAATTTATATCCACCTTTATCAATATATTATATAAAACATTTAATCAATGATTTTGATTGACTAAAATATTGGTGTTGGTGTTGGTGTTGAGCTGCAAATGTTTTATCGATTACCAAATATTGAATAGAATCACTTTCTAATAATGAATCAAGGACATCTTGATTAAATTTGTTGCCAGAAATATTCAATACTTGAATTGATTTGTTTTGTTTGAATGCTTGATTCAACTCTGTACTTGGTGCCAAAAGATTTCCACTTATATCCAATGCTTTGATTGTTTGGTTGGTCAATAATAATTGGCACAGTGGTGGAATGAATTCTTGAAATAATGTTGTATTTGTTAACATTAAAGTTGTAATAGTGTGATTGAGTGATAGAGCCGAGAAGAATTGTGGTGACAAGATACTATTACCAATCCAAATTGGTGCAAATGTAGATGCATTCTTTTCAATGAAAGTGATGGATGTAGAATAGTTCCATCTCTCTTTTTAATATTAACTAGTACTCTATTCCACATTCCACCATGTGCACTATCCAAATATAATTGTTTCAGTGTTGTATTGTTTGTTAAATTAGTGCATAATTGATCCCAATCTTCCATGGTATCAGAACTCTCTCCAAAAATACCAAATCTACCTGGTTTACATCCCATATATCCTATGTTTCCTTCTTTGGCCTCTGACTTTTCCAATGAACATGTAAGTATTCTAACATTGAGTGATTGGATTTTAAATGGTTTGACAATAAAGTGGTTTAGATCCAACAATTCAATAAAGTCATTTTGAATGTTATTGTTGTAATAACTATATAGATACTTGGTAAATATATAATTAGTTTGAGAGGTATATAATAATATATAGATATATGAATATATAGATAGTAATAATGACTTTAGATTAGATTGTAAATGATTATTAATTTTAGTACTAAAAGATGAATATAGAATAAATAATATAGAATATAGAATGTCTCTTTATTGGATTATTCTAATCCTTTTTATAATTGTTGATCCAGACGATTTAGTTAATCCAAAAGAATGGAAGAATTGAAAATGAAATTAAGTGCAACACGTAGTATAAAACATTTAATCAATGATTTTGATTGATTAAAATATGGGTGATGCTGATAAAATCTTTGGTTTGATAATTGTTCATCAATCACTAAATATTGGATAGTGTCACTCTCCAATAATGAATCAAATATATCTTGATTAAATTTGTTATCAGCTATATTCAATACTTTAATCGATTTGTTTTGTTTCAATGCCTTGTTCAACTTGGTACTTGGTGCCAAATGATTACCACTTATATCCAATGATTTGATTGTCTGATTGGTCAATAATAATTGACAAAATGATGGAATGTATTCTTGATCCAATGTACCATTGATCAACATTAGCGTTGTAATACTTTGATTATGGCATAGAGTTGAGAAGAATAGAGGCGATATGATATGTGGAAGTTTTGATAATGAAACAAGTCCAATACTATTATTTTTTTTCCAAATCGATTCAAATGATGATGCTAATCTTTCAAATTGTTTTTTTTTTTGTTGTTGTTGTTGTTCATTATTGGTTTGATTCACCACTCTGGATCCATGAAAATCTTCCAACCAAAGTCTTTTCAAAGTTCTAGTGTTGGTGAGATTGATACATAGTTGATCCCAATCTTCTATAGTATCTCTGACGATGGATGGAGGAGACCCAGTGTCACAAGTACAAGTTTGTGTATTTTTTCTTTGAAACCCAGGCACCAGTTCCCTCTCCAATAGACATGTAACAATACCAGTTTTAATTGATTCAATTTGAAATGGATCTTTGAAAAAGTATTTTAGATGTGCCAATTCAATAAAATCTAAAATAATGTTAATGTGACGAGTTGTTATGAGGCGTCGGAATAAAGGTGGGAGAGTGGGTAATGCTGGCCTTCTAACATGTATTGGTGATATATTAAACGGTTGTTTACAAGTAGTGCAGTAAAATTGTGTCTGGTCGGCTTGATTCCATGAAACTAGACGATCACAACTTGGACAGATTGGTTCTGTATACTGTGGTATTTGTTGTATAATGGTGTGGTGAATAGTGTGACTATCGAGTCTCAAATTGAGGTAGGTTGGTTCAAGATGGATCAATCGTTTAAAATGACCATTCTCAGGACCAATGTATCTGTTTGTAAATGATATAATCGGTTTGAGTGGTAATCCATCAAAGTTTATGTTTTCGGGCCAAGTAACATTTGATTGAGAGTAAATGGTCATGTGTAGTATGACTTGAATGTGTGGGAATAGGTTGATAACTTTTACAATGTCTTGAATTGCTTCCTTGCTCGCATCAACTCCTTTAATATAGATTGTTTTGAGGTTTGGTAGAAAAAGAGGTAATATTGAATAGTCAAACATTCCATATCTTTCTTGTTGGTTGTTATTAACAAAGTAATTCACTTGTTGGTAAGCAACCTTCCATTTCAGAGAATCTACATTATTATTATCTGATGATGAAAAGCGAGATTCTTTCATCGGACCAGTAATCTTTAAACTTTTAGATGTTGTTTGACAAACTACCTCCATCCACCATTTCGATACCAATGCAATATTACATACCTGTTTGAATGTAACATAGGTGTTTTCTTTCTTTCTAGGTCTCTTGTTAATCATTAAATGTGATGCTTGTTGTGTTGTTAATATCTTGAACCCATTACAATGATCATTATCTTTGAAATCATGATCATATATGACAGCTCCAATGATCATTGCTTGTGTGTATCTTGATAATACACAAACGTTAACTGTGTCATCATCATCGACTATAGTATGATACATGATGTTTTTCTTTTCGCTTGTTGGTTCTCTTTGATTGTACTCTATATTTGACATGCTGCGGATTTTTGCTATTTCTGTGCAACTAAGGGTTTTGGTGTCGGAAAAGATTTCTAGTAAATTTAGGGGTCAATGACCAGGTCAGCATATCCATGCTCTTTATGAGTAGAATTAATTAAAAACTTCTCAGCAGCAGTCGTCGGCCCCTTTTGAAGTGGAGAGATTTGATTGTTTGGTTGGTCAATATTAATTTAGATAGTAATCGAATGAATTCTTGTTTGATTGAATGTTGTAGTTGTTGATGTTGTAGTATCGTCAATTAAATTGACTCATATATAGATAGTTGTGGTTGGTGCTTAGATATATGATGAATAAAATAGATCGCAATGAGGTTCATTAAAAAGAGCGATCTATCCTTGAGTGGTAAAAAAAAAAAAAGGATAAAAAGAAAAGAAGACATATTTCTATCCTTTATTGTTTTGTTTTGTATTATTATTATTTATTTGTGGGAATTGTAAAACATTGAATCAATGATTTTGATTGTTTAAAGTATCGGTGTTTATGATTATGTTGTGCCATTGTTTGGTCAATTAATAAATATTGAATACTGTCACTCTCTAATAATGCATCAAGCAAATCTAAATGAAATAGATTCTTTGCAATATTTAATACTCGAATTGATTTGTTTTGTTTGAATGCCTGTTCCAACTCGTCAATCAATTTTAAATAGTTCCAACTGATATCTAGTTCTTTGATTGTTTGGTTGGTCATTATCAATTTAGATAGTGGAGTAATGTATTCTTGAAGTAATGTACCTTCAGTCAACATCAAAGTTGTGATACTTTGATTATGTTGACTCAAAGTGTCAAAGAATTGTGGTGATATAATATTTGGAAGAAATGATAGTCCTAGAACGTTCATGGTGTTGTTTGTTTTCCAAATTGGTGTAAAGGAGGATGATAATCTTTCCACGCATGCAATAGATTCTTCTTGACTATTATCAAAACTTTCAGTACTTCTAGGGTGTTCGTGAAATGGTTCTTCCAAACAAAGTGTCGTCAAAGTTGTATTGTTTGTTAGATTGATACAAAATTCATCCCAATCTTCCAAAGTATCTCCCATGAATATGTCTCTACAATGACACGTGTCGTCATTTCCATTATTTTGATAAATTTCAGTCTCTAATGGACATGTGATGATACAAGTCTTGAGCGATTGAAAATTAAATGATGCATCTCGAGATACTAATAATTTTAAATGTTCCAATTCAATATAATCATTTTTAATGTTGATGTGTCTAGTTGCTGTCGTATTTAAATGTTCAAATAAATCTTCATAATCAAAATGACCATCTCCACCAAAATATTGGTCACTTGCAAGAGACATATTGATTGTATTTGGTCGAAGAAATTCAATCATTTGATACATATAATTGTGTTCCATAGATAAATCATTCTCATAACCATTAATGATTGTAAAGTCTACTATTGGTTTAAGTGGTCCATCAAAAGAGATATTTCGAGGCCATTCAACCTGTATTGCTTGACTATTATAATTAGATGTGATCTTTAAGTTGGTTTGAATGTGTGGGAATGTATTGATGAGTCGTACAATATCTAGTATTGCTTTATTTTCCAAATCTTTACCGATGATATCGATTGTCTTTAGTTGTGGGAGTAAAAGAGGTAGTTTTGCAAAATCAATCTTTGATCTCTTGTACTTTGGTTCATATATATCGGGTTCACACACTAAATTCCATTTTAGATGTTCTATCGCTGTAGTATCAAGTCCACTAAATTTTGATTCTTTCAACTTGGTAATCACCAAGTTTGATGATGTTATTTGTTGTACTACTTTCAACCACCATTTCGATACTAAAGCATAGCTGATCATCTGTTTGAATGTAGCATCGTTGTTTTGTTTCTTTTTAGGTTGTTTGTTGATCATTAGATATGATTCTTTGTTTGATGATATGTACTTGAATCCATTACAATATTTAGAATCATAATCGCGAATCACCATATCAATGATAATAGATTGAATATATTTTGATAGTTGTACGACATAACATCTATCATCTATTTGATTATCTTTAGTTGTAGTAGTAGTAGTAGTAGTAGTCTTTGTTGTAGTAGTTGTAGTACTAGTAGTCATTTGTATTTGTATTTATAATAATATGATTCATTCAAAAAAGCATGCTTTGAGAAAAAAAAAAAAAAGGAAAAATTATAATTTGATTATTATTTTAAGGTGTGGTTGATTAATCCAAAATAATGGAATGATTAAAATACAAATTCATCAATTTATCTTCTGTACTATCAAATATAAAACAATTGATCAATGATTTTGATTGACAAAAATATTGGGGTCAATATTTTTGTTATTATTTTATTGGGGTTATTTGATATTTCTTTTCCAATCCAAATTGATCAATCAACATGTATTGGATAGTGACACTCTCCAAAAATGAATCAAATATATCCGATTCGAATCGAGTATATGATATATCCAAAATTCGAATGGATTTGTTTTGCGCGAATGCTTGATTCAACTCGGTACTAGAGTCAAAATCGTTATCACTTGTATCCAATGATTTAATTGTTTGGTTGGTTATTAATAATTGACAAAATGATGGAACGTAGTCTCGGAACAAGGTATGATTGTTCAGAATCAAAGTTGTAATGCTTTGATTGGAGGATAGAGCCGAGAAGAATTGTGGCGAAATGATAGTCGGATGATATGATAGGCCAAGAACTTGAATGGTTTTGTTTGATTTTCAAATCGATGTAAACGAGGATGCCATTCTTTGAAATTGATTCTCTTCCTGATAGAGAAGGAAATCCATGTGGATCATTCAACCATAATCTTTTCAAAGTTGTATTGTTTGTTAACAAACACATTGATGCATAGTTGATCCCAATCTTCCAATGTCTTGTCGTTCGGCACCACCTAAATTCATCAAATCAGAACAACTTCCACAACCCACAACCTCATACTCCTCATCCTTGTACAATGTGCATGTGACGAAACCAACTTTGAGAGATTCAATATGATTGAATGCGCTGCAATTGGTGAAGAGTTGTTTTAGCTTTTGCAATTCGATAAAGTCATATCCAATGTTGAGGTGACTATTATTGGAGAGATATTTGAATATGGTATGATATTCGAAATGGGTTTTTCGCTCCACCACTTGCATATTGTGATTGTCATCGCTCAAACATAGATTAATATATTTTAAATTTTTAAAGTGCCCAAGGTCATTAAACAATGGATTCAAACGGATGAGAAATTCTGACTTATCATAGGCATCAACAAGAACGTCCAAACTTGAATAGATTTAATGTACCTACCATCTGTCAATATCAAAGTTGTAATACTTTGATTGAAAGACATAGAGTTGAACACTATTATTTTCTTGCCAAATTGGTGCAAATGATGAAACTATTCTCCCGCCGATATATATACATCATCCATTTCGATACCAATGCAATGTTGCTGAGTTGTTTAAATTGAACAAAGTTGTCATGTTTCTCTTTAGGTGCACATGTTTGATGTACTTCTTCTGATGAAAGCGACCCATCACCCGTCGTCTGTACCCATTTTTCAACCTCAAAACACGCACTTTGTTCTTTTTTTTTTTTGCTCACTTGTTCCTTATTTTTTTGTGCGCTTGTATATCTCTGTGATGGTTCAGTGATCATTATTCTCTTTATTAATAGAGTATAATAATTATATATAGTTATACAATACTACTACTACTACTATAGTTATTTATCATCCTTAGAAGCAATTAAAAGACAGATGATGCAATGAGAAGGAGTAGTGATCCCAAAACCAGATCTTATCACGATCTTTATGTTTAATTAATTAATATCTAAAAAGGTAGGTATGATCATCTCATCCCCATCCCCCCATTAACCTAATTACAAGCAACACGCGACACGACACACAACTCCCCAACAACATCAAATTACTACTTTGCAAAGGTGTCTGCTCTGTAGTAGTAGTAGTTTTGAAATGAATCGTCGATCGGTTATTATTTAATATTAGTCGATTTGCGCAATTCTTCTTCTACTTCTACTTTTAGACATCCTATACGTTTTGTGTTTGTAAATATCTTTGTTGTTGTTGTTGTTACTCTCCTCTTGATATGAAAAGAATCTAATCTAATATTCTCATCCTCATGTCCTCCTTCTCTCATACTATACCATTACAAAAATTAATAATAGATTTGCAGTGCTGTATGTCGCAATTGGTTTGATATTGTGTGCTTTAAACTAGAGGGGAAAATGGAGCAAGAAAATAAGAGTTTCCCATGTAACTGCAATTCTCGAATGTTTGCAGACTATTAATCGACACGCACAAAGGCAAAGATAAGATGGATACCAAGCTCATGTCGTGAAGAACCCAATGTTACGGTTTGGCAAATCATTGCGCTTAGGGTTAGGTTTGGTAGTAGTATTATTTTCCCCAGCTCAACCGACTAGAGTTGTCACTTTTAGCTCAGCGGTCGATCAAAACGCGTTTGAGCAAAGAGATCCCAGTCCCTGTCGACAGTATCTAGATCGTTGTGTCGGGGTGTCTTTAGCACAAAAAATCAAAAAAAATCGAGGGACTCTGCTGACAGCATATCTAGATTTTTAGGCCAGATCTACGATTGCGTACGGCAACAACAGCAGTGTCCTTCGACTGTCCCTTTTATGATGTCTCCAACCATAGCTACAGTCTCTCTTCAATCGGCAAAGGGTTAAGAAAGAAAATAGACAAAACAAATTAATCAACTCTCACCGCTCCATCGCCCATGGGGCTACCCGACGCAGTAGGGCCACATCCCCTCCTCCTCTATTTTATTAATATCGCTACACTGTCTTTGCGCAATTGTTGATTCGCAAGATTTGATGGTTTTGTGAAGAGGAGAGAGAGGAGAGAGGAATCGAATAGAGATCGTCTATTTAAACAACTGGTTCAACAATCAAGCTAGATTTTCAATTGCTATTCTTTTCATCACACACATAACAATTTTTGTATTACTATTATCTCTATTTGTATCACTATATTTTTTTTTTTCAATATTCTTTCATTACACACAGACCAACAGTATATCTAAATCTAGATATTTAATTATATAATCTATTTTTTTCTTTATATAATTTTTTTCTTTATATATCTTTTTGTTTGTGTTATTATTGAATATTGCAAATCAACAAATTGATGATCATCATGTCATCTTTTAAAACTGTGCTTTTACTCTTGTCGACAATAGTACTGGGTTCAGTATTATTGTCGTCATCATTGGTATCTGCTCAATGTGCAAGCCCATACACATGGGACTCTGGCGAAGCCGCCAACAACCACACCTATTGTGCAATTGGTGTCGGAAGTATATATTCTTGGTATGAAGCCTTAAACTATCTTGCTGCACTTCCAAAGTATTTTGGAAAACAACCGTATGTATACATTTAAAAATTTATCTATATATATTTTAATTAAAAACATTACATTTTATTAATTTGATTTGATTACTATTTATGTATTTATTTATTTTTAGATATTTGGCAACTGTTACATCTGAAGAAGAATTGAAATTTTTAACATCTAAATTCCCTAGTTTGGTAAACTGCTATGTCGGTGTTGACAGAGATATATTTAATCAACTCCGTTACAGTTCTGGTCCAGAAAGAGGTGAAGTCATGTATGACTATCCAACGTAAGTACAACAATTCCTATACAAGAATATTATATAAATATTTCTTTTTCTTTACACAAATATTTCTTTTTCTTTATTTTCTTTTTAGAGGAGTAAATCAAATGTATAATAATTTCCAAGCTCATATTCCAGGAGGAGATCCAAATCAAAAGGTAGCATTCTTTTTCACAAGTAATAACTTTTTCATGGGTCTTCCACCCTACTCGTCCACTTCCAATTGTTATTTGCTCGAGTATAGTGAAGCTACCGATCCGTACGTTGCACCAATGCCCTCTGAAGGTGGTGATGTGACCATCAAGTTTTTGGACAACTTTGTCGTCGAAGATGTCAATATCATTGTCAATCCATTTGGAGGTGCCCCAGTATCTTGTGAAATCGTTTCTCGTGACCCACAATACAAGACACTTGTCTTTAAGATGCCAGCCATGACTGGCATTGGAGTAAACTTTATCTTGGTTGACGATGGTTTCACCACATTCAACATCACCTATTGGAAATACAAAGCTCCAGCCATTCAATCGGTCTACCCCACTCGTAAAGGCAACGGTGAATTGATTACCATCGTCGGTAACAACTTTGGTGCCGACAAGACTGCCATCTCGGTCACCACTGGCTACCTCTATCATCCATGTCTCTACATTGATATTGTCGAACCCCATTACGCCATCTCTTGTCAAACCAATCATCCAGTCACCTCTTCAACCAATCTTTTCCCTCTAACCATTAGAGTTGGTCAATCTTCTAATATTACTAGTTATAGAGCTGCTTTTTGTAAGTAATCAAAATATATATATAATTATTTAATTAATTATTAATTTATTTCTTTTTTTATGTTCCTTTTTAGATGATGATGAAAATGTAAAGATGATTAGATTAAATTATTATGCAATGAGTGCTGTTATTATTAATAATTCAGTGACTGCACAAAAAGAGGTATTGTTTGAAGGACATACACCATACATGGGATTGTATGAAACAAAGTTACAATATGATTTGATTCGATCTACTTGGGCATGGCAAAGTTTCCCATCGGCTACTTTTATGGCTGGTGGTATTGGTAACCAGACAAGCTTTATTATTCGTAATGGTGGTGGTCCAAGAGACGGAGAACGTGTGACCAACGGAACCACTTGTTTGACTGGTATCTATTGTCCGATGGGTACGTTTGACGGTACGCTTATTGCCAACTACAACACGATGCTTGGTAGATTGTCGTATCAAGCATTTAGTTCAGCCGGTGAGTTGGTCTATTACGGTGACACACCATACATTGAACCACAAGAACTGACCATTGACGCTGCCGGAGGATTGATCATTGTTCCACTCGCTCGCGGTACCGTCGGTTTCAAGTATACCAAACGTTCCTATGCTATCGATGGTATGACCACCTCATACCCCATCAAGGTGTTGAATAACCGTACTTTGGGTTTGACCATTCCAGCAGGCATCTCTTTGAGTTTTAATCTCAGTATTACTATTGAAAAGTACGTATTCTCTGGTTTGCGTGTCAATTACACTACTCCATCGGTACTATCGATCCCACCGGTTAGTACAATGGGTGGTTTCGTGACAGTCTATGGTTATGCTTTTGGTAATGATGAAAAGAAGATTTCAATCACTATCGATGCTGTCCCATGTCCCAATGTCGTCCTATTGGCCAATGAAACGATTCTGTCGTGTCTTGCACCACCAGGTGTCGGCGCCAACAAGACCATGCTCATCACTATTGACAATGTCGTCCAAAACGTCTCCTTTTCCTACAAGTCTCCTGCAGCCACCGAGGTCGTCCAAAATGGTACCTCTATCGCCATCTATGGTAGTAACTTTGGTAATGCTCTGACTACACCACAGGTATTTGTTCCATACCCCGTCGCAGTCAACTTTACCTACGACACACTCGTCCAATCACTCAATGCAACCGTGCCAGTCTATGCCCAAAACGGAAAGATCTTTATTCAGGCGGGTAACCAGATGGGATCGATCAACTATGTCTACCGTCCACAATTTGCGACGATCACTCCCATCACATCGACTGAGGGTAACACTGTAACGATTAGTGGTATGTTTTTGACTCAGTACCGTACCGACGGTATGCAAACCAACTTTAGAGTGGTCATTGGTGGTCGTACTTGTGCTCAACCAGAATTTTCGTACAATGTCAATGGCACCTATGTTACTTGTACAGCTCCAGCTGGTTCAGGTCTCGCCAACGATGCCTACATTACAGTCGACGGCCAAACATCCAACTACCAATCGATCAACTATCCAGCACCATCCATCTCCTCGTTTACACAAAACGGTCAAATCCTCACTATTTACGGTGCCAACTTTGGACCAGATCTAGATCGTATCAAGTTGAATCTAAATGGCAATCCATTGGCTTGTCAATCCGTCGCCACTAAACCATCGAGATTAATCTGTTCGATTCCATCAATCACCAAGAATGGAAATATATCGGTGACTGTGCAAGGACAAACATCCAATGTTGTCGAATTGACCTTGTTGCCATCGATCATTCGTGTCACCTCGCAAACCATCTATGGTGGTCTGATCACATTCACAGGTACCTTTTTCAATATTTTAAATTGGCAAGGAAACCAAACCAACTTGGATATTACGATTGGCGGCGCACCATGTACATCGCCACAGGTAACCTACTCGAATACCTATATCACGTGTAATGTCGCTGCCGGCACCGGTATCAAGCCACTCAACTTTACACTCGGTCCCAATACCATCATGACCACATTCCAATACATTGCACCCAGACTCCAAGTATACGAATGGAAGAACAACCAAATCACATTGAATGGTACCAACATTGGTACTGATATGGACAAGATTAGTATCTATATCTATCAAGATATACCAGGTAATGTAGCCACACTCATCCCATTCAATGCTACCGGGGACATGTACTATCAGTCGATCATCGCCGACACACCAGTCGATATGCTCAACGGTGTCATTTACATCTCTGTCGATAACCTCGCTTCCAACCAACTCTATGTTCGTCTCATTCCACAAATTGATTCTGTCGTAGGCGTGTTCCCAACCGCCGGTGCTACCACCATCACAATCTACGGTGACCACTTTAACAACAAGAATGGTGCTGGTGCATTTGTCCAAAACTACATCCTCATCGGTGAAACGTTCTGTAACAATGTTGTCTTTTACAACCGTACCTGCATGACCTGTGTAGCCGGTATTGGATCAGGTCTCAATAAACGTGGGTTCGCCATGATTGATTCGACCGTCTCCAACAACTTTTACGTAAACTATACAGCTGCCAACGTCACCAAGATTGTCCAAACCAACATGCTACTCGAATTGACCGGTACCAATTTTGGTAACAAACCATATCTCAATGTTTTAGCCTTTGGTCCACTCGTAAACTCTACCGCATCCTACACTACACAAGTATTGTCACGTGTGACAGTCTCTCCATTTAGCCAAAATGGTAACATCTCGTTTATTGTCGATGGTCAATCATCTAACCTATTCCCATGGAAGTTTACTCCCATCATCACGTCTGTTTCATCGGTCGATTATGCCGGTGGTAATATCACTGTCATGGGTTACTTTTTCAACGGTACTACCGTCGATGGTAACTCGACCAGCCCCAAGATCTACATCGGTACAAAGGGTCAATGCGCCAATCTCACCTACCTCGCCAACGACGTCGTCAACAATGCCGCTGTCATTGTGTGTTCAGCTCCTCCAGGTTCGGCCGCCGATATCGATATTCCATTCAACGTCGAGATTGACGGTGTCAACGGTACCACCAAGTTCACCTATGGTGCTCCACAACTCAACAGCTACACCATCACACAAAACAACCAAATCACACTCAAGGGATACCAGTTTGGTGTCGACCCAGCCAAGGTTCAAGTCTACTTTGGCACTGTGTTGATGGCCATCCAGTCCATCACCGATTCCGAGATTACCTTTACTGCAACGGCCGCTCTCTACAATGAGAATGTGTATGTTAGATCGGTGACCAACGCCAAGACGACCAACCCACTCTTTGTGACGTTGTACCCCGTTATTCGAACTTCCACCGCCGCACCAACCACTGGAGGTAGATCAACGATCACTGGTAGTTGGTTGAACCAACGTTCTGGAAACTACTCGACCTCTATTCGTGTTTGGGTCAATGGTTCGAGTGGAAGTGTAAACTCGATCGTCCAAACCAACAACCTTCAATTCCTCATCAATGCACCTGCAGGTACCGGTCTCAACAAGAATCTTACCGTCTCTTTTGATGGTATGTCTTCAAGTTTGTTGACATTCTCGTATCTCCCACCAACCATCTTCAACACCATCCAGTCTGGTACGACACTTACATTCAATGGTACAAACTATGGTCGTGATCTTGCCAATGTCTACACTACCCCATTCACTGCATTGTCTGGTGTATCTGACCTCCTCCTCTCGGTGACTCTTGCCAAAGACACCAAGAGTGGTATGTACAACGTCCAAGTCGACGGTCAAACATCGGCCAACTACATGGTCTACTTGACTCCAATCATCTCACAGGTTATCCCAGCTCCAACAACCGGTCCATCTGATATTACCATCAAGGGTACCTTCCTCAACCAGTTCCGTGTCGACGGTAGTCTTACCAACGCCTCTGTCTGGTTGAACAATGTGTCTTGTCCCATCACCTCGTTTGTTTCAAACACTTTGATTACCGCTACTGTCCCACTCGGTCTCTACCGTAAGGGTAACCTCACAGTTGCTATCGACGGCAAGGTCGCCATCACCAAATACGACTCTCTCGGCCCTGAAGTCTACACTGTCACCAACCCACCCATCTACCAAGTCGCACAAGTCGTGACAATTACCGGCAAGAACTTCTTTGACCCGCTCGTCGTCTATATTGGAGACAGCGAGTGTACCGTCGCCATAGCCATCACTGAAAACTCACTCTACTGCTCGTTTGACAGTACCGTCCAACCTACCCTCGCACTCATCCCAGTCTCTGTCATCTCGACCGGTCTCATTGGCACTGCCAATATCTTTAGCTACGCCGATCTCACTTGTCAAAACAACTGTAATGGTCACGGTACCTGTCTCAATGGTATCTGTAGCTGTGACGTTGGATTTGGTGGTGCACTCTGTCACACTGCCGTCAACCTTACCGTCCCAGTCCCCAGCACCTCAGAGTTTGGTGGGTCTGTCACAACCGATCAAACCACCTACAATGTCGGCGTCCAATTCATCCGTGAGATTGATGCCTTTGGTGTCACTGTCAAGGTGTATGAAGCATCCAAGATGTACTGGATCCTCGCTGGCAAGGCTGAATACGACACTTATACAGTCAACACTTACACTGCATCGTTTGCAAGTAGTGGAGAGCAAGCCAAGATCACCATCAAAACCTACGAGTTTGAGTATGGTGCACTCTTTGAGTTTGGCGGTGAAAAGTTGCCCGAATCATCTCACTCGTTCAAACATCAAGTTGCCATTGACCACTATGGCTTTGTAACCACCGGAAACTCGCTTCAAGTCATCTATAGCGCATCGACCCCCACAACCTATGCCGATGGATGTGCATCTGCCCAAACTGCCTACACTCTCTTTTACAGTAGTCAAACTGGATCTGTGTTGGCCTATGACTTTGAAACCAAGTACTCTGTATTTACCGCTCGTTTCAGTACTAGAATCTTGGTTGATTACTCGGTTCAAACCATCGAGATTAATCCACTTGCCAAATCCGATCCACTATGGTCCACTCAAAACGGTCTCCTTGAATCAAAGATTGTCATCAATGTTCCATCATTCTCTTACAATGTAGAGTTTGATCCAAACTTTAGTGCCTATGTCAAGGGTATTAATCCAACTTGTGTTAATCCAACTACTACTAGTGTAACAACTGTCACTCCAACTACTGTCACCCCAACAACTGTTACTCCAACAACTAGTACCCCAACAACAGTCGATCCAACCACATCTCAGACAACTCAAACTGCTACACCAACCACCTCGACTCCAACAACCTCTACTCCAACCTCTGCCACTACTGCATCATCTGATCCAACTACTAGTAATCCAACTACTGCTACACCCACTACTAGCAACCCAACCACTAGTAACCCAACTACCGGTCAAACTAGTATTGCGACAACTGTAGCACCTTCAAGCTCTACCAATCCATCGTCGACTGGTCCCATTGTCACTTGTCCAGGTACTCCAGTTTGTTCTGGACGTGGTACTTGTGTCGGTCAACTCGGTGTCTACCATTGTGTCTGTCAAGGTAACTGGCAAGGATCAGACTGCTCAGCCGAGCCAGGCAAGATTCCTCCACCAACCGACCCAAGCACTGACAATCCAAACACCAACCAAACCGACACAGAGTCTGGTGTCAAACTCGATATCAATGTCATCTCGATTCGTGAAGTCGACTTTATGGATCAAATCATTGGAGAATACAAGTTTGGTAAGAATTGGACATTCAACGAGACCAAGACCGACCAACAACTCATCTACCTCTATCAAACCGATGTTGTTCGTGAAGGCAAGATCACCACTCATATCAATGTAACCGTTCAATACTTTTACTATGAGACCAACATTACCTTTGCCGGTCAAACCAGTACAATGTCACCTGGTTCGATAAAGTACTCTGTTTCACTGTCCAAATTTGATTTTGAAAGTGGAAACAATGGTCTTCAAGTATTGTTCTCTTCTGTTGCCTCTGCATCCACATCTTCAGACGACGCATGTTCACTCAAACAATTCGAGTATGGTGATAACTCTAAAGATCTAACTGCCATCTCACTCCAAATCAACGGTAGAACACTCTATGGTAAATTCACAAAGTTTGCCTTGGCCGATGGAAAGATTGTACGTTCCACCAATGAAGTCATCTCAAAGGATCAACCAACCGACTCTAACTCTATCGTTCAAGCTGTTGTCGCTATTGGCGTCGGTAACTATGGTACCTCTGCAGTCATTGACCCAGACTTCCATCTCTTGATCAGCTCTGACGCCTCTGAAAAGGAGGGATCAAATTGCTCTGGCTCATCCTCTAAACTCTCAAATGGTGCCCTTGCAGGTATCGTTGTTGGTTCAGTTGCTGGTGCTGCTGTTCTCGTAGCTGCTGGAATCTCTGCCAAGAAATGGAGACAACTTAAAAAGGATCAAAGTATTACCGATTCAAAATTAAAGAGAATGAATGCTTATTAAAAAATAATATTAAAAAAAAAACAAAACCAATAAACCAAATATCTTTTAATCAAAAATATAGAGTTCCTGGTGTTCATTGAAAATAATAAACTGGCACCTATCTTATATAACCAAGCGACTTGTCTCTTTGGGGTCTGTTAGAATGGACCACAAGTGTGTAATACTTGGAAAATTGAGAAGGACCTCTTTGTTACTGTTGTGTAAAGGTTTGATGTATATATGATAGAATTGAATCAAATCTGCAAAACATGATGCAACATTGTCTGTCGAGTCTGTTGGTACTATGAGCCATTGCTTAGAGTCAATCACCATTGCAAGATCTATTGGTTTCTTGATTATTAGTTGACAGGAGGTATTCCAAGATTAATCTACTATGCATTGGAGTATGTAAAGGATCATCATAAAATTGATCAACATCGATGATTTACCAGAGATATAGACTGGGTTTCCACAAGCTATGAGCTGTTTGAAAACCTTGTCCCACTTTTGATAGACTATCAAAGCAGTGGTATTGGATTGTTGGCGTAATCGAAGTGGTAGACAACCTCTAACTCGTCGAAATGAAAGAAGAATCTATTGCATTCTGCAGATTGACAAACCTGTTTGAAAGGAGTGGACTTGGTGATTGTTGTGTTTGGTGAGAATAATAAGATTGCCTCAACAATAGACATTTGAAAAGAGATTACCCATGACTCTGCCGAGTAGTTATCTTTGGTCATTTCAAAGTTCCTGCCATCGATTAGAATATATTCCAAATTTTTTAATGTGTTTAAGACAGTGCGATTCATTTGTTTCATGGATGAGAGAAAGTTTCCTCCTAGATAAGTCTTTCCGCTTCCCCACATTTGACATGTCATCATTGCTGGGAGTACGTGATTACTTTGGACCAATTTGGTCTCAACATAGTATTTTCTCAATCCCAACACTCTTTCACTAATTTCTATCATCTTGGAAGGTCTTCCTCTTCCATTTGTTTGGATGGTGAATAAATTATGAGTTTATCTATAAATATACAAAAAGAAAAGAAAACAAAACAAAACAGAGAACATTATCAAGAGTTGAACAACAAACAAAATAAATAGTTGAAGATTAAATGGATATACATCAATAAAAAGATAAATCCATTCAGTTTTATTTAGATTTCATACTCTGACAAAAGACTAAAATTCGAGAGAAATGTGGGGTTGGTGATGTGAGTGATTAACTGTTTGTCAAAGTTGACAGCGTTTGGGGAGAATTCTCTTGTTGTGATCCAAAGAAATTGTTCATGGGCAATAGTCAAGCTTTTGTAAAGATTACTACGGACTTTGGATGCCTTCCAGTCGTTTGTGTGACTATTTGCGACTGTTGCCTGGCAACATGTAAGAGTTTGGCTCTTGGTATCCCAAAAGAACCAATCGACTGCTTTAAAGTTTGGCATGATTGGCACCAACAATGAGCTTGTGGACCAATCCGCTCCTTCGAATTGATTGTTGGTGATGTATTGGGTTTTCATGTATCTAAAAATCATTGTTTTCCTATTGATGTATTCTGTTTCGATATCGTTGAAATCGCCTGGAAGTAGATTCTTTTTACATTTCATCCATCTCCCATTTGATGTCCTTGTTGACCAAAGTCTCCAAAATTTCAATGATGTATTTTTCTAATGCAAGTCCTCTAACGACGTTTGAGAATTTGACTGTCTTGTTAAAGATTTCACGATATATTTTGGTGGAGACGATCCTGTACAATTCGTTGCCAGGTATCGATTTCTGAATACAGTCTGAACCAATGGAATGATAGGAACAATTTGAGAATCTGATTTCCTTATGTACATTAACTGTTGATTGATGGTGATTGAGTGCTGTGCAGTAGCAGGAGCGCCAATGTCCATCAAGAAGATCGCACGCTTGTAATCAGTCTCTTGCACCGTGAACTTGACAAACTCCTTGAGGAAGTAGTCGTCTTGATCTGTAATCATTCTAGCTCGTTGATTTTTATACATTGACAACACTTGAGAAACATCAAGAGGTTTGTGCTCATTGGCAATCTTCCAAATTTCATTTACTTCTATTCTGCATTATGTATTAATTAATATTAGGGTTAGATAAACTATGGTCGAGTTTTACGTACTTGATACAAACAGTATATTATTTGTCAGGTATTTGATTTCTTCGAGATGGTCTTCTGTCAACTTGTCAGAGAATTGTTTCTTGGATTCGATTTCCCTCCAAGTTTTGAACTCAGTGTCGTTGAAGCCAACGACAAACTGAAAGATTGGCCACTGTCCGTCCTTGGCCACCTTAAGATAGTACTCGTTGTTCGATGATCCAGAGACAACGGTGAGATGTTGGTGCCAGTGCTCGCTGACCACCAGATATCGCTCGGGCATGGAGTAAGGGAAAGTAGTTCTGTCCTGATCGGACAGTCCGTTGTGTTGGTCAAAGAATGTGTATATGTGAAGATTTTTGTTGTTGCAGTGCATGGCCACATTTTTCAAGAATTCAGTGAATGACTCCTCAGTATTTAATATCTTGAATCTCTTGAGGTATTGGTCGATGAAATCGTCGTTTGAGATGGAGAATGCAAAGATGATTGCTTCGAGAAAGAACTCGTATCCATTACCAGATCCTGCCCATCCTCCGCAGTCGGGAATGTAAACGACGCGATTGTCTTTCTCCAGACGAAGTTTCATCACGATATGAAACAAGGAGTGCGGCTTTCCAACTCCTTGAGGACCTTGAACATAGACACCTCGAACTTTTCCAACTTTATCCACAATGAATTCCTCCAACTCTTTTGTCGTCGTGCGATTGACCAACTGAACCAAATCGTCATTATATTCAAATCGTGATCTATCAGACGATCTTGCAAATGGATCATATGGAAGTTTAATGACACTTGACCCAAAATTAGCTTTTTTCAGCCCAAGTTGAACATCATTTGATTCTCTCCCTCTCTTGAGATTGATATTAATATGCTCTAAAAGAAAAGAAAAGAAAAGAAAAGAAAGAAAAGAAAAGAAAAGAAAAGAAAAGAAAAGAAAAAAAAAGAAAAGAAAAGAAAAGAAAAGAAAAGAAAAGAAAAGAAAAGAAAAGAAAAGAAAAAAAAAAAAAAAAAAAAAATTGATTAGTACATGAATGATTTGTCAAATAATTCTGTATAAATATCATAATTTATAAACCATAGTAGAATGTATACATACTGAGCTTTAACAGTAATCTAATAGAGCCTTGATACGTTTTTACTAAAGTATTTAGTTTGGTTGTGGAGTCAAGTGCAATACCTTCTACTCTGTTGTTGTCTCCTTGTAAAGAAAGCTGAAATAAATTGAAAGAATCTAATCCCTCATCTCTTAGTTTCTTAAAGTCATCTCTGGCTTTTCTCTTTATATCAGCAATGTATAAACCTTCCAACCTGATAGGGTCTGAAGCATCTTCAAATTCTACCCAAACCTCTTCCATTCTTTTCTTTCAGGTTGTTATAATAAAAAAGAACAATAAAAGAATAAAAGAAAGAATGTAAGTTCTTTTTTAATTAACACCCACATGTAAAATTAAAGAAGAGAAAAAAATAATTAAAATTAAATTAATTTCCACCAAACCGATCAAGAAGAATTAGAGATACCACATTTAATATGTATGATTACAATAATTATTGAATCAAATATTCACGTTTTAATCATTCTAAATTAAATTTTTACATCGATCAAGTGACGGTTTAGCCTATTTTTTTGAGAAAATGAAATGGTTGATCTTCAAGTGCTTTGTATAAAGAGATGATAATCAACTTTAATTTACATTATTAATTTAATCATCATTCAACAACAACAATGAATAATATAGAAATAGATAACCAACAACTAATTAATAATATACTACTTATGAACGAGGGTCCTCGTCCAGGACCAGAGGAGACACGATTGGTAGAGATGGCTCAAACTGCAACTTTGTTTGGTAAAGCATTAGAAGAAGAAGAAGAAGAAAAGAGAAAAAATAGTATTGCTCCTAATAATAATAATAATAATAATAATAATAATAATAATAATAATAATAATAATAATAATAATAATAATAGATATTTTCAATATTATTATGACCATATCTATAATGGCTTAACTAATGATGATGATCCTGAATTGCAAGAGGCCATTCGTTTATCATTATCATTGCAAATGGAAAAAGAGAAAGAAATAGATGTCCTTCCTCCTCCTCCTCCTCTTCCTCGCCCATCTCTTCCAATTAGAATGAGAATGGACAATCACACAACCCATGACGATCTAATTTGTCAAAAGTGCAAGAACCTTCCAACCAATGTTGTTGTCTGCCAATCCATGCACATTCAATGCCTGGAATGTGTTACATCTGAAAATAGAAAGTGTTCTATCAAAGGATGTGAATTCACAACTGTTGGAACCGAACTACAAGCTAATTTTGTTAAAAAAATGATTCAAGGTTTAATTGTAAGTATTAAATTTTTAAAAGAGAAGATAGGATGTTTACTATTTCTTTTTTTTTAATATTTATATTAGCTCTTTCTTTTTTTTTTTTTTTTTTGTTTAGATCTATTGTTCAAGTAACTTTAAATTTAACAATAACAATCATCAATGGGAAATTGATCTAAATGGATGTAAAAGATCATTCCCAACCATTGATATTATCGACCATGAAATTAGCTGCCAACATATTCCGATTGCTGTCCCACCAAAGTCTTGTGACACTTGCCAAAAATATTTGGTACAAGGCCAATCTAATCAATGTGATGATTGTTTTATAAAGAAAACAATTGGTGAATTAATGAATACCATTCCAAAAGATGAAGATGATATGGTAGTTGGAGAATAATCTAATCCAAAAGGATAGATGACCTGTATATAATAAATAAACTTTAACTAATAATAGTAATAATGTAAATATAGTTTAAACTATAGGTGTTGTTTGACTTTAACTTACTTTTATGTCAAAGGTATTGCTTGGAGTCTTGATTTGATCAGATTGTTCCTCCAAAACGATGCCATCTCTCTTGCTCATCCAAATAGATCGATGAATCTATTCAAAAGTAAGTGATTTTATAGATGATGATTTATTCACCTCCTTTCTGAATAGATTCATCGACCTAAAATTGAGAAGGTACTTGTTCTATAAACTATAACACTCGTTTTGCCTTTGGATATAATAGTGTAAAATTAGTAGTAATATAATACATTACCGTATAATATATATATATATATATAATAAGATTATGGTAAAAAATAAAGGAAGAGGAATCTTTTTAGTGAAGCGGGTTAGACCTTGAGCCTACTCTTTGCAAAGGGCATCAGCCTTGTCGTTTCCGAATCTATTTGCTTTGATCTGATCAGAGCCATCTTTTTGTTCTTTGTGTGTGATTTGATCTATTGGTGAATGTTGTTGTTGTTATATTGTTTGGTTTCCTTTTTCTTATTGTTTGAAGGAGATTTGTTGCAATTGGAAGGTATGAACAAAAGAAGGATAGAAAAAAAAAATTAAAAAAAAATGAAAAGGGTCCTTGGTCTGATATTTCAGAAAGCAGTACTATGTGATTGAGTTATACATTCGAAAGACGGACGGAGGACGATGGCAACGGGGAGAAGAGAAGCGATTAGACTATACAGAGATGTAATGAGAACATTGAGAGTATTCACTCATCCAAATGAACAGGGTATACCTTGGTATGATGTCTTTCTCAAATCACACCCATCATCATCATCATCATCATATGATCATTTAATCGCTAACAATAAACCTATATATTGTATTGTACACACATTCATCATCATTATTGATTACATAGGAATGTAGTATTAAAAGACAGCGTTAGAAAAGACTATGATTCACATAAATATGAAACTAATCCAGAGACATTGGTACAACTACTGATGGTTGGAAGAGATTGTTTAATGAAAATACAAGAAGGTGTATGTTGTTTATTATTATTATTATCATTGTCTATTGTTGATTGAGTAATGATGAATGAGATCTAATCATATTTCAATTCAATAATACATTCAATTCATTATAGGTTGTAACAGGAAAGGTATCAAAAGACCCAGATACTCCAAGTAGTAGTAGTAGTAATAATAACCCTTTTACTAAATTATAAATAATAATAATAATAATAATATAGAATATAGATAATAAATCACTAGACATATGTACAGTTTCTCTTTGTGTTTAGAGTTAGAAAAAAAGAATAATAGATAGATCGATCAATTGATCTATCTATTTGATTTGATTTACTTTGTTTAAGAAAAATATAAATTGTTATTATAGTAGTAAGTTTATTGCTTCAAGTCTTCCATATCCATTGGGGAGTCTACCTTTGGGGTGTTCTTATCAAAGGCAATGTTGACAACCAATTGACGACCTTCCATTTCGTGTTGGACGGCAATAGCTTGTTGAGCAGATTCGTTGGTTGAGTAGGTGACGAAACCGTAACCCTTTGAACGACGAGTAATACGATCCTATAGTTGGGTAATAAATTAAATTAGTATTTGTAAAGTCGTCTCTATATATGTAGAGTCTATAGTCAGAAGAGTAGTCGTAGGTTGGCAATGGTAATAGATATCGTATGCATGTGTGTTTTGAGACATATCGATCGGTTTTTAAAATTGAAATATCTATCATATCCACGCACACATTACATGTAATCTATACAAATATTACATTCTATGTTATATCTATTCTTGCCTGTCATATGATACTTTTACTGCTACCTATCGTTGCTACTATTCATTTTTAAGAAAAGGAAGAAGAAACATACTAATACGACGTAACCATCAGTAATGGAACCAAACTTGGAGAAGTGGTTTCTGAGGGCGACTATATAGTTAATTAATGAGGAGAATGAATGAATAATTTAGATTAATAAAAAGTTTGATCATTAAATATAATCAATATGTAGTGACTATATGTTTAAACATACTCTTGCAGACAGACCATGGGAGACGAGCAACGAAGATTCTGTTGTTGGACATTTTATATATTCTAGAGTGGGTAGAGGAGTGATACAAATACTAACTTTTAAATAATGCCAAACGAAACACCTTTGAGCCCTCCTAGCTCACTGTCGTTTTTTTTTTTTCAAACGAACTCTAGAGAAAAAAAATTAAAAAAAATGAAATTAATTTCACAAGCAAACGTCATTTGGCAGTTTACTGTAGGATCTGATATAATATATTTTAAATTTGTTTGAACCAATTAATTGATTGACTTTCAAGATTTATTATTACTATCATTCTGATATATTCTTTTTTAATTTGATTGACCATGTAATTTTTGAGCATCCAATTCCTTTTTTCTTTGTTTTTCTAGGTCTTCCAAATCGGAGAGTAGTTTTTGTTTTTGTGGTTTCTTGAGATGGTTGACAACATTGACTATACTAATCACCTGTTTGATAGTGTATTCTTCGTCACGTGCCAAATTATAGATATCAGTCTCTGGAAGGAAATAGGCTTTAATGTATTTGTCGACGGCTTGGTAGTGTGGAATAGGACGGATCGTGGTCAATTGTTCAAGTGTCGATTGCAGATTCTTTACATCCATTGTCATTTGAGTACGTCCATTATTATTACATTTTTTAATTCGAGAGAATGCTTCAATCAATGCTTCCATTGCAAAAGTGATGGTATTCTCCCACAATATATTTCGAACCTTTGGTGTAATCACTCCACTTCTCGTTGCAATCTCATCCAAATGACCTGCAAATCGATGGAATTCAATAAATATTTGTTTAACATATGGACTTGATTCTGTTTGAACATCTTTTGGTTCCCATTTAACACTTGATATCATTGAATAAATTTGTTCAAACTAGTAGAAAATTTAAAAATAATTATAAATTAGAATCAAATCAAAATCATCGTCGTCATCATTCATTTTCTTTTCTTTTCTTACATTTAAAATTTGTGATGCAATATTTTTATAACAAACACTTCTTAATGCACTAACAACACTAACAGTTTCTGAATAAAATAATGATATTGCTTCCATTTTTTCATTTGGTATTAAATTCTAAAAATAAATAGAGTAATTTAAAAAGTTAGAGAGTTGGTTGGTTCATTTTAATTTAATTTCTTTCTTTCTTTCTTTCTTTCTTACAAAAACTAAAGGTTGAGCTTCCATTATAGCATCAACAATAAACATCATTGATTCCAAACCAATAATTTTATATTCCAAACCGTATAATGTTTTCATGTTGGCCAAATCGACATCTGATAGTTTAGGGAGTATCCAATTGATAGAGATGGCTCCATCGTCTGAATTTTGATGTTGAAGTGAAAGATGGGAAAGATTGGGTGATTTACTAGAGTCGACAGATTGTCGAAGTGAAATGGGTGAAGCTGTCAATTTGGATTGGAAATAATGTGTCGATGATAATAATGATGTTGTAGGTGTACTTGGTGTTGGCGTAGCTGCATTAAATTTAATTTTTAATCTTTGCATTGTTTTCTTTAATATTGGACTTACTATAAAAAATAAAATAAAATAAAATAAAATAAAAGAAATTAATATTCTATTCTTTGTTTTTTAATAATAATAATATTTTGTTTGTTTTGTTTAGTCTTACTATTTGAAATTGAATCATCAGTAAATAATAGGGAATTTGAAGATTCACCAAAAAATGTGTAAACTGTATAAACGTAATATTCCAATAATTGAGCAATTGCAGTAAAGATTGGGTATGCTAATTGTTTTAAAATCTTCATCATTTGTAGATACTTTCCAATAAGACGAATGACATTAATGGTAGTTGAAGCAATCAATGGAGAACTAGTATTTGATGTTGTTGTTGTTGTTGTTGTTGTTGATTGTCCATTTGTACCACTCGTTCCATTTTGTTGTTGTTGTTGCTGTTGTTGTTGTTCTTGATGACCCAACTTGTCACCAGATGCTTCATTCAAAGTCTTTCTATTTGATAATTCTTTATAGGCAAATGGATTACCATTTATCTTAAAGTTGTTAAAGAATGCAACGTCGTGTACTTGTAGGTCGAGACTTGGCTTGTTCTGATCGAGGTTGAGTGATAGGAATGCAGATGCCGCCAATGCAGTTTGTGAAGATGATTTGGGCAACGATGATGACGACGAAGAAGATGAGAGTGATGATGTTTTTGAAGAGTTCTTCATGACTCCACCAAACTCTTGAATATCCAAAACTGTAAAATCAGTTGCCAATGGTACCTTGTGCCACATTTCATTCTCGAGCATGGTTCTAAGATCCTCTATTCTCTTTTTGTGGAAGTGTTCGAAATAGGCCAATGACTGGTCACGCATAGCAGCCTTGAGAAGCGATAGATACTGTCCGTGTGTACCTTCCCTCTCTTCATTGGCAAACTCTTGTCCAATATCAATAAATTGGTTGACTGATTCCAGTACCTTGAGAAACTCTTCAATCTTGAATGATGGACTACATGCTCCAAGAATATGTTTGATTTGGTTTTGTATAGTATTCCACATTAACTTTTTAGTTCCAATCATCACTCTAAATGTATCAATATAAAAATCTCTCTCTGATGAAGCAGCTGCAGCAGCAGAAGATGAAGAAGAAGATGACGAAGAGGATGATGATGAAGAAGATAATTTCTTTCCATTGGTTAATGATGATGGTTGTGGAGATGTTCCATCACTACTAGTACCATTACTTTGGTGATGGTCACTACTCGTTGTATTTGTAGCCAACCATTCAAGTATCCATTTTCTCATTTGATAATGCGACCACATCAAATCTGTCAAATGTTCCAATAATCCCAATAATGATGATACATATTGATCTTCTTTTAATATTTTACACATATCTACAAATTTCATCCTAATTTTAAAATAATAATTAATAATCAAATAATAATATATATTTTAAATATTTGACATACGGTTTTAATTCTTCAGGATTATCATAACCATGAGACATATGAGTAATTAAAATTCTTTTTGAATGATCTTCAATATTGGTAATAAAATATTGATGAATCTTTTCTCTTAGTCTTTGTTTTTGGTCCAACATTAAATACCCGGTTATAATACTTTCAAATATCTTTGCATCAAATTCATTACACATTTTTGAAAATGATGAATCTATTTTATCTAAAATCTTTTGATTTGATGACTAGTATAAAAAATAAATAATCCAAAATGATATTAATATAAATAAAGATTGACGATGATTATAAAATAAATATAATTCCTATTTTTCATACCTCGAAACCTTGAGTAATAGTTTGAATGCATTGATATTGTGAAGCAGACATTATCTTTTTACTAGATTGATTTGCCAATTCAATGGCATCACCAAAGCTATGTTGACGAATAAGTGTTTCAATTTTACGACCGGCATCACCAATATCTTTGATGGTTTCCAATTCGCTTACAATGTATTTGTAGATAGCACGTTTTCTATGTTTTTGTAATAGAATCATTCCAAATGATGTCAATCCCTTTTGAACTTGATCAAGATAATGTTTACCACTCCTACACATTACCGCCGAATGCGATAAATCCTTTTCAATCTCATAAACTTGTGACATTCCTTGTACTATAGAAATCGAAATAGAAAGATTAATAAATGTCTATTCATTTCATATCTCTTTCATTTCTGTGTTTCATACCAAATCCATTATAACTCTTCATAATTAAATCATTGAATCTTGAATCTACAGCTTCATGATATTCATAGATTCTGACAGACAACTTGTCGATTGGATCGATTTCATCTTTGGTGGGATCAACTGAATCACAAAGTGAAGAAGTAGATGATGATGCAGACAATGATGAAGATGATGGACGATCTGGTGGTATTTGATTCAATAAATATCCAATATCAAAATCCTCTTTAAAGTATTCTGCATCTAAACTATTAATAATTCTATTTTCCTTTTCAATCTATAAGATAATAGATAAATATTATATAAGTACTTATGTTTTATGTATCTATCTTATCTATCTTATCTACATACATCTTCTGGTGACTTTTCACTAAGATATGTTTTAGTGTTACCTTTTCTTGCAGACAATAGTTTAGATACTGAAGTAAGTGTATTCAAATTTGATGTCAAAGAGAATAAGTTGAGTTCATCTTTATTGTTATTGTTATTATTATTATTATTAGATGATGATGGTGTTCTTTGATGATTACTTTGTTGTCTATTATTTTGATCATTATAGTGATGATGATCCATTTCAAACTACCTTGAAGGGATATATATAATAATATTATAGTATATATCTATCTCCCTTTTATGTATGTATATGTATATATATATATTGTATATAAGTATATGTAAAAGATGTCTCTTGTTCCTGAAATGAACCTTTTAACAACTTCAGCAAAGAAGAGGTGAACTGACCCTGCACTTTTTAAAAAGAAATCTTTTGGGGGGTGTCTTGCACAAAAGACAACTGTGAAACTTTGTTTCGTTCATCTCTTGACGACGAGTAACATCATTATTCTTTATATATATTTATATTTATAGTTATATATATATATATATACTTAAAGGAGGATGAGTATATCAAAAGATCAAATATGCACATTATTGCTTAATACATTGTCACCTGACAATACAACGATTCAACAGACAGAGGCACACTTAAAGGCGATCGACAAACAACAAGGGTTCACAGGTGTACTCATCGACATTATTCAAGATAAACAAAATATACCTTCACATGTTAGATTGGTTGCTGCTGTTCATTTAAAGAATCAAATTGCAAATAATTGGAAGAATAAACCGTATGATAGAAATGAGAAAAGAGAAAGAGAAACAGAGATAGAGAATAGAGTAATGCTAACATTTATATTTATACTTTTTAGAGATTTAATAATTATAAATGATCAAGATAAACAAGTTTATAGAGAAAGATTACTTTATATATTATCACAATACGAACAAATAGGAGAGGAATCAAAAATAGCTAGACAATTATCTATTGCAATATCAAAGATTGCACGTGTCGATTATCATAAACAATGGCCAACACTATTTCAAGTACTATTTGAGTATCTTGAAAAGGGGAATGATCATCATAAATTGACTGCCCTTCAAACTATCAAATACATTGTCAATGAATTATCATCAAAAAGAATGTCTGCTGAAAGAAAGGAATTTTATCAAGTAAGTAAAAATATAAATATAACCTATCTCTTTAATATATTTATTTATTTATTATTTTTTAAAGGTATCAAATGAATTATTTAAATTATTTGGACCAATTTGGAATAATTCAATGAATCAATTACAAAATACAGTAAAGATGGTGTCGACAGTTGAAACAATCGAACAAAGAAACAATATATTTATTCAACAAAACCAACAAACATCGGTTGAATTGTTGATTGTAGTCTCCAAGATATTGAGACGTATCATCGAACATGGATTCACTCAATATCAAGAAAATAATGATATCTGTGAATTCTTTAATAATCTATTTAATTATTTATCAAATATATTATCATTTAGTATGTTAAAGACGATTAAAAATAATTAATAGATATATTAAATATTATACTAATTTATTTATTTATCGTTTGTAGGAAAATCAAATGGAAATCATATATTAAGATTAAAAATTGATGAATTAATTATAATGAATCAAAAGATTATAATTAGAGCTCAAGCAATGAATCCATTGACATTTATTAAATTCCTAGTACCATCACTCACCTATTTTAATAATCAAATCGTTGCCTATACACCACCACATTTACAATTAACAGCCACCATTCAACAACAACACCAAGATGAACGTTCATCCGAGGAAAGTTTAATAACATTTAAAACATCATTGGTACAATCATTAATGTATCTTAGATCGATTGTAGATTGTATTAGTTATCAAACAGAGATATCTGATCCCGATGAAGATGAAGGTGTTGCATTGGGTAGTGTGGACGTGACAAACAATAGTTCGGCAACACATGTTGCACAGTCAATGATCAAACAGTTTTTCAATTTCGAGATGCTACAAGTACATCTTCGAGCATTGGTTTCAAACTTTTTAATCATCACTCCAGAGGAATTACAGACTTGGCAAGACGAGCCTGAACAATACATCATGCAGCTCGATTCAGACTCTCACCAATACGAATTGAAACCATGTGCATACAACTTGTTTATATTGCTCATGAAACATTTCCACGAGAGTTGTGTACAAATTGTGATAGAGATTGTAAAGTATGCTATGGAGTTGAGAGCTCCCTTGACAGATCAACAAGTATTACTTAAAGAGTCATGCTACATGACTATTGGACTTGGATACTATAACTTGTACGAGGTGGTAGAGTTTGACAAACTCTTTCAAAGTGTGTTTTTAGCAGAGTTGCAAACTCCTGATGCACGGTACAAGATCCTTACACGTCGTGTGTGTTGGTTGTTAGGGTACTGGATTCCCAAGATTCCCGAGCAGTTGCGTGCACCTATTGTATCAATCTTGCTAGAGTTGGTTAATCACAATGATTTGGTGATTGCACTAACTGGAGCTGACTCTCTCAAGGCATACATTGACGATTACACATTTGAGCTTGACACTTTCAAGCCATACGTCAACCAGACTATTCTTTCTTTGTTGGCATTGTTCAAACGTTGCGAGGAAGTAGAGTCACAAACCAAGCTGTTAGAAGTACTCGGTGTCATCTTTGTCCAACTCAACGAACAACTACGTCCATACGTCGCCAGTATTTTCCATCTTTTTGGAGAGTCGTGGAGCAACGGTGATGTATCATCCATCCTCAAAAACTCGCTCATTAGATGCATGACACTCTTTTTACAAGCGTGGAATAGCAGTCCGGCTGAATACGAGTCGTTCCTACTCGCTGTGATCGATCACGCCACCACACCTGGTTCAGAAGAATCTGTATTTTTGCTCGAGGATGGTCTTGACCTGTGGCTCACCTATATCTGCCGTATTGGTGTAACACAAACTATATCACCGCGTTTGTTACAAGTGTTCCGTAATTTGGTGGGGACACTCTCTCATACACTAGAGTTTGCAGAGACGTGCCTGCGTATCCTCGACGCCTACCTGTTGATTGGTCAGCAAGAGCTGTTGCAACAGTATGGTAAAGACGTGGCACAATGCTTCTTCCACCTGCTTGGTGACATTCGTGACTCTTCTACAGTCCATGTTGCACAGCCAATCGACCGTGTACTGCAAATGTTCCCAAACGACGGCTGCGTACTCCTCCAATCAGTGTTGGCCAAGTTGTACACGCTCACTATGGATCCTGAAGAGCCCGGGTTGGCCAAAGTACAGTATCTCACCGTCTTTGCACGTGTGTGTGTTGGTAACCCACTCTACCTCTTTTCCCTACTCGACGGTATCGCTGCCCATAAACAGCAACCCGTCCAAGACACTGTAAACCAATTCTTTGACCAATGGTTTGACAATATCGACTCGATATCAAACTCTGATGCACGTAAACTCACTGCTATTGCCTTGTGCAATCTTATCGCCACACCAAGAGCCGAAGTCATTCCACAACTTTCACAAATCATCACTACCGTCGTAGGACTACGTCCCGATATTGACCCACCCAACAATGACTTTTTCTCTGGTGGTGGAGAGTCTGCTGGAGGATTCTCACTCGACGGGTTCTCACTCCCAGAGAGTGCCACTGAAATACAATTACGCAAGGTCCAACAAGTCGACCCCTTAAACATTGTCGACCTATCAACCTACCTCTACGAAAAAATGAAAGAAGCTTCCAATCGATTGGGTGCCAATGTTTTCCAAGCTGCCATTCAATCTATGCATCCTACTGTTTTACAATTGGCTATTCCACCGGTTAATAAATAAATTATTTAATTAATAATAAAATGTTCAAGATGTTTAAACAAACTTTTATCATTGTATATTATTGAACAACCAAATACCTACTTTAAATAATTTACTTACAAATAGATGTGGTTTGATTGATAAATCAATGTTGTTGGCTAGGCCTCCCTTTTGAGTTTTAGATGGAGACATGTGTTTTAAAACACGCTCCACCAGCAAATCAAAAGGGAACACCTAGAAAATTACATCTTCATATCATCTATCTCCAAACGTCGACCTAATCAATTGTTATCCAGAAGTACAAATGTCGACCCAGAATGGCAGAGGGCGTTAAAAAAAATTTACCAAATTAATAAATTTTGGGTTGTTGTACCCAGGGTCTCGATAAACTCATTAACCTACTTTAATATGTGGGTTGGGCGTTGGATCGCTGCTCTCCCAAAAAAGTTTACAAGAATTCGCCCTTGCAGGTCTCATTATATATTAAATAAGTTAAAATAGTTAATTTATTTTTAGAAATATTTATTTTTATTGTATTATTTTTTAGAATTAATTATTAACTTTTAATATTTTGGATAGAAATTATAAAGGTTAAAATTATTTTGGAAAAATAAAAATATATTGGTTTGATTTTAGATTTTGGATTATAAATTCATAATTTTAACTTTCTCCAAGAACATAGCTAATAGAAATTGGATCGATGGAAAAAGATTGGTTGGCATCACAAAGTATTCCACTTCCATCGTAACTATTTTGGATGATCAATTGTCCATCTAAATAACAACAGATTCTACATGGATGAATAAATAAACCCGAGAAGAAAAAAGGGCTCCTCATTGTGATGTGTAGTTTATTATTCTTTCTACTCTTTGTTCACATCGGTTTTTCAAAAAAAAAAAAAATATTTAAATAAAAAAAAAAAAAAAGGGTGTGGTAGTATTGCAATATTACAAATTTGAAAAAAGAAAAGACACTTTTGAAACATTGACAATGTTTTCTATTATCGTATGACATCACTTTTAATCATAACATGTATAATGCTTTGACAATAACAGAAATTGCATCACAAAGCGATTTCAAACGATGGTCAGCAAAACAAGTAAAAGAATGGGCTACAAAAGAAGTTCAAGTAAGAGAAGAATATGCCCAGATGCTTCTTGATAATGATGTGGATGGAGAAAGTATCGCAGTGTTTACAGAGGCTGATTTTGGTAAATGTGGCATAGTCGTAGCACCTGCAAAGAAGCTCTATCTGGCTGTTCAACAACTTTTAATTCAACAATCGCTATCACATCAGATCAGCAGTGGTAAGTAGTTATGCATCTATCTATCTATCTATCTATCTATCTATCTATCTATCTATCTATCTATCTATCTATCTATCTATCTTCTATTTCATTTGTCCCAGTCATATTCGTCATTCCCTCACGACCCCATCATTATGCTCGTTGCTCGTCATCTATTAATCACACCATCAACCTTTAAAGTGTTGTCGTTCACCCATTAGACATTTTATTATCTAAAATAAAATCACACATTTATTTTAATAAATATGCTTTTTTCTTGGAGTTTGATGATAAAAAGCACTCATACCGGTCAGCAGTTCACTATCTATTCTTTCTGATACATTTTATTTGATCTTATTTCATTATCTATTCATCATCATCATCATCATCATCTTGTTTCATTCAGTTATTTATTCTTTGTAGTTTATATCCCTTTCTATCTTAATTTGCAACCATATTCCAACTGTCTTTTTTATCATTTATTTGTTTCATCTCTTCATTTTTCTATTTTGTAAATAATTTTCTTTCAGAGTCCTTACAAGTTCCTCCGCATTTTAAAATTTAATTATTACATTCTATTATTGTCACCATTATTAACCACCATCATTATTTCGTTCTATCCTAAAGGCACCACCTCTAACGTAATGTCAAGTAGGTTGAACTAACAATTGACGTGATAATATCAACCTAACCCATTCTCTCATTTTTTTTTCTAGCACAACAGAAAGCTCGGGAATTGGTCAAGGGAACTGATTTCACTGTTGCTCAAAAGAGCGCATGTTCCACGTTTATTGATGAAAATGAAGCCATGCTAATATTATTATTGGACAACATGGAATGGGTTTAGATGTATTACAATTTTTCGCTCAATAACTCGTAGACAGCAATACATCTATTCCCTCTACTGCTCCCAAAGGTAAGGCCCCTCATTATCACCACATCCTTTTTATCAAAGCATCATTCCCTTCCATTTCTTCATTATATTATCAACATATCCATCTCTCAAACAACTCTTTTTTTACTTGTTGTTTATCTTTTTGTTTTATTATCTCATCAATGCACTACCCATCTCTTTTAACCAAACACAATCATTCAACATCTTGTCATTTTGTTTGTTCATCTTTCATGTCATTGACCTCTTGTGTTCATTCTTTAAGATCTTTGGACCTTTTATTTTTATCACCCATCTCTTTTTCCATCTTATCCACTACTTTTGTCAAACATACCTAATTGGTGCATCAACCAATCACCATCATTCAAATCTAGTCATTTTGTTTTTCTTTGTTTGTTTGCTCTCATATTACAGGCCCATCACTTGTCTCATTTTTGTTGGTCAATCCATCTCCAACAAAAACTTTCAATCAGATATTGCAATCCATCACTATCATTGCTACTCTTTAAAACATTATTATCTTTTTTGGTTCCAAATACCATATCAATCGCCAACCTACACTCTCACCCCTCTATCTGCCCCCATATTTATCACCATCACGGATTGTTGGTAGCCATCCCAAACTATTCTGATTGTAGCAACCATTCTTCATCATTCAAAATCTTGTCATTTTGTTTTGTTTGTTTTTTGAATCATCCTTTGTTTTTTGGTACTCCAACCGCAGGTTCATTTACTAATCATTTATTTCTTTTTTTTGTTCGAAGCAAGAGAGAAGAGAGCATATGGTATGCATTGTTAACAATTGGTTTTGATGTGATCGATTTAAATTAACTTTTTATCTTAGATCCACCAATCAAAGAAAGTTTGCAAAAGTACAAGAAATCAAAAGCATTTAATGAGATGTATCCACAAGATCCTCTCTGTTCTTCTTCATTGAGAACTCGTTTCAAGTTTGTTGATGGATTAATTCATATCATGGACAGAAAGATCACATCCGACTTACTGGAAGATATCAAAAAATCCCTTGGAAAGGTAAAAGGCTTTTATGTTCAAGGCCCACAAGGTGTCGGCAAGTCTCACTCACTCTATCAAGTGGTGAGTACCCTCCGCGAAGATATCAATAATAGAGTTTTGTATCTTCCAGATTGCAAAGGATGGGGAGATTCTTTTGACAGAAACATTTTTTTTTTTGGATATTGCACTCGTAGCATTCGAGGTAGCTGGGGACAACTTTGTTCAAGATTGGACAAGTAAACTCCTTCTTGATGTATCGCCACAAGGCAATCTCATCCTCCTTGATCAATTTCTCCACGATATGGCTGCACACTGTCGCACAAACAATCTCTCGATCTACATGGTTTTTGACCAACACCACTCACTCACTGACGAACAAAGACTAACTTTTCCACTTTGTATCATCGAGGGGTCGCTTGTGACCAGTTCTTTGTGGAGCAGACTCTTGGTAGTCATATCTGGATCTGCAAACAACAGGTACGCTCTCAAGGTTGCAACCGATGGACAATGGCCTATTTTCCCATTCAACAATGGGTTCACAGATGACGAGTACAACAAATGGGCGATAACCAAAAAGATTATAAACGATCAAGACACCTTTGATAAGGTCAAATCAGTTACATCTTTTATTCCGTAAGATATAACCAAAGATCGATAGGGTCATGTAGCGTTATTAACCAATTCAATCTCATTAGGGTCGAGGTACAACAGTTATTAGATTTGGATACCACAAAAGACTTTTCACAAGTGGATAACTCAATCTTTTCGTATACACAGAAAAAACGAAACCAGATCACTCTCCAAGACATCGCATTTCAAAATGATTACCTTGGTGACCAACGTATGCAGGAGAGATTCATTCGCTCCATTTTATTTATGGAGCTCAATCTACCCATCCAAATGGAATCAATCTTTATCAACCACCAACTCATGGTATTGCGTGATGGGTATGTTTGTCCGCTTATCCCGATGGTCGTCCCTATTTTGAAGAGCGCATACTCGAAAACCGTACCCTACGACATCAACTTGGCTCTAATATATCAATCCGTCTTTCGTGGCACCATCGATCTCACATCTGACGCTCGTGGTCGCATCGTAGAGCACTATCTGATTGATAAGCTGTCATCGGTGCGAAAGTTTTCAGTGCTCGCCAAAAAGATCAACATCGTCACCAAAAAAAGAGGCAAGCAATTTTATGATAATTTCGTACTCAGTGATCAAAAGATCACAGTTAAAGATTATCACACCAAAGAGTTCTGTGGTAACAAGTTTGATGCTACCACCAACTTTGATATCAATTTGTTCATCGTTCCAACATCGCCCAACTATCCCACTGTCGACTTTTACTTTTGGGACAAGACCAACAAGCATCTGTACCCTTGTCAAGTCACTGTCGGTAGAACACACTCGAACAATTGGTCAAAGAATGAGAGCGAGATGATGAAACTCTTACCAAAAGATTCCAAAATATCTTTTCTTTGGATCGCAACTGAAGATCTTGACTTGATCTTTCACGAATTCGACAACCAATTCATTGTTTATTTGTCAGATTTGCAGAACGAAGAAGACTTTGCTTTATTGAAAGATTTCAGAAGAATCTAGATTCACAAACCATTTTTCATTAAATTATTAAAATCACCATTGATCATATGTTAATTAACTTAATCGGATCGATTTTTTGTTTCTCAATGATTTCAATGTTTTCACGAGCTGAATAAGAGGAAGTTTATTTTTTAAAACACTCTTGGATGATTGGTAAGTGCACTTCCCAATTTGACATGCTGATATTGTTCCGAATCCTTTTTTTACAGTAGTCATCCAATAAGTCGATATTAACATTTCTTTTATAGAATAGTAAGCATCTATTATTGATTGCATCCCTGGTAATTGTTGGAATGAGCCAGCGATATTTCGAAAAGCAATTAATGATGGGAAATACGTTACATCCATTTTTAATATTTTGGATAGAAATTATAAAGGTTACAGATGGTGCATTGATAAATAATGATTTGATTGGTGCAATATTAATTGTTTCCAGTAATTTTGGTTGACGTTGAGTGCATCCTTTAATTTTTTGTTGATCTTTGTCACCATTTTAGAATGTAAATGAAAGGTGGTATGATCCATTAAATATGTACCACTTCTTGTACATACCTTGTAATAACAATATAGATACTTGGTATTTATATAATTAATTGAGAGGTATAAAATATAATATGATATATTTATAATTTTAATGTTAATGTTTATAATTTTTTTTTGTTGGGAGCGATTTTAAACACATGTGAATGGGATTGTTCGGCGATTATTATAGGGATGTACTATAGTAGGTAGGTAGGGGAGTCCTGTGTAATATTTTTTAATAAATCCCCCCCCCAATGTATGAAGTTCAAGTTGTACAGCTAGAGGAAGATTTTTATAAAATAGTAAAATTGGATGGATTTAGTTTTATTTATTTAATCATATATTCTCGATAAGATAATAATGATCAAGTGGTAAATATAACTATCGTGATTAATAGAGTATAGTCATTGTTGTTGTTGTTGTTGTTGTTTTAAATTGGTTAATAATTTAACGAAGTTGATGAAGAATAGACTTTGGAATATGTGGGAAAGCATCTTGCATAGAGGTAAAGGCGGCGATTGGTGCATTTGGTTGAGTGCATTGTGGTGGAAGAGTAAAGAATGATTCGGTGTAGGTGTCAATAAACTCGAAAAACAACATGGTACTGGCTCCTGGACTGCTTGGATCATTGTTGTTAACAATACTTGAAACACCCGAGCAAGTGTGCTTATCATAGAACATGGTTTGGGTATTTGGTGCTTCTGTTGGGATATTCCATACCTCTACTTCGAATTGACCCAACTTGGTAGTACCAACGACAGAGCCGTTGACAAATCCTTGTGGGATTGGGAAGCCTAATGGAGCAGTCTTGCAAATACCCTCTGACAAGATGTACATTGTATTAGTGTCACCAAAACCCCATAATGAACCATTCATAACTGGTACTCCACTCATTATAATTTCATAATTGACTCTCATTCTTTTACCTTGGAAATCAACTGATGTATCACCGACTATAAATAATTGAATCATAATTGGTTCAAAACAATCAAATAATAATGTTAGTACTAATTAAATTTAATTATCTTTTCCTATCTATCTCTCTCTCTCTCTTTCGAAATTTATAATTACCTTCAAAAAAAGATAGAGGTACAGTTGATCCACCAGTAGGATAGTATGTATTGAATGAAGAGACTGTGAAGCCAGATGTATAACCATTAGACTTTAAACAATCCTTGGCATTTACATTGATTGCAAGCAATGCAACAACAATTAAAATAGCGATTCTTGAAATAAACATTATTATTTTGTTTTGTTTATGTGTAGTATAAATGATCAATAGAATGAACAACGTCGATAATATAGAGAAATCGAAAGGTGAGTCTTACGATCTTTTTAAAGGTCGAAATTTAACCAGTACAAAAAATAGAATCCCTGGGATCAAAATCAAAAATATCACCCATCTCTCGGATCACCACTACTACTCTACTTTTCAATGATTGATGGTTTATAATCGGCTTGTCGGTTTTTTAATTCTTTGAGTGGAACTCGCGCTGACCGCCAACTTCAATCGGATGGAATCATTTTAATGACCAGGAATATGATCATTTTGGTGTTGATAATAATAGAAATAGAATGGTTTGTTTTGTGTGAATTCATTAACTGGTTAAAGTTTATTATGATTGTTCAACCCAATTTGAAGGAACAAACATTACTTTGGATGGTATTGATTCCATTTTAGTGGTCAAGTTTTCTGTTGTCATTGATATTGAATAAACTCCAAATGGTATATCTGTTATTACTTTACTTAATCGACCTGTAATATTATTACTATCATTATTGTCATCAATTGAATTAACAGTAAATCTTTTCCAATTACCACCAACACTACAAATCCAAATATGATATGCAATATTATCACTATCACTATCTTTGATAATATCATCTATATCTTTGTTGATTGTTGCTGTTGTTGTTGTTGTTGTGGTTGTGGTTGTTGTTTTAGTTGTATTCCAAGACACTTTTAAAGAATATAAATCTTGTCTTGTTGTTGTTGTTGTTATTGGGTGTTGAATATTCCATTCTAAAGAAATATTTAGAGGTGGATTAGGAGATGGATATCTAGTGGTAAGATTAATAGAATAGTCTAGTGTAGTTGGAATTAATTGTTGATTATGATTCTCTATTATTAATATCAAGTCACCATGGTTTTCACCACCTCCAGGTGTTTTGTCACTGCCTACATGACATGTTGAACTATCCAAATTAAACTCTAAATAATAGTTTGGTGTTTTAGACATGTCTGCCAGTGTGATCATAATACCACCTTGAATATCGGTACCCAGATTATTGGCACATGAAACTGATTGGTTGTATTGATAGTAATTTAAATACTTGGTGTACGATAACAAACAAATAGAGTATTTATCAAATTGTGGATTATTAATATTGATGATTAATTTAGATTTACATAATCCACTTGACATTGGACTATGAAATATTCTATTCGTATAAATTGATGATGGAGATGGGGATGAAGATGAAGTGGGTGATGGAACACTACTACTACTATAATAACTAGATGATCTACATGGAGAATACAATGGTGAATATAATCCAGTTAAATAATGGTGAAGTGAATGAATACTTAATCCACTTGACATGGCTGTTGTTCTTGTTGAAATAGTGATTGGTAAATATAATAAAGAGGTGGATGAGGAGGATTGTGGATGATAAAATATATTTTGATTTAAATCGATGATTGAATCATAAACTATTGGGTCATTGGTATTGGCAGTGACTGTGGCAGTTGCATAACGACGGTATTGTAACTTTGATTTTAAATCATTTTGTCCTTTGGCTAAAGGAGTAGAGACACCTTTGTTGGCGGCAGCATTGGCACTGGCACTATTGGAGGAACCACCTTGAAGGAATTGAATGAATTGTTTGTCACCAATCGGTGGTTGACCAAATGTAACAAGTGATAGAGAATAAAATCGACCGATATCATCGATGGGACGAGCCAATAGATCAGTTGCACAAACCAAAGCCAACGAACCTCCAAATGAATAACCAGTGACGTAGACATCATAGACACTATCCAATTGATGTAGAAATGTTGTCAAATCATCTTTCATCTCCAAGTATTCATTTACAATACCTTTAAACATTCCACCACAATTTTGTGACTTTGTTTTAAATGGACATTCAACCAACTCTAAAAAAAGAGAAATAAATAATTGATATTATATTAAATTATTATTATTATTATTAGATATTATTATTATGTTTAGTATCATACCAGGATCATTTAAATAATTGTCAATTGGAAAAGTTGAAGAGAATGAAATGATGATAGTATTTGAAAGTACACTCTTTGAAATGATCATTCGACTGTGACCTGTGTTGATATTAACGGAATGAGCAAAATCATAACAAATTGGACTCTGTTGATTTGTTTGTGGCGACAATGAATCTCTTGCATTCAAAGATAGATAAGTATGATTTCTTTGATTTTGGTTATTGGCGGCAGTCTCTGACATTAATGCAAATATGTAATCCTTGTAATCTATTACATTCGTTGTTGTTGTTGTTTTGTCTTGAACCAACAATGCATTTACTCCTCCATAATAAATAATAGATAGATAATAGAGTAGTAGTAGACTTGTGATCACTACATAATTGCAATAATTGTGATTGAATATTTTCATTTCTTCTAGATTGGATTATAAAAATAATTAATTAAATCTTTCTTTGGGTGAGACAGATATTAATAACAACATACATTATTACCAGTAGTATTGACCCTTCTAATACATTACGCAACACATTATTACATTGCATAAATAATAATATCATATGACAACTGTGTGTGTGTGTTCTGTGGTAATAATTCATTCGATGTGATTGATCACCACCCCATCGCAATGATCATCATTGAAACTCGCCCACACCATCACCTGTTTGTATCTATACAAACAATCATACTCATTGTAGTAGTATGTACACACAACAACTAAGGAAGGATAGATAGGATAGGTGGATATATTATTATATTATAATTATATGTTCTGCTAATTTAATTCATTGTTTTGATTTCCTTCTACTTTACTTTGTCAGTACATATGTGTTGGACAGTTTGTTTGTGGTACTGATCGTCGATCGCGCTTTAATAAATGAGGTATTATCCTATCCCCAAAACAGTTTACTTTATCTGTTTTCACAGTTCATAGTGCTACTCCCAAATCGATGGTTCAAAGAAGACCAAGCTTTGTTCGACGCACAAATTTTTTAATTTTTTTTTTGACTCCATTTTTTTTTTTTTTTTTTTTCTAAAACCACAAACAACAATCGACTTTGCGATTTAATCACTTTTTTTTGTAAATACCCTTCCTCTTTAAATATATATATATAATACAACATGTCAGAATCACAACTCAAGAAAGTTTTAAAGGAAAACGAAGTCTTGAAGGCTCAATTGGAAAGATCTTTGACTATTCTCAAGGTCTCTGAAGCCTGTGCTACGTAAGTACTTTAACTTTTAGCAAAAGAAAGATAGAGAGATAGAGAGATAGAGAATAACATCATCTGACCTTTCTTTCTTCATTACTATCTTATATTGTTAACTTTTATATATATATAGTTTACAAGATTATTGCACCAAGACCCCAGATCCCTTTATTCCAGGATGGCAAGGAGAAAATGAGTGGACTAAGCCACTCAAGGGAGGTAGTTGCTCTGTACTATAAAACTATTATTATTATTAACTACCAAACAACAACAAACACAACAACATCATCACCAACCACACAAATCATCAAATATATGTAGAGATAGACAAAACAAACAACAATAATAATAAACAACAAACCGTAGTAATAATAATAATAACAACATTTTCCACCTCCTCAAAAATACACGCGTAAAAGAGATAGACCTATTTTTTTTTTTTCTCAAACAAGAACACAAAAGAGAGAGAGAAAAAAAGAATCCAACATCCCCTCCCAGATTAGATTAGAGATAGAACAACAATAACAAAAAGTAGATCAAAAGAGATAAAAAAAAGAGAGAAGATTGTAATAATAGTTTTTTTTTCAACTCTCTTTTTCTCTCTTTTGTATCAACTCAAATGGATCTTTAATAAATAATAACAATTTCAAAACCATCTTGATAGAGACATCTTATCTTAATATAACAATATCAATATTGTTTTTTTTTTGTTTTTGTAATTATTTATTTATTTATTTATTGTCTCCACAAAAGGAACAACAATGTATGAATAAATAAATAAATAATGAATAAATAAGGGGATGGATGATGGATGGTTGGTTCATCACTTTAATACAAGGTTATTGTTGTAATTGTTGTTGCTGTTGTTGTTGTAATTGTTGCTGTTGTTGATGGTGTTGTTTTCCTTTTTTGTTATTCTTTGGTTTTTGTCCATGTCCGGTTGTCTGGGATAATCCCTGTCCACTATTATTACTACCAATATTATTGTTTTGTTGATTATTATTATTGTTTCCACCAATTAAAGGAGGAGTAGTAGAATCTTTAAATTTAACCTTTAGATATTTTTGACCTACTTGCATACCATTCATTTGGTTGAGTGAAGTGACAGCATCATCACGGTTTTGGAATTTTACAAATCCATACCCTTTGTTTTCACCTGTCTCCTTGTCCATGATAACTCTTACCGATTGTAATGGTCCATATTGTGAGAATAATTTATACAAGTATACATCATCAACAAATGATGGTAAATGGAAAACAAATAAATTGGTATCGTGACTACTACTGGTACCAGTACTATTGGAACTATTATTATTGGTAGTATTAATATTTGGTGATGGTTGATTGGATGATGATGATGAATCATTATTATTATTATTATTATCTATTGGTTGTTGTGATGGTTGTTGTTGTGGGACAGTGACAGGTGATGAGGAATGTTGTTTTCTAGGACTGGATAATGTATAACTTGTGGTTGGAGTTGATGGTGTTGAAACTGGTGTTGGTCCAACAGAGTATGGTGGTGAGAATGATTGTGCATTGGATGTTGGTTGTTGTTGTTGTTGTTGGTAAACATGTTGTTGTTGTTGTTGTTGTTGTTGATGGTAGTGTTGTCGATTGGTATTGATTGCCGATGATGAAAGGGAAAGTGGGTGTTGACCATGTTGTTTACGTTGTTTACTTTGTTTTGGTTGATGTGGTGGAGTAACTTGTTGTTGTTGTTGTTGTTGTTGTTGTTGTTGTTGTTGTTGTTGTTGTTGTTGGGGAGACATGACCAAAGTTGGAGGTGTGGAAACTTGTGAAGAGGGCGATGATGTTAAAAGAAGGTTAGGGTTATTGTTGATATGGTGATGGTGGTGTCCTCCTCCTCCTCCTCCTGTTGGTGACTGGGAAGGAATGGAGATGGGAGCGGGGATTAATGTACTTTGGATTTGATGATGATCAGTACCAATCATATTGGCTGTGATTGGAAGAGGAGGAGGAGGTGAGTTTCCAGAGGTGGCTGCGTAATAGTTTGTGTGGTGGTGGTGGTGTTGGTGGTGTTGGTTTGGTGAGACACCTAAAGTGACCTGTTGTGGATTATTATAATATGCTGTTGCATAATTATATTGTTGTTGTTGTTGTTGTTGTTGATGATGATGATGGTGATGATGTGGATGGTGAATTGGAATTTGGTGTTGATGTTGATGCGGATGTTGATGAGGATGTTGCATAATAGTAGTAGGTCCTACTGATCTTGCAGCAGCCATACTAATAGCAGTATTAGGGTCAACTTGTGCAGTCGTATAATACTGTGGATATGAAAACCACATTACATCAGTTGGATAATTATATACTTGCTAAATAAATAAATAAAATAATTAATACTTTTCCATTTTTGTTGGGTTGTTTTTTTTTTGGGTTTCTACAAAACATACAAAATAATTTAATATTTTTCTTTGTTTTCTTAGCGATTTTTGGTGTTCGTTATCAGCATATTTTACAACAAGAGGTGTAGAGTCGGCACCCATTTTAGCTCCATTCATAGCTTGTATGGCTTTAGTTGCATCGGCTTCGTTGTCAAATCGGACAAATCCAGCTAATTTACTATTCCCCTTTTTATCAACCATTACTTTACATTCTACAATCTCTCCAAACCCTTGAAATAAATCTCTTAATTGACCTAAGATATAAATAATAAGTATATAAATATATATATTGGAATTGGAATTGTAATTCTATTCTTTTCTTTTTTTCATACCATCGGTCAATGTAGCAGGTAAAGGTTTAACAAATAAATTATTTGATGGGTATTTGCTATTGTGATTTGAATATAAATAAGATAATCGACACAACAACTTTTTATGCATTAATTGTTTTCCATCCATTGTTTCAATTGCTAATTTTGATTCAATCGGTGATGAAAATCGTACAAATCTTTAAAAATAAATAAACAATTAATTAATTATGTTATACAATGAAATTAGTTGGTTGATTGACTTCTTACCCATATCCATAACTATTTCCTTTTGGATCAACCATTACTTTTGCACTCATTACTTTACCAAATTGAGTAAATAGATTGTGTAGTTCGGAATCACCAAATTCATTTGGTAGATATTTAACAAAAACATTGGTTTGATCCTTTTCTATTGAACTTTCATAATCATCACCTTGGTCACCATAATGATCACTACTACTATTTGGACTATCTTCTGGACTACCATAAATATATTGTTGTTGTTGTTGTAATTGTTGTTGTTGGTGTTGAAGTTGTTGTTGTTGTTGATGATGACCACTAATATTCAATTGTTCTAATGGAATTTCATCACTATAATAATTACTAGTTGTTGACGATGTTGTTGAAGTTGTTGTTGTTGTTGTTGTTGCTGTGTCCATCATTTAAATATTCTTGGGAAATGAATGTATATAATATTACAAATTAATAAATAAATAAATAAATAAATAAATAAATAAATAAATAAATAAATAAATATAAAAGTTTTTTTTCTTTTGGGAATTTTAAATCCAAAAAGTAAACTAAGTGTTAAAGATGGAATGAAAGGGAATAATAAAAGTTAGTTCCTTTAAATAACTATTTCTATTTGTTTTAAGATCTATATAAATATTTATCTATCTATAAATCCCTCTGACTCGTTGTCTTCTTCTTTCGCTCTCTCCTGTCTGTATATTGTTACATATGTGATTTATAAAAAATACTATTACTATTATTATTATTATTTTGTTTAAAGAACATTCAGTACTACCATCCTCTATCCCATATCCCAGCTAACTGGAGGAGTAAAGGAAATTATAATCATAACATGCTTTCAAATAATCCTCTCTCTCTCTGTCCCCTTTGTCAAATATTTGATTATTCATTGAATCAGTAATAATATTAATTATTTATGGATGCATGATGATGATGAACAAGTTGAAAAAAGGGGCAAGCATAGTGAGTGGTTGATTGTTGCTAATGTCGATATGAAAAACACAATTGATCGATTAATGGATGGGGGTTCAAATTGAATATTATAATATTCAACAACTACCACCCCCACAATCGATTTTTTGTCAAAAGGTAATTGAAAATATCCTGTTGTTATTTGATTGATTGATAAATATGATATGTTTCCTTTCTGTTCTGATTTTCCTATCTATTTGAAATTTGATTTTTGGTGATATTGATAGATTGGAAGGGTTGGAATTAATGCAATGGGGGAGAGAGAGATGGGAAATAATTATCCATCCATCCATCCATCCATCTATGGTAAGCTATAGTTGATCGATTCCGTTGTTCTGTTCTGTTGTTTTATATTTTCATCATCGGGATAGGAGAACACAATCATTATTGTCACAAAAACTTAATTGTATATTTAATTCTCTCTTACCTTTGAAAACACTATTTTAAAGAAAGATTCACAACATTCACTCCTATTCAATATTATTATTATTGTTGTTGTTGTTGTTATTACTTTTGTTTTGTATTATTATTATTATTAATTATTATTATTCTGGTAAAGTCCTACTTTTTTTGATTGGTTTGGCTGGTGGGTTGAATGGAATCCAAGTAATGAATATATTCTATCTATCTATCGCGTTGTTGACTCGAGTACTCTCTACAGGTTTAAGGGGGTAATACAACAAACTACTAGTAGTATAGTACTAAAACTTACTAAAAGCAACATCCATGGATGTCAGCCACCACCACAAGTTGAAGTGAAATTAAACAATTTGTTGCTGATTAAGTGAAAATGAATTCTTGCCACCTGATTGATTCTGTTTTTTTCAAATAATTTTGGAAAAAAATTAATATCTTTGAAAAGAAACAAGCTCAACAACGCGGTTATCAGAACCAGGAAGGAAACAAACACTCCACCATCCATGACCACGGAAATTGATCCGTCTTTGTCTAAAAATAACCATAGTTAATCAACTATCAATGGATCCATTCCGTCTTCCAATTACTATATTTGAGATTGTTTGTGAAAACTCTCTCCTAAAGAATATTCGTGATCGATATTAAAAAAATAAACAACAACCTTGTAATGTTTAAATGATTAAAAAAAAAAAAAGTTTTACAATTTATATTTGTTTTGGTTTAGTTTGGGATTTAGTGTGTTTAGTTTTTTGGATTTAAGAGAAGAGGTTACCAGATGATTCATAGACAGCCTTGATCTTCATGATGGCGTTGTAGAGGGCGGCAGTACGGAAATCAGTGTTCTTTTCGATGGCGGTCTTTCTGGTTTCAGCGCAAGCGTTGGTCATGGTGTCATCGAGACCGGAACGGACGATATCGATTTCGTCGGCACCGTGGATGATGAGGTTACGTTCGGCATCACCCAACTTTTTGTTGACGGTGGATTCGACAAAGTCGAGGAGCATCTTCTTGCTCGACTCTTCCCATTTCTTGTTGAGACGACCGAAACGGACGTGGGAAAGGTTCTTGAGCCATTCGAAATAAGAGACAGTGACACCACCGGCGTTGAGGAGGAGATCTGGGATGATGACGTGACCACGCTTGAGGAGGTACTCGTCGGCGTTGGGGGTCATTGGGCCGTTGGCGGCTTCACCAATAATCTTGGCTTGGATGTTGTGGCAGTTGCCAACGTGGATTTGCTTCTCGAGGGCGGCTGGGATCAAAATGTCGCAGGCGATTTCGAGGGCCTTGTGGGCATCGGGCATGTTGGTGGCGCCTGGGAAGTCGATAAAGGTGCCGTGTTGGAGCTTGTACTTGTTCAAGGCGTCGACGTTGAGACCTTCGGGGTTGTAGACGGCACCGTTGTGCTCGGCGACGGCGATGATCTTGGCGCCGGCTTGCTCAAAGAACTTGGCGGCCCAGTAACCGACGTTACCGAAACCTTGGATGACGATCTTCTTGCCCTTGATGCCTGGAGTGAGGCCGGTCTTTTGGAGCACCTCTTCGTAGGAAAGGAACTCACGGATACCGTAGAAGACACCGAGACCGGTGGCTTCGGTACGGCCACGGATACCGCCCGAGCTGATGGGTTTGCCGGTGACGCAGGCCATCGAGTCGACGTCGTTGGTGTTGAAGGCTTGGTAAGTGTCACGGATCCAGGCCATTTCTTGCTCACCAGTGCCCATGTCGGGGGCTGGCACATCGACACCTGGGCCGATAAAGTTCTTTTGGCAGAGAAGGAGTGTGTAGGCACGGGTGATCTTTTCACGTTGGGCAACAGTGTATTTCTTTGGGTCGATACGGACACCACCCTTGGCACCACCAAATGGCACGTCGACGACGGCACACTTGTAGGTCATCAACGAGGCCAAAGCCATGACTTCTTGGAGATCGACCTCTTCAGAGTAACGGATACCTCCCTTGCATGGAAGACGATGATGAGAGTGTTGGGCACGGTAACCAGCAATAATGTCTACGTCACCATGTTCATTCTTGATTGGGAATTCAACACGGAGTGCAACATTACATTCCTTCATATTGTTGATAACACCTGGCTTGAGGTTGGTCAAACCAGCTGCCTTGTCAAAAAAGGTCTTGAAACATTCCAAAAATCTTGGTTCATTATCAATATCATGTCTAAAAGAAGAAGAAGAGTAGTAGAAAAAGGGATTTGGATTAGGATGGATGAAAGATAAGAGGTAGTGATTTTTCTTTTGACCATCATCCCCCGCTTCCCCTTAATCGTTTTTTTTTTTTTTTTTGATTCGATCGATACATCAACAACATGTATGTTCACCCACCAGGGATGATCGATACAATTTATGATGAACTGAACTATCATTATAAATTATAGTATTTTAGTGACCCAACAAATCACTTTGACATGTTGATTGTTTAGTCTGTATGCTATGATGATCGGATCATTTTAAATGATGGGGAAGGGAAGGGAAGCTAGATGGATGATGGATGATAGTTGGTTGTATTTTTGTAAAAACATACTGAGATACTTGAGTTGAATATTGTCTGACGGCTTGATTGACGTTACGGCTGTTGTTGAGACAACGGCTGACTAAACGATTCATTTTGATGTGGTGTTAATATTATTTATTACAACAAACAAACAAAGAATGAATTTCAAAATTGAACTTTTTTGCTAAGCTGATCGAGAGGTTGGAGAGTGCCAGACAGCTGAGCATCGAAAAGAAAAAAAAAAATTCAAAAAAAAAGGATATTTTGTTGTTTCCCTCCCACCACACAGTAACGTTCAACACTCTCAAACAAGACATTGTATTGTGGTTTATGAATGTGTGATATGATGACGAAGAGGATGATATTATGACACATTCGATATATTGACGTCAATTTCGATCTTCTTGAAATTTCCATTTCCCAATTTTTGTTTTTTTTTTTTAAAAACTAATATATTATATTATACCTCTCTCTCCATATTATGTCTACGTCCTAAAAGGGGATAGGATCTATATATCTGTGACACCATATTTATATATCTAAAGAGTGGTCAAAAAGTGGAAAAAGGAAATTGGAAATATATTTTTTTTTGAAAACAAATAATTATTTGTTAAAGTATTTGATTTGATTGATTGGTTTGTTTGTTTGTTTGTTTGTTTGTTTGTTTTGGATATTTTAAATATTATATTATATTTTTGTTTGGATTTATTCTTTTTATTTATTCTTTTTTATTAATTTATTTCTTTGATTTTTTAATTGGTCTACCTCCATCTTTGAATTTCTTTTTCATATTTTCCTTGTTCTCGTTGGTGATGAATTGGTTGGTAGCCTTGTCAACATTGAGAATACCTTCCTCCTTGTTGAGAATACGCTTGACCATCTTGAGACTGTTTTCAGATTCACCTTGGATATTGTTGTCACCGAGACCGGCCAAACGCTTGACACCTCTGGTTGGCAACTTCTTGTCGCCTTCGAGGACTTTGTCGAATTTGCCCATGCTGGCTGTTGAAACCTTGGCAACATTTAGTGTATTTCTAACGTCGTTTTTGATTTGACCACGATTCTCTTTGGAGAAATCCAAACCATTGTTGCTGCCAACCATCGAGCTGGAACGCTTGTGTGATTCGTCGAGATTACGTTGTTCGAGACGTTTGTTCTTGTCGACACGCTCCTTTTTGTCGTCGATAAGTTTTTGGAATGGGTCTTGTTCGGGGTTATTTGGATTGGCGTACATGGCAAAGTTCTCGCCTTCGTCGTTTGCACGTTTGTATCCCCATGAGTGTCTCCATTCCTTGTGTGTCTCGTCCCATACCTTGCTGTCTTTCTTTCTCTTTTTGATGTCCTTGATGGCTGCGAATGCTTCCCATCTAGTCTGTTGTTTGGCTTCTGGAATCTAGAAAATTAAAAAAGTAAAAGAATTAAATAAATAAATATAATGTCAATAAACAAAACAAACAAATACAATGTATAATATATATATATATATATATCTATATATAGTTTATAGTTTAAACATACTGGCTTCATTCTTGGTATTGGGGTAAGTGGTTTGGGTAATAATGCTAAAGCACCAGACTCTACAACTTTACTGTCCAATTGGAACATTCTAGTAATCAACAATTGAACATTATCTCTGCTAATCTTATTTATATATTCTTCTGGGTTTTCACTAGTAAACAAATAAAAGTTTTGAAAGATAGAGATAGAGATAGGATGTGTTAGAGATTTGAATGTTTCAAGATACATAATATATCTTGAGTATGTGTTGTACTATGTTGTTGTTATTATATATTATATATGTTTATATAGTCTCATACTTGTATTCAGCTTTATTTAGAGAAGAGAAATCAAAAGCACAGAGATTACCCAAATCGTATAATAGAGAATCTTCCTTTTCAACCAAATGACTAGAGAACTTATTTTGTGCTAATATATCTGATGCATTGATAACTCCTTCTGGAGCAGTAGTCGACGACGTTGTAGTAGTTGACATTATGTATATGTATATGTAAGTATGTATATGTATATAAGAAGAAAGGGACAATAAAAATAAATAATAAAAAAGTAAATTATTAAAACGATGTCATGTGCGAAATAACGAACGAGTCTCGTACCCCAAAACTTTTTTTGTTTTTTAATGAGGGTGTCACCCGCTCATAGTAAAAACTTTGTATGATGGATGGAAGACCCCTCATTTTGGATTTTTTTAAAAGTTTTTTTTTTTCCTCACAGCACCAAACCAAGCAATCTAAGATGAGTGAAGTATCTCTATCTCTCTCCTCTCTCTACCTATAACTTACCTTCACATAACAAACATACTTTACTTACAAAAGTATACTTCTACATATCACAATCAGTAGATAAGATTATCATCATCATAATTGATAGTCAAAGTATAGTATAGAGTAGTAAATACCAACTAAACCAACCATCACAACTTCACCCATCATCACATTGTAACATACATTACTATTACTACTATTACTATTTTACTATTATATAACCTTCTTCTTCTTCTTCTGTGTTCTTGTATATATAATCATATAGATATTTTTTAAAACAAAAGTAAGTAGAGTTGATTGAGTAAAGAGTGTCAAATGATTGATTGAAATAAACTAACTTCTTCTTCTTCTTCTTCTTCTTCTTCTTCTTCTTCTTCTTCTTCTTCTTCTTCTTCTTCTTCTTTCAATTTATTTGTTTGTTTGTTTGTTTGTTTGATTATTCTAATTTAAAGTGTCACAAACAAACTTTCAAAAGTTGCCAGAAAAGATTCATTTGGTAAAGGAGAATGGAGAGCAACTATTACATAGACTGTACAATACAAGAGTGTTTTTGACATCGGCCAAGACTAGACCATTGTTCTTGTCGGATGAAAAGATTGGACGTGCCATCAAGAATTTGATGGCCAAGTTCCCCGACTTTCCCGAGCTCGACAAGGTGCAGGGTGTGGAGCTGCTGACATCGCGTGCCAAGCAGTATGTCGAGGACTTGGAGCCACACTATGATACATTGGTCGACTGCTGCGACTGGCGTGACGCCTGTTTCTCGCTGCTGCAAGAGATTAGCGGCACGACGGCATCGATCAAGTTTACTAACTCGATCCAGTTGGCTGCCGCATTTATGGACCTCGTCGTACTCTACGTCAAGATCCACGTGCTCATTGGTATGATTGGCGACCGTCGTACAGTGCTCGGCGTGTTTGCTCGTCTCTTTCAACACATCCGATCGGCCGTCGAGCCAAACTACCAACGCACAGTGCGTTGGGTGCACGACTTTTCCGACGCACCCATCAAAAAGTTGCAAGACGAGTTCCGTGCCATCAACGACACCATCGGTCACATCTTGGCATCGGTTGCCGAGTCGTACGCCAAACGCAAATTCATCACACAGTTGCGTCGTGACGGTGCACTCAACCTTATCCTCAAACCAGAGGATATCGCCCGTCCCATCCAAGACCAGTATCGTACCGACCTGGCCTACGGTGCCCGTATGAACCAGTGGATCTTGTTTGGCGCACTCTGCGCACCCGGCACACTCGGCACTCCCTCGGCCATCGAGCTCGTCAAGTTTGCCTTGTCCGAGGGCTTCCACTTGCCCATCTTCAAGGACATCTCGTTCCCCATCCACTCAGAGTTCTCGTCGCTCTTTAAAAACTACAAGAGCAAGACTATCCAGTTGCAAAAGCAACGCAAGGTCATCAAAGAGGCTACCCAAGCCTCGTGCACTGATGCTCCACGCAAACACTATGAAAAACGTATCTATGTGCGTCAAGAGCTCGAAGCCATGTACAACTTGTTCCGTGACCGTCCCTGTCTCTTGGCACCCAAGTTTAACGTCCTCCTCGCCGCTCTCTCGATGGCCAAGGACGAAATCTTTTGGTATTTCCGTCACCATGAATCAACCCCTCCAGAAAAGGTTAAAAAGTATTACAACAAACAAAATGATATTCGTGACAAACGTATTAGTTCTTTATTATATTTTATTGATAAATTAATTGGACTAGTTTATCAAAATAAGCAAAGTAAGAAAAGAAAAAGAAAAGAAAAACAAACAAATATAAATATATATTCTAACCTTACTTTTAATTCTTTTTTTTTAGTAATCCAAAATTATTATGTTGAATATATAATTGGAGCAGATTTATTAGGATTGACCAAGATTTTAACACCACATGTATTGCAGACAGCAGGTACAACAGTGACACAAACCATCAATACAATTGTATCGGAATTGAAACAGATTCAAGGAGGTATGATTGATTACAACTTTTCGGCGTTGCGTGACAATTGGATGAGATTAGAGTATTTGTTGTACAGTAGTTCATGTTCACTCAAGGAATCAGACTCTCAACACATATCTTCACGTCTCAATCTTGTGTTTATCCATTCGCTCAACGTCGACTCTATCGACCAACAATTGGAAGAGTACTCGCAATTGGCCGGTTTGTGGTCGTTCAAGGATGGTTTGTTGACTGCATTTGACCAAGCTATTATGGAGGGTGCTGACCAACCCACACAAGCCATGATCTTCCTCCGTCTGCTCTCTCAATTCCCCAACACCGTGCCAACACAGTTCTTCCCCGAGGAGAAGGAGTTTATCGGCAAGGAGTGTGCCGATCTCGCCAATGGCGCACTCAACAAGATTGCAAACCGCATTGTGCAGATTTTGAGCTCGGCCGTCATCCAGCAGTTCCAAGCCAACGAGAACCAACTGGCCGACGTCAACGCTGCATTCCCACTGCTTCAAAAGCGCAAGGACTGGCGTCCACCCAAGGACTTTGTGACACCGGTCGAGCCAGGCTCCGAGAGTCATTTCAAGGGACGTGCCAATCTCGAGCAGTTGCGTATGTACCAAAAGAATGCATTCCAGTTGTGCACGGCACTCAACGAGTTTATGGAGATTAGTGTACACGACCATGTGTTTGTGCCACGCGAGTTTTTGCGTGAGCGTATGACCGCTACTCTCAAGCAGTATATGCGTCAAACTGCATTGCCCACCTCGCCAGCCGACCCCACCACACTCATCCGTCCATCGTCCTACGAGACACAGTTACACGTATTCCTCGGTGTCTTGCAAATGGTCGAAAACTATGTCGAGATTGATGTTGGTGATTTGATCCGTGAGACTATGCTCACAGAGTTTTACGCCAAGGTGCTTGGCAAGTGCGGACGTATCGACTGGTTCCCAGAAGGTGAAATCGAGTACAGCGACGCTACTCTCCACTCGTTTACCAACTACTACACTGACTTTGTTGCCAAAAAGTTGCATGTTGCTGCTAACCAACCGCTTGGAAACGGTGTAGTCTACTCGCCCGCTCGTCTCGGATACCTCTCCAAGACAGGCTTGCCGTTCCGTGCTGAAGACCATACCGACCTCGTCGAGACAGAAGCCATGGTACGTCTCATCGGGCCATACGGTGTCAAGTTGATCGAACGTGAGCTGCTCCGTACCGTCCTCGGACACGTCACAGCCATCAAGGACATCTTGTCGGCCAATATGGCACAATTGGAGGAATACCAACAGTCATTCTACAAGAGCAAATGGCAAGACGTCCTCAAAAAGTTCAAGACTATCGATTTGGACAACTTTGTCTCGAGATCGATTGCTGTCGGCAATGCATTGCAATTGCGTGCCATGTTGCGTGACGCTATCCGCACCACCTCACAACAAGAAATCCCTTATATTGCCGGCGCGGTCGATACAGCCTTTGCAGAGTACAACAAAAACACATTCATGTTCCCCGAGTTCCTCGGAGTTGACACGATCGCTTTGGACGCTGGTCTCGATGTAGGTGTGGCCGATCAATACCTCAAACTGTTTTTGCGAAAGATTTCAACCGAAGCTGACAAGAAGTTGTGGGAGATGTTACCCATCATGTACGCCGTCTCGTTCCAATCGACCTTTTGGAAAGAAGCTACCTACCGTCCATCACTCGAAGCATACACCAACAATATCAATGTCTTGTCGCGTTGCATAAACGACCTATTGATTGCATTTGGCGCCATCAACAGCACCACTGGCAATGAAGCAGAGATTGTAGTCTCGTTGCAAAAGTTTGTCGAGATTAGTGCCGTCCTCATCATGCGTTTGTTCAGAGGCAAGGTTGAAAAGACACCCAATGATTTGCCATCGGTCGTTGTCTTTTTGGACAAGTTTGTTCAAGACTCTCCTCTCATCTCCAAGGACGTCTTGGAACAATTCCTTCCCTATGCTCTCATCAGAAATATGTATAGAGAAATTTATGAAATCAAAAATTTGGCTAAATCACCTGAAGGTCAAACTGAACAAACCTTCTAAATCAAAAAGAGTAAAGTAAAGTAAAGGTAAAAAATCGCGATATATATACCTTTTTTTTTTTTAAAACAAATACAACTAAAGTAAAGTATTTTGTTCCGTCCTCCCCATCCGCCCATCTATCTCTCTATATAAATATCCCCCAAAAGAAAACAACATAAATCAAAAAATTAAAATTTAAATAAAAATCAAATTGTAATATTAATAAAGATCCCTGGGTAGGAAATCAACAAGTCGTCCAAACAAATTCTTCAAGGATCGGCGACCGTCCCTGTGAAGATGGATCTCTAATGGATAAAGTTAAATTCTAACAATTTTTGACTTTGCAGAAGAAGAATGATAATACTTACTCACTGGTTAGTTCCTATCATATCGTCCTTTCATTCAACATATAAACATTTCTAAAATGACAGGTTTGATCTTCATCATTATAATCATAATATTTTATTTGTGATTAACTAAATATTCTTCTTCTTCTTTATAAAGAACCTCCTATAGAACAATTTTTTTTGAATGGTGAAGGCATTCTAAGCAAGATATCAAGATCATCCTTAGATATGACATATTACTTTATCAAAATGTTGGCATATGGGAGATTGACAATGACCCATTGAGATTCTTTTAAATTCATTATTTATTCGTCTTCGTCATCATCCCAGCCTAACTCATCCATAATTGATGTAACCTTTCCAAAAAATATTGGTTTTTTTGATGTTGTTGTTAGGGGTGGTTTCGTTGGTATCGTTGTTGTTGTTGTTGTTGGATTGGTTTGTTTTGTTGTTGCCTTAGGTTTGGCGGATGGGGTTTCTTTGTTTTTAGGTATTGTAGTTGTTGTAGTTTTCGTGGCGTTGGTGATGGTTGCAGGAGTAATTGAAAATGATATTTTCGTAATATTTTCTTTTTCTTTTTCAATGTTTTGTTTTAATTTGTTTGTTTCTTTTTCTTTTTCTTGTTCTTTTTCCTTTTCTTTTTCCTTTTCTTTTTCCTTTATATTTTGTTTTAATTTGTTTGTTGTATTTGTTATAGTTTTAATTTCTTCTTGTTCTTTTTGTTTTTTGATTTTAGAATTATTATTTCCTTTTCTTTTAATTTTAATAAAATAGTTTGGATCATTGTTATTCTTTTTCTTTTTTTTCTTGTTCTTTTTACTATTAACATTGATATTTTCATCCTGTTGAGAAGAATTCTTTTCTTTTGGAATAATCTTTAGATTATTTCTTTTACTTGATTCCAATCTTGATAATCTTAAATCATTTAAATGATTTAATTTTGTACTTGAAAAATCAATTGGAAATGATGGTTGTTCATCTGAAGAATTACCATCCAAATTATTATTATTATTATTAACTGGTAATTCAAATTCTTGATCCAATTCGATAAAAATATCCTTTTCCTCTTTGTTTTGATTATTATTCCAATTCCAAGTAGGATGATTATAAATTTCATCAATCTTATTTTGATTATTATTATTTTGATTTAATTTTTCAATGATTTTAGAGTATAAAGGTATAAGATGTTGTTTACAGAATACATCCTTTTTTAAAACATATTTTTTACATTGTTTCATTGATTTTGAGGAGCATCCTTTACATCTTCCATATTCAACATTGTCAACATTCTTGTGATATTTACAATATTTCAAAGATAAAGATGAAGATGGGGACAAAGATGAAGATGAAGAGGATTGTTGTTCTTTTTTTGATTTACATCTTTTTCCAAAGCCATGATGATGATTATCATTATACTTTACAAATTGACAACGATCTTGATCAGTTGGTACAGTACCAGGTTTGACCCATTTCAATTTCTTTTGTTTTGTAGTAGTATCATAGTTATTATTCTCTTGTTGTTGTTGTTGATCAATTCTATCAGCTCTTCTTTTAGCTACTGATTGTACAAATGATTCATTTCTTTTACTTTGTTTATCTGTAAATATCGTTGTTGATGATGTATCTCTATCATCCTTACTATTATAACCATCTACATTATTACTATTATTATCATCTCCACCTCTTTTTCTTTTAAACATGTTATGATGTTGATGAGTCGATATACATTCTTTTTATCATAATAATAATAATTATAATAAAAAATAATAAATAAAAATACTAATCTGAGTGGTGTGAAGATCAGATGTTTGAGCTCAATAATTTATTTTTAATTTATTTTTTGTTTGTTTGTGTCATACACATAGAGATAGATAATAATAATAATAATGACAGAGAATAGATATAAATTAAATGTTATAGATAATAAGATACAATTAGTTCAATTGTATATTGATGGATTTGATGAATTAGAGACAAGAGACAAGATATTAATGTATCATCTTTATCGTGCTGCATTGGCTGGTAGAGATATTGCATACGATCAATCTCATCCACAATGTCTTGCACTTAGAAACTTGGTAGAAGATATCATAGAGGTTTCGGACAAGACACCAAGTGTAAAACAAAAGTTTGAAAAGGAATTAGAGTGTATTCAAACATACCTCTATTACACTTGGATTGGTAATGGTCCATATGATCAATACACAAGTGCAAAGATTACATTGTCTAAAGAAGTGTGTCCAAAAGATAGATTAGTTGAAATAATCAGTGCTCTTGGTCAGGGATTCAATTTACAAGGTAAAAAAGATGCTTTAGAATTGGTGACAAGTTTGGAGACACTATTGTACGATCCAAATGACAGAAAGATATTGACCGAGAAGAGTCCTGGAGAAGATTGGATTAAAGAGAGTGCTGTCAACTTTTACGATCAGTCATTGACGTTGGAACAAGTCAAAGGGTTTGTTGGCACGGATAATGACAAGTACCAACTCAACTCGACTGTTGTCAAACGTGCCGATGGATCGTTGGACGTAGAAGTTTGGAGAGCTGGATCGAGTGACTTGGGAATTGGTCCAGGTCGTTATGCCAACGAGCTCACCAATGTCATTTACCATTTGGAAAAGGCTGTCAAATATGCAGAGAGCGCTGAACAACAGAAAACTATTCAGTTGTTGATCAGATACTTGCAGACTGGTGAAGCAGAAGATTTCAGACAATACAATATACATTGGGTCGGTGACAATAGTGTCGTCGACTTTATTTTGGGATTCATCGAGGTGTACACCGATCCAATGGGACTGCGTGCACAGTATGAAGGATCGGTCTATTGGAAGCACCAAAAGCTGACGGCTAGTATCAGCAAGATTGGAGACAATGCCCACTACTTTGAACAGCGTATGCCATGGGACGAAAAGTACAAAAAGAAAGATATCAAACCGATCTCTCTCAATGTGGTCATGGTGGTGGCTGGAGTTGGTGGTATGGGACCTGGTTGTATTCTCGGTGTCAACTTGCCAAACGAAGAGAGTATTCGTGAACAACATGGATCGAAAAGTATAGTACTCCAAAACAACGCACAGGCGTCTGATGAAGGATTGGGAGAGTCAATGACGGCCGAGTTTTGCTGGGATCAGCAAGAGATTGACATGGAGAAGCAGTACGGGACATTTGCCGACAACCTCGCCACTGCCTTGCACGAGGCACTCGGCCATGCATCCGGTCTCTGTGTCGTCCCCGATCCCAGCGCATGCTTGCCGGGCTACTATAGCACGCTCGAGGAAGCTCGTGCCGACTTGGTCGCACTCTGGCACATCTACGACCCCAAGTTGGTCGAGTTGGGTATCGTCGACAGCGACGAGATTGGCAAGACACTGTACCGCCAACAAATCAGAACCGTGCTCGTACAATTACGCAAGATCGACGGTGACAAGCTCGAAGAGGATCACATGAAAAACAGACAGCTCATTGCCAACTATATCATTCAAAACTCCAAGTCTGTCGAAAAGAGAGAGCGTGATGGCAAGACCTACTATGTCATTGTCGACTATAAAGAGGCACACCGTCAAGTCGGTATTCTCTTGTCAGAGATTATGCGTATCAAGGCCGAAGGTGATCTCCCAGCAGCTCAGAAACTAGTCGATACCTATGCTCTCTACGTCGACAAACAACTCCGAGACCAAGTCAAACATAGAATCAAAACATTGGGTGTTGCAGCCTACGCTTCACTCGTCATGCCAACCCTTATCCCCGTCACCACCAACGGTGATGAAATACAAACAATCAATGTTGAATATCAAAAGGATTTCAAAAAACAAATGTTTGATTTTAAATATTTATCTTTACAAAAATAATTAATAATAATAAAAATGGAAAGGAAAAAAAAGAATAGATAGAGATAGATAGATAGAGATCCGACTATCCCAAATCAAAATCAAGATGAAGTGAAAGGTTAGATTTCCCGCATAGATGGCATCTATCCATGGATTCAATACAATGCGGATTATCATAATCAAACATCTCTTAATTCAAAAAGTCACCAATCAAATCACACAATTTCATCTCATCGGGTTCAAAACAGAGTGTTTTAAAAAAAGCAACCCCATTCCATCTGAAATATCTCGTGGTGGAATCACCTGTGTTTGTCTTTTTTATCTGTTCACTAGTGTTTCAATTTGTGTGTGAAACCAAGTTGATTGATCGATAAGGATTCACAAGTGTTTAAAGAGAGAGACAAGAAACAAACTTCATTCATTCATTCATTCTTACAGGTATAAACATAGAAAGACACATATAATTCAAAAAGATGATGAAACAATCATCATCAACATTCACAATCCTTATACTATTGTGTTGTTGTTCATTCCATTTTATAGATCAAGTAACATCTCAGTTGGTATTACCACAATCAGAATGTATGTTTTGTTACAATACAATTGTTGTTGTATTTCCGATCGCGATCGATCGATTGATCGATTGATTGATCACCCACACATTGCATTGTGTACTAATACAATTATTTTCATTTTTTTATTCAAATAATTTGATGAAACCATTGTTATTATTATTATTATTATAGTAACATCTGCAATCTTTATGATTAGACAATATGGATTGAAAATACAAGAGAATCAAGCAGCTATATGTGGTGGAGCTACTAGCAACTATACTTTCTTTTGTACCAATTCAACTAACGGATATCATATTACTAAAATGTATTTATTATCAGTCACTCCTCTTAATCTAACTACATATATGTTAATGTTTTTTTTTAATTTTAGTGATGTTAAAGGAGACACATTTACGACTGGTTTAGGTGTACCCGATCCAACATTCATTTCTTACAATCTGCCAGAGTTGACAGAGTTTAGAACCTTTACAATTCAAGTTAAAAACACTTCCTTTGTATTTGCCAAACTTATTCAAAATCTTTCAAAACTTGAAACTTTAATGTATGTAGAGAGCAGAGCGGACAAACAAACAAGAATAATAATAATAATAATTTTAAAATATATTAATTTTTTATTTATTTATTTATTTATTTATTTATTTATTTTTAGAGCTGAAGTTGAAGCTACATTTGTTGTAATACCTTATGGATTCCCAAATCCACAACAATATCCTAATCTCAAACATTTTGAATATTGGTGTAATTCACCAAATAATCCAATCGATCTCAACCTATTTCTCGCGTCAACATCGATTGTTGAAAAAATTCAATTGACATGTACTGGGTTTAACTTTAAAATCGATGAATCTATTTATCTTCCAAACCTCAAATATTTTGGATTATATACTAGAGATGTTAATTCAACAACAATCACTATATCCGAATCATCATTCCCTGCTTTAAAAGCTTAGTATGTCTCAAACAAAAAAAAAGAAAATAGAAAATAGAAAATAGAAAATAGAAAATAGAAAATAGAAAGTTTGATACTAACAAACTAACATTATGAACACAATAGCAATATATCCATCGCCGCTCCAACATTCCTTATAAATCATAGACATACAAATTGTCCCAATGTGTAAGCACCACCATCGCAATTATTATTATTATTATTATCAAGAAGAATTAATTAATATTAATATTAATATAAATATATTTATAAAACATATATAGTACAATACTTAGTAGATTTGTAGATATTAAATTTTCAAATCCAAACCCTAAAACAATTGAAAATTTGTAAGTACTTTTTATGATTATCTAAAGTAATTGAATGATTCATCTAATTTAATATTATTATTTTTTTTCTAAAAAAAAACAATAGAGATCTTATGCAACATAATATTACATTGATTGATGGATCTATAACAGATTATACAAATCTTAAAACTTTGTAAGTGGCCCACACTATAGTGGATTGTGATCATGATAAATATATTTATTTATACATTGTATTAACTTTTTTAATTTATTTTTTATATTACATTATATTTATTGTAGAAGGTTAGGGGAATATAATTTTAAAGGACCATTCCCATTTACAAGTTATCCATCACAATTGACAAGTATTATTTTGCAGCAAAATATTCCAATTTCTGTCATCCCAAATATTACACTCCCACCTTTATTAGATTCTTTGTATGTTTCAAAACAAAGTTGTCTAAAATTTGAATTAGCTCATTAATTAATCAATTATTTATTTATTTAGTACATCATCTTTTGATAATGCCAAAGGTCAAGTCCCTTGGAACTTATTTTCATCAAAAAAGAAATTATATTTGGATTTATCATATAATCCATTATTGACTGGTAGTGTCTCGCCTGATATGTGCAGTGTCGATCTATCATTGAATATATTAAATTCTGGAATCACCACACTTCCAGAATGTCTCTATTGTTATTTATCGGATCCCAAAGTTATTAAAACTACCATTACCCCTCCACCTAATTTCAATTGTAGTATGTATACAATACAGACAACCAAAAAAACAACAAGGGGAATGAAAATGAATAATTAATAATTTATTAATTTAATTTTTAATTAATTTAGATTTTACAATTGATTCATTGGATATTTATACAAAGTTTGGAAAAGCATTAATTAGTGGTACCAATTTAGGATATGGTGAAAAGAACTTTACAAGATATTCAATCAAACGAATCGTACCAAACTCATTGATAGAATTTACAACAGACTATCTAAGTGGACCAAAGAAAACTATGGTCATCAAGTTAAGTGACTACTACTCTTACACTTTTCCATTACAAGTGATTGAGATTGCCATTACCATGGCAGACACTCAATCAACATTGGTAGAGGGTGGTGCATTACTAAACATCACATTTGAATATTTTAATAGTGCAGTTGTCCATACTGTCATGGTTGACAATACAATCCCTTGTCAAATCGTATCAATGCAAACTAAATATTTACTTTGTCAAACCTTTGATTATATTCCATGGAATGATAAAAATATTACTGTATCAAATCAATATTATTCTACAAGTTCAATGTTTACATTTTCTTCTCCAGGTACGATATAAAACAAATCAAACAAAAAAACAAAAAAAACAGACCAAATATTAATTAATTTAATTTTTATTTAATTTAGTTTATCCAAGTATAACAGCAATTAATATATCAAATGATTATAAGAATTTAACTATTTATGGTGAATTTGGAGAGATGGGACAATTAAATGCAACGGTTAGAATTAATAATACATTGGATTGTAATATCACCTCTAGTACAAGAGAAATGATCAATTGCTCGCTTGTAGATACTCCATCATTGGGATTAGCAAATATTAATGTTTCACTTGACAATCTAACCTTTTATGCTGATTCTTTATTGTATTTCCCTGTCATTCCAACAACTACAACACCACCTTCTGTACCACAAACCAAAGAACAATGTGAAGAATCAACAAGTAAATGTTTTGGTCATGGTATTTGTCAAGATAATGGTCAATGTCAATGTAACCCTAATTATAATCAATTTGATAATTGTTTAACTAAATGTAAGTCAAAAAATAGATCTAATTAATTAAATAATTAAAGAAATAATAATATTAATTTTATTTTCTATTTCTATTTTTAGTTATAAATACAACAATTAAAAATACATCACGACAACCAATTATTGAATATAATTTAACAAGATTAAATGGTGATGATGAATTGGTGTCATACGGAGCATTTAAATTTGGATTGGTATCTATTCAAGAATTAAATTTTGATAATAGTGTATTGAGAGAATTAAAGTTACAAGAAGACCAGTGGACATCAGACTCTTCATCATCATCATATACCTATACGACGACGACAAATAGTTCAGTTTCTGGATTTGGTAATACAACCATTATAGCCAACACAACATTTTCACAACAACCATCAACCGATTCCAATTACTTGGGTAACCATTCCCTATTATTGAATCCATCGTCGACTAAATTATCAGTGTCTATCATTGATTGGCCATACCTATCACCAATGTCAACCCTTCAAATTATTTATCAACAATTATCGTCGTCAGAGGAACAATCACCATCACAAACAATAGATCGTGGATGTGACAAGGTAACTGTATCATTGACAAAGACTGATGAGTTTGGTGTATCAGTTCAATACGTCCAAGTAGTCAATCAAAGAGCACAATTCAATGGTAGATTCATTGATTATTCAATATCCAATGGTTTGGAAACTTATTCAAGAGTTGTTCAACAACAGGATGGCGGCAGCGGTAGCAGTGGCAACTCGATATTTTCACTAGCAGTCAAACTACCACATTGTCAGCTATGCCAGACCAGTTTTGATTTCACTCCTTTGGAAATCGATCAAGTTTCATGTGGCAGTGAGACATCGTCGGTTGCATGGAAAGCTGGAGTTGGTGTTGCTGTGCCCGTTGCAGCCATCTTGGTTGGAGCTGCTGGTTTCTTTGGAAGAAAACACATCCAACGCAAACTAGCTAATACAAGATCAAAATCAATTGAACTAAATTAAAATAACTAGTTATTAATAAATAATAATAATAATGATACATATCATATTGTATTAACATATTGAACTTAGAAATTTGAGTGTGTAAAAGGATGTAACAAAACCCATCAAACAAATTTTTTTTTTTGGTTGGCATTCATTTTGTTTTTTTGAATACCAGTAATATGTATTTATCACCTTTTATTGAATCAATTATCAATCAAATACCAGATAGTAGTAGTAGTCTAGATCATAATAATAAATATGATTTATCACAACTTCAAACGATTATCATTGAACAGATATTTGGATATATCAAAGATGTAGTAGATGTTATTAGTTTATTATTGACTTGTAAAAAGTTATTATTGTTACCTTTTAAGAGTCAACAACAACAACAACAATCATTAACATCAACTAATATCATTGGCAATGATATTAAAGCAGTGTTTGAAAAGAGTATCAGCTCTTTTATAAATACTGAGTATATATATACTCAGCCATTAAATTATTTCAACCATCAAAAGAGCATTCAATCACGATACAATCTAAATACCTTTCAACACTTTTTCAATGCATCTTTTGATCATCGTTTGGTACTCGATTCCGACGACCCTCCTCATACATTATACAAACAACAACAACAACAACAAAAACATGTTGATACTTCTCCTCCTTCTCCTCCTCTTCCTCATATTCTACCAACTATAACACATTCATTGTTATTATCAAGATTAGATTCAAATAGGAGTATAAGAAAACTAGATGAGTTTCCAAAGACCACTCAAACACTTTGGTTGCCTGTTGGTTATGACTGGGGTATCGATAAATCTCTCTTTCCCAACCTACAAGTGCTTTTAGTTGGAGGTGAATCCCAACGTGTTTTGCGATCGCTACCAGACACTCTCACATCTCTGACACTCTATTCAGAGATATTGCCCGAGCATCCGATCCCACGATCTATCAAGTATCTCACCATTATGGCAAAATCACCCGATTCTGTATCTAAGAACGCTGCCTATCCTAGGGACCTATCCAGGACCATGTTTCCAAGTGACTCTCAACTTGTCGAGCTATCGATAGAGGCGGAAGTCGATTTAGATGTGGACTACGACAATGACTATTCATCCTCTTCCTCCTCCTCCAACTACTTTTTCCCAACCAGTCTTACCAAATTGACTCTAAACATTGGACAATCAATCCCCAAATGTTTCCTAACACCAAATTTAAAGTCACTGACCATTAAAACTAGATCAATGGTTGGGTTTGGTCAAGGATTGGCTGGGTTGCATCACTTGGAATTCCTTGACTTGGTATTGATAAATAAGAGTTGTCGTCTTGAAGATTTACATCTTCCAAGTAGTTTAAGAGTACTCAAACTAAAGTCATATCCAAGACAACAACTTTGGGAGGGGTTCCTTCCACCTCTTCTTGAAAGCTTGTATTTAAATTTTCTAAGTACATACAATGAACCTATTACCAAAGGATTATTCCCATCATCTCTCAAGACTCTTGACCTCCAAGTAAATATTCAGTCACAAATTCATGTCGGTGCACTTCCATCATCGTTGACTAGTCTTTCGTTAAAATATGAACAAGAATTGGTTGTTGGTGTCATTCCAAATGGTTTAATCAAATTGGAACTAAGAGAACATAAACATTTAATCAATCAACAAAATGTATTACCCGATTCAATCACTAGTCTATCTTTACCAGGATACCATCAAGTTGATCTATCAACCTTTTCATTTCCACCAAAACTAAAGAAATTGGAATTAATGAATTTAAAGGACAAGATAATATTAAATCAACAAGACACAGATGATGGTAGTGGTGGTCATAGTCGTTGTTGTTTACCAGTGACACTTGAAAAATGGTATAGTAATATTGATGTTGTTGGTGGTCTGCCAATCGATCAATTACCAAATTTACGTGGTTTCAAATATCCTCTAGCATTACAAGAAACAGGCTTTCCTTTATTTTCTCTACAACATACTACTACTACTACTACTACTACTATGATGCCAAAACAAATCAAGAAATCGTATTACTATATAACTAATCGATATTGGGTAGATCAACGTTTTAGTTTCAGGTTGCAAGATGTGTTGGTAGTTCAATCAACAAGATTGCAATCATTAATACTAGTAGTAATAGTGTAAAAGTTTCCAAATACATGTTTGATGTTAGAATGTTGGATGATAAACATGCTATCATTATGCAAGGTCTTTATGGAGGAATAGTTGATCTACAACAAAGTAAATTTACCCAAAATCATTATACTTTTCCCTTTGTCACAAAGTCACAACAGAAATAATAATAACAATATGTCATACAATGAACCGCAAACTAATACCATTTTACTCTGTTAGATTTATAAATAAAAAAGAATTTAATTTAAATGTTTTGAATCAGACAATAATATTATTTATTATCTTTGTCAAAAGTTGTATGTATCTTTGGCAAAACTCCATTTCAATTCATAAGGAGATTTTGAGTAGATGGGATAAAAATGTAAAAGGATGGGATCATATTGTGTCTGTTGTTGTTGTTGTTGATTGGTTATTATTCGTTGAGTGATTATTCCACCTGAAAGTGACTGTTTCTCCAATACCAATACATTTCTATTGTCAGAGTCCAATCTTGTAAGAGAAAAATAATAGGGTATGACCATGCCAGTCGCATCATAAATAATAGTTAAATGTCTAACATTGGTGTGATTGATCACTTCATCCAATCTAAAGAAAAATTTTGGAGATGCAACCCATAGTTTGCAAGTTAGATGCGTGGTATTGAGTGGCAGCCATTGTTGTTGGGAGGTGACAGCTTTGGTAAACTTGGAGGTGATCGAATAGATAACACTACCTCTTCTTCTCAAGGGTATCAAGAGGTTGGTGATTGATGGTGGTATGCTGTCAATGACAAAGTGGTCCTCTTCGACATTGACAATGTCGATTGTTTCTAGATTGGGTGGATGGTCGGATGGGAACACCACCAAATTACATTTAGGGCTAACACTCCAATAGGCGAGCTTTTTCAAAGCGCGAGGAAGTACGACCGAAGCATTAAAGGTATCCATCTTTAGTTGAATGAGTGACTGTGGGAGTTTGATGCGCTCCAAGTCACCAGAGATGGATAGGTGAGTCAGTGACTGTGGCAATACAACCTTTTCATATATATCCACATCTTCTGTATAGTTGTATATTGTAAGCTTTTCAACTGTGGATGGGATCATATTGGCTGGGATCACCTTTTTGCATTCGTGAATAACGAGTTTCTTGAGAGATTGGCAAGACGTTAGATTGACCCTTCCATCGATCAATATGCTTCCGTGCACACGCAATATCTCCAACAGAGGCATGACACATCGTGATGGGATACGTGTCCAATCGGACCAGATTGTAAGATTCTTGATTGAGGGAGGGATGCGAACCTCGATGACATACTTTTTTGTGTTGTCATCGAGCTTGAACGTATTGAGGTTTGGCAGATGTTCGAGATTGATCAATGGTTGTTCTGGCACCACCACCACCACCTCCTCCTCCTCCTCCACCTCTTCAGGAAAAGGCAATGATGATGCATTTTGCAGAATAATCTTGAGTTTGACGAGTGACCTCAATGAATGGAATGCATCTCGTGGGGGTGTCTTGTTCAGTCTGAGAGTGAGCGACGTCAGACCGATTGGCAATTGATCTTCTGGAGCCATACTCGACACAAAATGACTCTTGAAGCTCAACTCGGTCAGCGATACCAATTTGTCCAATCCCAAGTCGGCGAGAGTGTATGGTGTATTGATTTGTAGTTTCAGAGACTTGAGTGATGTATGGCGACCAAGTATCACATGGTTTACACCAACAAGTGAAAGACGTTCGAGATTGGGCAACAGTGCGATAGAGCCAAGATCAACCTCTATAATAATATCGTAGGTATCTTTGTGGATGAATAGTGTTTCGATTGACGGTATGTTGTCGTAGAGTAACTGTATCGATGATGGTTGGTAATCGATCAACAAAGCAGTGGTAATGTTACTCTTGTCAACTCTGTCGGCAGTGGTGGATGTGATACGTTGTCGTATCCAGTGAGGATAGTTGTTGAATCGCTCCAAGAAGCCTTTGCAACGGTCCAAGATGACATATTGATCAGATACACTATTCAGCAAGATATCATTGAATGAGTTGATTCTGAATTGAATGGCTGTTGCTTTAAACGGCTCTGATATCTGACCCTTGTCAGTATTGATAGCTCTTATCCCTTTGAACTGAATCAATCTTCTAATACTACCATTACTATATATCCTCTTGCAAGTTAACAATAAACATACTGTATCTGCATTATCATCAATCTGTGATATGATATGTAATAACAATAGATTAGATAACTTTAAAAGAGTCATTTAGTTGGTTGGTTCCCCCTCTGAAGAAAAGTAATGTGACTTTTTAAAGTCATGGTTGACATATCAACCAACTAAATGACTCTTTTAAAGGTGATAAATACATTAATTATTTGATTAAACAAATCATACGAACTATCACCTTTTACTGAATCAATCATCATCAATCAACCAGATCATAGCTGTAGTCGTAGTAGTAGTAGTAGTCATCGTAATAAATATGATTTATCACAACTTCAAACGATTATCATTGAACAGATATTTGAATATATTCAAAGATGTACTAGTTTGTTGTTGACTTGTAAAAAGATGTTATTGTTACCTTTTAAGAGCCAACAACAAATAGTTTCTGCAAAAGGGTGCACCCAAACTAAAGTACCTTCATTTTGTTTTTTAAAACCAAATAATAATAATAATATATTATGTATTTATCTCCATTTATTCATTCAATCATCAATCAATTAGATTATCCTAATAATAGTCAACAACAGTATTATAATAATAATCATATTAATAATAATAAATATGATTTATCACAACTTCAAACGATTATCATTGAACAGATATTTGAATATATTCAAGATGTAGTAGATGTTATTAGTTTGTTATTGACTTGTAAAAAGATGTTATTGTTACCTTTTAAGAGCCAACATCATCATCAACAGTATCAACATCAGTCATTGACAGCAAGACATATTAAAAGAGTGTTTGATAAGACAACAGATTTTTTAAATCGTTTGTCAACCTATCATAGATACTGCAACCATTTAAAGAATATTCAATCACAATACAACTTTGAAACAATGAGAGACTTTTTCAATCTGTCTACAGACCATCGTTTGGTACTTGATATGCACGATCCTCCTTATGAACAATACAAACAATTACAACAACAAAAACGACAACAAAGACTTGGTACTGTTAAAAATCCTTCTCAACCAACAGAGATAACACATTCAGTGTTATTGGAGAGACTAGATTCAAATAGGAATATAAGGTCAATCTATGATGTACCAAAGACTTCTAAATCTCTCTTTTTGTCGTTTCAACATGACAAGGGAATTGCAAAGTCTATACTTCCACCAGACCTACAAGAACTCGGTATAAGAAGTACCAATGATAGTTTTGGAGAGTTACCAGATACTCTTACATCTCTGACACTCCTAACCAACCAGACACCCCTCCAACACGAGTTACCTCGGTCACTATGTACATTGGTTGCATTCCCTCATATCATCACTTGCATTCCAGCGTCGGTAAAGTCATTTACCATTGCAAAAGAGGATTCAAGTGTTTCTACTGCACAGAAAATACCAAGAACCATGTTTCCATATGACTCTCAACTTGTCGAACTATTAATAGAGACAGAGGTTGATTTAGATGTTGGCGTTGATGAAGAAAATAATAATAATAATAATTATTACTTTTTCCCAATCAATATTACCAAAATGACTCTACATATTAGACAACCACTACTTCATTGCTTCTTATCACCAAATTTAAAGTCACTGACCATTCAAACAAAATCAAAGACTGGGTTTGGTCAAGGACTCGCTAGCTTGTGTCACTTGGAATACTTTGATTTGGTTTTATTGCATCAGAGTTGTCGTCTTGAAGATTTACATCTTCCAAGTAGTTTAAGAGTACTCAAATTAAAGTCATATACAAGACAATTCCTTTGGGAGGGGTTCCTTCCACCTCATCTTGAAAGCTTGACGTTAAAGCTTCTTAGTACCTATATTGTCCCGATTACAAAAGGAATATTCCCTCCATCTCTCAAGACTCTTGACCTCCAAGTAAATATTCAGTCCCAGATTGATGTTGGTGCACTTCCATCATCATTGACCTCTCTAGGTTTAAAATGTGAACAAGAATTGGTGGTTGGTGTCATTCCACATGGTTTAGTTGAATTGGAACTAAGAGAACATAAACATTTAATCAATCAACAAAATGTATTACCCGATTCAATTACTAGATTATCTTTACCAGGATACCAACAATTTGATCTATCAACATTTGCATTTCCCCCAAAATTAAAGAAATTGGAATTAATGAATTTAAAAGAAAAAATTATATTAAAACAAGACACGGATGGTAGTGGTCATAGTCGTTGTTTACCATTGACACTTGAAAAATGGTTTAGTAATATTGGTATTGTAGGTGGTATACCAATCGATCATTTACCCAATTTACGTGCTATCAAATATCCCATCAACCCATTGGATGAAAATTTATTATCAATATTCTCAACTCACAGCAATACTACTACACCAACAATACCAAAACAAATCAAGAAATTATATTTATATTTAAAACAAGATAATTGTTTTTGTTTCAAGTTGAAAGATTTAATTGGTAGTTCAATCTCTAGGATTGTAGTTGAAAATGTAATGATTGTCAAGACATATATATTTGATGTTAGAATGTTGGATACTACACATGCAATGATTATAGAAGATCTTTATGGAGGAATAGTAGATCTAACCAAATACCAAGACCGAATTGTGATCTACAAAAATCTAGAATATCCAATCATCACAACAACAGATGATCATAGATTACATAGACACACAGAATTTAATCAACCATATCATCAATTTAAAACAATGTATTGTAAACCACATATGTAAAATTAATTAATTAAATATATTTGCAACACACAACAAATATCTCTTTTTTAAATAATATAAATAATAATAATATAATTATTTATTTAATTACTTTTTTTTAATCTTTTTATTGATTTCAGGGATTCTATAAATTATGTTTTTAAATTATTCAAAATCATTTTTTTATCTAACAGTTTTCAAAATATCTGAGCTGAGGGCTTGTGAGATTCTTTGTCAAAAGCCGAGACTCGATGGCCTGAACCCGAAAAAACAACTCAACTTTAAAGAGAGATTGATTAACAATTGTTGATCATTTCAATTTTAAAACTCTGTAGCTACAGTTATCTATAGAGAACACACAGTATCTATCTATCTATGACATTTCAAGTTATTCAACCAGGTAGAAACCATACCGAAAAGATTTTACAGGAAACGGTAGATTCGAAAACAAGTTGTTCGTCGATGGATCATCTGGGATGCCAATTTATCATTTGGGTATTCTCATTGGCTTTGGTTGGTGGTCTAGCAGCATCTATCATCGTTCATAACCAAGCAGTGATCGAAGTAGAAGCGAATCGCAACAGATATATAACATCTCCCGACTATGATGATGATGCTGTTGACAAGGTAAGAAATAAACAAAAAGAAAAAGAAGAAAGATATCATTAATCTTGATATATTAGGAGATTGGATCTTTGATGGGAATCATATTTATTCCAATACTATTGGGAATCATGTTTATTTGGAGATTGGCCATATAAAAGTCAAAAGGAGGAAGGTCGATTTCACGGTGGATAAAAAAAAGGGAATCGAGCTACTTCTGGCCTCCAGTGGAGCAAAACAGGACAAAAAACCACCACAAGAAAAAATATCTTTTGGTTGTTTTTTTTGGATGGCATGTCGAGGAAAATGAAATGTTTATCTCTGATTGGATGAGTCACCTCCTCTAGATAGCAGAATCACCATGTTGCTACTTCAAGTATACTTTACCAAGGAGTATTCTCATATAGACACAGAATCTGAGCAGATTCTCGAATCAGTCAAAGCAGATATGACCAAAAGAAACAAAGATAGAGACACTTATTTTAGCATTAATGTCACATTCTCTGTCGCAGAATTTAAAGACTCTAAACTCTTTTGCTTAAATGAAGATAATATTCCATGGTATGTCAATTCTTTTTGGTGGGCCATTGTAAATGTAAGTAAATGTATTTTAGTATCTTAAGTTGAGATGATTTTTATTAACTAACCAATTTTTTTTTTTAGATTTTATTTATATGGTTTCCTTGGGAAGTAGCATATAGATCTCATCTTGCAACCAGTCAATATGATTGAAACAAGTACGAATCACAGGAACAGTTAATCCTTTACCAATTGACGATTGTTTTGAACCCCAAACGGAAACGGTTTATCTCCAAGTACCAGGCCAAACTCATGCTGTTCCTCACACTCAACCAATAGGACAAATACCTCAGCACTATATTGCACCAATCTATCACCAACCAATGGGTGCAAATAACTATTCAACTTATCAACCACCACCATATATACCAAATCCTAACAATAATTATTCAAAGGTTTAATAAAGATGCCCTGAAATTGTAAAGACTTACAAAACAATGGTTTCATGACTTTTATTTTTATTGTTATTGTAAGTTAATCCCTTTTATTTTTGGTGACAGATCACCTCTTGGTCATTTCTCAACTATCAATTCAAACAATTAATAGTTACCCTCATTCATCATCATCTTTGTTTTAAAAGGAAAGAATATTTCATCATCATGGGATTTCTTCATCACATTGATCAATGAAATGAATAGTATGTGGAATTAAGGTTGTTAAATAAATCGGAAGATGGATTACATTAGGGCTGTTTCATGCTATCAGGACAAATAAAATGACAAGTTGATGTGGGGAAGTCATAAAAAAATTCTATGAATTCCTTAAAATCTTGTCCCAAAGTTTTCCAAGCGTCGCAGCCCTTAATATCAAACAAACCATTGAATTTAAATAGTTTTAGAATTTTTAATCTTTAGTTTAAAACACTAACAATCAATCAATCAATTAATCAATTAATCAATTAATCATTTAATCAAATTACCAAACAAAAAAAGAATTTTAAAATAATAATAATGGATGTTACATTTGTTTATAGATACGATCCAAAAAGACCATATCTAAGTAATTGGTCAAAAATATTTAATTCACTAAACTATGTAGTTTATATGGGAGTTGTCATCATATTCTTTTTAAATCTATTCAAATCAACTTGTGAATGTAAATATGAATCGATAAAAGGTCAAAAAGATGGTGATGTTAAAAACAAATCAGAAGCTGTTGGACAACCTTATCTTTATATAATGATTGCTTTTACTTGTTTTTCAGGGTATTTATAAATATAATATATAAAATAATATTATTTTATTAATTATTTGTCTCTATTTAAATAGATTTACAAGTTTAATTTTTAATATGTTGTTTCCACCAAATACATCGGTTACTAGAAGTACTACATCCGAGTATGCTGGTACTGCCTATACCAATGATGGAATACCAATGGATGTCCATAAAGTAACGACTACGACAACTCATAGTGTAGGTCCCCTTCAATCACTTTCAACCAAACTTACCAAACAAAATATTTCAAATCTTGCCTTATACCTTGTCGTCATTGTTCCATTAATCATTATCATCTATATCATGTACTTTAATGCAAATGCAGGTTGTAAAGATTGTTGTCTATTTAATCTTTATGATGATAGAAAGTGTGATATTGAGAATTCAAAGTTCCTAGTTTCAAGTGATGCTTGGAAATAGAATTCAAATTAAAATTAATAAATTAAATCATTTCATTTTACTTTTAAGAATCTTTGAATTCATATTCAATTTGTTCGATTTATTAATATACTTTTTAAAAGTGATATAGAGATATAGAAGAAGAAGAAGATGTCAGAAACAACAACAACATCTACTACTAGTACATCAGCATCATCATCAACCAATATATCACCACCTATACAATCATTTTCATCTAGGAGAAGAGCAAGCACTAATAATAGCAACTCTACATCACCGACACTCAATGTAGACCTAATCAATAAGTTGGCATCTCAACCAGTGCCTATCATCATGCCTCCATCATATAAACCAGAGGCAAAGTATGAGAAATATGTAAATCAACTAGTGGGCAAGGTAATCATGTCTGCTGCACTCATCTCTAAAACACCTGGTCCTAAATTAAAGAATAATCTGTATGACATTTGAATGATCAATAGTTACTTTTGATTAAACCTTTTGATATTAACATTTACATTGTAGACTAGCACAAAAAGGAATATTAATAAAGTTTAATGAAACGATTCAAATAGTAGATGCAATAGCCAAAGGTAAATTACATTTGGAATTAATAAGTATATCTGGTACTAAATGTATGGTAAACTAGCCTTAAAGAAGGATCATCTTAAGATTATACTTCATATTTAACATTTATTTATTTATTTCTTTCTCTAGATGCAATTACAACAGTTAAAGAAAGATCATTTTATGGATTTAATACAAATACAAATATAGGAGGAGGCATTATTTTAATTATACTAGATAATGCAATTTTGGTGGCATTGTTTCCTGCCTCAGTATTGATTGGTGAAGCTGTACCATTTATAGAAAATTATGTATCAAATACAATCATTACTTAATACTTGTATAGTTGGATGTATACATTCATACATAACATTAAAGATGATGTAATGGGAAGTGGAGGCATTTACCATTATAAATATTAATTCGATTAATTATTTATTTATTTAATATATATATCTTCTTCTTCTTCTTTTCTTTTAAAATAATATTTATAATTATTTATGATACCTATAAATTGATATTCACTCTTTTCTTTCATATCATTTAAATCGTCAACAGAAAGAGCACCTTGACAAAATGTATCACCTTTATAGACAATGATGATGTTTAATAGTGTCACGGGTGCCTTGGAATTAATTTCTCTAGTGACAAAGGCGTATGGATTGGAATTGAACCCAAACGAGAATAACTCCTTTTGAAGGTATTTTTTGACGGTTTGAATACTTTGGTTGGCTAGTACCAAGTCTGTTGGAAAGTAACTATTGGGTGTTTTGACGGAATGTGGGATGACCAACTTGACAATAGACCTTGGTAAATTGATGGTACTCGATTGTCTAAACCCGTTGATTAGGTAGAGTGTCTTGATACTCTTGAATTGGAATAATAATTGTTCACGGTATTCATTGGATAGTAACTCCCATTCATTGGTGTTGAACTCGTCTTCAAACTCTATTGATATGGCTTCAAGTTGGTCTTTGGTAGGTTGAGGGAATTGTTCGTAGAGAAGAATGTTGTGTCGATGCAACAATAGTTTTCTAAGATTTGGCAATCTTTTGTAAAAGTCTTTCATCAAATGATCGGGTTCTTTCCACAGCAGTACTAGAACATTCATACAATTGATAGATACCAATGTAGAGAATTGAAGTAGTCTTGAGAATTGAATAGATTGACCGTACAATTGTAAATGAGTGAGATGAGTTGGAAATGTCGTTGGTTGATCATCATCACCATCATCTTGTGTGCCAGCAGTGTTGAATGGGATGTAATGTCCTTCGAACCTTTCAACCATCGGTGCAATTCGTTTCAACAATGCACGAACATTGGGACAATTGTTGCAACTATCCACCAAACACTTGACATTTTTGAGTACACAATGAGGATTATCTAAATGGGACAACAAGTCATCATCAAATCTAGTCATTTTAATGGATGTAAACAAATGTTTTCCAATATATTTGAATAATGTTTTGTTTACCAATGTTAATTCTAATTGTCTTTTAACTATTGATATATCATTATTATTATTATTACTAGTGACATGATTATGATTGTTATTGTTATTTTCATCATAAACATTAAAACAATAACTATACCAACAATAATTAATTATTTTATATAATATAATGTTTGGTAATATTAATCTTTTCCTACTACTAATATTTATATGATGATCTATATTTTCATCTATTTCATTATTATTATTATTATTGTTATTATTATTATCTACCAAAGATGATTGAATAAATTGAAATATTTGTTTGGATACCAATGATAAATGTAATTTACATAATCTTTCATTTAATGCCCATTCTGTTGATATTTGATTCTTTTGATTATTAGATGGTCTCCTCCTACTACTACTACTCTTTCCACCTGTATAATTATATTTTTGATAGTAATAATAGTAATCCTCTTCTTCATCGTCATAATCATCATCATCATCATCATCCTCTTGTTCCTCTTCATCTTCCTCGCTACTGTCATTCAAATAGTCATCTTGTTTCTTTTTTCTTTTAAAGTTATCACTTTTATCCAAACTATTCCAAGTTAATCTGATTATAAGAATGATTACATTCCATGGTAATAAAGAGAATTTAGTAGTAGTTGTAGTAGCTGTAGTTGTATTTCCTTCTTGTTTGTTGTTATTGCTATCATTCATTATTTAATAACATAAAGAAAGATGAATGAATATGAATGAATGTTCATTCGAGTGTGTGTGTTAAAAGTGTTTGATAGAACAACACACCCTAAATGATCGATTTAGAAAAGTAAAGTATTATAAATAAACAACTACATAATTATTTATATAATATTATTATTATAACAATAAAAGATACGATACTTTATTGGAGAGAGGTTCAAAAAAAAAAATGAAAATCAATTATAATTATAATTATTTAGTATTGTTATTATTATCATCAACATCATCATCACTACTAAATGAAGAAGTTGTTGAATCATTTGTATCTGTTCGATTTGGTGCATTTAAAATGCTACTGGCTCGATTAACTGTTTTCGTATTGTTGGTTGTGTATTGACCAATTTGATTGTTATTGGCATGTAGAGGAGGATCATCTGTTCTAGTAAGGTCGTCATCATCCTCATCGACTTCATCATCTTCATCATCGGTTGTTGTTTGTGTAAGTGTTGTTGGAGAAACTATATTTGGATTACCAGCAACAGTGTCTGAAAAAGTATTTGTAGAAGATATAGTTGGAAGTGGAGGTTTATCACCAGATGGAAGACGTGAACTACCACTACCTACCTTTCCATCTTTTTCTCTTTCTCTTTCTCTTTTCTCTTTTGCTTTTTGTTTCTTTCTATTTTTTCTACTACTACCACCATTGACATTGGTTGGTCCAACCGTCGCCGCAGTCAATGTAGTATTTTGATCATTTGATGGAATGGATAATGAAAGATGTTGTTTTTGTTGATACTGTTGTTTTTTTCGAAGTTGTTCTTTGATTGCATTTTGTGACATATATTTCAATGTGATGGCTTGATTATCCAAAGGATGAGTATCCAATATTTTGTATGCATATTTTAATGCATTTTGATAATCCTCTATTTTATAATAGGTACTTGCCAATTCCATTATTATATCTCTATTATCTTTTTCTTCTTTTAATAAATCTAAAAATTAAAATATTAATATTAATATTATTATAATTTTTTTTTGTTTTCTTTTTTCTTTTCTTTTTTACCTTTATATAAATCAATTGATTTTCTTTTACATAATACTTGTTCAGAATGTGAAAGAGTACGAGCCAATTGATAAGAAGTTTGTTTTGATACTTTTCCATTGTCAGATGATTGTAACTCTGTTTGATAGAGAGATTGCATCTTGGAGAGTTGGTCGAGATATGGTTGGGTATCGGCTCGTTGTGTTTGATAATCAATGTCATTCTTTTGGACCGATGGGATGGTGATGACGGTAGGATGGGTATGGGTGCGTGCACCACCACTTCCAAAGTGATAGTGGTCACCACCTGGGACGGCCACATCACATCCTCTTTTTGATCCGTTCAGATTCTCCAATGTATCTGGTAAACTATTTTGATCTGTCAATACAGTCGATGTATCAGATGTAGATCCATTATTGTGTAATTGCTGCTGCAACAATTGATTAGATGATGGGATATCTCCAACATGGTCAAGGACAGTGTCGTTGGTATTAGTGTCATGTGATTTCTTTGATGATGAAGAAGATGATCTTTTTCTATTTCTTCTTCTTCTTTTGGATGCATCACTTGGTGATGGAGTCGATTCGATTGTACCATCACCACCAGACGAAGATGACGACGATGCATCTTGTGATCTAAAACATTTACATGTAAAGAATCGTTTTAGTTTGATCTTTAGCACGACAAAGATATGGTGTAGTTGGTTTCTGTGACGTCTCTTTCTAACATTTTTTTCTTGTTCTTGTTGTCGTTCTCGTTGTCTTGCCAATTCATAATCCCTGGCATTATTAAACTCTACTTCCATAAAAAGACTATCTATATATAAATATTAGATTGGGGGGTTTAGTGTTGGAGGTGGAGTGCAGTGTTGTCTTATGAATCATCTTACCTCGTGTACTTATACCAACTTAGTTGTATGGTATATATATATATATATTAATATATATTATATTTCCGGTTAAAATGTGTCTGTCTGATGCTTCGTTAAATTATATATATATATATATATTTACAAGATATAAACAAGATATACAAATTCACTGAGAGAGAGTGTGTATTCAGCAGCAGTCGCAATAAAAGTGCATCATCGCATAGAAATATTGTAATAATAAAAGCAACCTTTGCAAAGCAAAGCTACCCCTACCAACACTAACAACCAACCCAAAATAGGTTTATGTGCATCCAGATGAAGGTGGGTGTAAATTAAAATTAAAAGACAAAACCTCCCCATTTTTATTTAATTTAAATCAAAATATTTTGACTGTGAACTTCATCTCATCATCATCATCATCATCACATCGTTATATATCTATCTATGACTATTTATGTGTGTATGTGTATGTGTATGTGTACGTGTACGTGTACAGTAAGTAGTATTTCTTTACTATTATTAACTTCTTTTATATTTATATATCTCTTTTGAATATTTTCGATCAATGTTGTCCATCAACCAACTCTGTTTTGGGTAGATGACGTGACAGACTGCTGCTCAAATGTACGCAAACGTAGTTTCCTACAAATACTCTCCCTCTTTTTTATCTTTTCCATCAAAGATTCATCTAGATGATATCATTTGATATTTTTGTTGTCAACCAAGATGGGTACAACAAAAATATTAAATTAAAAATGATTGAACTGATTGATTGATTGATTGATTTATTTGGATGGATGGAAAATCATGATTGAATGATAGATCATAAAAATATAAACTCTATCTCTCTCTCTCTCTCTCTCTACCCACCCCTTTTAACCACTGATCATCAATTGCAACAAATATAAACAAAAAGGAAATTAATGCAAAGAGTGAGGAGGGTTTTGGAATAATATAATTTATGTTTAATTGTAAATGTAAGAACACTGTACCACTCTCTCTTTCTCTCTCTCTCTCACGCTCTTTCGTTCTCTCTCTAGTATAACCAATATCGATTCATTCCAACATTAGTGTCATCATCATTTTTATTTAATTTGAATCACCCCTCTACTCTACTCTACTCTATTTATGTGTCATCATCACAAAATTAGTGATTTACATGTGATATTTTAGAAAGTTTGGAAAAAGGGTTTATCCATCAATTAATAATAATAATATAATTGTTTTTGTTCTCTCTTTAGTTGCGCACCTTTTTTTATATTTTTCCTCCTCTTTACAATATTCCTCACTTACCCCCCTCTTACTGCTTTCTTGACCCATTATAATTAATATTCAACAACAGAGTTGCATCGATCCATGCAACTCTGCTTTTAACCCAAACCAACAATCATCGACTATTCTTTCAATTTCCCGTTTTTAAAAAAATTTATAACCCTGCTACTACAATTTTGTTTAGAAAATAAATAAAGATTGTTGATTTCAATTCCAACAACCAACAACAATAGCAGAACACAACAGTATCCAATTTTAATTATTAATAATTGTTCACTACAAACTACGAAATTTAAATCTATCTATATCTATCTAAATATCTATCTATATAAATTATAATATTATCATTTATTATTATCTTTATTTATTTATTTATTATATGTTTATATAAGTTTCCCAAAATATATATAAAGTTTTATATAATTTTTGGGAAAATATTAAATTTTGAAAACGACAACTTCAACATTATTCAAATCAAGAGTGGAAAGATTTTGGGGAGGACTGGAAGGGCTCCAAGCGATGATCAAAGAGATTGTGTACACTCGATTATTAAATAGTGTCATGGTGACGATTCTTGCCGTCCATCTCTTTATCATTCTATCATGGTTCATCAATGCCTTTCAATTTCTTTTCATGTATCCACCTCACCATTTGATCATCGACACTTATTATGGCGTTCCAGTATACTCTTCCAACAAACCCACCGACTCTGACAGTGCAGCCCGCGCCTTTCCAGAACACACTTTTCTCAATCGAAACAATCACACCAAATACAAAGACTCTTCGGAAAATGGAAGCGACGTTCCATACCTACGATACTTGGTCTGGATGTCTCCCCTCTTTATCTCTCATATATTTCTAGTCATTTATGTATTTTTAATGTATAAAATCCTTGGATCATATAGACTCGATTTTGGTTGGAATGTAGATCCCAAACAACAAATTGAAGCTAGTAATATTAATATGAATGGCCCTCCTCTTTTTGTTGTTGAACAGAATGATGGAGTGGCCATTGACCCAAAAAAAAAGATGGATAATCTTAGAAAACAGCAATCTTTACCATCTTTTGCTGCTATCAAAAAAGATAGCAGTGGTGGTGGTGGAGGAGGTCAAGATAAAGGAGGACAGGTCGTAGTAAATAGTCAACATGGAAAATCATTCCTAAACCCATTGAGGGTAGACAAGGATGTTACTCACATTCCACTAATAATCCCATTGGTAATATCTTTTAAAAAATACCAAATACATTGCCGGTTTGTAATATGTCTGGTGATATATTATCTGCACATTTACACGTTTATCTTAAGCGGTGGACCGTGTGACCAACCTCTCTTTCTTACTAGCCGATGCTTTATTCCATACTGCCGATTCTTTATCACCGATGGTTTCCTTTATCACGCCTGGTATCTCCATACCATGATCCTTTTCAACCACCTACTCTATTTATTTAATCATCAAGCAAAGAATAAAAAGAAATTTAATCTATCATAAATTGAAGCAAAGGAAGGAACGAATGGGATGTATTAATTGTGTGGGTTTGAGTGGTATGAAATTAAATCTAGATAATCATGATTAAAAATGAATGATCGATAGTATAAACAAAAACAAAGGGGGGGTGGATAATCGATCAATCTGCGACGGAATATTTAATTAATTAATTAATTTAATAGTTGTTGAATCCTTTTTTCAAAAATGGATATACTTTTGGTATATATGTGGTGTAACCAATCAATCGCTTGCGCAATATATATATTTATATATTATATATATGTGTGGGAGAGTGTGTATGTTTGGTGTATAGGCGCATCCGATCCACTTTGTCGTCATCCCCTTATTCGTCTCTATCCTTCCTTCCTTCCTTTATCTCTACTTGCCGGAAGATATTGATTTAATGAATTCGCCAAAAAAGTTAAATCTATCTGTCCATCTATCTATATGGGTTGTACCATCCTATTTATCGTCGCTACTCATGATTCATTCATTCATTCATACATTCTCTATTTTACCAGCTAGGAGGAATAAGAGAAGACGGGAAAAAGATTATTTTTTTTTTTAATTAATTTGATCGTAAGATGTGTGTCTGTGTGAGAGAGTGCGTGCGTGCGTGCGTACGTTAAAACATGGGTGAGTGTGGTAAACATATCGTGTTTGTGATCTAATTGACAATCAATCAAACAACAACTAAAAAATCAATCCAATTAAATATCTTTTCTTTAATTATGCCATATGCTGCCAATCAACTGCTATGCGATTCTACCAACTACCGACCCCTTTTTTTCTCTTCTTTGTTCCACTCCACCATTTTCCACTTCTCTCCTTTATCCTACCTCCTCTTTGAACCGGTCGCAGTCTCTCTCTATCATCGATGTGACATGACTGTGCACATGGTGATTCACATCACAACCCACCAGTCCAACTCGCTAAACCAACAACAAAAACAACAGAACTATATTTTAATCTAAATAAAATAAATCTAAATATAGGAATTGTTCTCATTTAGCGATCTAAATGAATAGTATAATATATTATTAATATTTAAAAAGTGTGAGTGAAATGATGGGGGATGCCAGAGATCCTGATCCCAATAACAATACTTTTTGATCTCCCAATGGTATCATCAATATTAATGTCAATTTGCTCCCCTTTTTAGACATATAACTATATATTTATCTATATATTTATATACATACATATTTCTTTTTTTCTTTTTTTTTAATTATTATTTTTTTTTTTTTCTATCTATAGTTTAAAGATGAACATATTGGTTAGACAAATAATTAATACTATTCTTGCAACTATTGTATTGGCATATTATTTAAAAATATTAGAATGGGCTCCTAATATTATGTATATGATGGTATACTCACCGCCAAAATATTCTCCAACCTCGATTGATCTTCCAAATCTCTATCCTCTATCATCATCATCATCATCATCCTCCTATTCTGCTTCCACTCTATCTACATACTCAAATTCTACAGCAACCTATTATTCTGCTAAATTGGAATCATCTAATAGTGGTGGTGGCTGCTCTTCAACAATGAATGAATTAATGTTGACATTTGGATCGTTGCGTGATTGGTGGTCCAAGGTAAAGATCTATCCCAATACAGACCCATCGATACGACGAGTTGATGCCATCGAGATTGCACTTGGCTACCCTAAAGCATTTATGTATTTGTGGTTTGGGTATAGGTGTCTTTCACAGTACCGAGTGTTTGCAACTTCTATTACCGATATCATGTGTAAATCACCATCGTTGCAAAGTGCCAATGGCAAGCCAAGACTAATATGTGTTGCACCGCTCATATTTGGCATGTCATTATCCTTTCCAGTAAAGACACATCAACGCAGTCTATACCACTTTTGGTACTGCAATATGATGTTTATCTTTCTCTGCTTTCACTATCGAGCGCTGTCATGTACCGACGATGACATGTACCTCATTTCAAACTTTATACGACCGGCACACCATTGTCTGATCCTACTGCGGTCAGACTGTCCCATACACATGCTCTACATCTCCTTTATCATCATATGCATTCAACTGCTCATCGAAATCAACGTACACAACAATCCATACAATATATTTCGCGATATCTCTATTCATCCCAATAGCAACACACCTGTCATTCGAAAGAAATATAAATATTATAAATTTGGTATTAGAGAATAAATAAATCATAATACACAATAAATAAATAACATACTTTTGTTTAAATGTATATTAAAATTAATGAAAAATTTTTCATCTAAAGAGGAGATCCAGAACTAATTCTGTTACAACTATCTAAAAGTTGAGCCATTGAAAGATTCAATGCATTGTCGATCAATGATGATCTACAATTAGTAGTAGTATTATCATCTGACACCCAATCACAATATAATACAAAGTCAATGACGATCTTTGCAATAGTTGATGGTAATACATTTAAATTGTTGTTCATCGTGTGTTTACAAAAAAAAAATTAGATTAAAGTACAACAAGTACTTGAGTAGAGTAAGAGTGCTCTTTGTTTTTTTTTAATATTTCTATTTTATTTTATTTTTTATTTTATTTTCTTGTTAAAGTTGTTTCATAATTTTCCATTTCAATATTAAAATGAGATGATATCCATTGATTGTCACTCAAGTTTGATCTACCAGTTTTAAATATCTTTAAATTGACAAGTTGTTTGATCATTGGTGTATAGTTGTTTTCATTCCATTGTCCATCACCAACAAACAAGTCTAGAGAGGTGAGTGATTGTATTTGTGAAATATTTTGACAAAGTAATTCAATCTCTGATGCTTCTAAAGTGTGTAGAGGCATATGAATGAAAAGAGATTCTAGTTTCTCGAATCTATCCAAGTATGGTATGGTAGTTGTGCCTGTTGTACCTCTTCTTATAGGGGATAATGACAATTTCAAACTTTTCAATGTTTCAAATGGAATGTTTTGAAATGGATACGAATCGAAAAAAGATCCATTAATATCTAACTTGATAAGTGATGGATGGTATATGGTTGGTTGGGGTGGGGTGCTGTACAAAGTTGCCAATTGATTGGTGTTTATCATTAGTTCTAAATAATAGGGAAGGTGTTGAATGAGTGGAGAGGTGCATATATCATAGTTGATTGGTGCCATATATTGAACCTTTCCACCTCTTGATACTAGATAATCAATTAATTCCTGACAAGGGTTACGAAAACGTCCTTCCATCTTTATCACCTCTAAATTTGGTAGTGATACTTTGAAATGATTCCAATCCATGAATAGTTGGTGACTGAATTGCATTTGAAGAAACTTTAAATTATTAAATATCAATCCACCACCACCACCACTAGATTTAAATATATTATTTAATATGTTGGTATCTGTTGTATAATCTGGTGTTACCAAGTATAATCTCTCTAATGTATTATAATTGTTGTCTATTAATTTTAAAAAATTACATTCATCCTCCTCCTTGTCATTATTATTATTATTATTATTATTATTTATGTTGTAGTTATTATCAAAACCATATCTATAAGCCAAAGTAGATAGATTCATTGCTATTGGTAGTATAACTTTACAAACTTGTTGATTGTGTAAACCATCAATAAATAGAGTTGTCAGTTGATTACCTTGTTCTACAATTGGTATCAATACATCAGTGTCGATATCATCATATGTGTAGATATCCAATATTGTTATTTCTCCAAACACCTCTCTATTTTTAAATAATTGTACTAGTTGATTATAGATTGCTGATTGTTTGTCAATAGTATTTGGTGAAGTATCAATTGTTGATGTATTTTCTTTAAAGTAATCCAATTCTCTTTGTCTTTGTTCAGAGTATACAATTTTTTGTGGAGGTTGTGGTTGCATTGGTATTATGGTTGTTGTTGTTTGAAGGTGTTTTAGAATTTGTTGTTTGAGGATTGACCATTGATGGTGATGAGTTCTTGGATCCACATCTAGTCTCAATTGTTGTTGAGGCGCTGCAAGGTCGTTTATATTTCTAGTAATAGCTTTAATTGACTTTGGGTTGATTGAAATCTGTTCATAATCATAACCAAATACCAATTCAACCTTTGGTAATGCTTGATGATATAATAAACAAAATGGTGACTGTATATTTTGTTGAAATCTTTTGATATAGTCAACATGTCTTTGAGCAAGAGTAAATTGTAATCTTGTAGTATAGTATTGTACAAATACACTACTTGTAATCTTTAACCATCTCTTTGATACTCTTAAAAGATTCAATGCATTGTCGATCAATGATTGGTGTTGATCTCTATCACAATATAATATCAAGTCAATAACAAACTTTGTAATAGTATATGGTAATTGTTGTTGATCATAATGATGATTATTATTATTATAACTATTCATCTTTCTTTAATTAAAAAATAATTAATACTTTGAGAGACACATGACTTTTTTTTTTTTTTTTTACTATATTTTCTATTTTCTATTTTCTAGTTAAAGTTGTTTCATAATTTTCCATTTCAATATTAAAATGATTTGTTATCCATTGATTGTCATTCAAGTTTGATATACCAGTTTTAAATATCTTTAATTGACAAGTTGTTTGATCATTGGTGTATAGTTGTTTTCATTCCAATGTCCATTGCCAACTACCAAGTCTAGATGGGTGAGTGATTGGATTTGTGAAATACCTTGATATAATGATTCATCTACGGTATCTGAAAACAATCTATGGAGGATGACAAGTGTATCTAATTGTTTGAATCTGTCTAGGTATGGTGTGATGGCGTCTAGGTTGCGTATTTCCAATTTCAAACTTTTCAGTGTTACAAATGGAATGTTTTGAAATGGATCCAACTTTAAAAGTTCGTCTATTGATGCAATAGAACAAAAATTCATTCCCAACAATGATGGATGGTATTTGATTGGTGGGAATGTACAACTGAGCATGTTGATCGTTAGATCTAAATAATAGGGAAGGTATTGAATGAGTGGAAACGTATCAAGAGTTAAATGGATTGGTGCAATATATTGAACCTCTCCTCCTCTTGCTATTAAATAATCTATCAATACAGGACAAGGATTTTTAAAATCACCTTCCATTAATAGTACCTCTAGTTTAGGTAGAGATACTTTGAAATGATTCCAAGGCATGAATGGTTGTTGACAAGATGGGATTTGAAGATACTTTAAATTATTAAATATCAATCCTCTAGGATTGTTTGGTGGTTTGAAGAATCCAAACAAATGAATTGACATTTTAACATATTCATTTGTTGATCCTTCAAACCACCAAACCAACAAAATCGATGATCCAAATCACAATCACAATTCTTTTTAAAAATGGTATGTCTTATATTTAAATTATTTATTTGATTTATTTCTTTTGTTTACAAGAATAAATGGAACCACCATAACATTGACCAAAGTTGTAAACATCGACATGGAAATCACCGGCACATCCACTGGCAGTACCATTGAAATAGAAAATGGCAAGTGTTTGGGCATCCATATCACATTTGTACATTGAATCACTAATACATGTACCTGTTGGCATTGTATTTGGTATACCTTTGGTTTGACAATGTATATCTTTGTAATCGGTTTCAATCGCTAAAAAAGTTGGTTGTTGTGCTCCACCATTACAGAAAACTACAACAATCATAACCAATAATAGTATTAATGTTGAAACGAATGATTTGATTGTATACATTTTTATATATATATAAAATATATAGAACAATGATGTGTGTTGTATTTATAAAGAGTTTATAAGTATAAATAAAAAGAACCAAGGAATGATCGCGATCATTTATAAACACCCAAATTAAAGAAAAAATAGAGAGATATTATCTTTTTATTTTACAATCACTAATTAAAAAAAAAAATCTAATTAAAAAATTTAAAAATGATTTGAAGGTGTTGATATTCATCCCCTTTGACTCTTTAAACTAAAGTTCATTTCATCAAAAGGAATGGTTATATTAGATTATATATTTATTTATTTATTTATTTAAATTAATGTTTTAAGCTTCAACACAACCAAACTCCCAACCACTTTCACATTCACCGAATTGAAGTACTTCGGTGGTATGTTGACCACTGCAGGCGTGCTTGGTAAGGTTGTAGGAGAAGATGGTGAGAGTCTTGGCATCCATGTCGCAGGTGTAGATGTATTGACCACCAAGGCATTGACCGGTTGGGAATTTGTAGGAGTCTGGACGACCACCTTGACATTGGGCAGTACCATAGTAGTATTCCATGGCAATAAGATCTCCAAGACAGGCAACTGCCATCATGGCAACCAATAATGCAAGTACAATTGATTTGAAAGAATAGTTCATCTTTTTCTTGTTGTTGTTGTTGTTATTCTATGTATAGGTAGTAGTAGTTGAATAAGTTGTGATCTCTATTAAACTATGACTCGCTCTCTATTTATACACACTACATTCAAAAGATATAGAATCAATTCTATTCTATGATATATAACAAACAAATATGAAAATATACAGAATGTAGAATAATACAGAACCAAAAAGTAGAACGTAAATACCAATGGCAGATGATTCGATCGAATGACAGCTCGTTTTTTTTTTTATTTCTTTTTTTTTAGATTTCGAAATGGAATGAACGACCCAGAGACTCACTGGGGAAACCGACCGACCGACAGACCGACCAACACCGAGTTTTTTTAGATAGATTCATTACAATCCTGTCATCTACGACAATCGAATAGAATCTTACTCAAAAAAAGGTGGAAGATGGAAGATGGGATGAAAATATTTAATTTAATTTATTTATTATTTATCACATTCATAGATGGAACCACCAGCACATTGGCCTAATTGATAGGTGTAACTGTTCCATGTACCACCACATTTTTGTATTGGGAAATTAAAATACATAATCTCATCAATAGTTCCATTGGCAATATTACAAGTATAAACATATTGTCTTTGAAAACAAACTCCTGATTCTGTTTTAGATGTTGTATAGGAATCGGTACAATTTACATTTCCATAATTCTAATTGATAGAAAATCAAAAGAGGTTAGTTTCACTAATGTTTCATTCATTCCAAATAAATTTTAATACTAACCTTGATGGTAACATAATAAGAAGATGAATCAATTTCACCATCATAGTTTGCATTTACAAAAATCAATAATAATGAAATAAATAATAATAGAATTGAAAGTTTAAACATATTTGTTTGAAGATTGTTAATTGGTCTGAAATGATAAATGATTGATTTATTAAGCCATGGTTCATGATCTATTTATAATCAAATTTCTATTATTCAAATTTGAATGATTTGCGCGATCCTAAGTACTTGTTGACAACATGTTCTATTGATATTCTATTTGATCGATCATAGTTGATGATATTGGGAACCAACAAACTATACAAATATCTTTTACAATCGTCAGCACCGTTTCAAATATTTTTTTGAAATCATGAACTACCATATCCCTAAAATAGTCATCTGTTTCCTCTAACCCTTTTTCAAGGTTATGTATGATCTAAAGATATTTTTTTTAAGTATCTCTCTGTGATGATCTTTATCTTTACACAATACAATAGACACAACAATGTACAAACAAACAACTATACACTATACAATCAATAGATTGCAACTTTAGGTAGACAATGACGACAAAAAGATCAACAACAATAACATCAACAACAACAACGATAGGAGGTTATCGAACAACATTTCATAATATATTTAAAGTACTATATCTAAGAAACAAGATATTTAATTGTATAAGAGAACTATCAAGATTAGATAATAGTTTGGGAAAAAAGACAATCAAAGGAAAAGAATTGATTCAACAGTCATCAAGAGTGTGGTTTGAAACCTATGGAATGCCATGGGACTTTATTAAACATTATCTACTATTCAATCATGAGATTAGTGGCCATGGTGAAATAGAGTACAAGTGTAGATGTGAACTTGTCAATATGTATATACGTCATCCCAATGCATCAAGTGATACACTTAAACATCTCTTGGTGTGGGGTCCAACTCCATTGCACAAACAAACGTTTGAACGTGTACTCGCCAACGGCAACTATGACATGGTCGTCTATCTCACTAAAATCTTTCCAAACCATAACAAGGTCGTGTCATGTGAAACAGAGTATTTTGAACACGCATTTAAATCGGGTAATGTTAAACTCGTTCGATGGCTATACCAACAATACCCAAAGGCCGACCAATACTTTGCACAACCAAGAAACCAACATTTAACATCACTCGATCAATCATGCAAAAGAGGTCACTTTGAAATGATTGATTGGTTATATGCCAACAAGAAACACGTTACCTTCTCAACAGATGCTATGGACTATGCCGCGGAAATAGGAAATCTTCCCATCCTACGATTTCTTCTTCGTAATCGAACTGAAGGATGTACCATTAAAGCTTTTATTCTGGCCGCCATTAATGGTCATATTCAAGTTTTAAAGGTAAACTTTAATTAAATAATATCATATTTAAATCCCAAATATGTATATTAAAACTCTATTTATTTATTTATTTATTTATTTTAGTATCTTTTTGAAAGATGTCCAAAGACATTTGTATCACAAAAATCAATGTTTAATGTATTTGATCAATCAGCTATAAATAATCACTTGGATGTCGTAAAATATTTACATTTAAATCATTATGGTGGAGATAAGTGTACAATAAAGGCTATGGATGGAGCTGCATCGCTAGAGATGGTACAATGGTTACATGGAAATAGAACTGAAGGATGTAGTTTTAGGGCAATTGATCAAGCTGCCTCGACTGGTAAATTAGATATCATCAAAGTAAATTAAATGAGATATTTATTTAATATTATTATTATTTCTTTTGTGCAACCTTTAATTAATTCTATTTATTTTAATAATAGTATTTAATAGAGAATAGAAAGGAAAGATATACATTACAAGCATTACAAAATGCTGTAGATAATGGTCATTTTCATGTTTTGTCCTATCTTTACGAAATTAAAAGATCACCAATTACAAAATGTAAAGTAAAAAGTTTAATTAAATTAAAAGAAGACGAGAGAGAGAAATATTCTTATTAATAATATATATATATATATTGCTATTTTCCTTTCAATTAATTAGCTTTAGATATAACAAAAGCATTAAAGAATGGATTTATAGATATTATTAAATTTTTAAAAGAAAATGGATTGGCTTCTTTTCCAACTTTGGATAATGTACAAAGTTGTTTAGACTCTGCTAATCTAGAAATGGTACAATTATTTTTTAATAATTACAAAGGATGTCCGATGACCAATATTATTAGAAATGCTATTCATCGTAAATGTGGAACAAATATTATAAAGTATCTAGCGTCACTAGGGTACAGGTACCCAGACGATACATTGATGATGGTAGTACAAAATAGAGATTTGGAAATGATACAATATCTTTTAGAATCAACAACACTAGAATTAGAATGTAATGAATCAGTGGTAGAAGCTGCCATTGTCGCAGGTAGTATCGAAATTGTAAAATATTTATTCAATAATAATAATAGTAGAACAGACAAGGTACATTGTTCAGAGAGTTCAATCAAAACTGCATTTTCTCATCATCATATCAATATTGCTCAATTCCTTTATACTATAAAAAATCAAATTAAAAAATAATTAATAAAATAATATTAATATTTATTTATTTATTTTTTTCTATAATTATTATTATTATTGACAATTTGATGAAATTGGGATATCGGTATTGATTATTTGTCCATTTTGATCGAGAATGACAGAAATTGGTTCGATGTGATAAAGTAAAAGAGGTGAGGAGACTGTAATGTTATAATGACCGAGTGGTACCAATTCAAGTTCAAATCGTCCAGCCATGTTGGTTGCAAGTGTAATATTTCTTTGTTGGTTGTAAAGTAATACAGTTACACCTGCAAAAGGGAATTCACCATTATCATACAATCCATTAATGATGGCATCATGAAATGCTAATCCCTTTACAGTTCCATAATGATTTTCTTGTCCTGTTGTTGTTGAGGTGGTAGTGGTAGAAACTCCAGATGTTTCTCCTGTTGTAGTTGAAGTTGAGTATCCAGTACTGGATGAACTAGAGGTAGTACCAAGAGTTGTTGAATCCCATCCAGTTGTTGTAGTTGAAGATCCAATAGTTGTAGAAGATGTTGTATAATCTATTCCGGTGGTTGTTGAATTGACACCAGCAGTAACACCAGCAGTTACACCGGCAGTGACAACAGAGGTAGCACCAACTGTAACTACAGCAGTGATAATAGCTGTAATAATAGAAGTGGCATCTGCACCAACTGTAATCACACCAGTTGTTGTTGAAGATCCACCACCGCCTGTTGTCGAAGGACCTGTTGTAGATGTAGTTGTAGTGGTTGTCGAGTCATTCTCTTGGGATTGAGAATCTTGTGATGAAGATTCATCTTCTGAACTATCAGATTTATGATTAAATTCACCAGAGTTTGATGCTTGACCCTTGAATGTAACATAGACCAATTTTTGACCGTCAGTGCTGCTAGGTGCAACCGTACATACAATCGATTTACCTTGACTGTCAACCGATTGCACAGGACAGTCCACACCTCCAACAGTGATTTGTGATGTATAGCCCGGTCCTTGGAGACCAAGATCCGACCCACTTATGGTAATGGTCGTGGATTGGTCACTCTTCCCTTCGGATGGCGATACAGTGTCAATGTGAGGTTGACGATAAGAAAAACCAGTGTTGGTGTTGGTCGACAGTGATCCATCGTAAACTAGGCGAATGGGGATATTAATTCATTATTGACAAATTCATATACATTGGATCAATCTCTATTGATGAATCTTTCACCAAGTAATGTTGATCAACTTGAAGTTGCTTTTTCAAGATGGTGTCAATTTTCAACAACATCTAATCAATTGGTAACCAAATTATTAGAGTCATCTAATGATGGAAATCAAGATGTTTTTAAATTTTTAAATCATCTCTCTACAAATTATGATCAAGAAACAAGTAGATTAGATTTATGTCTGTCATCGATGACTGTCTATAAAATTTGTAAACCAATGACATTGGTTTATATAACTCAACTACTTGCAACCATAATGTCTCATCCAATTACAACTATGACTACTTTTGGTGACCTATCATTATACAAATATAATCATCCAATTGATCAAGGACAACAACATCAACAGCAACTAGTCATTATTGGTTATAATAATCTAATTTGTGATTACCTTTTATTGTCAACTGGTCAACAATTGGATACTCTAATATCTATTGCAAACAAACAAGTTTGTAAAGAAGCTGGACCAATTCTAATAGATGTAAAATCTGAAATACCAACCTCTGGAGGACAAATTACTATTACAGCTCTTTACTTTTCACCTGAAACTATCAATGTACTCATTGGAGATAGTAATACCTTTACTGCCACATTTCAACAACAAATCGATCCAGTCACCTTTATCTACTACCTACCACAAGGTAGTGGTAGAAATATCCCTATTACTTTGGATTTGGATGATGATTTTGCCAACAACTATGAAACTATAAAGAAGAAACAATTCTTTATTCATTATTCATTCCCATCAATTTCAGTTGTGATTCAATCCTATGACAATAATATTGAATCTAGTAGTACAAGTACATTGACCATTCAAGGAGCCAATTTTGGATCAACCCCTAATAATGTTCAAGTAACCATTGACAGTGATACTCGTTGCAACATTGAGACGATTGTTGATACATCGTTGACATGTCAGACTCTTACATCAATGGTATCAGGTCACCATGATATTATTGTAACGGTCAATGGTATCCCTACAACATCTACTCATACCCACTTGACACTTGAACGATATACATTGGATGAAACCATCATTGGTCTATCACTCTATTCACTCGACTCTCCACAACAACAAATACTTGAAAAGGGGTCTTGGGACGATCGGTATGGTGTAAAAGGTATTGGATTTTCTAGTCTACAAGAATCAATGATTCAAGTATTTGTAGGTGACCAACAATGTACTGTTGAATCTCGTGATGAAAGAAATATTATATTTAGAATATCCCCTCAAGTCGGTCCAAACCAGAATACCCCAGTTACCACAAACTTTGCAAACAAACAAACCAAACTTGTTGAATACAACTTTAATCAGTTTTCCCATGCCTCTGCCATTGGTTATATCGAATACAATTTAATGACAGCAAACTCTACACATGGTGGTTCAATGGTCATCTTTGGTGATCATTGGGGTTTCCAAACTAATCTAGTACAAGTCACCATCAATCAAATACCCATCACATGTAAACCATTTGGTGTATTTGTTGAATGTATTATTCCACCAGGTTTAAATGATACATCAAATAATAATAATAATAATAATAATAATAATAATATTCAAGCTAAAGTAAACTCTATTCAAGCTATATTTTTAAACAAATTTAAATATAATGATCAATAAATAAATAAATCAAAAAAAATAATTGGTTAAATAGAAAAATATTAAAGAGGGAGATTTTTAATTTATTTTTTCATTGTGTTAGTCTCTTCCTAATCATGATGAATAATAGTAGAAATAAAGTAAAGAGTGTAATAAAGAAGAACTTTTACAAGTTTACAGGTATATTGGGATTCAAGAGTAGAAATACAAAGGATCAGAATCAAGATGAACCAAATGTAGATGTATTATCTCTACCTCGTACAAATATAGACAATGAAATCATATCATTGGAAAGAGATGAATTTGATAAACGTTTAAATGATTTTAAATCTTATCTATTTAATCATTATAGTAGTAATAATAGTAATAGTAATAATAATAGTAATAACAATAATAATAATATAACATTACCAAATGATTTAATACATTCAATATTTATATCAATATTATCAAATACAAACATGTTGATTGATACTTCTTTAATTAATAATAGTAATAGTAAACAACAACAACAACAATCAAATTGTGAATTACTTTCAAATGTAAGCAAAGTGAATAAAGAAAAAGAAAAAGAAAAGACTATATATTAATTTAACTCTTTACTATTAGATAATACCATTAATGTGTGGATTAACATGTTCATATATTACATGTACAAGAACTACAACACCAGAAGATTTGGTTCAGAAATTGTTTGATGTAAACATTAATGTAACATCTGGTGGTGCAAATACATCATCTTCATCATTGGATGCTACTGCTAGTAGTAGTAATAATACAAGTTCAAATAATAGTCCAATCAACCGATTAAATAATGAATCAATGCAACTTCCATCTTCATCTTCTACTACTACTACCACTACGACTAACAAGAGAATGGTAGATATATTATTGGTAGATGATTTGGATCTTGCACCATTACCTACAAGATATACATTGTTTCAAATGATGTCTTATAGAAAGGTTGCCTACAAGGGTCGTACATTGGACACTCCAGAATATTTTAGTGTCATTGCAACTGTATCATCATTTAGTAATGAATTTAATCAAGATTCAACCCAAAGTGCAGATCATCATCAACAACAACAACAACAAGTTATTTATCAAAGACAAAGTAGATCAATGTCTATGATTAACATGTCAACCAAAGATAGAAATCATCATCATCATCATATAGAACCAATTTCACCACTTATATTGGATAATTTCTTTTTAAATTATCGATTATACGAACCTTTAAATGTACCAATGTTGACCAAACCTTTACATGACCCACTCTTGTCTCCACAACCACAACAACAAATATTGACAGCTCGTCGTATACACAGACTTAGACGTCAACTACAATCAGACTGTATATACATTACCAATGATATGGAACAATATATACGTACTATTATTGTTAATCTAAGAAACCATCCACTCGTCACATATGGCCCATCTCCAAGAGCCACTCCAACACTTACACTTGCCTCTAAAGCATGTTCACTACTTTCAGGTCAATCTTTTGTCACTCCAACACATGTAATATCAGTTGCAACACTTGTACTAAACCACCGAATCTTTTTATCAAATCCTTTTCCTCTTGATGATAAACAACAATATCGTCATCAACAACATTCAAATAACCATCCACTGTATGAACAAATTAAATCAATGTCTACAGTTTCAACAGGTCAATTATTATTACCTAAACAACATTTAACAAGACATTCTTTAAATACAACTATGGATTATATAGTTGATAAATCCATGGATAATATATCACCACCATCAACATCACCAAGAGAAAAGACATCAACATCAATACCATTAGATCTTCCATCAGGAGTTATAAAATCAATTAGTAATAATATATTATCACAAGCAACTCATCTTCCACCACCTCCCATTTCAATTATAGATACTGATCATCTTGTTCCAAGAGATAATAATCAACAACAAGTTAGAATGATGTCACCAATTACAATTCAAACCGATGATGATAATGCAAGTAGTTTTCATGGTAGTGAACTTGGAATAACAATTGATAATACCATGGTTGTAGATTCTTTTAGTGTAATTAGAATCATGTTGGATAATTTATCTCCTCCCATCTAAAAAAAAAAAAAAAGAAAAAGAATAAATAATAATAACTGTATATATATATAAAAAATAAGGAGTAATGACAGAGCGTGTTTTTATTTGATTTATAAAAAAAAGAATAAATTGATTTAAAAAGCATATCAAATCATATTGTTCGTGGGTACTAGATTAGATAATCTATCCGTGATAGAGTTGATTTGATTATTATTATTATTATTATTATTATTATTATTATTATTATTATTATTATTATTATTATTATAATAAGCAATAAAATTATTGTTGCTCCGACTCGGTTTGTAAAGAGTGGAGGAGTTGGATAAGTTCTTTGTGACTTCCATTTCGAGAGAGAGCCAAAAGTTGAACATGGTATGGACTGATTCTTTTTTTTTCTATTTTATTCCATACATCAATCAAACGTCTTGGGGAATCTACTCCAACACTCAATACTTTACGTTTGACATTTCTAACTGTCAAAATGATCATGGTTTTTATACAAGATTCTAAATCATCGTTTGGAGTAGAGGTGTGAGTGCCATTTGATTTGACCATTGAGATGAGAACATTATTTGAGGCAGTGTAGTAACAACCTTCATAAGGAGATGGGTTTCCTGAAAACAATACAGAAGATGACCAATCAATTAAAATGGGCTCCTTTGATTCATTTGATAAAATGATATTAGAGGGGCCTATGTCACGGTGAATGATATTGTTTTTGTGAACATCCAACAAAATTTGAATAATCTATAAATAAAGAATATTGTTAATTTTATTTTCTCCTCTTCAAGGAAAAAACTTACTTTTCCCCAGTTTTTAAATGCTATTGAAGTATTAATGACACTTCCAAGAGGAGACATCACCATCCACTTGCTTGAATCACCTGATGAACGAATAATTTTTGGGACACCATTGAAATCTTTTAAACTTTGCAAACGCTTTTCCTCGTTTGACTTGAAATGTGGCTTTTTGTAGATTTTGATGAAATAAGATTTTCCATCGACCAAAGCGGAAAAAACTCTAGATGACATCCCTTCTTTTTCAAATACCAATTTTGATTTAAAATCTTGGTCGAGGTCAGAGAGGTCATCATCGACTTGTTGTTTTGGATGTGTAATTTCACCTTCTACTTTGAACTTTGAGATAAGGAGAACCAATTCTTCTATGTTTGCTAATAAGAATTAATGAAGAGAGGTTTAATACGTTACGATGGAACAACGAAAGAAACAGGAAAATGTGTGGTCAAGTAAACTAAATTGGCATGGTTGGAGGAATGTAATGAAATAACTATACTTTTAGGAGCGGTGGCCGTTGTTTGAGAAAAAAGACGTTCGAGCTCTGCAAAAAGCGATTCAATGAGTTGTTCTCTTTCTTTCATTTTTTGATCATCAGCTTTTTGTTCTGGAGATTCATTCTTGAAATTACGTTTAAAGATTTCAATTGATTTGGAATTGAATGTAAGATTCTCTCCTTTAAAACCATCTTTAAGATAAAGGCAATCTTGATCATAACCTCCTTTGTCTATACCAGATTTTACCCATTCTAAAGTTTGAGTGTGGGTCCAATTGTTGACGACTGTAGTCATCGTAAGGGATGGGGGAAACTATTGTAATATAAGTTATTTAAAAAAGATGGGATAGTAAAGAACAAATAACTAAACTTGATAAGGAGAAAAATATATATTCGATGATAAAAAAAAAATTAATAAAATGGTGTCTGAAATGAACTAAAATTAAAAAATAAATAATAATTGTATATAATTAAAAGATATAATAATATATTATTTGTGTGTATTATTTTTAGAATATAATATAATATTCTTTTTGGTTTTTCTATTTTGTTTTGATTTACCAATCTTCATCTTCCTTTTTAAGATCTTTAACAATTTCACCATTACCCCAACCTCTCATTTCCATACCTTTTGGTGGAGCACCTTTGACCTTTTTCTGGCCAACGTCTTCCCAATTGGTAGAGAGGACGGTGCCACCAGATTCGACAAATGACTTCATCATGGCACGTCTTTGTTCTTCAGAGCCACGTGAAAAGATGTCTTGGAAGACACGGTTGAGTGGATCACCTTCCTTGTCCTCTGCATCGATATCATCCCAATTCTTTTTGCTTGCATAGGGTGACACTACAGATGGTGCTTGTCCAGTGGTAGTAGAAGCGGTGGTGTTGGTTGCAGTTGATTGATCAATTTCGCTTACTGTAGTTGCACCAGTATACTCGAGATCATCCCATTTGATGGCACGAGATTTCTTTAACAAGATTTCAACCTTCATCGATGAATATTTGACTGTGCTTTCAGCTACAATGATTGGATCAAACAAATCACATTCAAATAAATATTCACTTCCAGTTGCCATCAAGAATGATACTGATAACTAAGAAAAAATTAAATATATAATATAATAGAAAATAGAAAGAAAAGAAAGATTAGTATCTATATATATTTTAAGTACTTTTTGATTCTTACAGATTTATCTTTAATTTCTATTTTAGAGTTTGATGCAGTTACAAATTTAGCAAAGATGGTAACAGTAACGTTTGTAGCGGTATCAAACCATTCATGTCTAACCTTTGTACCAACAGATGGAAGTGGGAGCTTTGGTTGTTCTGGTTTAGCTGCAACTGGAGCAACAGCAACTGGTGCTGGGGTTGGTACGGCTGCTGGTGTTGGAGTAGCAGATTGACCCAATTCAGCTTTAGTCTTTCTAACCCAAGTCTTGAATTGACTATTCTCTGCATCTAATGATTGTCCCTTTTCAAATGAAGCTAAAGCAGATTCATATTCTTCAAGTTCAAACAAATATTGTCTAAATAAATAAAGAAAAAATAAAGAGAGAGAGTAAGTAAAAAGATTGAAATGATAGTAGTTTTAGTTGGTTGTTGTTGTTGTTGTTGTTGTTGTTGTTGTTAAAGTTCCCTTACCCCTTCTTGAGATAGGCTTTTGGATTGTTTGGGTCTATTTTTATACATGTATTTACATCGGCAATAGCGTCATTGAAAGAGTTGAGGTTGTGGTGACATTGAGATCTCTTGAAATGAGCTTCGTAGGATTGTGGGTCAGTCTTGCATGCTCTATCATAACATTCTAATGCCTTGTCATATTCTTCATCTACAAAGAATGAATTTCCTTTATTTATATCTTCCATAACTCCTAAATATATATGTAATACTATGTATCTCTATATTTATAACTAATGAAATTAAAAGTGAAAGTGGCAATTTAGAAGAAGCGAAGTGCATCTCTTTTTTTTTTTTTCAATGATCTTTTTTTTATAGTTTATTTAATTTTTAGATTTATTTTCTGAAAGATTGGAAACATCTGGATACCTAAGATCGGAGTTCTTCTAGAGAGACTAGTGAGCGACATGGAGGTGTTGTCCGAGAGGTGGTAATGAACACCTACCCGAGAGAGAGAGAGAGAGAGAGAGAGAGAGATTGCGACGGAGAGTGATATGGAAAGGGTTGGAGCAACCAGACGACACCCGATAATTTGATTATGATTGGATCTGAATGTAGGAATTGGAATGAACTGGATGAGATTGAGAGAAAGAAAGAAAGAGAGTATGTGGAAAGTGTTGGATATGATATACATGAGAGATTCTGGAAATATAAGACACTTTTTAAATTTATCAGAGTTTAACACTTTTTAAGGAACAGTTAAGTTTATTTAGAGGGTCTTGACAAGTTGCTTCTTGTAGTTGTTGAGTGGACCATGGTTAGAGATAATCTTAACATTGGCACCATCGTTGACGACACGGTTGGTGGCCTTGAGTTCCTTGAACTCTTCACGGTTGTACTTGGTGAAACCCCACTTCTTGGAGATGACGATTTTTTGACGACCTGGGAACTTGTAAGATGAACGACGGAGGGCTTCAATGATGTGGTTGGACATACCATCCTTGCATCTGATAGAGAAGATGATTTGACCGATTTCAACACGAGCGCAGAGACCCAATGGCTTACCGTAAGCTCCTCTCATACCTGTTTGGAGACGATCAGCACCGGCACACGACAACATCTTGTTGATACGGAGTACGTGCCATGGGTGAACACGGACACGCATGTGGAAGGAATCCTTACCTCCGACCTTGGTGATGTACTTGTTGCAAGAGATACGACCAGCTTCCAAAGCTTCAGAGGAAAGTTGCTCCTTTTCGAGTGAAATCAAATGAGCACAGAATGGGAATTCCTCAGTTGAAGCCTTCTTACGACCGAGATCATAGATCTTAATCTTGGCGTCTGGGACACCACGACAGTATCTAGACTTGATGTATGGCTTGTTCTTACAGTATCTGTAACTGTATAATATGTAAGTGAAGGTAGTATAATAATATAATATAGTATGAGGGAGTGGTGTGTTAGTAAACTTTCGTTCGTCTGTTTCTATCTTTCTATCTTTCTACAACAGCTGTATTGTGTGTAGTTGTGCTGTTGGTGCTGCTTGTGTAGATAGATTCTATGCTATAATATTGATATATACCATCTGGCTGGACGACGACCCATTTTAACAATCTTTATAATGGTTAATCAGTAAACAACTATTTTCAAAGGGGTGTGGATTGTGATGGAGGAGTGTAGGAGGAGGTGAGAGCACGCACACTGTGACTGTGAGAGATTTTGCACGAAATAGAAAAAATAGAAAAAAATTGTGTTTTTTCAAAAATACAAATGAAAAAAAATGCACGTGATAGAAAGCTCACTCTTCACGCCTTTTATATTTTTCTCATCGTACGACCAACATTCGCGAGAGAGAATGCCATTCTTTCAAAGAACACTTCATTACTACGACGGATGAATTTAATCAATAATTAATAATTTAATTTGATCAACTAACTGCATCACATCTTCTTCTTGCTCTATTCTATTCTCCTCAACACAACACACTATTATTGTATTCATAAAGTTGAACATTTTAAAAAAAAAAAAGAAAGGACAGAGAAGAAGAGAATGGACGAGCCAATTGATGATTGACAGTACTCATGAACTTAGTTGGTTTGGTGTCAGCTGATGATGATGAGGACAGAGAAGAAGAGAATGGACGAGTCAAAACTATGAACTATTAATTGTCAGTTGATCAATATTATATTATATTATTCTAGTTTTTTAAAAAGATAAGATAAGACGATAGATATAGAGAAAAGATAAAGAAAAGAGAGAGATCTGTGTTCAATTTAGAGAGACGATATTTTTTTGATTAGGGATGAAATTTGAAAAGTTGTAGTAACTATAAACTATTAATAATGGATGGGTAGGGATTTCAGAGACGTACCTATTGTAAATATCTTTGTGTGGGTTGCAGCGACCAGGGTAACTTTGAGAAAAAATCTAGGTCTTTGAAAAAGAGTCGGGTTTAGTGTTTTTTAAAATAATTTATAAAATCGGTGTCGACGGTATCCGGAGGCAGGCAGGCAAACGATCCCTTTAAATTCACTTGCACAGACAGCCTTCTTTTTCATTCAATTGTAATAACTTATATACATATATACAAATACAAACAAAATGTTTAGATACATCTTTGCCGTTTTATTATTGATTGTAGCTGTTGCTAATGCTACAGTCGATCTCGAAGCTCTTTATCGTGCTGCCAATATTACCATTCCAGCTTCTCAATGTGCTTCTGCTGCTTCAAAGGCTGGTCACTATGCTGTAAGTCAACAAACATTATTTAAACAAAAAATCAAACAAACAAACATAAATAATAAATATACTAACCATTCTCTCAATCAATATTTGTTTTCTTTTCACTTGTTTATTATTATTATTATTTTTTTACTTCTTCCCTAGTCATGTGGATGCCCATACGTTTGGGGAGGTACTAGTTGTGGATGTGGTGGTAGTGGAGGTATGGACTGTTCAGGTCTTGTATACACCTCTTACAGAGAAGCTGGTTACACTGGTATCCAAAGAACCACCTTTGAACAAATCAACCAAGGTTCATCCTGTGGCTCTTGCTCACCATCCAACTTGGGTTCCTGCAAGGTTGGTGCCTTGTTCTTCTACTGTTTCTCTCAACCATGTCCAGATCATGTATGATATTCAAATTTGAACGTTCAACAAATTGATTTATTTACTAACTATTATATTATATTGTTTTATTTAAAATAATAACCTATACTATAGGTCGTCATGTACTTGGGTGGTGGCAAGGCTGCCGAATGTCCAGAACCAGGTCAAGATTGTCATATCATTACTCCATACTCTGAGTCATACTATGCTTGCAGAACTTTATGTTAAACATAAAGATTTCCAGAAAGGTTGGTTGGTTAGGGGGTTCAAACCTAAAATCAAACAATCGATCGATCGACAGGACAACTACATAATAAAATTTAATTTAATTTTTTTTTCAACTTGACATCATTAAAGTATGATCTGTCACATGATCATTGCTTCTCAATATAAATATATGTAAATAGTAATAATAGTAGTAGTAGTAGTAGTAGTAGTAATGAATAATAGTATTGTAATATTACCATCAATAATAGAAAAGAATATAATCAATTTAATATTGATAGATGATCTGTCAAGTCATGGACTGTTGGATAATGCAATGAGACTATGTAAAGTTAGCAAGAGATGGTTAAAGCATACAAGTAGTATCTTTACAAAACACTTTTATCTACATATTCAAACAAATGATTCATTAAACAATTACAACAGAATTAAAAAAAAGAAAAAGAAACAAGAGGAAGAAGAAGATCAAGAAAAAGAAAAAGAAGAAAAGAATAGTTGTTGGTTAAAAATATTAGAGAATAATTTAAAATCACCATTTTGTTTGTTGTATCCATGTCCTCATAGGGTTGGTATAACATTTCAATCGACTCTATTGTCATTGGACGGCATTAAACAATTATTGGCTAGTCGTGCATTTAGCGAGATTGATTCGTTGACTGTTGGTATACCAGTGTCTACATCGACGATGGCGATGGCGGCGAGTGACCACCACCATGGTCATGAATCACCATCATTTTACTCGCCGTGTGCAGTAATTGATTTATTGTCACCAATCATTCAACATGGATATCAATTAACTAGATTCAATATAGAAGGAGTCTATTGTAATGCATTGTGTCAGGCATTTATACCAATTACAAATAGTCTAACTAAATTCTTATGCGTCGATTTGACACCTCCAACAAATCTTGAAGAGAATAATGGTAGTGGTCGAGATAATAGTTCTAGTTCAAGTTCTAGTTCAAGTTCTAGTTCAATGTTACAATTATTATATTCTACAAGATCAACATTACAATCACTTCATCTTAATTTCAGACAACACACTTTACTCACAACTTTGTTGTCTTGTCAAGACTATATATTCAAATCATTGCAACTACTCAATATACTGGATGCCGATCAGTCCAAATTACCGTGGGATCTATTCCCAACGGTTGTACCGAATCTACGTCAACTCGGTATCACCAATCACGACTATAGCAAGACAGTGTCACCTGCACTTGCCAATTACCTCGTGTCAAGTGGCGTGAGGTACCTGTCATCAGTATGTCTTTTACCAGAGACGCTGTCGTTGATAGCCGGTCTACAGCGATCAGTATCGATGAGTATAGATATGGAGAGCCGCAAGACACGTATTACACCAGGTGGATTGTCGAGTCATCACAAGGACAGTATAAGGTATCACCCTAGTCTGACCGACCTCTCTGTACATTGCAATTTATTCATGTTTGATGTTGATATATTCCAACCACTGCCATTCCTCTCCATCACTAGTCTCAGACTCACCATTCCCCCTTCACTCATTGGTCATATTACCAAGGTCGTTCCCAACCTCCAACTTCTTGAAACCTTTTACCTACTTTGTGTAAAACGTACCAATCAACCACAACTCGAATTGGAAATGGTGACACCAAACCTTTTACAAGCACTTGGTCAAAGCAAGACTGTATCATTGATTGAATTGTATGGTCTCTCTATAACATCGACACAAGTTGATAGATTTGTCATTCCAATGATTAAATCACTCAATAGTCTATCGCGATTAAAAACTTCAACCTTGCAATACCCAGATTCCTACATTGTAAAATATTTTAATATTAAAAATGATCATACAACTACAACTTTATCAAAAAAAATGGTAACTCGAAAAAACAATCAAACAAACAAATAATTAATTAATTTATGTATATTAACATCTTTCTTTTTTTTTTAATAATAGTAATAGTAATTTTAATTTGCAATTATAAATAGCATGTATACATCCAATTGCAATTGGTAATAATTATTGTGAATGGTAATATAATTCAACAAAACAACAACAGCTGTCTCGACAGAATTGTAATGTTGGTTGAACACCATGGTGTTTATAGATTGTAATATTGACACCTTTTACATTGGGTGTTTCCTGAACCACATGATCTATCGTAAATATTGCAATAGATTGGATTAATCATTTCAAAATGATATTGGATTGGTTGATCAACCAATTAAATCTTATTAGAAATAGAAAATAAAAAGAAATAATTTAAAGATATATTTTTTTTTTTTCTTTGCTCGAAAAAAAATAATAATAATCATAGTAATAGCTATTACTATAGTACTATACATACAATGATGATTAATCAACAACAACAACAACAACAACAACAACAACAACAACAACAACAACAACTACAATTACCAACAATAATAACAAAGATTATTATTGATTTTGTATTAGGTTGTGGTGGGGATAGTAGTTTTGTAGAGTTGACCAATAATGCATATAGACTTTTTAAAGTTTGCAAGAGATGGTTAAAGATTACAAGTAGTGTATTTGTACAATACTATACTTTAAGATTACAATCTACTGCTGTTGATAATACTATAACCTATATCAAAGGATTACAACAAAATATACAGTCACCATTTTGTTTATTATATCATTATCCTTTGTCAAAGGTTGAATTGGTATTTGGTTATGATTATATGCAGAATGCATACATTCAACAAAAGTTGGGCAGACCAATTGCATATCAAACACATCATAATGATAGTCAATTCTCAGAGCTCAAAGAACAAATAGAATCTGGACATCTACAACCAACCGGTATACCAATTGGTATACCTCAACTACGGTTGGGTGAGGGTAAATATTCAATCAAACGAAGAATTCAAGTCTGGCAACAATTTCAAAATGTAGATACACGATCAATCAACACTTCACCAAATATGATTAGTAAAGAATCAACAATCTTTAATCAACTAGTACAATTATTTACAAATAGAGCCGTGTTTGGAGAAATAACAACATTGGATATATACACATATGATGATATAGACACTGATGTATTGATACCTATTATAAATTATGGTAATCAATTAACAACTCTATTTCTAGATGGTAGACACAATCAAAAGGTTTGTAAAGTTGTATTACCAATTGCAATGAATCTATCTACTTTGGCTTATAGAGATGATCTGGGTCAGACAACCAACAACATTAACTTTAACAACATTGACCTCCTCAACGACAATGACAACAATAAGGAGGAGGAGAATTATTTCTTAAAATTAATAGATAATAATCATTCTTCATTAGAGAGATTATACTTGGAGACACCAAATACCAACATATTAAATAATATATTTAAATCTAGTGGCGGATTGATATTTAATCATTTAAAGTTTCTTCAAATCAAATCAAGGTACCAATTTCACATGCCTTGGAATGATTTCAAAGTATCTCTCCCAAATTTAGAGGTGATAAAGATAAAAGATGGTCATTTGTTTGCAGATAGTCTTTCAACAAGGTTGAAAGATTATTTAATAGCAAGAGGTGGAAAGGTTCAATATATGGCACCGGTTCATTTATCTCTTGAAACGGTAGACCTTGTTCAGTATCTTGCCTATTACCTAGACTTAACAATAGACAACGACGTTATGTTCACAACATCTTTGGACTATGTACTGCCTACATTACCACCAATCAAATACCATCCTTCACTACTAGGACTATCATTAAGTTGTATAATGCCATCGGATGATCTGCTAAAGATTGATCCATTTCAATATATTCCATTTACAACATTGAAAAGTTTAATAATCAAATTGGCCAATCCAGGCTCAACCATACCATACTTGGATAGATTCGAGCAACTAGAGACACTTTCAATAAGAGGTCCTCTCGGCGACTATTCACCAGAATTTCAAATACTTTGTCAAGATATTTCAAAGATCCAAACTCTCACCTCTCTTGGATTGCATTTTCAAAGGACTGGTAATCATACTGATATTCTAAAGTGGAATGTCAACTTTACACCAATGATCAAACAACTAGTGCATTTAAAAGCATTTAAAACCGTTCAATTTCTTGGTAATCTTGACAATAATGACAAAGATCATCAATGGATAGCAGCTCATTTTAATATTGAAATTGATAATCATGAAACAACTTTAACAAGAAAATAGAAAATAAAGTAAAAGTAAAAATAAAAGTAAAAAAAAAAGGGGAAACGCTTCACCAAAGTTGGGATGTAATCAACATTTTTTTCTTTTTATTTACTTTTGTATTTGTTGTAATGAATAATAATAATAATAATATAGATAATCAACAACAACAACAAATAACTTTGCCAACAACAATAACAAGGATTATTATTGACTTGTTATTGTGTTGTGGTAGGGAGGATGGCACTTCAAAATGGTTGATAGAGGATTCATTGAATCTTTCAAGAGTATCAAAGAGATGGTTAAAGATTACAAGTAGTGTATTTGTACAATACTATACTTTAAGATTACAATCTAATGGTGTTGACAGTAATATCAACTATATCAAAAGATTACAACAAAATATTCAATCACCATTTTGTTTACTATATCATCAAGCATTAACAAAGGTTGAATTGGTATTTGGTTATGATTATACCCAGATTGCATACATTCTTCACATACAAAAGTTAGACCTACCAAATCGTATAACACAACTAAAACATGCCAGTCAATTCTCAGATCTCAAAGTACAAATAGAATTTGAACATCTACAACCAACTGGCATACCTATTAAACCAAAACCTCGACAATCCTATGAGATAAAATATTCAATCAATCGAGACAGGCAACTCTTGAAAGGATTTCAAAATCTAGATATACTATCAATCGACTCTTCAACAAGGGTCATTATTGACAAACAATCAGCAATCTACAATCAACTAGTACAATTATTTACAAATAGAGAGGTGTTTGGTCAAATAACAACATTGGAATTATTTACATATGATGAAATAGATGTTGATGTTTTGATACCTATTGTACAACAAGGAGGTAATCAATTAACAACTCTATTTCTAGATGGTCCATACAATCAAAAAGTTTGTCAAGTTTTACTACCTCTAGCAATGAATCTATCAACTTTGGCTTATAGAGATGGTCTAGATGATAAACTTGGTGAATACAATCAGACAACCAACAACATTAACCTCAACAACAATGACAACAAAGAGGAAAATTATTTTTTAAAATTAATAGAAAATAATAATAATTCATTAGAGAGACTATACTTGGTAACAACAGATATCAACATATTAAATAATATATTTATTAGTGGTGGTGGGTTGATCTTTAATAATTTAAAGTTTCTTCAAATCCCATCTTGTCATCTACCATTCATGTCTTGGAGTTATTTCAAAGTATCTCTACCTCTACTAGAGGTGATAAAGATAAAAGATGGAATTAAACAAAATAGAAGAGATGGTATGATACACCCCCACTACTTGGTTCCCACTTCCTTGATAGATTATCTAATATCAACAGGTGGAAAAGTTCAATATTTTGGATCTGTCCCATTATCTCTCGATACCGTATCTCTTGTAAAGTATCTCCCCTATTATCTATATTTAGATATCATTCCTATAAATGTCCATACATTTCCACCAATCATTTACCATCCATCATTGTTGGGACTGAAATTAAAATGTTCCATGATACCAAACGATCTTTTAAGAATTGATCCACTCAAATACATTCCATTTACAACATTGAAAAGTTTGACATTAAAGTTAAATGGTCTAGGCTCAACCATACCATATTTGGATAGATTCGAGCAACTAGAGACACTTGTTATTTCCATTTCTGAAGAAAATGGAACATCACCAGAATTTCAATTACTTTGTCAAGATATTTCAAAGATCAAATCACTCGTCTCCCTTGACTTGCTCTCGTTGAACCAATTCGACGGGGAAAATCTACAAGGTCAAGATTGGAATGACAACTATACACAAATGATCAAACAATTAGAAAACTTAAAGATATTTAAAACTATTAGATCCAAACCTGAAGATCAATGGATATTAGCCCATTTTAATTTTAATATTGAATTAATTAATTTAACAACACTTTTAACCAGAAAATAAGAAAATAGAACAAATAAGCAAAAATAGAATAAACAAAATAATTTATTGAATATTTAAAATAAGATAATTTAAATTACTATTATTAGAGGTGATTATATCAAAACTAGAAGTTAATTGATTTGGTAAAGGTGTGGCAAGAGTGATTTGATCTGGGTAGATGGAAAGAGAGGGACTGACAGCAATATAGTAGACTTGGCCGGCTTTGAGTGAACTGGGATTTGAGATGGTGACAGTTACAGTTCCTGTTCCACCAAATGAGAAACTATTTTGAATGGTGATTGGGACATTAGAGACAATGGTAGAGAGTGGGTTTGAAATGTCTATGGTGAGGATAGATTCACCTTGGAGAATGAGACTACCAAATGTGGCTGGAGAGGAAATGGAAACTTGTGAAGACTGTGTAGTGATGGTTCCACTAACAGTAGAGTTTTGTACAGTGATGTTTCCCTTGTTGGCAATAATACTTTGGGTCTGGAGAGCACTATCCTTGACAAGGAGTGAAGAAAAGGGTGACACTTGGACAACAGAGTTTCCAACAAGTTGGATTTGAGAATTGGTTAAATTGAGTAGAGCTTGGTTTCCAATATAGACAGCTGCATTGTTTAGTGCAAATGTAGTGGTTGCCCAACTAGCATACTCGTTAAAATACAGAGTCGTATTGGGAGATGTGTTGAGTTTAGTATCCCAAATATGGGTGACTGCAATATTGGTCAAATTGGCCGAGAAAACTCCGGTGGGAGTATGTGGATTTCCAAGTGTGAATTGTAAAATGAAAAGGGTCGACTGGTCATCTTGACCTCCCAAGTTGAGTTGATCTACCAAGTCTGTACTAGTAACATACCCCAATGGCAAATAGATTGATGGAACGTTTACAGAGTCAGCCTTGCCAAATATAACAGTCGAGATTCTAGTAGAACTGACCGAATCAATTTCAACGGTGATTGGTGACCCATCAGTCGTATCAATTTGATCTTGATTTTGGATAAATTGAGCGTTGAGACCAAGGTCAAGAATACGGACAACAACTGAATAGTCTACATTGAGATTGGCATCAGTGTCAAGTAGAATAGATGTAGCTACAAGACTACGACCAATATTAAATGTAGCAGCTTCGTTGACTATGAGATCTTCTACGGTGACATCACCCAAAGCTGTGAATGGAGTCCAGCCAGTGATAGTAGCAATACCACCCAATGTGACAGTTGTAAAGTGAGAGAGGGTAGCATTACCATTGAAAAAGCTGTCTCCTGTGATTGACAGACTACCATTAATACCATGTAAATAGACAGAAGCAGTGTCAAAAAGTGCACCACCATCAATTATGACACTGACATAATCCAATGCTTGGAATACACCATTATTCACAACCGTCAAATCTCCAGCTACCGATAAAATACCATAGTAGTTTATGATAAAAGTACTAAAGTTGCCAACAAATACATCTCCTTTAACTTGGAAATTAGAGAAACTGGTAAATCCCAAAGGAGCAGTAGAGGTACCGTTGAGTACAAGACCAGAGATTTGAATGTTATCAAATGAAAAGATATTTTGTGCTTTTAGCTCTGTAATGGGGATCTCGATAAATGCAATGTCATTGGATGATGGGGCAACACCTCCTACCCAATTTGATCCATCATTAAAATCACAATGCCACGAATCACATTGTACACTTTTATCCCACACTACATTTTCTGAAATAGTAGTACCAATGATGAGTGAAACAAGTGTAAATACTATTAAAATAATTGAATTATTCATTCTATTCTATATTTTTTTTTGTATATATAACTGATGATTGGTTATTTGTTTGTTTTTAATATTATTGTTATGATTATTGTTGATGATTGGTTAATCTAATTAAATATAAATGGGATTGGTGATGATGTCAACATGAACAACTCCAAATACAAGAAAGTATCTATATTGTGTATTATAAAAGAAGATGGAATGAATCGATTGTTTCAATGGAATCAAATGAACACCTTGTATTCAAAATATCTTTACTGTTAAATTAAAACCAAAAAATCTGATTAATATTCGAATTTTCCAAACATTCCATTGTCCCCATAAACATCTACTCTGATCTGTAATGTACTTTCCTAGGATGTACCCAATCTTGGTATTGAAAATGTCGATTGGAATGACCTTTACACCAATGATCAAACAATTTTTAAACCTAAAGATATTTAAAACTCGTGCATTTAAATTAAAAAGGCTAGTCGACCAATCAATATTAAATGATTTTATTATTGAAACTGGAAATGAGGGTATTTTAACCAGAAAATAAATAAATAAATAAATAAATAAATAGATGATTGTCACAATCAAAAAGACGGAAATGTATGAAACATTATCTCTTGGTCTCAAATCTAGTGGCACTAATGTTAAAAGATAGAGGTAGTATTATTACTTGTTGTTGTTGTTGGTTAATTAAAAGTTGATCATCACTATCTACTTGAACTTGGAAAAGAGTATTAATATTATACATGCATGTTTCAAGTTGAAGATGATTTACTTGTTGTTTGATGTTGTCAAATATAACAATATTGGATTTAGTATAAAAATTTAATAATAATATAATAATATAAATTTAAATTATTATGAGAACCAATGATACAACCTTTTATTTTTATTTTTTTATGAATATTTATATTATGCTAAAGATGGTTCTCTCGGTTGATTATGATAACCACAGATTAAATGTACCATCGCAGTTACCATCAACCATAACAAAGAGTATCATAGACTTTGTATTATATTGTGATAATAGAATAATTAATAATAATAATAATGATAGTAATAAATCATTGATCGAGAATGCATTGAATCTTTCAAAAGTTTGCAAGAGATGGTTAAAGATTACAAGTAGTGTATTTGTACAATAATATAGTACTTTAATAGTACGATCTACTAGTATACCCTATATCAAAAGATTACAACAAAACATAGAGTCATCATTTTGTTTATTGTATCATTATCCTCTGCCAAAGGTTGAATTGGTATTTGGTTATGATTATGAACAGATTTCATACAACACTATGAAACATATTGTTCTGCTCAATATTCAATCAACTCGACAAAACAACAATCAAAATCAACCATCAACTCTAATTACATACCAACAACTCTACAAACAACGCAACACAGAATGGTCTCAATTTTCAAATCTAAAGCATCAAATAGAACATCAACCGGCATCAACTCTATTGAAACCATTACAACCAAAAGTTATACAATACATTAATGATAATGAAATGAGACAACCACCACAACATTTAGAGACAAAAACTCAACTAGAAGATCGACTACGAATCTTATACAACGGTGATCAAGAGGATCCTCTATCAATCTATCGAGACATAAAAGAAAATGAATTGAAACTTTATTCAAATATGATTAGTAAACAATCAGCAATCTTTAATCAACTAGTACAATTATTTACAAATAGAGCCGTGTTTGGAGAAATAACAATATTGCATATATACACATATGATGATATAGATGTTGATGTATTGATACCTATTATAAATTATGGTAATCAATTGACAACTCTATTTCTAGACGGTCTACACAATCAAAAGGTTTGTCAAGCTATACTACCAATAGCAATGAATCTAACTACTTTGGCCTATAGAGATACTATAAATAGCAACCTCGACAACATTAACTATAACAAAAAGAAATGTAATTTTTTAAATTTAATAGACAATAATAATAATACATTAGAGAGACTATACTTGGTAACAACAAACATCAGCATATTAAATAATATATTTATTAGTGGTGGTGGATTGATCTTTAAAAATTTAAAGTTTCTTCAAATCCCATCTTGTGATCAATTACATATGCCTTGGAATGATTTCAAAGTATCTCTACCTCTACTAGAGGTACTAAACATGGAAGGACCTTTTAGTAACCCTTGTCCTGCATTGATAGATTATTTAATAGCAAGAGGGGGAGAGGTTCAATATATGGCACTAGTCCATTTATGTCTAGAAACCTTTCCACTCTTTCAATACCTTCCCTATTATTTAGATCTAAAGATCGACATGACAGGCACTTCACTCCCACCAATCAAATACCATACATCATTGTTGGGACTGAGTTTTTTTTATATTCCAATAGGCCGACTTGGAACAAAAGACGAACTTTTAAAGTTGGATCCATTTCAAAACATCCCATTTGAAACATTGAAAAGTTTGAAATTGGCTATTGACAACCTAGAAGCCATCACACCATACTTGGACAGATTCAAACAACTAGATACACTTACACTTGTCATCTATTATAGTTCAGGCACCCTGACTGAATCATTATGTCAAAGTATCGCACAAATACAAACACTCACCTCTCTTGAATTGTTTGTTGGCAATGGACATTGGAATGAAAACTTTACACCAATGATCAAACAACTTGTAAACTTAAAGATATTTAAAACAGGTACATCAAATTTGAGTGACAATCAATGGATATCAAATCATTTTAATATTCAAATTGAAAATCAGCATGAAACAACTTTAACCAGAAAATAGAAAATAAATGGAAATATTAATGTTAATAAAAAAATAAAAAAACCAGAGCAAACCAAGTATCGTGTACTTTGTACTTTAATTGATTAAATCTATTTTGTATACAACTACAAAAACGATGATGAACAATAATAACTCTGACAGTTTAAATGTATTACCATCAACTATAGCAAAGAGTATCATTGACTTGGTATTATATCGTGATTGGGTGTCAGATGATATTAATCGTAATCGTCGATCATTATTGATCGAGAATGCATTGAATCTTTCAAAAGTTTGCAAGAGATGGTTAAAGATTACAAGTAGTGTATTTGTACAATACTATAGTACTTTAATAGTACGATCTACTAGTATAACCTATATCAAAAGATTACAACAAAACATAGAGTCACCATTTTGTTTATTGTATCATTATCCTCTGCCAAAGGTTGAATTGGTATTTGGTTATGATTATGAACAGATTTCATACAACACTATGAAACAACTTGTTCTGCTCAAGATTCAATCAACTCAACAAAACAATCAACTCTTAAGATTACAACACCAACAACTCTACAAACAACGCAACACAGAATGGTCTCAATTTTCAAATCTAAAGCATCAAATAGAACATCAACCAACATCAACTCGATTGAAACCATTACAACCAAAAGTTATACAATACATTTATAATGAAATGAGACAACCACCACCAAATGTACATTTCGAATCAGTCACTCAACTAGAAGATCGACTACGACTCTTGTACAGCAGCAATAGTGATCAAAATCTTCTATCAATTGATCAAGCCATAAAAGAAAATGAATTGAAAAGTTCTCCAAATAATATTAGTAAACAATCAGCAATCTTTAATCAACTAGTACAATTATTTACAAATAGAGCCGTGTTTGGTCAAATAACAACATTGGATATATACACATACGATGATATAGATGTTGATGTATTGATACCTATTGTACAACAAGGAGGTAATCAATTGACAACTCTATTTCTAGACGGTAGACACAATCAAAAGGTTTGTCAAGCTATACTACCAATTGCAATGAATCTAACTACTTTGGCATATAGAGATAGTTTGGTTTATAGAGATAATGCAATTAACAACAACAACAATCCCAAGAAGGAATGTAATTTTTTAAAATTAATAGACAACAATCATAATACATTAGAGAGATTATATTTGGTGACACCAGATACCAATATATTAATTAATATATTTAAGATATCTAGTGGCGGTAGTGGTGGTGGTGGATTGATATTTAATAATTTAAAGTATCTTCAAATCCCATCTAGTCAACAACCATTCATGCCTTGGAATCATTTCAAAGTATCTCTACCTCTACTAGAGGTACTAAACATGGAAGGTGATTTTAAAAATCCTTGTCCTGCATTGATAGATTATTTAATAGCAAGAGGAGGAGAGGTTCAATATATTGCACCGATCCATTTAACTCTTGATACGTTTCCACTCATTCAATACCTTCCCTATTATTTAGATCTAACGATCAACATGCTCAGCTGTACATTCCCACCAATCAAATACCATCCATCATTGTTGGGATTGAATTTTTGTTCTATTGCATCAAAAGACGAACTTTTAAAGTTGGATCCATTTCAAAACATCCCATTTACAACATTGAAAAGTTTGAAATTGGAAATACGCAGCCTAGACGCCATCACACCATACCTAGACAGATTCAAACAATTAGATACACTTGTCATATTCCATAGATCGTTTTCAGATACCGTAGATGAATCATTATATCAAAATATTTCACAAATCCAAACACTCACACATCTAGACTTGGTATTTGGCAATGGACAATGGAAAGAAAACTATACGCCAATGATCAAACAACTTGTCAATTTAAAGATATTTAAAACTGGTATATCAAACTTGAGTGCCAATCAATGGATAACAAATCATTTTAATATTGAAATGGGAAATTATGAAACAACTTTGACTAGAAAATAAAAATCTCTGACAGAGAATCCCAAGACAGCTCAAAGTATTTTTTTTTAATTAAAGAGAAAGATGAATAGTAATAATAATAATAATAATCATCATTATGATCAACAACAATTACCATATACTATTACAAAGTTTGTCATTGACTTGATATTATATTGTGATAGAGATCAATATATTGATAGCCAATCATTGATCGAGAATGCATTGAATCTTTCAAAAGTATCAAAGAGATGGTTAAAGATTACAAGTAGTGTATTTGTACAATACTATAGTACTTTTAAATTACAATTTACTCTTGCTCAAAGACATGTTGACTATATTAAAAGATTACAACAAAATATAGAGTCACCTTTTTGTTTGCTACATCACTATCCTCTGCCAAAGATTGAATTGGTATTTGGTTATGATTATGAACAGATTTCAATCAACTCAAAGTCATTTAAATCTATTACTAGAAATACAAACAACTCTACAGCGCCTCAACACCGATTGAGACTAGATGTGGATCCAAGAACTCATCACCATCAATGGTCAATCCTCAAACAACAAATTCTAAAACACCCTCAAACAACAACAACAACAACCATAATACCAATTCAACCACAACCTCCACAACAAATTGTATACTCTGAACAAAGACAAAGAGAATTGGATTACTTTAAAGAAAATACATCAACAATTGATACTTCACCAAATACTATTGACAAACAATCAGCAATCTATAATCAACTAGTACAATTATTTACAAATAGAGAGGTGTTTGGAGAAATAACAATATTGGATATCTACACATATGATGATATCGACACTGATGTATTGCTACCTATTGTACAACATGGTAACCAATTAACAACTCTATTTATTGATGGTTTACACAATCAACAAGTTTGTAAAGTTGTATTACCAATTGCAATGAATCTATCTACTTTGGCTTATAGATAGGGTTTTGAAAATAACTTCAACAAAAATAATAATAATAATAATAATAATAATGACAAGGAGGAGGATGAATGTAATTTTTTAAAATTAATTGACAACAATTATAATACATTAGTGAGATTATACTTGGTAACACCAGATTGTACACCAGATACCAACATATTAAATAATATATTTAAATCTAGTGGTGGTGGTGGATTAATATACAATAATTTAAAGTTTCTTCAAATGCAATTCAGTCACCAACTATTCATGGATTGGGATCGCTTCAAAGTATCACTACCAAATTTAGAGGTGATAAAGATGGAAGGACGTTTTAGTAACCCTTGTCAGGAATTAATTGATTATCTAGTGTCAAGAGATGGAAAGGTTCAATATATGGCACCTATCAACTATGATATGAACACCTCTCCACTTATTCAATACCTTCCCTATTATTTAGAACTAATGATAAACTCGAATCAATTGGCATCAGAGAATGAATTACTTTGCCAAAATATTTCACAAATACAATCACTCACCTCTCTTGACATGCTTATTGGCGACGGACAGTGGAATGGCAACTTTAAACCAATGATCAAACAACTTGTAAATTTAAAGATATTTAAAACAGGTACATCGAACTTGAATCACAGTAAATGGATATCAACTCATTTTAATATTGAAATGGAAAATTATGAAACAACTTTAACTAGAAAATAAAAAAATAGAAATATTAAAAAAAGCTCAAGTACTCTTCGTACTTAATATCTATTTGTTTTTTGTAAACACAACACAAGATGAACAATAATAACTCTGACAATTTAAATGTATTACCATCAACTATTGCAAAGATCATCATTGACTTGGTATTATATTGTGATTGGGTGTCAGATGATAATACTACTAATAATCGTAGATCATTGATTGACAATGCATTGAATCTTTCAAGAGTATCAAAGAGATGGTTAAAGATTACAAGTTGTGTATTTGTACAATACTATACTACAAGATTACAATTTACTTTTGGTAATATAGATAATATCAAAAGATTACAACAAAGCATAGAGTCACCATTTTGTTTACTATATCATCAAGCATTACCAAAGGTTGAATTGGTATTTGGGTATGATTATAAACAAGTTTTGCACAATATTATGAAACAAGTTGTTCTATTTGGTTGTCTATCACCCCAACAAAAAGAAACACAAAAACTAAGAGTACTGCAACTACTACATCAACAACAAAGACAACGACCACAACATCAACAATTTTCAATCTTAAAACACCAACTAAAACACTATAGTATGCAACCTTTGGTATTATTAAAACCAATGCAACAACAAGTTATAAAACACCTTTATAATAATGAAAAACTACCTAAACAACAAGAAGAACAACTAAGACTCTTGTATAGTAGTAGTGGTGGTGGTGGTGGTGGTGATGATTCAGAGCAATCGGATGAATTGATCTATAATGCTATTAGAGATCTAGAGTCTGAACGTTACCCCCCAAATATTATTGACAAACATGTACAATCAGCAATCTACAATCAACAAGTACAATTATTTACAAATAGAGAGGTGTTTGGACAAATAACAACATTGGATATATACACCTTTGATGATATATTTAATATAGATGTTGATGTATTGACACAAATTGTACAACATGGTAATCAATTGACAACTCTATTTCTAGATGGTAATCATAATCAAAAGGTTTGTCAAGCTGTATTACCGATTGCAATGAATTTAACTACTTTGGCATTTAGAGATAGTTTGGTTTATAGAGATAATGCAATTAACAACAACAACAATCCCAAGAAGGAATGTAATTTTTTAAAATTAATAGACAACAATCATAATACATTAGAGAGATTATACTTGGCAACACCAGATTATACCAACATATTAAATAATATATTTATATCATCTAGTGGATTGGTATTTAATAATTTAAAGTTTCTTCAAATCAAATCATACTATCAATCATACATGCCTTGGAAACAATTTCATTTAACATTGCCAAATCTACAAGTACTAAAAATGGAAGGAGACCTTAATATGCTTTGTCCCAACTCTATAGAATATTTAATAGCAAGAGGAGGAGAGGTTCAATATATAGGACCGGTATATTTAACTCTTGAAACCTCTCCACTCATTCAATACCTTCCCTATTATCTAAATCTAATAATAGATATTGATAACTCGATACAAGACATCACACCGATTAGATATAAATACCATCCATCACTTTTAGAATTGACAATACATAGTATCATCACATCAAGAAATCTTTTTAATATGGATTATCTTGAATCTATTCCATTTGCAACATTGAAAAGTTTGAAATTGGTATTATCACATCCATGTACGGTAGCACATTTAGATAGATTCAAACAACTCGAATCACTTTTCATTTCAATTCCACAGGATCATAGATGGTCAGATATTGAATTAATTTGTTTGAATATCTCTCAAATCCAATCACTCATATCTCTCGACCTGCATATCGGTGATGGCAATTGGAATATAATCTTTAAACAAATGATTAAACAACTTGTCAATTTAAAGATATTTAAAACTGGTAAATCAAACTTGTACGATGATGATTGGATACCAATTCATTTTACAATTCAACTAGTAGATAATCAAACAACTTTGACAAAAATAGAAAATAAATAAATTAAAAATAACTGATATCAGTTAATTGTGTAAATTAAACCATGTTTATTTGTTTGTTAGATCAATGAAAATAAAAGTAAATTGATCTATCTCGACAGACAAACAAATTTGCCCAAAAACCCAACACCCGTCTATTTTTAGTGAAAATCGCCCCAACAATTCTGATAATAGTCAGACAAGCAGGCAGGACAAGTAATAATTTTGGTATTACAATATTCATTGATTATTTTGAAATAATACTCCTGACTGTCATATGATCAATTTCAAAATAATCAATGAATATACATTATTAAAATGATTGTATTTATAGATATAGTATAATCTATATGAAATGAACATGTTCATGAGCTGTCTGTCCTGTCCTGTCCTGTCCATCCAATCAATCAATCAATCAGATTCTGATTTATAAAATTCAATAGTACTATTGTATTGTAGTATACCTACCACCACTATGGTTGATCAACCAACACACATTCAATTGAATTGTCTAGACCATCCACCACTGCACAGTTAAAGTTAATTAGTAACGTTCAAATTTGACCCGATTGTAATAAAGTATGGCTGATTTTTTTGAAAGTGAAAAAAAACCCAACTGCCCCCGTCGAATTAAAAGAAAATTTTTTTTTTGCATAAAATTTGTTGTGTTGGGGTTGTTGAAAAAAAAATTTTACATTAGTATTATTATTTATTGAAACCTTATTCATATTATTTATTTATTTCTTTGTATTACTAAACAGTATAATAGCAAACTAAAATGGTAAATTCAACAACAACAACAATGACAGTACTCCTCTGCAACAACAACAATATCAGTTGATATCAATCATTGCCTTGCTTGCTTGTCTCTTCTCTTGTCACACTATAAAACTTTTAAAAAGTGTTAACACAAGTAAAAGATAAAGATGGATATCTGTGTCTTTTAAAAAAAACATATCTATCAGATATATATGGTTACACGATAATAGTGGAAAGACAACAATGTAGACATTGGTTTGGTTGATAGATAGAGACTGACAACAATGACAACACAATGATATCATATCATTCAACAACAACAATAATAATGCAGCAGTAACAGAAAAGATTAAATATCATTCATTAACACATACTTTATACTACTACTACTTAATACTACTATTATAGGCCAGCAAGAGAAGATTAACCAGAGAAGAATCATCAGTTGTTTTGGGTGAAGACCAAGTTGCTGAACTCAAAGAGGCTTTCGAACTCTTTGACAAGGACAGAGTCGGTGTCATCAAAAAGGAAGCTTTGAAGACTACCCTCAAGCAATTCGGCATTTTTGTTACAGCTGAAAACTTTGATGAAATGTTTGCTGAAGCTGATACCACCAAGACTGGAGGTATTGCTTTCCCAGAGTTCATGTCTATGATGTCTCGTCGTATGAAACAAGTAAGTAGAGAGAGATAGACAAAACTAGAGTTAAAGTTTAGTTCTAACAATCATTACTTTTATTATTCTCTTGTTTAGACTTCAAACGAACAAATTCTTTCAAACGCATTCAAGACCTTTGACCCAGAAGGATTAGGATACATCCCAACTAAAGATTTGGCCAAGGCTTTGACCACTTTAGGTGACAAGCTTAACGAAGCAGAGGTAATTCATCAACACACACACACATATATATATATATATATATAATTATCAAAAAGTCATACAGGCAGGCGGGTATTGGGCAGTTGGAAAGGGTTGGGTTGGTTTTAATCTCATTGTAATACCGTTGTTACCTTGTTATTATTTTTTATTTTTTTTACCTTGCTGTCATTGATGACAAAAAAAAAAAAAAAAAAACAGTTGGCGAAAGGAACTCGACTCCTTTTTTGGACTTGAGGGCATTTTCAAATAATTTTTTTTTTTTCAAACTTTTTTGTCTCACAAGAAAACCACCTTTTCCAAAACCCCCCAACAACCTTGTTCATATGAAACTTTTAATAATCAATCCAAGAGATCTAATTTATATTAACAAATCCATCCTCTCATTTTTCTGTTATTTCTATTTATATTTGTAGTTGGAAGAACTTAAAGCCGTCTCTGAAAATGAACAAAAGCAAATTAAATATGAACTTTTTGTCAATACTCTCTTTGCCAAGAAGTAAATGATATAAAATTGTACGAAAAGCCTTTTAAAATATTTATCCCATCTTCCATCATTTTCTTTAAATTAAATTTACCAACCACCCCCCAATATAACTACACATACACAGTACTTTTAAAAAATAACAACATATTCTCCAACCCAAACAAATCACTCACCTCCCTCTCGCACCCCAAACCCCTAAACCAAAACTCTGCAAACAAAATAGGATGACTATTCTATTTTTGTAATGCATCTATGAAACAATAAATTGATATAATAAGAATAAGATAATTGTAAAATCAACAAAACACAAAAATATAAATGATTATTATTTATTTTCTATTTTTAATATAACCAAGTTGTAATTGCCATTCTTTTATCACAATTTGATTCCAATACTTCATGTTCAATATGTTCACTAAGGAAAATTAATACTCTGTCTCCTATTGGGTCAACATCAGATGTTGAACCATTACGTCCATCGTAGAGACGTAGTTGTCCACCATCTTGTTGTTTCCATTCATAGTTTAGATAATAGATGATTGTTATTCTACGACTATTCCCACCAAGAAAAGAGTCACAATGTTTAACATATCTTCCACCGTTTGGATAGATGGCTAATTGAGTTTGAGTCTTTTCACTTGCATAGTTGATAGTATTGTTTAGCTCGATTCGAAGATTATCTATACGTTGCAATAACTTTGATATGTTTGGTAGTCTTCCTTCTTGTAGATCTTTGTTGGTCTCTTTGTTTAGCCATACCAAAGAATCTGATCTAATCGATTTATCATTCCATTTACCATCACCTCTACTCATATTTGCCTCTTTTAATTTCTTTGATTCATATAATCCATCACATTCCAAATATATATCTTGAATTGATAATTGTTGTTGTTCTTGTTGATCTTTAGTATTTGTTAAAAATTGATCTTTTACAAGATAACCTTTTGTTTCTAGATCAATAATATCTTGTTTGTTAAAGTAATTGAATTTACTGTCATCTACAATCTTTAGTTCGACATATTTATCTTTATTGATTGGTGATGGTGCAGCAACCGTTGGTTCTACTTGTTGTTTCTGTCTTTGATTTAATAATGATAATATTTGTGAAATGTCCCTACACAAATAAAAGTAAATTGTATTAGTTTTAAAAAGTACAATCAATAGAATGAATACTCTCTCTCTCTCTCTCTCTCTTATTGCATACATTTATTTGAATGGTTATGTGAATATATATATATATATAATATTAAAGAGAATAAATAAATGAAAATGAGATTTGAAGGTTACGATGATTCATTCGTTGACACAATCAGATTTAGAAATATTTTAAAATTAAATATTTAATATTTAATATCTTTTGTTGTCTCTGTCTCTAGGAGGAGATCTATCCCTAGATCTATCCCTATCTCTATCTCTATTTCCGCCTCTACTATTATCTCTATCTCTATCATTATAGTATCTATTACTATTATTATGATTATGATTATTGTCTCTATAATCACGTTGAGGGTAGTCTCTTCTTTCATCTCTTCTATTATCATCCCTTCTTTGGTTATTATTGTTGTTTCTGTCTTGATAATCTCTATGATTATTATTATTATCTCTATCTCTATTGTCTCTTATATTATTATTATTATTGTTGTTCCTACTACTATAATTATCTCTACTGTCATGATCACCTCTACTCTTTATATCTCTTTCACGGTTGTTGTTGTTGTTGTTGTTGTTATTGTTATCTTTATATCTATTTTCTGGATGATCTCTGTCTCTATCTTTTTTGTCTTTGTCTTGTTGACCGTCATCACCATCTTTATCATCATCTTTATCTTTATCTTTATCTTGTTTTGGTTTTCTATAGTCTTTGACATGATCAACTCTAATAGTTCTACCTAGTATCTTTACACCATTGAGATTATCAACAGCCAAGATAGTACTCTTTTGATCCATGTACTTGATGAATGCGAAACCCTGTGATTTACCAGTCTCCTTGTTTCTAACGAGATCGTATTCATCGACCTCTCCATACTGACTAAACACCGTCACTACATCACCTTCATTGAGATCGAATGGCATACCACCTGCAAATATCCAACAACTATGACTATAGTCCTCATGCCATGAACTAGTCTCTGATGCTCCAGATGTCATCTCATTTCTATTGATTCTTTGTATTTCTCTAACTACATTCATGATTTATTGCTAAGATATGATTATGATTGTTGAATAGATAGATGATAGATATATATATTAGTTTATAAACAAATTAATTAAATTTGAAAATGAACTTGATGAGATGGTCTCCCCTGATTCATCTGATTACTTTTTTCAAATCTCGGCGTTATTCATCAATCATCATTCATTCATTAATAACAAACAAATACATAAATTATATATATATATATTAATTACAATGGCTACTCCCATACCTCCCTCTTCATCATCTTCCTCATCATCTACAGATATAATTGAAAAAGAGATATTTAATAGTAATAATGATAAATCATATACAATCAAAAAGTGTACACATAATGCATTGAAAAAGAATCTAAAAGAGATGTTTCCAACACCAATACAAGACAACGATGATAATCTCTATGTTGTCATGTTTTGGTTCAAGACTGATCTTCCAATGAGTGGATATTCTGATAAAACAGAGACTGAACGTGAAACTCAAGCTTCAAAGGTAATATTGATTTGATTCTCCCATTTCAACATTGTATTTATATTATTCTTTATTATTAGTTTGCTATACTTGGAAACTCAATTTCAACATCAATTATAGATAAAGGATATTGGTCTGATTTCATTGATCCAATGTCTGGTATTCCAGTATGTATAAATAATATTACCCATTAAATATTACCAACCTTGATATTAATCAATATTGATTTAATTAAAGTCATTGACTAGAGAAAATGCCAATGCTATATTTGTACCATCGGAACATGGACATTCATTGGGTATTGAAATAGTTGATGTTGGATGTTGTCAGGTAATGGTTCATCCACTATGGAAGGTTCGTGCTTTCTTTTCAATGGTCGTTGCATCTGCACCACTTGATGTAATTTTAGATTCTGTAAACTCAAATTTTAATTAATTAAAAAGATCATATATATATATACCTAATTGGATTGTATTGGATTATTTATTATTATTTATGGTTGGATTGGATTGAAATCGAATCAAATTTAATTGATTGGTTGTTTTGATAAACAAACTGTGCAAATTGGATCATCTTTTTTGTTACTAGTTTGACATCCTCCACATTTCCATCCATTTTCAGTTTTGGTTGAAGTTGTTGTTGTAGTAGTAGCAGTAGCAGGGGTAGTTGTAATAGTTTCATTTTTAGCGATTGGTGCGTCGTTGTTATCATTATTTTTTGGTTTATATGAAGCGTCAGTATCAAATACAAAACTGCTGGATGATCCAGCAACATCAGGTTTAATGGAATTGTTGTCAGTCTGACTTGATCCATTTGCACTAAATAATGCTCCACTATTAGATGTTGTGGTTGTTGTTGTACCAGTGTTGTTTGTATTGGGACTTAATCCTAATTGAATATTATTACTATTATTTGTTGGCGCAGTAGTGGTATTATCAGTAGTAGTAGTAGTAGTAGTAGTTTTTGGACCATTATTGTTAATTGTTAAACTATTTTCGTCATCTTGTTTCTTTACAATATTATTATTATTATTATTACTATTATTATTATTTACACCAAAGTTGAAAAGTGAAGATGAAGCAGAAGTAGATACTAATTGTGGTTGTTGTTGTTGTTGTTGTGGTTGTTGTTGTGGTTGTTCAGTTCCTCCCAATTTAAATGAACCTCCATTTGTATTAATAATATTTGATGATGATATTGGAGAGGTTGTCAAGATTGGTTTGTTTGATGATGAAGGAGCCAAAGTTGATCCCATCAATGATGAGAGCAATGGTGAAGTTGCAGAGGTGGAGGAGGTTGATGATAATGGTGGAGTGCTACCAAACAAAGAAGATGAATTCGATGTAAATATCGATGATGAGTTTGATGTGAATATAGATGATGTTGGAGCAGCAGAGGAACTCGATAAAGTATTGGTGGTGGTAGTAGTTGGTGAAGGTCCAAAGTTGAAACCCTTGAAATCTGCAAATGGATTACTATTTACCTTGATCATCGTTGATGGTTGTTCACCATTATGTAATGCTGCTTTGGTTTCAGTGGCCGCTGTTGCTGCTGCTGGTTGTGGTTGAGCTGCTGCTGCTTGCTTATTTCTTGGTTTTAATTTAAATATTCTAGAATAATATAAATGATACACCAATATTAATAACCATCATCAACCAGACCGTCATAGTCATAGTCGCATTTAATACAAACTTTCTCTTTGCAAGTTCTTCTGGTGGAGCTCTCTCCATTGGTCCTTCGAATGGATCGCGATCATCATCTTCCTCTTCTTCGAAACGTTCTCTTGTTAATTGATTTCCTGTTGTTCTTTTCTTTGATTCTGTTATTGTTTGATTGATTGATGATGATAACATAAATAGAGTTTGTTAGTATGTTTGAATGAATGAGTGAATGAATGACTGGCTCACGTGACCCTTTTGTGGGTGATTGACACATACCTCTTGCCATGATGATGATCTATTATATCTGTTATATCTATTATATCTACTATATACTATGATATATCAAATGAATACTATACGTAAATAATAACTAATAATAAATAATAATAACTACTGTATAATACAAATAGGGTGACTCCCAAACAAACCCAATCGCGATCAGTTTCCATCGGCGCCAAAAAAAGAAAGTATAATTTAAATTATTTTTTGTTTAAAAACAAAAAGTGAGAGAATTTAAATCAACAATGAATGATCATAGGTCTAAACTACCAGATTATTTCGATCATCATAAATAATAATACTAAAATTTAATCTACTATCTTTTACTATGATTTTAAAAATGTAAAGATGGTTATATTAATAAAAACTAGTTTATCACCTGAGACAGTTTGAAACTTGAAAGTAAGTAAAAAAGAAAAATAGATAATTTTTAATATTATAACCACACATTTCTCCTTTGAATTTGAGGATTTTAATTTAGTTTGGTTTTGGTGTCAGCGTGACTTACAGATAGACCATATTATTATTATTATTTGTTGGGTAGATAGATAGATATAAGTAGTACTAATAGTAAACAACCAACAATCAACCTAAAAGATGAAAGATGACGATGATTTAGATGTCGACATTGAAAGATTCAATAAACTGAAAAAGAAATCATCTTCATCTCTGGATGTATCATCATCAGCTGATAATAATATTATTAGTAAACAAGAAAAGAAAGAACTTAAAGAAAGAGAAAAGGAAAGAGAAAAGAAGGAAAAAGAGGAAAAGAAGAAATTAAAATCATCTTCTAAGAAGATTAATACTTCTTCAAATGGTGATTCTTCCTCTTCCTCCTTTTCATCAGCACAACTTGAAATTAGTACACCAAGTGGATTTAAACAAACAACTACACCACCAATACCATCTGCATTAACAAAACCATCAATATTTACTTTGATACAATCACCAGTATCTGATTATAGTAGTAGTAATGATGATATTAGTAATAATAATAATAATAATAATAATAACGAACAATATATTGAACCAGAACCAGAATTAGAGGAACCTGAACATTATTATTATAGTGGTAAAAAAGAGAAATTATATTACAAGGTATCACCACAACTATTACAAGATGTATTGAAATGGGAAGAGAAAAAGACAAGTTATCAAAAGGCAATAGATGGTCTATTGAAAAAGAAAACTCAAATGTTGGATCTATTATTCAATGACTACTTGGAAGAGATGATTCCAATACTCGATCAACACAACTTTGATGCTCAATTCAAGAATGAAATCATTGGTCGTGAACGTGAAAGATTGGAAGCATCTAAACTTAAATTATTTGGTTCTGGTAATGCTTCCATTACTGCTTTGGAAACTCAAATCTCTCAAAGGAAAAAAGAAATTAATGTATGTAAAGATTGATAATTATATATTTATTTATTTATTTATTTATTTATTTATTTATTTATTTATTTATTTATTTATTTTTATCATTTTAACTTTTTTATTTTATTTATAGATGCATAATAAAATAACATTAATTCAATCAGTTGTTAGAGGATGGTTACAAAAGAGGAGATATCAAGAAATGAAAAAGAGAATTGAAAGAAGAAACAAATGTGTATTGGAGATTATAGAGACTGAAAGAACCTATGTCAATAGTTTAAATATCATTATGAATCAATTTTTGGCACCTCTTCAAACCATTCGAAAGGATCTCTTGTCACAATCTGAAATTAGTAGCATCTTTTCAAATTGTTCATCACTTCAAGGAATTCATCAAGAACTCTTGGAATCGCTGGAAAAGAAATGGAAGAATTGGGATCATCATCAATCCACTATTGCCGATAGTTTTCAACCACTCATTCCCTACCTCAAACTGTACATTCAATATATCAACAATTTCAACAATGCTATCAATACATTAAACGATTGTAAAAAAAGAGATTCAAAAGTAAATCAATTCTTTTTTAAAGTATGTATAAATAATAATAATAATTAATAATTCAGCCAATCATTTAAATTAATTATTATTTTATTATTTTAGGACTGTAAAAATAATGTACAATTAAAAAATAAAGATTTCCTTGATCTTCAAATTCAACCAGTACAAAGAATCCCAAGATATAAATTATTATTAATGGTAATTAAAGAAATCGATAGAGGTATCCTACCATTCTTCATTTTATTAATATATTTTAATTTTAGGAATTATTAAAAAATACACCAACAATTCATAAAGATTTTGATTTAATTACCAAAGCACTTAGAGCAGTTCAAGATGTAGCATCATCAATCAATGAAAGTAAAAGAAATGCAGAAGGTTTGGAAAAAATGATTCAAATTCAAGCTTCATTAATTCAAACAAATATTGTAAGTAAAAATATTTTAATAATAATAATAATTTAGATTTTTTATTTTAATTTTTTATTTTTATTTTAATTTTAGGAATTAGTTCAACCATATAGAAGACATTTAAAAGATGGAATAATAATGTTTGAAAAGAGAGGAGTATTAAAAGAACGTGTATTATTCCTATTTAATGATTCATTATTGTTGTGTAAAAAGAGACCAAATATAATGAGTGGAACATTGTTTGATACATCGCCTCGATACTCGATTGCTACACATCTCAAACTAGCCAGTTGTATTGTTTTACCAACTGAACAACCACAACATTCTCTCAAATACAAAGATGCAAGTGGTATGGTTCAAAATGGATCGTCCGATCAGACTCTTAAATCCATATCCTATGGGTTTGCTGTGTTGGGAAGAGAACATCTTTATTTCTACACTAAAAATGCAATTGAACAATTGGAATGGATCGAGTTGATCAAGGGTATTGTCAAGGAAATTGATCGTAACCACTCTACACTCAGAAAGGAGGAAGCAGAAGATGCAGGTGACCAAATGTTGGTACGTGAAAGTCATTCAAGATTGAGTACAATGATCGACGGATCAATGTCTGGAACTGTTCCCAATCCAAATAGATTATCAACTCGTATTATTGAAAGAGAATCAAGAGATCAATTACAACAACAACAACAACAGGGTCCAATAGTCATTGAAAGAACATCTAGAAATTCATCCTCACCTCCAAATAATAATACTTTACTTGCTTCTTCATTGACAACCCAACAAGTTTCCTCTTTTTCTTCTTCTTCTTCTTCTTTACTTGCAAATAGTATTGGTAATACTAGTCCACCATTACAACAACAACAATCATTTGGTAGAACGAGTAATTTGTCAACAACATTTTCAACTATATCATTATTACAACAATCTTCATCATCATCACCACCATTACCATCATACCAAAACAAATCAATTAGAGAATTGATAGATATTATCGCTCAATTGAATGATTTGTACCAACAATTATTTTCACCACTAGATTCACTTCAATCTGTATTTTCAGAGTATATCAAACATATTCAATCGGCAAACATGAACCAAACACTTGCAAATATTTCGACCATCCTAAACAAGATTGTTGGACTAAAACGACGATCGGTTGAATTAATGAGAGAAGAGAATCTAACCAAACAACTTCAAGATGTAATAGTCCAAGGAAAAGAAAACATTGGAGCTTACAATGAATGGGTAAAGAGAGCTCATCCAAATCCCAACGATCCAGCCAGTCAACAACCTCGGTTCCTTGTTATCAATCTTATGAAATGGTACAACACGTTACATGGAACATGGAGAATGATTTTGGATTTTGATTCTTCATTATCTTCCTCTTCAAACAATATGTCTCCTCCCAATGCTTTTTCATCTCCATTATCATCAACCATTTCAACTAGTTCTTTGGTTTAAATAAATCTCTATAGTATTCTTTTTTGATATACTGGCAATTATTAACTGACAGATCTATGATCATCCAGTCATAAGATAACCAAATAATAATAATTAATTTAATTATTGGTGAGTCATCATCCAATGAAAATCACAACCAAAAAACGACCTTAAAAGGTTTGAATCATATATTAAAAATCATTATAGTAAATCTATCTCAAGAATGAGTATACATTCAACAGATAACTATCGTACTAGTAATAGTAATAGTAATAGAAATACTTCGTCGTCGACTCTGTCAACCTCATCATCATCTGATGATAACAAGAATATAGTTGAAGAGATTAAAAAGTTAGATATCAATTTAAATAGACTCATACAATCATGTGAGAAACTAATATCAACCGATTCAAATAACAAGGATATCATTACTGTAGAAAAGGTATATATACATATATATAGTCATAATCATCATCTCATACTTTTATTAATCTTTGTATTATTTAGTATGTTCCTGTATTATTTACTAAATTAAGACAAATTAAAGAATTGATAGAGAATTATTCTATTGGACAAGGTAAAGATAATGTATCATCTCCTTCAATATTTAGACATGTGACAAAGGGTGGAGGTAGTGGTAAAGGAACACCAACAACAGAGTCTTCACCATTAAAACTATCTTCCATCGCACCTGCCGACAATGTAAATAATATCAAACCATATCAAATACCAACTAAAGAAGTATTGAATGAATATACTAGAAAGGTTAATGTATTATTTGGTTTAATTAATCAAGGAAAATTGGTAAGTCGACTACTCTATTCAGTTGTTGTTGGTTGTCTCTAAAGTCGACTTTTGATTCTAATATTCTTTTCTTTTTAAGGAATCACCAATATCAAACAAATTATCAATGATTAGATTACAATCAAGTTATATACCACATGCACAAAAAATGAATGAAGTACATGCAGTACTAAAGACTAAAAACAAAGAGGAAAAGAAAAAGACTGATATTCTACTACAAAACGATCAACCAAACTCTCATTCATTACCATCTTCATTGGCCACTTCGTCAATGCTGCCATCGATAGCTTCACCAAGTCTGCATTTTAGAAATACATTTAAAAATAGAAATGAAGAATTGAAACAATTGTTGGGTGAGAAGCATGGTGGTGGCGGTGATGGATTGTTTGATGAACAAGCAGAAGACGATGTAGATTCATCGTTTAAAGATGTTACACTTAGACAAAAACAATTACAAACAGATTATACCGATGAAATGGTTTCATCTTCCAAATACCTCAAAGAGTATAGTGAAAGAATGTCAACCAAACTAACTGGTGATAACCATAAAATCGATGAATTGTCATCGATACTGACAAACAATCACAGTAAAATTGGAGAACAAAATGATAGACTCAAAACCTATCTCAAGGAATCATCAAGTGATACATTGAATTATTGTATCATTATCATTGTAGTCATTTTAGTTTTCATGGGAACTTATATGTTAATGAAAATGAGTCCTAAAACAAATTAAAAATTAAATAATTAAATAAATAAAATGTACAGATAAATAGATAAATAATTATGCGCGTATAAAAAAAGGATTATATATTATATTATATTATTATTATTAATTTAGCAAGGTGGGTTGTTGTTGTATTTTCTCTTTCTCTTACTTTCTTTCTCTCTCTTTCTTTTTTAGAGAGTTTCTTCAACCAATTCATCAGGATTTGATGTCATATTAGTTGAGGGGGTTGAAGGAGTAGATGGAGTTGTTGTTTGAAGTGGAGAGGTAGTAGCAGAGGCTTGCTTCATTGATTGTGAAATTGCATTTTCAGTTCTCTTTCTAATCATTGCCTTGTTGATGGCATCTTTCATCTTTCTAAGATTATTGTTGATGATTTGTGATTGAATCTCTGATGCCAGTTGAGTGACACGTTCTTGAACAGTGGTGGTAGTGTCGACAAGTTTGAGACGCTCTTTGATGGACTGCATAGCAGGTGAGTTTTCGGGTAGTTTTAAGAGTTCACCGATATCAAGTACTGGTAGTGGCATGTGTTGGAGTGATTGGTTACGACGGAACCCAATTGAAAAGTATTCAAGACCGACTGTAGTGGTGAGGTTTTCATCCCAGTATAATGTTTTGAGGGTGCGGTTGACTTGGATAGCACGTCCCAAGGTGATGGCGAGGTCGTCACCAGCGTGGTGACCGGCAATATCCAACTCCATGATGGTGTCGTTACGGAGGAGTGCTTGTGCCAATGGGATAATATCGGCACGGAGACGTCCGTTGTTTGAGCCGGCAAAGTGCAGTGTCTCAAGTGGACACAACGCAAATGACGATGGTTGGATGAGTTGAACGAGTGCTTTGACGGCATTGGCAGCATGTGTGGTGTTGGAAGCCGATGGGATGGTACGGTTAACTACACGACCAGCCAAAGAGAGCGTGTTGGACAGTGTCTGCGAGAGAATGTCGGTCGATGGAGAGGTTGTGATGTTTCGGTTGATAAAGAGATGTTTGAGCTTGGGTAAAGTGGTTTGACAGAGCGTATCGACCAATTGAATAATACCCTCTTCTCCAAGATCGCAATCAGACAGATCCAAACGAACCAAGTTGGATGCAGCACTCAAAACTGGAACGATGAATTGTGGTGGCAACATTGTCGATGAAAGATTAACGTCTGCAAGATTAGGAGCAATCAATTGAAGGAATGACGCAAGATCATTGGCATCTTGTTGTGTTGATGCGTCAATAACCTTGCTTCCACCCGATGACGATGACTTGGTTTGCACCAACTTGTTGGAGGAAAGGTCGAGTTTGGTAATCATTCTAGTTTCCTTTGATCTTTGAATCGAAGAGCTTGGACGAAGACTAGACCACTTTACATTACAATCGGCCATTTCAAATTGTTTGAGTGATTGTGCCTCTGCGAGGAATGGAACCAAATCGACACCGCTATCCTCCATCTTGTTGCCAGACACTGACAAGAATTTGATATTCTTTAAGATCCATTTGTTTTGACGCATGGTCTTGAATATCAACGAGAGACCAGTCTTTCCAATTTGACACTTTGAAATATTTAAATATTGAATCTCGTGTCCAATCGTTGCCAACCAATCATTACACAATGACTGTGCTCCACGATCCTCAATTGCATTATTTGATAAATCAATTGTATGTAAATAATTATTCATTGCCATTGTCATCCATGTTTCTGGTGTCATCCAACTCTCTCTTGCGTTTATATTTTGTAAAATTAACTAAACAAAAAATAATAAGTAAATTAAAATTATTTCTTTTTCTTTTTTTCTTTCTCTTACCTTTGTAATTTTATTATTTGTTTGTAAAATACCATTTAAACTTAAAATACCATCATTACTAATTTTACAACTTGGATTATTAAATATAATAATTGATTCAAACCATTTATTATATTTAAGTGCCTAAATTAAAAAATTAAATAAATAGTTTAGTTTACTTTAATTATTTTTCTATCTATCTATCTATATATTTATCTACATACTTCAATCATTGATTTACCTTGAGCAGGGGAAGGAGGCTCAGGCCAATCAGAAAGATTTAAATCTTTAATATTATTTGCTTCGAAAAGGTTATCAATTTCCCAACAAATGTCATCACGTGGTGGTACACCGTAATAGTCGGATACACAACGATAGGTACGTGAGAAGCCTCCACAAGGACCAATATCCTTTGGCAATTCACCACCTTGTTGCATACCTGGAAAGTTGATAGAGAACATCTTTTTGATGGCCATTGCCAACTCGTCAACCTTGGCAGCAACACTACCAAAGGTGACTACGTATTGTCTAAACTTGAGTGTAGCAACATCGCTAGCAGGTACATATTCGACGAGATCCAATAGATGACCATCACTAATCACCTTGCCACCGGTACTAGAGAATACATAGATACGATACAATGTAACTACCAACAATTGTTCTTCCTCTTTTTGCTTTGAATTGATATCCCATAGTTTCTTTTTCTTTAAATCTGTAAATACTCCACTAAATAATACTGCATTTTGTTTTAATCCTTTTGATAATAAATAATGTTCAATTGATTCTAATAATAGAAAGAAATAATAATAGAAAGAAAGAAAGAGAAAGAAAGAGGTACAAAGAAATTTGAATATGAGTAAATAGTTGTATCATATATATATCATTTGATTACTTTTTTCACTTGCACCAAATGAAGATCCATTAGATTGAGAGTAATCTAATGATATATCGTTGCTACTCATTGTTTGTTTGTTTGTTTGTTTGTTGAACAAAGAATGAATGATGCAGACCCTCTTTTTCACCATGATGAGTCTCCCCTTTGTCACCACCTCCAAATTAATTTTTTTTAATTTTTTATTTATTATTTTTTTTTAAAGGTGAACAACAATAAGTATAAAAATACTATAACTTTTACAACCTTTTAAAATTTTTATATTATTTGTATTTAAATAATCTATATAGTATGTATAGAGTGAGGATACAACGGTATATTATTTATTTATTTAATTATTTTTTTTGGGAGCAATATATTTATAGTTTAAATATTTTTTAATATTAATATGAATATTATTAGTATTTAAATATTCTATTTTATTTATTTGTATTGAGGATACTACGAGCGGCAACTTTGAATGAGTGATAAACCTTTTCAAACCACTATAAATAAATTTTTGTAGTGATTGGCTTTGAGACACTGCCTCCAAGATTTTATGAATCTTTTCCAGATCAAAAGCAACACATAATTCCAATTGTTGGAGTGATGATTTTGATCTTGTTGAAATGATTTGGACTAATAGACTCGTTATCAAGGTACTTTGGTCGGGGCTCCCCAAATGATGAATTTTTAAAGACTTTAAACCAACAAGAGGAATGATCATCGACTCTATGATTCGATATGATAGTTGGTCGAGTGAAACTATTATCGATAAAGATGTAACAGTTGATGGCAACTCTATGGGGCCAGTTAACTGTTCATTGTCTTGTTGAAGAACTAGTTGAAGTGATTGTAACCTTGTCTTTGAAAGATATGGCAGAGTGATTTGGTTGACTTGAATTGGGTAGTATAAATGAGTAATAGTTGGACTTTTTTCCATAAACTCTACAAACTCTTGGTCGTTGCGTGTTGTTGTGGGGTTATTAGATATAGTCAGCACCTGAATCGAGTTGGGTGTTGGTATCTTGTTAAATGGAAAGGGGTGATCGAGTGGTTGTCTAAAATGTTGGTACAGTACTAGAGAAGTGACGTTTGGTGGAATCACGGGAAATTCTTGAATACTACATGCTTTCAATGTTGTAAGACCACTACACCAACTACCTAAATTGTTTAGATCCACTTCAAAAGAAATAACTCTTTCAATCCTGTTCAATACATCCATTGGTAAAAGAAAAGATTGGTATGGCCCGTTTGGGATAAAGTAGACACCTTGCGACTCTTCAATGTACTTGAAATTAAAGCCATAGTATGATGGAAACACCAATTCCTTTAGATTTGGAAGGTTCCTCACTATCTTGTCTATAATACCAAGACCCAATGCATCACCAGTGAGATCTAAAGTATGCACATCTCTTAACAACAAGTCTACTCGATTTCTGTTTTCTTTATCAAGTAGAAACGTTGAATTTCTCTCCAATCTTCTGGACATTGTCTTTTTGATAACCTTGACAAATGACTTTAACAGTACCGTAGAGACACAGTGGATTAGAAGTATGTTGAATATAATCTTCAAAGCACTGAACTGATGGGTTTATTGTAAGAGGAAGATGAGCTTCCTCTACAAATCTTTTAACCAAAGCCCTCCATGCCTTTGATACACTAGCTAAATTAAATACATCTTTAATATATAATATATTTTGTTTATAGTGTTCTCTATGTGTACATAATAGATTGATGATTCCGAGTTGAATAATATATGGCACAACAACAACTGTTGTAGTAGCTCCTTTTTTTGTAATTCTTTTTAAAAATTGAAACATCTTGTTATTTACTTCATCATTACATTGAAAAAAATATTTCAAAATTCTTTATTTATTTAAACTTTTTAAACTTTTTAATATTGATATAAATATTATTTGTATTTAAAAATTCTACTTTATCTGTATTTGGTAACATTGAGGATACTAATGGTAGCTTTGCATGGATTAGCTTTTTGACACGACCATACACAAATTTTTGTAGGGATTGACTTTGAGACACTGCTTCCAAGATCGGATCAATCTTTTCAAAACCATGATATCCATGTAATTCCAATTGTTTGAGTGATGATTGTGATCTTGTTGAAATGATTTGGACAAAAAGACTAGTAAACAAGGTAATTTGGAATGGGTTGACCCGGTGATGGTTCCGTATGCTTCTCCAGTACAAGAGAAGAGAGGGTTGGTGGAATCACGGGAACCCCAAGAGTACAGAATGCATTCAATGTCGTAAGACCACTAAAACGACTACTTAAAGTACTTATATCAGAGTCAAATGAAGATATTCTTTCAATCCTTTCCAATGAATCGGTTGGTAAAAGTATAGTTTGGTTTGGTCTGGAAAACCTTGATAACCAATGATAGTTTTAACGGTACCGTAGAGACCCAGTGGATTAGAAGTATGTTGAATATAATCTTGAAAGCAATGAAACAATGGGTTTAATGTAAGAGGACGATGAGATTCCTCTACGAATCTTTTAACCAAATCTCTCCATGACTTTGATACACTACCAATATTAAATACATCTTTAATATTTAATTGATATTGTTTGTAGTGTTTTCTATGTGTACATAATAGATTGATGATTGGAAATTGTACTATATATGGTACAGTTGTTCCAATATTCTTTTTTTTAAAAGTTGAAACATTATTTAATTTAATTTTAATAACAACAAGATAACAAACTTGTGAAAAATCATTAATCTATAATATAATTTAAAATGATCAGTTGTATTAAATATTCAAGTCTTTTTGCAAAACCCCTCATTTAAATGATGTTCAACAATATTCATAATATTTTTTTGTTTTAATATTTATTTATTTTTAGGAGCAATATATTTATAATTTAAATACTTTTCAATATCCAAATAGATATTATTTGTATTTAAATATTCTATTCTATCAGAGAATATTGTAGATACTAATGGTAACTTTGAATGGGTTGTCTTTTTGGGACGGCTTGACACTAATTTTTGTAATGATTGACTTTGAGACATTGCCTCTAAAAGGATATCGTCCACCGCGAATCCATATGGATCACGTAATTCCAATTGTTGAAGTGATTTTAATTTTGAAATGATTGGTATTAAATGGCTTGACAACAATGCACTTGAATAAGTTTTACCTGTGATTTTGAGTGACTTTAAACCATTAGCCACTAAACAGTCCAATTTTCTATATGATATTTGACCAATGTTAATAAAAATATCAATCGATAGAGATTCGACTGTTGATGGTAACTCTATGTGACCAATCAATTCAGTGTTATCAATATCTATTCGAATTGATTGTAACTTTGTCTTTGCAAGATATGGTAGAGTGGCTTGGTTGACTGGAATTGGGTAGTCTGCATGTTGGAGGGTACTATTATTTTTTTCGATAAACTCTAAAAACTCTTGGTAATTGTCTGCTACGAGGCTATTGGATAGTGACAGTACCCGAATAGAGTTGAGTGTCGGTATCTTTCGGAAAGGAACTGAATAGTTATAGTCTGAGAAAAATCCGAGAGAAGTGATGGTTGGTGGAAGAAATTCCAAGACAGTAGGACTGCAATCCAATGTTGTTAGACCACTAAACCAATTCGGTTGGAAATTGTGTCGACCAGAGCTCTTTAACAAAGTTACTCTTTCTATCCTTTTCAATACATCGATTGGTAAAAGTATTGGTGATCTCGGCGATTCACCTCTTGGCTCTTCTACCGGTTCAAAGTGAATACCTTCTTCTTTAATGTACTTTGGTTGATAATGGTTTGCCGAAACAAACAATTCCTTTAGATTTGGAAGGGTCATCTGATTTATCACATTGGTCATAATGATTGATATTGATGTGGTAGGTCTACTCGTTAGATCTATCATGTACACATCTCTTAGCAACAAGCCTAACCGATGTTTGTTGCCTTTATCGAGTACAAACAATTCATTTCTCTCTGCAATCGTGTTGTCAGATGTATGACTGTAACCTTGGTGACCAATGATTTTAACAGTACTATAGAGACACAGCGGATTCGAAATATGTTGAATATAATCTTCAAAGTATTGAAATGCTGGGTCTATTCTAAGAGGACGATGAGCTTCCTCTACAAATCTTTTGACCAAAGCCCTCCATGCCTTTGATACACTACCAATATTAAATACATCTCTAATATATAATATATTTTGTTTATAGTGTTCTCTATGTGTACATAATAAATAGATAACTTGAAATTGTAAAATATATGGTACAACAACAACTACTTCTCCTTTTCCTTTTTGTTTGAACATGATAATAATCCGCAGAAGTTCACACCCTTTCAACTAATATTAGCTACTAAATAAAAATAATAAAAATTAATTTAAATTGCATTTGAGAATAAGTTTAGATAACAAAGTGAGACAAAGAAACAAGTCATAATCTGATGAAGAACAACCCAAGGATGATTAATTATTTTGTTGATGTATAGTATATTTATTATATAGTTTATATTATAATACATTATGGATACACAATTATTTAGACAAGTATTTAATAATAGATATCTATTCAGATTAATAGTGTCAGAGGTTCAGAAAGGTGGACTTGAAAAGGATGACAAACCATTCATGTACTCTGCCTACTTGTACAATTATCGCAAACGATATGTATACCTCAAACACGATGAAATCAAGGATATCGGGAGAATGCTTGCAAATAATGGTCTTACCGGACTACTCCGGTACCAATTAAAACGAGCGCTACAAGAACAACAAGAACACATACGCAAATATGGAGGAGATATTGCTCAACCAAAAAGACTCACCTTTAAACCAAATGATCTATTTTACATTCAATTGTTTAAACTAGATGATGAACAGTTTCAAAACTCTATCATTGACTATGTAGGCTTGGATAAGATATTCAGTCAAGATACATCATTTCCAATATTAGTTGCAGTATTACCAGAAACTCATAATATTGCAAAAAGATATATAAATTATCTATCATCACTTCCTCCTCCTCCTCGATCGTCACGTAACACCATTAATACTAAATGTGTTCATAGTATTGGACCACAAGAAGAAAATTTGACAGATCCTAAATTTAGTAGATTTCAAAGTAAGATATCTTCTATTATTAGAGATGCTGCTAGATTTAATCATTTCGATATCATTTTTGGATTGTTGGATCGATACATTAAATATTTCCGATTGGATGAAAATATGTCTCATGCATGCTTGGAATACATTGTCAGAGGTGGTGGCAAGCCCGATCTGATTGACAAGTGGATAACAGACACTAATCGTCCTTTATCCAATTTTGAAAGAGTGTATATGCTTAAAATGACTGCTCACATTGGAGCAATTGAAGCGGCAACCTACTTTTTAGATAAATGTCCAACCACCTCTCTACCACAACACTATATCGACCTCTTTACAGCAACCTTGATAGAATCAATGAAATCTCTTCAATCAGATTATCAAATGTACATTTTAGATTATATCTTTAAAAATCATCCATCTATATTACCAACCATTACAACTATTCCTGGTTTATTTAGTCATTCAAATGAATAGATTTGAAAATTTAATAGTTGATTTGTAACAATAAAAAAATTATTTATTATTTAATTAATTGTGTAAAAAAAAAGAAAAGATACTATTATTATTATTATTATTATTAATATTATTATTTTTAAATCAATAATTATTCATTATTATTATTAATTAATATTATTAATTTTGCCTATAATTGATTGATTTTTAGGAATTCTTTTTGTTTCTAAATTCGGAATAATGTTGTGATGCAGCATTTGCAACACCATCTACATTGTTTCTGACATTGTTGACCGATCCTGAAGCAGCAGCGGCAGCAGCAGCAGCTGGATTGTTGATACCACCAGCTTGTGGTTTATTAACAAGTTGATTTGAAACTTGTTTGATGAGATCGTTGACAATAGCAACCAACTTTTCAACATATGGTGCAATATTGCTAACAATCAATGTATGATGTTGATTATAAATGAATCCTGGTAAAAGAATAATAGAATATACTATAGTAAAAATAAAAAGACATTGATTAAAATATTAAATCATTTGATTTGATTTGAAAGGATATGAATGTACATACAAGCAATGATGAATAAAGTAAATCCAGAAAACAAAGTTCCAACAAATGCCAAAATCATACAAACAATACCAGTTTGAATTAAAAACTATAATAAGTATCATCAAAAGATATTATTAATAACGATTTGATTCTTTGATAATTTATATATATAGGTTATATAACATACTTGAACTGGTGAAAGTTTCTTGAAAGTTCTCAAGTCATTGAAGTGTTCGGTAATACTGAATTTAATATCGGAAAGTACTCTAATAGCTTCAAGGTATGGTTCATGTGATGTTGAACGTGGCTACACATATATGAAGAATGATTCATTAGTATTCGATATATCATAACTATTATTACTACTATTACATACGAATAACTTTGTCAATACATTGAATTGATAACTTTGAGAAAGAATGTTAAACAATAAACAGATAGGTATAATGATAAAGACGGCAGTGACGACAGAGATTGAAGTATCTTTGAAATAGTATATCAATGCAGTGATTGCCAACAACAGTACACCAAATTCGATTGGACGTGTCCACAATAACAATGCTCTTGTGTATTTAATAGGTTCTTCATAATCCTTTAAACTCTCTTCTAATTGTTTACGAGCAATTGCCCTCTTTTGAAGATTGGTCATCATCTTTTTATATTATATATTACTAAATACTACTATCTATCTATCTATCTTTCTTCTTTCTATTCACTGCAATGTTGTTTACAAAGAACCTACAAACTAATAATGCTAATTGTATTGCTTACTATTCCCACTTCATGAATCATTCTTTTTCAAGCAGCAAGCATGCATCATCATCATCACCAACCTCACATTTTTCCTTTTTAGTGTCAGAGAAATTGGAGGGAACCCAAAAGAAGAAATTAGAATTTTGAGATAAGATAATAAATAGTCAAAGTTTAATAATTCAATAGTTTAGTTTAGTTTAGTTTAGTTTTGAAATTGTTGTTCAATCGATTTGTGTATCAAATAATAATTTATTATATTATTATTACTTTAAAGTTAATTTTACTGTAAATATTATTAATATATTATTTGTTATAATATTATAATTCTTTAGAGATAAGATCAGTTTTGGTAATGACACCAACCAATTTACCCATAGATGTAACATAGGTGAAAGAGAGACCCAACATGGTGAATAAATGGAACACCTTGTTCATTGGTGTGAGATCTGGAATTTGACTTGGTGCCAAATCCATCAATAATGCTGTCTCTCCACTTTCAATGATATCTCCCAACATGTGATCTGCCCAAACAGATTCTGCTATATATTTTGATGTTTCCTCTTCCTCTGCTCCATTTACTCCAACTTGATCATTAATTGTTATAAATTGTTGTCCATTATTATTATTATTATTATTATTATTTGCGTTATTATTATTATTATCTTGTTGAATTTCATTAATATCTTGATTATCAGTAGCATGTCTTCTTCTTAGATTTTCCATTTCAATATTATCTTGGTCAATACTACTACTGCTACCAACATCACCATCGTCATCATCTTGTTTTAATTTAACATTTTCATAATCTTCTTCATTTTCCTCTTCTTCTTCATCATCATCATCATCATCATCTTGACTTGATAATAATGATTGTTTATCTTGTTGATTTCGTTTGTTGTTATTTCTATTATTATTATTATTATGATCTGTATTTGTTGTTGGATGTGATATTAAAATGGATGAATTATCTATCAATTTATCGTGTTCTTGATTATTAATATTATTTTGACCAATAGTAGTATTATCGATAATAATACCATTGCTATGAATCTTTGATAATGCATCTTCTACATTTTCAATATGAGTTTCAATCAATTCACGCATACTCGATCTTTCAACGATACCCAATAATAACATATTCTTGTTGGTATCGACAACTGGAATAAAAGTATATCTATATTTCTCCAAAAATGCAAGTACTTGTTTGACAGTTGAATGCATCGATAAAAAGTTAATATCTGATCTCATAATCTCTTTTGCTGTCATTGAATAAACCCTAAATAAATAGAAAAAATATTAGTTTATATATTCCAATATTATTATTATTATTTATAATTTATATAAATATATATCTTACCTTTCACTTCTATAACTTGATAAAAATGGTAAACCTTGAATCTTTAATGCAGTATCAAATAATGGTTTGTTAAAGAAATTTCCAACTGCTGTTGCTGTAATTGAACAAATCTAAATAAAATAGATTATAAATTAGTAAATGTGTAATTATTATTATTATTAATATTAATATTTTAGACATACTAATACAGGAATTAATAAACTTAATTGACCAGTTAATTCTAAAACAAAAATAGATGGGGAAAGAGCACGAATGGTACCAGAGACTAGACCAGCAGAACCAATGACTGCATAACCGGCGGGGAGAATGGCAGAGAGGTTGAGATGGTAATGTAAAAGTTCACCAAACAGACGACCAAGTGCCGCACCACTGACAATAAAGGGTGTGATGGCACCACCTGGAATGGGGATGGTGATGTTAAAGACGGTGAGGAAGAGCTTGACACCAATGTAGACCAAGAGATTGTAGAAACGGTTTTCGTAGGGGTGACCGTCGCCCACTGGGAATAGGTAGGGTACAGGCTCCTCTTCGTTGATGAATTGTTTCATGCAGTATGAGAATGGCTGACGGGCAAGTGGTCCGGCCATGTATGTAAGAGCAGCAGAGAGGGCAGAGACAACTACGACGAGACCGATACGAGACTGCTTGAGAAAAGCATAACGCAGACGGAACCGCACAATCTTTTCATAGAGAAATACAAAGAGTGCGCCAATGAGTCCGGTGATGATACCAATAATGACAAAACTGATGAGCTCGGGGTACCCGTACGGTGTGGGGTTATAGTTGAAATGGTAGAGTGACGAGAATGCTTCGATGCCAACCAAGGGACGCGAGAGGTAAAAGATGATGGCAGTGGTCGTCGCGCACAAAAACCCTTTCCACAAGTTGCCAAAAATGCAGTTGGTCGCCGTCACCTCGATCGCAAAGAGTAGACCACCAATGGGTGCACCGAAATTGGCTACTACACCACTCGCCAACGCACAGATAAACATTTGGTAGCGCACAATCTGATTCTTTTTAATATTTGAAAAGAAACGCAGTCCCATCATTTGCTGCGCGATAATAGCAGACGCATGCATAAACGGACCGGTACGACCGATAGTCAAACCGGCGGCTGTCGCACACACCATACCCAACAACTTGGAGACGAGTGTTTTGACACCCAAGACACGCGACAAATTGATACCTGACAGAATCGACTTGATCTCTGGGATACCGGAACCCACCGCATACGGCGATATAAAACTAATACACGATACCGACACAAATGACAGTGTCACCGAATAGGCAACGAATATAAGTGCGTCGTACAAGTTGTATTTGACGCCAGTGTGTACTGCCGGCAACAAGTATCGTCGCAGAGCATCCAACTCTTTCAGTGCCATATCACATGCCATACCCATCAAAGCAATGGTGATACCGAGTATAGGGATAAAGAGTAGTGTCGAGATACGCTCCTTTTTCAACCAATGATGGAATCTCATCTTCCACGTCTTGATATTCTTGTCCAAAACAATATCGTCTCGATCCAACGTTGGATCGGATTGTAAATTAGAATACATATCGACCGATTCAAAAATTACATCGTAATCTGCCATCGATGTTGCTTTGTATTCTTTTGTATCTTTTATCTTTGTCAATACTTTATGCATCTTTTTCTTATAATCATTTGATCTTATATTTGTTACTACTGACTATTTGGATATAGAGATATCAAAGAAAGAAAGATTGAATATTATTAATAAAAGAAAGTAAAAGGTTTAAACCTTTGACCGAGTCATTCATTCACAACATCTTTCTTTCTCTTTCTTTGTAACATTACATACCTGCATTCTTTGATTTAAATCATCAGTACCATGTTGGAAAAAGTTAACTATACGATCTCTATGACCTTGAAAGTCAACATTCAAAGGGTTGAGATTCAAATTCAAAGGATTCAAATTAATATCCTTTATAGCGTTTAAAGGATTAAAATTTGCCATTCCTTCCTTCTTGACTCTTAGATGTATAGTATTACGATACTATACTATACTATATTAATACTACTATTACAATAAATAAATATGTTATGTTGGAGGTTGAACTAACTTTCTTTTTCTTCTACTTTCTGTTCTATTCTATAAATAAATATTAGTGTGTTGTTGAGTGAATGTGGGGTGTATGGATCATTATTCTTGTGTGAATAGAAGTTGTACTTTTATTTCTTATCTTGAAGAAGAATGATGTATGTCTAGTAGTACTAAGATTAAGATAGATGAGATAATGAAGACACTTACTTGTTTGTGTGAAAACGAGTGATTCAAGCTTGCGGTCATTCCCCACAACCACCAACACCAAAAAAAAAAATTAAAAATAAATTTCAAGGGGTTTGAAGGGGAATGACACATCCAAGATTAGGCATAACAATCAATGGGAACGGAAACTATCACGGCAACGATCCAAAGAAACCAATAGTTGGAATAGTTACAGATAGGTTGTTTGTTTCGAAGTTGAATACTATTCTTTTCAATAGGTAGTTCATTGAAACAATAGAGAAGGGGCCCCACACCGTGCAGAAAACCTAAACAACGCCAACCAACAAGATAGGCATACCGCTAACAATCTTTGCAAATGAGTAATCTATACAGTGATCTTTATTTATATATCCTTTGTTAACAACACATCATATACTGCGCAATGCGCGGTTATACTGAAGTTCGAATCAGTTCAAGTAAAGGAAGGAGAGCTCCATTACCAAAAACAAGGTTTGTTGACCCTTCGCCAAAGATATCTTTATTGTTTTTTCCGACCAATCTAAAAGATCAAACAGAAAAGATATTTATCAATCAAACCAACAATAATCCATCAACTTTTCATCCATCCTTTGTATCATCTCCTCTACACTTTGGTTGATGAAATCATTGGGCAAAAAGATGGACTCACCTCCAATGCATCATCAACACTCATTCTACTTGCTACTCAACAACCCTTCTTTCTTTTCTTTTTTGTAAATTATTATTATTATTATCTGTCCTGTAAAGTAGTTATCTATCTTGTCTTTGTCTTTCAATGTACATCACTTCATAGTTTGAAATCAAAATCTAAAACAAAAAGAGAGAGAAAGAGAAAGATATGAAGTATTCTACAACAAATTTTTTATCAGTCATTCTAGTTATTCTATTTACTTGTAAGTTATATCAAACAACCAATACTATCTATCATATTGGTTTGCTACTTTACTAATTCATAGATATCTCTCTATAGATTTAATTAAAATTAGTAATGCACAAACCTCACCATATGTTACATCATGGAATGTTGGAGGAGGATCATTTAATGGTTATTGTCGGACATCACAAAGAGGTGATTATTTAGACTCTTATATATTGATCAATTCAGTAACACAACTTGGTAGACCAACAACTACTGGCTTTACAATGGGTGCCTTTCAAATGAATTGGAATGGTTGGGGAGGTACCAACTATCAAGTACTCTTTATCAGAGGGTTTGCACCACCAACCGTTGCAAATGGTGGATCTATCACTCTATCAACTACAACAAGTAGCGTTGAAACTACACCATTCACTCTACCAAACTTTTATTGTACTCGTATGTAAAGATAGAGAGAGGAGATAAGTAGTTCACACATGACCCCTTATACTTATTCTTTTTCTTTTTCTATTTAGCATTCAAAAACTTACCATTAAAGATTAAAAATAATATAGTAAATTATGATGCAATCTTTAATCCAAGATCAACAAGATCATTGTTTAATGTTGAATTTGATGGTGTTCCAATCGATAATATTGGTTGTCAAGCTGTGAATGGCCAGTTTGATTGTGCGTGTAGTCCTTATGACTTGTCGTATTTGACGGGCAATGCTGACACTCCACTCATTGTCAGATGTTCGTTGGCACCTCGACCAGCTGTATTTAACGATTGGAACTCTACCGTTGTGAAATTGTTTGATACTGTTCGAACCAATATCACATCGGTCAACGTGACTGTTAGATTCCCGGGCATGTTGTCGAGCTCTGTTGAAACGACTACTCTGGTGACTTCGATTTTAGCTCAGCCTGCCAACAACACCATGTTGAATTTCAACTATGGTTCGTCCTATGTCGACCTCTATGTCAATGTCGCAGCCAAGAATAGCGAGTTGATTATGTACAAGGCATCGGTGTCTGGTGTCGTACCGACTATTGGCGCTGACCCCTATGCAACCTACAAGTCCATTCTAGGAAGTAATGACAATGTACTCATTCACTTTACATTCCCAGTAGATACACCTACATTATCACCACTCCCAATTGCCAGTCCAACCACCAGCACTGTCATGTTTGTCCTAACTTCCAAATCTTTTCTACCAAGTTACCACAGCCTCTATCCCTACCAGAATAGCTTGGATCGATCGTACGACGTCTTTACAGTCAACAGTAGTTTCTGTGTCATCCAATGGAACCTAACGTCCCCAACCCCTTACATTTCAATCCAACCCAATGTCAACTTTCAACCGACCGTTCCTACCCTTTATGCACCGTTCCCATTTGGTTTGGTAAGAGGTACACCATCCGGTTCATTCGCGAATGCATCCCCTTACCAATACAGCTATGGATTAGGCTACGTTCAAAACTTTAATATCAGAACTATGCTCCCTCACAAGGAATTGGTCAACCTATTCTCAGGCCCCTTCAACTCCGTGGCCACCACACCTACCCCGCTCTATACATTGTCTGTTAGAAAGCTCAGTTCCTTCCAAATGATCCTACAGTACTCACTCAAACAAGATGCTGTTGGGTTTAGTGGAGGATATATCCCATTGTCTTCCACCTATGGTATCAGTCTTCCAATTGGAGACTCTGTAGCCAGTACTGAAGTATACGAGTACGAAGTCAACATTACTAGAACCAACTATGGAAACTATTGGCAGTTGTATATCATGTCAATGAATGGTGTCAACCAAACTCTTTACAAACAGGGTGATATACTCGGTGCCACTGCCGACTCTGTCAATTTTGTTCCACCTCTTCCAGGCTTGCTCAGTTACACTGTTAGTGACATTGTAGAGTTGTATTGGTCACCTGCTACAGTCGATGTTACCAACGGACCTGCCAAATCAACCATCTACTATAAACTATCGTCCAACTTTATACTAGACCAAAACGAGCGTCCAGCCGTCCTCATCTACCAAATCCATAAATCCAATGCCGATGATTTGTCTCAATACTTTGTCGGACGTTATGAGGATGGGTATCTAAAGGTAGAGGTAGAGATTAAAGAGAGATCGTATCCAGGTTCTGTCGTATATTACTTGGCTACTGCCAGTTTTAATATCTTTGGAGAGTTGATTGCAACCAATCCACTCATTGGCCAAAAGAATGCTACACTCACCGTGACTTGTCAATATGCAGATGAGATGGGTCCAGTCGTTCGTTCGGTACAAGCTTACCAATCATCTATTAGTGCAGGCAATCAAAATCAAACTGCCAGTATGCAATGGGATCTTAAAATTGAAGATCAACCAACAGGTCTATACTTGGCCAAGAGTTATGCCATTATTACCACCAATCTAGATCCAACTCCAAGACCAGCCAAACTAGAACAGATCAGTGGTACCGATTTTAGTGGAATGTACAGAGTTGAATATTCAACTACATCTGGTCCATCACTAGAAACATTTAAATTGGATTTAATATTGACCGATTATTTGGGTAATGAAGCTTCTTCATTGGTTGATGTGTCTGGTAAGGATATGGTCAATGTTGATCCATTCCTTTATATTGTCAATACTCCTGCCAACCAAAATAGATTCGTCAATGTCTCATACCCACAAGTTGTCGACATTACCCCACCTGACCTTGTCAAATTTGCTATACTCAGCGGATCACAGTTGGACGTATCCAATTACGATCGTACACTTCAATTCGTTTTCAGTTTAAAGGATGATCAGTCTGGTGTATCTATTACAAGTAATCCAACCGTCTATGTAACTAGTCCAATGAACGGTATGTTCAGTTGCGTTGGAGTTATCGTCACTCAGAGTAATCCAACCAATCCTTCCAATACTGGTGTTGTGACCTACAATTGCAACATCACACTCCCATACGGATATGGTGCTAGATCAACAGGATACATCTCCATCTATGGATATTCAAACAATAACCGTGTCTTTGGTGGATACGATTCCAACACTCTTGGCTCAATTGGTCAAAATACAGTTAGCTTTGTCATGAATAATTTAGATCCTGTTATCCTGTCTACAAGTGGATTGTCTGGTAAATTGGCTGCTGGTGCCAATCAATCGGTCACAGTTAGAGGAAGAAAATTCTGCAATTTGAATGACTATAACAATACCATGATAACGCTTTACGTTAACGATAACTCATCTACATCGATAGTCCCTACCTTTGTTTCTGCTACTGTATTGGTTTTCTCTGCAAGCTTTGATCCAAAGATTAATTCCTACTCGTTGACAATTATTCGTCCAGATTCAGAAGGTTCCAACGTATTTGCAATCAATTATAATACAGTATCTCCACCAGTCAGACCCACTCAACCACCCATCCCAACCAGCAAACCAGTTGCATGTCCTACCGGTCCATCTTCGAGCTTGCCATGTTCAGGAAACGGTATTTGTGATGTTTCAACTGGCAAATGCACATGTACTGGCAACTTTGCCGGTGATGATTGTTCGGCCACTCGATCAAACAATACAGACACTAATGTCGATCCAAAAGAACCAACCACCACAACCAACACTAGTTCTGTGATTACAGGTGTTTCAGTCATTGAAGTACAAGAAATGAACATCAATGATCAAGTGGTTGCTCGCTATCCTCTTGGCAAATGGCAATTTACCAATTCATCTGATGAAAACTCATTTGTCTATGTCTACTCTACCATCTTTGCCAATACTAGTGTCGGTAACAGCTCGATTGTTGTCAGAGTGCAATATTTCCTAGAGGATAGTCAGGTATCTTTTGGAGGTCAAAATATATCAATGCCCACTGGCACTGTCAAATATACCATCACACTCTCGCAATACAACTTTGCATCGTTACTTGGTCAATTGCGTGTTATTATGCGTGTTGATGCTGGTCTTGAAACCGATGATGCATGTCTCTCTGTAAACACCAACAATCAAGATGAATCGGCAATAGGAGACTCTATTGATTGGATCAAACTTCAAGTCAACGACAAGGTACTGTATGGTAGATTTGTTAGTGTCGGTTACATTGATGGAAGACTACAAACAGTTGGTAATTCACTTGTATCGCAAAACACAACAGGTCAAACTGCAAGCACATTGCTTGGTATCGATATTCCATACTACCAATATTCATCCATCGTCGACCCAGACTTTAGTGTTTTGACATCAATAGACGACAGAAATGGTTGTTCATCAAACGATGAATTTTGGACAACTGGTAAATTAATCGCCGTCATTCTCAGTTGTGTAGCTGGTGCTGCTGTACTTTCTTTTATCGCTTTTATGGTAATTAAAAGAAAATTAAAATATAGATATAGAATTATGATGGAAGGTAGAAAACATAAAAGAGCACTTGATAAATCTGGTGAATTAGATTCTATTTAAATAATAATAATGTAAAATTATAACAACTACAATTAAAGAATTATGTATAATAAAAAAAGATAGGAAAAAATCCTAAAGTGTTATATTTATATTACAATTGATTTTCAAACATCTTATCAATCTTTTTTCCAATATCTTCTGTTGATTCAAAAGGTGTAAAATTCTTTTCTAAATGTATTTTATCTTGTCTACACCTAAAAAATAAAATAAAATAAATATTAATACCTTTAATTAATATTAAATAATCGATTCATATTACTTACATTTCTTTATATTTATCATAAATTTTGGTAATAATTAATTTCGTATCATGTTTTAATTGATTCTTTAAATCTTGATCAGGTATATCAAATTTCAATTTTGTAATTTCATTAAATTGTTTTAAGAATGACTAAAAAAATAATAAAAAAAAGGGAAGATTAGAAAGAGATAAAAAGATTATTCTTATTAATTGTTTTTTTTACATACAGAATGTTTTTTAACAATTGCTTTAGTATCATCCTTTGTTTTGTTAAATTTCAATTGTTCTACAACATTGTTCCAATATTCTGAATAAAGTTTAATTTCATTTTCCAAACAAGTTTCAAATTCTCGGAGTAGATAAGATTGTGAATCCAAAATATTTGCGTTTTTAAGTGATGTTACAACATATTTATAATTATTAATCAAGAATATGTATCCCTTTAATGATGATTTCAATTCTGATTCCTTTGCACTCTTTGTTTGTAAATATTTAATTAAATTTCTTAATGTTTTTTCTATAAATAAAATAAAATAAAAATAATTAATAAATAAATATTATATAATATTTTTTCTTTCTTTCTCTATCTTTTTCTATTTTACCTAAAAATTCATTAAAAGAAGATTTAACTTTTGATAATAAAGATTCAACTGAATTTCTATATTCAATTAATCTCTTGAAATAATTTAACATGTTTGATGATACTTCATCTACGGTTGTTGATTGTTCACTTGTTTGATCCTTTTTAGATGAATCATCACCCAAATTAAATTCCAATAATGATGAACATGTTAATTCCAAAGTTGATATTAAATCTTTAATTTCAGTTATATGATTTGCATCTCTTGCCTAAATAAAAATAAATAAATAAATAAATAAAGGGTTAATATAAATAGATAGAGATTTATAAATGTTAAACAATTGTATAGTTACAGAAATAGCATTTGAAAATTCTGGTAATAATTTTGTAAATGTTTCAAAAAGATCCAATAGAGGAAAGATACCAAAGATACGATCGGTAACACGTTTTGTTTTGATGATGGGTTCGGCAGTTTCCAATAATAATTCGTGGGCTGGGTCAATGACATCTTCGAGGATGGTATGATACTGATCACCAAACAACTCTTTACAGAGATCAGATTCGATTTGATAGAGACGTAGAGTCTCGAATACATAAGAGATGAGTGGATGGGTTCCTTTGACATAGGCCAAATTTTTTGATTCCTGTGTCAGTTTGATGTATTTCTCTGGAGCCATCTTTCTCAACGACAATAGAATAAACTTTGATCTCTTGTCCTTGTACTCTTTGATAAACGAAGTGTAATGTAGTTTACTAAAGAGTTCGATCGATTTGGATATCTCTTCAACTGCCGATGGTGATGTGATGACGAGGTAACGCTTGGATGCTGGGAGTGGAGGGATGGTGGTTGGATCGACCAGATTACTAATCTTGACGAGCAAAGACTTGAAATTATTCTCCAACTCTGTGAGACCGAGTTGCTTGAGTTCACGCAACACTGATAGCGACTTGTCGGCCGATTTATAGTCGTCCTTTGACGAGAGAAAGTCAATGGAGCTGACAATCTGCTCCAAGGTGAGCATGTAGCTTTCATAATCTCCTTTGGCACCTTCTCGAATCTTTTGCTCGACTTTGGAAATATCAAACTTGTCCAAGACACTACGAATCGAGTCCATTGCGTCGTTGATGTTGTTGTATTTGGTCGACCACTCCTTCATTGACGCGTTGATGGGTTGCACCTCTCTCTCTAGGTCTGACAATCCATCGTTGAATCGGTCGAGGATAAACACCATTTGGTTGGACAGCGAGTTGGTCTTGTTGAGTTGGTCTTTGATGAAAGCAAGATCACGTTGATCATTGGCCAGCTGCTCCTGCTCGACCGAGCCTTCACCCTCTTCACTACCCTTCCACGATAGCACGACCAAGTTGCTTCCCTTGAGAGGACCAGTTGCTTGTGTAGTAGTGACCGAGTACTCGCTGTTGAGCAAGTTACGAATTTGATCAAACTCTTCGTCATCCTCTTCAGTCGGTGTAGAATAGAACAATTCCTCATCGACATAGTCTTGATAGGATAATTGATTTGACGCATACCGATGAGCAGATGATCCACCACGACTACCCTTTCTAGAATGACCACCAACATGAGACTGACTCTGCACACGACTAATCAAAGGTGATTTACCAAATGACAGCATACCACCCAACGAACCGGATGATCTATTGTGATGTAGTTGTTGCTGTTGCATGAGTGATGGTATGTTTGAGCTTGCCGATCTTCCATGTTGAATCGTTGTAGCACCACCAGTCATTGTAGGTGATGTCAACGATATAGAAGGTGCAGTAAAACCAGTAGATGTCTTTAACCCTTGAGCAGTTGTAGATGGTGATACCTTTCTACCCAATGTTGGTGATGGCATTTTAATACCTCCACTAGTCTTTAGAGGTCCACTTGATAATGTAGATGTCGATGATGATGACGCACTTCCTGTAGGTTTCTTATCTAATATAGATGTTCTCGCACTTAATCTTGGTGCTCCTGCACCTGATCTTCTTGGTGCATCTCCCATCTCTCTCTCTCTCCTTCTACTAGTATAGTAGTCTGAATTTAATAAATTATCTTTTATCTTTTTATTAAATAAAAATACAATTTAATTTAATATTGGCGCACTCAAACTTTGCTCTTGTCTTCTGCTGGTGAACAAAAATTTGATTTATTAATTTATTTTTCAACAAAGAGAGAAGAGATAATTTAGTTTAGTTCATTGTCTTCTAAGTCTAAATAATCTATCTCATTGTCTTATAACTCTTTTATAGTTCACGAGACAATGATGACGAAGAGATGAGAGATATAGAGAGGAGATTCGATTCACGTTCCAATTCGAGTCAAAATGTGTTGATTCTTCTCTGACATTCTCAAGAAGAAGTAAAAGAGATATTCTTTGAGATTTTTGTTTCTTTTTTTTTTTTAATTAAATAAATAAATAATTATAAATAGTTGCTTTAAATTAAATATTACATTCATTAAACTAATAATAAATAATAGCAACCAACTAATAATAATAATCATCTTTTAATTTAAATAATGTCAGAACAACAAATCATTTTATATAATTTTTGGAGATCATCAGCATCTTGGAGAGTAAGAGCAGCATTAGCATTTAAGAAATTAGAATATAAATATGTTCCAGTACATCTTGGTAAAGGACAACAAAAAGATGAAGAGTATAGCAAGTTGAATAGTATGAATGTAGTGCCAACTCTAGTGATTGACGGTCACACTTTGGTACAATCATTGTCTATCCTAGAGTACCTAGAGGATACTAGACCAGATGTATCACCACTCCTTCCCAAAGATCCATTTAAACGAGCTGTTGTTCGTCAAATCATGCAAATCATTGGTTCTGACATTCAACCACTCCAAACCATCAAGGTTACCAACAAGATATTAGAATTGACCAACAACGATCAAAACAAGAAATCAGATTGGGTTAAAACATGGATTAGCAATGGATTCAACGGATTAGAGAAATTACTCCAACAACATAGTGGAAAGTATGCTGTAGGAGATCAAGTAACCCTCGCTGATCTATGTATTCCAGCTCAGGTATTCAGTGCCAATGCTTTTAATCTTGACCTCACTCCCTATCCAAATATAGATCGTATCAATCAAAATCTATTACAATTACCAGAGTTTCAATCTTCTTCTCCTCAGAATCAAATTGATGCTGATAAATAGAATAATAATAGAATAAATAAATAAATAAATAATAATTGAAAAATATCTAACCTTTGTTGCAACATGCAACGTGGCATTTTCATTGGGATGATCATTAATAATTAATTTGTTCAACGACCTCTCTGTCTTTCAAGTAATGACAGATTCTTTTTGAACAAAGTATGTTGAGAGAGAGAGAGAGAGAGAGAGAGAAGAGAGAAGAGAGAGATAAACACTATTGTACAGAATGAGTAGTATAAATCCAAGACATACAAGTCAATTTTTAAAGAAACCAATATTCAAGAATGGATTAAGAGAAATATTAGAATGTATCAATGTATTGGAACAAAAGGTATCACAACAAAGATTAGAAAACAAAGGGTTAGATGTTGTTACGATGGATACATTGGCATATTGTTATTTAGAGGCAAGAGAGATTGGATACTTGCAAAAGAGTGTAGCAATGTATGGTGAGATATTATTTATCATCTATGCATCACCAATGTCTGGTATGCAAATTGATTATGCAATTACCATAGGTAATCTTGCATTTGCTAAATTCAATCTAGAGTATTATTCAAACATCGATCCTAAAACCAATTGGGATCTATTTCCATCGATTTGGAGAATGGGTAAAGTGTCAGATCAAGTACTCCAATGTACGTCGATGCTCTAGGTGTATGCAATCAAATCGCTTACAATGGACCTGCTGTCGCATCAATCATTGTACAAGAACTCACAAGTATATTGTATCCAAGAGGTTCTCTACCTCGTCCAATTGAACCAGACCTAAAACAATTCATATCGAATCGGTTGAATCAAGCTTTTAGTGTACTTTCACCTCTTCACAACCAAGAATCTATAGAATATGTAGAGGTATTATTTATAATGGCCAAGTATAATGGATACCTATTATACAAACAAGACCAAGAAAAGGAACTTAGAGAACAAACAATCAAAGCATTTGATAGTGTTTTAGCATGTTATCTAAAAGTGTACGGACCGATACATCCAAAATATGCTATGGCAATGGCCTACAAGTCCTATGCATACACTCATCGAGATGAAGAGTGTACACAACTTGCCATGGATGCTGTCCCACTTGTCATGCAATACTATGGAGAGTTGTACATTGAAGTATTAGTATATATGTACAATGTCGCAGACCGAATCAATTTCAAAACGAATTCATTTGCATACAAACGATTTCATTCTCCACTTGGTCACAAAACAAATGAAATTAGAAAAAGATATGGTATCAAAGAAGAAAAGATTCATAATTGGTAAAGATCTAAATAAATATGAATCAATTTTGTGAATCCATAATAAATATATCTAGATAGATTTGTTATTTATTTATTTTATATAAATATTAGTACAACATATTTAATATTTGGTTCAGTTTAGGGATTCTTGAAAAATGTAATAAAAAAAAATAGTGATTCCAAAATATTAAAAGATTAATTAATATCAACATCGATCTCTTCTTTGAGGTGTAGTTATCACCGATTTTGTCATTTGGTTCAAATAAATATGCAATGTCTTGTTGGTATCAAAATGAATAAAATACTTGGGGAACTTAACAATGTGAGCAGAAATGATTGCATCAAAGGCCATTTGCTCCACTTGATGGAACGTTGCCGTCTTGACAAATGTTACCAATGTTTTGACTGAATGTTGATTTTTGTTTGGGAGGCATCCAAAGGTAGGTGAGACCTTTGAGGATGTCACCATTCTCTGATTCTGAGGAACAGAATTCTGTAGGGTGTGCGAAAGGGATGTTGATAGACAGAGAAACAGATAGTGAAGTGTAATATGTGTTGCGCACAGAACATTTCTATAATTATAAATCAAATTTTTAAAAAATAAAATAATATAAAAATGAACTTCACCCTTTTTGTTAGTTCTAGAATATTCTAAACATTCACCATATCTATCTTTTCAGCTTTGAAAGATAATAGATATATATAGATATAAAGTAGTGGTCCGTGACAGAAGAGTCAAACTAGAATAGATTCTATTCTATCGGTAAAAGAGTATACGCAGTATGCATTCGGGAACAATGTTTTTTCATAAAGGTATAAACAAACAAACAAATGATAAACTATAAATACTCTAAACTTATCTTATCATCAAATTCAATTCAATTCAATTCAATTCATCAACAAATAATAATAATAATAATCATAATACTAAATTCAATACTTTAACTTAATCATCATCATCATCTTTATCATGTCGACAACTTTAACAAATTCAACATCAACTATTAGATATAATACAATCAAGATTGATAATCAAGATATCTTTTATAGAGAGAGTGGAGATAAGAAGAACCCAACATTGATTCTATTACATGGGTTCCCATCGTCAAGTCATCAATACCGACATTTATTGGCCGACACTCATTTGACAAGTAAATATCATTTAATCGCACCCGATTACATTGGATATGGTCAATCGTCGATGCCATCCACCAAGGATTTCGAATACACCTTTGACAACTTGTCAGTAGTCACCGAAAAGTTTATCAAAGCCTTGTCCATTGAAAAGTACAGTCTCTATGTATTTGACTATGGTGCACCAATTGGTTACAGACTTGCTCTTCGTAATCCAGAAAGAATCCAATCATTCATAGTTCAGAACGGTAATGCATATGATGAAGGTATAGATAATGCATTTTGGAGTAACGTTAAAAAGTATTGGGCCGAACCAACCAAACAAGAAAACATTGACTTTGTACTAGGACTAATTACACCACAAACAACTCAATGGCAATACTTGAACGGTGTACAAGAAAAGGATAAGAGTTTAGTTGCACCTGATGGATATGTAAGTGACCAATACTATCTTGATCGTCCAGGTAACGGTGAGATTCAAGCTCAACTCTTATTTGACTATGGTACCAATCCAGCCAAATATCCAGCATTCCAACAATACTTTAGACAATATCAACCACCAATGTTAATAGTTTGGGGAAAGAATGATGAAATCTTTCCAGCTGAAGGTGCATACCCTTACAAGAGAGATCTAAAGAACCTTGAATTCCATCTTTTCGAAACTGGTCATTTTACTCTTGAAACTCATCATCAACAAATTTCAACTTTAATTAATCAATTCTTAACAAAGAATCTAAATAATCTAAATATTAATAATAATAATCCAAATATTGGTAATCAAGAAAACTAAATTAATAAATCATCATTATTTGTGATTGTCATCAAATTTTCTCAACAACAAAAATGAAATGAAATTTACTGCTTCATTGTTTGTTTATTATATATATTATATATTTATCTATAGAGATGTCAAAGAATCCTATTGTATTCATTACAGGTAATGCAAAGAAATTAGAAGAAGTGATTCAAATCCTTGGATCATCTCTAACATTGGAATCTAGAAAGCTTGATTGTATGTTTTAAAGCATCATAACCATTGCAATGTGTCAATGATAGTGTCACTCTCTCTCTAACAAACTAACTCAAAGAGATTCGTTGTCTATAGTACCAGAATTACAAGGAGAACCAGAAGATATATCAAAAGAAAAGTGTAGATTAGCAGCAAAACATGTTGGAGGACCAGTATTGATTGAAGATACTTGTTTGTGTTTTAATGCATTACAAGGATTACCAGGACCCTATGTAAAGTGGTTCTTGGACAAGTTGAAACCAGAAGGATTGTATGATCTCCTTGCTGCTCATCAAGACAAGACTGGATATGCTCTATGCAACTTTGCATTCTCTCGTGGACCAGATGATGAACCAATCGTGTTTGTCGGTCGTACCAATGGTACAATTGTCCCACCACGTGGACCACGTAACTTTGGTTGGGATCCTGTATTCCAACCAGAAGGATACACTGAAACCTATGCTGAAATGGATAAATCAATTAAAAATACAATCTCTCATCGTACCAAATCTTTAGAACTTGTAAAGAATTATTTATTTGAACATGGATATGGTAATTAAATAAATTAATTAAAGAAAAGAAATATTAATATTAATATAGTTTTTTTATTTATAAATAATTGTATTATATGTGTTTTATTAATTGGTTATAAAATTTATTATTTTGTTGTTATCTCATTGGAGAACCAATTGCATGATCATTATTATTATTATTATTACCATGATAGAATGATTGATTATGTTCTTCTTCTTCTCTTAATTTATGTTCTTTTTCATCATGATAATCGTCTCCATCATGATGTTGATGATCTCCATCTTCCTCTTGATCAAATTCTCTTTCTTCATTTTCAAGTTGATTTCTATTGTCTTCAACAACGCCCATTTGAGTATTACCCTTGGCTGGTGGCAAGAAAATAGCCAACAGCACTATACAAACTAAACCAACTCCACCAAAGATCCAAAACTATAAATAGAAATTAAATTTAATATTAAAATACATAAATAATGTCAATGAATTATTATTATTATTATAAACACATACCATTGTTGATTGACCAATATATTTTACAGCAGACAAAAAAGTAAATGAAAGTAATAAATTAAATAACCATTGAAGAGCAGTAATAATGGGTGTACCAATATTCTTAATATCATCATCAAGAATTTCATTAATTACAAACCAAAACTAAAAGTAAATAGCATTAAATATTAATATGTGGTGTGATATATATGTAGTATATTTAGTAGAGACATACCAATGTACCAATACTTAATTCGAAAGCACCAACAAAACCAAAGAGTAGAACGATACATAACCAACCTTGAACTTTACCATCCAATACAACGAAAAAGAGAGCCATGAGTAGATCACAAAAAGTCATTGTAATGGCACCTGCAAACAGGAGCATACGACGACCAACTACATCTACCAAAAACATAGCTGCAACGGCAGTAGAAACATTCCAAAATTGGAGAATGGATGAACAAGTCAATGGAGCATATTGTTGAGTGAAACCTGCAAACTCAAAGATAATAGTTGAAAAGTACATAAATGCATTGATACCAGTCCACTGTGAAATGACGGCGAGGACAAAACCAATAAACATGGGACGACGATTCTTTTTCTTTCTTAGGATTTCCATCCAAGTTTCCTTGTGAACGACGATACCGTTGGCATCGTTGATTGCCTTCTCCTCCTTTTTGATACGTTGCATGATTTGGAATTTTGGTGATTCGTGGATGAGTGCCCAAACGACGAGTAGAGGGAATCCAGGAGCTGCTCCAGCAGCCCACATCCATCTCCAATTGTGTGGAGCCTTCATCAAAGGTAGACCGATGAAATTACCAATCAACAATCCAACAGTGACACTAATCTGAAAGACGGATCCCCATCTTCCACGTTTCTCTGGCGGTACCACCTCTGACACCATCAACGGCCCAACACTACTCCCAGCTCCAACAGACCATCCCAAAATAATTCTTAATGATGCTGCCAAACCCAATGGTGATGTTGCAGCTGATGAAATAGCTCCACCAATACATGTTATTGCTAAACAAATAAACAAACAAATAAATAAAATAAATTAATATATTATACTTTATATTAATGGTTATTTGACAAACATACCAATTGCAAGGATAATAGGTTTTCTACCGATAACATCAGCAAGAAGACCACCCATAACAGAACCAAATAGAGCACCTAAAAGAGTTGAACATACAACTAGACCTTGTTGAACAGTATTCAAGTCATATTGTTCAGTGATATGATCCAAAGAACTTGTAATGACACCAGTATTGTAACCAAAGATGAGACCACACAACATACTAAGAGTGACGACGATACCTTTACTCGTACCAAATCTATACCAAAATCCTTTGTTTGGTCTCTCGGCATAGAACTTTTGAAGATCCTCATCGACTCGTTGCTTTAATCTATCGGCAGCCAATAAGCTTTCACGAACACTTGCCGATGCAGATGTTCTAGATGCATTTGTTGTACTTTTGCTGATATTACTGTGTTGACTCTTTGCACTTCTAGTACTAGCTACACTCTTTTGACTCTTGAAACTATAATTACTAGCATTATCGTCATCATTGTGTTCAACATTTCGCATATGAACCTGTTTTTTTAATGATGGTCCACCTCCTGCTGCTGCTGAAGTTGATGGTGAATCCATCTGTTTTAAAAAAATAAAAAATAAAAAATATATAAATAAAAATACTAATAATATTTAAAAATCAATCTCTAATCTCTCTTTTTAAAAAATAAATATAAATATATATAGAAATGAATCTTTAAATTATAAAATAAAAATAATAATAATAATAATAATAATAATAAATTATAACTACTAAAAATATCTAATTGGAAATTCCATTTTGCGTGGGGTTAAAACTCGAGGTATGTTCAAATCGGTATTCGATAAAAACAAATTACATGTATGTGTTTATTTCTTTTTTTTAAAAATACTCAACTACCTAAACTGTAAAAACAAAAGGTACGTTTGATTCCAAGATACATGTGGATGGGCAATCCATCGAGTATCTGGTAATTTAAATTACATTTCAAAATTGTATCACTAAATATTCCATCCATCATTATCATTCAATACTATATACTGGTTTACCTTTGAATAATGATGAATGAGATCTTATTCATTGGTTGGTGTCTGAAAATAATTATATTATTTATTTTATTTTATTTTATTTTTTTCAAATTTTTGAACCTACGAATGGGAATGCCCGTTTGGCTCATCGTCTCAGAATACTCTGTCATTGATAGAACTGTGTTCCGAGTATAACCTACACCAACTATAAATAATAGCTCTCATTATGTGAGACTGTGACTGTGATCATTCAAACTAACAAACAAGTTATCAATACAGATACAGATATCATATTTTAACTATCTCTCTCTCTCTCTCTCTCTCTCTCTCTCTCTCTCTCTCTCTCTCTTTCTCTAGATATCTATTATCAATCCTCTTCTTTCATTTCTTTGACCACAGTTGCATGAAATTAAGAACTATTGTCATTATAATCATCTCTATTTTATTCATCAATTTCATTGTTCAAAAGTCTAAACTATCAACTAATAATAATAACAAGATGGAATCAGTAAACAAAAGTAAAACACCATTATTATTCATTAATCATGGTGCTCCGAATGAAATCTTAAACAAGGATTCAAAGACTACTATCTTTTTAAACAACTATCAACAATGGGCAAAACATACCAAACCAAAGGCAATCCTAATCATATCGGCTCATTGGGAAGAAAAAGATTGGACTATTACTACATCGTACGTGTTTAGAACTTTGATTGTTGTAAACATTAATATAGATACACCACATAACTTACTTTTTATTCTTTTTATTCTACTATAGTGACAAACCATTGGATACAATTTATGATTTCTATGGATTTGAACAAGAGATGTACAAGATCAAGTACCCTGCTAGTACTAGTAGTTGGTTGATTGAACAGGTTACTGGATTGTTCAAATCATCCAATACTACATTGAAACATGACAACAAGAGAGGATTAGATCATGGATCATGGACTATTCTCAAGATGATGTACCCAGATGCCGATGTTCCAGTCGTTCAACTTTCAATCAAACAAGGGTACGACGGATCGGACCATTATAATATGGGCAAGATTCTCACTCCACTCCGAGACCAAGACGTGTTGGTTGTTTGTAGTGGTAGCACCGTTCACAATCTTAGAGCATTCTTTCAACCATCAGGTGATACTGAATGGGCAAAGAGCTTTGAAAAATACCTCGAGGATGCAGTTGGAGCATCACCGGAATCACAAAACCAAACAGCTCAACAACTCGAATCAAGTATACTCGCCTACAACAAACACACTCATTTTAGAAAATCACATCCATCCGAGGATCATCTCATGCCACTCATCGTAGCAGCCGGTGTAGCACATTCATCACCAGCTAAAATCATTCATCGTGATTGGAAGATAGTTGCTTTCCCCTATACATTTTATCAATGGGACGATTAATTAAAGAAGAAAAGAAAATAAAAATAAAAATAAATAATATTAATTATTATTTTTTATTTATTAATTTGTTGGTTTCATTCTAATTGAGGATGGTCTAGTTCTAATATAAAACAATCTAGCCCTTTTAGCACTAACAACCAATACAAATGCAACAGCAGCACCTCCAATGACACCAACTACAACCCCAACAATAATTTTCCATTTTTGTTCAGGATTGCAGTCACCTCCAGAAGAGCTAGCAGATAGGAGTGGTGTAAAATCTGGATCGAGAATACATGATTGGCATTGAGCCAACGTGATACCAATCAATACAATAGACGTGTCATCATCAGTTTCGGATGGTGTCATTGATACCAATTGAGTCTTTGAATAAGTTGGTCTGCCATCTGCCAGCGAATAATCGATAAACCTACCATTAAATTGAACACCTTCTTTAATGATCCTGAGGTATTGAATGGTAGCTCCAAATTGATCAAATGACAGAGAATCAATTGAATGTTCTTCACAGTCAAAAGTGTACGATTGCTTGTTATTGATTTTTGTTTTAAATACCACTCTTAAATAGGAAAGATTACTTTTGAATGCCCACGATGAAATATTTACTGCCAATTTAATGGAATTTGGGTTGATTGTCAATTCTTGTGGACCAAACATGATTGATCTTGCATTTGTTGAAAATGATATGTTGGCACTAACCAATGGTGGTGAATCTATCAAAGAACTAGATGTTGTATTTAATTGATAATATACACTAGTCAGTGTTGTTGTATTTTCAATAATAGTTGATGTCCAATCAACCGTTGGTATTTCTTTTAATACAACTTCTTCCAAATCCAATTCTTGAATTGAAATCATTTCAAAATCAAAATCAATTCCATCCATATCAAATGATGCTATTGGTTTTGTATTATTTATATTTGGTTTAATTAGTACAACTAAATTAAAATTAATAAAAAATAAAATATTAATATTTTAAAATATATATTTTTTCTGTTTTGTATATTTACATTGAGTTCTACAATTATCAGATGAATCATAACCTTGATTACAAACACAAATTCCATAATCTTCACATTGACCATTTCCATAACAATTCTTTGTATCTTGAATACATTGATCTTTTTGGTTTCCTCCTGGTGGACCATTAGAATTTGATTTAAAGTTGATAGCATCGGTTCTATTAAATAGTAACGCGTCCACAATGACTGAAATGGAGGCAATTCCATCACTTGGTACATTAATTAATGAACAATTGATTAATTGTCTGGATTTCGATGTGACAATACATTCTATAGTATTATTAATGTAGACAGAGACACCAGTTTGATTATTTTCACCATAGTAACCAAATAAACTTAAATTCTTGATTTCATTGGGATCCAAAGTACTGACTGATGTAACTACTGGATAGGATGGAGGGAAAAGGAGTGAAGTTGACTGATTATTGTTGATATTTCTAATGGTTACTGTTTGATTACCTCCACCAACATTATTTGCCAAACAATACAAATAATTTGATGTATTTGTTACAGGGATACATTCAATTGTATTTCCTATCCATACAGTGTGGTTCAAGAATGGATTAAACCATTTAAATGTAATATTTAATCCAAATTGTAAGGGTTGGATTCTATGTGCATCCAATCGATCAATGGTGATACCAGATTCAATAAATGTAAATGGAAAAGTGTAAGCTGGTGTTTTAGAGTTAAAGGTAATGTCGATATTCTCGGCAGGTCCAATTCGAGGTGTTGTTATTGAAAATTGTAATTTTTGATTTGGAACAATGGCAACTAATTTGTATTGGGGTGTGCTAACAAGACCCCATCCAATATTTGAACCTTGTAACAATCCACTTCCTCTAATTAAATATAATTCTCTTGAATCAATAGTCATTGCTAAAAATAAATTAAAATTAAAATTAAAATTAATTATTATTATATATATAATTTTAAAGATATCAAACACATACGACAAGTAAATTCAGAAGGTATAGTTAAAGAGGTTTTTATAATAGAGGTATCATTACTATAACACCAAAAACAATCTATAAAAGTAATTAATTTAAAAAAAAAAAAGAAAAGATTAATAAAATTTGGTATGAATAGTAGACTTTTTGTGTTCTTCTTACCAGGAATTGCTGTTACATTATATAATTCGATAAACTTGTTTGAACATGTAGTATCTGGAATAGTTTTATCAACTAGATTGGTGTTATTTTTGAAATATATATTAATTGTACGGTTGGTAAGAATTGACCAAGGAAATTGATACAATTGATCATTGTTGGAAATATATAATATTGAAAGATTAGGTGGTAGAGGATAAAGTGTTGGTAACACTGTCAACGATGAATCCAAGTAACTATAAAAAAAAATTTGATGGAAATTAAATATTAATATTATAAACAATAGTGACTCTAGCTAGATCACTGAAGTAGTGGACATACAAATTTTTTAAATTAGGTGGATACCCGCCAGTAAAGGGATACATCAAAGTGTTTACAAAAAAACTAAATAAAAAGGTTAGTTTAAATGTTAGAGTTTGCTAGCAGAATAAAACTTACACAATGGTAAGAGCCTTAAAATTGGTAAAAGGATTTAAGAATTTTGTTGGTCCATTTGTAGATCTGAATAATATTATGGAAATGAATAGAGAGGATTAAAAAGTGACTCTTTTTGTGACAATAAGTAACATACAAAGTTAATAGGCTATTGGCATTATATATAGATGTAGATATTAATGTAGGTCCGGATGAAATGATTGCTCTAATTGTAGAGAGAGAGAGAAAGTTTTTATTATTATGATTAGAAATCAAATATGTTTAGAATGTTCTATTTTAAAATATTTTTTAATAATACTTACAAATTTGTCAATGATGAACTATTGACAAGCATTGACAATTCAGTTTGTGTAGTCTGTTTGAAAGTGAATTGTAATAAATTTAGCGATGGGAATGAAGATTGTTGAAATTCTACACCGACAATGGGATCATTTAATCTGAATGATAAAGACAAATCTTCGACCAATGGCATTCTCCAACTAGAGTTGATTAGAATAGTGGATGTTTGACTATGTAAAGATATTCTACGAAGTTTTGGGCAAGCAGAACAGAATGGCCAAGATATGTTTATAGGTAAATCAAAAAAGGAGATTTCTGTTAGGTTTGGGAATGCCATTGACAGTATTGGTGGAAATATGGTGACAGTCTTTTCATCTTGAAGAACAAGTGTTTGTAGACTCGTCATATTACTCATCAAGAAGAGAAGGTTAATTGACGGATCGACTATTCTCAATGGTCTAAGAGAAAATTGAGTACATTTTGGCAAGTATATCTCTGTTAGTAAGTTTGTTATAGTAGATACAGATTTGGTTGGTGATAATAAAACACTAGTGGTTAATAGTATTATTAGCAAAATGAAAGAAGAAAAAATACACACGTATTTATAAATATATACATACAATGATGTGACGTGATACTCTTGATCGACAAGTTCACATGTTACTTTTTGAGATGGAATGCTTTGGTTATTACAAAATCCGTTTTGATCTAAAGGTAAATCGCTATAATATTGTTCAAGTAGATATCGTATAGATTGTTCTAGAATGAATAGAGCAGCAAAGTAAATAGCGAAAGGGGTAAATAAATAATAGTAGTAAAGATGAATGAATGAATGACTATGGTTGGTCTTTTTTTATTGTTTTTTATTTACCTTCGAGAAGTGGTATCTGTAGTTGTTGAGAGGTAGCTCTATTGATGAACATCATCAACACCAATATGATTAAAAGGTGAAGGTGTTGATAAGATTTCATTCTTTATCGAATAATAATAATAATAATAATAATATGGACTATCTCTTAACAACAACGACAACGACTATTAAAGATACGTATAGGGATGGTATTTTTCGCAGATTCCTCGAAACACATATGATAGTTTCGCTCGTTATTTACACCCACTTGTTTTTGTTTGCAAAATTGGTTTTTTTTGCAAAGAGGAAAATAAAAAGTTTGGGGTGACCCAATTTATATGGGGAATATGGGGGAAGACAGTTCAATGCAAGAATTTATTAAATAGGGATTTGACGGAAGAGACAAAGGAAGGATTTTGAATAGTGGTTGACAGTTGGGATGATGAGTTGGTATTGCTTTCATAGGCTATTCTTTTAGCTGGTCTATTATTTTCATCTCGCATTTCGCCGGTAGCCACATTAATTTGGTTAAAGGTGTTATAATTGTTAACTTGGCTCAGGTTAACATCTCCAGAGTCTGATTTTTTTGGCTGTCTTCTCTTTCGTGTCTCTTTTTTATAATGAATAACCAAGTCTCTTTGATTTAAATGAAAATTAGGTTAGTAAAAAATGGGTAGTAGTTGTTATCGTTTAAACATACCGATTTGTGTCGTCGGTCCAGACAGTGCCTGTACTCATCTTATCTCTCATCATCATTGATCTTTGCTTGTGTGGTAAAGAATCTGTCGTTACCAATGCATTAGAAGTGGTTTGAACAAGAGCAAGAGCCTTTGAAGATTTTTTTGTTGCCTTGGGTGGTTTTGGTATCAATCCCTGATCTTGTGGTGAGAGTGGCGAACAATTAATGATACCTGACTTGTTCCAAGCAGCCATTACGTTGGTTGGCTTTGTTGCTTCGACCCATGCAAAGTATGAAAACTGTTGGTAGTGTTCGGGTGCGATTTTAAAGTTGGGTTTGTCTTGAAGTTGTTTTAGTATCATATTCTTTAGTGATTGAGAGAATGATGAAAAAATGACAAGATCCAAAGGTTGTAAGATATGTGTCATATTGGATGGAAAGCTCTTAATGTGAACCTTGTTTTCATTGGCCCATTGAAGTAATTCAGGACTAAAATTACTTCCATGATTGTCGACCAAAAGTAACTTGTCGCCAGGTGTTGTCAGCTGTTTAACAAAAAATTGGACACAGTCTAGCTTGATTGACTCATCTACCTATATACGATTAGTTATAGACAAGAGTGTGTTAATTAATTATAATATTTAGATTTTGTAGAAAAAGAAAATTTTTAAAAAATCATCTTACATAGCCACTCTTATTAACTTCCAGATAGCCATATTCATTTTTACTAGTAATGGACCAATTCTTTTTGATTGGAAACTGCAAAACGTAATAAGGCTTTAGACTACCACCTAATCCTGTTATTCCTCCTACCAATGTAAAGTGTTGGGACTGAGTTTGTTTAAAAACTTTTGGTTTGAGTGTCTCCCTTGCATTTTTATAAACAAACATGACAACCTGTGACAAAGACATTGAATTATTAGTAAACTCTAATCAATTGCATGTGTATAATCACTACTGTCTATAGTTACCTTTTGTTTAGTATCTGTGAAGAGAACTCCCTTTTCATCAATGTTGAATATATTTTCTTGTTTGATACCATGTTTTACTATGAAATCTCTAGTTTCCTTGATCCATGCGTCAGAACCACCTTTTTGTTCAGCAAGTGCCCTTTTATAATCTTGAGAGCGAACATATCTAAGCTTGAGATCTACGTATCTCGATCTAAAACCTCTCCACCAAGAGTCTGACAGCATCTTTTCTCTCTTTGTGCCCGTTCGCTCTTTCCAGAGATTGAGTGCCAAAATCTTGACATCTGTCTTTGTCATAGGTCTATTCTGCTGAATAGATATCTTGATCTTGGCTATTATCTTTTCCTCTTCCTCTTGTGTAAGTGTCTTTTGGCGAGGTACTATAGATTTCTTCTTTAGTGCCCTTGATACTTCATATTCTTCTAATCCCAAAACGAAGCTAATATTTTTGTTGCTAATCTCCCCGTGCTCTAGTCTAAGCATCACAGCTGCTTCCAATCGCTCCTTTTGTTCTCTCACCAAGACCTTTTGTAATGTTAGCCTTGATTTACATTCCCAAAAGACTGTTAAAACACCTAAAATCTCTCCATACACCTGTTTCTGATCTTGCTTTGTGCTTGCTAATTCCTCCATTTTGACTTTATCTTATACCAATAATATCTATATATATGTGCTGAATATAATAATGACATTCATTTGTTGTAAAAAACTTTTCTATTATTTATTTTAATCTTGTACTCCAACTACTACCCGTAACTGCCATAGTAGATGTTTGACTTAAAGAAATTAAATTACTCATTGCAAAAAAAACCAATTTTGCAAACAAAAGATAGTGGGTGTTATGACCTGAGTATATATGGTCAAACAGAGAGACAGAGCTTTTTAAAAAGCTTTCTTTTTATTTAGTTGGTTAAGTGTTGGTTGAATATAGATAATATTTAACAAGATAATATGAATAATAAGATGGTGGTGGTGAATATTAATGTTGTTGATGATAATATTGATGATGGAGTCAAGAATGATGATGAGGAGGAAGAGGATGATGAATTGGTTGGTTTTTCAATTGGTGGACATTCAATGACTGGTATGGGTGTAGATTCGATTTGACAACCTTGTTCATCTTGAACGGTGATGGTATAGGTTCCATTCTTTAGACCTTCAAATGTATATGATGGTTTGGTCAAGACTACTTCACTGTTGGTGTCACCACTGATCGATATGGTGTATTCAGAGTCGGGTGAGTTGCCTCCACTAGGTGTCACTACAATTTGACCACATTTCTGAGATGTGTCAGTCGATACATTCAACAAGGTCTTTGTAATTTCAATTGCAATTGGTTGATACTTTCTTGGACAATTGGCATTATGTATTTCAACTTGTATTTGGTATTGACCAGGTGCGAGATTACCAACACGTCCATCAACAGGTACTGTCACATTACCATTGACCAATATTGATGTGTTGGTGAATGTGTGACCCGATCCAAACGATATACCAACTGAACCAAGTTTAGAAGAGTTGGCTTGACATATACCCTGTGGTAGAGCTGTCAGGACTGGTTCGCTACTTCCAACGACGACATTGGTGACTGCAGTGTAACAAGATGATCCCTTTTTATAGGCACGGATCCAATAGACACCTTTTCCAAGTCCAATAAGTGATGGTAGGATAATAGACTGCGAGTTGGAATCTTGTACAAGTTGATAGTCAATGTTGGAGTCTGGCTGTGTGATGACAACCTTTCCATCCTTGCTATTGAGACATGTTTCATTGGTCGTTGTGAATGCTAGCTGTTTGGTGGTTGCATTCCAACTTGGTTGGCCGCTATACTCTGGACAGATGATAGGTACGAATAAGAGTGGTGCATTGACCTGCCACTTGAATCTATACCATAGTTTGTGTGGTCCTGGAGAACATGGATTCTCCTTGTTGACAAGTTTATTGTCTTCAGAGTCCAGGTATATATCATAGGTGACAAACGATGAATTATCCAATATAACAGATCCATAGAGACTGTCACATGTTGGTTCAGACACCGAGTAGGATGGTAATGGATAGTTGGTGATAGTTATGGGGAATGTCATTTGTCTTTCACACACCTTGTTGTAAGTGACCATTAAATCAATTGATTTCTGTGTTTCATCAAAACCTCTAATAGTCTTTAAATCAGACGTCACTACAAATGGTAGTGTATTTGGTACTACCTTGATATCACCAAGTGTATAATTTAGGTTTCTAAGAGTCACCGACAACTCTCCATTCTTTAAACCATAGGATGGTGATAGACTTGTAACTACATCAATAATAGGTTCATTATTTTGTGGTAACAAGAATGTATAACTCCATTGACACTGTGACCCCTTTTTAAATGTTGCAGTTATATTAATGTCGGGTGGTATATTGGATAGAGTATTACCAAGTATTTGACCTGCAGTTGATGTAATCACCATATTATCAATCAATGTTCCATTTGACAATGTGTAATTGAGTTTGGCAATACCATCTCCCATCGAGCAGGTTGGTAGACGAATCGGAGTAACTACAATTGGCAAATGTTCAATGGGGACAATAATTTCAACCATTGAATCGGTACATCCACCTCTTGTATATCTGAGTACATATTTTCCTGGTTTCAATCCACTAAATGTACCAGCAGTTGCTCCAGGTTGACCATCCAATGAAAAGGATGTCACATCTGTATGATTAACCACTGTAATCTTTCCTGTAATAACATCACAATTTGATAATGATTGGGGTGTAACATCATATGAAATTGGATTCACTATAGAATGATAAAAGAAGAAGAAGAAGAAGTATAGTTAGTGATTAAATGTTATAATCATTAAATGTTTTTTTGGACTTACAAATTTTAGGAATGATTCCAACAGTAATCACTTTTTGATAGAAACAAGTTGGAGTTCCATCAAGTTCAAATGTAATGTTATAAGTACCACTTGGAGCAGTATAAATAAATGTACCTGGTCCTACTGATAATACATTGATTGGAATTCTATTGGGACCGTATACTTTGATAGTATTCGGAATTGGTCCAATTTCAATAGTTCCATTGTTTTGGTTGGCACATGATGATGGTGAGACTATTGTAATGTTTGGATTAATATCAAACAATGGTAGATTGGTTGGAGCAATATAGTTTACTTGGGCATCACATGATCCATACTTGAATGGAACAGAGGTTGACTGACCTGGTTTAAATGTGACTGTAGTCGTTGCCGTTGATACTAATCCATTGATGACTGGAGTAACACGTAGTGATGCATCCAATGCTGAACATACTTTAGGTAGACCTTCAACATTAAATGTAGCTAGACTAACATTGAGTGGAGCTGTAAAGTTGGTTAACAAGTCTAGGTCTTTGGTAAAAGTAGATGTTTGACATTCTTGGAGCACAGTAGTTAACTTCCAATTACCAGGTACTAATTTATAAACTCCACCAGTTCCATTGGCTTGCAATGGTTGACCATCAGTCTTTTCCAATTTAATTGAACTGAATAATTGGTAGTTGGAGATTGTAAATGTAATAGTTGAAAGACATGTATTAAAGTTGGATGTGTAACTGTACTGAGGGACGGTTGTACCACTTCCAATAACCAACTTTTCATCGTTACATAGGTTTGATACTTCATACGACTTTCCATACTCTACTCCAAGTGTTCCATTTTCAATGGTTTGGTTGTTGTATAGGACAAGAGCCGATAAATCTGGAGAGAATTGGACAATAGATGTTTTGTTGATACAGTTGGGGGCGGCTGGAGCAAAGGTGTAGGCTATACCGAGTGGAACATCAGGTACTTCGAGTGTGATGTTGAAACCAGAAGGACAAAGACTACCAACTTCTACAACGGGTTTGACAAGAATGGTATTTAAAACACCACGATCAACTTGTAGTGTAGCACCAGTTGACACCTGACCTTTGTAAGTATACGTATACTTGGTTGGTATGTCTTGTGCGGTAAGACCTGGAAGAGTAACTGTTACAGTAGCATTGGGTGATTTACATTGTGGAACGGCTACAACGATTGGAGAGACTGGTAGTAATTGACTTGATATTGGAATGTTTTGAACACACGTTGCAGAGGTGAGACTGAGAATGTACTGTTTACCCAACCCCATAACCAATCCGACTATTGGAACAATGACACTTTGGGGATCAAATATTTTAATGTCAGTATAATCAGCCTTGTTTGTAACTGCAAATGATGTGACTGGACCTAGACAAGTCTTGGTTTCATGTACGAGTTTTGGAAGATAGTTTGGTTTGGTTGGGACAAGGTTGAGAGGGTAATTACATGTGTTTCCGTCTTGAGTGATGGTATACAGATGGTATCCTGGTAGCAATGTGGTCTTTTGAGTAGGTTCAATAGTTTCATTGTTTATAGTGACCTTTGCACCTTGCTTATAGTTGATGACCGATACTTCAGTTGACTGGAATGGACATGTTGGTTGAGTATACGATAGCGATGGGAATTTCACTTCAAAAGGAAGCACCTTGGTACAAGTGGCACCTGTAGAGGCAGTAACAGTGTATTGACCATTCTTGTTGAAATGAATATACAATTTACCAGAGTTTATGAATATATTGGTTCCAGCAGATGGCGATACAGTAATGTTATTCTTATATTCCAAACTATTAGTAATGATTAAATCAATACCAGAACAAGACGATTCGGTATTTTGGCCAATCTCTGGACACGATTGTCCATTAATTATTCCAATTAAAAATAATATTATGGAAAATAATAGAGTTGATCTATTACCCATTTTTTAATCTTATATTAAATAAAGATTAGATTGGATGTTAATATCACTTTTAATATAATAGGTATTTCTTCTCCTCTGTCTATTTTTATTCTTATTTACCTTTTATATAAATTTTAAATACTTTTGAATAAATAAATAAATAAATAAATTTATATAGATAAATGTATAAAAATATAATATTAATGTATATGAGGAGGTTGAATTGATCAACAATTGTATCGATAAGTATATATATGTTGGTGCCTCCATCCATAGATCACAGAATTTGATTTATGATAATGAAGGTGCACCCTTTACCCACATTACTATAAATCTTAAACCATACAGACAGACAGACAGACAGCAGTACTACTTTTGATTTCCTATTTTAACCTATCCGATTGGCATGTACCATGGGTTTAATAATAATACTAATTCTTTAAACCCCATCTTAAACACAGTAGGAGGAAGCTTCCAACATAAATTTTAATTACAGAAACTGTTCAAGATGTTTACTTTGAAAATCCAATAATCATCCACCCTACTTGGTTACTCACTCCCACTTTCCCAATGACATTTTTAAATAAAATTGACCATCAATGCGATAGACAGTATGACAACCCATGATCAAAGTGTGGGGGGGTGTGTTTTTTAAAACAGTTCACAGTTCACATTGTGGTGTTTTGTTTTGATTGATGGTTTATATCTTTTTTGACAGGGGTGGGTGTGACAATTTAAAAGTAACTAGTTATGGAGGATGAGCTGGTTTGGTTGAAATTGAGTTATTATTATTATTATTTTTTATAATTATTATTATTATTTTTGATTTGATCGATTTTGAGTTTTGTTGTACAACTTTTTGGAGTTGTTGATTGATTATTGATAATTATCAGTTTTAATTTGTAATTCATCTAATAAAGAGGATAGGGACATTGACTGAGGAGTTGAATCACCATCACGACGTCGTACCGAGACAGTGTTGTTTGTTACCTCTTCGTTACCAACCACAATGACATAGTTGTATTTGAGTATGATTGCATCTCTTAGTTTCTTTTTAATGGTTTTGTGTGCACTAGTGTCAATGTCTACTTCGTAGCCTGCCAAGTGTAAATCTTGACGAATCTTTTCGGCATATTCGTTGTGTGCATCTCCAATCGATGTGACCAATACTTGTCTTGGTGAGAGCCAGAATGGCCATTTTCCTTTAGTGTGTTCAATTAAAATGGCCAACATACGTTCAGTAGATCCGAAAATAGCTCTATGAATCATAACTGGTCTTTCGAATTTTGATGGCGCCAAGGCAGAGGGGTCGTCCGTTTCAGCTACACCACTAGTTGTAAACTCTAAATTGAATCGTTGAGGTAGTTGGAAATCCAATTGAATGGTTGCACATTGATGACTTCTTCCATTGGCATCTTTGATGTGAATATCAATCTTTGGACCGTAAAAAGCACCATCACCTTCATTGAGTCGCCAATGACCTCTGAAACTTTCATTCAACACTTGTTCGAGAGCATTCTCGGCACGATTCCATGTGTCCAAGTCGCCGAGATACCCCTCTTTGGGACGAGTCGATAGTTCCAAGCTAAATGTGAATCCAAACACACGGTAGACGTATTGGAGAAAGTCGAGACATGCACGCATCTCTTCTTCAATCTGATCGGTTCGACAAAAGATGTGGGCGTCGTCTTGTTGGAACCGACGTACTCGAGTGAGCCCGGTCAGCGAACCATGTGTCTCGTTTCGATGGAGTACGCCAAAATCGGCGTATCGCATGGGGAGCTCTTTATAGGACCGCACACGATGAGCGTACATCAAGCAGTGACCGGGACAATTCATCGGTTTGAGCGAGTAGGTTGTATGGTCACACTGGAACGAAAACATGTTGTCCTTGTAATTTTGCCAGTGACCAGACACCTCCCACAACTTTTGACTGTAAATGTTTGGAGTGATGACCTCTTGGTATCCACGACGACGATACTCTCCTCTGAGGAACGACAGTAGTTTGTTGTAGACCTTGGCACCGTGTGGCAAGAAAAAGCATGACCCGGGACTATACGGATGGAAGAAAAAGAGTTCTTGCTCACGTCCAATATTACGATGGTCTAATTGAGCTGCCAACTCCTGTTGCTCACGGAACAGGTCGAGTTGGGAATTAGACGGGAATGAAATACCAGCAAGACGTTGCAAATGTGACATATCAGCACGTGACCCAACCACAGCCGAATTACGTAAAATATCAAATGCCTTGATATAACCAGTCGAAGGTAAAGTACAATCCAAACCCAATTGATTATCTTGACCGTTACATATAACTATAAATTCTTCATCACCATTCTTTTTGTAGGCAACTCTAATTATATTAATTTCATTCTCTTTAATATTTTCCAATTCATCTAATCCATATTTATTATTTCCTTTCTATTTTAAAATAATAACAAAACAATTAATTAATGAGTTACATAATTATATTATTATGTAATATTTTGTATGACATACATTTAATAAATCAATTAAAGATTGTTTTGAAACCTTTTCTCTTTTAAATATGTTATTTTCCTTTACAATAGTATCCATTATTTTTTTGATTGATTTAACATCGGTCTCTTTGATGGTGACTGATGTGTCGGACAAATAAATATCAGCTTGGAATCCATCTAATAATAATGATTTGGTTATATTTGCTTGGTTGGCTGTGATGATAACTTGGTGTTGTTGTTGTTGTTGATTATTATTATAATAAGTTGAAAGTATGTGTTTACGCATAGCCATTGCCAATACAATAGATGAAGAATACCAAAAACATCTACGACCCTCTTCACTTTCAAAATCTAACAACTCTAAGCTACCTCCGTGCTCTAGTACACTAGTCAACGATAGAGGTATACCATCCAACTTTGCAAGTAGAGATGATTTTGCCAATGATTTAGATATCGATGAAGCAATGATCAATGGTGTAGATTCACCTTTTTTTCCTTCAATCTTTCTACCATCTGGTAATCCTATATCTATATTATTATTATTATTACTACTATTACTAGAAGCTGAAGAACAATAATAATGATGATTACTAATGATATTACTACTACTGTGTCTACTATTACTACTACTATTTAATAATGGGGTTGTTGTACAACTATTTGATGAAGGTGATTGGTATAACCCTGTCGACAGGTTCAATTTAGTTGTTGATGTTGTAGTTGTATAGTTATTGGCTACTATCGTAGCCGCAGAGGAGGGTGCACTAACATAGTTTAACTTTGAAATTGATGACAATAAGATACTAGATCTTTTATATAATGCTTGATGTAACATCATCATCATCTGATCGATCAGAGGTGTGAACTACAATAAAAGTGTCTTGTGCTGCTGCTTTTTCTTTTTTCTTCTTTTTAATTTCTTTTTTTTATTGCAATACCTTAGAAAATGTCTTTATTAAATTAATTAGTTCTCCCTATTCAACTATGCATACGCTACACTCTTCTCTTCATCTCTCTCATACACACATACCTATCTATATATTTATTATTACAATATAAAAGAGTATGTTTGCTCTTTATCAATTAAACAACTCATGATGTACTAATTATCTATTCAATCTATACAATACAGTATAGACAAATGAAATGGAACCGTCATTAGAAGAATCATTTAAAAGAATATTAAATAATGAAAGAATATCAAAGCAGATATGGTTGAATGTTCACAAGATTCAAGTACACTTTGCAAGACTAGATACATTCAAACAGTCGTATCCTCGATCACACATCTACAAATACACAGACTATCAAGATTGTTTTGATCTAAAAATATTGTCTGATCGATTTGGTTTAGAGTTGCTTGATCCTTTATTTGTCTTGCCAAACAACAAGACAGATACTCAAACGACAACATCAACAACAACCCTCCTTCCTCTACCACCAACCAACTATCATCTAAGAGGTGAACAAATTACAAACTTGGTATACGAGAAGCCAGAATATCTTGTGTACCATCGTAAACACAATGTCAATTGGTTCAACCAGATTAATGAAATCATAGAGTCACTAGGTCTTACGGATTTCATGAAATCGTATTACCAAGATGAAGAAGAAGAAAAGACTACCTCTTCCTCCACCAATGTTGTGACACCAAAGATATAATGCATTCTTATTACTTGAATAATGGACAAGAACTATTTTTAGCTAGAGCTATGAATCCTCCATCTATGATGGTGTATCCTACCGATCAAAAGAAGAAACTTGTAATATCTGCTTTAGAATATTTTAAAAACAAAACTATTATTAAAAATAGAACCCTTGACAACATTGACATTACAACAATAGAATCATTATATCAAAAATTAATTCAACATTATGATAATAATATTAATAATAATAACTGTAATAATAATAATAATAATGATAATATGTTTGAATATTTAACTTTGGTCAATTTGTGTAAATATTTTGGTGAACAACCAACAACGACGATTCCAGATTTAATCAAGTATTACCCAGATTCATTGGAATTGGTAGACGAGTTGATAGAATATGAATACAATCATTTCTCCAAAAGTCATATGTTTGATCTGTTTTGTAAGTTTGGAACTTTGAAACAGGTAGAGTATTACCACTCTAAATTGGTTGCAGAAGACTCAATCGAACCAAGGGCATCTTACAATGCAATGGATTGGGCTGCACATAGACCTGATCATAAAGTAGGGCTTGAAATCACTCGGTTCCTACATTTGAATCGTCAAGAACAATGTACTCAACTTGCCATACTCGACAACAAGAATGCAGATGTAGTCATCTACCTCTTACAACAAAAGCCATCACTTGCAAGATACTATAGTATTCAAAGTGCCATCATGTCACTCGATCTACCATTAATCAAATTTATAACCGAGTTTTATAAATCAGTCACCTTTGAAGCCCCACATCGAAACATCTACCCTCTCGTCATATCCCGTTATTTAATCGATCGGATAATATCAAATCTCGGGCAAGAATCATTACTGGATTTGATATCGTATCTTTTCCAACACCATAGAGATGTTCTTTCAATGTACCACTTATTTTCATCAGCATGTTGTCACGGTCAACTTGGTATTGTTCAATTCCTACATTCACAATATCCAGTCAATGGAGATACTAGTCGAGAAGACCTGACTTTCAAACGAGTCAGAACTACCATTCTAGACGACGCCTTTCTAGTTGGTATTGACGATGACATTGTAGAATTCCTCATTCACAATCGAACAGATGTCCAATTTGGTGAAGATTCATGGTCATTCATCGGACAATATGGAACTGTAGATCAGTTGAAAATGGTTCAAGATTGTGCAATCTCGAGAGTCTCTGCCACTGAGGAGGTCCCGTTATTATACCATACAACTACTATGACACAGGCAATCAGATATGGAAACATAAATATTATTCAATATTATGCAACCAATGATCGTGATTTGTATGATCAAGTGATGCTTCCTCATGTTGTTGTACACTCGTTACTTCATGACCACCCAGATAGAATGATAAATTATTATCTCTCCAACCATCAACAACAACTGTCTCAACCAATTTTACATTATTTATTCTACCAATCATTGGTACACCACCGAATAGATATTGCAAAGACTGTTGCCAACCTACTGGATAAACCAAACCTCTCACTAAACATCAACGAGTTAAATCACATATTCTCATTGCCAGAGAATCCGACATTACTTTCATTGCAATACCTTTTACAACTTGGCTCAATTAAACAGGATCAACTTGACTCTCATCCTTTTATAATTGCCAATTATGGTTCAATCTCTCAACCAACCATCACTTTATTAAAAAAATATAATATCACTGTACCTCAACTTGTAATTCAAAAAGAACAAGAAAAAGAAAAAGAAAATGAAAATGAAAATAATAATAATCAAAATAATAATAATATAGAAAATAATGATAAAATTAGATTAGTATTTCAAAATAGATTTTTATTTAAAAAGATATTATCATTTACACATTTACCAAATTTGGATAGATTGGATTGGTCAAAGATAAGAGATGCAAGAGATACATACGATATGTCAAGGAAATTTTTCCTTTTACTTTGTAAACAACAACCAGAGACCATTACAAATATAGACAATCATTTCATCTACCAAATTGTTCATAGCAACGACAATGAAACACTTAAAATCATATTGGAAAAACACCTCGACCGCTTTAACATTTACCTTTTACTAGTAAAGCTAGTGAATCTTGGAAACATTAAAGGATTGGGAATATTAATGGATAGTTTGACAAGCCAAAACAAACAATTAACAAAGGCAAAGAATCCTCCATTGGAATGGTACAGTGCAAGCTCTGAACGTGCCTGTTATCTATTGGTCAAACGATGGAAGGCTTTTAACTTTTCAGAGATACACTCGGCAAGTTATTTGTGCAAAAAGTATAATCCCATCACAGTAGACATTGTGGAAAAGGATTCATTCAAAGAGTTGGGTCCAACCGATATCGACAATATCCTCACATTCCTAAAATACCGTCTTGCATTGGAACAAGGAAAGACTGATAGCGGTCTTTCATCATTCTCGCTTGATGATTTGGTAGTGATGATTCACAACCCTTTGTACCTAAAAACAAAGGGACAGCATCCAGAGCTGACATCAGGTATCACTCATTATAGTAATGAATTGGAGGATATGGATATCATGCGATTCGTACACCAAAACATTAAAGACATTCGATATGTTCTTCCACCATACCAATCAAGGACCGATTTTGTCTCTAAAAACATAAAGAGTATTCTTTATATTACCCACAACCAACTACCATCAGATGCTGGTGTAGACCACGATCGATTCATCCAAGTTACACCAGACATCAATGATCCACTCAACACTTATCTCGAGTTGTACGGATTCACACCCTACATCAGTACCATGCCAGTCAACCACTCTCACATTATACGATCAGGCAAAAAAATTAGCAAGACCAAACTCTATTTCTATGGATTAAACTTGCAGTTGGATTGGCGTGACAGTAACTATGACACATCTCATTATATCTATCACAATGCCAAACGTGCAGCATTTTTCTTCCATTACATGGGAATGCCAATTGAAGTTGTGCTACATTTATTCCTCTACACTGAGGTTTATGACCTGGTTGTATCTTACTTTTATCCTATCTACTTTGATCAGGAAAAAGTAAAAATTGACAATCATTCAAACATCGACATGTCAGAGACGGACAAACAAGTTGCTCTAGAAAAGATAATCTCTGTAATCAGAGTTCCAAACATTGACCTTGACTATACCCTCACCCATCAACTTATGAGACAAAGTCTGCTGTCTATCAACTGTTATGTAACCAACCAAGATGATGAAGAAGATAATGATGTATATGAATTCGAGAAATGGAACTTTTTGGGAGGAGATTGGAAGAAAGACCAAGACTTTACTTCACCAAAAAAGAATGGATTTTGTTTGGAACAATACATCATCTTGCTACTAGACACGATCAAACTTGAGTGTCCAGCCTTGGTAGATTTTGTCCTTTACGAAAAGGATGAAACTTTGGTTGAACAACTTGACGAAATTCGAAAAGCAAAGATATCAACAGTCAAAAAACATATATTTGATTTGTTGAGATTGATTATTGATGCTGGAACAATGTCAATGTTTGAATCAATTAAAAGTAAATCAGACGACTATGCAAAACTTGTTATTCGATTTTTGTCAGAGCAGGATATCAATTTAAACGCCACATTTATAGAGTACATTTGGTCGTTAAAGAGTCAAGATGATCAGAGAAAAGCTTTAGACACTGTAAACAGTGCATCACCAGATCAATATTTGGTTTTAAAGAAACTTTGGTTAAAGTCCTATCCTGATGGCATCGACACTGATGGCAAAAAAGTGGATTTCTTTCCTAAATTTAAACCAAGATGTCTTAATCTTCGTCTAAGTTATATTCTTTTACAAGATATAGAAACATTACATTTAAATAAATAAATAATTAATTATAATTAGTTTTTTTTTCATCCCTCCTAAATTTGATGTTTTAAATTAATATTAAAAATTCTGAGCGTTAAAGTCATCTAATCTTTTGTGTGAAGTTAGAGATAAAGAGAGATATATTAGATATAGATATAGATAGATTAGTATGTCACAACAACCTCAACAAAATGCAACTCCAACAACAAACCCAACATCACCACCTCTAAATAATAATAGTACTACAGCGAATCGACCATTTGTATATGGTCAACCTGCAGCAACAATGCAACCACATCATACTTATACAAGTGCAGGTACTGCAGCTGCATCTTCGGGTGGAGGTGTTATGACAGGAGGAGTTCCTCTACCTACTACTCCTACAACTATACCAACTACACCAACTACACCTGGTACAGTTACTAGTGGTGTTGGTGGAGTTCAACCTGCAGTCAACAAATCTGGTACTGGTTTGGTACAACCTACATCACCTACGATATCAGCAATTCCTCAACCATCGATCGATCAGACTATAGACAGTCTCTTTAGAAACAAGAACTTTTCATCACCTACAGGTAGTTTGGTGGGTGTCGGTGTCAACTCGACCTTGTCAACTAGCGCATTGAATCCTTCTACACCACCAACAACAGCAAAGACAACAGAAGAAAAGGCACGTGAAAAGAAGGAAAAGGATAAAGAGAGAAGAGAACGTGAACAACGCGAGAGAGAGCAAAAAGAACGTGAACAAAGAGATCGTGAGCAACGTGAAGCTCTACTTGCTGCCGCACGTGAACCAGAGACAGAGATACTTGGAAAGAAAAAGCTACACGAACTCTTGCAGCAAGTATCTCCGGTAGAAAAGATGGATGAGGAGGTAGAAGACATGCTTGCCGTGTTGGCCGATGATTTTGTGGAATCAGTCGTCTCGTTTGCATGTACATTGGCCAAACATCGTAATTCGACAACATTAGAGGTAAAGGATCTTCAATGTCACCTTGAGCGTAATTGGAATATACGTGTACCTGGATTTGGGACCGATCAAGTAAAGACATTCAAGAAACAAAACGTACCAGACAATCACAAGACTAGATTAGCGTTGATGAAAAAAAATATATTAGCTCAAAACAAGAAACTAAATCAACAACGAGAACAACAATTACAACAACAACAACAACAAAGAGAACAACAATTACAACAAGCTGCTATACAACCTTCTTCTTCATCAACTTCTACTACAAATAATAATAATAATAATTAAAATCGAAAAATGTAAATAATAATAATAATAATAATTAACCAATAATAATAATTGAATTTATATAAAACTATATATATTTATGTTTGTTATTATGTCAATGTTTATCAACAAATATTTGTAATCTATTGGTAGTTGTTGGTGTTGTTGTCAATATATGGTTGTTGTTGTTTCTACCAAATAATGTATTTGGTTTTGATAGTTTGATGGGAGGGAGTGGAGTAGGAGGTTGGGATTCACCAAAAGAAATATCCAACAAATCAATAGTTTGAATAAATGGATCTAAAATGCCTTTAATTAAATGATTATTATCATCATCATTAATGTCATTTGATTGTTTGTAGATTGGTGGTTGATTGTGTAGTTGTTGTTGTTGTTGTTGTTGTTGTTGTTGTTGTTGTATTTTATTTCTTAAAAAGTATTGTCTTTGATAATTGATATTCTTTCTTTTTTTTACTACCTTTCTGGTATTACCCATCCAATTCTTATTCATTTTACATAAATGACAGATAATGCGTTTGTTTGTGAAGTTATTATTTATATATTTATATATTATTATTAATTATTCTTTATGCCTGAAAGTTTGTTGCTAAAATGGGTTGAATTTCATTAAAAACTGTTGGATTTGAAGTTGATAATCTTATAAAAACATCTTTAATATAGTTCTAATAAAAATAAAATTAAAATAAAATATAAAATTGATTAGTAAATGTAAATTATAATTATTGTTATTAATTTTTCTATTTTCTATTTTCTATTTTTTGTTTCTACTTACAATTAAATCTATATCATAAAGAGGATCTTCTTTTGAAATTGGATCAAATTCAAAATCTTCATCATCATCTTCATAATCTGGATAACCATAATCAACATCATCCAAATCCAAATAATCATCTGCTTCTTCAAAATCATCGTCAACATTGAATTCATCGTCTTCATCTTCATAATCAATCTCTTCTTCTTCTTCTTCTTCTTCATCTTGTTGACCACTGTGATCCTTTAAATTGATACCAGCTTGTTTTGCCAATTTCTTTGCATTTAAATTTTGAATATCTTCCTCTGCTTCCTTTTTGGCTTGTAATTCATCTTTGTATTGGTCGGTTAGCATCTTTGTGATTTTGTGGATAAGTGGAACCTTGGTCCACTTGATGGCAGAAGAGACTGCAGACTGTGCGATTTTGGCTTGGGAACGTGTCTTTCCTTCAAACTCTTTGGGTACAAGCATGGTACCGTCAATGAAGATGGTGCCAAGACGACGATCACCCGACGCCAAAATATGTGACAATGCTATAGTACTAATATTGATATTTAACTTTGATTGAATGTCATCAGTGTGTTTGAGCCATTCGTTCATGACAAATGTCAAACCATTATTGTTGTTATTTTTAATATTGGGGTCGTCTACGTTCAATATATTGGACAACTCTAATTTAGCCAAATAGTCCAATACGTCGTTGGTGTGCAAAATGAATAGTCTGGCAAAGATCATCACCAACGATTGCTTGAATGATGGTACCTTTGAAATGGCCAACACCTTGATGACCAACGATAAAAGGGCGGGGAGGAGTGGACGGATCTGGTCGCTCATCTTGACCAACATCAACTCGGCAATGGGTGGTGCATACATGGCGATAAATTCGTTCGTGTTGGATACATGCTTTTCGAAAATGTGTAAAAGACAGGCGACTGATGTCTGTCCGTTGGTGGGGTGCACCCAGTTAAAGAGAAGTGGCGATGCACGGTGGACAATGACAGTGAGCGCGTTCATACCGGCCTTGAGCACTCCATTGTCGGTTTGAAGCTTCTCGCAACACAACATATCGACCAATGGTCTAAAGATATGGCTTACGATTCCTGGGTCGACATTGTCAACCTTGTAACCCTTGATGAGCACACTGATCATGTCTACAGCACTCTCCATGATGCCAATGTACAATGGCTTGTCAAAGTTTTCGAGTACCGTGCAAAAAGTTGGCAATGAACGTTCGAGAATACCCGGATAGACAGAAGCAGACGAGCACAACAACTGGAACATATCTTTAATGTCTTCTACGAGTTCGGGGTCGTTGCTGTATTTGACCCAAGTGCTGAGGAGTGCTGGTGTGATGAGTGGCTCGTAACGGGGGGCCAATTCTCTGTCTGATCGACAGATCGATTTGAGTGTTGAAATGACAATAGTGATGCAGTCGTCTTGAATAACATTCATAAGAGCACATGTGGATTGAAGAATCGATGGAGCATATTCCTTTACCAAGTTAACATTGTTTCCTTGTGCAAAATAGGACAATGCTCGTAATGAATCCAATTTGATCGAGAATGTATCGTCTGTTGAAGGTGATTGAAGGATTTCAACGGCACGACGAAGATATGGGAGTCCAAGAGAAGCATCAACAGCGGTTGAAAATCTACTGGCAACAGTGAGTGAACGAGACTGAAGAATTTTGGCATAGTCGTCGTCTAATGAATAGTTGAAATCGGTTGAAAGAATGTCTCTCATCAACATACTAAAGTCAAAGTACTTTTTGTCACCTGCTTTAATAAATTCTTCAGACAATGATCCTAATACGTTTAATGCAGCTTCACGTAGTCTCCAACCTTTTTCAGCACCCATCTTGGCAGCTGTACCAAGTTGTTCGTATACTGCTTCCCAAACCAATTTGAGACCCTTTCCTTTGAACTGATCCGAAATATCCTTTAACAAGAGCACCAAACTAACACGTGGGTGGTAGTTGCTCTCATCTTCTTGCTCTAAAAATTGGCTTGGTTCATCTATCCAAAGATCGGTCAATTCGTAGGTCATTTGAATGTAGAGGAGTGATTGTTTGATGACTGCACCCAAATGTGCTTCAAATATCTTTTTGGTGGACTTGGGGCCAATGGCGTACATGATAAACTCTGAGATGGATGCAATCAAGCTGTCGATACGTGTGACACCTTCGTCGGTTGCTACTGGGATGACTCCGTCGACCCAGATCTCTGAACGTTCATAGAGTGGATAATAGTCGACAAACAGTGTCCAGATGGGTGTGATCATCGATATCATGTACGATGCCATCTTTTTGGGGTAATTGGAAATAAATTGTGACAAGCATTCAATGACACCGGTTTGAATGGTAAATTGTTCATTTATAAATTTGTCATGGGGTCCCGATACACGTCTATTTAATAATCTTCCAAATTGTTCCATCCACACTGGAATCACAGGTGCCAATACTTTGGTAAGTGTTCTTGATTGATTCATCAATATTTGAATAACAATATTTTTAAATATATTTATAATTTTTAATTGTATAGAATATTCTATGTTCTAACAAAATGAATGATAAAAATTAATATATAAATATAATTGTACATTTTTCTTTCTCTCTCTTATTATTATTATTACATACATCAGATTTTAATAAAGTAATAAATACTGGGAATAAGACAACAATGATATGTTGAATTTGTGATTCATCCAATTCCCTTGGATCGCAGAGAATCTCTAAACATTTCATCGATCCATTAAAGAGATTCTTGTCCTTATTGACTGTTTGATCGAGACATTGAATTAAATTGGTAAGGAGAGATGGCCATTTCTCAGGCCATTCATAAACTCCAATTTTACCTATACACATTGCCTAAAAGAGAGAGAGAGAGAGAGAGAGAGAGAGAGAGAGAGAGAGAGAGAGAGAGAGAGAGAGAGAGAGAGAGAGAGAGAGAGAAAGAGAGAAAAAGGAGGCAATTATTATTAATAAATGAATAAGCTAGAAACGAGTCAAACTATCTACACTCTCTACATACAATAGCAGTTCTAATTTTAGAGATTGGATCAGATAAACCAGGAGTGATGACATCTTTAATGGTTGCCTTTTCTTGTTCACTTGGTTCATTGGCACCGTCGTTCCAATTTTGTTTGATTTTATTCTTGAGTAGAAGCAATGATAACTGTCTGAGGTCTTGTTGAATCATTTTGTTCATTGCAATCTCTGCTAGCATGATACCATAGTTTGCAGTTTTGTTTATATGTTGTAATCTTGCTTCGCATTCTTTTGTGTGTTCGGGTATCAATGATCCCTTTAAACACTCTAAAACATACTCTCTACTTATAGTTGTCTCCATCTTTACACTCTTCTCTCTGTTTTCTATCTCTATCTATCTGTTGTTGTTGAAGTCGATAGAACCACCAAACCGATATCTTCTCTAATGATAATAGAGAACCAATGACTACTTAGGTGTGTCGAGTCGAAACTTTGTCCGTTAAAAAAAAAATTTAAAAAATCAAAATTTTCTTCACTCCATTTTTTACAACACACCACAGCTAGCTAATATTTAGCAGTTCTATTGCTTCCCTCTTCTTGCTTCATCTTTCATTCGTCTCTTCTTGGCTTGGAATTCTGCTGGATGCAGAGAATGAAACTCGGGAGCGCAGGATTCCATCGATAGACACTTCAAAGCATCGTTGCAGTAGTGTGGGACCCTTTCACCGGCATTCACTGTTGATTGTGCTTTTGGCTAGAGAAAGAAAATTGATAAAGTATGTTTGTAAATAAATTTGGTCATAAATTTAAAACACTGCATCGCAAATAATAATAATCAACTTACTCTATAGGTATGGCATTCAGTGCAACGCTGGGTTTGGGTTTGGCATCGCCAACGGCAGGCTCGATTTGCATGAACATTAACACCTTTTGGTTTTCAATGGCGCTTGGAAGAGTAACCGGGCTCAAATACCTCCCAAGAGAAAAAAGAATCAAATTCTCCACCACCACGACCAAAGACCAAGGGGAACAGAGCAGACCAACATCAAGACTAGGCCAAGCGGAGGCAAATTACATCAACTATCTCTCTCTTTTAATGTAATTTACCTCTGCTTGGTCTAGTAGTGCTGGTGCTTGGAACTATATAGGTATGCATACTCAAAGTAAATTAATAGGTGTTTACACCAAAAAGCAGTTTGTTTACAGAACAATGTTGATGTGTGAATCTTGAAAATCGCTCAACATTGAGATAGCATTCTCGAGAGAGTGTTAATGATGACGAAAAAAAAGCACATGGATAGGTCGTTAACAAAGTTAATGATCGGTGTCGACTAGTATCACAATCTTTAAATGTATTTTCTCCCCAACCCCCCCCCCCCCCCCCCCCTCTAGGTCCCAATGAAGTATGTACCTATTTAAATTTTCGTATTCGAATATTTGATGTCATCAACATGGGAGCAGTCTCTATGGAAACATATAAAAGAATGATAGTTTCAATCATTTTAAATCACCAAATCAACCAATCGATTTTAATCATTCTCTCCAATCCAAACCAAACCAAACCAAATTCAAAATGTTTAAACCAACAACTATCTTTGCTGTTTTTGCCATTATTCTCTGTGCTGCCGTAGTTGCCAATGGTGCTAGTATGTTTAATAATAATTATATTTTTAAAATTAATTATTAATTAATCTTTTTTTTTTTCTCTCTCTTCTCTCTTTTCTCTTTAAACTAGTTACCAGTGTTGTCCAAGAAGGAAAGAAACTTACAATCAATTATTCACCAATGACAATGATTTGGTTTGATAATCAACTTATCAACGATGGAGTAGTTACCAACATCAAACCATATTGCAAGGCCATGTATGGATGGTCACCATTAGTTTGCAACTTGCCATCCGTCCCAGATTGTGATACTATTCGTCTCTATGGTTCTGCTGGTATCGGTGCTACTAATCTTCAAATGCTTTATTCTTTTAACTGTACCGTCGTTGCTTAAATTAATTAATTTCATAATAAACATAACATAGTTTGTTGCAACCACATATATATATATATATTAAATTATTAACCTTGACTAATTAATCAAATAATTATTTAATTCCAAACCAAAGTATTACTTTAAAATTAATTGCCACAAAGAGAAATTACATTTTTATTTTATTTGTTTAAAAGTCATGGATCATTGTGAATATTGGCCCGTGTACCAGTTGTTGAGGTTGATATGTCAGTTGTAGTTCTTGTTCCATTGGTCGTTCCCTCTCCAGTAGTGGTCGAGGTACTAGTAGAGCTGGTTTCTCCTATTGAGGATGAAGTACTGGTACCTGTAGTCGTGCTTGTATCTGTTGTCGTTAAAGTATTTTGATCTTCACTTGTTGTAGTTGAAGTAGTTTGATCTTCGATTGTCACTCCAGTTGTTGAAGAGCTGGTTCCAGTCGTAGAAGTAGTCTCATCTCTAGTTGTTGTTGAAGTAGATGTAGAGCTGGCTTCTCCTTTTGTGGTTGATGTACTGGTAGTGATCGAGTCTGTTGAAGAAGTAGTTGTAGTTTGATCTTCACTTGTTGTTGAGGTAGATGTCAAATCTGTTGTAGTTGAAGTTGTAGTGGCGATTAATTCTCCAGTTGTAGTTGATGACTCTGATCCAGTTGAAGTGGTGGATGAGGCTATCGTGATTGGCGTTACATCTCCAGTGGTTGAAGTCGATGTTGTACTGCTGATTTCTCCCGTTGTTGTCGTTGTATCTTCGCCTGTTGCTGTTGAACCACTAGTTGATGTCAAATCTGTTGTAGTTGATGTTGAGCTGGAAGTAGTGGTTATTCCACCGGTGGTGAATAATTCTCCTGTTGTGGTAGTTGATGAGGTTGAAGTTAAATCCCCAGTGGTTTGATCTTCACCTGTTGTTGTTTTCGTTCCTTCACCAGTAGTTAATACAGTAGACGTAGTGCTTTCTCCAGTTGTCGATGAGGTTGAAGTGGATGTAGTACTATTAATTTCTCCAGTAGTTGAGGTAGATGTGGACGTAGTACTATTAATTTTTCCGGTTGTCGTTGAAGTGGTTTGGTCTTCACTTGTTGTTGTGGTTGTAGACGAGGATATGGTGGTTGACGTTACATCTCTAGTGGTTGAAGTCGATGTAGTACTATTAATTTTTCCGGTTGTCGTTGAAGTGGTTTGATCTGTAGTTGATATCGTGTCAGTCGTACTAGCAGATGTCAAATCTGTGTTAGAAGTTGTTGATGTTGAAGAAGTAGTCGTAATCGCTGGACCAATTGTGGTTGATATGTTGTCAGTCGTAGTTGAAGTAAGGGTGGATGTAGTGTTGCTAATTTCTCCGGTTGTTGTTGAAGTAGCCTGATCTTCACTTGTTGTCGTAGTTGTCGTTTGATCTTCACCTGTGGTTGATGAAGATGATACAGTTGAAGTCGTGGATGATGCTAGCGTGGTTGACGTGGTACCAGTATTTTGATTATCACTTGACGAGGATGTTGTCGTGATGGTTGATGTCGATGTAGAAGTAGTGATTCCTGCATTAGTGGTGGTTAATTCTCCAGTTGTTGTTGTTGTCAACGGGTCACCTGTGGGTGATGAAGATGGTCCAGTTGTAGTTGATGTAGTTGTGACCGATGTCGTACCAGTTGTTGAGATCGATGTGCCCGTGGTACTTGAAGAGCCAGTTGTTGTACTGGTAATCGTTGTATCTGGTTCAGTTGTGGTTGATGTTGAGGTGGAAGTAGTAGATGAGACTATGATAGTTGGCGAACCCTCTTGTTGTTGTGCTTGTTCCTGTAGTCGATGAGTTTGCATCCCCAGTAGTAATGCTTGCATCTGTTGTTGTTGTTGTTGAAGTAGATGTAGAGCTAATTTCTCCAGTTGCGCTCGTTGAAGTCGATTGATTTGCACTTGTTGTTGTCTTTTCTTCACCAGTAGTTATTAAAATAGACGTAGTACTTTCTCCAGTTGTCGATGAGGTTGAAGTCGATGCAGTACTATTAATTTCTACGGTTGTAGTTGATGTGGTTTGATCTTCACTTGTTGTTGTAGTGCTATCAATTATTGGTCCTGTTGTCGTTGGACCTGTTGCCAATTCGGTTGTGGTTGATATGTCGTTTGTCGATGTTGAAGTGGATGTAGAGCTAATTTCTCCAGTTGTGGTGGATGAGGTACTTGGATCTGTTGTGCTTGTTGTAGTGGTTTGATCTTCACTCGTTGTCGTGGAAGATATTGTAGATGTTGAACCGCTAGTAGTTGATGTCAAATCTGTTGCAGTTGATGTTGATGTTGAGGTGGATGTAGAAGTACTAGTAGTTGAAGTTGTAGGTATTGAACTAGTGGATGGGGTTATGGTAGATGTCGTTGCATCTCCAATCGTCGATGTAGAAGTAGTGGTTCCCGAGTTAGTGGTGATTAATTCTCCTGTTGTTGCTGTTAACAAGTCACCTGTGGTTGATGAAGATGGTCCAGTTGAAGTCGTCGAGGTGGTACCAGTAGGGTTTGTGTCTGTTGTTGTATTTTGATTATCACTTGACGAGGATGTTGTTGTCGTTGTCGTGATATCATTTAGTCCGGTTGTAGTGGAGGTTGGTGCTGTGGTGGTTGGCGTTACATCTCCAGTTGTCGTAGTTGTAGACGAGGATATGGTGGGTGGCGTTTCAGCTCCAGTGGTTGTTGAAGTGGATGTAGTACTGCCTATTTCTCCGTTTGTAGTTGAAGAACTGGTTCCTTCACCAGTGCTTGCATCTGTTGTTGTTGAAGTAGATGTAGAGCTAATTTCTCCAGTTGTGGTTAATGTAGGAGTGGATGATTCTATTGTGGTTGAAGTTACATCTCCAGTATTGATTGAAGTAGTACCAGTAGTGCTTGTTTCTGTTGTACTCGTTGAAGTAGTTTGATCTTCACCTGTTGTTGTTTTCGTTCCTTCACCAGTAGTTAATACAGTAGAGCTTTCTCCAGTTGTCGATGAGGTTGAAGTGGATGTAGTACTATTAATTTCTACGGTTGTAGTTGAGGTAGATATGGACGTAGTACTATTAATTTTTCCGGTTGTCGTTGAAGTGGTTTGGTCTTCACTTGTTGTTGTGGTTGTAGACGAGGATATGGTGGTTGACGTTTCAGCTCCAGTGGTTGTTGAAGTCGATGTAGTACTGCTTAATTCTCCGGTTGTGGATGAGGTACTGGTGCCTGTGGTAATTGTGCTCGTCGTTGTAGTTTCATCGGTGATGGTAGCCCCTTCACCTGTAGTAGTGCTTGAGCCCGTTGTCGTTGATGAAGATGTCGTATCAGTTGTGGTCGTTGTATCCAATTCAGTTGATGTTGATATGTTGTCAGTCGTAGCTGAGGTGGACGTAGTATTGTTAATTTCTCCGGTTGTCGTACTGGCTCCAGTATTATCTGTTGTTGAAGTAGCTTGGTCTTCACTTGTTGTCGTACCAGTTGTAGAAGATAATACCGTGTCGGTAGTAGTACTTGTAGATGTTGTATCTGTTGTCAAATCTGTTGTTGTTGTCATGATATCATTTACTCCAGTCGTAGTGGAGGTTGAGGTTGAAGTGGTTGGCGTTACATCTCCAGTACTGGTTTCAGTAGTAGAAGTAGTTGTGGTTGAAGTAGATGTACTACCTATATCTCCAGTTGACGATGTAGAGCTAATTTCTCCGGTTGTCGTACTGGCTCCAGTAGTAGTGCTAGTATCCGTTGTTGTTGTTGAAGTAGCCTGGTCTTCACTTGTCGTTGAAGTAGTTGTCGTTTGATCTTCACTTGTTGTTGTCGAGGATACAGATGTCGTACCAGTAGATAATACCGTGTCGGTAGTAGTAGTACTTGTTGATGTTGTACCTGATGTCAAATCTGTTGTAGTTGAAGTAGAGGTGGAAGTAGTAGATGAGGATATGGCGGTTGGCGAATCTCCTCTTGTTCCAGTAGTCGATGTAGACCCATCTCCAGTTGCGGTGGATGTACCTATATCTGTTGTGCTCGTTGAAGTAGTTTGGGCTTCACTTGTTGTTGCCGATAGTACAGAGGTTGATATTGTGTCGGTACTACTTGTGGATGTTGAGCCGCTAGTAGTAGTAGTAGGATCTTGACCGGTAGTTGAAGTTGTAGGTATTGAACTTGTAGTGGATGGGGTTATGGTAGATGTCGTTGCATCTCCAATCGTCGATGTAGAAGTAGTGGTTCCTGTTGTATCATTTGGTCCAGTTGTAGTTGAGGTCGAAGTGGTTGACGTTAAATCTCCAGTGGTTGTCGTTGATGTAGTTTGATCTTCACCTGTTGTTGTTGTAGATGGTACGGACGTCATACCCGTTGTAGAAGATAATATCGTGTCGGTGGTTGTACTAGTAGAGGTTGATCCGCTTGTTGTATCTTGACTGGTAGTTGATGCCAAATCTGTTGTAGTGGATGGGGTTATGGTAGATGTTGTTATATCTCCAATGGTAGAAGTAGTACCGCTGATTTCTCCAGTAGTTGTATCTGTTGTTGTAGTTAAGGTATTTTGATTTTCACTTGAGGAGGATGTTGTAGTTGTTGTCGTGATATCATTTACTCCAGTTGTAGTGGAGGTTGGTGATGTGGTGGTTGGCGTTACATCTCCAGTACTGGTTTCAGTAGTAGAAGTAGTTGTGGTTGAAGTAGATGTACTAGACAATGTAGAGCTAATTTCTCCGGTTGTCGTACTGGCTCCAGTAGTAGTGCTCGTATCCGTTGTTGTTGTTGAAGTAGCCTGGTCTTCACTTGTCGTTGAAGTGGTTGTCGATAGTACAGATGTCGTACCAGTTGTAGATATTGGTTTTGTGTCGGTAGCGCCACTTGTAGATGTTGTGGTATCATTTGGTCCAGTTGTAGTGGATGTGGTTGACGTTACATCTCCAATGGTTGATGTTATACTGCTGGCTTCTCCAGTCGTACTTGTTGTTGTTATCGTGCCGGTCGTGCTTGTAGGTGGTGAACCGCTAGTTGTAGAAGTTGTTGATGTCAAATCTGCATTTGAAGTTGTTGTTGTCAAATCTACTGTAGTAGGTATTGAACTAGTAGCCGATGTAGTACTGCTTAATTCTCCGGTTGTGGATGAGGTACTGGTGCCTGTGATAATTGTGCTTGTTGAAGTCGTTGTAGTACTTGTTTCATCGGTGATGGTCGCTCCCTCACCTGTAGTTGTGCTTGAGCCCGTTGTAGTCGAAGTAGTTTGGTCCTCACTTGTCGTTGATGTTGTTTTCGATGGTACAGGTGTCGCACCAGTTGTAGAGGTTGATATCATGTCAGTAGTTGCGGATGTCGAACCGCTAGTAGTAGTATCTTGACCGGTTGTTGATGTTGTACCTGTTATCAAATCTGTTGTAGTTGAAGTTGTAGGTATTGAATTTGTAGTAATGGTAGATGTCGTTACATCTCCAATGGTCGATGTAGAAGTAGTGATTACTTGATTGGTGGTGGTTAATTCTCCAGTTGTCGTAGTTTTCAACGAGTCACCTGTGGTTGATGAAGATGGCCCAGTTGAAGTGGTTGACGCTACATCCCCAGTGGTACTACTGATTTCTCCAGTTGTAGTTGCAGTATTTTGGTCTTCACTTGCTGTTGTCGATAATATTGTGTTGGTAGAACTTGTCGATGTTGAAGCGCTAGTATCTTGACTGGTAGTTGATGTTGTGGTTGATGTCGAGGAAGAAGTAGTGGATCCTGCATTAGTGGTGGTTAATTCTCCTGTTGTTGAAGTTGTCAACATATCGTCTGTTGTTGATGACTCTGATACAGTTGAAGTAGTGGATGATGCTATTGTGCTTGAACTGCTCGAGGTGGTACCTGTAGTAGTGCTTGTGCCTGTTGTTGTCGTTAAACTATTTTGATCCTCGCTTGACGAGGATGTTGTTGTTGTTGTCATGATATCATTTGGTCCAGTTGTAGTGGAGGTTGGCGTTACATCTCCAATGGTCGTAGTGCTTGAGCCCGTTGTCGTTGTTGTAAATAGTACAGATGTAGTACACGTTGTAGTTGTATCTGATTCAGTTGTTGGGGTTGATATGTCTGTGGTACTTGAAGAAGTAGTTGTCGTACTGGCAGTATCTGATGCTGTTGTCGAAGTAGCTTGATCTTCACTTGTCGTTGTCGAGGATACAGATGTAGTACCAGTTGTAGAAGATAATGCCGTGTCGGTAGTTGTACTAGTACCTGTTGTCAAATCTGTTGTCGTCGAAGTTGTAGGTATTGCAGATGTCGTTACATCTCCAATGGTCGATGTGGAAGTAGTGGTTCCCGAGTTAGTGGTGATTAATTCTCCTGTTGTGGTAGTTGTCAACGGGTCACCTGTGGTTGATGAAGATGGTCCAGTTGAAGTGGTTGATGACGTCTCATCTCTAGTGGTTGTAGTCGATGAGGTTGACGTTCCATCCCCAGTTGTTGGAGTGGATGTTGTACTGCCGATTTCTCCTGTTGTAGTTGAAGTGGTACTTGTGTCTGTTGTTGTCGTGGCTAAATTATTTTGATCTTCGCTTGACGAGGATGTTGTTGTTGTCGTGATATCATTTGGTCCAGTTGTAGTGGATGATGATGTGGCGGTTGAAGTGGTTGACGTTACATCCCCAATGGTCGGAGTGGATGTACTGATATCTGTTGTGCTCGTTGAAGTTGTTTGATCTTCACTTGTAGTACTTGTAGATGTAGTACCGCTAGTAGTAGTAGGATCTTGACTGGTAGTTGGTATCAAATCTGCTGTGGTTGATGTCGAGGTGGTGATTAATTCTCCTGTTGTTGTAGTTGTCAACATATCGTCTGTTGTTGATGACTCTGATACAGTTGAAGTAGTGGATGAGGTTATTGTGCTTGAACTGCTCGAGGTGGTACCTGTAGTAGTGCTTGTGTCTGTTGTTGTTGTAGCTAAATTATTTTGATCTTCACTTGTTGAGGATGTTGTCGTGATATCATTTGGTCCAGTTGTAGTGGAGGTTGATGTGGTTGACGTTACATCTCCAATGGTTGAAGTCGATGTAGTACTGCTTATTTCACTGGTTGTCGTTGATGTTGTTGTCGATGGTACAGATGCCGCCCCAGTTGTAGAGGTTGTTGTGGATGTTGAACCGCTAGTAGTCGGATCTTGGCCAGTTGTTGATGTTGTACCTGATGTCAAATCTGTTGTTGTTAAAGATATAGGTATTGAACTTGTAGTTATGGTAGATGTCGTTACATCTCCAATGGTCGATGTCGAAGTAGTGATTACTTCATTGGTGGTGATTAATTCTCCTGTTGTTGTTGTTGTTGTTGATGGTACAGATGTCGTACCAGTTGTGGATGTTGATATCGTGTCGGTAGTTGTACTACTTGTGGATGATGATCCGTTTGTAGTGGATGATGCTATTGTAGTTGTCGTTGCATCCCCAATGGTTGAGGTAGAAGTAGTGGCCTCTCCGGTTGTTGTCGTTGTCAAAATATCGTTTGTAGTTGATGTCTCTGATCCAGTTGTTGTGGAATATGTTGGATCAGTGGTTGTAGAGGTTCCTGTAGTCGATGAGGTTGATGTTACATCGCCAGTGTTCGGTGTGGATGTAGTAGAGGTGGATGAAGTACTGCTGATTTCTCCAGTAGTGGTGCCTGTGTCCGTTGTTGTTGTCGTTGTTGCAGGTGGGATAGATGTCGTACCCGTTGTGGTAGTTGCATCTGATTGAGTTGTTGAAGTGGTCGGGGTGGATGTTGTACTGCCGATTTCTCCTGTTGTTGTACTAGTTCCCGAAGGAGAGGTTGATGCAGTTGTAGTGGACGAGGTACTGATATCTGTTGTGCTCGTTGAAGTTGTTTGATCCTCACTTGTTGTCGTACCAGTTGTTGAAGTACTTGTAGTACCGCTAGTAGTAGTAGGATCTTGACTGGTAGTTGCTGTCAAATCCGTTGAAGCTGATGACTCTGATACAGTTGTTGTGGTATCAGTGGTTGTCGAAGCTCCTGTGGTCGATGAGGTTGACATTGCATCGCCAGTGGATGTGGTAGAGGTGGATGAAGTACTGCTGATTTCTTCAGTCGTAGTGCCTGTGTCTGTTGTTGTTGTTGCAGGTGGTACAGATGTCGTACCAGTTGTAGAAGATAATATTGCGTCGGTAGTAGTAGTACTTGTGGATGTTGAACCGCTAGAAGTAGTACTGCTGATTTCTCCTGTTGTTGTAGAGGATGATGTGGTAGTTGAAGTTGCACCAGTATCTGTTGTTGTTGTTAAAGTATTTTGACCTTGACTTGTTGAGGATGTAGTTGTTGTCGTTGTATTATTTATTCCAGTGGTAGTGGAGGTTGAGGTTGAAGTGGTTGAAGTTACAGCTCCAATGGTTGGAGTGGATGTGGTACTGCTTAATTCTCCGGAAGTAATTCGATCTTCACCTGTTGTCGCTGTTGTCGATGGTACAGTTGTTGGTATTATGTCAGTAGTAGTACTTGTAGTACCGCCAGTAGTAGGATCTTGACTGGTAGTTGCTGTCAAATCCGTAGTAGCTGATGACTCTGATACAGTTGAAGTAGAGGATGAGGCTATTGTGCTTGAACTTGTCGAGGTAGTACCTGTAGTAGTGCTTGTGTCTGTTGTTGTCGTTAAATTATTTTGATCTTCACTTGTCGTTATTGTTGTTGTTGTAGATGGTACAGATGTCGTACCAGTTGTTGAAGTTGATATGTCTGTGATACTTGAAGAAGTAGTTGTACTAGTAATCGCTGTATCTGGACCAGTTGTGGTTGATATGTTGTCAGTCGTAGTTGAAGTAGAGGTAGATGTAGTGTCACTGATTTCTCCAGTTGTCATACTGGCTCCAGTAGTACTACTGATTTCCTCAGTTGTAGTTGAAGTAGTTTGGTCTTCACTTGTCGTCGTTGTTGTTGTTGTTGTTGTCGATGTTACAGATGCCGCACCAGTTGATATCATGTCAGTAGTTGTGGGTGTTGAACCGCTAGTAGTAGGATCTTGGCCAGTTGTTGATGTTGTACCTGTTATCAAATCTGTTGTCGTTGAAGATGTAGGTATTGAACTTGTAGTAATGGTAGATGTCGTTACATCCCCAACGGTCGATGTTACTTGATTGGTGGTGGTTAATTCTCCGGTTGTTGTAGTGGATGAAGCTATTGTGGTTGAGGTCGATGTAGTGTTGCTGATTTCTCCTGTTGATGTGGTGGTTGACGCTACATCTCCAGTTGTCGTTGATGCACTGGCACCTGTAGTAGTGCTTGAGTCCGTTGTCGTAGTTGAAGTGGTTTGATCTTCACCTGTTGTTGTCGATAGTACAGATGTCGTACCAGTTGTGGATGTTGATATCGGAGCTCTAGTAGTGCTCGTACCAAGAGTGGTCGTGCTACCAGTGGTTGGTCGGCTCGTTGTTGGCGTTGAGCCACCTATAGTTGAGGAGGAGGAGGAGGTTGTAGTTGTCGTTGTAGTGGTGGTTGATGTTAAGGAAACACATTGAGGAATGGGTTGACAACACGACGATAAAGTACAGGCTGTAACATTTTTCAGCCTGCACGCCATTCCCCTTGATTGACAATTTAATTGTTCACATGGTATTGCTAATATAGTAATAGTAGTAGTTGGGGAAGAGAGATAAATATAAATCAATTAATTAATACTATTGTTTGAATTAAATCATATTTATATATATATATATAACGTACAAGGAGGAGGGATATATTGTTTCCAACCCAAAGAAGGTCCACAAGAAGACCATATTTCATAGATCTGATTGGTAGCCAGATGAATGGCACATTGCATTGGAGTTATTTGGAAACAATCCAAACGATGTGGATTATCGATACAGACACTCTTTAGAGTACCACAACATCCACGAAATGTCAACCATCTGCAACGAGGATAAACCAAATCACATTGCCTAGAGTTTGTAACCCTTTCACAATTAAATGTATTGGCAACATGAATCTCTGAATCTTAAATCATTTTAAGTAGGTAGGTTAGGGTTAGTTAGTTGTTTGGTTGACCAATGCAATTCATTTCAATTCCAAAAATACATACTCAAGTAAATATGTTCTTGAAGTTGATTCAAATGTATTTGACTCATTTCACGTCCATCGATTAAACCTGAATCAAGTTGATTGTTGTTGTCTATGCCATTATTATGATGATCATGACTACCACTGTCTACTACTAAAGAATGATTGAATCGATTGTGATCGGTAGTACAAGTAGTTTGATAAACTAGAAAACATAAAGTAAACGAGATAATTAGAATTATATAAAATGACATGATCATAGGTTTTAAATATAAAATGTGTGATGATCAGAATAATAATAATAATAATAATAATGAATAACCATTATCATGATGATCATCCATTCATCTAATCAACATACAGTAGCAATGGAATAGACCAAAAGTATTAAAACTACTTTGTTGTTGATTTAAATCAACATGTTGTTATAATGGAATCATAGGAGGGTGAGTGTGTGATGAACTAGGCAATAATCTGTTTGATTCGATGTAAACAGATATTGAGTTTTTGTTGTTGTTAATACATGTATGAAGCAGAAGTGCTAAAGTTAAATTGATTTGCATTTGGTGTCGATGACATTCAGATCGTCTTGTCTCGTCTCGCCAAGTTCATCCAAGAAAAAAAATAATTAAAATAAATATTAATATTATTATTATAATGCTTTATATAAATATTTATGAATTTTATTTTATTATATTATAATTTCGAATCAGCTGTACTACCAGTAGTAGTAGTTTCAGTAGTTGCTGCTGGTTTTGGATCACATGGACAAACCTTTTTCTTATTTTGACCAATAGAAGCAGCTCTAGTGATGATTCCACATGCTATTCTCTTGTCTCTTTCATTGTCGTGTAATACCAATGACCGTCCAATTAAATCAAATATATCATATCGATCGTTTGTAATTCTAAATTCTACCTTTCCATCTTTTGAATAGGTTATTCCAACTACTCCACTATCCTCTTGTTTATTATTATTATTATTATTATTATTATATACATATGGTTTACCAACCGAGTTGCAACCTTGTGAAAGATCACCTGCTTGGTGTATGACAAGCGAGTGTTTAATATTATTTTCTAATCCTGTAATTCTACCTTCAAATAATATTGTATGATTATCTTGTTGTTGTTGTGATTCTTCTTGATGATGTTGATGATCGTGGTTATCTTCATGTTGATCAGGAGCAGATATTTCAATCAATCTAAATACTCCATTGACACCTTTGACACCTTCACCACCAGCACCACCACAACCCTTTTCCCAACCTTCAAATATACCCATTGCACAAACGGCACTAGTAGCCTTGTTACCAAAACCACTGATAGACGCAGTTCTACCAGTCTCTCTTATAGTCTCTAAAACATCGATAGAGAGGTCACCATGTGACTCTATAATCACCGATTGGTCTTCTACCGATGCTTTCTTTAGTGTACTCCTTGGTAGGTTCTTTTTGACAGCTTCATCGATAGCAGCAACACATCTATGACATGTCATATCTACCATCAACTCTATATCAGTAACCAACTCTTCATACACCTGTTTCAATCTTTCCATTCTGCTGTTATAGTTATTATTGCTTGTTATTGCTATTGTTGTTGAGTAATTGTGATAATATAGTGCTATTGATATTAATATTAGAATAATACTTAATTTGTAAATATATTTGTTAAAAGAAGAAGAAGAAGAAGAAGAAGAAGAGGAAGAAGAAGATAAAGAAGAAGAAGAATGAGGAGAAGGAGGGGATGTAGAAGAAGTATTCATACTTATTTTCACAATTGCAATGACAACATAAACATTAAAGTAAGTAAAGGACCTACGTAGCTATAAACAAAATTGTTTGTTCAAACACTTCCATCAGATCTTAGCGTGTTCCATGGAACTTCCACATCAGCATTTGTCGCAAATATTTTGAAAATGTTTGAGGAGGGAACAGAAGGGAGAGAGAAATACTTTTTGTCTTTTATTGTTGTTGTTGTTGTTGTTGTAATAACAATGTTTTAAAATACAGATCTAGATATAGATATATATATATATATAAATAATGTTTGACAACACTGGTTTATATATAAGTTAACACAGATCAAAAAGTGATCTTTATTTGAAATGTCTGAGGGCGGCTCTAAAAATATAAGATATTTTTTTGTCTCTTGCCCAACTGACACGGTTCTTGTTGTGAGTTTTTTTTTTTTTTTTTTTTGTTTTAGTTTCCTCTCATAAAACATCCATTGCTTTACTAGTTTTTACTTACATCATCAAACAACATCATCTTTCTTTCTTTTAGAAGTTTCAAAAACAACAACAAGGTAAGAAGAAGCAATCAATCATTTTATAGGCAGTCATTACCAACACACACACACAGAGTTGATCTATGACTGGGTCAATAATATCATAGTCTAAAAGGAGGAATAGGAGATGTATATACCTTTATCCTCTTTTCTTTTAAAACCTAAGTCAAACAACCAACCAAATCAACCAAATCAAACCAATCAACCAAATCAATCAATCAATCAATCAATCAATCAATCAATCAATCAATCAATCAATCAATCAATCAATCAATCAACCAAATCAAATCACACCCTTCTTCTTTCCTCTTACTCGATGATGGTTGATGAATCGCGTGGTGTTTGAATGAAATCGATGATATTATGGGTGGTGTGTGGGAATAATGAGAGGAGGAGGAGGAGGAGGGGGGACATTATAATCACTGCAACAAAACCAACAACATAATAATAGTAGTAGTAGCCATAATAACAATAACAATAATAATAATCATACATCGCATCGTTGATAGAGTACATCGATAATCATTTTCCTTTCCTTTGCTTTGCTTTCTTTTCACAACAACAGAGTTGAAAAGAGAAACATACATACATATATATAAAGATCCATCAATCCATCAATCCATCCATCCATCCATCCATCAATCCATCAATCACCATTGATAGAGAGAGGAGAGTATTTAGAGATATATAAAAAGATAGACCCTAACTCTATTAATTTAAATGATGGTTACCATTTACAATTAATACTTAAGTAAATATCTTAACACCACCCCCATTACGAGTTTAACAGCAATAACAATATAATACAATAACAATATAAGAACAATATATATAAAAAGATAGAAGTTACAGTCAAGTTAGTTTGGTAGGGGAATAATCACGATAACGATAACGAATAACTATTACCATTTAAACAGACAGACAGACAAACACACACTGCCTACTCACTCAGCACACAAAGATATCAACAGACTGTTTAGATAGATAGGTTTTATTATTCGTTTTTTTATATGTTATAGTGGTTGGTTGGGTATGAATGCACATAGCTGTGTTTTTAGAGAGGTTAGGGTTATTCTCTCTCTTTCTTTCTCTTATGGATAGTGTTAAGATTAGAGATTTGTAGAATGTATTTATTTTTATTGCTGTTGTTGTTGGTCAACTGACTCTTATAGTTATTACATATATCAAACCATGATTGATCAAAATTCTCTATTCATAACCGTTATTAATCATAAATTATTATTTACCCAAACAAACAAACAAACAAACAAACAAACAAACAAACAAACAAACAAAAAAATAGAAATTAGGTAAAAGATTAAGTTTGCTTTATAACTCGACGATCACAACAACAACATCATCGTCGTCATCTAGAAAACAAGTAGAAGAAGAAGAAGAAGAAGAAGAAGAGGAACAAGAACAAGGACAAGGACAAGACAAGTTTCAACAAGAACAAAAAGAAGAAGGAAGAGATTTTTCAATACCCTCTTCTCCTCGTACTGTCACCACTCCCACCACCACTACTTCTCCCGTTCCACCCAATATAACAACAACAGTATCTGTAACATCTATAGTATCACCAAGATCCTATAATTGTAGTAATAGTACTTGTAATAATAATCAACAACTTTGTTTATCATCGTCATCGTCATCATCAACTTTATCAAAACAACAACATCAACAAGATCGAATCAATAGAATGAGTAATTTATTAAGAGTTGCAGTATCAAAGCAAAAGAGAAGATACCAAAAGAATGGATATGATCTCGATTTGGCTTATATCACCGACCGTGTCATTGCTATGGGTTTCCCAAGTGAAAAGGTAGAAGGTGTATTTAGAAATCCAATGAAAGAGGTTCAAAAGTTTTTGGATCAATATCACAAAGATCACTATAGAGTTTATAATTTGTAAGTTACAAACAATAACTATTATCTCACTCGAAATCAATTAATATTAATATTCTATATAATTATTGTTCAGATGTTCAGAAAGAGATTATGATCATAACAAATTTTATGGAAGAGTTGGATGTTATCCATTTGACGATCACAATGCACCAGCTTTTGAATTGATTCAAAAGTTTTGCCAAGATGTAGATGAATGGTTCAAAGAAGACCCAAAAAATATTGCTGTTGTTCATTGCAAGGCCGGCAAAGGTATGTAGAAAAAGAAAAAGAAAACCAATCAATAATATTATGTTGTATTGTAATCTAATTTAATTTTTTTTTTGTTATTCCTCTTCTTCTTTTAGGTCGTACTGGTAAGTCAAACAGAGATAGAAAGAATAACTTTTGTTGTTGTTGTTGTTGTGTCTAATTTTTTTAATTATTTTATTTATTCTTTTTTCTTTTAGGATTAATGATTTGTTGTTGGTTACTTTATTGTGGTATGTGGAAGAATACTGAGGAATCATTAAGATTCTATGCAGCATTACGTACCTATAACCAAAAGGGAGTTACCATTCCAAGTCAAATTAGATATGTTCATTATTTTGGTAGAAGTATGCGTGAATCTATTCCAGCCACCAAGAGTCTCCTTCTCAAAAAGATCTATTTGAAGCCACTTCCACTCGATATCTCACTCCAAGACATTACATTTAATGTCTCGGTTGGCAAGACACTTGTATATCACTCCAAGCAAGTCGAGAATGTCACCATCCATCGTCTACAAAAGAAAAAGATCAAAAAGTCACAGAGCAAACGTGACCTCAAGGAAAAAGACAACACTGGCGACAAGGGTTCATCGGCCAACGACGCCACCTCCTCTACCAACGGTAGCAACGGTGTTCTCGGCTCGAGTGTCCGCGGACAATCGCTGATCGACAAGCACCACCAATCGCTCTCCAAGGGATCGAGCCAAAACTACAAATCACAAATCGAGCACACTAGCTCCAATGCTTCACTCTCTAGCAGCTCTAGCTTTGACTATCAAGCCTACTACCTCAAACAACAAAACAATGCCAAAGAGGAAGAACAAGAAGAATATATCTCGTTTGACGTTGGCGGTATCATGTTGGCCGGCGATATTCGTATTGAATTCTGTAACAAAAATGAAAGAATGTTTATGTATTGGTTCAACTCTACCTTTACTTCTCACTTTGAGTCCATTTCAAAGACTGGTCTCGACAAGGCTCACAAGGACAAGAACCACAAATCCTACCCTGAAAATTTCCGTGTAGAAATGGTTTTCGATGAATTACCCGTTGAACACAACGATCAAAATGGAAGTGTCCAACATCAACAACAACAAAATATATCAACAACACCACTCTCTGTTGCACCAGCCATTGCACCACCATCTGATCCATCTCCTTCTATTCCAATCACTCCTGTCAAGAGCGACAATCAAAATGGTGCAACCACTGTAATTGTCAATCAAAAGGATGAAACTGATAGTGAGGATAGTAGTGATAGTACTAGCAGCGACGAACATCAACAACAACAACAGGAACCACAACAACCAACTAATTTATCTTCATCTATAAATGTTGCAAATAATTAAATAAAAAAAGGAAGAATCAACAAATAATAATAATAATAATAACGTAAATAATAATAAATAACATAAATAATAATAGTAATAATAGTAATCAAAGTAATAGATATAATTATATAAGGAAAAAACAAAACAAAAAAAAAAAAACAAACACAATGTATTTTAAAACTAAACTTTGATCACCAATAATAATAATAATTAATAACCACCTCTCAAAATTAGATATAATTTTTTTTCTCTTAATCTCTCTCCGAATGGATAGTATAACAATGTACGAACGAACTTATTAATAGTGACACAATAATAATAATAATAATAAATAAATAAAAATCGAATTAGCTTTTTTTTTTAAAACTATATGTAGTTTATAGGATCTTTGAGATATCTCTTGTAAAAGTATTTGGTGTAATCTTTTTAAATTGACCAATTGGTACTTGTGATGGTCTAAAGATATTATGAGTAGTAAATGATTGTATACTTTTGTTTACATTCATTGCTCTAAACAAGATGGCTATTGGGTTTTCAGTTGTATCGCCATGGTTTTTGTTTGCCATTGTAATTGAAAGTTGTTTGAGTGAGGTATTGTTGGCAATTGGGTGTTCAAGTAGAGAAATTGAATTCCAACCGGTCAATTGGAGTGACAAGGTTAGGTATTTAAGTGTATTGTTTTGTAAGAGTGAAACTAATGATAGGATATCTTCATCGTTTAGAGCATGAAAGACAAATAGCTCTAGTGAAACCAATTTGGATGGCAGACATCTACCTAGGTAAAACACCCAATTATTTGATGAATCGATTTGTAGTGTCAACGTTGTAACAGAATCTGATATTTTTGATGGTGGTGCAGACCCTGCTACTAACCTGAGTGACAGCGATTCTAGGTTATTCTTTGTTTCTAAATGTCTCATCAAATCTTGATTGATTGGTCCTTGTATGTTGAGAGATGTAATTGAATCGATTCCAATCACCACTCTATTGAGAGCATTGTCAAGACCATCAACCCAATTCGAAAGATTTGTGATTGAGAATGAGAATTTGGTCAGTCTGATCGACGACTTGACACGTTTCTTTTGCCAATTGTAAATAGCTTCTAGTGTCGACAATGAACAATCAGTTGTTTGTACAAGTGATAGTGATCTTAGTAGAGGTAGATTATCATCTTGAAAAAGTAAACGAGGTGGATTGGTTTGAAAGTTGGTAACAATTGAAAGATGTTCCAATTGGTGTTGTAGTGCCAATATGATTTCAGGTGTTGTTGTTGAATCTTTCTTTTCTTCTCTTCCATCAAATACATAGGTCAAAGAATTGATAGAATGTCTATCTTTGTACTCTTTGAGGTATTTAGCTATTGCATCAGACAATAGTGGATGAACTGGACCAACCTCTAGATGTGTCAATTCTTTGAGGTTTAGTTTGTTGGTTGGAGAAGGTGTAAAGAGGATGACAACGTTATTGGGTAGTGTAGAAAATACACGATCAGTTCTCTCTATTTGCTCTAAATTCAATGCCAATGACTTTAGAGTTGGTCGAAAGAGTGCTTCGACGACTCTACTCTCACCCAAATCGTCAATCATTATATTGACAGTGTCAGGTGGTAGAGCAAGTCTTGTACAATACTGTAGAGGTCCATTTAGATTCAATACATGAGAGTATATAACTTGTCTTTTTGGTAAAGGTATTAAAACGCCTCTACCAGTACGAAGGGTCAAGTGCTGACGAGTAATGGTCGATATAACAGCCATAGAGTACATCCATCTCTTACAAACACCTCTCAACAACAATCTATGTTGAAGTGGTGTAATAGCATCATGTATTAAATGTGTCAATATATAATATTCTATTATATGTGGTAGATCTATATCTAGTTTACTTATAACTCTAATATTCTCCATTATAATATCTCTTTACTTTGAAAAAAAAAAAAAAAAAAAAAAAAGAGTTCATCTGCACAAGTTAAACTTTGATATAAGATTTTCCAAGTTGATCAGAGATCGTCGATCTACGGAATCATCAATGAAAATTATATTATACAATAATTATTATAAAAAGTTAATTTTTACCTTTTGTTTGAATAATATTACTTTTACTCTTTTGAGAGACCTACTCTAAAGGGTACTGTCAACTTGGTAACCCCATCTTGTTGTTGATCTATTTGTGAAGATGGCTTGTTTCAACCAATGAACACCTTCGTATTTTTAAATTTCTTTTTCAAACGTGGAACCAGGCCAATTTCGACCGAATGGGAGAGGATTTTATTCAAAAAATCTTGGTCATTAAAAATTTTATTTTTTTAACATTAAAATTATCGTTGTTCGAAACCCCGCCCAATAATCGATCACACAAAAGAGGCTTCACTACACTTTCTCTCTCTTTTTCTCTCTTTCTCCCTCTAACTTTTTCCTTTACACTTAAGAGTAACCAACAACCCAAACTTGTTAAATTATTTTAATTTTTTTTTTGGATTACACACCTTATAACTATTTCCTCACTTCACAAAAATTAAATAATACTACTACTTTTACTACCCACCACTATTACGACTATTAGATATATAAAATTAAAGAGATAGAGAGTAATAATAATAATTAAAAAATGGATAATACAATGTTACAATTCCCAAAAGGTGATCAATCCTCTTCTTTGGATCAACAATCATCATCCAACAAGGAAAAGAAATTAGAAAAGTATATTCAAAAGCCATTGTCCCAAAAGCTCATTGCTTGGTCAAACCAAAGTATTGAGTATCCAGAGGTAATCTATAAAATAGAATCAATTATATATTAATTAAATTAATCCTATTAATCATTTCCTTTCTATCCATAAACTTTTAAATACTCTTTACTCTCTCTCTCTATTTAGTTTAGAAAACAAATAATGGATATCCTACATGATAAATCAATTTATAATGTTGATTTGGATGTAACAAAGGATCAGAATAGATTAACTGTATTAAAACAATTACTTCATTTCCTTCCACTTACATTTGGTAAAGGTATTGTTAATATTTCTGATCTCAGAAATGATCCAGGAAGAGTTGTCGCACTCATTGATAGTTTATCCCAATTTGATGATTGTAGTATGTATTAAAAAGAATAAATTAATAAATAGAGAGAAAGAGAGAGAACGAGAGTATATATATTTAATCATTTTCCATCATCTTTATCTACTTTAAGGTTTAATGACCAAGATGGTTGTAAATAATTTCTTGTTTGGTGCTTCGGTATTTAATCTTGGTACTGAACGTCATCATACATTATTACCTGATATCCAATCTGGTAAATTGGTAAAGTATCAATATAATAGAATACTAAATAATTATTAATACATACTTTTAATACCTACCAATACCAATTCATATCTATTTATATTTATATATTTATTTAATATTTAATTAGCTTGGATGTTTTGCAATGACAGAGTTGGGACATGGAAGTAATGTTAGAGCATTAGAGACAACTGCTACCTATGACTCTGAAAAGAATGAATTTGTCATTAATACTCCAGTTAGAACAGCCACCAAATGGTGGATAGGTAATTCTGCTCATGCCGTCATTGCTACAGTATTTGCAAGACTTATTATCGATGGAGTAGATAATGAAGTTCATGCATTCCTTGTTCCACTCAGAAAATCAAACGGTTATGATTTATTACCAGGTGTCAAGATTGGTGACTTGGGTATGAAGTTTGGTTTGAATGGCGTCGACAATGGATGGATTCAATTTGACAATGTTAGAATTCCAGCATCAAATCTATTGGACAAGTTTGGTGGTGTAGAAAATGGAGTCTATCGTTCACCAATCTCAAGTCCAAGTAAAAGATTTGCTACCATTTTGGCTCAAATGATTACTGGAAGAATTTCTATTTGTGCTGGTACCATGTAAGTAGTTTATATTTTTTAAAAGTCTGCCTATTCAAAATTACTAATATTTTATTTTACACAAGTCGAAATTTAAAGATTGGATTGGCAATTGCTTGTAGATATGCAACCAAAAGATTACAATTTGGACCAGATTTAAAGAGTACTGAAAATGCAATCATGGATTACCCAACCCATTATCTATCTCTAATGCCAATGGTTGCCTCTGTATATGCCTATGATGCTACCAGAAGTTATTTGGCTAAAAAATTCCAAGGTAATTTAATTTATTTAATTTTAAAACTATGGATCATGAATATAAATATTAATTACCTATTTTATTTATTTTTTTTTTTTAGAACGAACTGGAGAAGATGAAATCCATGTTTTAGCATCAGGACTTAAAGCATTTTTAACTCAATATACAACAACCTCATTGTTGGAGATGAGAAGAATGTGTGGTGGTCATGGATACTGGGGTCTAAGTAGATTTGGACGGTTGATTGCCTCCAATGATATCGGTAGAACATTTGAAGGTGACAACACCCTTTTATTGCAACAAGTTGCCAAGGACTTGTTAACCCAATTCAAAAAAGAATATACCAGCAACAAATTTACTGGAACTCTCAAATATTTGAGCAAGAATACCAGTCTCTTTATGGATCGTATCAATCCAATCACCACAAGAAGAAGTGATGAAAAACATATTCTCAGTCTCAAGTTTTTACTGGATGCCATGGAATATCGTTCATCAAAATTATTGATCGATTCTGCAAATACCGTTGCCAAAAATTATAAAGAAACAAAGAAACCATTTGATTCTTGGAATGTTTCATGTAAGTTTAAAAAAAATACAAATATATTTATTTATTTATTTATTAATTTACTTTTCTTTTATAGTGGAAATATTAGTACATTTAGCCAAGGCGCATACTGAAACTATTATTGTAACCAAATTTATTGAATCAATCAAGGCAGTTCAAGATAGAGAATTGAAGGATTCTCTAAAGAAACTTTGTCAACTCTATGCTCTCTGTAAAATACGTGAAGACTTTGAATTCTTTAGAAATACCAACTACCTCAAGAATGGAAAGGCTATTGCCATTGGAAAGATCATCTCTACTCTTTGTTTTGAATTATCAAGAGAGGCAATCACCTTGGTCGAAGGTTTCGGTAATGATGAAGAGTTACTTGAATCACCATTGGGTTTGGCAGATGGCGACCTTTATGAAAATATTTGTAAAAAAGTAGGTGGTCCATTCTCTCCTGCCAATTATCTTGTAACACCATCAAAATTATAAATTCAAAATTCAAAATAATATAAAAATAAAATATTTACCTCTTATATATAATATGATATGTTTGTTTTTTTTTTTATACAAATAATTTAAATTTACTTTTATTTTTTTTGTTCTTCTTCTTCATCTGAAGAAAAGTCATCATCATCATCACTATCTTCATCTGATGATTTTTTAATACCTCTTTCTGGTTCTGGTAAAAAGGTTGCAACTTTTTCCATAACTTCTTCAATACGTTGAGAGAATGACCCTTCGTCCAAATCCTCTTCTATGTCTGGTTTTTGAGGTGAAACAATATTGCCAATTGGTTGAGGTGAGGTTCTCTTGCTGTCGGCGGCTTGTTCCATTGAGCTATCATCTTCCATTTCCACATCTTTTTCTCCGCCTCCGTCCTTTTCGTCTTCCTTTGTTTTGATGATACCACCCAAACGTACATAATTGGCCTTGGATTCATCATAGTCTTTTTTACAGTTCAAATATTTCTTGTGTAGTCTATCAAATAGTCTCTTCTTTTCAATGAGCAGATTAGAGAGTGTAGACGATTCAGAGGACGAGGTGGCAGTGGTGGTAAGTTTTTGCTCAATGTCGAGCATTTCATTACAAGCAGTTTCTGCTCGTTGCATGGCAACCATTGCACGCTTCTTGCAACGTTTGTATTCAATTTCGACCATATGTTTGTCTTCGGCAAGACCGAGAACGGTTGGACCAATGTATTCTTCCTCCTTGGGCACACCAGTATAGGTGAAATCCAATGTGGGGGCCTTGTCGTGTTGTTTGATAATGTTGAGGGCATCTGCCTTGCTACCTGGCACCAATTTACTGGCACCCTTGAGGAAAGTGACAATCCAATTTTGATTGGCATCCATGACAAACTCTGGACCAAAAGTAGTGGCAATAAACTGTGTAAACTTGCTGTGCTTACGAATGAGACGTGACACACTGATACGGTATTGATGATCGAGGGCGGCATCGATTTCATCGAGAAGATAAAAGGGAGCTGGATCGGTACGTTGGAGAGCAAAGATGAGTGCCAAGGCAACAAGTGTCTTTTGACCACCAGAGAGTTGATGCATGGTGAGTGGGGCGTGACCCTTGCCAAAAGATACACGAATGCCAACACCTTTGAATTTGAGATCCAATGGTGTGGCGATACGATTCTGCGAGTCTGCAGCCCATTGTGATGGCTTTTCATCCTCTCCTTCTCCGTCACGATGCATAATGAGTTGGGCATCACCAGGTGGGATGAGTTCTTTAAATACTTGAACAAAGTTTCTGGCCACATCAGAGTAGGTACGAGCGATTGCTTCTTCTTTTTTTTGTTCCATTGTCTTCATAAAATCGATAATAGAGTTTACAGATACCTTGAGTTCCTTGGAACGATTGTTGAGACTTTCAAAAACCTCTGATGTACTACGATATTGTTCGTCGGCACGATGGTTGAGCCCTGCCGATTTTCTCAACTGGGCGTTGATGGAACGCAATTGCTCGTTGGCATCTTCACGTGACAATAATTTGAGATGGTCAAAGTTGACAGACTGAGCAGCAACCTTGGCACGACTTTTACTTTGGTTCTTGGAATGCATTTGAAGGTTGATGGCCAATTGTTCGAGTTGAGAGGCAATCTCCATCAATTGACCTTCCTTTTCTTCTAGATTTTTCTTAATGTCATCGACACGTTTCTTGGCGTCTCTTTGTAGTTGCTCGTTACTATCAACCTCTTGTCGCAAGCTATCTAATTTTTCTTCTATTCCTTGACTTTCTTGCGTTTCTTCCTTGAGCTCTGATTCTCTTTCTTGAATGACACGTGCATTTTCAGCAAGAGTATTATCACCAACATAGAGTTCTTGCTCAATCTCTTGAAGACGACGAAGATGATTGTGTTTGAGTTGGTATTTCATTTGAGTAGATTCCAATTCCAACTTTACAATTTCTTGTGCTCGCTTGATCTTTTCCTCTTTGAGTTGTATAGTCTTTTCAGAGAGTTGCAAGAGTTCGGTACGTTCGCTTTCGGTGAGTGTTGTCACAAATGGCGAATCCTTTTGTCCAACATAATTGTCCAACTTTAATTTTAGAATTCTGGCATCGGTCTCTATCTTTTCTTGCATTTGACGTTTCTTGACAGCAATTTCTTCATAGAGCGATACGTCTGTTGAATCTTCACTACGTAACGCTTCAATCTCTGCTAGAATGGTTCTTCTACGTTTCTCTAGTGTTTCTTGTAGACGATCGGCAGTCTTTAGTTGTTCTTCTAATTTACCAATCTCTTTTTGTGTTGACTTTTCAGCGGCCTGTTGTTCGCCGACCTTTTCAGTCCACTCGCACAGTTGACGGTAAGCCAACATACGAGATTTATTGCTATTGTGGTAACCACCAACCATAGCACCCTTTCCATAGAGCATGTCACCTGCACGGGTAACACAATCGACACGATGTGCTCTACGTAGGTCCTCTGCAACAGCTGGTGTATCACACAACATTGTCTTTCCGAAAACCAATTGCATGGCCACTTCAAAACGTGGGTCATATTCGAGTTGAGAGAGTAATGAACGGTATTGAGCTGGTTGATTACGATCGGGTGGGACAACATTGAGGTTTGATGGACGAGATGAAATACGGTTCAGCGGTACAAAGGTGAGTCTAGATGTCTTGTCATTGTTGAATTTTTGCAATAGACGACTGGCAGTTTCATCGGTATCTACAACTATATGAAAGAGTGCATTACCAGCAACAATTTCGACTGCACGGTAATCATCTGGATTAACAAGATTGATAAGTGAAAAGAGTGCTCCAAATACACCAGTTTGTCCACGAATCTCTTTGATTGCTTCATAGATACCACGTGGAAGGGTAGATTGCATGTGAGACTCTGAACGTCTAAATTCTTCTTGCAAAGTCTTTCCTTTGGCCGTTTCACCTTCGATACTTTTCTTGAGATCTTTGAGTTGACGATGAAGGACATCCTTTTTCTTTCTTTGTTCATCTGCCTCTTTGGTGACTTGTTCCAATTGTTGACGACGTTGACGTTCACCTTGTTCACGATCAGCGACACCACTTGTCTTTTGGGCGACCAACTTTTCAGCACTCTCTGCTTCCTTGGTGACCAAACCAATTTGTACGGTATAGTCGTCCACAATCTTTTGCATATTTTTAATTTCAGTGTTGAGGTAACGATCACGTTCGGCACGATTGGCAAAGTGGAACATACCCTGTTTGACATAGAGTTCATTGAGACGAATATCGTTTCTGGCAACCACTTCGTCATCCTTTTTATCGATCAATTTAAGGTTTTGAAGGTTTGGTTCAATCTCCAAGATATCACTTTCAATCTTTTTTACACTGTTTTTGATACGATCCAACTCTTCATGTAGATCCTTTGCCTTTTTCTTGTAACGATTATCATTTTCTTTCAGTCTCTTTACATCAATCTCCATCTTGGCACGTTGTTTGGTGTGACCAATATATTCTTTTTCGCTAGAATCCAATTGTTTCTTGAGACTTGACAATGCAAGATTAATCTCTACCAACTTGTTTGATTCGTCACGATAACTAGTGTGTAGACTGTCCAGCTCTTGAGCACGTGTCTCTACATCTTGATTAAGTTTACGACGATGAGATTCAGTGTCACCAATGATCTTTTCCGACTCTATATTCTCCATCGATGCAATATAAGCCTCTAATGTCTTTTTTTCAGAACGCAGACGATGATAGTCTTCTAGTTGTTTGACTTCTTGTGCAAGTTGTTCCTTTCGTTCGTTGATGTATTCCAAATCTTGATCGATCTTGTCATGCTTTAATCTTGTTTCCTTCATGAGTTCAAAAGACTGAGAGTAACGATCTTCAAAGACGTGTGCACCAGCCACCTCTTTTAATAGATCCAAACGTTGTTTGTCACCCATCGATGCCAACTCTGCAATTTGACCTTGTTGAACGATATAGTATGGATTGCTACTAGATAGACCAGCACTCTCCATCAACGATTTAACATCTTGTTTTGAGTATGCTTGACCGTCGAGAGAGTATTCATCCTTATTTACAAACACTGAACGCTTCAATGTAAACTCTTTCTTTTGTATCGGGAAACGACCATCGCTATTATCAAACAATACCTCTACATAACCAGAATGTACTGCTGTTCCACCAAATGAATGAAGTAATTTAGATCTCTCTTCCTTTCCCAATGATAGATTACTCCAATCACCAAGTAAGAATCTAATCGCTGCAAATAAATTACTCTTTCCTGATCCATTTCTTCCAGCTAACCAAATAAAGATAAAGAAAGATAAATAAGTATATTTATATATATATGTTTTATAGAGACTATTATATTATATTACATACTAATAACATTAAAACCAGGACTAAAAGAAGTTGAAGACAAATCTAAATGTTTATAGGATTTAAATCCTTCTATTTTAATTAATTTAATAAATACCATGATGATGATATGATAGGTATTGTATTCTCTTTTCTCTCTAAATACTACTATACAAAAGAAAAAGAAAAGAGATATATTTAAACTATATATAAAAATACACACTAGACAGATGATTATCTGAAGAGCACTCTATGAGTTGAAAAGTGAGCGAATCTTTTTTTGTATATTTGGAAATTGGCGCCAAAACGAAGTTCAACTACAAACTCGGGGAGTATTTAAAATTACAATTAATAATTATTAATATTTAATTAATAATTACTAAGACCATTTATTAATTTATAATATTGTTATTGTTATTGATATTAATGATTAATAATTAATTATTAGTGTTGCCTCTAATTGCCTCGATATTTGCCTCTTTAATAGTTGTTTTATAGCTTGAGTTGATTTGTTGAAAATACCAACCTCTCACTATAAAATCTATTAATACGCGTCGTTAAGTTAGTTAATTATGATGTATACACATGTTTGTGGTGATTGATTGTTTGATTGATTATATATAAGATTGTTGTTATTGTTGTTGATAAATAGATAATATTTTTAAAAAAGGTTTTTTGTTTTTTTTTTTCGATTATTAATTATTAATAATAAATAAGGTGATTGTTTGTTTAGTAATCGCTATCGCTATTACTATTATCACTATCGCTGGTTGAATGATTGGTTGAATGATTGGTGGTGGTAGTAGTTGGATTAATGAGGTTGAGAATATTCAAAACTGAATTGGACGACGAAGAGGAGGAAGAGGGAGTATTGACAGGACTGGTAGAGTTGTTGGTATTGGTAGTAGAGGTAGTAGTAGTAGTAGAGGTGGTATTAACTGGACCAAAGGTTGGTGTATTACTACCACCAAAAGATGATGGAGGAGAGGAAGATACGTTGTTGTAAAAATCATCTCTTTCCTTTTTCTTGGTTTTGGCAAAGTAAAGTCCACAGGCATTGCATAGTGACTTGCATCCATCTGGTCCTCTACGCCATTCTGGTGTTTCCATTGTACCACACATACAACAAACAAGTTCATCTTCATTTACTTTGTATGCATTCTTACTCTTTCTATTTCTTCTTGGTCTAACTTGAACAAATCTATTAAAATAAAGAAAAAGAATTAGAGATGGAACTTTAAAAGTGTATATAGATAACTAAGAAACAAACATACTCTAGTGATTTTTCAGGTTTTGGTGCGTATGGTAATCTAGACTTTCTAAGCTTCTTGGCCTTTTTGGAGACATCTTCAAGTGATTTCAATAGACGATTGAGGTTGTCGGTACGGTCAGTGCTGGCACCCTTTTGAGTATCGATTTCTTGACATAGAGGTAAGATTGACTCTACCATATTATACAAACCATGTGGTAGGCTTTGTTTAAATGTTGATGTCATAAAATTGTTGTTGTTATTATTATTAGTTTGATTGATGTTGTTATTGTTATTATTATTATTATTATTGTTGAGATCCTCTGATTTAACACTTTGGATATTTTGTGAAGAAGAAGAAGAAGAAAAGGAATTGTTTGAATTGAAGCTTGAATCAATAACTGTAGAGAGTTTGATTGGTTTGGGCGAGAGAGTGATATCTAACTTTGAGTTGTAGGGTTGCGATCGAATATCGACAACAACTGAAGGAGCAGGTGACGATAAGGGTCGTACAGACGACAATTGTGGTGGTGGAGATATTGATATGGGCAATGGAGTGGATGCCAATGTAGTAGGACTGCTTCTACCCACCATTGTGACAGGGGATGTAGTTGTAGATGAGGGTAAAGATGATGAGCTACTTGTGTTGTTGTTGTTGGTGGTGGTGGTGGAGGTGCCGTTTGAAATGATGATGGGGGTACTAGTGGTAGTTGTAGGATAGGATGTCATTCCGTAGGTTGGGTTTTGGTGATGATGGTGGGATGGGTTTGAAATTGGGTTTCCAAAATTGTGGTTACTCAGCGAAAAAGGAGGCATCGGAATTTGATCACGTGGCGAATGTGGTACCATTTGGAATGGATTTAATCGATTTCCATTGTTGTAATTATTATTAATATTATTAATACTATTATTTTGATTGTTATTATTATTATTATTATTGTACATTCTTTTGTAATCTAGTGAATATGGTAGTGGTGGTGTTGGTAATCTAGATTGTGATTGTTGTTGTTGTTGATTGTTATTATTATTATTAAAATAGTTTAGGTGGTGCATATAATCTTCGATGATATCCATGATATCTTAGTACTACTTTTGAGTTGATTGATTGATTGACTTTTTTGTTTTTTTTTTTTTTTAAAAAAGTATAATTGAATTAAGTTTATCTCTTGTCTGATTATTATTATTTATCTGTTATTGATGATCAAATAAAAAAAAATAATAAACTATATGTAGTTGAAGGATAAGGGTAGATAGAATTATGTTAATATCTTTTTATGTTCAGAGTTGACGAGGAGACGACGATGATGATGATGGCGGTTGTGATTGTGTAATGACAGATCGGTCAGTCGGTCGGTTAAAGAATAAAAAGAAGCAATGGTGGTGGTGGTGGTGTGATGATATGATGATGTTGTTGATAATAGTAGTAGGAGGTAGGTTGTTGGTTGATCAGTCACACTGGGAGGAAGATAATTATTATTATTATGATTGAATTATTAATATTACCTCTTGATGATGTGGTTAGTTAACTGGGCAGTTGGTTAGTTATGTTTGTTCAAATTAATAATTAACACTCTATCTAGGAGCTTTAGTATTTATAATTAATGTCGAATTGGTTGGAGGGTCGTGGGTTGGTTGAGATTGAAACAACAAAGAGCAAGCAGCGATAGAACCTTGTTCATTATCGACCGGAAGACTATATTGATTAGAAGAAGGGGGCGTGGCCCCTATTATTAACCCCACTGCAAGCAGCATGTTAGGCTATCACAAAGAAGAACACATGACTAACTATAGCAGATTGCTAACATTATTTAGAACCTTTAAAGGAAAGTATTAGCAGATTCAAAGATTGTTTGCTTCAATATTGATTGTGTTGTTTGCTGGCGGTCGTTGGTGCTCACCGTCATAGAGAAGAAGAAGGATTGAATAATGATGGTGACGTTCTGGTACATATGTTTCCATTGAATCTTGAAAGTGTTGTTGTTGTTTAGGTGTGTTGTCTTTGATCTCTGAAACGTTATTTCTTGATCGACATCTGCTTGTGCACACTCGAGAACGGTTAGATTTTTTGGTTTTTGGGGGTATCAGTTTTTTCAAACTTTCAAACATGTTCATTTTTAACCCCCCAAACTTCGTTCTTTGAGGGTACCCTAGCACCATCAAGATTCAATACGAACCATATTCTTGAAAAGTATTCATAGAGTGGTGGGGCTCTTCCTCTTTTTAATTAATTAATGACGATCAGATCAATCTATGATGATCTATTCTTGGGAGAACTTCGTTCTTTTTTTTTTTGAAAGATCATCGTAGTATTTGCACCCTCGCTCTTAAAATAACATAGTAAGTTCTATGATCGATCAATCTTATCTTGCTCTTCTTCTTCTTCACTGATTTCAAAATCCCAGGGTAATTAGTATTGTCTTGTAATAAAGGTTTCCTCATCGTTTGTGAACTGTGTATAAACAAAACAAACAAACACCTAAAAAGGAAACAAATAGGTTACACATCCAAAAGAGGAAATACTATTGATAAGACTTTTAGAGATTATGATATCAATTGTTTTAATCGAAAAAGAAAGAGGCATCACTGAGCTCAGCCTTCCATCCATATGGCGGCTCAGAAATGACCATAAAAGGTTAAGGTACTTTTAAAGTAATATATACTCTTAGAAGATTGAATGGGGATGTCTTACACACAACCCAAACCCCAATACTTGAACCATACACAATTCATTCTCTCAATATGGATCATCATAAATAGGTACAACAACCATTTAGATTGAAAGAACGATAAAAGATAGTATTCTAATCATAATGTTGATGATGAGGTTGAATTTAGTCGGGTTGATGAAGAAGTAGTACTCGCGATTAGATTTAGATCACAGCACAATCAAAATACTATGAATGATGCCTCCAAACCACAAACACCCAACAACCAAAAAGGTGATAACCATTTAAGGAAAAAAGTGAAAAATTGCCTCATTTGGTTTTGGTCAAGGCATCACCATCGATGATGAAGAACTATGAATCTATCTGCTTTTCCGCTTCTCGTTGTGCACAGAAAAATCTTTCGTCCAAACTCAAACCAACCCATCATCATCAACACACAGTTGTCCAGCATTGACCAAAATATTATTATTTTTTTTTTGTGTCACAAACCATTCATACAATGAAAATAGATAATGAGTTCAGGACAGTCAGCAGTTGGTTCTATATATTACTTTGAAACAGAGGTTAGGTTATTTCAGTTGTTGGTTGTAGTTTAGGTTGGTTGGTTGGTTGGCACAAACAGTTTGGCCTTTTCATAAATGATGGTTGAACTTTCAAACGTAAAGTTTGGATAATCTTTATTATTACTTTGACATTTACTCTATTCTATTCAAGTAGACTTTGATCCATCTTAGGATAAAGGTGTTTGGCTTCCCTTCTATGTTTTCTCGACAACTAGTATTACTATTACCTTTTTATGTTGTAATTTTTAAAAATTGAAGTGGTCATTGTTTTGTTGTTCATTCATTAATTATGATTGTTGTTATTGCTGCTGGTTGATGAAAAGATATAAACATAATTTAGATAGTTATTGTCACAAGACTAACAATAATAATAATAGTAATAATAATAATAATAACAATGCATATAGTGGTAATAACAACAGTACCATAAATAATAGTAATAACAACAATATAATATATAGACCTTTCAAGAGAACTGATTTGCCAAGTTTAAGAACTTTACAAGTAATTACTTTATCAATATAGATGATGAATTGAAAATGAGATGCTAACATATGTATATCATCATGTAGCTTCAATTATTTCCTGTTAAATATAGATCATCATTTTATCAAAAGCTTATACGAAATGACTTTATTTGTATATTGGCATTTAGATGTACTAGTAGTAGTAGTAGTTTAAATAACCAAAGTGATATCAATAAGATTGATAATGATGATGGTATTGATAATAGCAGTTGTAGTAGTGGAAGTGATCAAGATGATAACGACAACAACGACAACAACAACAACAACAACAACAATAATATAGATGTACAAACTTATGCAACACCTCCTTCATCACCAACTACTACTACTACTACCACGACCACCAACAATCAAGAAGAAGAAGAGGAGGAAGAAGAGGAAAGAGACAAAGAAAGTACAATAACGATCAAAGAAGAATTAATTGGAGTTGTTTGTTCAAAGATATCTTCAAATGAAGGTATTTGTTCATTGTTTATGAGTCATTACACTGGTTATATTCTTACGCTTGGTGTAAAAGAAGAGTATCGAAAATTGGGAATTGGAAGTGTTTTATTAAATGTATGTAATCAAGACATGATTCATTGATGCGATATTTATTAATTCAAATCCAATTCTACAGACAATGTGCGAATATTTGTATGATAGACAATGTGAAATAGTATCATTACATGTAAAGTTTGGTAATGTGGCTGCATTTCAATTCTATCAAAGAAATGGATTTTCAATCGAGGAAGAGATTGTAGATTATTATCTTATAGATAGTGTCAAACATAATGCTTTGAAAATGACAAAAGAGGTTGTTAAACCAAAATCAAAACTTTCTTGGTTAAATTGGTTTAATCAACTTTCTCTAGCTGATAATAATAATAATAATAATAATACAAATAATAATAATGATAATACAAATATTAATGAAACCAATAATAATAATAATAATGAAAGTAGGCGTGATTTTGAACCATAAATATATGTACAAAAAAAAAAAAAGACTAAAGACGTTTATCTATTACTCTAGTTGTTGGTCGACCAACACAACAACAACAACAACAACCAACAACAAACATTTTTTTTTATCAATAGTACAGATAAAAATGAATAGTATTAATAATAATAATAATAATAATAATATTGTTGAAGGATGGTTAAACAAACAAGGAGGAAGATTTTCAAATAGTTGGAAAATTAGATATTTTAGATTGGTTCAAGGGTGTCTATGTTATTATCTAGATTTCCATGATATCCTTCCAATTGGTATAGTCTATCTTTCGCAAACCAGCATTGATGTAGACACTGAACAACTTATGCTCATACTGACAGCAATATCAACTAAAAGACTCTATGCATTCAAGGTCAACAGTGTCGAGAGCCGCTTCGAAAATACAAATCATCATAGCTTTAAAATTGTCTGTGATACCAAACAAGATCTTGAAAAATGGGTATCAGCTATTAGTCAATCAGTCAAATCTAACGATATTTCAAAACTATAGAGTTTTTTTTTTTATTCCCCTCTCAATAATAAAAAAAAAGTTTACTTTTTAAAAATATTATATAATATTATAAATATATATATAATATATTAGAAAAAGTAAAACACCAATACATTAATTGATATTCAATCACCAATTGTTACTTATCTTTAAATTTAATCAACCACGGAAACAGCAATTGGTCACTTGTTTTTGTTTCGTTGGCACTTATTTATTTATTTTTGGGTTGTTCATGGAATCACCGAATCGATTGATTCCCTTTATACCCAACAAATTTATTCATTTATCCGTCTATTCATCAAACCTACTTGTTCATTTTTAAATCGATCAAAAATTATTTATTTATTATTATTATAATTATTTATTATTTAAACAAATTATTACAACAAAATATGGAAACAAATAAAAAGGCTCCAGTTAGATCAATTACATTTGGAGACATTCAAATTATTGAATCTTTAGATAAATCAGCTAGTGGAGAGGTAGTTAGTAGTGATAGTAGCATGGAGAATTCATACCCTGCATCATTATCCTCATCGTCAGAGTCTACTACAACATCTTCATGTTCTTCTGCTACTGACGAGACCATTGATGAGGCTGCAACACTTGCAACCAAACTCACCTCTATCATGGCTGACGACAAGGAGGAGGAAGAGGACCAATCACCACCAACACCACCACCAGCAGATGTTGAAAAGAAAAGGGAATCACAAGAAACGGTTAAAGAGCCAGTGACATTGGTTTCAACGACAACAACATTTGTATCGCATCCTGTTCATTCATCGATTAACCTTGCCAGTTGTCATCCTCATCCTCTATCAGAAGGAGTAAGTGGTTCTACATTTTCATTGAGCCACATTGTCACATTGCCACCAGCACCACCATCGCCATTGACAGTTGGTCAATCTGCACCATTATCTCAATCATTGACTCCTAGTCCAAGAGATTCGTTTCCTCCTACCATTACTACTACCACCGCCGCTGCCGCTGCCACTACCACCATTACTACCACTACCACCGCTACCACTACTACTACTACAACCAACACATCAAACCAAGATAACGAAACCAAGATGAGTGGTATGCTAAAAAAGGAAGGAGGACGTATTAAAAGTTGGAAATCTAGATTTTGTGTACTTCAAAGTATTTCAAAGGTACTTTTATATTACAAGTCACAATCAGCCGTAGACTTAAAGAGACCACTTGGCGTAATCCCTCTTGTTGATGTCATTGTCGAACCAGTTAGCAGTGGTGGTGGTGTTGTTGGAGGTAGTGCCAACAAAAAGTGTAGATTCATAATTAGACCATTCAAAGCATCAGGTACCATCAAAGCAATGAAATACCAAGAAGATCTAACTCTAGTACCATCAAATCATCGTCATTTCGTTTTTGAAGCAGATAGTACAGCCAATCAAATGACTTGGGTTGAAGCTATAATTAAGTGTATTCATACTTCAAAAGAACAATAATGAATAACGAACCATAACTTTTGAAAATATTAAAAAACAAATAAAAATTATAAATTATCTCTTCTCTCTCTCTCTCTCTCCATCTATATCTGTATGTGTATCTAAAACTTGAACCCTTCAATGAAACTGCTAAAGCCATTTCGCACACCTGATTGTTTTTTTTTCGCTTTATTTTTTTACCTTACCCACCACATACTGTAGTCTGATATTTAGTTTTAGTTAATTCATAACTTTACTTTAGATCACAAACACCTTTTTTATTTCTGTCTCTCTCTCCTCTTTTTCAAAGGCATTTCTATTTTTGTATTATTATTATTTATATATTGTACTTTTACAACAACAACAACAAACTTTTTAAACAAAAAAGATAGATACTATGGCATTTAAATTAAATGTATCAAAATATAGACATACCAACGGTAAAGTTGATAAGAAGGAATTATGGTATCCAGATATCAATACATCAGGTAGTAGTGCTGCATCTACATTTATCAAAGCAAACACTAAATATATAGCTGCAAATTGGCAAGCAGGTACTGGTACTGTCGGTATCATCCCATTGAAGCAGTTTGGCAAGAGAAAGGGTGAAGTTTACACTATTCACGCACATTCAAATCAGTTGACCGACTTTGAATTCTCACCATTTGACCAACAATTGTTGGCCACTGCCTCTGAAGATGCAACTGTCAAGCTTTGGTCTCTGCCATCTGGTTTGACAGAGCCTGCAACCACTAGAGTAACTCTATCTGGTCACACTAAAGCTATCGACTCTGTTGTCTTTAATCCTGTCGCTGCCAACGTATTGGCATCGGGCAGTTTGGACAAGACTGTCAAGATTTGGGATTTGGAGAGTGGACAAGAACGTATCACTTTGGATTGTTTTGACAATGCTCTTACTGGTATTGCATGGAACTATGACGGTACATTGTTGGCAACTGTCTCCAAGGATCTAAAGAATCGTGTCATTGACGTTCGTTCAAAGACCGTTGTTCAACAGGGTGATGGTCATCAAGGTGTTAAACCTGCTCGTGTCGTTTGGTTGGGCAACAGCAAGTATTTCTTGACTGTTGGTTTCTCCAAGATGCGTGAACGTCAATTGATGGTCTGGGACAGCAGAGATGTAAGCAAGTCTGTCAAATCTGTCACTTTGGACAGTTCCACTGGTATCATCAACCCAGTCTATGACCAAGATGCCAGTCTTCTTTTCATTGCCGGCACTGGAGACAGCACCATTCGTACCTTTGACATGAACACTCAATTCACAGAAGAACCAGCCCTACAAGAGTTGTCACCAGTCCCAACCGACTCTCCAGCCAAGGGTATTTGTGCCATCCCCAAGTTGGCACTCGATGTGATGGAAGTTGAAATTGATCGTATCCTCAAGATCACTGCCAACTCTATCCAACCAATCACCTATTCCATGTCAAGAAAGTCAAAGACCTCTTTTGCCGAAGAGCTCTTCCCCAACACCTCTTCTCAAGAACCAGCTCTCCAAGCTCAAGAATGGTTTGATGGTGAAACTCGTGTTCCAAACCTTGTCTCTCTTGACCCAGCTAATCGTCCACAAGTCCAAGAAGACAATTACAACCAATCAACAAGCAATAATAGTCCATATGCTTCTGCCACCTCACCAACCACACTCTCTTCTCAATTTGATAGCAAACTTGTCTTTGCCGATGAAGCACCCATTCTCGATAGCAACTATGTTGCTCCAGACCTCAGCAACCAAGAACCAGAACCAGAAGTCGTTAGCAAGAGACCAGAAGACAATGTAGCTCGTACTGGTATCGTCCCAAAGGTTGTCCGTACCTCCAAGTATCGTCACATTGCAGGTACCGCATTCCCACGTTCCCAACAATACACCAATCTCAAGGTCAGCGGTAACACCTCCAACACTTGTATTGCCTCTAATTCTCTCTACTTTGCCGTACCATTTGTTGGTACTGGTGGTCCACTTGCTGTCATTCCAATTAGCCAAGTCGGACGTCAAATCAACAACCCATGCATCGAACTCGGAGCTCAATTGTTGGACTTTGATCTTTCACAATTCAACCCAGATTTGGTTGTAACCGGTGGTGAAGATCTTCACATCAAGGTGTGGCGTGTACCAGAGGGTGGTCTCCCAAAGACTGGTAAACACTATACCAACTTTGAAATTGATCTCACTGGTCATTTCCGTCGTCTTACAAGCGTCAATTTCCATCCTACCGTCGCCAACGCTCTCATCTCTACCGGTGGTGACTTTATGGTCAAGCTTTGGGATATCGAACAACAAAAGGAAGCATTCTCTTTTAACGATCATCACACTGATATGATTACCTCTATCGATGTTTCAAGACAAGGTGATCTTTTCCTTTCATCTTCAAAGGATAAAATGATGAGAGTATTTGATCCAAGATCAAATCAATTAATCTCTGTAAGTCGTGGTGGTAAAAAAAACAAAATATTTAATAGTAATAGTTTTATATTATTAGTACTAATCTTTTCTCAATTATTTTCCTTAGGAAACATTAACACATACAGGATCAAAGGGAGGAAAATCATTATGGTTAGGAACAACTGGAAATATGTTTAGTGTTGGATTTAACAAATCATCAGAGAGAGAATATCAATTATGGGATTCACGTAATCTCGGACAACCAATCAGTTCTGGTGTATTTGATCACTTGGCTGGTGTCATCACCCCATACTATGATGAAGATACAGGTGTTGTTTATTTGGCAGGAAAGGGTGATGGTTCCATTCGTATGATGGAAGTCAATGACATTGAGCCATATGCTCACTTCCTCACCGAATACAGCAGTGGTTCACCACAAATGGGTGTCTCTCGTGTCTCCAAGAACGAATGCAATGTTCGCAAGTGCGAAATTTCAAGATTCTTCAAGGTATCAGACTCTACCGTCGAACAAATCTCTATCAATGTCCCACGTAATCGTATGGAATTCTTCCAAGACGATATCTACCCAGAAACTCGTTCCAAGGCACCAGCAATGACCGCCCAAGAATATTTCAGTGGTGGTTTGGCAAGAGAACCAACCATGGTCAGTCTCTGCCCTTCCGATATGACTCCACTCTCTCAAGCTCCTGCCATCGTCAAAAAGGAACGTGAAATTATCAAAGAGGAAGTCGTCGATGACTCTCCATCACGTGACCAAGTGATCCATGGATTTTTGGATCGTGTTCAAGCTCAAAACCGTGGTGGTATTGTAAAGAAGGCAAAGAGTGAAGCTGTTCCTTTATTTGTTGAAGACGAGCCTGCCGTGGCAGACGATGAGTGGTAAATCATCACTCTTAATTTGTAGTTATATAACTATAATAAATAAATAAAAATCTAATATTTAAATAACTTTGAAATGAGTTCGGAATGGGACTAAATCACTATTCTTTTGTCAATATCCAAGGGTTCAATAATTGTTAGATGATAATGATTTTATTTTTTAATTGAAGAGAAAAAAGAATAAAAGTGGGTTGAGAGAGAATTATAATTATTATATTATTAATAATATATATTTGTTTATTGAATATTATTTAATACATTATTTAATTTTTATTTATTCACAGTGGCTTTGACGATCCAGAAGACGTTCTTGCCCGTTGGGGAGCTGTTTTAAGTTCTACAAACAAAAAATTGTTGGAAATTGCTAGATCAATTTCTTCTGAAGAATTTGAAACCCACCAATCAATATTGAATTTTATCAAATAAACAAGTGGTTTATAAAAATGATTATTAAACAATTACCTTTGTTTATTGCAAGTTATCTAAATTTTTGAAACAGATGTTAGTCACAAGTTTGAATAAATTATTTTAAAAGATTTTATTTATGTTTTTTTCTACTACGACAGGGAGAGAATGTGTGTGTTACAAAAAAAAAAATAATGAGCAGTCCCCATTTGATTACTTGTTGGGGGGTTTAGTTGTTTAGTTTAACTTCATACGACGTTGTGGAACCTTTGAAGCCTTGTGGATGATTTGGGCATCAGAGGAACAAAAGTGGAGGTCAGTGCAAGTGGTCTCTGGGTTTGGATTGGAGATGATGTACTTGATGACAGTTTCACCTTCGTTGGTGACAAAGGTTTGGCATTCTTGAACGAATTGTTGGTTTCTAAAGAAGGTACAATCGTTTTCAATAAAAGCAAGGACTTCTTGGTCGGTGGCGTTGTTACCGAGGTAACGGACGGCTTGTTGGACGACAATCTCACAGGCACTGCAGAAAGTGGCATCGACGGCCTTCTTGGTGATGGTGGCCTTCTTGATGGCATGGTGTCTCATCTTGTTTTCCTTGACGTACTTGAATTCGGTGGCCTTGGCACTTGGGGCAGTGCAAAACTTGATTTCTTGGCAAACTTGGGCTGGAGTTTGTCCGTTTTCAAGGTATTGGATGATTTCTGGGAGGTAGTTGCTGATGGCAGCGTTACAGGTAGAAGCATACTTTGGAAGGAACTTGTCGCATTCAGCTTCCAAAAAGGTTTCAATTGGACCCAAGGTCTTGTTGTCGGCGAGGAGTTGTTCGGCATAAGAGACGACAAAGGTGCAGACGGCACATTCTTCATTTCCAAGGGCCTTTTGCTTCTTTTCAGCACATGGCTTGCCAGACTTGTTACCGTTGGTTGGGCAAAGCTTGATTTGGCTGCAAACGGTGGCGGCTGGTTCCTTGTTTTCAAGGTATTGGATGATCAATGGAGCATAGTCGTTAACCAATGTTTGACATTCAGATACCCATTCACTGTTACGAAGGATGTTGCAATCTAATTAAATAAATAAATAAAATTAATAATTGATTTATATTATGTTTTTTTTAATTATTTAATTTACCCTTGTCGAGGAATTGGAGAATTTGAGATTCAGTGGCATTGTTGGCAACGTAGGTTTCAACATAGTTGACAATGTAACCACACAAGTCACATTCGAGACCACTGGCAGCAACCTTGGCTTCAGCGACCTTGTTTTGTCTGACGAGCTTGTAAAAGTGCTTGGCTTCAGCTTCAACGACGGAAGAAGTGTTGCAGAGCTTGACTTGACCGCAAATAGTTTGTGGGTTTTCCTTGTTGATCAACATCTTGACCATCAATGGTGCATAAGAGTCAACAATAACATCACACTATAAATTTAAAAAAGAGGAATGTGTTAAAAAAATGTTACACGTGCACAAAAAGTATACTACTATAGCTAGATATACAGTGTAGTTTATGAAAATTAAAAAAATTAAGTTAATTTGTGTACATACGTCATCCTTCCATGTCTTTGGTAAGACGGCACAGGCAATATCGAGACCAGTTTCGATTTCAGCAAGAGTCTTGTTTTGTTGAACGAAATCCTCAACGTATGAAAGAACGTAGGTGCAGACGCTGCACTCTAAAGCATCAGCAGATGTGGTTTGGATGGAGAAGATTGCTAAAAAAGCAACCAATAATGCAATGGTTGTAAATAATTTCATGATTGATTTAATCTCTTAATGAAAATAAAAGATAAGATGTGATGATGAATGAATGAATGATTAATAAAAAGAAAACACTCTGTTTTGTAGGGAACTGTGAAGAGGTGGGAAAAAAAAATAAAAAAAATAAAAAAAACAATTTCGGATCGAAGATTTTTTGATGTGTAGGAGTAGATAGAAAAGTCATGTGTTGCTTTTTCCTTCATAGTATTAACTTACCTTTACCTCTTTGTTTTCAGGATAAATAAATATCTAAAGAAAAAGATCGATTCAATTCAATTTTTCGGGTTTGAATTGTTGAAGCAATTTAATTTATCAATGTACCCCCGATAATTGTCGGAATTCAACATTAAAGTAGAAGGAGAATGTTCATGATACCAAAAAAGATTATCGATTTTTCCATAAAGATATTTATTTAATTTATTAATGTTGAACAATCGATATGATTGAACTATATAAAAATGATTGGTTGGAGGGATATATATATATATATTTAATTGTTGTTGTTTGTCTATTCATCGGAATGACCATCTTCATTTTGAATTTTCAAAAAGGCTTCTTCAAGAGTAGCATTTGAAACACCAATTCTTTCTACTCCCAATTTATGTTGAATGCTTTCAAACTCTTCGAAAAAGTTGGTTAAATCCTCTGACTTTTGATGGCTTAGTGAATAGGTTAATTCAATACTCGATGATTCATTGGACTTTTGAATATTATTTTGATTTTCTACTCCATGTTTTGAATCTAAGAAAAAAATAAAAGAATTAATAAATAAATAAATATGATATTGGTCTTCTAAATATTTATATATCTATAGATATTCATACTTTTGAAATGTTGTGAAAAGAATTTTTCAAAAGGTTCGTGACTGTGGACACCATTGGTATTTTTGATTGTTACTGTAAATTTGTATCCCAACTCGAATAATGTTTTTAGTTCCATTGCAGTTCCCTTGCATCTTAGCTTGCCATGAGACATGATACCAATACAATCACCAAGTAATTCTGCTTCTTCCATAAAGTGTGTTGTCAATACAATAGTCTTGCCAGGTTTCTTTAGTTGTAGAAGATTCCAAATTTGATGTCTCGCAAATACATCAAGCCCGGTTGTACATTCATCCAAAAATACAATTGAAGGATTACCAATAAATGCCATTGCAATACTAAGACGTCTTTTCATTCCACCACTAAGAGATGATGACATCTAATTAATTAAAAGAGAAAGAATAATTAAATAAATGATTAAAAATTATTATTTGGTTTTTTTTTTTTCATACACTATCTTTTTTATCCAATAATTGAACTTCTTCAAGTGATTGAATGATTGTTTGTTCCAATTGATTTTGTTCAACACCTTTAATTTTTCCAAATAGTCTAAGGTGTTCAGCACATGTCAGTTGATTGTAAAGCATATTAGTTTGAGGACAGAAACCAATATGTCTACGAATATGATCCATTTGAGTAGATACATCGAGACCATTGATAAAGACTGATCCAGATGTGATTGGAATCATACCAGTCAATATTCCCATCGTAGTCGACTTGCCAGCTCCATTGTGACCCTTGGGTTTGTTTAAAATAATTAATTAATAAATAATAGATAAATGTTATGTATTTAGATGTTATACATACTAATAATGAGAATACACTGTCTGCTTGAATCGAGTAGGTAACTCCATCCACTGCTCTAACCTTTTTACCCTTTTCAGTTTTGTGATTGTACTCTTTGATGAGGTTAAATATTTCAATACCAGAACCAGATGGGTGAGATTGAGGATCAAGTAGACGATCTCTATCTGTACCATTTAAAGAGGTGTGTCTTTGTGTTCTTGCTACATTTGATTGTGACCAATAATGTCTATCCAAAAAGAAGAACCAACTTCGCCCGGCTCCATACTCACCAGGGAATACTTGAAATAAATAAAATATTAATATGATGATGAAAATAACAAAATTATAAATGTTTTAAAACATACCTTCGATTGCATACCAAGCCATAAGTGAATAGATAATAAAATCTAAAATCATAAAACCAAATGTTACAGTTACATGTTCAGAGTTCCATGAAATTGCTTTTTTGGGAAGAAAAAGGTATTTGTTGTTAATAAAAAGAATTGCTGGATTACTTTTGTAACAAATAAATTTGTTTTTACTTACAAGTTTTTTCTGATTCCAAAAACGATACATTGGTCAAGAAATCACCAAAAGCACATGGAGAGAATAAGAATAGGAGATACTTGATACTTGGTACATGATTCTTTAGATAGAATTGGTAGAAAGCAGATAAACCAATACCAACAAGTACAATAAGTGATGCAATCGTACTAGCAACCTTTGGTGCATTGATAAATGCAGAAACAAAAAATGCAATACCAATCACAGTCAATGAATATAAAAAGAATTGTAAAAATATTAATATTGGTGATCTAAAAAAAAATATATAAAAATAAATAATGGTTAGAATAAGAATTGGATAGATTATAAATATAATGAATATAAGACACATACGTATAATGGAATAAAGAAGTTACAAAACATAATATAAGAGCCAAAACAATTAAAGTAGTATTCATAACCAATTGAATAGAAATGTAAGATAACCAATAGGCACTTTCTTTCATACCCATTACTTTGAGACCTTCCTTGATTCCATCTTTCTTTTCAGTTACCAATAATACAATAAGTTGTTGTAAAGAGTACATAAAGAACAATGGGAAATAGATTGGAAGGATATAGGTAATGGTTGATGTTATTGCCCTTGGAAGACTAGGATATTCTTGTGTTTGAGTAAATATTTCCAATGATTCTAATCCACTTCCCAATTGAACTAAATATTAATAATAATAATAATAATAATAATAATAATAAAATACAAGAAGAGTTAGTTAACAAAGAGGAAATAAATAAATCAACAAATTTTATATGTAATAATAATAATAATAAATATTTACCATAAGCAGACAAGACGATACTTTGAATTGAAACATAAGGAGATATTTGATAATTATCAGTATAAGAGGTATTTAAGCGAATGCTATAGTCTAGAGTGTCGGTAGCCAAATCTATTTGATTGAATACTACACCACCCCAGTAATGTTGAGGATTATCAAAGTAGGTATTGACCATTGAAGTTTCACTTTCAAAAGCCATTAGATTGATACCGCTGATTGGTTCAAGATATTGTTTCAACATGTTGGTTGCAATACCAGTAGAGTCGGGTACATAGGCAAATGGAAGTGATGATGCACTAGAGTTGATTGGATACATCATAGGCAATGATGAGTATTCAGTCGGTTCATAGCTTGGCACAGGTATAGACATCTTGATAATGATCAATACAGCTACATAGTAGATACCAATGAGTATTTCACCTATAGTTTCTGTTCTATTTCTCTTTTTAATTAGAATATTCTTTCCGAGTAGTGCAATTAATTGTTCTTTAAATGTACTATCTCTATGCAATGTTGTTGGTGATGTTGATGATGAAGGTGTTTGATTACCACCATCATTCCTATTATTATTCATGATGATTGATAATTAGATATATATATATATAGATATAAATATATACAATCGTGTTTATTTGTGTAAAGATGATAATGATTTGTTAAAAAAAAGACAGCTGACATCAGCTATTTAAATAAAATAGATATTTTTTAAATTAGTTTTTACCAGGCCACACTTTTAATCGTCGGATGTGATGCCCAGTGCACATCTCTTTGAAATATGGGACGGACAGAAGCGCAACGAACCGATGATCCGCGGATGCTGTACATAGAATAACCACCCAGTGTTATGTTATTTGTTTCTTTTGCAAAGATTAAAGATATTATAGTTATTATCTTTCTTTGGGTCAGTGGGTGTCCCCTTTTAGAGGTCAAGTCTGCAGCTGCTCTACTACTCTGGTAGGAAGTATTCCATTTAATGCAACTAATTACAAAGATCTTTTCAATCGATTAAATGCATGATACTTATGTCTTCAATTTTGTTTCAAGTAGTTCATCTTTTTATAAAAGGGGATAATAAATAGAGTAATAGTCCATCCAGCGTTTCAATTTAAATTGCGTGTCATCTGCCATCAGAATTCTGCTTGAGCCAAAAATCTTGATGCTCTTGCTCTCGCCACCTTTGAGGAATTTCAAGTAAAAAAATAAATTAAATTAGTAGGTGGTGTAGCCAACCAACTATGACAATTGTTTGTGGTTGTTTGATTAAAAACGACAAAACAAGAGAGAGATAAAAACAACAAATAAGTAACAATAATAATAATAATAGTTTGGAATGACAATAGATACATTTAAAGATAATTTCTGGGGACCACAAGGTTTTGATATACTAGAGAAACGTATCAATCAAGGTAGAGACTCTAATAATTTGTTTGTCTATTTCTTAAAGGAACGTGCTGCAATAGAAGAATCTTATGCAAAGAGTCTTTCAAAGCTATTAAAACATACTTCTTCTGTCGTTGAATTTGGGTATGTAGAGTCGGTCAAGTAGAGAGATAGATAGATAGATGCTTATTATTAATTTCTTTTATTTCTTTATTCTTTATTATTAGTACACTCAGAGAAACATGGTTGGCAATGAGAGGAGAGATTGAAAATTTGGTTAGAGTACACCAAGAACTAAGCGATAAGATTGAAAAAGATATTTATATTCCATTCAGAAAATTCAAGTCTGAAACAAAGAAAATTAGAAGAGATGTAAGCTAATATACACATATATAACAACTACTATTACTATTACTATTACTCTACTACTACTACAACAAAGTGAAACCTAATAACATTCATTCTATTGCAGATGTGTCATGAAGCCTATAAAATCAATAGAGAAAGAAGAGATTTGGATAAAACCATCAGCAATTCAAGATCAAAGTATGAAGATTACACAAAACAAGCTGAAAAACATCAATCAGAGTTAAATTCTGGTTCTAAATCTGCAAATGAACAATCAAGAGTAATTTATCTTTTAGAAAAGAAAAAAAGAAAGAATTAATTGAAGAATTTTGAATTAACAAAGTACATCTCTGATATCTATAGTTACAATCAAGATGTAATAAATACACAAAAGAAGCTGCATCACAAGAGGCTGAATACAAGGATTGTGTAAACAAATGGTCAACATATCAACATTCATGGGAAGAGAAAACGCAATCAGTTTATAACCAACTGCAGGCAACAGAAGAGGAAAGAGTTGACACTATCAAAGTGCATATGGACAGATATGTACAGGCATTGTCAACTAGTGTCATTGACTCTAGTACCGCCAACAAGAATCTTGCCAATCTAGTTGATAAAATCGATAAATACGAAGATATTAATATGTTTATTGCTGAATGTAAAACTGGTACTGAACCACCAAGAGCGCCATCATTTGTACCTGCTGGTACACCAGGTTACAAGGTATGTAAAAAAAAAACAAAAGGGAAAACAACTAGTAGTCAATTATCTAAACCTACCTCTATTATTATATTATTAGTCTGAATATACTTCAAGCGTTAGTACCTCGAATATGAATTCTTTTTCAGATACTAGTAGTAATTTCAGTGACGATAACAACAATAGTAATTACAATAATAATTACTCAAATTCTGGAGCAAGTAGTGGAGTTTCATTATCAAAATCTACTCAATCAACCAACAAACCTTCTTACAATCCACCAAAATCACTCACTGCGTCCAACTCGTCTACATCATTGAAAACTACTTCTAGTCCAGTCAAACCAACTCCACCAGCAGTTGCCAAGAGAACATTTTTGAAAAAGAAAAAGATGAGAGCTTTATATGAATATGTTGGTTCTGATGCTACAGAGGTATTTAAAACAAACAACAACAAAACTCAAATCGATCATTATTATTATTATTATTTATATTAACCAATTTATTTATCTTTTTATTTTATAGCTCGATTTCTATACTGGTGATGTCATCACTGTCTTGGGTGAAGATGAAAGTGGATGGTGGAAAGGAGAGATTGAAGGCAGGACAGGATTATTCCCAAGTAATTACACGGAGGTGTATGATTATTAAATCGATCACATGGTTAATATTTCCCTTTTTTTTGTATTTTATATCGAACCTGGCCACAACCATTTTATTTATTTTCCCCAACCATTTGTAACTTTTGAAAAAGAATTGTAATAATAATAAAACGACTCATACACAAAAAAAAAAAGTTGTGCCTTTAAACTAATAATAATAAATTCTTTCTTTAAATAATTATTTATTCGAATAATAATGAAGGACCTCCTCATTGATCCATACCATTGGCCACAGCTGGACAGGCCTCATCCCATGGTCCGTGCATCGAGCTTTAAAGAAGAAAAAAGAAATTAGTATTATTACGATTAGAAATAATGTTTTGTTTGTTTGTGTACATACTTTTTATATTTTTGAATAAAGATTAACCAAAGTGGACAAATAAAAGTAATGGTAATGATAATGGCAACGTATATTAAAGCCAACAGGGTACTCATACCCAATAGTAATAGACTACATGTAGCACAAAGGATGACTGTCAAACCTGCGTGCAACTCTATCGAGTGTTTTTTAAGATGATGTCTGACAATTGGAAATAATGCAAACATTTCAATGGCAAAGGAAATGAGTACAAAAACGTGTATGATTGATGGAAGTCTCGATCCCAATAGAACCGATGCAAAGATGGCAGCATTGAGTGAGATTGGAGCTTGAAACCTTTCGCTCTCTCCGTTTGTGTAACCATAGTCATGGAAAAAAAGATGCGCCAGCAATAATATAAACGTCAGCGCCCATATAGTATCATCGCTGAATGAATTGGTAAGGGTTCTTAATACTGGTGATAATGCGTAAACTGTTCCAAAAAGTAATATAATATATAATATACTATCCTTGATTGATTCGACTATAAGAGAGAGAGAGACAGAGTAAATAGATTTGTAATTATCATCTACACCAACACCATATCTATCTATCATTTTCCAAACTTACAATCAGATGTTGGATCAATCATAATGATTGAAATATAACCAATGACTAGTATTCCCATAGCCATTCCAAGTAAAAAAGGTAAAGAAAGAGTGTGTTTGAGTGAATGTATAAATACATTTGCAAATATGATTACGATTGTTATTTGTTGCGTTACTGTAAAAGAATCAAATACAACCTTCCAAAAATCATATTTTATAAAGTTTGCTAAACATCAACAGAATAGAGTAATTAATTAGTAATGACTCTTTTGCAAGTAAATGATCATGATCATTTTCATACCATTTTGAACCAAACCAATCAAGAAAGTTTCATCTGTAAAGTTGTCTGGATAATTCTGTTTCTCATACAATATCTTTCTCCATTTAATTGTATTTGATTCTATATTGATATTATTATTATTATTATTATTAGTATTGTTATTATTATTTGATGATGATAATGATGATGACGATGATGATGTAGGTGCTAAAGTAGTAGGTGGTGTATTTGATAAAGATGATGATGAAGTAGTTGCTATTTTTGAATGATGGTGATGATGATGATGTTTATTCTATAATAGTCATATGTAAATAGATTTAGGTTTAATCGATTAATATAAAGATCTTTATATGTTTCGTTTTTATCACTCTATTACATACAATTGTTGAGGACAATAAAGGTGAAGAGGTAGCAGATGTCGAAGGATGTAAATCACATCCACATGTTTGACATCTACTGCTACTACTCATACTTGTGTCAACTGCTGATACCTTGAAAACAAAAAAAAAAGACTGATTACTCTAATCTCCCTATCACATCCAAACTCTCAAAAGTTTTTATTATTATTAATATTTTAATTAATTTATTTTTGATTTATTATTATTATGATTACAAAGATAATACTTTGTTTATGAATAGTAATCTATCAATTATATTCTTACAATCTTGATCGGGAGGAATACCCTGTGATGTTTGAGTGTTTACAATTTTACAAACATTCTCTACTTGTAGTAGCGTACGTTCTAATAGTGGCAAAAGGGTTTTCTTGAGTGCCGTCAATTGATCGTCTGATGCGCCAACTACAACCTTTACTTCAACAGGAAGAGGATATCCATTTTCATTGTAAAGTTCGGTCAATGTTTGTTTGGTACTGCGAATGGCTTTACCCATTTCAATTGCTTCGTTTAATGGTGCATTCTCTAGATCACGACGAATGATTGACAGTCTTTCATTGATCTCTCGTGAACACACTTCGACAATACGAAGGGTTGTTTTAATTTCATCCTCAACGCTTCCACTGGCACTACCAGTTGATAGTCTAATGGGTGATGAGAATTCACCAGATTGTGATATTGAACCACCACTACCACCGCTGCTGTTGTTATTAATTCCTCCACTCATTCCAAGTGTTCTAGCTGCATGATCAACGTGGGACTGTGGTGAACCACTCTCTAAAATGGTTTTAAGTTTACTGATGATTTGAGCAGTCAGTACAATATGCTCTTTGTAGGCAAAACTATGTATCTTTGATTTTAGGAAATAAATGTAATCTGTCAACTCTTCAGTTGCCAAATGTGATGCTCTCTTTAATTCAAAGTGCTTTGAATCTTCTCCATACAATCCAATGTTGGTGGTCATTTGTTCGTTGGTCAAGATGGCCAAAATAAATGTTTGTGGTTTTTGATTCTCTTTAATATAACCTTTAACATCATTTTTGTTGATTGATAATAATTGTTGTGATGAATCAATTAAATGCTAAAATAATAATAAAAATAGAAATAAAAGATTTTAATTTGAATAATTTAATTATTTGTGATAATAGGGTTTACATACTCTTTTTGAATCTCTTAGGATGGTTGAAAGTTTAATGGTTATTGTGTAATTTGTTTCAATTTCAATATTCTTTGCAATTAGTTTTAATTGTTTCCAAATATAGTCATTGATTAATGATTCCGTGGTGCCTCTGACTTTGTTGATTTTATCCACAGTCTCTGAATCCAATTGAGACAATGGTGTTAGAGGAATCTTTTTGGTGGTAGGATCAACTGTAGCTGGTGGTGGTGGTGACATGTTGATGCTGGGTGAAGGTGGTAATACATTTGGTGATTGTGGTGATTGTGGTGTTTGTTTTGGTTGTGGACTTGTAATATTGCTTTTGGTTTGGTTATCCTTTGTTGGTGTAGAATGAATAGTTGTAGAGGTTGCTGGTGTATTCGTCGTTGTCGTAGTCTTTGTAGATGGAGAATTTGGTACCGAGGCTGTAGTTGTTGTTGCTGCTGTTGCTGCTGCTGCCTTTGGTGTTGAACTTGTAGGTGAGACTATAGTAGGTGATGTAGGATTGGATTTAGAATTACTGTTGGAAGTAGCCTGAAGTGGTGTTTTGATTTTAATGACGGTTGTAGTTTGTTGGGTGTTTTGTTGTTTTGGAATGGTTGGTAGTGAGAGTTTTGGTGATGGTTGTTGTGGGTTGGTAGCATTGGTTAGGTTATTGTTTGTTGAGGATTTGTTTAATCCTATTGTTGGATGCGACAATGGAGATAGTGGATGAGCTTCTTCTTTGTTGCCGCCGTTATTATTGTTGTTGGTGTTGTTGGATACAACAGGAGCTAAAGTACTTGTAGAATTGGGTGAAGTTGTAACCGATCCTGAATTATTAGAGGCAGCAACCTGTTGTTGTTGTTGTTGTTGTGGAAGTTCTTTGTTAAGAAAAGAAGGTTGAGTTGCCAAAAATGAGGTACCTCTATTACCACCAATGATTGAAGTAGTACCAGGGATTGCATTTGTAGTGGGAGGTTTAGAAATGGTATCAAAATCTTCTATCCAAAACTTTATAATCTCCTCTATTGTAATGCGATCAGTTTTCATATAATACATTTCCTCTTCTGGACGAAGGAATACAGGTGCAAAGATATTTGCCAACAATTGAGAATCCATTTTAGTTTGACCATGATTACTATGAATCTTGTTTAACAATCCAATTAAACTCTTTATGGCTCCTCTATATCCCAGAGGTAAATAAGCCAATAAGAATCTATATGACCATAATCTATCTTGTTGTGATACGATTGCTAAATAAAAGAAAAAGAAGAAGAAGTATTATGTGTTAGAGGGAGGAAATACTAGTGCATTATTATTATTATTATTTAAAACATACTGTGAGTTATTAAAAAGCTATCATACAAATGATAGGAGAATAAAGGTTCAGGTAATGAATAAAGATATTGTTTTAATAATTCAGATACTACATGTGGATTGTTTGTATAGGTTGATATTTGAATTTGTTCAACATTATCACCAACACTTAAATCTAAATAATAGAAAAGGTTTAAGTCATAATGATAGATAGATATATATATATATATATATATATATATGTTGTTGTAGTTGATTTGATCTATTGTCATACCTTTTAATAAATTTTTCTTTACAATCAATACTTCAGGTTCCAATTCAGCAAGAGGTTTAAAGATATGTTCAACTGAAGTACCCTTTGCCAAGAGATATCTTGTAAACTTGTTTAGTATTGGTGGACCACCATCTTGATTGGGATTGATTGGTGTACCAGACAAGATATTTATACCTCCATTATTAATATGTAACATTGATGAATCTTGTGTTGCTGCTGCTGCTGCTGCTAGACTACTAGTACTTGCTGAAAGTAATGAAGAGGTAGATACGTTTAAATGATTACTTGAATTGTTGGTCGGTGATAGAGGATTACTTCCACCTAGATTGTTATTACTACTATTATTATTGTTGTTGTTGTTGTTATTAAGTGGACCTAAAGGTGAAGTAACACTTGGTGTAGTTGGAGTAGATGATTGTGTTGGTGTTGAATTGCCTGAAGAGTTATTTAGATTCTTATTATTACCACTGCTACCTTGTGTTGTCCCTACTCCTCCTCCTCCTCCTCCAGTTGTATTTGAATTGGGATTAACGTTGTTAGTTGAAGGACTTTTACCCTTGCCAAAGTTAAACATTGTCTATTAACTATTTTTTATCTCTCTTTTTGTTGTTGTTGCTCTTCTTCTTCTTCTTCTTATATTCTTTGTTCGAGAGAGAGTAAGAATAGGTTGTTATTATAACTAATATCTAGAACAGAGTCAACAGTAATAGTTCTATTGTGACTGATTTTTGACATGTGATCAAAATTTTTTTTAATTTTTTTATTTATTTTATCTGTCATTTTTGGTTGTGGACACTTTTGAATTATTTAAATCATAGTTTGAAGGAATTCTTTTGTATCATTTAATTGTTTTTCTTTTGTTTGTTTGTTCCAATTCAATTCATTTGCCATTAAATCTACAACCTTTGGTAATGCCTCTAATGATTTACGGTTATCTAAAAAGGCTAATCTAGTTCTTCGTGCTAGAATATCTTCGGCAGTGCATGCGTATTCCCTGATTCCATAAATTACTTCTGCTTCAATATATGGATATTCTTTAACTAATCTATTTGTCAATCCCCTATCTTTTGCCAACTTTAATAATCCAACTGATTGATCTCCGTAACTATGTGTTAAATGTTTGGCTACTTGTTCATCAACATTAAATTCTTAAATAGAAATAAATAAATAATTATTATTTTTATACAAAATATTATTATATCTTTTCTTTTCTCTCTCTCTTACCAGTCATTAAATATTTATATAAATCATTATAATATTTATCAGCACCAAAAATCAATAGATTTGAAGTGTGACAACCACGACGAGTAAAAGTATTAATGTATTGAACTGCTTTATCTACAGTTTCTTCTGCCATTGATCTATAAGTAGTCCATTTACCACCTACAATAGTAATGAGACCACTTTGACTTGTAAGAATAGAATGACTTCTGTTGATTTTAGAGGTTGGACCGCCATCCAAACCACCCTTTTTAACAAGAGGTCTAACTCCTGACCATGCTGCCAATACATCTTCTTTACCAATTAATTTCTCATCTCTACTATATTGATTAATTGCCTCTAAAATAAACTATAAAAACATAATTAATTATTTTGATTATTTATCTTTTTCTTTTTTTTCAATCTCTTACATTAATTTCTTCAGATGTTGGTTTTGGAGTAAAAGTAATATCAGCTTTTTGATCTGTAGTACCAGCAATAGTTTTACCTTCAAATGGTAGAATAAATAATAAACGACCATCCTTTGTCTTTGGATTTAAGAAGCCAATATCAGGTGGACAAAGAGTAGAAGGTAGGATAAGATGCACACCAGAAGCACCTGCAATGACACTTGATACTTTTGGATCATCCATTTTTCTTATTGAATCAGAGAATGGTCCAGTAGCATTAACTACAACCTTTGCTCTTACATTGATTTGTTCACCAGTCAATCTATCTCTTACAACTACACCATTGATTGTACTCTTTGGGTCACTTGATACTACACGAGTGAAACCAACCACCTCTGTATAGTTGGCAGTGATAGCACCACGTTGACTAGCAGACAAGGCAATTGAAATACCCATTCTAGCGTCATTGTGTTGACCGTCATAATAGACAATAGACCCAAGTAATCCATCTTTTAGGTAGGGAAAATGTTTCATTGTCTCTGATTTGGAGAGATAGTGTGATGATGGAACATCGTTACCAGGATAAAAGTAATCGTATAGTTTAGTACCAATCCACATCTTTGGTAGATCAATCCAACTATAAACAGGTATTGTAATTGGTAATGGATGTGAAAGATGTGGCGCATTATTCAATAGATTTGATCTCTCTGATAATGCCTCCTTTACCAACTTTAAATCTTCAACATCAAAATTCATTATAGCTGATTCTAAATATCTAATTCCACCTAGATAGATAGATAGAGAGAAAAGGTAATTAGGGGGTAGTTGATAAAGTGATGATTATAATTAGACATACCATGAATTAATTTAGTTGATCTTGAAGAAGTAGCAGAACAAAAATCACCACGTTCAAACATTGCAACCGATAGTCCACGACTAGCAGCATCCAATGCAATACCAGAACCAGTTACACCTCCACCAATAACTACCATATCCAATAATGGTCCTTCTTGTTGTTGTTGTTGTTGTTGTTGTTGTTGTTGTTGTTGTTGTTGTTGATTTGTTGTTGATAGATTACGTAATCTCTGTAATTGTTGATCACGAGTCAATAGAGAAGAAGAAGCATTAAAGTATTGTTGAACATCATCTGATGAACCTTTACTAATGATATCGTTTGCCTTTTTTTGATTGATTCTATTGTATCTATCTAGAGTAGTTTCATGTTGAACTGGATTAAAGTTATACATCATTGTTGTACCCCATGCTGTAACACCTGTTGCTGCTATCAATGCATACTTGTTTCTCTTTGCAAATGAAAATAACCTTGACATTATTATCTATCTATCTATCTCTAAATATATAACTATATTATTACTACAACTAACTACTATGAATGTAACATAAAGACATCTATATGATGATGATGTATGTTTATCTATAATAATAATAATAATAATAATAATAATAATAATAATAATACGACAATAATGAGAATGCCAATATGCAGGTGATTTTCATCAAAATTGAGACATGGGTTTCATCGGGAACATTAAATTCCTTTTTAATCCATAAATGGTATTTGGGAAAATAGAAAAAATAATAGGTCAATACAATCAAACCACCTTTGATATATTAGATTTAGATTTCTAAAAGATTGTGTTTATTGATTTATCTTTCTCTCCTCAAAAAAAATATAATTAATTAAAATTAATAAAAAAATTCTTCCCTCTTTCGTTTTATTTTACACAAAGACGAGTAATTTGGTATTTAGAAATCATTACAATAACAAGTAAAGTAAGAAATGATGAACCTATTTAAATGTTCATCTTTTAGTAGTCGTAGTAGTATTGTTTCTCAAACAATACTAAGATCGACTCTATTTTGCAACTACTCTACGACGATCAAACCAATTAAAAATATAGATAGATTTATGAAAGATTTAAAGAATGATCAATCAGATATCAATCAATTAATTAATAGTAATAAAGAGAAACATGAAACAACTACGACTACGACTAAAACAACATTAGAATCATCATCTGCTGCTGCTGCTGCTGGTGGTGGTGGAGCAATGAATAGTAAACATAAGAATATTCTAAAAAGATTAGAAAAGAAAGAACCAATTCAATTCAATAAGCGTTCTTCTACAAATACAACCACCACCTCCTCTCAAAGATCAACACCAATAGAAAAAACAACAGAACAAGAAGAAGAAGAATTATTGACAACAACAGCAGCAGCAGAGAATGTTATGATTGAAAATGAATCAAGACAAAAAAGAGATGATGTAAAAAGAGAAAGAGAAAGACAAAGAGAACAAGACCCAAGATATTATCAAGAGATTGCACCTGGAATAGCTATCAATCCTCAATTATCAAAGTTGGACAAGAAACGTGTATGTGTCAGTAGTACTGATCATTGGCAAGAAGCACAAGATCATGCTCAAAAGATTGCTACTCAACTAGATTTGGATTACTTGGAATGGAAGAGTTTAGAGGTATTACCAACAGATCTATGTAGCTATATGGTTGTATTGTTTGTCACCAAAGATGGTGAAATATCACTCAACGATCTAGAAATGTTTGAAAACAAAAAGGGTCGTGTCAAGAGAAAGATGACATGTGCAGTATCACTAGATTACACCACCGGCGAATTGGCATTCAAGACATTAAAAAAAACATATGCAAGGTCACCACTGGTATTATCTGTCACTTCTGGAAAATCATCATCATCATCGGAACCTCTTAATGTTTTGGATATTACAGGTGGTTTGGGTAAAGATTCTTGGATATTGGCTTCATTTGGTTGTAAAGTAACCATTCTAGAAAGAAATCCACTACTCAACTTTATGATGGAACGTGCGCTCGAAAAGGCTAAAGCTTCATCCTCCACTGGTGGTGAAGGAAATGCTTTGTTTTCAGAGATTGCCAATCGTATCACTCTTGTAAAGACAGACTCTATAGAATATCTTGTCAAAAAGATTACAGACGCTGATGGATTGAATCAAGATCGACCAGATGTTATTTATATGGATCCAATGTATCAAACAAAAGAAAATGAAGACAACAACAAGGCACTCTCTAAAAAGGATATTAGAGCCATTAGAAAGTTGGTTGGTGGTGACAGAGAATCAAAGGTTCTTTTTGCTCTAAGTAAAAGATTGGCAACAAAGAAAATAGTTTGGAAGAAACCAAAGAATTTAGGTGCTCACTTGGGTGTAGATTCTCATTATAGATCAACTGATACTCGTTTTGATGTTTTCCTTATGAATAAGAATAATAATAATAATAATTCAGATGATGTCCTTAATAATAATATTCAAGAGGAAAAATAAAAAGACATTTAATTTAAATTTAAAGGTAAAAAAAAAATACTTTTATATATTTATTGTATATCTTCACTTATATCAGTAAGGGAAGGTGACCGAGACATTAGAGAAGAAGTTAAAGGAGATGCAGAACCAGTTGTAGAAATAAATGAAGAGGTATTTGAAAGTGATGAAGTATGTGACTCGCCAAAGATAAAACCACGTTCGCGCAATGAATATTTGATGAGATGTAAGAGGAAAAATGTGGCTTGTTGATGTCTCTCGAGACCACCAACACCGGTTTGATCGTTGGCCAAAAGGATGGGTGCAGCGACAATGGCAAGACTCTTGGCACTCATTTTGTTTGAATGTGCACATTGAGCGACATCGGCCAATAAATGAGCGATCCACATGAGCAGTGATCTATTTGGTTCGTATATCAATTGCTTGACAGTGTACAAGGCTTCCTCTTCACTTTGGGTGGCTCTCTTTAGAACTTCGTCATCCAAGTGTGCGCATAATTTATCGGGAAGTCTCATATACCAACGTTTCACAAAACTTGCTATAGAATGTGCATCAATGATAAGATTATTACTACTATTGACATTGGTGGTGGTGGTGGTACTATTTGATAGTTGATAGACATGTGAAGCAATGCTATGTACATTTACATCTGGTGCCGACAATCTAAATAGTCCTTCAGCGTTGAAACCATCTATTTTCTTTAATAGTTGTTTGGCATGTACCAAAATGGAGGGTACAGTTAGACTAATCGATGCATCCAAAGATTGTGGAAGAGTCGATGGATCTACAGCAAAAATAGTATTGGTTCTCTTGAAAATTAACTTGTCCAATGGTTCGATTGGATAACTGGATAACCGACGATTGGAATCCAATTGTATACATGCACCATACTCTATACCATCCTTTGATGATGATTCTTCTTTGGTATCTAAAAATATACCATATTCTTCTAATGAATCATCTAAATTAAAAATAATAATATATATTAGTATCATTCATCTGAAGATATTTTGATTTGTTTTTTTTCTTCTACACATACTAATTTTAATCAATAAATTTGAAGATAATAAATGAGTAAAAGTATTGTAAACATCGATAATTCTTGCATTTGATTCAACTTCAATGATATATTGACAACTAAATGGTTGGGAAGCTTCTACGGTAAGATAAAAAGGACATTGAGCTCTTTGTATTTTAGTTTTAGTGTATAGTTGTAATGATGTTGGAATAGTTGGTGTACTTGGTGTTGAAGATGATGATGATGGAGTGGGTGATACAATTGTTGGTGTTGTTGGATTATTAGTATTATTATTATTAATTGAATTTTTAAAATATAATTTAACATTGTTCCAAAAATTAAAAGAAGCAAGTGTACGATCCTCTTCCAATTGATAATCGTAACGATGTTGAATATTTGGATTTGATTGTTTTGTACAAAGATAGAATCTAAAATCTTTAAACTCATCGGGTGCCGTCAAATTATTTCCATGTATCGTGTTAGTATTGTTGTTGTTGTTGTGGTTTTGGTTATTATATGCCGATTGTAATGAATGTACAGTATTCTTTCGATGTTTGATGGAATCTATAATTTGTTCGGTTGTTGAATTTACAGTGGTGTTGGTAAAAGATGATGTGGCTGTTGATGTACTGGTTGGAATTGATCCCCTTGAAAAGGAAAGTGGACTACTGTCAGAATATGATCTTTGTGATCTAGTTTGTTGTAATTGTTGTAGGTGTGGTGATTGTAATTGTGATGGTTGTAGTTGTAATTCATTTGAAATAAAATCAGCAATGATAACTGGATCACTACTAAGTGATGATCTAAAACTCTTATTACCACCGCCGTTGTTGTTGTTGTTGTTGTTGTTGTTAGAGTTGTTGGGATTCATAGGAGATGATTGACCAACCAATGAAGGAGATCTGTACATTTTCATTAAGTTGGGAAGGTGTGTTGATTTAAACTTGTGTGTAATTTCTTTGATAGTGTCTGATGGATCAAAGGCAATGACAACCTCTCTATTTAAAAAGATGATACGAATCTTTTGATACTGTCTCTTGAAAACCAATGAATCCTCTGTAATCTCCTTTTGAATATCTAGAATACTCTTGTTTCTGTCAGATATCCAAACACCTGTTTCTTTGTACTGTAGATTGTAATCATCCAAAAGGTCACGATCAATGTGTGGATATTTGAGATAGATCTTGTGGAGCAAGTCTTTGATGGTACTCTCTTCAGAGACATCAAATACCTCTAAACGAGAAGCATCAGATGATTTACTAAATACTCCAATATTGCGTGGTGTTGCAAGCGTCGACACGCTTGGTGATACGTTTCTTGGCGATGGAAGAGCGCTATTTGATTGACTACCATTGCTAATGTTGATGGCTCTTTCGCTGCCACTTGACTTTTCACCTTGGACAGTGATTGGTGAACTACGTGGTGAAAGACCAATGATTTGGAAAAAGGATGATTTACGGTGTTCGAGTTTTGGTGAATTGGAAGCAGAGTTGGAATTTGACAATGATTGAAGATTTAGTTTTGGAACTGGAATACCCTTGGAAGAGTTGAGTGAAGACGATTGTCTTGATTGTGAATTATTATTATTGTTACCTGATAGTGGTGGTGTGTTTGTTGAATGATTATTATTTAATGGTGTCGATGATGATGAGGGTGGTGGCATCAAACTAGATGATCTATTTAATTGTCTTAGAGATGATTCTAATTCATTTTCATCAACTCCATTGTTACTGTTGATGCTAGCAGATGTTGGAGTAGTTGGTACAGTGATTGGTGGAATATAATTTAATCCAACTGGAATAATTTCAGGTAAATGAATAGAAACCGATCTAGTTGCTTTGAGCATTGAACCAACCGATGTAATTAAATGTGAAACTCCACCTCTTGTATCTCTTTTAAATTCTATTTCTTGCTATAAATATTAAATCAAAAATAAATAAATAATATTAATATTAATATATAAATATTATATTAGATCTAATATTAAATATAATTATTGATCAATCAACATACATTTTCTTTAAATTGATATTTTGAAAAAGGATCATCCAATTTACACCATTTTCCTTTTTGTGGGAAAAATATGTTATAGATTGATGTTTGAAAATCTACAGAACCTGGTGGCAATTTTTCAATAATCAAATGGACTGCATCTTGAATGGTCTCTACTTGATCGAATAAAATCTTTTTGGTTAAACCAAACTCTGGTATCTTGACTATCAGTATAACCCTTTGGTTTTGTAAGGGTTGTTGAACTGTCATGACTTTTGATATTATATTTTTCTTGTTGTTGTTGTTGTTGTCGTTACTCTTGTTGTTGTTTGTTGGTAAAGATGGTACTTTGAAAGTAATTGATGGATTTTTAGATGTCGATACACCACTATATGAACAAGATGTTGGTGATATAGTTGGTATTGATGAAGTTGATGAAGAAGAGGAGGTGGAGGAAGAAGAAGAATAAGAAGAAGAGGAAGAGGCAAGGTCTATAAAATAATTATCAATGGCACAGCTGTGACTTCTACTTCTTGATGGAGAATCTTCAGTGTTTAGAGTAGTACTAGTAGGACTATTTTTTCTTTGTTGTGAAGACGACTTTTTTGTTGGAGTACTACTACTTTTAATTCTATAAAAAATAAAACATTTAGTTTGAATTTCCTTATTTTTAAATATTCCCATGATGTTTGATGATGATGTAGGGATGTGCAAAGAATTGGTAGTTGGTTGGTAAAAAATATTGATGATGATGATGATGACGATGAGGGTATTTTTAACAAAAAAAAACGATCAATCGGTAATGTGTATATATATAGGTGGGGGGGGGGGGGGGGGAGTAGCTATTCTAACAACAGTCAATTATTTATTTGACTGGATGATGATGATGAAATGTGAATATAGTGTTGAATGAGAGAGAGAGAGAGAGAGAAAAAGAGGAGTGGCGATGTGTGAATTCCGATCGAATATAAATTATTGGTTGGTTCGGACGTAAGGATGTGTTTAAAAAATTGTAGTGGGTGGGGTGGTTGGATTGGATGGATCGATGGATGGGTGAGTGTATGTGTGATAGATGGTGGTATAGATAGATCTATCAAATGATAAAACTATAATTAAATAATAATAATAATCCTATCAAACTAGAAAGATAATAATAACAATATTACCAGCAGCGGACAACTATTTAAATAAATGATGATGATGATGGATCTGGCTTGGTTTGATTGTGATTGTTATGATTATTGTTACTGTTGTTTAAATTAATTAATGAACCTTGAACAACAACTCGAATGATGCGACAAACCATGTCCCCACCAATTCTCTTGAAGAGATTGATTGTGCTTGAATGGACCCGATCGATCGGGTTGGATAATAAAGTGGCGATGTGCAAGTAATGGAATTACTTTAAAGAGAAAAAGAAGAAGAAGAAAAGAGATGAAGAGGAGATCTATTTTTAAATCGACATTGTTGTACATACGTTGAATAAGTGTTACTCGAAGTTAGACTAGAATTAATATACGACATGACGAGAGAAGAGAGAGAGTTAGAGAGATTCGATTTAGTGATTTTATGAGATTTTCAATGCAATATATGGTGGGTGACTGGATGGATGGATGGGGTTTTAGAACAACAAAAAAAATAGAGTGTGAAGTTGCTAATGCCGAGATTCAACCAAATGATTATTAATTAATTATTAATTATGAATTTAGTTGGAATGGTGGATGATTTATAAATGTTGTTGTTGGGCGAATCAATCAACTGATCATAATGAAAAGGATCAAATTTATAGTTTGTTGCGATCGTATCGATTGATGAAACCAAACAAAAGATAGATAGACAGACAGATGGTAACTCTACTGTTGTTGTTGTCGTTGTTGTTGTTGTTGTTGTTGTAATGTGGTGGTGTGGCCTATTGTGGCTGTGCTATAATTAATATTATAAAGGCAACAAGTAAATTGTCTTGTCTTGATTGTTGTTTTAATATTGTAATTGGTTGGTTAAGATATCGCCAACTATGCGCTATGTTATAAAATTATGACTGTGTTGTTGTTGCTACTGTAAACCATTGACAAGTTATAATTGTTGCTATTGTTATTATTATTTGTAAAGAGGAAGAGCAGTAGTATGATGATCATTAATGAGTGATCTTAATTATTATAATGATCATCATACCCTATGATATATCATACTACTCTACTACTGCCTGCTGAAAAGAGGTAATGTATGTATTGTATTGTATTGGATGAGAACGATCGGTGGATGATCTAGTCCCTTTTGAGAGTGATCTCACGCACTTGACCCACTTTACCAACCAAATTAATTCACCATCATTGTGATGCTTGTCTATCTGTTGTTGTCTTTTTTTGTACCACCTATAATATATTTTATTTAAAGAAGGGTGTGGGGGAGGGGGAGATTTCTCAATTGGTTGTTGTTGTTTAGCGAGTGTGGGGGTGGTAAAATAAAACAATACAAAATGTTATATGATTGATGAGTTGTGCTTGCAATGGGTAGTCGTCGTTGTCGTTGTTGTTGTTGTTGTTGTTGTTGTTGTTATCGTCGATATATATATATATATCTATATCTTTATGGTGTGTTTGTAATCAGCTGTTGTCGTTAACTTGAATTGCTGCTGTTGTTTGTTGTGATGGTTTCACACCTACTTATCTAAGAAGAAGAACGAAATGCCTTACTCTTGTGTGTATGTGTGTGTGTATGTGTATGTATGTACGCTCGTAGTGCTAATCTATAGCAATGAATGAATGAGGTTGCCGACTTTGTTTGTACAAACAAAGATATTGTCGAAACAGCAAAAGCAAAACCAAATCCCAGTCAATGGTGATTGTAGTAGGTGGTGCTTTCGGAAAGGATGGTAAAAGGTGGGGGGACACCTTGATGTTTGTGGGCACTTCTTTTTTATTAATAATCAACAGAAATATCAGCTGCCCAACCCACCCAAGATATCTTTGCCTTTAAAGGAAAATCTTTGTTTTTGTTCAAAAAAAAAAAATCTATCTTCCTTTTCTTGGTTACGATTATTATTATTCTATGTTTTTTATTTTCTATCTATAATTATACCTTTAATATATATTTGTGATTGTCGATCTATATAGATATATATATTTATATTTATTTATAAAAGGAAGTGATGAGAAAAAAGGTAACTTTGTTTTTAAAAAAAAAAAAAAAAAAAACGTTTACTCGAGCCATGTGGGTCTTAAAAAAAACCTCATGGATCTCAACACCCAGAGAATCTAGATTCGTGAATGAGATCTTGATCCTCATAGTATTTATTTATTTATTCTTTCTTTCTTTCTTTAAAGTGATAACTTTTTAATATTTTAATTAAATTATAAATAGAAAACATTGTATTTAATTCTGCGCTATCCATTTGGTCCATTTTTTTATCTATTTGAGTGTCTACAAGATTGTTGATAATACATCCTTGTAGCCTATTCGTGAGTACGAGGATGACTGAAGGTGACAACTTTCTAAATGACAATTTAGTCACACATGCCATCTCTGAAGAATCTAGCATGGCCACCTTGATCTTGAAGGCATGTAAAAAGATGGTTGGGAGATGATTGGTAGAGGAAACTGATATCGATGACATGGGCAAGGTAACCTCTCCAATAAAAGTAATATCTCCAACTACAAACTTATCAATGTAGGTTATACGCTTGAGAGTGTTTGGTAAATTTTGAGGATACTTGAACTGCTCTTGTTGTTTGAGATGAATTGATTTACTAAAAAGAGGATTAATGAAATCTGGAAGTGAATAGGAGAGATGTTCTATTTGACTATTCTCCAACGAGTTATGGATAAAGGAAGGTTCTGTATTTTTAATAACCAACTTTTTGAGACTAGGAGGAATAAAGTCTGGTTCGATTTCAATGTGATGACAGAGAACCAATTTGGTAAGAGTCGATGGAAGTGGAACGTCTATAGGATCGGTATAAGAGTCTCCAAGACATAGATGCAAGAGACCACTAGGAGGTAAAATACCATCTAGAGTATTTTCATCATAACCATCACCAATGTCCAAATAGGTCAGTGATGGTGGAATGGATCGATGATCCAACTCACCGTCAAAACGTGGTCCAAGTGTAATGGATTGAACACTAGTGTCTTGTGGAAGTTGATTCAATGCGATGGCATGACCATCAAATGCAAGATATCGTAAGCTTTTAGGTATGAAATTACTTGAAAGATAACTTCTTCCCAAAATGAGAAGTTGGCAACTAGCAGGTACAACACCACTTGCTATCGATCGATGGTAGTTTGATGCAAACTGTATTTCCTTGATACCACTAGGAAAGATACCTGGCAGCAAATCTACATCAAAACCAAAGCCAAAAGTAATTGATTTGAGTGAGGGTGGTAGTAATCCAAGTGGCAAAGGTTGATTGAATTTTTGACCAAAAACAATCTTCTCTAGACCATCTGGGAACACTCCTACTTGTAGTGGTTGGTTAAAAAAGAGACCAAACGATATAAAACGTAATGAACTTGGTAATGCTCCCAACTCTATTGGTTTATCAAAGTACTTTGAAAAAATAATAGAACTAATGTGATTGGCAATCGAGCCCATTCTTATTGGTTGATTGAATGATTTACCAAATACCAATCTACTACTACTACTATTATTATTCTTGTTGGATGTTATTGGATTGTTCCATATATCGACAGGTATTTCAAAGTCGAAATTATAAATCAATTCTTCTGCCACCACCACCAAAGATGAAGATTCATCACTGCTGCTGCTTTCTAAAAGTGAAGCATTTCCTCGTTGTTGATCTTCCTCCACAACAGTAGTGCTTTGATCAAATGGATCGATTAGATGAAATCGATCAAGAATCGATCGATTGATACTCTTTTGAAATGATCGTAATGTAGATGCTTTGTATTTGATTGTATTGATAAAATGAATCTTCTTTTCAACATTTACCAAGTCTATATCACCAGGTGCACAAAAGATTAAACGATCTTTAAATCTATAAAAAAGATCTTTACATGTAAATACTAAACATATCTTATCAATGTCATCAATTAGATGTAATATTTGATGTATTATAAAATGAGGTAATCTTTGAACAGTAGATAATGTTGTGGTCATGAGAGTGAGTTGCTAAAGATCTTCTTTAATAATAAATAAAACTTCAAAGTTCAAAAAGATGTCCCAAAAAAAAAAAAATATTATTATCTGGAAAATATTTGAAATTGATAATGGTTGATCGATCAATCCAACTTGGAGTGATATTTTATTAAAAAAGCTATTGATTTGGGGAGTGAAGATCTTGTTGCAATGAAAGACCTACAGATAAGGTTAAGCATGTTGGTTGGTTGGTTGGTTATTATTTTTTTTGTTTTTTTTTTTTTTTTGTTTGTTGTTGATACTCTCTTGTTGTTGTAAAAGTAGTTGGGTTTTATGAATGATGATATTACGGGTATGTTAAATCGAGCAATGGTGAATTGTTAACAAATCACCAATATAGAGTGTGTTTTGAAAAAATATTGGTTGTTTGTTGTTTGTATTATTATTTAAATATGTTTGTAGAGGGAGGGGGGATTGTATTTCTTTCTTTCTTTCTTTCTATTACAACCATTCTTTGAATAGAGTCATATAAATCTTTTTAACGATTTGAGTAAAGAGGAAATAACCAACAAAAGAAGCAGCAAGACCTGGATAGTACCAAAGTGGAAGAGCTTGCATACCAAGGAAATCACCGAGTGGAGTGTATGGAATGGCGACACCGGCGACACCAACCCAGAGAGTGTTGAGAGTAAGTTGCCACGAACCCCAACGTTGTAGGAATGGAATCTTTTGAGTACGAATCATATGAACAATGATAACCTGAGTGATAAGACCTTCGACGTACCAACCAGTTTGGAAGATTTTAGCATGATGAGCACTGTTCCAACCGAGATACCACCACATGTAGGAAAAGGTGGTGACATCGAAAATCGAAGAGATTGGACCGAGGAACACCATGAAACGGAACAAACTTTTAACAGACCATGGATGTGGTGTTCTAAGGAACTCTTCATCGACATTGTCCCATGGGATGGCAATTTGTGAGAAATCATAGAGGAGGTTTTGTGTGAGCAATTGCAATGGTTGCATTGGAATGAATGGTAACCAGGCAGAGGCAACCAACATGGAAAAGACGTTACCAAAGTTGGATGAAGCTGCCATCTTGATGTACTTGATAGTGTTGGCATGTGTTGTACGACCGGTGGTAATGGCTTGGTTGATGACGTTTAATGACTTTTCTAGTAGAATAATATCAGAGGCATCCTTGGCAATATTGGTGGCAGTGTCGACAGAGATACCAATATCGGCTTCACGGAGTGCAAGAGCATCATTGATACCGTCTCCCAAGAAACCAACTGTATGTTTGTGACGTTTCAATGCACGAACAACATTGTACTTTTGGATTGGTGTAAGCTTGGCAAAGAGAGTGCATTCTTCGACGATTCTGTTAAAATCTTCTTCATCAACCTCTTCGAGTTCTGGACCAGAGATGACACGTGACACATCGATACCTACGTCACGACAAATCTTTTTGGCAACGGCAAGATTGTCACCGGTGAGTACCTTTACTTGAACATTATTTTTAGTGAGGAGAGCAATAGCATCGGCACAATCAGCCTTTGGTGGATCGATAAAAGAAAGGAAACCTTGGAATACAAGTTCGTTTTCATCCTTTTTTACATCGTATGCATAGTCGCCGTTGACATTGACTTGTTTGCTGGCAACACAGAGTACACGAAGACCATCGATATTGAGTTCATCGGTAATGTTGAGTAATTGCTTTCTAGAGTCACGATCGAGTTGTTGGATTCGACCACCTTCGCAGGCCATAGATGAGCAGCAGGAGAGCACTTCTTCTACGGCACCTTTGCAAACCATAAAGTGTGATTGCTCACCTTCCTTTTGGAGAATAACAGATACACGACGACGAGTAAAATCAAATGGGAATTCATCGATCAACTTGTAGTTTGGTGTAGTGGCTCCATACTTTTCTTCGTGAACACTGATAATAGAGACATCGAGAACATTCTTGAGACCTCTTTGGAAATTGGAATTGAGGAAACCAAACTTGAGAACATCTTCATTCTCTTTCTTGTCACCACCAATATAATCGGTCAATTTGACATCATCTTCTGTCAATGTACCGGTCTTGTCGGAACACAAAACATCCATGGCACCCATATTTTGAATTGAACTGAGTTGTTTGACGATGGTTTTTTTTCTTGACATATCCGATGCTCCCTTTGCAAGGTTTGCATTTAAAATCATTGGAAGCATTTCTGGTGTTAAACTAAAAATTAAAATAATAATTAAATAAATAAATTTGTTGTTCTTTTTTTTCTTTTCTTTTGTTTTTTTTTTTTGTTTTTTCCAAACATACCCAATAGCAACAGAAAGACCAAACATAGCAGAATCATACCAATCATGAGTAGTAATACCATTGATTGTAACGACGATTGGAACCATGATGAGACCAAAACCCATGAGAAGATAGGCAACCTTTTTGACACCGACATCAAAAGCATTGGTAGTTTGAGTGCTAGTAAGAATTTCAGAGATGGAAGAGATGTAGGTGGTTGGACCAGTTTCAAAGACAACACCAAGACCACTACCAGATACAATGTTGGTAGACATTAAACAAATGTTTGGTGTGTCAAAGATAGAGGTTGGTGTTTCCGATGCAAATGCCGACTTTTCAACTGGCAAAAACTCACCAGTTAGCGATGATTGAGAAACGTAGAGACTGTTTGATTCCAAGATACGGACATCACCTGGGAATACATCACCTGCCTTTAATGGAATGAGTTCACCTGGAACAACGTCTTCCATATCAATCTTCATATCGACACCACCACGACGAACGGTAATGGTAGTCTTGATGAGTGACTTGAGATGGTTAAAGGCCTTTGTCGATTTTCTTTCTTCGTAGAAACGTAAACCAGCTGACAAGAGAACCATAAACATGACAACGGAAAAGGTTGGAACATCGTTGGTGGCAATGGAAACGACGGCAATAACGGTCAATACGATATTGAATGGATGTGAAAGAGCGTTAAACAATAACTTCCACCATGGAGTTGGTTTGACAGTCTTGATAACGTTGCGACCAAACTCTTGAATACGACGATCGGCTTCTTGTTGAGAGAGACCAGTGTCTGGTGTTTGTGTGCGATGTAACATGGCATCCTTGTCCAATGCTGACAATTGTTTAAACTTTTCATGAAACTCTTTTTCTTTGTTTGGATCCTTTTCGGTTTTTTTAGAAGACTCTTTGAGGCCTACAGCCACCAATATTCTTGTTCCAAAACCTTCCTTTTTACTGTCTCTTGGTATATATTTTACTGGTGGTGTATTGGCATCGCCTTGAATTGAAATTGATGCATCAGAGATTAATTTCTCTTTCTCTTGATGATTTACCATTCTCTCTTACTCTTGTTATTTTTTGTTGTAATATTACTCTAGAGTTGTTGGATGAGTGGGTGAGTGGTGATACAATCTATCGAAAAGAACTTTTTAATCTTTTCGTTTATCGAATGGATGGATGGATTCGTCGTCGTCGTCGATGTTGTTGTTGGCTAATTAAATTATTGTTATTTTGTTGTTGTTGTTGTTGTTGTATTTTTGCCTAACGACTCGAATGAATAATCTAACCTAAAATCGTATCGAAAAACAGTACTGTTGTTGGCTGCTGTTTACTGTCCTCTGATGATGTGAAAAAAAAAGAAAAAAAAAAAAAAAAAGTCAGTATTGTTTTGGTCGACGAGTTCGTTTAGACGTTGATGATGAAGGGAGGAGAAAAGGATCAAGATGACGAAAAGGGGAAGGAGCAGGTGAGATGAAAAAAAAAATAACAACAAACAAGATAAAAGGGAAATTTCAGATTACACACAACAACAATAAATATTTATATTGTTTTGTTCCAAATATTCAATTGGAATGACGATGATTCTAAGTTTGTTTGTGCCTATGGGAAAATTTAAAAACAAAAAAAAAAGTAATATAAAATGATAGTGATAATAATTGTTGCTGTTTGTTATTGTTGCTGCTGCTCTGTTTCTGTGTGTTGTTGTTGTTGTGATTATATAAAAGAAAAAGAAAATAAACCAACATTGCAAGTGATCTCTTATTTGAATTTTACTTTAATCAAAAACTCTCATTTAATCAAAGAGACAATAATAATGCAAGTATAACACACGATAAGGATTGGTGCCAGTGTTACCTGAGGTAAAACAATTGTTGTGGAAAATGGAATGTTATAATGAAAAATCTTAAAGATATTGGTTTTTAATGTACTGTTGTTGCAATGTGAGAATACTGCGATGACGATGACAACAGAATTTTTACCACAAACACACAACACCTACTCCTCCCACGCATACTAGCTGTCTGTCCACACCCACCACACATACTTTTTAAAACACTGCTGCTTACAGAGAGAGATAAAAGTTTTCTCTTTTTCTTTTGTGTTATACCAAACCAAAGGTCAGAGCTCGAGAGAGAACTGCAGACTTTTAAAAGCACAAGTTAATCAACCAAAGTCTGAAAACCTTGCTCCCAGGAATTCGTCGTACCAAGATATCTATCTATAAAAAAAACCTCGTGGCGTGATTTTTTGGCAGTTGAAACGTTGGAGAACCTTTCGAAAAAAGAATCGAAATGGCGCCGACAGAGATCCCACATGTGAGAAAAATCTTTCGGGAAACAACGAAAGTTAGATACGATGTTGTCGGGTGGTATTCAGGTCCAAAAAAAACCATCAAACGAAACATGTTGGATCGAATTTTATTTGTCATGAGTAATAGTAGAAGAAGGTTCAAGAAACTGTTGAAGAGAGAACAGAGAACAGTTCTCTTATTGTGAAAATAGTTTGCCAAAGACAAAAGAGCGATCACTTTACTTTTGTATAAATCATATGATTGGTCGATATGAGATGGATGGATGGATGGATGGATGGATGGATGGATGGATGGATTGGATTGGTTGACGGAGAAACAGACATTTACTCTTGAAAAGTACAAGATTATAATCTTCTCTTTTCCTTTTTAGTTGTCTTTTTCTTTTCTTCATCTTTCTTTTGTTTTGCCAAAGCATCTTTATCTCTTTGTACCTTTTTTTGGTGATCTACTTTTGATCTTTCTCTTTTCTCCTTTTCAGCATCGACAATTCTCTTTGTGTTGACATTGGCACCAAGCGACGATACCGTCTTTGTGAGTTCTTCTTTTTTTTTATCTGTATTATCTGTATAGATAATATCTCCATTTTCATCTCTATATATTATTAATAATATACATATACAACGTTTGAGTTGGTCAGTAAGTTGTGGTTATTATCATAATTAAATAATAATAATAATTATTATTAAAAGATAGGGGATTTGTTGTTGTTGTTGTTGTTGTTTTCATATTTATATTTACAATTCCTCTGTTTCATCATATCTAGAAATGATTAAATCTCTTCTTCTTTGTTCTTCCTTTGATAGTCTATTGGAAGAGGATTCATCATCGATGATAATCTCTTCAGATGTTACCTGTTTTATTTTCAATTCCTGTTGCTTTTTTATAATCTCTAACAATTCCTTTTCTTCTTGTTGCTTTTGTTTCTTTGTATCATTGAATAATACTATCAACTTTTCTATTAATTCATTACAATGTTGTTCCTATATATTGATTAAAATGTACATTAGAGATATGTTATACCAACAATAGAGCGGCTGACGTCGATGAGGTTGTTTTCACATTTCGTTGTCTGTATATATATATATATATATATATATATATATCCATCCCTCCCAACGATGGCAACAACCATAACAACAACAACAATAATAATAATAATAAATAGATAACAACATACGGTAGCAGCAGTGATAGAAGTCATAAATTCAAAGAGTGACTCCTTTTTATCAGAATCACTCGTGTCATTATCAGCTACGATACCAAATATATAATCTGTAATGGTTCCAGAGTCATCTTCACAACCTAGTTCCTGTACTCCTTGATCAATCGTCTGTTTGATGTTCTCCATATCTTTTTCCTTTATCTTTCTCTCTCTCTCTCTATATATATATATATATAAGATATGTGGTATCGATTTATAACGGTGATGATAAGAGCTCGACACTTTGTAAAATGTTTTTTATTATTCTTATTATTAATCGATTATGGATATTGTTAATAATGTAGAAAGTAATAATAATAATAATAATAATAATGTTGATAATGATAATGATAAACATGGATTATCTAAATCTTTATCATCACTTGAAAAACATCAACAACAAGAAGAACAAAGTAGATTAAATACAACAACAACAAAGAAACAAATCAAACAACAACAAAAAGATTTATGTTCAAAGTTGATATGTAAACATTGTCCATGGATATCATTTACATCGATCACATCATACAAGAATCATTTACAAAGCAAGAAACACTCAAGACGTCAATCAAAGAATAATGTTGCAAACACTTGGTCTTGTAAACCTTGTCATTTTAATTTCCCAAATGAAGATGAATACGTATGTATTGTATAGATATCTAAATGAAAGAATATTCTTTATTTATTAAACACTTTCTAATAATAATAATCATTTTAAAGATTAAACATACAAATGGTAAAAGACATTCAATCAAGATTAAAAAAAAAACAAAGATCATCAAACAACAACAATATCCTAAACAATCAATAACAGAACCATATTATGAATGTAATCTAAAGGAATTGACACAAAGTGAGTTTAAAGAAGAGGAAGAAGATGATGGTGAAGATTTATATCCTTCTCTTGTTGGATAATATTTAATATAAATGTTGAATAATAATAATACATTTGGTTATCATTAATTATTTATTCCAATTCTTTTTTAAATAATTTATATATTCAATCAATTGATCATTATTTAAATTGGCATGTTCAATATTTAAAATCTTTTGAACCAATTGATAGGCTTGTCTTTCAATAATACCAAAGTTGGTGGATTGTGGTTGTTGTTGTTGAACAAATGGAGTTGTTGGTTGGGATGGGTGTGGTGGTGTCGACAGGTAGGAATCCAATTGAGATCTTATCAATCTGGCTTTTTGACAAATTTGATTGTCTATACTTGCCATCTCTGCAATATCAATACCATAACTAGTATTGTTGGAAATACCTTCTGTAATTTGATAAGTATATTTCAACTGATTATTATCATTATCAACCTTTTCACAAACAACAAAAAAAATATTAGACTAGTAGAAAAGGAGTAGGACTATTACTTACGTTTAAATGGAAATTTTTAATGTTTCCATAGAAATGACAGAGCGACAATAATTCTTTGTAATGGGTGATAAAGAGAGTATAACATTGTATTCTTGAAATTGATTCACAAATCGACCAAGCTATTGATGATCCATCTGTATTTGAAGTACCTCTGCCAAGTTCATCGATAATAACCAATGAATTCTCGTTGGCACTTTCCAAAATGTAGGCAATTTCTTTCATCTCTGTCATGAATGTACTAGCATTTCCTTGCATATTGTCCGATGTACCTATTCTACTTACAATCTTTTCAGTCACTGGTACCGCCATATATTGACATGGTACATATCCTCCCAAATGGGCCATCACAGTGAGCAAAGCAATTTGTTGAATATAGGTTGTTTTTCCACTCATATTTGGTCCATGTATGATTTGACAATTTGATGTTTCATTGATAATTGTATCATTCTATAAAAATTAATAATAAATAGAAAAAAAATAAAGAAAGAAATATATATTGTTCTTACAGGAATGGGATGGTTATGACGACGATTATCTTGATTTTTTTTGGAACTTGCCAATGCCAATAGAGTTGGGTGATATCCTTTTTTAATTGCCAATGGTCCTTTGTTGTAAACTTCTGGACAAACTAAATAGAGTTTGTAAGTAAATACTTTGTTATAAAAGATCTATCTCTATCTATCTATCTATCGATCCGACTTACCACATTGATCATTAAAAGTAACATAAGTTGAAAGTGACATTAAGAGATCCAAGAGGGCTATTGATTGTGAGACATTGAAAAGGTCAGACAAAAACTCTCGATAAAAGTTTGTTAACTTTTCAACCGATATTGATGTCATTAGGATAATTTCCTCCAAAACCTCTTTGTTTCTTCGAGACAGAGACAATAGGTCATTTGATAAAAAGCTACATCTGGCATTCTTAAAGGTTTGAGAGAAAAAGATGTTTGGGAGATGAAGTAGATCTTTGTTTTTGCATGGAACTGAAAAGAAAAATCCTTTTGATGTTGAATGTTGAAGTTTTAGACCATTCAAATTATATTCTTCTTGATAGTATGTAGTTAATTTATTCATATCTAGATTAAAATAAAAATTAAAAATTAGAGTAAATTTAAAAAAAAAAGAGAGAGATGAGACTTTGTGTTCATACCTTGTAAAGATTCATAATATGTTTTTTTACAAACATCCAAAAGTCCATTAACACCTTGTTTAATAGATGATACAATCTAATAGTAGATTAAAAATGTTGGGGTAAGAAATGGTAATTTTTTCATCTTTTTTTATACAAACAGTATTGGCAATGGTAGATTTTCCTTGATTGATAGTATTGGTGATTGAGGCTGGTGGTGGATGTTCATTGATATATTTAAAGGTTTCTTCCATTGATGATTGAATAGTCTTGTTTGATAAATTTTTGCAAATAGCACTGAGAAGAGGATCATTCAATATTGATAAGATATTTGCCAATCTTGGTATCAACTCTAATGAATTTTTAAATTGAATCTACCAAATATAAGATTAAAGAAATGTCAGATATATATATTTTGTTTCTCTACATACGATATTGTGAATATTTGATTGAATTGCTTTAATTCCCAATTTTCTAGAATCAATCTTTTGAGTAAATTTGACCAACATTCGATCCAAATCACCAATCTTTCCGAGTATAGGAATAATGGCAAAAAATTGTTTCTCATTTTTTAATATAAATTTAATACAATTTTGTCTCATTTTGATGGTTTCTAAATCTTAAAGAGATAAAATAGTAATTAGTGTCATTAAAATCTAGATTTCTCATAGACTATAATTATATATATATACCAGTTAATGGTTGGGTAATATTACTAATAAGTAATCTTTCACCTTGGGATGTTTTACAAAAATTGATTGAAGAAAATAAGGTTGCATTTCTTGATCCATCCAAGTTGTTTCGAATTAATTCTAAAATTTTAATGGTTTCTAAAAGAGATGAATAATACAATGGTTAGTTGGATGGTTAGAGCAAAGTTGTAATAAGCAATACATTACCAGCATCAATTTGCATTGTTCTTTCAGAACCAGAGAATAAAATGTTGAGACAATTATTTGAAAAACTAACATCATTTCCATCGAGATACTGAACAAGAGCATTAAAAGAGGCCAAAGCTAAATATTTTGAATGTAATTGCTTCTCTAATAGTGTCATGCAGTTGGGGAGACCATATTGTTTGAGTAACAATAATCCATTGTTTTCATTAAATAATTTCCTTGGTATGGTGGTTGGCATCAAATTGCTAAATTTCAATGTAATCATTTTAATCATCTCTGATTCATTACTAATTGGAGGTGTTAAAATCTTTAAATGAAAAAGAACAATTGTTAGATCAAAATAGAGAGAGAGAGAGAGAGAGAGAGAGAGAGAGAGAGAGAGAGAGAGAGAGAGAGAGAAAGAGAGAGAGAGAGAGAGAGAGAGAGAGAGAGAGAGAGAGAGAGAAAGAGAAAGAGTGAGAGTGAGAGTGGTTCTATTGATTATGATAATCTTACAGTTGAAGCATTAAAGATATAAATTTTGGTATAGAGATGAACATAAGTTTGAGAATCACAGAATTGTCCGAGTTCAATAGAACCGTTGATGGGATTGTATGCAGCTAGTCCAATCTCTCTATTTTTGTTTTCAGTCAATGCAACAATCATTCCTGTTGTTGTACTAGCAGTGGTGGTGGTGGTGGTTGGAGTTTTTAGATTGCTTTTGGTGGCTAGTATACTACTACTTGAGCTTGATTGATTGGTTTTCGGGATCTGTTGTTGCTTTGATGACGACAATGAGTTACCAGCAATTGGTGTTTTAAAAGAGGAGGAGGAGGAGTAAGAGGAGGAATATAATTGATTTGGTGTTGTAGACTTTGGTATTGATGAGAGTGTATTGGTAGACTGAGACGACAAAGGTTTGAATGAGGATGATGGTGGTTGTTGTGGTGGTTTGGAGGATTTAGGTGGACAGTAATAAGGTATTGGTGGAGATTGATAACACTTATTATGATTGTCATCATCATCATCTAGTTGGTCAAGATCTATATCATCATTTTCCTTTTCTCTCTTTTGATGGTGATGCATCATCAGACTAGAACCTTGACGATGATATCTGAATTTCTCAAGAATATCAGGTGGTGAACGACTTGATGTTGTTGTTGTTGTTATTGTTGGTGTAAATTCATGATTGGTTGAATCGTTTTGTTGTGTGTTACTCATTATCTTTGTTTCATTATTATTTAATGATCGAATAATACTAATAGTATTTTGGTGATGGTTTATTCTTCATTGGGAAAAAAATATGCAAAAATTTAATTTAAATTTAATTTACTTTTGTTCACACACTGAGTTGGTCTCTTTTTTTCACTCTCTTTTTAATACATATAAATATATATTATTATTAGTTTATATAATATAATATTATATATAAGCGATGAACCAGCACCTGGATCAACGCAACCCAGGTGATAATTACAATAACAATACAAACAACAGTAGTACTACTCCTACTACTACAACTGCTACTGCTGATAATCAACAACAACAACAACAACAACAATCAAGTCCTTTACCATATTCTAGTACAGTTGTAGCTGCAGGAATAACAAGAATGGAGATTGAAGAAAAGAGTGGTGGCCACCATACACAAAGACCACCACCACAAGGTAGTCCCTTACAACAACAACATCAACATCATACAGGCATTTCAAACACATATAATAATAATAATACTAATAGAATAGATGAAGAATATATTGATGACCATCACCATCATCATCATCATCACCAACAACAACATCATCATCACCATGATCAACAACAACATCAACATCATCAACAACAACAACAACAACAACAACAACAACAACAACAACAACAACAACAGGGAAGTTTACCACTTTCTAGTACAGTTGTAGATAGATTAACAAGAATGGATATCGAAGAAAAGAGTAGTGACAATAGTGAAAGCTTACATTCAATCAAATACCAACCAACCATGTTTAATATTCCAGCAAGTAGTATTAATAGCATTGGTAATTTGGTCAATCCAATGGGAGGATCAAGTTCCGATGGTCTTATACACCCCTTTAAGACGATGCACACATCTTTCTCATCAAACTCATCGTCTTCTTCGTCGTCATCGTCATCATCTTCCTCGCATCCATCTTTTATATCATATAATTCCACCACCTCGCCAATTGGTAATCATCCTTCAACCCAATTACCATCCTTTTCAACTATAGACTCTACAAATAAGCCCTCTGCCACCCATGTCCTATCGCCTTTGTCGACAACATCACCTACATCTACTACTTCTACAACAACCTTTCAAATGCAACCACATCATCACCATCACCAAAGCCATCCTACCCACTATCAACAACAAAAACAACAACAACAACAAGCACCAGAAGTAAATACATTTTATTTACCTCCACCCGATGACGTTGAAAATAGATTAAAAGAATTTAAAGTGGTCCGGGTGATTGGAACAGGAACATTTGGTAGGGTGTATCTTGTACAGAATCAAATCGATCACACCTTTTATGCTATGAAATGTTTAAACAAATCAGATGTAGTTAAACTAAAGCAGGTAGAACATTTAAATTCGGAAAAATCTATTCTTGCTTCTATTCATCATCCATTTATTGTAAATTTGTATGTATAACAAACAAACAAACACACAGACAAATATATTGTAAACAAACTCTTATAATATTTAATATTTAATCTAGATATCAATCATTCCAAGATGAAAAGAAAATCTATTTGTTGTTTGAATATGTTGCAGGAGGAGAGGTATTTACACATTTGAGAAGAGCAAACAAATTCCCAAATGCGATGGCCAAATTTTATGCTGCCGAAATTGTATTGGCATTGGAGTATCTCCACAAGCATAATATTGTATATAGAGATTTAAAGCCAGAAAACCTTTTACTAGACAACCAAGGACACATTAAAATTACAGATTTTGGTTTCGCCAAAAAAGTTGAAGATAGAACATTTACACTTTGTGGAACTCCCGAATATTTGGCACCTGAAATCATCCAATCTAAAGGTCATGGAAAGGCTGTAGATTGGTGGGCTCTTGGTATTTTAATTTTTGAAATGTTGGCTGGGTATGTAAAACAAAGAGAAAGAAAGAAACAAAAAACTAATTTGTTGTTTTTTATAATTTAGATACCCACCATTTTATGATGATGATACATTTGCCATTTATGACAAGATTTTGGCAGCAAGAATAACTTTTCCACAACACTTTGATCTTGATGCCAAGGATCTGGTAAAGAGGCTTTTAACCAGTGATAGAACTCGTAGATTGGGTGCTTTAAAGGATGGAGTACAAGATGTAAAGAATCACAAGTGGTTTGTTGATATCGATTGGGACAAGCTAATCCAAAGAAAAGTATTGGCTCCTTTTGTACCAAGCATTCAATTCCAAGGAGATTCTTCAAACTTTGAAAAGTATGACGAAGAACCTATGCGTGAAGAAATATCACCAAACTTTGTTGATCCATTTGCTCAATTATTCAAAGATTTTTAAATAATAATAATTAATAGTTAATAATAATAATAATAATAGTTTGTATTAAATACAAACATTAACAAACACAACATTGTAAAATCTCATAAATACCACCACATTAAAATAAATATAACTAAATCTTATTGGGTATATGACTCAAGATCCTACCCTACTTTTCTTTAAACAGTTCAACGATTCCATTTTCGATCAACTCCGAAAAAAAGGCTTGATAGAATAAAAATTTTATTCGAAATCCGAAAGGAGGAGAGAGGAAGACCCCCTCTCATGAGAAAATGATTTGATTGTGAACTCAATCACTTTTAAACAAATAATAGTAATAAGATGAGAGATAAACAACTATTGTTAATAGCACTCATTGCAATAATCAGTGCATCATTTGTTTCTGCCACCTACTATCTTGACCCTCGTAAGGTTAGATTGGTCGATCATACACCTATCTTGTCAAATGGACATTCAAATTATCTATTCAGAGGAAATGAACCAAAAACATTGATAGATGGTATTTATTAAACAAATAATAATAATAGTAAATTTACTGCTGCTATGACTGACTTTTTATAATCTCATTCTCTCTCTCTCTTCTTTCTTTCTCTCACTCAGATAAAGATGTTTTCGCTTATGATTTATTGGTAGAGTATATGAGAAATGATTCATTATCCAATCACAATGTTGTACTTCCAGAGTCATTTTATATTATCGATATTAAGCTAATCTATGGTCTTAGAGATGAATTACCAGACATTGAATTAGAGTCTACCTTTTTTGCAAACAATAGTAATTTTGGTGAGTTCAATACCAATATTACATTGGGCGATCTCACCGATCCAAACCTCGTACCAACCGAAGAGAGAATTGCATGGGCAAAGACATTACCAACATGGCAAAAAGATGATCTCCCTTCAAGAATGGAACTCTACAGAGATATTCTTTACGATACCTCTAGAGATGAATCAATAGTTTTGTATATTCATTGTGAATGTGGTATGTATAAATAACTAAAATCGATAAAAATAATTCTAACCTTTAATTATTATTATTTAGGATGTGATCGTACTGGAGAAGTATTTGCATCCTATGTAATCAAATATTTGGGATTTTCATTTAGTGATGCAATGCAGTGGGACTATTCTGTGGCTGGACGTCGTATCCTCCCCAACCATCAATGGGCAACTCAATGGTATTGCCTATACCTCCAATATGTTGAAGGTTCATCGGTTGATTGCACTCCTCCACCTTGGTAATAATCCAAGATTGCTCGTACATTTAAATAAACTTTGTCTAGACAATAAATATTTATTTTGATTATTAACCAATATCAACACCTCTACTATTATTTTCGTTATTATTATTATTATTTGGGATTTGTAGCATTTTGGTTGATAGATCAATTAAAACATTTGATTGTTTTGCCAATTGTTCGATTGTTACTCTTCCTTTTTTTGCAATAAACTTGGCAATCGATTCCATTTCTTCTTTGGTAACGTAGATGAATTTACCTCTGTCATCTATGACTCCAGATAAAAGACCTTCCTTTTCGAGATGCTTTATACGATCAATGACATCGTTTGTCTTTATTTGGAAATGTTGTGCAACATCCTCCAATAGTGAGATTTTGTTTGTCTTTAGATAATCTATGAATCTTTCAAAAAGCGTATTTTCATCTTCTTGGATTCGTCCTTCTCCTTGTTCATCCAAAGACATGGTAGCTTTGAGTGCGCTATATTCCTCTTCATCACGTTTTTCCTTTTCCTCTCTAATCTTTCTCTCTTGTTCCTCTCGTTGTCTTGATCTTTCTTCTTCATCATCTCTCTTTTGTTTTGAAAGACGATCTTTTTCCTCATCCTTTTTCTTCTTTTCCTCTCTAACATGTGCTTCATATTCTCTCATCTTTTTCTTCTCTTCTTTCATCTTTATCTTTTCCAACTTTTTAGTTCCAATCTTTTTAGTTCTTTTTGTTGTAGATGATGAAGAAGATGCATTATTATTATCATCAACATCATCTGAATCATCGTCATCTATATCTGAATCATCATCATCATCATTATTATTATTATTATTATTATTGTTGTAGTTATTATTATTAATATTGTTATTATTATTATTATTAGGATGTCTTCTATTTCTAAGATTCATGCGAGATACAGCAGTATGTCTTTGTTGTTGTTGTTGTTGTTGTTGATTATTTCTTTGTTGATTGTCATTGATAGTATCTAATAGTTGTGGTTCTTGGTAGTCGTCATCTGTTTGAGTAATAGTTTCAATGTAATTCCTTGAAGGAAACAACACCAAATAAAGTAATCCTACAATGACAAGTACACTGATTAAAAGTACAATAATGAATGCATCCATGGTTGATTGTATTGCAACCTAATTCGATTCGTACTTGTACTTGTTGTTGTAGGACTAATTATTTGTTTGTTTTGAAAAGATCTAAAGATAATAATAAAAAAAATTCTTTTTCATTCTTTGTTCAACCCCCTTCAATTGTCTCTATGTTTTTAAAATTAATCATGATTTTGTTCTTCATTAGTAGTTAGTAGTATTAAAAAACACAACCTATTTAAAAAAAATGACAGAAACAGTTTTATATAGTTATTGGAGATCATCTTGTTCATGGAGAGTTAGAATTGCATTGGCCTATAAAAAGGTAGAATACAAGTATGTTGCAGTGCATCTTGTCAAGAGCCAACAAAGTGATCAAGAGTATGAAAAGTTGAATGCTATGAAGGTCGTACCAACCTTGATCATCGATGGCAACACATTGGGACAATCATTGTCCATACTTGAATACTTGGAAGAGACAAGACCTCAAGTACCTCTTTTACCTACCGATGCTGCCAAACGTGCTGTTGTACGTCAGATGATGCAAATCATTGGATCTGACATTCAACCACTTCAGAATCTCAAAGTACTCAACAAGATTGCAGAGATTAGTGGTGGTGATCAATCAAAGAAACAAGTATGGGCAAGTACTTGGATCGCCAATGGATTCAATGGTCTTGAAAAACTTTTAGAGAAACATAGTGGAAAGTATTGTGTTGGTGATCAAGTTACTTTTGCTGATTTATGTATTCCTGCTCAAGGTAAGAAGAAAAAGAAGAAATCTAATGAATACCCAATTTTCCTATTTATTTATTTCTTTTATTTTCCTAGTTTATAATGCCAATCGTTTCAATGTTGATATGACACCATACCCAAATATTGTTAGAATTAATCAAACACTCTCAGAATTACCAGAATTCCAGGTTGCACTCCCAAGTAATCAACCAGATGTTGAATGCTAAAATAAATTAAAATAAATATTAAATTTTAATGTTTAAATTATTTTTTATTATTTTGATGTTTTTGTTGTAAAACAGCACCTAATAAATTATCTCCTCCATTCATACCACCAGATATTACGAGATAGGGAGAAGATGTTTTTTCTTGAAGTGTTTGGAAAGTTTTCATCATTCCCAGTGGAGTATCGGTTGATGACATTTTCTTTTGTTGTAAATCTTGTTCATATTGTCTTCTTCTCTTTTCCATCTTGTTCAATCCTGATTTCTTGCCATGGAATCTTTGTGACATTGCATTGTATGCTTCCTTTCTGTTCATAATACGACCAAATTCATCTTTTAGTTGAATGATAGTGTCTGCATCATCAAATGAAGATAGTTTTCTCTTTGATTTTTCTTGTGGTTTAAGTTCTCCTTTTTGAATTAATAATTTGAGTGCTGCAGACATACTACCAGATACCATTGGTTCTTCTGGTATAATTAAATTGTTGTTGGTTTTTCCATTATTTTGATTATTATTATTATTGTTTGTTTGTTGTAAATTTGGTTGATGACTATTATTATTATCGTTGTCATAGTCATCATTATCATCATCTTCATCATCTTCATCATCATCTTCATTGTCATCTTGTTGATTCATAGGTAAATCATCATCTTTTGACATTTGTTGATCCTCTGTCATTTGGTCATCATCGTCATGTTTTTTATAGAGTTTTGAAATTAAACCTTCAGAATTTAATGATCGAACAAATTCTGTTGTTGAAGTTAAAAAGTTGTCATCAGACTCTGTTGTTGTTGTTGATTGTTGTTCTGCTCCATCTTCAAGTTCCTTTTGTTGTTTCTTTTTAAGATTATTTTTTACAATATCAACTATGCTCGATTCTTTTGGTTTGATAGTTGCTTTTTTAGCCTTTTGAAGTGATTGATAGAAACTTTCATCCTCTGCTTCTTCGTCATAGGATGAAAAGATTTGCTTTGATTGCTCAGCCGCCTTTTCAACAGCCTTTTGATAGTTTGAATCTCTTTGTTGTCTTTGATTCTCTGTGTCTATATCGTCTGCCATTGATTTTCTTGATCTTCTGCTACCAAGATCACTTGAAGTGGTAGCATCCAAATCACCAAGGGAAAATGGTTTTTCATTTTCTTCTGTTGATCGAGATCTAACAGACTTTTTCTTTTTTTTCTTATCTACCTTGGGGTTTTTAAATTGTTCCATTTCTTCTTTGGTATAAAATGATGATTGTAAAACAGCTAAATTAAAAAATAAAATAAAAATGTTAAACAAATTAGTGATTATTTTTTTCATTATAATGAATTTCTTCTATTTACTTACAACTTGATTGTAAATCATATGATAGTTGTTGTTCTAATCTTTTCTTTATATCATCGGATGCAGATGTTGATGATGATTGTTCATTTAATTCATTTGAAAGTGATCCATCATTTGTAATTGTAAATCCCTAATTGGAAAAAAAATAAAATAAAATATGTTAAAACAATATATAAATATATATAAAGTACATATATATTTTGATAGATGGTTAATAACTTACAGATATTTGATTATAATTATCATCATAGTGTTCCAATAAATTATTATTTTTTTGGTTACCATATTCATCAAACTTGTCATATTGTGACTTTTTCTTTGATCCATCCAATATTCTTTCTCTATTTTCTTTTTCAGCCAATTTGATATCAACCAATTCATCTCCTTCATCATCCAATACATTTGAATCTTTAAGAACCAATATATGTTCATTACCATCTGCTATATTCTCTAATTTATTTGATACTTTAATATTTCCTGTTGTCATATTTGTTAAAGGTAACGCTAAAAAAAAAAAAAAAGAAAAGAGGTATCATTAATATTATGTCATATCGATCGATATTGATGAAGATTATTTCATACCTTTTTTTGTTGTTGATTTTATAGAAGAAGAAGAAGAAGTAGCAGCTTGTTTTGCTCTTGATCTTTGTATCCAAGATGAAAGATCATCATCGTCACCTTGATCTTCGATTTGTTGTTCGGCAATTGATTTAGACTTATGTAAACTTTGTTTCTCTCTCTTTTTCTTTAATTGTTCAATTGCATTTAAAGTTTCTTGTTGTTTTTGTTGTTGTTCTTGTTCTTGTTTTTGTTTTTGTTGTTGTTGTTGTTGTTGTTGTTGTTGTTGTTGATTACTATTAGAAGATGATGTATCCAATGGTTTTAAACCAAGTGATGCTCTAATCCTGTTGGTTTCTTCTATTGATAGTTCTGAAATCACTTTTGAAGGACCTCCTCCTCCTCCTGATGACGATGATGATGATGAAGAAGAATATTTACTCATTATATATAAATAAAAAAACTAATAATAATGATTAATCTTTGGTTTCAACTTCAAGTTTTGACAACAATATTTCGGGGATTTCATTGTTTGAATTTCAAAAGACTAATAATAACCATGGTTACAAAAAGAGGAAGAGGAGGAGGAAGAGGAAGAGGAAGAGGAGGGGGTGTAGTATCAAGATCCACTACTACTACTACTACTACAACTACAACTATAAATGACAATACCACTATAAAAAAGAAGAAACAACAAGAAGAAATAGTACAACAACAAGAAGAAGAAGAAGAAGAATTGGAACAAGAAAATGATATCCAACAATCATCAGATGAAGAAGAAGCAATAGATTACTTTACATTTAAATCAGATATAAACAAGACATCAAATAATACTCTATCTCAAATTAAATTGTTGGATGATGAAGTATGTGTGTGTTACAAGAGGAATAATACCTACAGAATGATTAATGACTTCTTTGTTGCTTTATATATATCTTTTTTAAAAGCAAATAACCAGATTAATATCAAAAACAGAGACTACACACAAAAAAGAAAAGATGAATCTATCAAAATCAAACAAGAACAAATTTTGTGAGATGTATAATGATTTAAAGTTTGGTCACAATGTTTTAGTGTATGGATATGGAAGTAAGAAATCATTCTTGGAATCATTTGTCACCTCTTTACGATGTGCAGATGGTCCATTTATACCAATCTATGGATATCTACCTCATTTCAAGATAAAGAGTGTTCTCGATTGTATCACCAACACTCTATTCAATTGTAAATCTCCAAACTTTTCTTCTTTTATGATGCAATGTGAATACATTAAAAGTTGTTTTGAGGAAAAAAGAAATTTAGATCAACTCTATAAATATAAACAACAACAACAACAACATGGGGATGATGGAAATAAAAATGACAATAATGAACAAGATGAATATGAACAAGAAACAAACAATGATGGTACCACTACGGCTACCACTTTTATACAATCAACCAACTTTAGTAACTATAGTTGTTTATATTTAGTGGTACACAATATAGATGGTGTATCACTTCGAAATATTAAAGCACAAACAATATTAGCATTTCTTGCAACGATTCCACAAATACATATTATTGCATCGATCGATCATCTCAATGCACCTATACTTTGGGATGTCAACCATGAGGTACAATTTAATTGGATAAGACATAGTGTACCTACATTGGAGCCCTATTCAATTGAATCAAACTACGAAGTATCACTACTCAATCACAAAAGTACAAGTGGTGGTCATAATTCATTTATCAAATCTATATTAATTGTACTTAGAGCACTTCCACCAAATTCAAGAAATGTTTTCCAACTATTAGTTGAACATTTTTTAAAGAATCATCAAATAGGAGACAACAAAGATAATAACAAAGATAATAACAAAGAAAATAATAATAATAATAATAATAATAATAATAATAATAATAATAATAATACAATATCAACATCATTAAAACAAAATCAACAAAGAATATCATTTGACCTTTTCTATGGACTGGCATTTGATCAATTCTTGGTTTCATCACACTCAATGTTGAAAGCATTGTTATCAGAGTTTATCGATCACAAGATTATTAAAAGTACTGTAGAAAGTGGAGAAAATTATCTTTCAATACCAATAGATCGCTCATTTCTTGGTGGATTATTAAAAGAGATTAAAGATTTAAGTATCTAGAGATTAATATAATATAATATTTATAATTTATAAATAAATAAAATAATCCAAAAATGGAAATGCATCACTTTGTTTACTTCTTTTTTTACCCCGCCTTATATATATATAAGTGTGTGTGTGTTGCGATGATTATTAATCTTTAAAGGGGGTTCATACCCAAAAGTTCAATGTCTCTAGTCATTATATCTTTATCATCATCATCATACAAATAACTTTTATACATATATATATTTAAATTATAGTTTGATCATTATCATTTTTATTATCTTTAATCTACTTTTTAAACCATCAATTGAAATGACTCTTGGTAAATCATTTCAGACTCTTACAGTCTTTGTCATCATACCATTGATGCTTGCTGTTCATGCAAATGTAAGCTCAGATAGATAGATTAAGAGAGAGATAGAGGAGAGAGAGATAGAGAGAGAGGAGAGACTCTAAATGAACCAAACCATTTACTTTCTTTTTTCTAGAAATTGACATTATCAGCTGCATTGGACATTATAGTTTGGTATATAGCAGTATCATTTGGAATATTTATATTCAAGACACCAATTAAACTCTATTTAATTGTGCGTGAGAAATCAAGATTGTTAAATGATAAAAAAGATACCTATACATCACGTGATCAACAGGATATTGTGAGAAAACATCTTTTGAGTTTACACCACCTAGAATGGAAGTAGGTTTCATTGTAATCCATCTCTGTCATATATATAGTTTATACTAATTCCTTTCTTTTTGTTTTGTTAGATTATTATTTTTTTCGATATTGTGTCCTTTTTTGGCTTTGGCAACATGGTATTGTCTTGATGTGCTGTGTGAGAAATATTCATTGTCATCACTCAGTCAATTATTACATCCATACTTTATTATCATAGCTGGAGTGGTATCTTGTTATCAACCCATTTTTTATTTCCTAGATCACTTTAATACCCGAATCGATGACATTTATTATTCTCCCCCTCCTCCTCAATCCAATAGACAGGAACCAGTTTTAAACTCTGATGATCAATTTCAACAACAACAACAACAACATGGATATGAACAAATTCTCAAACAAGTTACGGGAATGTATACAGACGAAAAGATTAAATCAATCATCCAAGACCAATTAAAACTTGTCCTCGAATCTATGCACCAACAACAAATGATTTCCCTAGCCAAACAACATCAAATAGAAATGAAAAAGATTAAAAAGGAATTATCAGAGTGGTCAAACAGAAGAAATATTGAACTCACATCTATTGAATTAAAAGTAAACTCTATGGAATCTAGACTATTATCTCTAGAGAATCAATTGGAATTGAGAGAACTACACCAAACGGCTGTCATTCCTTCATCTTCTTCTTTTTCTAGTCTCAACACAAAAAATAATAACAATGTCGATGATAAAGGATCCTTGATTTCATCATTATTACATTTTCCAACTAGAATTATGTTTGGTACAATCGAGGAATAAATTAGAGTCATCATCATTTAAATAAAATAGTTATTTTTGGCATACATTTAGGACAGTGGGAAATTTTTGCTGAGGTTTCTGAGTTTCTGGATGGGAAATTATTTATTGTTAGAGTAGTTTGACATATGACAAAGGGAAGTTGGTTTATTGTTAGAGTAGTTTGACATATGATGAAGGGAAATTACCAGTTTGGCCTTGACATTCACCATACCACCAACCTCCTGCATCACTACTATCATAGATATTGATAATGTCACCTGCATAGAATGATAAATCATCTGGTTGTTGAGCTGCGTAATCATATAGTGCTTCGGCTTGTGGATAAGAGGCTGCTGCTTGGTCATCATATCCTTGGTCGTAACCCTGTTGGTCATAACCTTGTTGGTCATAGCCTTGTTGGTCGTCATAACCTTGTTGGTCATACCCTTGTTGATCATAACCCTGTTGATCATATCCTTGGTCATAGCTTTGTTGATCGTCATAACCTTGTTGGTCATAGCCTTGTTGATCATAACCCTGTTGATCATAGCTTTGTTGATCGTCATATGTTTCTGGTTCTGGTTCTGGTTCTGCACTACGTTTTGGAGGTGGAGGTGGTGCTTTTTTGACAGGCACTGGAGCAGGGGTTGGCTCTGGTTTGTAGTCTTCTTGAACAAACTTTGACACGATTGGTTTGGGAGCCACCTTTGGTGGAGGGGTTGCTGCTGCAGCTTTGACTGGTGGTGGAGTTGGTTGAGTGAATTTGGCAGCTACTGGAGGTGGTTTTACTGGTTGTGAAATAGGTACAGCAACTGGTGTTGGTTTAGCTGCTGGTGCTGGTGAAGAATAAGAAGAGGTGGTAGATGGTGCTGCTGCTGCTGCTGCTGGTTTTGGTGCTGGTTTAGATGGTGCTGGCTTTGAAGATTGTTGAGGTGGTGCAGCGGCGCCACCATCACCTCCACCATAGTATGCATGGAATTTAGGTAGTGATTGTGTTGTTGATTTTGATGCTTGTACAGGTACTTTGTCTGCAGGTGCATTCTTTTGAAGTAAATCTCTACCAATTACACTTGCTCTAACACCTACTGGCTCATTTACTTTGGTTTGTTTTGAATTATCGATATTATTTGTATTCTTTTTGAGTGAAACAAAAGAATAATGTTAACTATATAGTTGATCTGTTTTCTTTTTATCTTTTCTCTAGAATACGTACAACAAAATCGGAATCAGTATCCCAATCATCGTCTTCAGCATCGTTTGCATATTGTTTTCTCAGCTATAATAATAAAGTAGAAAGGGAGTTCAATAAATAGTTTTGGGGGTTTTAATTAATTTGATCTGATCATTGCTACTTACATCAAGTGAATTGCTCACTAATTTGTTTGTCATTGTTTGATATATTTGGTGTTGTTTGAATAAAAGTACAAAAGTTTAATAAATAAATAAATAGTAGTAGTTAAAAACAAACATGCAAGATATCTGGTACATTATTAAAAAAAAAAAAAAAAAAAAGTCACCTTGGTTTTTTGTTCTTTGAAAACAATGGGCAAAAAAAAATGCTCCTTCACTTTTTATTTCTACCTTTTAGAGATTTTGTTTGTTTAACCATTGAGAAAGGTCATTATTGAAAGATTCAAACCATTTACCATTGGTCTTGATGGATTCGATATCTTGTAGAATGGAACGATGAGCAATTGGGATGGCATTATCCTTGAGAAGGAACTTTTCAGCAATTTCAATTTGTTGGTCAGAGAGACGATAGGCAAGTGTCGATGTGATAATACGACCAAACAATCCACTCTCCTTGAAACGATCATTGATTGACTTGAAATTGTCGACAAAATATTTCCAAGTGTGACTACGTTGAGCGTGTCCGACACCAGACCATACGATAAAAGTATCTTGCATGTTTACAAATTCTGTGAGAGAGAATTTGAGGGCCTTTTCGACACCAGATGGACTACGATTGAGACCAATAGTTTGGAGATAGGAATTCTTTTCAGCGACAACCTTGGCCTTTTTGTAGAGTTCAATGACTTGATCTTGTACAGCTTCGTCACCGTTACGAACGACAGTGTGGAGTACAACAGCACGAACATCGGCAGTGAGTGGAGATGATCCATCAAGGTGTTTGGCGAAACGTTTCTTTGATTCTTCTACAATGGGAGCATAACCGAGGAGACCAAGACGGGTATTAACCTTTTCACGTAAAAGAACGTCAGATGATGATTCACCTTTGACTGATTCGAAACCAAGCTTGGTGGATAGTGGTGTAAGAAGTTTGACGACAAACTTTTCGAGTTGTTGGTGATATGGTTGATCTTCGGTGATGGCCAATAAAACAGAGAGACGGTCCATGATGAATGACCAAATGCTAAACTCGTTTTCATTTTCAAATGCCGATACTAGATCCATAAAGACAGAGAGTGGAGTTTGAAGAGCCTTGCTCAAAGCATTGGCATCAGATAAGAGACCCAAACGATCGGCAGCTGGTAATTCAAGAGACTTGATGGCTGGAAGGAGCAAATCAATGATGGATTGGTCGTATTGAATACGATAGTAACCAGTTTGCTTGTAGTTTGGCTTGAACCACTCTCCCTCTTTGACATTGATAGTTACATCCTTTTCTCTAGAGTCGAGCATGATTTCTTGGGATTGCTTGTCTCTAGTTTCCACTTGAATGTGACACTTCCAGATTGGATCCTTTGAAACATCGGCAGTTTCAGTGAAACGGAATTGTCTTTGGGAAACGTGATACGAACAACATGATCCTTGAGAACGAGTAAAAGATACGACTGGATAACCAGCCTTTTTAGTGTAGGCATCAACAAAGTCCTTTACATTATCATTGGCCTTTAGAGAGATTGAGTCCCAGAGATCTTCAGTGTTGGTGTTTTGGTACTTGAATTTGGTGAGGTAGTGATTGAGACCTTGACGGAAGGCATCACCGTAACGAGTGGCTACCATTTGAATGACACATGCACCCTTGTTGTAGGAAATGGCATCAAAGATTTCATTGATTTGAGCAGAGTTGTGGACAGGTACTTCGATTGGATGACTATTCTCCAAAGCATCCAAACCCAAAGCACCATTTCTATAGATTTCACTAAAATCTAACCAATCATTCCATTCTGGGAATAAATGATCAGTAACCAAAACTCCCATATAAGTTGCAAAACCTTCATTTAACCATAATTGTGACCACCATTCCATTGTTACCTAAAAAAAATAAAAATATAAATATAATATAATCTATCTATTTATCTATTTTTTTACATACTAAATTACCAAACCATTGATGAGCCAATTCATGACCAATAACTTCAGTGATTCTTTGTTTAGTTCTAAGAGTAGTTTGTGGAGAGGTAAGAAGAATAGATTCACGATAAGTGATCAAACCAAAATTCTCCATGGCACCAAAAGTAAAAGATCCAATGGCAATGTGATCACACTTTTTGAGTGGGAATGGGATTTCAAAATACTCTTCAAAGAAATCTAGGGCACGAATAGCAACATCGAGAGCAAAGTCGCCCTTTTCTTCTTTACCAATGGATTGATAGATACGAGTACGAACTCCACTCTTTGTGAATCCTTCGACATAATCAAATTCACCAACGACAAAGGCTACAATATAGGTAGACATACGAGGTGTCTTTTCAAAGACATAGGTATGAGTACCGTCGGCATTGTCAGTAAGAGATACTTCTGGTTGATTGGACAAGGCAGTGAGGTGCTTCTCGGTGGTGATGGTAATGTAAAACTCAGCCTTGAGTGCTGGTTCATCAAAACATGGGAAAGCACGACGAGCATCGGTTGCTTCAAATTGAGTGGTGGCAACATAACGATCTTCACCATTGACGACATACTTTGAACGGTAGAAACCCTTCAACTTGTCATTCAACTCTCCAGTAAAGGCAATGGCAAGTACGGCAGAGTCAGATGGACTAACCTCTTTTTCAAATGTAAGAACAGCAACTTCATCAGTAGTATCGTATTCAATATTGATGGCCTTGTTGTTATTGTTGATGGTAGCACTTTGAATGGCAATTTCAATAGAATGAATAACAATGGTAGTAGTTGGTTTGTTGACTTGCAATGTAATATCTACTTGTCCACGAAAAGTAAATGCCTTTATATTTGGATAAAGATGAAGATTATAACTTTTTGGTACTACATTGTCTGGTAATACCAAACGATCACCTCTATCAAATAAATATTTACTAGTAGTAGCTGTAGTAGTTGTCATCGTAGTAGTAGTATTGAATATATAATTAATAAAAGTTAAATGATTATTATTATTTTGATGATATATAACAAATGAGATAAATAATACTAAAACTGTAAGAACAACACTTTTATTTTTGATGTTCATTTTGGTTTGAATGGTGGAAGCCTCACAACAAAAAAGAATGAATATCCCAGGTTTCTTTTTTTTTTTTTTTTTTTTTTTTTTTTTTTTCTTCTCCGATTCACCAGCTCCTTCTAGAAATGCATAAGATTGTCGCAAAAGGTAATCATTTGAATCGAATCGAATCAAAGAATGATACCAACAACCAAAGATGATACAACCTTTGACAACAACAACAAAGAGATGCCATTTACAAGCGATCAAATATTTGATGCAATTCGAAATGCTCAAGGAGATACACCATTTCATCTATACAATGGTGATATGATTGCTGAAAATGCACGTCATATGATCAAATCGTTTAGAAATCATTTCACTCATTACACCAACTATTTTGCTGTAAAGGCAACTCCTAATCCACATCTACTAGATCTACTTAAACAACAAGGAATGGGTGTAGATTGTAGTTCTTTTGCAGAATTAATCTTATCTCAAAAAGGTAAAAAACAAAACAGTGATATACAGAACAACAATCTGTTTGTTCTCTCTCTCTCTCTCTCTCTCTCTTTCTCTCTCTCTCTCTCTCTCTCTCTCTCTCTCTCTCTCTCTCTCTCTCTCTCTCTCTCTTCTCTATATTGTATCTAACAATGATTTTATTTATTTATTATTTTATAGTTGGATTTAAAGGTGATGAAATTATGTTTACAAGTAATAATACACCAGACAAGGAATATCAATTGGCATATGAATTGGGTGCAGTCATCAACCTTGATGATATAACACAAATTGATGCAATGAAACAGGCACTTGGTGGTGAGAAGATGCCAAGAATGGTATCTTTGAGATATAATCCTGGACCACTTAAACAAGGAAATGCAATCATTGGAGAACCACAAGAAGCAAAGTTTGGTTTGACTGCTGCTCAATTGCCAGAGGCATATGCCAAGCTAAAGGCTTTGGGTGTAGATAGATTTGGTTTACATTGTATGGTGGCATCGAATGAGTTGCAACTAGATTACTTTGAAGAGACTGCCAAATTACTCTTTAATACTGTTGCAGAGTTGTCTCGGTCACCAATGTCACTCACTTTTGAAATGATAAACTTGGGTGGTGGTATTGGTATCCCTTATCGACCAGGTCAAAAACCCGTTGATTTTGTACAACTTGCTCAAAGAATAGCCAACCAATACAATAATATCATATTACCACTACTCTCTGATCAACAACAATACGTCAACGCCAACATTAAAGAAATTAAAATTGTAACTGAATGTGGTAGAGTTGTCACTGGACCATATGGTTGTCTCATTACAAAAGCTATTCACCACAAATCAACTTATAAACAATATGTAGGAGTTGATGCCTGTATGGTTAATTTAATGCGTCCTGGAATGTATGGTGCTTATCATCATATTACTGTTTTAAAACAAAATAATCAAAATAATCAAAATAATCAAAATAATCAAAATAATAATAATCTATATGATATAGTTGGATCATTATGTGAGAATAATGATAAATTTGCAGTAAATAGATCATTACCAAACATTGAAAAAGGAGATATATTGGTGATTCATGATAGTGGAGCACATGGACATAGTATGGGTTTTAACTACAACGGAAAGACAAGATCGGCTGAATATTTATTTACTACTACCAACAACAACAACAACGAGACCAAAACATTCACATGCATCCGAAGAGGTGAAACCTTGGATGATTTATTCACAACATTGGATTTCTCAAAATGGGACAACAAAGACCTTTGAAAAATGCGCAACAATGAAAAAATTTAAATAAAAAAAAAAATTAAATAAAAATTTTTTAAAACGAACGAAGGAGAGAGGGGTCTCGTTTTTTTCCTTTTGATTTAATTATAACACAATAATATTAATCAACAGCAACAACGATAAGATGAATAATAAACCAACAAAAAAAGATTATCCTAGAAGAAAGGCAGGATTTAAAGCAGCAGAAGAAGTACCATCTACACTTGAACAAGCAGAAAAGATATATCAAGAGGAACAATCACTTAGTGTTATCATTCAATTCAAAAATAAAGATGATCAAGAATCTGAACCAACTGGTCCACCAATCTCTGTACCTCAAAATATAACTACTGAACAACTACAACTTTTGATTAATAATTTATTAAAAAATGTACGCAATATTATTTATTTGCATATACGAGTATATCAAATTATATTAACAAATCATATTATTATTACTCTTTTTCTTTCTCTTTTTCTTTTTCTTTTTCTTTTTCTTTTTCTTTTTCTTTTTCTTTTTAGGATGAAGAATTACCATATTCATTCTTTGTAGATGAGAATGAAATTGTAAAATCTTTAAAGAATCATATGCAAGGACAATCTGAAGAGACAACATTAAACATTTTATATCAACCACAAGCAGTTTTTAGAATTACACCAGTAACAAGATGTTCATCGTCAATGGAAGGACATACAGAGGCCGTATTAAATAGTGCTTTCTCACCAGATGGTAGTGGTTTGGCATCGGTTGGTGGTGATGGTACATTAAGAATTTGGGATTTAAATACTCAAACTCCAATCTTTACTTGCAAGTATGTAAAACTATATAGTTTATTTATTTATTTATTTATTTATAATTTACATATGACCATCTATTTATTAATCTATCATTATCTATTTTAGGGGTCATACAAATTGGGTATTACAAGTTTCATGGTCACCAGATGGTAAAAAGATTGCAACAGGTGGAATGGAAGGTGAAATTCGTATATGGAATCCAAAGACTGGTAAACAAATGGGATCAGTTTTAAGGGGACATACAAAGTTTATTACTGCATTGCAATGGGAACCATATCATTTAAATCCAAATTGTACCAGATTGGCATCATCTTCAAAGGATGCCACCGTAAAGATTTGGGATACAGAATCAAACAAGTGTCTCATGACTCTATCGGGACACACAATGAGTGTCACTTGTCTCAGATGGAGTGGTGAAGGTCTCATCTATTCGGGATCACAAGACAGAACCATCAGAGTTTTCAACACCAACGAAGGTAGATTAATACGTGCACTCGAAGGTCATGCTCATTGGGTCAATAGTATAGCCCTCAATACTGACTATGTCCTCAGAACCGGTCCATTTGATCACACTGGAAAACATCACGACACCAAAGAAGAGGCTCAAAAGGCTGCACTCGAGAGATATAATCAAGTATTAAATTCGGTAGCAGGTGGCACCAAAGGTGATGTAATGGTATCTGGATCAGATGATTTTACATGTATCGTTTGGAATCCTGCACATGCCAAGGCACCAGTAGCTCGTTTGGCTGGACATCAACAATTAATTAATCTTGTATCATTTTCACCAAATGGTCGTTATTTTGCCAGCGCATCATTTGACAAATCAATCAAGTTGTGGGACGCTGCAAATAACAAGTTTTTGGGTAATTTCAGAGGACATGTTGGTGCCGTCTATCAAGTGTGTTGGAGTAGCGATAGTAGATATTTAGTTAGTGGTAGCAAAGATAGTACTCTCAAGATTTGGGATATCAAGACAAAGAAAATGACCATCGAATTACCAGGTCATGCCGATGAAGTTTATACTGTAGATTGGAGTCCAGATGGTCAAAGTGTTGTTTCTGGTAGTAAGGATAGATTATTAAAAATGTATGTAACTCTAAACCAAATGATAGGTCTTCAAACAAATAGGTTATTAATATTTATTTATTTTTATAGTTGGAGAAATTAATAAAACTCTTAATATTATATATATATATTTTTACAATTTTATGATACGGTTGGTTGGTTAGGGACATCATATTAATAAGTCATTGGAGTAGTATGCAACAAATAGTATTGATCATTCATCTTTTTCTCTTTTCTTTTAGATCTAAAAGTAACAAAAAATATAGAAATACAACCAATTAAATTTAATATTGAACTAACAAGACAAAGAATCTTTGATAATATAATGTTAGTCTACATATGGTGATGATCAATCCTACTACTATTACTACTGGTATACTCACCCATCCTGTATACGGACCCCAAACAGAAGTTGATTTGGTTGTTTTTGTGGATTTGATAAACTTTGTCTGGTCCAATAAATCACAAAAGATATATAATTGTCCATCATCGGAATCAGAGCTATTATTATTAGATGATGATGATTGATCATTTTTACAGTCCTAAACAAAGAGAGAGAGAGAGAGAGAGAGAAAGAGAGAATGACTATTAATATTGGGATGTTTAAACCAAATATAATCTCTATCTACATACATTAGAAAGAGAAGTCATTATATTGGTAAAATAAATAGTAGAAGTGACGATGGAAGCCAATGAAATAATGGACAATAATCTGGAAGATCGTGAAAGTAGTGAAGATGATTTCTTGAATCCAAACAAAACGGTTGCATGTACCAGACAAACAATGATCGATGTTACTGCAGATAGTACCAAAAAACCAGATGAAATGGCAAATGTAGATCGAGTGGCATGATAGTCTTGGTAGTCATGTTTCTCAGAGTATGAACTATTAGAGTTCATATAATACTTAAAGTAAAAGTAGGTTCGATCATTTGGTGAATCGTGACCAACAATCGTAGCTTTTAAATTCCAATCAATCTTGAACCAATAGACTAAATATAAAAATATATATAGCAAAAGAAAGACAATAATTGATTGAATCAATTGGTGGTAGTTCTCTTTGATTGATCGATTGATGATGCTTCTAATAATAATATAACATACCTTGTGATGATGCAATATAACAAGAAAGGATCAAAAAATATATAAACAAAGGAATAATATTAGAATACCTATTCCTTTTATGATGACTCAAGTTGGGTCATATTAATCTTGTTGCAATTGATCTAATATTTGTAATAGTTGTCTTGCAACTATAAAGAGTTACAATCGTTGTTAATCATTTGAGCTTTTATTTTAAATATCTTTAATTTGTGTAAAGTTGTTCGAAAAAGGTCATTTTTTAGATATAGTCGACCATCATTGCTTGTTTAAACTAATCAATACAATGACTACTATTGTACCCTCTATTGATGCACGTAATGACATTGAACATCCTAGAACATTAATACCACAACTATGTCAACAATTCTATCATCTAGGTTGGGTCACAGGTACAGGTGGTGGTATTAGCATTAAACATGGGTAAATATAATATAATATAATATATAATATATACTTACTTTTATACAACAAGAAAGTAATCACTCATTAATCATGAAATCTAACTCTACTCTATTATGACATTGTCTATAGAAAAGAGATTTATATAGCAGCATCAGGAGTACAAAAAGAGAGAATTCAAGGAGATGATATATTTGTAATGGATGAACAAGAGAATGAGATTAGTTGTCCATCACCAACAAAAGGATTAAGACCAAGTCAATGTACTCCACTATTCTTTAATGCCTACAAAATGAGAGGTGCTGGTGCAGTCATTCATACACATTCAAAACATGCAGTCATGGCAACACTATTGTATACTGGTACCGAATTTGAAATATCACACCAAGAGATGATCAAAGGCATAGTATCTGGACATGGAGTCAATGCAAAGTATCTACAATATCAAGATCGATTGGTGGTACCAATCATTGAAAATACACCACACGAAAGAGATCTTAAAGATCGTATGGCTCGTGCAATGGATGCCTATCCAAATGCATCGGCAGTACTCGTTAGAAGACATGGTCTATATGTATGGGGAAAGGATTGGATTCAAGCAAAAACAATGTGTGAATGTTATGATTATCTATTTGAAATTGCTGTAAAGATGAAAAAAATGCGTTTAGGTCCTTGTGAAACACCAATTGAAAATAAAGATTGTTGTTATGAAGACAATTGATTATATTAAATCAAAAAATTATTCTTTATTCTCTCTCTCTATAGAGAAGATTTAAAATGTACTCTTCTCTGATTGTTGTTGTTATTATTATTATTATTATTATTATTATTATTATTATTATTGGTTGTTGGCAACATCATTGATGCCACTTGTTTACCAACCAAACTACCAATTGCAACACCCATTCCACCCATTCTAACGGCAAGATAAATATTTGGTGAATAATTTTTAATGATTGGTTTCTTGTCTTTACCAAAAGCCATAATACCAGCCCATTGATATTCAATAGTAAAAGATCGATTGGGAATGATAACTTTTGAAAGATAATCTTCCAAACTATCTAAAATCTTTTTGTTGCTCTTAAAGGCTGTCGACATTTCACCTTGTACATCCAAGTTTCTACCTCCACCAAATAAAATGCCACCATCTAATTCTCTAAAGTAATAATATCCTTCATCAAAATGATAGATACCTTTAAATGGTACACCACCTTGAATGTTGCTTGCATAAATTACTTGTCCTCTACCTGGAATTACATCTTCCTTATTATTTTGATTATTTTGATTATTATCAAGAACGAGAACTTCATTTGTGAAAGCATTTGTACAAATGACCAATTTCTTGCAAATAAACTCTATATTTTCACCCAAAGTATTATTCTTTACCATAACCCTTACATTGTAATCTTGTTGTTGAGTTTGTTGTTGTTGTTGTTGTTGTTGTTGTTGTTGTTGATCAAAAAATGAAATGACGGGAGCATTTTTAATTTCTACACCAAGTTGTTGAGCATAACGACAATAAGCCTTCATCATCATACCAGTATTAATCTCTGCTTCATAATTATTTTTAATCAGATGGAGAGCATAATCTCTGTTGAATTGACTATTGATGAGATCTTGTTGGCTACACAATGTGAAAGCGTCACCACCCAATACAGGTCTTAGCATGTCATTGATAGATTGAAGATGAGGTAATGCCCATAGTTGATCTTTAGATATGAGTTCATAGGAACCATTATCTTTGTAACCAATATTATCGTCGCCCAATCTGTCTCTTAGTAGTTTCAAACCTTCTCTTCTAGTCTTTACAAGATTGATAACCGTCTCTTTTGACATTGTTTTGAGGTCATCCAATAGTTCAGTTAGACTACCACAAGTTGCAAAACCAGCATTTTTAGTGCTAGCACCTGTTGGTATTACTTCTCTTTCCAATATCAATACAGATGCATGTGCATTGAGCTCTTTGATACTAACGCTACTAGATAATCCAACAATTCCACCTCCAACTACAATGTAATCATATTTCAATAATGATTCTTTTTCCCAATATGATAACATCTCTCTATATCTATCTCTCTCTCTTTCTCTCTATCTTTCGTCTTGTTGCTTGAGTAATTATAAGATGATAGGACATAAATGAAAAGACTTCACCAATAAAAAAATAAAAAAAAAGATTTTAATAGATATTTGTTATCGTTGCGAACTTCCATTTTTGAGGTATCTTAACGAAATTTCGGTTGCCGCCGACCGAATGATATAATTTATTTGTTTTCGTTCGTTTTTTTTTTTCATGTCTCACATTCTCTACAAAGCCTCATTTTTTTTTTTATTATTATAATCTAAATTTATATTATACTAATATTTAAAACAACAAAATGTCATTCTTTGGAGCCACAATCACAAAAGACGAAAGCCTTGACCTCATCCTCGATGAAGGTATGACTTTTAATCTTACAAACGTAACTATCAAATAAGAGAGAGAGAGAGGAGTAGTTAGTAGTGAGTGGTCACGTTGTTTTTTCATACTAAACACAAAATCATCAAATTACTTTTAATATTATTTATATTTATAGGTTGTCATTTCACGTGAATCAAAGGGAACTGGTAAATGTTGGTTGGTTGCTCATTTGATTGAAGAAGATCCAGAGACTGGAAATGAAGAAATCATCGAAAAGGTTACCATTGCCACTTTGGTTGCCGACAAGATCGAACAAGTAAATGTCAACCTCGTTTTTGATAGTTCTCTCCAAGCCTCTATTAAATTGGAAGGTGATGATAAGTGTCCAACTCATATCTGTGTCTCTGGTATCATGATGGCCTCTGACGATGAAGATGATATGCCACATTGCGACGATGAAGACTGTGAACACCAAGACTGTGGTATGTTTGGTGAAGAAGACAGTGAAGACATGGAAGACAGTGACGACGACGACGACGAAGATGAAGATATTCCAGCTTTAAAGGTCAACGGTAACAACAAGAAACCAACCGCTAAAATCACTGAAATTCCAGACAAGTCTGTTGCCAAGCCAAAGCAACCACAACAACAACCATCAAAGAAGCAAGCTGCCAACCCTTCTGCTGCTGCCCCAAAGCAACCACAACAACAACAACAACAACAACCAAAGCAACAACAACAACAAAAGCCACAACAACAACAACCAAAGAGACCAAACGGATCAGAGTCAAAGCAACAACAACCAATCAAAAAATCAAAAAACTAAACTAGCGAGGTATTAATAATAAACTGAAAGTGTTTCAAAGTTTGAAATTGTTTTAATAATAATAATAATATTATTAAAAAGAACTAAAAGTCTATTTGAGCCTTTATTCAAAATGAGGAGAAAAAATTTTTACAAAAGAGATTTGAAAAAAAAAGAGAGTTAGTATGATCAAAAAATGAAATAAATAATATAATAATAATAATCATACCTTTAAGAGCCCAAATTGTGTTGATGCCTCGGTTTGTACCCTGGCAATTAATTTGTTTTTCCATATCTTAACGGACGGTGACCATTTTTCCAAACTTTAAAAATACCAAGTAGCAGCATATTACGTGCTGCATTAACCCCAACACATCTTCACCACGCAACCCAAAAGGTTTTGATTTCTTTTATTTTTTTTGGTTTATTGGTTTTACAAATAAATAGATTAATAATCCTCACGACGACGCGACACTCTCAACCAAAAATTTTCAAAACCCCCTCAGAAAATAAACACTCATTTTTAAAATATTTTTGGAGGGAATTTTTTGAAACAATATTACGACATATTTTTTTGGAGGGAAATTAATGCCAAACAAACATAGATTTCTCGACCATCAAGGTTTTGTGTATGTTACATACCAAAAAAGAGAGAAAAGTACTTCATGGTATTACCACAAATTGGTCAACAGCAGCAGCAACAACAGCAGCAGCAACAGCAACAACAACAACAACAGACACAACTCAAATCATCAAATACAACAAGTAATTATGGTGGTGCACATGCTTTGAACGAAACACAACCCAAAGTTATAGATGAAATAGCAGAATCTGTCTATGCCAACTTTGTATTATTTTTGAATCAATTTGATCTTCCCAAGTCAAACAACAACAATGATAATGATAATGATAATAAAAGAGCTGATCAAGAACAACAAATGGGGTTTGGATTGAACCAAGACAAGATCTCTTCCTATTATCAAAAAAAGATAAATACAATGCTAAAGAACAATGAATCAAGTTTAAATGTAAACTTTGTTCATGTACAACAATTCAACAAGACATTGGCAAGAGCAATTCAAGATCAATATCACAGAGTCGAACAACCACTTCGAAAATCTCTATTGCTCGTGGCAAAGGATGTAATGCCAGAGTATTTTGTTAATTTGTCACAAAACAAAGAAGCAGAAAGACCATTTTTTATTTGTTTCTACAATGTATCTGAAGAATTAAAGTATGTAGACTAACTATTATTATTATTATTATTATTATTATTATTATTATTATTGTTTAAAAACATTGCTAATAATTAATTAATTATTTATTTATTTATTTATTTATTTAATTATAGGATAAGAGAACTAAGAACATCAAGAATAGGTAGACTATGTACGATTACAGGAACTGTTACAAGAACAAGTGAAATTAGACCAGAACTTTTAATTGGATCATTTTCTTGTATGGATTGCTCCAACCCTTCAAGTAAAATTCATCAACAATTCAAATATACTGAACCTTCAAAGTGTTTAAATCCTCTTTGCCACAATGCAAGGCGTTGGCAAATCAATTTGGATGATTCAATTTTTGTTGATTGGCAGAAAGTTCGTATTCAAGAAAATAGTGGAGAAATTCCTTCGGGTAGTATGCCAAGATCGATAGATATCATTTTACGTGGTGATGCTGTAGAGGTTGCTCGTGCCGGTGATAGATGTCAATTCACTGGCACTTTAATGGTTATCCCAGATGTATCACGAATGAATATTGGACAGAGTGCATCTATCATCAAAGGTGTTCCCAACTCTGTTGGTGAAGGTGCTGGAAAGGATGATTTTGGTGGCGTTGGTGGCCTAAAGGATCTAGGTGTCAGAGAGATGAACTACAAATTGTGTTTCTTCTCTTCGACTGTTAGATCTATTGAAAGTAAATCATCTTTGGAAGGTACCTCATCTGCAAGTGAGCAATCTATCAACACAAAGGCATCAACAGAGGATCAAGAAGACGAAGAAATCAATTCACCAGAAGATTTTCTTAAACTCCTCTCGGACAAAGAGAGAGAGGCAGTTCTCAAAATATCAAAAACCAAAAAGCTCTACAAAACGTTGGTCAATTCAATTGCACCATCCATTTTTGGTCATGAAGAGATTAAGCGTGGTGTCTTGTTAATGATGTTTGGTGGTGTACATAAAAAAACACCAGAAAGAATTAGACTCAGAGGTGACATTAATGTTTGTATAGTTGGCGACCCCTCAACCTCTAAAAGTCAGTTCCTAAAGTATCTCGTTTCATTTATGCCACGTACCGTTTACACATCTGGAAAAGCTTCCTCTGCCGCTGGTTTGACTGCAACCGTTGTAAAGGATCCAGATACTGGTGATTTTAATATCGAAGCTGGTGCTTTGATGTTGGCCGATAATGGTATATGTTGCATTGATGAATTTGATAAAATGGAACCATCCGATCAAGTTGCAATTCACGAAGCAATGGAACAACAAACTATTTCAATTGCAAAGGCTGGTATCCATGCAACTCTAAACGCCCGTGCAAGTATTTTAGCAGCTGCAAATCCTATAGGTGGAAGATATGATAAATCAAAATCTCTAAAGGTAAACAAAAAAAACAAAATAATAGAAATAATAATAATTCTTCTTCTTATTCTTTTTTTTTTTTTTTTTTTTTAAGGCAAATTTAAATATTGGATCACCTTTAATGTCAAGATTTGATTTATTTTTTGTTGTATTGGATGAATGTGATAAAGAATTGGATAGAAAGATTGCAAAGCATATTGTATCTGTACATCAAAAGAAGGAGAAATCGTTAACAGCTCTATTCGAACCCAAGGACATCCAAAACTATATCAAATATGCTCGATTATTCAAACCAATGATCTCACAAGAGAGCACATCCCTATTTGAAAAATATTACTCAATGTTGCGTCAAAACGATACAAGTTATGGTGGAAAAACAGCTTATCGTATAACAGTCAGACAATTAGAGTCAATGATCAGATTATCAGAGGCAATGGCAAGATTGCATCTTGACAACCAAGTTGTACCTCGTTATGTGGAAGAGGCTTTTAGATTGTTAAAAAAATCAATCATACACGTTCAAACAGATGATTTGGAATTATCTGACAATGAAATGGAAAACCATAATAGCATCACCGACGTTAACAACAACAACAACAACATAAAAAGAAAGAGAAGAGATGAAGATGATGAACCAGTTAGTATGAGCCAAGATACAAACGACAATGACAGTAATAATAATAACCAAAAGAAAAAGAATTTAAAGAAATCAACAACAACAAAACAAAAAGCACGCATTACAGCTGACGATTATTTCCGAATTTGCAAACTTTTCCAATTGCACATTCTTAGAAGAACAGATGGCCAAATGAAATTAAAAGACTTGCTCGATTGGTATGTCAAAGATCAACTTGAAACCAATATCATCTCAGAGGATGAAGTCGATAAAGAAAGACAATTGGCAAGATTAATCATCAACAAAATGATAAACGATGGATCTATTGTTGTCCTTCAAGGCAATACAGACCCTGATGAAAGAGTTGTCCAAGTTAATCCAAATGTGGTTGTTTAATAAATCTTTAAAATATTTTGGTACAATTGTAATTAAACCGATTTAGGTGCATATATATTTTATTAAAAATTATGGACACATTATTTAAATCAAAGAGTATTTTTCAATGATGGAAAGAAAGAATCACCATTGGTTATAAATTGGGAAATGAAATTATTTCTTTTTGAGAGCGTCAATAGTCGATTGCAAGTCATCTGCCTCTTTTTTAACACTTTCAAATTCCTGTTTCATCGATTTAAATCCAACCATTGTATCGATTGCAAAAGGTGGAGGGGGTGTATCAACATTTTCTGGTTGCAAGGGTTCGCTTGGTGGTCCAACCAAATTAATTGGATTGTTATTATTTAAGGGTGGGAGTGGAGTTTGAACAAGTAGATTTTTATCTAGATATAATATTTTAAAAATTTAACAAATGTTAGAAAATATATTTATATATATTTGTAGTGCAGAATAAACTTACCAGATATTTGATAAGAGGACAAAGAAGGAGAATTGGTTGCTGGGGAAGAGTTAAATCGTTTTGTAGGTTGATGGTAATGCACATCAGGTGTTAAAGCATCTCCACCCTGATTGACTGAACTACTAGCACTTTGTTGGTTCTCAACATTACTATTATTATTATTATTATTATTATTATTATTATTATTATTATTATTATTATTATTATTGTTATTATTATTATTATTATTTACCGAATTGCTACTAGTATTTAAAGAGGAAGAAGAAGAAGTCAATGATGGAGATGAGGTTTGATTTTGACTTTGATTTTGTGAAGTATAATTGGAAGTTGTTTTTAAAGAAAACTTTCTCTTTCTCATTCCATCCATAAAGTCCTCATTTTCATAAGGATTTGGTATATCATCCTTTAAACACCAATATCCAGTGTTTTGAAAGATATGATACCCATTTTGGAAGAGGTTGCTATAATGGCTAAGAGTCATACCAATTGTATGTTTCCAATGTGGAATTCCTATGGTAAAAAAAAAAAAAGCTATTGTTAACTTTGACCTTTGAACAATTGTTATTTTGTTTCTACCTACTTTCTCTCCTGCAAATAACATCCCAATGAATATTAATAAAATCGTAAATATCATCTCTTAGATGGAAATATTTTTTTCCACTATTGACTATTGAATCTCTATTTTGATTATTGCCAGTGCCACCACCACCAAGTGCAGGTGGTGATTTTTGCAATGCTGTTTTAGAGGAAGAATCGGTCAATGCAAATAATACAACATGTAAAATTTGAGCCCTACAAAAAAAAAAAAAAAGAAATAAGTTATTAAAATCATTTCTAGAACTTTAATTGAATCAATCAAAAATGCAATCTATCTTACCAGATGGGTGTTCCTTTCTCAAAGCTCTTTGGTGGACCTTTTTGACAAACAATGCATTCTGGTAATCGACAAACAGCATTTTGTGATGGAGGAGTAGTTGATGACTTTTTTGGATTATAAAAATGGCTATTTGTTCTTTTTGGTGGAAGATATATACTAATGGTTTGTGTATTATTTGATGATGGTGGTTGTGTTGACTGTTGTTGTTGTTGTTGTTGTTGTTGTTGTTGTGATGGTTGATTATTGTTTGAAACATAGTTTTGATTCATATTTACAAAATTACCCTTTGGGTTGTTGATACTTGAATCGGGACTCTGGGTAAAAGAGGATGGATCCGATGATTGATTGTATTTGCCTACTTGTGATTGCTCATAGTAATGGTGATATTGTGATTGTACGTTATTAGGTAGTGGACCACGACCAATAGCAGCACCTCCTGTATTACTTCCACTCGAAGTATCACGACCACCAATCAAAATCGGTGAATCTTTGGAATTGATGCTTTGTTGTTGTTGATAGAGTTGGTGATCATTTGATTTTTTGTTGTTTGAAAATGATGGTGGTTGTTGCTGCTTTTGTTCCAATAGTTGTTGTTTGTATTGTTGAATCTGAAGCTGTTGATCGTGTGGGGTATAGGAGGAGTGGATAATCAATAATATTGGTGTGTCTTTATTAAATGGTTTAACACCAAAAGTCAAGGGCGATGGTGGTTGTTGTTGTTGAGTTGATACGTTTGTACTAGAGGTAGTGGGAGGAGAAGAAGAAGATCCTCCACCTATTGTCATCATAGTATCTGAATTATCCATTGGAATCATTATGTGTAAGATATAAAGGAGAGAACTGAGAGTGAGAGGAGAATGGGTTATGATGATGCTGGTGATGATGAGAGTGAGTGTTTACAATAAATAATCATATTGTCAATATAAGACTTTGTGTTTGCTAATAGTTGTAACAGTGAACAACAAGAGAGGTAAACAAAGCAATGCTAAATAAAGTGAGATCACTCTTCCTTTACTTTATAACTACTACTACTCTACTTTTTCTTCTTTGCTCGTACTGCAGTAATATATAGGGTTAGGGTTGAGAAATTAAGTTTTCTTTTTTGGTAACCAACAAAATTTCGTGTCAACTACTAACACAATAGAAGGGACCTTTCTAAAATAAATTATTATTATTTGTATTTGTGTTTTATATATATATATATTAAAAAGTAGAGTGGTTTTTTTAAAGTAGTGAGAGAAAGGGTAGGGAGTTGATTCAGTCTACCTGCTTTGTTGTTTGTTGATATTATTGAATCACATAATCCATGGTTTATGTTTTTTTTAAAGAGATTGTGTCCTCGTACAGAGGAGGGCTGATATTCATTTGGTGTGAGACCACATAAAAGGAAACATCCCCCCAAAAAGAAAACACGAATATGATCGATGGGGGTGTATTTTGCTAAAAAGGAACAATGTTTCCCAAAAAAAAAAAGTATCTACCCAATTAAAAAAAAAAGTTGAACGAAAATTGAAGCCAAAGGCACCCCTCCAAAAGGAGTTGTAGCTTGTCAATCGATTTTTTTGGACAAGAGAATGAAAAAAAAAAAAAAAAAAAAAAAAAAAAAAGACTTTTTGAGGTACAGAAAGTTGCGGCACCCCCTCTTTATCGATTGTCGCTTGCGTTTATTATTATTATTATAATAACGACAACAACAAAATCGTCATAGTTTTTTTAGAGTGACGGGGTTCGGTGGATATTTTCAGAGATAAAGGCCAATTTGGAAGCAAATTCTCTCGCTCTGGCTGTCAGAGGCTTTCCAGCTCCATGTCCAGTCTTTTGATCGATGAGGATAATCAAGGGGTTGGTTTGAGATGTCAGGTTTCCCAACTGGTATTGGAGCTGCGATATGTATTTGTACGAGTGAGAAGGAACCACACGATCGTCGTGGTCTCCAGTGAGCAAAAGTGTTGCTGGGTATGTGATACCTTTGTTCTTTACTGCATCTAAATTGACATTATTAATTGGTGAGTAGCCAAAGAGCACATCAAAATCTTTTGGATCTTCAGAGCATCCATAATCGCTTGACCAATGAGAACCAACTGTAAATTTATGGAATTTTAACATATCATAAACTCCTACCTCTCCAATTGATACTAAAAAAAAAAAGAAAAAAAAAAGGTAAATATATAGAGAGTTTAAATATTTAGATTTAAAAGTTTGTTTGTTTTTTTTTTTTACCTTTAAAAAGATCAGGTCTTTGATTGGTAGTTGCAGCAACTAATAGACCACCATTTGATCCACCATTAATGGTGATGAGGTCTTTTGTGGTGTACCCTTGGTCCATCAGATATTCAGCGGCAGAGATAAAATCGTCAAAACAATTTTGCTTATTGTGGAGAGAACCGTTCTTGTGCCATTCTTTTCCATACTCTCCACCACCTCTAATATTTGCTTGTACAAAGACACCATCGAATTTATCGATAAAAAATATGTTTTGAAGGCTAAAATAGGGAGAGAGTGATATTTCAAAACCACCATAGCCATACAACATCAAAGGTGCTGGTTTACTTTGTTTTGGAGCAAAGTCTTTCTTGTGAACCACAAACATTGGTACTCTTGTACCATCCTTTGAATTATAAAATAATTGTTTACAAACATAATCATTTGAATTAAAGTTTTCTATACAAATAAATAAATTAATAAAAATAATATATTAAATTTTTAGATTTGATTTTACTACTTACTAACGGTTGGTTCTTTAAAAAGTTTAACTTTATCATCAATAGTATTTAAATAAAATATAGTACTTGGATAGGTAAATGAAGCAAACGAGAAATAGATATGGGTATGGTATGGATTGGCAGCAAATGAAGAGACACAACCTGGACCAGGTAGTTCAATATCATAAAGGTATTGTCCTTTGATATCGTACACCTTGATGACATCTTGAACATCCTTGAGGTAGGAGAGATAGAATTTGTTGGATGATGATGTTACTGATTCCAAATTATCGGTGGCTTGACCAACTAATGATTTGATTTCGAGTGGTTGACCACTTTGTTTTGGAAGTTGAAAGTAAATCAATCTATTCAATGGAGCATCGAGATTGGTGGTCAGGTAGAACATGTCATCGACGCTATGAATCAAATTGTAAGAGGCATTAAAGTCTGTGACCAATTTGATCTCTTCAAAGCTAGTTGATGTCTTGTCGTTGATGACCGACTCCCAATTGGTAATGACAGAGAGATTAACCTCTGGATTACAGTCTCTAGAGGTGTATATTACCAAATACTTATAGTCGGTAGTAAACTCGACAGAAAACATGTATTGTGAGTGTTCCTTTGATTCATAGATGAGTATATCTTGGGATTGTTGTGTACCAAGTCTATGATAATATAGTTTTTGGTATTCGTTGACATCATTTTCAGTACCCAATGAGCTATCTAAAGTATCGGCAGTGGTGGTGGTGGTGGTGGTGGTGGTAGTGGTTGGAGGTGGAGGGAATCTGCCATAAATGAATCCAGTTTCGTTTTGGTCCCAAACTGGATGCGAGAATTTGCTGTATTCTAGATGGTCGGATAAATGTTCAATCTCTGATCCATTAATTCTAATGACTTTAAAGTTTACCCAATCGGAACCACTCTGACTGTAACCATAGGCAACTAGTTTACCGGAATTTGATATTTGAATCGATGAGAGCGACCATGTACCGTCTTTGGCATAGCTGTTGGGATCAATCAAAACATGTTCCGTTTGAGTGCTGTCATCCAAATCTATGAAATAGATGATACTTTGATTCAATAGACCTGGGTTCTTGTCAAAGAACAATCTTGATCCACGACGGCGAAACCATGAAAATTTCTCATAGTTTACTCTTGACATGTATTCTTGGTGGAGTTGATCAGTTAACTTTTCATTGATAAAATTGCTTGTCACTTGATTTTGTTCTTTTACCCAACTCTTAAAAATATAATAAATATTAAATAATAATAGATTAGATTGGTAACAAGTTGTATTATTATTATTACCCATTATCCATATTATTATTATTATTAATATTGTTTCATTATGACTTACAATAGTTCTAGGATCATCTTGATTCTCTAACCATCTGTATGGGTCAGCTACTTGTTGAGTTGTGCCATCAGATCTCTTGTAACTATCAACAGCAGTCTCATCTCTAAATGTTTGGGGATATTTTATCATTTATTATTTTAAATATTATTATTTTATCTTTATGTATTACAAATAATATACTAATAAATGAGTATTGAATTTGGTGAACACTTTTTGATGATCAAAAAAAAACATTTTAATTTTAATTAAATATTTTTGGTGTGTTCCAAAGGTTGAAACAATAAGTCGTTTGATTAATATTAGAATATATATATATATCCAATGGCTACTCCAATACAACCTGTAATACCATCATTTTATAAACCAAAAGGAACAACAGCAGCAGCAACAAACAATAAAAATGTTAATGACAATCATAAAGAATCAGTCATAGGAACAAATGATGATGCAGCATCATGCAAAGAGTAAAAGAATAACAACAACAACAAGATCAACAACAAACATTCATCATTTATTAATAATCTATTATTTCTAGGTCTGCCGTAAAGATTGGTTACTGGAAAGATGATTTTATACAATACTTTGTTAAATCACCTGTTCGTAGAGCACCTTTAATCAACAGAGGTTTCTTTACAAGAGTAGAGACTGTAGAGGCTTTATTAAATCAATTCATTCAAGTATATACTACCCCTTCCTCTTCTTCTTCTTCTTCCCCCTCTTGTTTGCAATTAGTTAATCTTGGTTGTGGATATGATACACTATTCTTTAGATTAAAACAACAACAACAACAACAACAACATGAAATAACATTCTTTGAAGTTGATTATTTACAGGTTATACAAAACAAACTCAAGATTATAAATTCAACCAAAGAGTTGCGTCATTTAGTAGACAGTGATTGGAATGATCCAATACCATCATCATCATCATCATCATCAACGAACCAAACCCAAACCAATGGTTTACACAATGTAAAGATTGATTGGGAGAATAATAGAATGATATCACCTCATTATCGAGTCTCTCCCATTGATCTTTGTAACATTTCTTCATTTGATGAAATATTCAATTCACTTGGTATCAATTACAAGTATGTTATCCTTTTTTTTACACTTTTATGTAATGAATCAAAACCAATTATTTATCATTTATTATTTAGTATACCTACAATATTTTTATCAGAATGTGTAATTATATACATTACAGCAGATAATGGAAACAAAGTTATTAAATGGGCATCTGATCATTTTAAAGAGAGTTGTTTTGTTACCTATGAACAAATAAAGCCTTTTGATGAATTTGGATCAATGATGGTAAAGAATATAAACTCTAAAGGATGTCCTCTGCAATCAATCTATCAATTCCCCGATCTTATAGCACAGAAGAATAGATATTTGCAATTGGGGTGGAATAGATCCGATGCACTAGATATGGTTGACATTTATAATTATTTTATTGATAAATCAAAGATTAAAATGTAAGTATTAAAAAGCCTTGGTTGATATCACGTACAATTAATTAATTTGTTGTAATTTTTTTTCTTTTTTAAAAGAATTGAAAGATTAGAGATATTTGATGAATTTGAAGAATGGTATTTAATTCAAGGTCATTATTGTTTTGTATTTGCCATTAAAAGTCAAGACCAATCTGCGATATTAAAATATTCCTTTCAAGATTCAAAACCCAACAACACTATTCAGCAGTCCAATACTCCTCCATCCAAAAGGTAGAGGAAATAAATGGAGCTATAAAAATAATTTAAATTGAAAAAGATATCTTTATTTATTTATAAATCTTTTTTCATGATTTCAATCCATTTATCAATAGTTTCAAAATCATTTTCTTTAATTGGACTATTATCACGTAAAATATCTATGAATGTATGATTCATGCTTTCTATTAGTAATTGTTTTGTTGTTGTTGGAGTTGTGGTGGTTAGATTTTTGAGTTGAACATAATAATCATTAATCCATTGTCTAAATATTTCATGTTCTTGATCTAAAACTATTTTACCATAATCTAGAGCATCATCGTTTGAATTGGACTCAAAGTCAATTAAAATAGATTCCAATCGAGAGAGTTGATCTTTTAATCTTCCTGGAAGAATAGCACGACCACACATTTCAAATATTCCAACAAATTCTTTCTTGATACATTGAAGGGATGGTCTTGTAAGGAATTTAGGTTGTTGGGCATTTCTTGCAAATATCAAAAAGTGAAACATCTTTTCCGTCTCATCAAACGTTGCAATAAAGGAGCATGTTTGTAGAGGTTGTTGTAGAGCAGGGCTAAAATCTCCATTTCTCCATGCATTGAATAGTTTGAAGGAAGTATTTTCTACTTGCTCTCTTTGCAGACCACGAATTTGCAGACAAGCAGATGGATAGTTTAGCCAACGAATAGTACAATCATTGTGATGATATTCTTTTTTAGTTTGAGCATAAAATACTGCAAAATGATAGTCTCCAGCCTGATAGTGTCTATGCAAGAGATTGGTTGCACCAGTTCCGTCTCTATCAGAGTTTGAAGCCACTTTGTATCCTGGCATTGTTTCACAAATATCCAAAAGCTCTTTGATAGTGTCGATGGTGAGATGTTGATCGACATGTCTACGATCAATGATAACATTGTGTCCATTGAAATAGGGATATGGTGGAAATTGTCTAAAGAATTGAGCTCCAGACTGATTACATGTAAATTCATAGGCTCTCAAACCAGATCTGCTCTTTGATGCAATGTTTTCATAACAAATAACACATTTTCCTTCAAATTGGTTGTAATGTGATTCTTTTGGTGTTTGTCCCTAAGTAGAGAAGATAAAAAAGATTTAATAAGAGTAAAAATATTTATATTATATTATATTATATTATACTGTTATTGACATACAGAAATGATTTCAGGTTTTGAACAATTAATAGTCACTTGAAATGGTACATTTGTATATTGATGATTGAGGTATGGCTCATAGTTGATATTCAAATGTAGTCTCTCCTCTTGAATATATCTTGAAAGAGTACTATAGTCATAAAGATATTTCATTCCTGCTCTCCATCCATCTCTGTTTATTATTGTTTCTTGCTAAATGAAATAACTTTGAGAATCAATTTGATCTAATGAAAACTCCACAGCAGTTGTTTAAACTTACAATCATTTGAATTTCTTTCTGTGTCATATTGATATCAATAGTTGTTTCATCTTGTTGTTTTGAGTGAGAATCACTATTACAATTTGTATCTTTTCCTATTGCTATCATTTCTTATAAACCTATATACAAAACTATTATGTTTTTTATTTAATTTTTTGGTATAATATTGTACAAGTGTCAACAATGATTATTCATTTTTGTTGACAAAGCTTGAACCCCCCCCCTTTTAGACAGATTTTTAACTAATTTATCTAACGGTAATAAAATGTTGCAAAGGGGGAGGGGGTTGTCTATTTATCGGATATTATTCTCATTGTTTGGATCTTCTTGTTTTGGCATTATGTCTAGACCCTTTAAATTATATACTTTTTTGGGATACTGTAACCTTTGGTTGTGATTGTGATTGTGTAAGTAAGATAATCAAGCTCTGCTTTCTAAAAAAAACAAACATTACCTATAATGTGCTGCCAAAAGTATTCTTGATCTCGCTTCCTCAATCTTTTCATCTATTTCCTTTTCAGATTCTACATACATGTTTTTGTGGAATTTATCTCTTGCTTCATCTCTATAGATAGATATATAATGATAATAATAACAATGATAATTGATACCCGATGTTTGTTGTTAGCTATAACAATATGATCAACAACAGGTGTCAAGATAATGTTTTTAGGTACCTTATAGAATCACGTTCTGATTCTTTTTCCCATTGATTTGCTAGTCTAAATACTCTTCGATATAGGTATAATACCTTTCTTGAAGATGGGAGCTGTGATAGTGCCAAATGATTGATGATATTCATTCTCTTCTCTCTATATAAAATTAATTAATTATTCGTTTAGAAATTTAAATTGCTTTTACCTCTCACTGAAGGCGGGAAGTACATGTCCATACAAAAAAAAAAAACAAATAAATATATATTTATATAAATATATAAACAGCGATAGAATAAGACAAGACTAATAGTAGAAATAGAATAGATATCAACTACAACTACAACAACATGTCCAAACAGACACAACAACAACGAAGACAAATCCGTAAGGATTATCGTGTCCTCATTCAAGATACACAAAGTATGCATCAATTTGTCTCTCTCTATATCCATTTAACTAATGATGTTTATATCTTTCTTTAAAAAGAAAACAAGGATAGTTTAGTACAATCAGATAGTGGTGGATTATTACAAATGCTTGAAAAGGGAGAACAATTGTACTCTCAAGTAAATATGCCTAGAGAGGCAGCGTTGGATTCTGAATTTCTTAGTTTGGCATCACAACTGGGCTATGAAAAGACACAAAGATTCAAAGTAGCTTTTAGTACATTTGATAGTAATGGTTTTATCAATAGATTATATACAACACTCTCTCAGTTGGGATCTGATCAAGATGGGCAGGAAGAGCAACAAGATGATGATCAACAAGATGGTGACGATGATGAAAATAATAATAACAAAAAGAAAAGAAAAAAAGGACGTTCATCGTCAACAGATGATGTCCAAGAAAGAGGATGGAAAAGATTTGGAGCAAATGTTGCAAAGCAATTCAATCAGACACCAGATTTTGATTTCATGTATGGTCCAATTAGTATAGAGGTGGTGGAAAAGGTTAGAAAGCAACCCCAACGACGTGGAAAAGATGAAGTAGGAAAACTGGTTGTCCCCGAGCAGGTACAAGATACAGCGGGCGCAAATCAACAAAACGAAACAACCAGTCAACGTGTACATAATATGAAACGATATTTGGAGAAAAAGAAGCAAGCAGACTTTATTGATGTAGTGACAGACAAGACATCGTTTGCAAGATCTGTTGAAAATATGTTTTATTTCTCTTTTCTTTTAAAAGACGGCCAAGCAAAGTTGGTTCCAAACCAACAGACAGGCGCTCTCAATATCGAAGCTGCACAACCCCCAGAGGAAAAAGATTATACTACAGGAAGAGCTACTCAAAGACATTCGGTTGTAAAAATGGACTATGATATTTGGAAAAAACTATCACAATGTTCAAATCAGCTGCCAGATTTCAATATTGCTGATGGGGATGGAAAGAAAAAATAAAAAGAAATGGTCACAACACATGTAAATCAATTCCAAAGAAAGAATATTAAAGAAAGAGAAAAAAAGAAGAGAAGAACTTCTTCTTTTGATTTTTTACTTTTTTGTGTAATTTGGTATGGATCCCATAGCAGGTTTCTTGGATAACGAGAGACTAATTGGTTTTAAAAGGGATTTTGTTGGTTGTTGTGGAGGTGGTTGTTGTGATCCCAAAGTACTTTGGGGTTGGTTCTCGCCTGGAAATGGGGTTTGTGATGGGATGTCATCAAAATCAAATAAATCATCAGAAAAGTCATCGTCATATTGTTGTTGTTGTTGTTGTTGTTGTTGTTGTTGTTGTTGTTGTTGTTGTTGTTGTCTTTGTTGTTGAGGTTGTTGAGGTTGTTGAGGTTGTTGAGGTTGTTGAGGTGATTGAAGTGGTTGCCTTTGTTGTTGTTGTTGTTGTTGTTGTGGAGGTGGTTGTGGTTGTCTTTGTTGTTGAGGTGGTTGTCTTTGTTGTTGATTTTGTTGTTGATTTTGTTGTTGATTTTGTTGTTGTGGATGTTGTTGTTGTGTTGAACTAACAAAATAGTTTGGAGGTGAAGGTATAATTATTTTTGGTTTAGGAGATATAGGTTGTTGCGGGATATTACTATCATTAGGACCTTGTGAATAATTTGTTGCAGTTGGTTTGGCTGATTAAAATAATGGATGTTAGTAACTTTATATAATTGAGATGACAAGTGATGGTACAAACCCTTCATTGAAGCCACAGGTGGTTGCATTTTAGGTTGATTTGCCGAGGTCTTTGTGGTTTTGTTGTTGATAATCTTCTTTGTTGGAACAGAGGGTTTGTTATTATTATTATTATTATTATTATTTGGTGTAGCCATTTTCGATAATTTTCTTGGTGTTGGTTTTGTTGTTGTTGATGTGGATGATGAACTCGCCAAATTGTATATTGATGTATAGTCATAGGTATTATTACCAACCAGCTGTTTGAACTGGTCTATTGCTTCATCGATGCCATCGTCGTTTGGGGAATAAATAAAATCTATATTTTGCAATACAATATTGATATAGTGTGATGTTGGAGAGAGAGCAAATATAGAGACTTTTTTGAGAACGAGAATCCAACCGGCAGCCATTTCCGGGTAGTGTTCACTGATTACACTTTTTTGAATAATTGCTCTAATTTCTCCGCTTGGATCGGCTACCGTCAATTGATAGTCTGAATCTGTTGCCACAAGCGATCGAATTAAAACCACTAGCCTCGATACTTTTTTACAGTATCTCTCCCGAAGTATAAGGCCAATATTATATTTTAGAGGTTTTGAGTCACCCCACGTAGTCGTGGTAGTAGTAGATGTGCCATCGTTGTTGTTGTTGTTGTTGGGTTGAGTATTATAGTTTTGGTTGAATAATTTGAATGGAGGGAATCCGCCATGTTTCAACATGCTTGGCCAACATCCAACACTAAAATCAGCCTTGGGCACATAATCGCGTGAGTTGTGCATCGATTGATTTCCAATAAGCTTGCTCATAAAAACATTTAATGCTTGAGATCCTCCAGATTGATCGTCGGGGAATGGAGGGAGGTCTCCTGCTGGACCTGGTATCTTTCGAAGTAGTTGTGGTTGTTGCCTTGGAGGTGGCTGATATGGAATAAAATCATATTGTTCAGTGTCTTTGGTTGTAGAAAATGATGAAGTTGAAGAAGTAGAAGTAGAAGAAAAAGAAGAGTTTTGATTCAAATATTTGTTGCCGATATTATTCTTTTGTCGTTTCTTGCTATTTAATTCATAATTGTCTGTATTGCTATCTTCATCTGATATTTCTTCAATTGATGGCCCTTCAACTGATTGTGATTGTTGTTGTTGTCTTTGTTGTTGGTGTCTTTGTTGTTGTTGTTGTTGTTGTTGTTGTTGTTGTTGTTGTTGTTGTTGTTGTAGGGGTTGTGGAGGTTGTTGTTGATTGGAGTTTCGAACATTGGAGTTATTATTATTGTTATTATTATTATTATTATTTTTGATAGATTGGTTAAGCCCTACCTTTGGGACAATTGGGTCTTGCCTTCGTTCCAAGTGCTGCGTGAGTTGAAAGTTTTGAATTTCATCACTAGTATATTGGCTGTATTCTTGTTGACTTTGTTGTTGTTGTTGTCTCTTTTGAATTTCAGTGGTATTTGTTGTTGGTGTTGTTGATTGTTGGATGGTTGTTGATTGATTCTTTTTGTTTATCAATAAAGTAGATATTCTTTCTTTTTGTTGTTGTTGTGGAGGGATTGGTGATTTATGTTGATTGTGATTTAAAAGACTTGAAGCAGGGGCCTTTACAGCAGCTGCAGATGATTGTGTTTTATGTTGATTAACAATATTGTTTCCACCATTGCCACCACCACCACCACCACCACCACCATCATCATCATCATCAAATACTAAATCGAAAAGATCATCATCAGACATGATGAATTGGAGACTGATACAAATAACAAGGGATGATTATAAACTTTAGTTTTATAAAAGTTCAGAGATATATGAAAAAACCCTAAAGTAGGTGATTTCTATGAAAAAAAAATAAAATAAAAAATTAATCAAAAATGTTTGTACAGCTGAAAGATCACCAATATTGTTAGTGAAGATGAGCATCGACTAGACACTTGTATTATTAGTAGGTTTTGCTTCAAAAATGTCTACAACTAGTTCTACTTCGTCTACACCTCAAACATCGACGATAAGAAATAAAAAGATAATATCAATAGAAAGCGATATCGAAAAGGCTAGATCAGAGAAGGATTGGAACTCTCTTTTATCATTGTTAAAAAAATATTCAAAGATTACTGCTTCGTATGTAAAATCTCTATACACAATACATATACACAATCTAATATAACTAATATATAAATATATATCGCCGTTCTCTCTATCTCTATATCTTTCTATCTATTTCTATTTTCTATTTCTATAGAAATAATGAAAATGTACTTGAATATTTAGTGCACGCAGAAAGATATATTGCAGACAATAATTATATAGATGCACAATTAATGTTAAACAAGGCATTAATGTTAAAACCAGATGATCAAGAAGTGGTAGCATATATTGGTATTGTTGATTATCAAAGAAATGATATAAACAAGGCCATCGATCATCTAAGCAAATTGTCTAATCCCTATGCACAACAAAACAACAATGAAATGATTTTAAACCCAAGAAAGGTAAATCTACTTTTACATGCCTTTAATGTCAAAGGAAAGTGTCAAGAATATCAAGGAAAAGGTGAAGATGCCATTGAATCTTACAAGAATGTCATCAATATTACCTTTAGATACTTTAAGTTTACAAAGTCGATTGATCAACAAGCCAAACCTTTTATCATTGATTCTTATATTAGAATTGCAATGATTCATCGTTATTATTCGTATGTAAACAATAATCATAATTATATATTGGTTTATATCCATTTTTTCTAACCTCTCTCATCTTCTAAAAGTAAAATACAAGAAAGTATCAAAGACTTTAGAAATTGTTTATCAAGTCAAGTTGGTCTAAATTTATCAAATTACCGTTTGGCACTTGTCAGCCTTGGCCATTTGTTATTAAGAAATACTTGTTCTCAAAGTTATCAATCAATTTATCAAACAACTAGCAGTGCTGATCAACAATCACCATTACATACATCTTCTACCTCTTCTGAAATTAACAAGTTAAATCAACAAACTCCAACTGTTTCAGCCTCCAGTACCTATGTACCAAATAACCAAGTTGAAGAGGCCATTATGGTTTTGCTTCATGCTGAAGATGTTCAATCGATCCTCTTGGAATCATCATTGCTCTCTAATGACTCTACTTCATCCACCTCAATGTTATTATCACCTCTTTCCATTCAAAATTCTCTGGCTGCAGAGTCAACAGCTGCTTCTAATGGTTCAGCAGCAACTGCCCAAACTACAAATGGCGAGGATGATGGTGACGACCAATCTAGTTCTCATTCTCCCGCTCCTGTATCGATAAACTCTCCCTCTGAAAAAGATATGCTTATATATGATGATTTGTGTATGGCATATTGTCGTAAAGAACAATATTATCCAGTAGTTGAGGTAAACTTTACAACCAAAAAAAAAAAAAAAACAAACTCTTGTACTAAATCCTTTTTTTTTTATCAAGATTTATGAAAAATCATTATCATCAAAGTTTGGAGAAACTCATAGATGGATACAATTAGCATTATCATTATACAGTTCAGGAAAATATAAAAGATCACTCTTTATAATTGAAGAATGTCTTGCAACAAATCCAAAGAATATAACTCTTATTTTATTGGCTTCAAAGATTTGCATCAATCATTTAAATCAGGTATGAAAAAAACAAAATATAAATATAAATAATGAATATATTTATTAATCCAAATTTTTTGTTTTCCATAGTTATCAAAAGGAATTATATTTGCAAAGCAAGCAATTTCAATATTGGATTCATCAACTAGTGATAATATTTTACAAAGTAGAGCCTATTTATCAATTGGTGTTGCCTATGAAAAGAGAGCATTGGAATGTAAATCATACAATGAAAAACAAACAAATCAAGAACTTGCACTTTCCAATCTTAAAAAGGCACATTACTATGATTCCTCCAATTATCTTACATCTTATCATCTTGCTTTAATCTATGCAGATATTCGTGAGGTATGTATTTAAAAAATATATTTTAACAAAATTAATCCTAAATTTATTTAATTTAATTTTATCTTTAGACAAGATTAGGATTAAAATATATTCATGAATCACTTTCTATCAATAGTAATGAACCATCAAGTTGGAATTTACTATGTTTATTGTTATCATCAAACAAGACCTATGAATTGGCATATAGAACTTGTAAATATGCTCTTGTCCAATCACCAAACAACATTGAATTGCTTTTGACAAAAGCAAAACTCGAATTGGCCTTGGAAGATGGATCACAAGCACTCCTTACCTATAGAGGCGCTCTCTCTCAACTAAACAACAAGACATTGACCTCTACCGAAGATTGGGACGAAACAGAAAGCATACCAAGAAATAGATATCAATCAGGATCTGCCAGTATTGTCTCTTTTGATATGAGATCAACGGGCACAGCTTCACATAGAGGTGGTATCGCTTCTAGCTCTGAGTTTTCAGCCGATGGAAACTCAAATAGCATCCAAGCTGGTGGAGACCAAGAATTTAATTCTCCTCTGGCAAATGGAACACTCAAAGGTCAATCCTTGTCTTCCTCTTCCACCACTGCTGCCAACTCTGACTCTAACCTATCAACTACCATTAAAAGAAGAGTACAATTATGGTTGGCCCTGTCAGAGGCATTCTCTCAACAATCAATGTTTGATGATGCTGCATCTTGTCTTGTTCAAGCAGATCAATTGTCACCCAACCATGCCGAAGTTTATTACCAACAAGGTGTTTTATTGGATCTTCAGGGTATAAGCCAAGAGGCAGCATCGGCCTATCGAAAGGCTTTGGCAATTGACCCAGGACACACAAACAGTGCAATCAGAGTGGCAGTTAATCATTATATCGTTGATAAAGATTTGTTACTCTCTGAAAACAATCTTACAACAGTATTACGTTCCTATGATCCAACGTCTCACCATGCTTGGTTCCAATTGGGTGTTGTCCTCAAAGCAAAGGGAGAAATAGAAAGAGCATCTGAATGTTTCAAACGTGCCATCGAATTGGATAAAACTTCACCACTTATTCCTTATGAATCAATTTCAAGACATCTCTAAATAAATAAAATAATAAAATAATAATAATAATAATATCTCTAATCAAAAAAAAAAAAAGAGACAAAGAGAGAAAAGATCTTCTTTTTTCTTTTTCTTTTTTTTTTTTTTTTTTGTGTTCGTAGCCCATCCGCAAAGATCTACAGTTTTAAAATTACTGTGTTGTAAACTTATTTGTATTATTATCTATTTCTATTTATCTATTTTATATTTATTATTATTGATGTCATTTGATAGAACAAGTAGTAAAAGAAATCTTCAAGAATCTGGTTCGGCATCTAGTGGATGGCTTGGGATATGGGAAGGAAATGAAGAAGAAGAAAAGGATGGAGGAAATATAAAGAGAAATGAAAGAGGCCAAATTGGTGATTGGAGCAGTTTTATGATCGCAATGGATGATGAAGGTGGTAAAGAACTTCAACGATCAATGTCTACAATGAAATTTGATCTCCCAAAACAACCACCACAACAAGATATATTGGTGGTGAATCGACAAAGAACTTCACAACCAACTCTTAAAACTAGCTCTGGTATGCCACCACCACCAACTACTACTACTACTACTACTACTACTACTACACCATTAAAATTTTCTGGTAGTATACCAAAAGATTCAAATAGTAAACAACAATCTCCACCAACTTGTAATTTATCAACAACACCAACATCACCTTCACAATTGAATAATTTCTTTTTCAAACAAAAGCAAACAACATCCATTTCCAATTCCAATTCAAAAGATTCAAATAGTAAACTTCAATATCAAAGACAAGTGACTGGATCAAATTTGGCTGCCTCTATTCATTATAATAATAATAATTCATCCTCTTCATCCTCTCCACAACCAATCACTACTTTTGTTGATTCACCCAGAGGGAGTGATGATTCTTCAACAACTCCATTATCGTCATCACCCATAAATCTCAGTGGAGGGATACCTTTTAATAAGTTTTCCTCTTCATCACCTCCTCTATCCACTCCTCCCCAGTCTAGTTCTGTTGGCAGTGGTGGAGGTGGCGACTCTGGTTTCCTCAACTTTTTCAGAAAGAAAAAGGTTCAACTAGACGGCAAGACGAAATATGGATCTATAGACTCTGCAACAAACTCTAATATGCTTGGTAGTTCGGGTGGAGATGATTCAAATACTCCACGCGAAGTAGAGTCAACCTTTGATGATCGTTCAACTGTTTATAGTGGCATTGGTGGCGCAAGTGACACGTATAGCGAATATACAGTCGATGACAATATGAGTACATTTAGCGGTGTTACTATATCACCAATGCAAGACCTTGGATTTTCTGTATCGTCGGATAAAATTATGGAAGGTTGGATGGAACGAGCTAGTTCAAGGTCATCTTGGAAAAAACATTGGTTTGTACTTCGTGGTATTCACTTGGAGTACTACAAGGGTTGGTGGGAGGACAAGTCATCACTACCACAAGATAAATTTAGTAATGCCAAGGAAAAAGAATCCTCTGAAAAGGGTAAAATCACTCTCAACTATTGGTACACTTTTAGCAAGGTGACATGTGAGGATAGTAAATTTGTTTTCTCAATTGTTCAATCATCAGAGGTTGAAAAGGCAGACAAAAAGAACAAATTGAAATTTAGATGTGAAAATGAAGATATTGCTCGTAAATGGGTACAAGAATGTGAATCGGTAATTAAAAAAAGAAAAGGTAAAAAAAAAATATAAATTTTGGAATATAATATAATATTTTAATATTAACATTTAAACATTTTTTGAATATTATTTTATTTTTTTATTTTTAGAAACAACTGTAACATTAAGACCATTAATTGCTGCTGATCATAGACAAGCTGGAGGTAGAAGAGGTACATTACTAGGAAATACTCCACCATTTATTCCACCACTCAACACTGCAAATTTAGGTGATCATTCCGCCCAAGGAGCAGTAACACCAAGAGGAGGAAATATATCACCCAATTCTATTGTACCACCTCCTAGTGGGTATACATTTGAAGACGAGCATCGTCCAACAAATATTGGGGGATTTATTACTAGTAGCGATCAACTAGTCATCCCAAAAGAATTAACAGAAGATTTAGAGCAAGATGAAAAAAAGGTATTGGAAACTGTTATTTCATTGTTGGATGAATTTAAACCCCAACCACTTCCTGAGGGTGTTTCCATTTCAGACTATCGAAACAAACCTCGTTCGCCAGATGGAAAATATCGTATTCTCAGTTTAGATGGAGGAGGTCTTAGATCTGTCATGGTATGCGTTCTTATTGAGCGTATTGTCAAGAAATTCCCTAGATTCTTAGACTATGTAGATGTTTTTACAGGTACTAGTGCTGGTTCAATTGTTGCTGCTGGTCTTGCTATGCAATATCCTCCAAAAGGGTAAGAAAAAAAAAAAAAAAAAAAAAAAAAATCAAATATTAAATATTAATATTTCCTTTTTTTTTTTTTCTTTTCTTTATTCTTTTAGAACTAGAAGAGTATTAGAATTGACAGCATTACCCGTCTTTGGAAAAAAAAGAGTAGGTCTAAATATGGGAAATGCAAAGTATGTCAACAGGCTCTTAAGAGCAGCTTGTTATGTTTTCTTCCAAAAACGTACATTTACAGAGATCCCACGAAAACTGGTAGTCCCCACTTTTCAATTAGACTCTGAATATCCTCCAAAGGCCAAACAAACTGCCCCAGAAGTGAGAAGATGGATGCCACAATTATTCCATAATATTTTACCAAATAGCACAGACCCAATCAACAACAAGCAACAATCCAAAATGCAACAAAAACAACATTTACAATCCAACTTGCCAATCCAAGATGACTGGAGAACACAAGAAATAGTTGGTGATGCGCTATTAAGATCTGGTTCGGCACCAACCTTTTTCCCAAGTTACCAAAACTTTATCGATGGTGGTGTATTTTGTAATAATCCAGCAATAGCAGCAATAAGTCTTGCCTCAAATCCATACCGTGACAACATAGGAATGGACAAGATGATTTGCCTATCTTTGGGTACTGGTATCTCTCCACAAGTGATGGAAGGTGCTGACGGTGAGGAATTTGATTATGGAATCCTTCAATGGGCCTCTCGTCTAGGTAATCTTTTCATGGGCTCCCAAGTAGATTTCCTCACACAACTATGTGAAAACATGTTGGCTGAAAGATATTTTAGACTAAACCCTCTTTTGGGTGAGCATACCTCTATGGACGATCCTAAATTGGTCAGTGAGTTGGCCACACTTGCCAACCAGGTAGACCTAACAGAAACATTTGCTTGGATTGAAAAACATTGGTTTCCAGTTGCTCCACTATCTCCTACCGCCACAGCTGCTGCCACAGCTGCTGCCGCCACCAACACAACAACTCCACCCCTTACTAGTGCTGATGAATTGAATCTGTAATATAACGGATTAGAGGTTACAAATTCACAATAAATAAAGTATTGTTTGGCTTTTCGAGGACAAGTATTTACTCAAGTTCTCAGAGACTCCAACAGTAACATAGAATTATTTTTTAAAGAAAGAAATAAAAATGATCTTTGTCTCAAACAAATTCGCTGGTGTCTATTTGTTTTGTTTTTTTTAATTTAAAATACTTTTTACTCTTTTTTGATTAGAATCAACAAAAATTAATGTCTAGATTGTCTTGAAATTAATTTGTAGACGATCGTATAACTATGTTGATTTAAAACTTTGATTATACATTATACTTAGATATTCTTATGTTATTGTAATAAATGAATTAAAAAAAAAACTTTATCACAAGATTATAAGAGGCTCAGAGGGTACTGGTTTTTTTTATTCAATTGTTTTTTTTGTGAATTTTATAGTTTAGCTCTTGAAACCTTTACTATATCATAGGAAATGATCTGAATTTTGTGCAGACATCAAACTTGCTAAAAAAGCTAACAGTTTGTATTAAAAAATTAGTGATTTGGTTGTTTGGATTTAGATTTTCAAATTTTTATAGTTTTGCTCAATTAACTTCAAACTTTGATATTCACCATTGGACATTGTTTTGGTAAGTAAATGAATTGTTTTAATTTTTTAAAATAACCTTTTTTAATATTTTATATATATCCTCTTGGTTTTTGTTACTTTTTAAAAAAACATTTAAAAGTAATATAATTTATCTCATTTGACTTGAAACCTTAAATTCTATTTTTAAAATAATTATTAAATGATATGGAGTTGAAAATATTAAACAAAATAACATTTATCTGGTTTTTTTAAGTTTTTATGATAATTTTTCCAAAACTTTAAATTTAACTCAATTGATATGAAAGTTTGATAATATCTATATATGATTATTTCCAACAATATTGCATCAATTAATTAAAAGATTAATTAAAATTGACTACAAAAAAAATTAATACTTTTAAGGTAAAATTTCGATCTTTGTATAATTTGATTTTAAAATTTTTTAAACAATACGCTCACTCATTAATTTTGTTGGAAATATGCAAATATACTATTTTTAAAAAATCGATTTTATGAAAAATATACCAAAAAGATAAAAATATAAATACAAATATTTTAAACTTACAATATTATTTTTCAATAGCCTCAATTGTCTATTATTATGAAAACTAAAAAATTCTGATTCACGAGCTGATTTTTTGAAAAAAAGTGGTCATGGCATGAGTCGATACAAAATCAAAAAAAGTTCAACATAGGGCAAAAGTTGGCATGAATATATAATAGTTTTTACTTTTTTAAACGAATAGAAGAATACAATTAATAAATATATACTGTTTAAAATATAAAAATATTCAATCGGTTAAAAAAAAATTATATATGTTTACAAAAACAAAATTATTGAAATTTTGCTTGGTTCCAATAAAGTTGTAATTTTAATAACTTTCTGATTTTTGATTGATTTTTGTCTATTTTTAAATATTTTATACAAAAGGCTCACCATTACCTATACTGTTCATTCGAAATAATTTTTATGAAACTTTATAAGATATATCAAATTCAATAACCATCCTCCCATTTTTGAAAAATATGACAAAATTCAGATTAATAATTCCAATTTATAGGTTAATTCCGATGATATTTAGTACATATACACCTAATTTAACTAATTTGCCTCAAATTATTAATTCAAACTAGCATTCTGGTAATTAGTCCTAGGGCTAGGGTTCGAATGAGAGGGTTAGGGGTTGTAGAAATATTGATTCAATGGCAAAATAAGTTAATAATTGAGTAAAATGCAATATTTACATACTATTTTGAGAGTTTGAAGTAAATCCAAAGGATTATTATTGTTCAAAAATGATCAAGTATTTTCCTCACAAAAATTAAATTTTAGAACTTCAAATTAAAACATAACTCCTGATATTTACGATAGATATATACATATTTATACTACTTTCACTCAAATTAATACTTAAAAGTACAATTATCTTAGATAAAAGTACCTATAGTTACGACAGTCTCATAATAACTCAACTTTTTATAGTTCAATCCTAACAGGTCGGGAGTTCGATTCCCAGTTACTACATCAATTTTTTTACTAAGGGTTCTATAAGCTGCTACCAGGGCCAGGGCCAAGTTTAAAATTTTATAGTGTTCTCCATACTAAAATATAAGTATATTTATGAGTACATTACACTATTTAAATAGTTTTTGTAGAGTTTGAAGTAAATCCAAAGGATTATTATTCTTCAAAAATCATCAAAATATTTCTAAGTATCAAGTATTTTCCTCACAAAAATTAAATTTTAGAACTTCAAATTAAAACATAACTCCTGATATTTACGATAGATATACACATTATTATACTACTTTCATTAAAATAATCACTTAAAAATACTATTCTCTTATCTAAAACCATCAAGAGTTACTACTGTCTCATACTAACTCAAGTATTTTAGATTCAATCCTAACTGGTCAGGAGTTCGATTCCCAATTACTACACTCATGTACATCACTCGTGTTAGTGTATTGGGGTGATTGTAATCAATGTGTTAGGGTTCTATAAGCTGCTACCAGGGATAGGGTTCTATAAGCTGCTACCAGGGCCAGGGCCAAGTTTAAAATTTTATAGTGTTCTCCATACTAAAATATAAGTATATTTATGAGTACATTACACTATTTAAATAGTTTTTGTAGAGTTTGAAGTAAATCCAAAGGATTATTATTCTTCAAAAATCATCAAAATATTTCTAAGTATCAAGTATTTTCCTCACAAAAATTAAATTTTAGAACTTCAAATTAAAACATAACTCCTGATATTTACGATAGATATACACATTATTATACTACTTTCATTAAAATAATCACTTAAAAATACTATTCTCTTATCTAAAACCATCAAGAGTTACTACTGTCTCATACTAACTCAAGTATTTTAGATTCAATCCTAACTGGTCAGGAGTTCGATTCCCAATTACTACACTCATGTACATCACTCGTGTTAGTGTATTGGGGTGATTGTAATCAATGTGTTAGGGTTAGGGTTAGGGTTAGGGTTAGGGGTTAGGGTTAGGGTTAGGGTTAGGGTTAGGGTTAGGGTTAGGGTTAGGGTTAGGGTTAGGGTTAGGGTTAGGGTTAGGGGTTAGGGTTAGGGTTAGGGTTAGGGTTAGGGTTAGGGTTAGGGTTAGGGTTAGGGTAGGGTAGGTAGGTAGA